AGTGGGCTATACGAAGTGCCTGTCTCGGCACGGCTGAGAGGATCTACCCAATTTGAGGATACGCAGACGATCATCCGGCACATCTTGTTCCGGAGAATCGATCGTATCAGGGAGTCGTGCAGCATCGAGACAACGGCGACGTGAACATAGTGGAGAAGATCTCGTTGTCCGGTGTTGAAGATCGCGCAGCAACTGCTTCATTGGTAGGTTTCGAAACGTCACGTTTCTCCGCCAGAAGTGGCGCATGACTTGTAGCTTTCGTGATTCGAGGAGGGGAAATAGCAGGCATCATCGGGTTCGTATTGGGTGTGGGGCGGACAGGGGTGATTCGTCTAATCCAAGATCTAACGGCCAGGGTGCTGTATCTTGCGTAAACTCTGATCCAACTCGATACTGCAGCCCGCAAGCTGGACGCTAAGGCAGCTAGACGTCCTGTAACGTGCCAGAGAGCAACCGGTCGTTGACGGTACCAAGTGGCATCTCTGAGCGACGTGTCATGCTAGTGACGACGTTCAGAAACGGTGTATTGCGCTCCCCGCCATTAGAGCGGGACGGGCCACTGCGCGATCGAGCATTCGCACTGTATCGGCAAGTTCCGCTGTCATAGCGATGCGTTCAACCCTTTTCTTGAACGAAGAATTGCAAGCAGGTTGAAGGCAGCCACTAGCTAACGACTGCCCAATGCAGCAGCGGAAATTACGGACCTTGCATGCGGGAGAAGGGTTTGTGCCGCGGATGTTTGGCGGGTAGATGGGAAGGGGGCGCCATTGGATCGGGATGATGCGGGATGCGCTCGGCAATCTGAATCGATGTCGATCGAAGCTAGGGTTCCCTGTGCCCTTTGCTTCCAGCCGCTTTTTGTTTTGGGTGCAGGCATCTGCGACGCCCCAGTTACATCTATGTACAACCTCCTTATCGGGTGCAAGCAAGCCTGGCGTCTCTGTGCATTCGGAATCTTCCATGGCGCGGACAATCCATGTCGAAGGATGAGAGAATTTCCTCATCCTCGTGAAAGCAACGCTTGTCTTGTCGACGATCCGCGAATAGATCTCCTTACCCTTGTTATTCAGCTTGGCAACCTTGAAGATTGCATCAGTGTTGCCAGGCGGGAGAATTCCCGGTTGCGCAGATCGTGGAGGGGCTTTAACGTCGCCGACCTGCCATACCTGTTTTGGGCGCACAAGCGTTTAGTACCGCAGCCACGACAGCTGCATCAACCACCACAACCGTTTTCGTTACCTTTTCGCCGGAGTCATTCTGGCTTCCTTGCAAATTCCCGGGTCATGGGGTGTTCATGGTGGCTTGTTAGTTTTTGTTGAGCCAAGGAACTCAAACACCCTCCTGCACATCCTCATCAGGACGGGGATCGTGAATAAAGGAATGTCCTGGCACTGCAGAAGATCTTTCTGGCCAGAAGTCTATTTTGGGTGGCTGGAAAATTCAGAGGATCCGAAACCGGCCCGCGCAATGCTCTGCTACAGTGGAATTAGATACCAAGAATCAGGGGAGGACATCTGTGCGACTCCGAGGATCTTCGGCCCCGCGCACCACCCAGAAGTTAACTAACGTCACACAGCACGGGGGAGGTCACCACCTGTTAGCTCTTGCCATGCATGGGACATCTGCTACATAATCAAACATGATGTCGGTGGGCTGAACGCTGCTCAGACATGCGAGCGGCCACAACAGCAGCCAGAGATGGGTCGCTGGAACAGCCGTTAGTCCCGAGGAGGGGGAACAACGCGCGGACAATTGTTTGTATCTTGTCATTATTTCGTCTCAGCTGACACGGACCGTCCCACAACCAACAGGTCAAAGAGCATGCAGTTGAGGTGGTGAGCTGCAATCAGCGTTGTGGCGGCGGCAACGGTGACTGATGGCCGTGACCACAGGTGTGTGGTGAGCGGCCCAACCCCACCAATCTCGCGCGCAAGGGAGCTGTCAGGAACAGGGCCCCACGGCGCTTCTCGTGCCTGCGGCTGCCGCTCTGGCATTTAACCGTGAGAGATGGCGCGTGAAGCCCTGACAGGTATAGCGACCCCGTCGCATGATGCCGGCGCAGCTGCCCTATACGAAAGGCGCAACTTTTGTGCGCGACTGAAGAGGCATGGTTGATGCGGGGGGTAGAGAGACGCGTAGTGAACAGAGGGATCCAGAGCATGGCCTGTAGGCACGAGCGATTGCCGGCTGCGTCGCGCATGCATGCACAGCACTCCTTTGAGCGGTCATGGTGGAACTTTGTAGTGGTGTTGGGATCCGACGGGCTGTTTGAAGCACGACGAGTCGGGCCCGTCCACCAACAAGCGGCAGCGGTTCAACGCTTTCCCCACCAGACCGGGACGCTTAGCCTACTTTAGGTAAATTAGACGAGGGCCGTGGCGCGTCTTGCCAGAAGGCCGGGTTCAAACTCCAAACGGCAGCCGGCGTGGTGAACTGGCGAACGACACCAGTGGTCCAGCGCTGGCAGGCTCGCCATGAGCTGCATGTTGATACACAGCAACGAGCTGCCTGGCACGGGGGCCATTCAGGCTGAAGAAAAGGGCCCTGCCACTGCGCGGTGCTGTGCTGGCGGACGAGCACGCGTGGGGAAAGGGCCGGGGTCACGCTGCAGGCGTGAGACAAAGGCCGGCCGGAGCAGAGGTACGTCTATTTTTGCAGCGCGCACATGGGAGTCTGGTGGGCATGGGGCCTCAGGTGTCGAGATACGAGGCCGTCGCCTGCGATGTGCCTGCAGTGGGCGCGATTGGCCATGGGTTGTCCATCGAGGCCTGCGAAGATGCTGCGAATGCAGCTGTGCAGTCGAGCATGTCCGGGCTTCGCCTGCGGGGCCCGCTTCGGTTGCAGCGTGCGGCACCGCTGAAATGGAGGAGGGCGAGGCGCGGGTGTGGTGAATGTCGATAGCATGTCACTTAGCAGCGTCGAGATCGTGGCTGGACCGCGCTTGCCAAACGGGTGTCTCGACCTCTCTCGTCATCGCCCAAAGCGGCAGCCACGAGCCACACGGTGCGGAGGCTAGCGGCCAGCTATTTGTGTTTCCTTCGCGCCTTCTGATTCGGCCGGGGCCGCTGACTAAGGCTTTCCACAACACCCGCACTGCGTTCCGACTGGGACGCACACGCAAACCACTCCCGCTGCCCTCGGCCGGCGGTCCGCCTGATCGGTACCAGCCAAACTGCTCCAACGGCTGCCTCGAACCGTCGACCTCGCCGACGACAGCTGAGATCTGTACCGTGGAGACGTCGGCTCCCACGCTGTGACTGAGCAGTACCCGCCGTCGGATGGCCTGCCAGAGAGGCAGTCCGGCGACTGGACTGGGCGAGGCCGCAAAGGAGCGTAGCGCATCTGCCAAGGCTTTACCTCGCCGACCTACTCGTTCTACCTGGGGCTCGATGGGGTAGCCACCAGCCTCAGCACCGTTTGATCGACCACGGCCCTGTCCAACCCCCCAACGAGCGAGTGGTGACGCGGTTGCAACGTGCTTCGCGCGCAGGCACGCGTTTGTACCGAAATTGCTGTTTCTTTCTCCACCTGACGACTGACTACCACCTGAGGCTCAAAGATCTGGCCCTCATTTGGTTCCGCTATCTTTGGGCCCGTTAAGAGGCACTGTGTGTATACTACTGCACACTGTACAATCATGTAATCGCAGCACAGTGATAGGGAGCCCGCGAGGGCCTGGGCAGAGAGGCTCACACGGACATGCACATTCCCGACCGCTTGCAGCAGGCCTTATCCATGGTCCCGCACAACCTGGCTTCATCCACCACATCGGTTCGCATTCGCAATTGTTCTGTTCAATAGACACACAGCTTCCAGACGGCGAGCTTGCGGCGACGATGGATGGGCCAACACCCGTGAAATGAATGGTATGCCACCCAGCGGCCCTGGACCCTGGCGCCTGTCGTTCACAGCGGCTGGCTGAAGCGCTTGGTGCGGGTGTGTTTGGTTTTACACAGACATGGGGAAGACGCCGACCGGGTGGAGATATTGGTGTGCCAGCTTCGTGACTGATGTCCTGAATCAGCGCCTCTGATGAGCACCGCCATACCCACGATGGACCGCGCGACGGCCGACCCGCCAGGGCTACCCCGGCGCCAGTCTCTACCGGGGGGCGACCAGGTTGCGCGAGAGAGTGGGTCACGCCGGGATGTGGCTGCTGCATTGTCGAGCAAGCGTTGCAAGGGGAGCAATTGGCCTGAGCCGGAAAAGAAGCGTTTGCGAGCGAGACTTTCTTTTTCTCCCGTGCAGAGGCGGCCCAGCGCGCGCCAAAAAGCCATGCCACGATGTGCTACAAGGGCATCGCACAGATTCCGGCGATCTGGTCCACCGGACTGGGAACAAGCTGGGACGCCTGTGCAGGAGCTCGGAGCCAGAGGGCAGCAGATACATTAGGTGCGGGTCATCGCGCTGCTCATCGTCAAGCTCACTCGTCTCCCACCAAGGCCTCATCTCTCCAGATCCCCCACTCAGCGCTTGCGCCAAATGTACTCTTAAGCTAGAGACCACAACGCCGCATGACGCCCCCTACCCTCTTCTGAGCCCTCCCACCATCACCTTAGCCGCATCGTTCAAAACAAGAAGTCTCCCACACTAAGTCTTGCCAACAAGTCGTTAACTCCTCGCTGTCTTGGCCCCCGCTATTCGTGGTCACTGCGCTGTCCGCCGTTGCAGTATATACTCTTCAGGAACCCGCTGCCGTCTGTTTGGTCCGCTACCACTGGTTCTCATCCACACTTCAACGGTACGGAAACTGACGCCACGGTACCATCTACCACTGTCGCTCAGTTCCGCCTCAACTAAGGTATGTGCTCTCTTCTTACCGTCTGATTCCAATTCAACTACCTCCCTCCACACTACAAATACAACCTGCTTCTCTCCTCTCTCCTCCTACATATACCGCCTTCCATCTCTTAGCCTTCCATGACATGCCACCTGAAGATGCTTTCATTGCAGAGATCCAGACTGGGGCGCGTACCTGGGCTGACCCGAACAGTTTCAACATGGTTGCTCACCGTCGCGGCCCTTGGTCGCAACATGAAGACCGCTATCTTATTGAACTCGTGGGTCGAAATGGCCCGCACAACTGGGTTCGAATCTCACAGGAAATCACAACACGATCACCGAAGCAGTGTCGGGAAAGATATCACCAAAACCTTAAACCTTCGCTGAACCACGAGCCCATTTCTCCGGAAGAGGGCGAACTGATCGAGAAGTTGGTTGCCGAGATGGGCAAGAGATGGGCTGAGATCGCACGGAGACTCAAAGGCCGCAGTGATAACGCCGTCAAGAACTGGTGGAATGGAGGACAGAACCGCAGGAAGCGCAACCCAGAGCGTGACCAGCCGTCTCACACACAAATGCACCACCCGCAAGCCGCATACCACTACCCCGCAGTAGCACGCTCCATTCACCACGAAGACGAGAGTCATCGCCTTTCTTATTCCTCGTCGCGGCGGACCTCACTCAACCCGCCAATGCATTCACCTAATGCGCTCAAGCTTCCTCAGCCGCAGGGTTTTGAGCCTTACGCTGGTGCGCGGCCAGCACCCCTACAGCTCCAACCGTATCCCTCACATTCAGCGCGGGGACGTGGGGTTGAGACGCCCATGCCGTCGCCCTCTGGGTACTCAATCGTCTCCGCAGATGGTGCGCCTTCATTGATCACGGACACCGGCTCAGAGTCACGCTCACCTCGCGGTGCAGCCTCTCCTCTTGATCTCACTCTTGCTCCCCTAGTAGGTAGCCGGGATGAGCGTAGGAATTCATGCACCCGTTACCTACCCCAAATGGGCTTTGCGAATGAGGATGATGACCACACCCCGTATGATTACCGACGCCGCGGGTCTGTTCAGCTACCGCCTCTTGCCAGCGCTGAGAACAGGACCGCTACACCTTTCAGAGAACCGGCTCCAAAGCAAGCGTACAGGATGGAAAGGCCGCAATTGCTCACACAACCTGCGCATCAGCTTGTGCATCACCACTCTCTTCCCTACTCGGCGCCACTCCCTGAGCAACGACCACTGCCGCCTTTCGCCACTCTGGCGGACTCAGGTCGGGTCCTGCTTCCTTCTCCCATGCACACGAGCCCGTCCTCAAGGCAACTTCCGTCGCCCTTTGCGCGCGCGGCACAGCCAAGTGAAACACAGAGCGCACCTGTTTCGCCCAAGGACAAGGCCCAAGACAGCCGCATGGACCTTCGGTTCCTCGCAGTGTGATTGCTCCTAACGTTCCAAGCTATACACACCGTACAGCTTTAGCCGACATTGTCACTTCATGTTTATACGCATACGCAAAGATCTAGTTTCTCATTGTAATGATCACGTTCGATTTCATTGCGGGTACGTCGCCAAGCTCCGGTTTTCCTCACTCCAGGGTTCATTATCCCAATGGCTCAGAACCCTAGACTTGGTCGACACGATACCCAAGCAATATGTAAAACATTGGGAAAAAGGTTCTCTGGGCGGAAATTTGTCATTTGTTTCTCTTGTTTACTATTCCCTCCATCGCTACCCCCTCTTTGTTGATGTTGCTTAGCGGAAGCGAGCGGGTTGTCTACCATCAGGCGTTCACTGAGGGGCATGAATGCATATGCATGCCAGGGACTACGGAGTTCTATATCAGGCTGCCCGTCGCAGGCACTGGCCCTGGACTTGAGCATGTACCATCGACATCTCTCCACGATGTCGCACCAGATCCTACCATACTATATATCATCTACTCCTTCGTTGAGAATCTAATACCCAAGCGGCGTAGCTGCACAGTTCTCAGACATTGATACGTACGACAAGGCTCCCAACAGACAGTGACATGCTATTCTGATCCGTACTTGGACCCGAGTGAACGTTGGGTCAAGGCCCACACGAGTCCCTTGCCGATGCAGCCCAGCATCCTTCACGAACCACGTTTGCGTTTGTGGCGGCAAGCGAGGCGAGGCTGCCCTTCGTTTCCAGCTCAGCGCATCCGTGATGTCGGCCTGGTGACCCGGGTGCTGGGGTTATGCCCCTCTGCTGCACGCAAAGTTTACGACTGCAATAGACTGCACGACTAAGGCAGGGACGGCGTGTCAGTGAACGTGGTGTCGGGATGCCACGGACGCTGACGCATGTTCCGGTAACTCTACTGCGACGCCGAGGGCGATTGCGAGGGCTCGCTTCACGGTGTCACGAGCACATTGCACTGCACCGTAGATAGAAGTATGGATCTGGGCTCAACTGGACGCACTGTGCCACTCTACACTGGTCATGACACAGACAACTGGTCAACGTATTCTACCCGATCGGGTAGCGGCGCTAGGCTGGTCTGAGGTACAGATAGTCGGATTCGTACTCGGCGTGCAGTCGAGCACCCTTGGACCGAAGAAAGTGCGCTGGCTAGAAGACAGGCAAGAGTGACAGGCTTCTAGCATCGGCGTCGCCCCGAACCTTGTCGGTTGGTTCCGTTGCCGCAGACCTTTCCAAATCATCACATCAATCTCGAACGTTGTCTACAGAATGGCCTTGTGGCCTAGAGGGCAACGCGAATGCGAGAGGGGCTTAGTCACGGGCCGGATGGGGGGTTAGCAGGCAGCGGTGACGCCGAAAGTCAACACCACGAGTCCCCGCTCCGCTCATGTCGTCCAACGGCGGTGCCATGGCCCTACACGGACGGAGTCGCAAATGACCCTCGCGAGCGGCAGAAAAACGTGGCAAGCAGCGTCCGTGCAGGGCGGCCGTTATTGCTCGCGCCGCGCGCATGCATGGCATGGACATTGGCATGCGCTCCCAGGCTGCTCGGCGCCCGGGAAGCACAGATGGCGAAGCGAAAATCTGAGGGCGCTAGCAGAAGACTGCCGCGTTGGGCGTGGGATCCGCAGGTCTGGGTTTGCGATTGTGGATGGAGAGGGGTGAGATGGAAGGATGCGAGCTGGGGTGGTGAATCGTGTGCAGGGTAGGGAGGTGAGTTTTGGCCGAGCGCTATTGCCCGCGCGCGCCAGCTCCTCTCGCCTAAGGCAGATCGTTTCGACGCCCGGGCCTTGGGGCGCTGTTCAACTCGAGGTCAGCGCTTGCCGTCTAGCGCTGAGAGAAGTCTAGGGGCGCCTGTTTTTTGGGGGTGAAGAGCGTACAGGCTAGGAGCGTAACAGTCAAGTGTACGCCCGTTAGCGCACGTGCTGGGCGGGTGCAGGATCTGGACGATCGTTTGGGGGCTGCAAAAAGCCGTTGGAGGGAGCACAAGGAGAGCCATTGGGGAGACGCGGTCGTGGCGGCGCGGGAGGTTAGTCAGGTGCCGGGCTGACAGCACTCTACTGCTCCTGAGCGCTGCTTGTCGGGTCGTTGGGCGCTCGTTACGATGCAGCCTGGCCAAGTTGCATTGTGCTCTGGGATTTGCGAATTTCCTTGCGGTGTTGAGCGTGCAAATGGCCGTCGTTCACAGCCAAGACCTTCCTCTCGGGACTCGCAAGGCCGCGTGCATCTTTCCCGGAACGGCAATGTTGTTGAGCACTGTACAAAGGCGGCAAGGCGCCCGCTGTGCAGGCTCTCATACGAAGCCCTACCGTTGTGCCCCTGCCAATCTCTGTGTCAAAACATGACGGGTTCTGACAAGGATGACTCTGCGCATGCGGTCACTGCTCCATCAAGCCCTGCTCTCCGCTCCGTACCTGGCAACTCAACACGCTCGGGAGGGCCACATCCGCTGCGCGCCTCGGAGCTTGGGACAACGGCGTCTGTCGCACGTCGCGCTCCGTGTCGAGGAAAGATGATCACCGGGTAAATGCTCAACCCGCCAATTGCCTCTCGTCCTCGACTCTACTATTTCCTTGCCTGGTAAGCCCCACGCGTGTTTGGCGCCGTGCGTGCGCAGGGACACAGACACAGACGGGCAAGATGCTCATGGCCGTTGAGCGTTCCCTTGCCGCGGATTCGCGACCCATGGCTCTGTCCCCGCCAGCTGCTTGCACGCGCGTCATGCCGGGGTCGACGTCGATATGCGTGCGCACAAATCGAGGGCGTAGCTGCGGGGGACGAGAGGCATGCACGCAGTCTGGACCACGGCTAATACCGTGCCTTGGCCGGCAGCCATCGCATGGTTCCCATCATCGTATCTAGTCTATCGTCAGACATCTGATCTGATCGGTGAGGAGGGTATTCTCGCGTGGCAGCTGCAAGCCACCTGAGACACGGCTCCAAATTTAACTCTGAAGGAACAAATGGCATCCTAAATCTACAGGCCAAGCTCTCCCAGCCGTACGGACACTGTCCGCGTCCGACGCCCTCTATTGGATGCGCGGCATTTCAGCCTGATTCAAGACCCCGGTGCAGACATCGCAGGGCAGAGAGCATGTCACGTGCCTAGACTGGCAGTTTCTCCGGCCATCCCTGCAATCCAAACGCCGATCAAACGCCGTTAGGCGAGCAACCTCAGATGCGGACCTTCATCATCAGTCATTGGGAGAGGGGCATGCCGCATCCTTCGGGCTACTGCAGTCATACGAACCTTGTCTTTTCATTTCAATTGCGTTTGCTCGCATTCGCGTTCTTTACATGACGCCGTCCTTGAGCGGTGAGGCGAGTCGTGGTGGTTGAGGGCCGAAATATGGCGGACTCACTGTATGTCCCGGATCCGACGGCACAGGATACGCTGCTGCAGCCTTGGGACGAGGCGTTTCGGGTAAGTTACTTCATGCTCTATCCGTCATTCCAGGCCCACAGGCTCGTTCACGATGCTCGTTGCAGGTAATCTTTGAATGCGTCATGATATTCAGGGGTTTTATGCCTGTACGACGTGAACCAATGAGCCGGGTCTCCTTTATCAACACCTTTACACAGTAGAGAAATGGCAAGAGCTAGAACTTGGACTTGATTCGGTCTCTGTGGATTGTTGCTTTTGAACATGTTAGAGCAGGTTGCATATCAATGCATTTCCCCAGCGACCACATACACCGACTATATATCCAGAACTGTAGATAACCCACTAACATGTGCAATAGGCTCAGCGTGATGTCGGACTACTTGTCCCAATCAACTTCCATACTGTTCCCTCGATATCATTGAGAGCAGCCTGCTTCAATAATGGCCTGTATGAAGATACATCGTTTCAAAAATGCTTTTCGAACTTGCTCGCAGTTGGACTGCGGAGATTCATCATAGACACGTACTGGGATGAATCGAGGGGTGAATGGGGCCTATGCCCTGCTCAGATACCACCTGCTTCAGCCGTGGGAAGCTCATCAACCACTGTGCCTGTGCCGGCTTTCACAATCCACAGTAGCTCGGGCTCTACAAGTGCCGGAGTGACTGCAACTATCTCCTCAGCAGGGTTTCCAAAACGCCAGGATGATCCGTCAGACGCAAGTTCTGGCTCGACGAGGGTGAGTATCGAATCTTCCTCAGTGCACTCTCCTGCATCAGCGTCGACAACAGGAGGGTCGTCAAGATCAGGCTCCTCTTCATCATCGTCTGGCGCGACACCCACGCCTTCCACTTCGGTTTCTGCTCCAGTACAGGCTCCCAAAGAAGGTGTCTTGTATCAATTAGGGAGCTATAACTGCACGTCCACGATAACACTCAACTACCTCACCGGAATTTTCAATGACTTCCTGGAGGCGACATCTACCACCACCGATGCTTCATTCACATATCTACTTCTCAACATCCACGCCGCTGCTTCCTGGCAACATCCCAACGAGCCCGCCCAACAACCCGCCGGCGGTGTCCTTCCTCGGGCAGCCGGAAACCTCCTCAGCAACGTCATGAAAGGCAACCTCTCCGATCAGTTGTATACACCGTCGAAACTTGCGAATGAACGCGCAAAGCTGAGTAATTCCTGGAACAATGTCGACGCGGATAACAAGCCAAGAGGAGGTTACTATACGGTAGAAGGAGCTAACAGCAATGATCCATCTTCCGCAGATGGATGGCCGGATGAAGCATATGCTCAATTTTCCAAGTTCTACCGCCTCATTGCGATATTCGGCACTGTCGATCCGCAAATGGGTGACTATAACATGAGCCTTGACGCGGATACAATCTTCCCCTCCGAGACGATCTCTTTCCAGCCTGATGTCTCGTTCTCGTCCTCCGGCTCCCTGAGTGAAGGTTGCCTCTTCGACGCCTTCGACAAGACGGTCACACCGCAAAGAAACTCATCCTTCGCCGTCGGCGTTGTGCCACCAACCCTCTCCGTATCCTCCAACCCAGACCTCTTCTCCCCAATCCCTCTCATCTCAAACCTTACTGCCTGCGGCATATCACCAATTCTCAACCACTCCCTCGCCAACACCACCGCAGACAAGAACCCCCTTCCCTACGCCGCCTTCACACACTCTTACCTCTGGACCTGGGCCCCCGGCGAGCCGCTCAACGCAACAGACGCGTCCACCTCCGGCGCGACAGGCAATCGCTGCGCAGCCGCATACACAGAAGGCGAGTGGTCCGGCCGCTGGCACGTAGTGGACTGCAACACGCCTTTGCGCATCGCATGCCAGGACCCTTCCTCCCCTACTCCTGGAGCATCTCCCCCGCCCCGCAACCTCCGAAGACGCAACCAACGCGTGCGCCTCCCCTCCACCTTCTCCGTCCCGCACACCCCGCTCGAAAACGCACATCTGCTTTCCGCCGCTCGCGCAGCCCTCTCCTCGACCGCTCCAACATCAACACCTCTTCCATCCTAATCAATCTTAACAGCATGGACGTCGCAGACTGCTGGGTCGCTGAAGTCAACGGCACGTGTCCGTACTTGCCCGCAGCCGACCAGGATCAGACGCGCATCGTCGTGGTACCGACCGTGGCGGCGATTATCATATTCGTGTGCACGGCGCTGACGTTCTTTGTCAAGTGTGCGTCGAATCGGAGGGAGGATAAGAGGGGAAGAAGACGGAGGATGCTCGAGGGGTGGGAGTATGAGGGTGTGCCTAGTTAGGGGAGGGGGAGTGTCTGGACTATATTCGTGAGATGGGATGGGATGCTGGAGATGAAGCTAGACGGAGCACATACTTATAGGAGTATGGCATTTAGAAATGAGTTTTCTTACTAGAGGCGTTTTCTTCTAGAGTAAAGCAGGAGCAGGAGTGTGCACAGGAGCGTTAGCCACAAATATACATCAGGCTCGCAAATGGTATAGCGAGTGCTTCGTGCCTGTAAACATACACACGGTAATTACATACTTCTCGCTATTGATTCATGGTTGATAGTCAGATTCTATCAATGGGGAAGTCATGACTTAAACGCCATCGTGTACATCGAAACCCGACGCCCCGCCCTTCGCAAACAAGGACCGAATCCCTAGCAGCAACCCCTATCATTCCACTCCACGCCTCCATCATCGAGGAAAATCTCAGGCGGTAACTCTCGCTTGACCTCCACCTCCGGCTCGAATAGTGGGCTCTCGCTAGTAATCCTTTGCGACTTATCCCCTTGTATAGCACGCATAGTCGTACTGTCAGCCACCGAGTACTGGAACCCAGGGAAAGGCGGAGCGATCCGTGTCTCAGTGGCTGTCGTCGACACCTAGTATCCAGTCAGCCCAACCCCTTCTTCCCAACAAGATCCCACGCGAATACCAACCTCACCACCACCCCCACAAAGCGGTACAATCTCCGTATACCTCGAGAAGTACTCCCATCTGCCCACATTCGGGGGCGGCAAGCTATATCCCTCCCAGCCCAGCACCTCCACCTTCCTCCTCTTCCTTTTCCTCTTCTGCATCGACCTCGCAACGCCACCCTCCTTCTTCGACCGTCCGCCAACCTTCTTCCCCTCCTCCACCCCCTTGCCTAGCAGCTCCCCAAATAAATCCACGCCTTCCCTTCTCACAAAATGCGCCCACACCGTCTTTCGATCCCCACTTCCCTCATTCACACCTTTCCCCCGAACCACAGCCGCCCAGTCCTCCCTGCTTATGGCATCTGCGCAATCATTCTCGTTCACACTCTTGTGGAAGTGTACAGCGAAGGCCTTGGGATGCCTAAACAAGCTACGCGATGTATGCGCCAGCGTGGCGTCGTAGGATGCGAGGTACGGATGTGTCGAGGGGAGCGTGAAGCCGTGGCGGTCGGTGAGGAAGTCGCGGACTGTGACGGAGGTTGTGGGGGTTGACATGGTGGTGTGTACAGAGGTGGATAGAAGGATAGGTGTGAGGTGGACGTAGACGTAGACGTAGACGTAGCGTCGAAGTAGACCGGTTGAGAGGTTTGATTGTAACGAATCATGTGTTTGAAGTGTTGTTATATAGTGGCTACTGGCTGGGTAAGATACCGTCCGCAGACTGAGTAAACGTGACCAGGTAAAAAGATCAGGCTGTGTGAGAAAGTAAAAGAAGTGTGAGACTCTCTGAGGGATGGTAGTGAAGTAGTCGACCATTTTGCATGAAGTCGCTATCACCAGTTGGAGTACCGCATTCAAAGAGTAGAAATAGCAAATCCCAGGTAAAGTAGTCAGACCTAGACCGAACTCAGCCTTCCTCGACCGCACCGCCACCAAGAGCCTCCGTCTCCTCTATACCTCCTGATATGCCCGCTCTCGCATACCCCTTGCCGAACCTTTCCTTGCTCTTCTTTACCAAGGCTTCCTTAATCTTCTCCCTCCGCTTGCCATCAGTAGGCGCATCGAATTCGCTCCACACCTGCACATTCCCAATAGAGATGAGTAGTTCGCCATCCGACCTGTTCCTATCGATCCCAAACCTTGCAGGCATAAATACACAAACCCTATCATCATTGCTGAGAGTGGCACGAACAAGTGGTCGTACTTGTGGATCAGCGCATATCTCAGGTCTTGCGTGGCCGATGACGACGTCCCAGTCAAGGAAGCGGGTGCCCGTGTACGTATCAATAGTAGTGAAATCAGCGTCCTCGCAACTGTCTTCCTTCAAAGCCGCTACCATCTTTGCTGATCGCTCCTGCTTGGTCATTCCGGTGAAGTCGGCTAAGAATTCTACTTGATCGTGCGGTATCTGTAGCTCGCCGGACCGATCAACTTTGGCGTACTTCGAAGGAATGTAAGTGTAGACGTTGTATCTCAGAGAGCTGCCTTGACACTGAGCCACGAGCGTTGCTCTAACAAGTGGTCGTACGTTGGGGTCAATGCAGAAGCTAGGTAGTGCGCGTCCGACGATGAGATCTCTTGAGTAATACTTGTTCGTGGCGTACGCATCAATTGTCATAACGTCTTGTAGCTCAGTCGGGTTGGCTGGTATTTGTGACGGATAGTATATTGTCCAAGGAAGTTGAGTACTGGCTAAACGATCTCCTGGAATCACATCGTTCATATCATCCTCATCAGCGACGCGCCGCTTCCGCTAAATCGTCAGTGCATCGTACACTATGCTCATATGTCTTACTTACCTTGCGATGAGATGCAGAACAACCCACTCCCTCTTCGTCGATAGTCTTGCGGGTCTCGCTCTTGACGATCTCGGCCATTCTGTCGTCCAGGATCTCGAGAAGGCCTTCTTTGACGGTTTCGGCAATCTCGCCCTTCACCCTCTCGGAGAGGCTTATTTGTATAGCACCCGAGAGCTCGTCTCGGACAACCTCGAGTATCTCCTTCTTAACAAAGTCTGGCAGTCCCTATCACATGTTAGCGTCCGTTATAGAGTATCGTTGAGCATCTTCATGCCTTTCTGTCGACTGTAGGTGTGGATCCCTCCCCGGTTTTCGATGCCTTCTGCCACTGTCAGTAATATACATGTAGTACCACGAAATATCGCATACCATCAGCTCCGGCGTGGATCCCTTCAGTACATCCCTCTCAGAGATATTCTTCCCCCTTTCCCTCTCGCCTTGCATCCTCACCTCCGCCTTCCTAGCCATCTTCCACCACCACACAGCCTCCCACAACTTGCCAGCTCTAGCTGTCTGATCCCCAACCTCCCTCAATCGATCCAGCTCCTTCTCGCTCTCGCTTCTTTGCACCTCTTCACCAAGCCCCAATCTCCTCTTTGCCATCTCGATCTTCTCAGTCAGTGACCATCTCTCGAAGTGTATGAACCTGCGAACTTCAGCCCTAGGATCCGAGATTTAGGTTCGAGGCACTTGCGCATACACTACCATTGTGTTTTCCCGTAACATTTCAGGCCCAAAGTACCATCCCTCGTCCCACTCGCACTCCGCTGCGCGACCATCGCATGAAGACGCGTCGAAATGAACGTGTACTTCGTAGTCCTCGGCAGAACGGTCGAAGATGCGGCGGGCGAGAGCGATGAGTTCCTGGAATGGACAATGTCAATGGTTGAAAGCATGAGTGGTGGATCGGGAAAACTCACGCCAAGTCGTTGTGCACGACCCGCAGCGACGCGGTAGGTGGATTTTGGCGTGCTGAAGTCGGCGACTAGGATCTGAGGGGCTTGCATCATTGCGGTGATGGTCCTAGCTGTTGTATTAGGTTGGATAGATGTGGCGCGGCCGTAAGAAACCCACGGAGGGTAATAATAGTAGATCGATTCAGCAGAAGCAAGAGCGGTGCTCATAACTAGTGAGTGAGAGGGGAGAAAGCGGACATGACTGGAAGAATACGCATGTGATACCTATCGAGCACGTAGTAAGAGTAAGACTCCTCTCAACTAACCCAGCTTCTCCCTGTGAGAAAAGAGACAGTCCATCACCAACCATACTCAACCCTCCCCGTTGCTCAATAAAAGGAACCACCAACTCCAGAACGCTCGTCACTAAGACAAACAGAGGAGCAAGAAAAATGAGTGTCGCTACATGCAAACCTGGCGCTATGGCATGTATGGCTCGTATGGCTGGCACGTTTCGTCGAACCACGAACCGACCCGAACTGATTCCATGCGCCTGGAAGAGCGGCTGCGACGGCGAGAATATGAGCCGTCAGCTACAGACTTGATCACGTTAGATTGTACACAATGACTCGCGATGGTCGCTTACTGGAGATGGTATCCTAACAGGACGAACCCTTTCAGGTGGGCTTTTCGCATAAGCTGAGGTAGGATCGCCGTTCGAGGTATCGTCCTGAAAAGTCTCGTATTGCCCACCCTGGGGCAACTCAGTGCTTTTAGCACTAGCAGGACGTCCGCCTCTACCTCTGTTCTCCGCTGTTCCATTAGGAGTCGATGTTGCTTCGATGGCGGGTCCAAGTGTTTCGGCAAGGGCATCCAGACGGCTCCTCATGTCCTCCACTTGAGCCTGGACAGTGTCAAGTCCTGCTCGGAGACGAACAATGGTTCCATTGCGATCTGGTTCGGAAGGCTGCGCCGTAACGGGAGTAATAGCTCCGAGATCTGGGGAAGAGCCATCACATTTAGCTAGTTGAGCTGTGGAAAATGACATTAGTCGCTTTGTGTAAAAGTGCTGCTGGATGAACTCCGCTTACTCTGTGTTGGAACCTCATGGCTGTCCACGTCTGCCACCTCAATGTCCTGATTTGTGGATGGCCTGGACTGCGAAAAGGAGAACAGGTTCCAGCACGAACTCCTGCCCTGGCGTCTGCGATCTCTCCAGGAGAAGTTAAGTCTGTGTGGCCTTGCTGCTGGAGGCTCAGCCTCATTGGCACCAGAGGAATTCCCCGCCTGAGCAGCCGCATTGGCAACAAAGACTGGATACACTAAAGGGGGTGCAGCAACAGGGGGGGCTAACGTCAAACCGAGATTATCCAAAAGCTCTCTGACGCTATTCGCTTTGCGAACCTTGTGAGATTCAGAAACGGTATCTTTCCGCTTATCTTCGTGCTCCAGGTGACCTCCGCTAATACTGGGACGAGAGCGGTCCATAATGTCGCTCCGACTTCGTTTTCTCTTTAGGGCCTTCTGCGGTGGACAGGTACAATCAGCACAGCAACCACCGCAAGGTGGTGCGCAATAGTCTCCAGGACATGGAAAGGGCCTATCACAATTACATTGGCCATACTCCGAACAGTCTGCACAGCAACAGTATGCGCATACGCAGTCTCCGCAGGAACAGGGGCAGCCGTCGTCATCATGGTAACTTGACGAAGCACTCGAGGAGGTTCCATCACTCTGTGTTGAAGTACCCGAAGAGCTTCCGTTAGTCTGCGCTGGTAAGGCATTCGACGAAACTCCGTTACTCCGCGCTGGTGGAGCACGCGAAGGGGCTGGAGTCGACTCCTCAACCAGGCCAACTACGGTGAAACAGTTGCTCGTTTTTGTGCTCGAAATCATGCCTTCCGAAGGCTCTGTGAACGGCACTCAGTCTCACTAAAATGGTACACACACCGACTGACCAACATACCTGTGGTGTCACTACGTGGACTTGCCAAGGGCCTTGGACTTTTGTACTTTTTCACAGGCTTTAACAGGCGCCTGGCAATTGACTTCACTAGCCTGGCTGCTTTGTCCCGTCTCCGCATGTGCTCCCCGATGATACCACCGCAATCGGGTTCTGGTGCATAAGAGGATGGTGTATCGGGTGGCGTAGGCAGTAGGTTCACGGCCTCGAGGAAATTGACGGACTTCTGCGTACAGCATCTGGGTTTCCTAGACGTAGAATACTCCGGAGAAGACGCCGCGTACTAGGGGGTATCGCCTATGTAACCACTGTTAGCTACCATTCACATAAACTTTTTATTACAGGCATACCTCGCCCGCTCACGTTTGCGAGCGGTGGGGCTCTTCGAAGTCTTTGGTGCATATTTGGGCAAAGCGATAGAAGATAACGCTACTGGATTGTGAAAGTAGCTAGCGATGGGCGAAATCTGTCTTCGTAGCCAGCATTAATGAAGATAGGCGAGCGAGCTGTTGGTGTGGTGATGGAGGGGTCGTTATGGCGAATAAGGATTTGCGCTGAAGTATGCCTGGCAAGAGCGATTGGAGAGGAAGGAAAGGTCGCAGGCGGCCAGCTTTTGAGGTAGGAGCCGCCGTCCAAGCATGCCGGAACCACCTCGTTGTACACACACACACACACACTCATGCTTGCCATATCTTAGGATCTTACCGGTCTACAATTCACTCTTCCCGCTCCTTTCCTCAAGCCTCTCATTACTCCAAAGTACCGGCCCTTCAACCCCATACAACGGATCCTTCTTCAGCCACTGTACCCTCCCTACAGCCTTTGATTTCCCCTCCTCCCCGGCCTTCCCATAGCACATGTCCCAATTACACCCTTCAGGATAACTTCCCACCATCATGAAACCTCCTCCGTCCCCAAAATCCTCAAGCAGCCTGTGTCCCACACCCGCAGGAACAACAACCGCATCTCCTGCTTCCACCTCGGCTTCGACCTTCCCGGGGTTTTGCTCGCCGCCAAAAAGGAGTTTTGCGCGCCCTTGGTACACGCAGAGGACTTCGTGGGTGGTGCTATGGTAATGCGTTGTGCTGTACATGGTGTAGCGCCATTGTGGGGTGAGGCCGTTGGACTGAAGGTGCGATTCTAGGGTTGAGGCGGATGTGGAGGATGGGTAGGCAGAGTGATAGATGAATAAGGGGTGGGAGTGCGGTGATGTGTTTGGGATGTTGGAGTGGCTTGGGATGAGATGGGTGGAGACGCGGAGGGAGGCGAGGGGTGTGAGGTTGAGCGATGGCATGGTCGTTGATCGCGATTGGTGTAATGTGTTTGTTGCATAGGTCGGTGGGTGTTTGATGGTAGGTTTTGGTAATGTGCTGTTGTAGTAGGACGAATGTTTGAGTTCAAGGATCCTGTGATTGCGCGAAGACGACGTCATAACTACATGAGATTATGAAGTGTTCGAACCTCGACCGTGTACGCATCAACCGTATATACTATATCCATCGATATTTGCATGCTGATGAATCTTGGGAGGTGTCCAAATGTACGCACTCGTTTCGTGCGAATATGCGTGAGGTCGTCGCGGCGAGCGGTCATGCTTTGACACCTGCAATGTCGTGACACGTGCGCGCTTGCCACCGCCAATGACGAGCCTCGCAGAAAGTAGAAAGTGACCGGCTATCTCTATGTTGGCGCGGTGACCGAGCATACTTCGATCTTTGGACTTCGAGGAACGTGGGTAAAGCTGGCGTGGAGTTGTCTTAGGCATGGTGGCTGATGGCGTCAAGGCTGCAGTAAGCCAAGACCTCGAGCTTCGGGCAATCTAGCTGGTGCCTGGCTGACCGTGATTCACAAAAGCTCGCCGCCGCCAGGCAAAGTCCTCTCACCCACCTTCTCCGCTGCTTCCTTTGCAAAGTCGACGCACCCCGCGTGACTGTAACGGCCGTGATCCGTGCGTACCAGAATACGTTGCGGCAGCCCCCGACCCTCTACATATAACGAACCGCGGCGCCGCCTCTCTCCCCGCTGCCCCAACGCAACTGCACCTTCCCCCAGTACACATCCGCAACAAACCCCTACATTCCTTGGCCACGCTCGCGTCCTTCTGCCACGCGCCCCCGTCCGACCCCGAAAATACCGCTCTTCAGGCGCAAGAAGTCGCCATCGAAAAGTGCCCCAGTGCACGCGACGCAGCAACCCGCCATGGCATCCTCTATGCCGCCCGTCCCTGCCAAGGACGATGTCCGAGCAACGTAAGTAGAATCTTCTGTTTGATTCCTTGATCTATAGTGCTGCTTACGCGGGTTCGATGCACTGCTCGCGTAGTTTGTCCGCCGTTCGAGCCCCACAGCAAGTGTGACTGCTCGTTCTGCGGGTAACTTGTAGACGGCGACTGCTGCCAGCATGGGGTGTGGTGTTTTGAGAATGACTGGCTAACGTCCTGCAGGTGGACCTATCTCGAAGCCGGTGTCGACAAGATCATGCACAGCCTGCGAGAAGGTATGGACATGAAGACGTACATGGGCTTGTACACGGCCATTCACAACTTCTGTACCGCTCAAAAGGCCGTCGCCGGCTCATCGTTCACATCCCACAATAACCGCGGCGGAGCCCATCTCCTCGGAGAAGACCTATACCAGCACTTGATCGAGTACCTGAAGATCCACCTTAAAGTGGTGCAAGACAAGTCGCACGAACACACCGATGAAGCTCTCCTCTCATTCTACATCAAGGAATGGGTACGCTACACGACCGCCGCGCAGTACAACAACCACTTGTTCAGGTACCTGAATCGTCATTGGGTGAAGCGCGAGATGGACGAGGGGAAGAAGAACATCTACGATATCTACACGTTGCATCTGGTTCGGTGGAAAGATGATATGTTCACCGGCACACAAGAACAGGTCATGCGTTCAGTGTTGAAGCTAGTCGAGAAGCAGCGGAATGGCGAGACAATCGACCAGATGCAGGTCAAGCGTGTTGTCGATTCTTTCGTGTCCCTGGGTCTGGACGAGCAGGACAGCTCCAAGTCGACGCTTGACGTTTATAAGGAGTATTTCGAGAAGCCATTCCTTGTATCGACGGCAGAGTATTACGACAACGAGTCTAAGCAGTTTCTGGCGGAGAACAGCGTGGTTGAATACATGAAGAAGGCCGAGATTCGCCTAGAAGAGGAGAAGAACCGTGTCAGCATGTATTTGCTTCAGGAGATTATGTCTCCCTTAATGCGCACATGCGAGGAGTCTCTCATCACGAAGCACTCACAGGCCCTACGAGAAGAATTCCAGATCTTGCTCGACCACGATAAGCAGGAAGATCTCGGCCGTATGTACAACCTGCTTGCCCGGATTCCAGAAGGCCTGGATCCGTTGCGTACGCGCTTCGAGACCCACGTCCGGAAGGCTGGTCTATCGGCTGTAGAGAAGGTTTCTGTGGAGGGCGACACTATTGAACCTAAGGTATATGTTGACGCGCTTCTTGAAGTCCACACGCAGTACCAGGACCTTGTGAACCGTGCTTTCAACGGCGAGTCAGAATTCGTCCGATCTCTGGACAATGCCTGCCGCGAGTTTGTCAACCGCAACAAAATCTGCAAATCTGGTTCCAACAAGTCCCCTGAACTTCTCGCCAAGTACACCGATACTTTGCTGAAGAAGTCGAGCGCGAAGATGACTGAAGAAGACAACATGGAGGCGCTCCTATCCCAGGTCATGACTGTCTTCAAGTATATTGAGGACAAGGACGTGTTCCAGAAGTTTTACTCGCGCATGTTGGCGAAGCGGTTAGTGCAGAGCACTTCCGCTTCGGACGATGCAGAGACCACCATGATCTCGAAATTGAAGGAGGCTTGTGGTTTTGAATATACCAACAAACTGCAGCGCATGTTCCAGGACATGCAGATTTCCAAGGATCTGAACAGCACATACGCTGACTGGTTAGATCAAACGTTTGAGTCTACGGAGCGTAAGGCTTTCGTTGACGCCAGCTACAACATTCTTGGAACTGGTTTCTGGCCACTGAGCCCGCCTACCACAACTTTCACACCGCCTCAGCTCATCGTTCAGACATATGAACGTTTCACTCGATTCTATAACAACAAGCACCAGGGCCGTAAGCTGTCATGGCTATGGCATCTGTCGAAGGGCGAGATGAAGGCCAACTACTGCAAGGTCGCTGGCGGAAAGATGACTCCAACCTTCCAGGTCTCGACGTACCAGATGGCCATCCTACTGCCCTTCAACGACCAGGACACGGTGACATATGACGAGATCGCAGAACTCACCAAGCTCGACAAGCCGACATTAGACCCTAGCATCGGTGTTTTCATCAAGGCGAAGGTCCTCACTGCTGAGCCGGAGGGCGCCAAGCCGGAGTCGGGTACCACGTACAAGCTGAATCTTGGCTTCAAGACGAAGAAGCCGAAGATCAACTTCAACATTGCAATCAAGGGCGAACAGAAGCAGGAGGCTGAAGATACGCACAAGACGATCGAGGAGGACCGTAAGCTACTCATGCAGGTATGTATAGTCATTCCGTTAGATCCTTTATACGTTGCTAATTCTATTAGTCGGCCATTGTGCGTATCATGAAGTCTCGCAAGAAGATGAAGCACCAGCAGCTCGTCTCCGAGACAATCCAGCAGATTAAGAACCGCTTCATGCCCCGCGTCCCGGATATCAAAAAGTGCATCGACATCCTGCTCGAGAAGGAGTATCTGGAGCGTTTGGAGGGCGACGAGCTTGGCTACCTTGCGTAGCCGTTCCGCAATCGTTTGTTCTTGTCTAATGAGTTACGGTTTCTTAAGTTCAAAGTTCAAAGCAAAGACTTTGGCAGTACCCTCGCGCGAAATGGTCTGCTCTACTTGGCGTTTCACGGGCACATAGTGTATATCGGGCATCGGATGGGCGCTAGATGAGCTACGGCTTTCGCATGTGACCTTTTGAGCCCAGAAGGGGTTCCATAGATCGGAAAAGGGATGTGTGGCGGTCCCGTCATGAGTGGTGATGCGAATTAGCTAGGCTACCATGGAGTAGAGATAAGACTCCTATTCATCCTGATATTGTACGTCACTTGCCTCGTCTATGCTATGTTCACTTTGCCAGCGATTCTCGAATACTCAAAGTAGGTGCCTCTTCAGACAAAGACAACATCACCTAGTGAGGGTACGAACGGCGACGGCACCAATAGAGAACATAACATGGGGAGAAAGTGAGTGGGCACTGGGTGGCACTTTTTCATTCTTCACGCCAGCAGCCTTCCTCCAGCGAGAACAGTATTCACCTCTAATCGCTCTTTGCGCGCCAGTCGACGTCTTCACGCTATCATCCATAAGATCACAGGACACGATGTAAGAAATAAGGGTTCTGGCCCCTGAAATCAATTCCGAGTCTATAAAAGTATAATCCACAAGAAGTATCTACAATCAACCACGACGAGCCTCATATCACACAGATCGAAATCACCCTTTAGCTGCAGGCAGGTGCTCCATCACAGCGACTGGGAGTATCTCCATCACCACCCCACGCCTGTCCAGCGCTCAAGCAGTTGGTCGGTCGGATTTGCTCAGACGCAGTGACGGTGGCCGTGCAAGCGTTAGAGCCGGGGGCTTGCGCGGAGGTAGGAGTAGCAGTGACGATCGGGGCAGCCTCGTAGCTCGTGACAGGAGCTGGGGAAGGAGATGCGGAGACGACAGGAGATTCGACAGCCGACGTGGCATTCTGCATGGGGGCAGATGTGGGGAGTACGATGGGGGTGACGGAATTCGCGTTGGAGGGTACTGGGATTTCTGTGGCATTGACTGGGGCGGCGGAGGAGGAGGCATTTACTTGCGTAGCCTGGGGAGCGTCAGCAGAGGAACTGACGGGCTCAGCCGAAGCAGCGGGGGCGGGTACTGACGAGCCATCGCCCTTAGCGACGCCAACAAAGGCGTTGAGGTTGACTGGGCTGCAGTTGTCGGAGATCTCAAGGGTGCCGGTGCCGCTGAAGACATCGGCGCCGTCACGGGCAAGGGCGAAGGTCTGCTTGCCGGTGCCCATGTCGACCTGGTAGGCGGAGGCACCAGCGGGGGCGTCGAAGGTCTGCGTGTTTCCGCCGGAGGTGACGGTCACTTTGCCTGCGCTTGCGAGAAGAGCAACGACGAAGACGGAGTCTTGGAGCGTATCGATGCCGTCGAATGCACCGCAAGCGGCCTTGGGGCTGGGGCGGTACCAGTACACAAGCTTGTCTTCTGTGACGCTGACCTCCTTTGACCCAGCCTTGTACGCAGCGATGTACGGCTGAGCCATCTCGAGCCAGCCGTCGTGCGGGAAGCCGTTGGCCCAAGCACTTGAGCCATCATCATTGTGCTTGCTGGTCTCCGCATCAGACCCAATGTAGTGGCTCTCACCATAATCGTTCCAGGTAATGATCTCAATCATCTGGGGCGCAAGCGCGAGGATCTCATTCCAACGCCTGAACCAGAGGAGGTCACCAGGAAAGACCCACGCCTTCGACGCAAAGTTGGTGAAGAACCACGGGGATACGGGCGCCATGTATGTCTTTCCACCGAGCCACTCCGTGTACTTGGAGTCGAAGTCGGAGGTGGTGACGTTGGCATCGGCCGTGGGAGCGCGGTTTGCACCGTTAGAGTCCCAGCCGATCCAGTTGAAGGAGCCGTCGATGTCGTCGACGGCAGTAGCATCCCTGATACCCGTAGGCGAGAGGTTAGGTACAAGATACAGGTCGGTGCCGGCAGCCGCGCGGATCGTCTTCGCATTGAAGAGCTTGGTAGCATCTGTATCGCCGTTGAAGCTCGAAGCGAAGCACTTGCCGTCGACCTGGAGCTGGCCAGGCTTCGAGCAGTACTCCTTGAGCTTTGCACCGACGGCATCGTTCTCGCCCGTCTCGAAGTAGTTGTAGTCGAAGGAGATGAAGACCTTCATGTCGTTGTTTGCAGCGCTCTCGTAGGCGTAGCCGAGTTGGGCGTCAGTGTAGTCATCTTTGGCGATGTTCAGAGCAAAAGCGTCGATGCCAGCGGCCTTAGCCTTCTTCATGTCCTCGTCGTAGTCGGCAGCGCTTTCGCGGACCTGCATGATACCAATCATGAAGTGCGCGGCGACGATCTTTCCAGCATCCTGTCTCTTAACAGTTGAGGTCTTGAATGGCGCCGCATTCGCCGCGGCAGCGAGCAGCCCCAGGGCCACCGAAGTAGTAGTCGCGCGCATGTTGCAAGCAAAACGAGTGAGTAGAATGAGTGACTGGACGAAACAGAAGATAGGGAAACTATCGAAGTTGTAAATAAGTGACGAACGAAGCGAAGTGGATATTCGCTTTACAACGTACGATCTCTAACCTGTTATATACAAAGCCCAGCTTCAACCCCGTCAGCGAAGCCCGGAATGATAAGTGTACTCCTCCCTGGGCTGGACCCCACACGTCAAGAGGCTGCGCCTCCCCAACGTTGCGAGCGCCATCTCAAAAACAAGAGCGATCATGCCAAAGGGAGGCTATTGGTCCGTAGTTCCGTTTCAGGCCCGGCTTGTAATGCATTCTGCGGGAAAACGGACTTGGGGGCAGGGGTGTCTAACCGTCGGAGATTGGTGTTCACGTATTTGGCCCTGTGGAGGATCATTAAGAAAGTACGCTAAACCGGGAAAGGTGAAGTGCGAGGATCACAGTACGGAACCAGCCAAAGGCTTGAATTGAGCGGGTGAGATTCTTAAGTTGCACGGAGAGTTGCCGGGTCTCGGAGAGGGCAACGGCAGATACATCATCATATATTTGCTGGCGTGGAGTTGTGCTGAGTCCTTGCTCGGTGTCGCAGAGTTGCGGTAGGACGCAGCACTGCCCAACAGAGTCGCAGACTGAAGACTGAATTAATGTCCGGAGATATCGTTCGACCCAAGTGAATTGATCGACGCTCAGAGCCACTTTTACATTTGTTCCCGAAATAGCTCTTGGACAACTCTCCGCGGGCGTTAACCGTTGAGTGCACGACATTCAAGTACTCCACGAATGTCTCGTGTATCCGGCGGTAACTTGATGCATGTTACGCCTAGAGCCTCTAAGCTTCAATTCGCCGGTAGAGTGACGTTTCGAGAAAGTCATTGGTTGGGACAGACGACGAGAAATACTCAATAATTCGTTGTGATGGACAAGTTGCTTTACGTCATGTACCTGCCCTTCTATAATCGGCGGAATTTCCGTTCAACACTAGGAAAGCATCTGCCATTCAGTATGAACACGCAAAACCCTTTTACGTGAAACAAGCGGCCAAGATCGCTAATAGACGAACGAATCATGCTCGAGGATGTATAGCCCCAAACAGTACCCTGGTAGCAAGGCATCCCATATACGAGTATACACAAAGACTCCGTTGCGTTCGTATACTCGGGGATAGAAAGACCCCCAAGTAACGTCTTTCCATATCGGGCGCACCACGAGCGCTCATGATAATCTGCTCACATGTGATGAGTAAAGCCGAAGACCCGGTTTCGGAAATCGAGCTCCGGCATTCGTGACGACGCAGTCCCTCTTCAGCATCCGATCTGCTCAAGCTTCTGGTGTCGGCCTCCACTCGCAATGCCACCAGATATCCCTCGCATCTATAGCTTCGCCTTCGGTCCAAACGTCTTCACCACAGCTTCAACTCCCTTACCCGCAACGTCCTCATCTTGCGGCGGTGTACCGGTACTGCACCCAACTGCACCCACTACAACCCCATCCTGCACTACTGGCACACCTCCCGCAATAGTCATGAACCTCCCTCCATTGCTATTGTTGATACCAAATGCTGGTCCACCAGGCCACACGTTGTCCTTGTAGATGCTCGTCGGCGCGCGGTGCCCCGCAGCCGTGAAAGCTTTGTTGATAGCGATGTCGACAGAAGTGAGCTTTGCACCGTCCATGCGGGCGAAAGCAAGGAGATGTAGTGATGAATCGACGACGGCGATATTCATAGGTACGCCAATCTCTTGAGCGCGCTTTTCGGCGGCGGCAACGGCGGTGCGGGCGCCCTGGAGGGTGAGAACGGGCATGGACTTAGTAGACATTGTTGACTTGGTGAGGGTGTCTTCAATTGGGTATGTGTGAACAACAGAGAAGGGTTACTGCATGGGAATGCGACATGCGCTGAGAAATGGTCGAGAGCTTCATGACGCAGCGGATATTGAAGGAGGGTATCGGGAGCCCTCCCGACCTCGGTCGGAGAGATGCATGGCGGGGGTTAGTAAGCGAGCTTCTCCACTCTGGGAACGTCGGACGACATTGCCCTTCATATATCCAATGCAGAATGGGAACCTAAAATGCTTAAGATGCTAATGACTTCCAGCATTTCGAGTGCTCTTTCTATACTCATAAGATCGGGTTCGGTGCCAGATCGAACAGTCACCATAGCATCCGTTTCGCAACAAACGTAGTACGGACGCCCTGCGATAGGCTATGTAAGAGATAATATGTGCGTCTCTCAACGGATGTGGCGCACGAACCCGTGTTGGAACTTCCCATTAGACTCCATGTTTATTGAATGTTATTTCTCGGACCATGCCATAACAGAAACGCGAGTTCTCCTCGCATGCCATATGCGGTGTGCCGGGTATCTTCCAGTAGACATCTTCCGCGCGTCATTAGGAAAGCCCACTGATCAATCTATTGATCGCGACTTCAGACACACATCCATCCAACGCGCTCTGCCCTCGAGCGCCTACATCCCCACCATCATCGGGAAGCGAAGGCACCACCTCCGCTCCCATCGGTATAAACACCACAGCTAAACTCTTCTCCCCTGTCGCAGACGGCTGATTCCGCTCGAACACCTTCCCAAATCTACAATTTCTACCCTTAATTTCCATGTACCCGGTCACCCCGTGCCTAAGCTGCCCATGCAATACCATTCTGAACTAATTTACGTCTGATAGTTAGAAAAAGACGGTGTAGCATTTTCCATGATGCAGTGCGGATGCTAGCGGGAAATAGAGCGCCGGTGTTTAGGTATCGGTTCGATCATTTGGCGTCTAAGACGGGTCAAGAGGAGGTTAGGGAGGGAATTTACACTGGCGTGAAGCAGGAGTATGTTTTCTCCAACTTAGTTCCAGATCACACGTGGAGTAGGAACAGGGTGTTTCAGATGAATGCGCTTTGGGCTACGCTCGCACATGATTTGGTCCCTTATGGGGCGACAGACGGTATGTTGCTTCCGCTTGGTCAGGGATAAAGGCTGACTGCGATGCAAATTTGAGATTGGCTGAGTGGCCGATGTATGGAGAGGACGAGAGAAGTGTCGTCTTGAATGGGTATAGTTCGTGCATCGAACGGGACACGTATTGAGCGGAAGCTGTTCTGTGTATCGTTGATAGTGTCTTGCCGTACGGTGCATCGTGGAAAGGTGCATTCCAGATGTGGTACATATCAAGGTCGCATCGGACACGGACTAATAGTTTAGTAGAGGGTTGGTGCGTATACGACGCTGCTCCCTTTTCTCCTTAGGCCATACTAGGTTTACAGGGCATCTCCTCCACTAAGGGAACACTCTCGACCCCCCGATGTATCGATGCCCTGACGCTCACTGCTCTTGCGTCCACCAACTGGACTGACGCGCAGGTAGAGGCACATAGCGAGGCGCCCCCTAAGCTCCACGGCCATGGCTCCTTCCATTTTCCGCTCCACGATCCCGCCTCCTATCTCTACCTCGACTCTGCGGTCCACCTCTACCCCTCGGATTGTCATTGCCTCTATCCCTTCCCCTTTCCTTATAATAGTTGGCTTGCCCATGACCTTCTCGATCATCGTTTTCGTAGGTTATCCGCTCAGCCAAGCTGGGTTTCTGGCCGCCACTTCGTCCGCTATTAATGCCGCGATTGCTGCCGCGACCACGACCTCTAGCACGAGTGGCGCTGCTTCGGATTCGCAATTCAGGCTCTTCAGACCAAGTCGGACTACGCAGCGAGCGTGGGATATTCTCGACAGTAGTTGATCCCTTGGAATAGGAGCGTATACTTCTATCCATGGCAGTCGAGACCTGCGCGATGTCAGCACTGCTTATCAACCGCGATGGAAGCAAACAAATGAAATGTCTCCTTACCGGAGAGCATATCGCAAAGCAACGAACGATAAGTAATCCAAAATCGAGACACACTCGCATCAACGCACTCTTCGTGGTTCCCAATCTCTTTCTCTATCCCTTTCCCTATCCCTTTCCCTATCCCTTTCACTATCCCTTATTCTGTCCCTCTCCCTCTCCTTCTCCCTCTCGCGCTCACGCTCCCTATCACGGAGGGGCTCACGTGGGCGATCTCTATCCGACGGACGGTCTCGAGCTTCAGGCTCGTTGGGTACTTCGACCTCGTACTCTTCTTCTTCGACAACCCAATACTTATCGACCGCTTTCTTCTCCTCTTGCGCCCGCTTCGCGTCGAGCATAAACCGCACGGTGCCGCTCTGCCCACGGATTCCGATTGCGCTTTTCGGCGGCTGGGCTGTACCTGGTGAGATGGTGCCGGGAGTAGCAGGCGTAAGGGGGGGGGGGGAGGGGCGATGTGGGACCGATGCCGTTGCGGGCCTTTGTTCCGTTGGTAGCCTTGGTGTCGGATGCGGTTGCTTCAGAAGCGTAAGTAGCGTAGCGCGGGATGTTTGCTGCAGAAGCTTCATCGTTGAGCGTTATGCGTATGTTGATGAAGGTCTCGAGGGAGTAGTAGGGGCCGAGCGCGGTGTTGACTCGGTGGTGTGTGTATAGGTCTAAGAGATCAAGTAACGTTTCTGAACGCCCGTCAGTAAGGAGATTAGAGTCCAGGGCAAACAGGGTTCTGTAGTACTTACCCATGATCTCAGCTCTGGTTGTATTCCACTTGTTGTATTGGCATATTCCCCCCATCTACGATCTCGCTGGTGTCCTTCTCATGCAGCCGGGCAGCCAGCTCCACACATGCAATCGCCATAGTCGGCGTCGTCTGCTTGAGTGGTGCAAAGGTTCTGTACATATCGAGGCTCACGTTCCACATGGTCGTCGCCTCACGTTCTGGATGGAAACGAAGTGCTCGTGCTAGCTTGACCATGACTTTTTGTGGGTACCGATTCCGGAAGTCGAAGCCGGCACTCTCAAGCATGAGTCGCTCGAGACCCAGGATGAGCTTGGAATGGTTTTCGAACCGCTGCAAGCCAGATTGTTAGCTTTGTTGCCATGTATGATTCCAAGAGGGGGGCGCGCGTACCGGATCATCACTGCTTAGTTGCTCTCCAACCCCAACCTTGCTATTATAGTAAGCCGCAAGCACTTCTCTACTTTTCTTCAGCGTGTCCTCAATCTTGCAAGCTGTGAACAGCGCCGCAGCCGCAGCGCCCTCCCAGCTATACTCGTTCTCCGCATGCAATAAGCGGAACTTGTGGTAGTATATCACCGCTGTGTTGAAGGTGCGCACGGGCAGCTGTAATGCCCGCCGTACTTGATCGATGTATGCGACACCTTGTAATCGTACGGCGTCTTCTTTTGCATCCGACATGGCGAGGTCTACGAGACATCTCTGAATCGCGGATTGTAGAACATAGGGTTTTGCAAGTTCAATATACGATGGATGTGGGCCGACGCGAGAGGAAGTCGCTGGCGTGCGATCTCGCGAATCGTTCGTCGGCGAGGCGGTGGGCGCCATGGCGGGTTGACGCGTGGTTCAATCGTAGAAGCGCTGGGCATGAAGCACGTTACGGGCGGTCGCTACGGATTGCGAAGAGCTATTGACGCTAAGCACCTGTCGCGCGGCTCTCCCCACAAGACGAATGGCTCAGCCTTTAATGTTCGTTGGTGAGGGTACAAGAAGAGCAACGTGGAAGTGCGATGCTCTCAAGAAGTCAGGTCCAAAAGTTTGATGGTCAAAGCTTCCGTGCAGTAGCGTGAATCCACCAACGCATTGCGGCGTGACAGGGTGCGGCACATGTCAAAGATCAGCTCGTAGCTGAAAGAGGAGCCTTGCTTGTTCACTTCATTCCTCTGCCATTAACTACTCTGACCACTTTTTGAGTCGCTATATACAATCATGCCATTCCCGTGGGTGACACTATTACCGCCTCCTCACGCCTCCCTCGTAGCTGGCTTGTAACACCAACGTAGTTGGGTCGCTTCTTTGAGAAGCGCCATTTCTCCCATCATAAAAGTCTAGTAGATCGAAAGAGGCACGCTCACCCGGCGACCCCATTTTTCATATGTCAAGAAAGGAATAAGGAACTCCAGGTTAATGAGAACGCCAAGTTTGCTCGAACGCGAGTCATGAAATGGAGGGGTATGGATGTTTATGCGTCCCGCTCCTTGAAGGTGAGAAGGCAGTCGTCCTATCTTCGTTAGTCAAATCATTCGCATGTTAATAAATTGACAGGCAGACTAACCATCGGGAAAATCGTGGCGAACACCTTAATCTCCTCGCTCTTGTCCGTGACTTGGTGGTTCCAGTCTAGCATCATACTGGCCTTGCCAATCATGAGCATCAGGTTAGCCTGTGCATAGACCTGGCCCAGGCAGTAGTGAGGACCCGTTCCGAACACCAGCCAGTTCTTGACCTGTTTGTCTGCATCACCGGAGATCCATCGTTCCGGAATGAAAGATTCTGGGTCTTGGTACGCTTCGGGGTCGTGGAGAGCCATGTAGGTCGTAGGGATCACCATCGAGCCCTTGGGAGCGGTGTACTCAGGTGTGATGGGGAAATCCTTCTTTGCGACGTAGGGCACCATGATGACGGGAGGGCGGTAGCGCAGAGTCTCCTTAACAACGGCACGTGTCCACGGGAGCTTCTCGAGGTTATCCAGACTGATTGGAGCATGGATGTCGCCGTTACGAGCAGCAATGTTCTCCTCGCGCACCTTCTCAAGAAACTCAGGTCGGTCAGCCATGATCTGAAACAACCAGGTGTTGGCTGAAGAAGTGGCATCCTGGGAAGCGAAAAGGAACGTAAACAGCGTCATGGATATCTCGAAGTCGGTGAATTCACGGATCAACATCGAGGGCTTCTCGGTATCAGGGACTTTCTCCCCAGCGGCGATCCTCTGGCGGTACTTCTCCGACTCGATCATGGCCGACACCCAGAAATCAAGAATGCACTTGTTGTCGCCTCCAGCAGCAAGGCGAACTTTAGCTTTGGCGGCGCATCGAGAGAACTCTTCTAGAACCATGTCCGCGGACTTCTTGCCATACCAGCTCTTCGTGAACGGAAGGATGATAGGGAAGTTGACTAGCTCAAGCGCGGCCGTGATCAAGTAATAGTCGTCCGCAATTTTCTTGATCGCTTCTTCAGTAATGTATTGGCCGACAAAGGTGCGGCAGCTGAGGGCGCACTGCAGTTCACGGAACTCGCCCATGAACGGCACATGCTTGCCGTTGTTGTCCTTGCTGATCTGTACGAACTTCTTGAAGTACTCGTTGTAGATTTGCTCCTGGATAGGAAGGTATTGCTCGAGCGCGTGGCGAGTGAAGAGACCGTTTAGACCTTTCCGGTAATCGACGTGAGCTTTGCCATCGAGGAAGACCCAATTCTGAGGTCGTAGGAGCTTGTACGCGGCATCGACGACACAGGGCTTGACAAACGTAGGCGAGTTGAAGATTTTACGGGCCATATCACGCGTGGAGGCGATAACGACGAACCTGCGAATTGTCAGTACACGAAAAAAGACTTAGGCGCATCGCTGATTCGAGCGCAGGAAGGAGGCGGGCGTACTTGTGGAAGACGGAAACACAGCTCAAAGGACCAGACTCCCATTTTGCGTGGTACGCGTTGAAATCTGGGTTGACAGACTCTAGGAACGGTCCGATAAATGGTGCCTTCCACATGGGCCCGACAATTGAGCCCTTGTTCCAGACGTACTTGACTACCAACGATTAGCAAGACCCGACCTCGTAGCCGTCCTCAAACATACACTGATCGTATGCGATCGCAAGCACAAGGATGGTCAGAACGAGCCTCCATCCGCTAAGGTTGTTCATCAACATCGAAACCAGGCCGTTGGCATCGAACGAAGCCGCCATGTGGGCGACCTTTGCGTCGGCCGTAGGCGAAACGAAGCTCGCATTGATAGCCATCTTGGAGTCACCGAGAATGAGGGTCGTGCCAGATGGCAAAGGAGAGCAAAAGGAAGGGTAGCGACAGCTCAAGGGGTCCGGCGCGCAAAATATACTGGCGCCCGTTGGAAGAAGTTGAGGGGGGCAATTGCCAATCAAACTCGGGTGGACAGTGCGTCGTTCTTTCCTCTTCAAGCTTAGACTCCGAAGCGGAAAGCATCACCCCCCGGCCCCGGACGCAGGTGGTGCCATGCGTGTGCCACCACGCACAACGACGGATCACGCATTCCCGAGCCTTCTACAGCGGCTATGTGAATTGATGCGGATTGGTGGACTGACTGTGGTGTAAGCCTTTCTTCGAATGCAATCCTCCAGTCGTATCTGACGAACGGGTCGCGCAGACTTGTAAATGACTCCATCTACTTCATGTTGCGGGTAGATGTGATACCTAAGTAGTGAGCTATTATCACATAACCGCAAAGCAGAAAACTCTCCACTATATCGTGTGTCGAGTCATGGTGTACTGAAGTGAGGCTGATGGTGAATAAGGTCCGTACCTAGGCTTTAACGTTAATCCGGGTGCAGCCGGAAGTCGCGTAAGGCGACGTTGGATGGGCCAGACGAATTGTCAAAATGATTGTGTATTGTTCGCGAAGGAAGTTTTTGTAAGCATGCTACTTGCAAGAATACCTCAGCTATGCCTGAAAACGCTCCATGATGCCGGGGTATACCAAATGCTCATGCCCATACCGTTGCGCCGAAAATGCGTACACAATCGTCATTTCCTTCACCTAAACCCATTGGATTTCACAGCCACTGATCATCATCATCAGCTACGTCCAAATCCACCTCCACCTTCACATCCATCTGGCCGTCAGAGACTTCATCATCTGTATCTTGATGCAGAACCACGGGTTCATCGGACTCAATGGACTGCTGTACGACCGTAGCATCCTTGGGAACCCACGATAGATCACCAACGCTGACATTAGGAATGCGGAAAGCTTCGTTCAAGAACTGCTGCATGTCAGTAAAGTGTATGGATAATGATGGATGTGTCTCATACAATCTCCGCTTGGAAGCGTTGCTCGAAGCCTACCACGAGGGTGTTGGCGCGCTCGCCGTATGGATAGACGCCCGTGCAGCCCATCGCATTAAGAAGCTGCCGCTTCAACATTTTCTCCTTCTCTGAGCCAGCTTCGACACCGGCAATCGCGAGGGAGCGCGGTCGGTTGTCAAGTCGAACCACGCCACCGCGCCCTCCACGAGCCTTTCCACGGCCTCGGAAGCCACCTCGAAATGAGCCACGGCCATTAGTAAAGCCTCCACGAGGATTCATCGGTGCGTCGAGTGGCCCAGCGTTTGCGAATAAGCCCGCAGCTTCGGCTTGTAAATCCTCCAAATCGCCTGAGGGTACTCGCTGTTCCTTTGTAATAATGGCCTCTAGACCTTTGGCCCTCGCTTTCTCTATCAGCGTAGAACGGAGCTCGGTCAACTGGTCCTCTTTGGCCTCGAGCTGCGCGCTGAGCAAGCTGGACCGAGCTGTTGCCTCCTCGGTCTTCTGGCGCCTCTGCTCGAACTCTTTCTGAAGCTGTGCCTGCTGCTTGCTGAACTCTTCCATATCTATCATGTCCTCGTCTTCGTTGTAGATTGCGGGCATTCCATCTTGAGCCGAGGTCCGCTTCAAGACGCCATTCGTGCCGACCCTCTGCTGTTGAACTTCAGGTTTGTACCAGTAAACCTTTACGAATCTATTATCGAATATGGCTTTCGGACTGTCGTAGGCACGCTGCGCAACAGGATGGTCGCTGAACTTGACGATAGCGAGGCGGCTGTCGGTACGCATTTGCACATCGACAATTGCACCGAACTGGGAGAAGAAGTCGCGCACATGCTGTTCGGTGAGATGGTCTTCGGGGATCTGTCCAACAACCAATGTGTCTTCCGAGCCTCGTGAGGGTCCGGATTGCGAGAACGCAGCTCTACCAAGTTCGCGACGTTGGTGCCCGGAACGATCGCCGTTGTTAGCATTGCTCGTTCGATGACCATTGGAATGCGGCAGCATCGCAAGTGATGCGTTATTCGGGTCATATTCCGCATCCGCAGGAACGATCACTGCCTTGCCATGATTGTAAGGGCATAATGTTCCCATGTGGCAGATTCCTTTCGTTTCGTAGTCCACGCATTTAATTGTGGCAGCCGCGGGATTGATGTGTGGAAGAATTGGAGTTTGTGCGCCCAATGCTTGCCCTGAATAGCTCATGCTCATCATCGCAGAGAGGTCGGCCAGAAAATTAAATGGATTGAACGAGTCAGAGTCAAACGGAGGTAGCGCGGGCGGCTGTTGCCCTGCAAACGAGCCCGGTGTGAACGGTGTAACGTTCGATAGAAGTCCAGCCCTTGCTACCGTGGGATCCGCACGCTGTCCGTTTCTACCGGCATGTCCTCCACCTCTTCGCGCCAGTTGCTTGAGTGGCCGTTCGCTCGCAGAGCTGTCCGCAACATTCTCGCCGCCGGTATCTCGCTCTTGGAGTTTTCGCTTCCTCGATTGTGCTTGGAAACCATTCTGAACCTTCTTCAAATTGCGGTCGGCGCGCGGGCCTGTGGGTATGGAAGCATCATGGCTCAGCGGCGCAGTTGGTATGGCTTGGCCTCTAGGGACGAAAACGGGCGCATCAGGTACGAGCGTGGACAGTGAGGGGCGCGTTATAGAGCTGGAGGTTGCGGTCGCGGCTTTGGGAGCTGTCGGAGGTGTAGACGTCGGCTGCGCAGGTCGCGGCGCTTCCCTTGCTTTGCGTTTCGCTGCTAGCTTCTTCCTCTCTTTCTTCTCCGTGGCTGCCGGTCTGGTCCAAATCTTCTGCTCAATCGCGGTAGCTATTTCATCGACAAACGTTTCGGTATCTGCCTGCGTCAGCACGTTTCAGCCGCTCGCACTCACGACCAGATGCTACCCACGATCTTCGAGGAAGTCCGAAAGCTGCTCAACACTGGCGCGCTTAATATCTGCCGGTGAGCCCTCTCCTGCAAACAGCTCTGCGACGTAATCCGCCAGAACTTCAGGTTCTGCTTCTGTCCTATCTCTATTAGCTTGCAGTTGCGGAGGTGTAGAAGCTCCGCGGTTGACTTACCGGTTGGCGAGCTTTGGTAGCAGCCATTGCTTGAAAGCAAACTTGTCGTGTTCCAGAAGCTGCATCGCTGCTCCACCTCACTGTCGACTTTTCAGTCGAACGCAAAGTGGAATAGCGACGCGTGTAGAGCGCGTCAAAGGCTCATATAGAAGCTGTTGGCTTGGTGAACCTCTTACGGGTAAGCGAAAGTCGGATTTAGCGCACGGCCCAACCTCACTAAGACTAGCCTTAATAGCAAGTATTCCTACCACAATGCAACTTCACCTTTAAGAATAATCTAGAAATAGAGGTTGAGATATCCCTTTAGAGTTCTAAACTTATTAACAATTTTTCAGAAGCAAAGTCTACAAGAGAATAGGACTTCTGCGATTTTTGGTAGTTTGCTAAGGGAATCTCCAGGTTTGTCTTAACCCCGCCTTCGCCGACCCCACCTCTCTTACCCTTCCATACAGCAAACACAGCGGAGATAAGTGAGCGAAACAATAGCCAATCGAAGATGCTGCAACACATTTGTCCATCCGAGGCTAGAAAAGATATCGCGAAGACACCTGCGTCGCATGCTTGTGCGATATGAACATGGATTCCCACAATAGTGAAGTGACAAGGAATTCAATAAGATCGCATTGCAAACAATCAGAGCCACATTGCTGACCCCTTTGGACCAGTTTATGAGAGACGCGGCTCCAGGCTCGCGCCAGCGTGTTAGCGTATACCTGTACCTTAGCTCTCCACAGAGCTATCTAGAGTAGTTCGAATGGCTATGGTTGGGAAATGCGATTTCCCTCAGTCAAGTATGGTACTCAACCACCCTGGGTCTCTCGGTACACATAAAAACCTTTACAAACAAAGGTTTACGGTTTCTTATCAAACCAGAAATTACCGTCCCTCATCAGAAAATTTAGTATCCTGTGTTATCCCCTGAACTTTACAGTACTTCGACTTTTGATGTAGGCTGTACGACAGCAAACCGAAGCAACAGCACCGACATCAACACGAAGCCAACGCTGATCAAGCACGGATTACCGTCGAATCTACTCAAGGGCTTGAATTTTGAGTCCATCCAGGCTAGGTTATACAGACGTTAGGTAATTCACCACCATGGGTGTTTCCAACCAGCAACTGGAGACTGCTTTCAATACCGGGCGCGTCGATGCCCGCGACCACACCTACACTCAGCACGCTGCAAATGCCTCTCAGTCCATCCATGCTAAACTGATCAAGCGCATGCGTGCCGCTCCTCGAAGCCTAGAAATTCGCATTTTGACTAGCGTACTCCAGAATACCTCCTTCGAAGCCGAATATCTAGGCTCTCGCACCGTTCCAGTGGTGCTCTACCCTACCGACGAGCATAGAGACCTTCGAGTCACCCCGGAATCCAGCAGGTCGATGTCTTATATTCGCAAGAGGATCTTCCAGAGCTTGAAGAACATGACGAGAAGACTGCCACAAGTCAAGTCTGAAACCCCCGTGAGATCCTCGGAGGAAGGCGACGAGACTGTTGCCGAAGACAACGTCCCTGTGGATGTTGATGATGCGACTGCCGAGGAGTACCACAGGTACGCTTTCGACCTAGGATCTAAGGCTGAGAATCTGGCAGAGTTTGAGAGACTGTTGTGAGAAGTGACTGCAGATGATGTTTCATGCGACTACTCCAAGTAATAACGGTGTTTATGCTTGAAAGGATGGAGAGGCGCGGAGGGTGAAGAGCCGGGGATGTGTAAGGAGTTGGGCGGGAGGTCTGCGCCGTTGTGATACGCTGACGATTGAACGATGGTTTTGAAAATGTGCGGTCCTGATATAGCAAGACAATGTCCGCCGAAGCTTCAAGGAAGCAAAGGCTCTAGCTGTAGATATACGCGAAGTTGAGCAAGGCTCTTCACAAGTTTGCATACAGCTTTTTCATGTATATCGTCTCTGAAATGTTGATCATAGGCCTGAACCTAATGTATGGTGGAAGGTCGTATATGTACTGTGCCCAGGTGATGTCCTCAAGCTCCACAAGGTGTGGGAACTGCTCTGCCTACGACAACGTGCAGATGCGATGTCATACTCAGAGGAATAATGTTCCAGAGTGTTCCATAGAGTTTGTATTGTCTCGGGAAAATGTAGACTTTTGCGGAGGTGGAGTCGGCAAGGGTACAAGCTAGTGAAGTTGGGGTCGTGTTCCCGTGCCACAACTCTTTCTGGGAGCTACACCCAAGCTCTAGGAGGGCGCAATGGAGCTCCTACAGACTGCAGAATTTGGCAAGATGGGCATCCCTCCCACTGCAATGCAATTGATGACTTTCGATAGCATTTGACGCGCATTCAAAGGTATCGATTGTTCCCCTGGTGATTCCGAGGCGGCCCGGGCTTCGGAAGCTTGGGCCCCGCTTAGGTCAGCGGTAGCTCCTTCTCTTTCTCGCGGATTTTTCTGCACCTCCTCCCGACCTTCTCAACCACCTCCATCCATTGCACCTTCATTCCATCCTCAATCCATCTCCGCTCACTCCGACCGGTCATCACAATGGTTGCCATCGCCCGCTCCTTCGGCGCCGCCCGCCTGGCCGCCCGTTCCGTCCAGACCAGCAAGCCTGCTGCGCGCTTCATCTCCACCAATGGTACGCATATGCATCGCAGCTCCATTCATTGAGGGCCGCCCGTCTGCCATTGGCATCAATTGACACCCAGCAGCCCAGCCCAAGAACTCGCTCGTCATGAACGGCGCCGTCCGCAACGCTTTCAAGAACAACGCCGGCCGCCAGATCATCCAGAGCCGTGGCATCGTTGCTGAGTCGACCGCCGCCGCCATGGTCGCCGCCGCCAAGATTCAGGGTGCTGGTATCGCCACCGTCGGCCTTGCTGGTGCTGGTGTTGGTATCGGTACGGTTTTCGGTGCCCTCATCCAGGGTGTCGCCCGCAACCCGTCTCTCAGGGGTCAGCTCTTCCAGTACGCCGTTCTCGGTTTCGCCTTCGCCGAAGCTACTGGTCTCTTCGCTCTCATGATGTCCTTCTTGCTCCTCTACGTTGCATAGAGTGGTGCGTTGCTGGGTTCGCTCTGTTATTCGGGTCTACGGGTCGGGTCTCAGGGTGGAAAATTTTGCGGATGGGTGTGTGCATATAAGACTACCTCATTTCCTAGTCTAGTGGCAGCTCGGATTGTGTAAAACATGTACTCTAGATCAGCAATCTGAGGAGCAAGTTCCCACTTTAGCTGCTCTTAATTTCATATCCGAGGTTCAAACCACGCGTCTGCGTGCCATGCTGTGACGCCTGCGGATGCCCGAGATAGAGCTCAATGGGCTCAATTACACCCTGCAGTCGTATTCCGATGCTTCATGACCCCCGTTCCGATGCTGTGTGATAGCAATTGGACGCTGATAGTTCCTGGCTGATGAAACCTGGCCAGGTCCGCGATGCCAAGCTTCTCCAGCCAACCTCACCCCTCAGGCTAACAACAGGTGACCCGTCACACCGCACACCGCCGGAGAGGCCGTATCTCAAGGGTGAATCGCTCGCACCTTCATAAGGGTGAGCTCCTTCCACCTCGCGCTCGCACCGTAACCGGCTTGGTCGCCTTACCGGTCGAGCTACGATCACCATGGGCCCCGCCTACGGCTCAGTTCAGTTCAGCTGGAAAGAAGCTCTTTAAGCACTGCGAAACCAGCTCAATGTTGCTCAAATATCAGTTCTGGCACAGTCTAGCCTCTCTGTATAAAGATGCGCTTGCTGGACTTCACTGATCGTCGCTTTCCATCACTAACATTACAGCACTACCTCCCACAACCGTCGGGGAGTTCGCGTAGCCAAAGTGAGTAATTCTTCCTTCTAGATGATGCATATGCTGAGAGGTAATAGTTGTAGTCTTTCGATGAAATGGTACCCGTCCCTGCCATCATCTGGCGCAATTAATACGGCACCGCCGCGCACCCCGCGCAATGTCCTCGTGAAGCTTCAAGGCCATTGAGGTCCGATCGTAGCCGGCGTACATACCCAGAGATCAAAACGAAACGGTGCTCTACGAGCATGCGCATGGATTGCGTCAATGCAAGACAAGCTTCGTGGCTGTCTTGGGGCCCGGCGAGGTGGAGACCCCAAACCTGCTTCAGCTGTGCAGAAAGCGCGTTTGGAGATGATATTCCCAGCGGGGATTCAGTGCCAAAGAGATGTTCCCAAGGATCCCTCGGCGGCGAGATAACGACTCAGCGATCTGGGTCATGATGTCGTTCGCACGGTGTTTCAGCAGTGCTTCGAAACTTGGCGCGCTTCACGATCGCTCGAAACACCACCTCAAAAACTGCAAACTTACAAGCTAAATCTAGACGTTCCCAGGACTTCCCATGTTCTTCTCGTCAATGTCTTGGTACGGCAGCTCCCGACTGGGTCAATCTTCTACGGGAACATGATCAACCGTGAAACCTCGAACGAAGTTGATGCATCTTCCAAATCAGATGCAACATCAAGCCTCAATCTTGCCTTTCATCTTCAGGCATCTTCATCTACGCTATAAAGGAGGACTGCCCAGCCCAACTAGCCAAGTGTTATTGTCCATCTCAAAGCTTTCAATTCCAGTGCCGGTCACGTTTCCTTCTTAGACGCTTTCTTATAACAACTATAACATCTTAATTAGTCAAGATGAGGTTCGCTATCATCGCTGCTGCAGCCTTCTCCACTGCTGTCTTCGCTGCGTCGGGTATTACTCTTCCTGTATCTTCACCACACGTACCAGGCTGACCCAGCACGTCAGAGAAGCGCGATCCCCAGGACGATGTAGCCTCCATCCTCGCTGCCCTCCGTGAGAATAACCCGGAGGACGCCGATGCGGCCGCTTCTGCCATGAAGATCAAGATTCGCTCTGCCGAGCCCGAGCCCCAGACCCAGCAGGGCGGCGACGACCTGACCGCCATCCTCGAGGCCCTCCGCTCCAACAACCCCGACGACGCTAACGCCGCCGAGAGCGCCATGACCAAGCGGGAGGCCCAGGACGACTTGAACAGCATCCTTGCTGCGCTCAGCGAGAACAACCCTGATGACGCGGATGCCGCCCGCGCGAACATCCAGAAGAGACAGGATGATGTGAACAGCATCCTTGCGGCGCTGCGTGCCAACAACCCTGATGATGCGGATGCGGCTGCTACATTGAGCAAGCGCTGGTTGTAAGAGACTAGAGTAATGGGTAGATGTATGTATGTAGGTATGGGACGAAGAAGGGCACGTCGGTGCAAATGTATATAGCTTTCCTTAAGATGAGTGTGAATGGATAATAATGGGTTGGTCTCACTAATGCACTCGTTTTGGCCCAAGGTTTGCATGTTGATTGTGATGTGCTGAGGTCAATGTTGAACGACGGGCAGGATGATCCCAGTAACGATTGCGAGAATATAGCTTCTGGTACCTGCGCTGATGGAGATGCTAAGATGATGTATGCGCAAGGTTCGAGTGGCCTTTGGTTGTGGCCAGGCGAAGTGGAGAAGCTCAACCCGTAGACGGTTGAAAATCTAAGATGGCTTTTGTTAATTACCTGATTAGGTAGCTTCAAGTGTCCCTTGCTTCAACCGGGGTCGATGGCTTTAGTATTTGCCCTTTTAGGAGTGTTTAAAGGTGCTATTCTGGAGTAAAGAAAGTACACCCCCTCCGTGTTCAATGGCTTTTGTTAATTACCTGATTAAGCGGCTACCAACGCCGGATCAGCTTTCCAATTTCGAACAGTATCATCACTCCCATTCAGTTGCGCTATGCGATAATACATCTCGTACTAACAGCTAATTCAATGGTTGGGCTCAAGATGTGCGCAAGGCTGGAGGATCTCGGGGATGTGGCCTCGTGATATAAGCACGCCTCACATCTGCAAGCGATTCGCAAGGTTGCAATGATGCCAAATAGCACGAGTACGTTTGGAAGAGCATGATGCAATTCGCATTGGCATTGCACGTCAGCATCCGCGCTACGCGATGCTTCTTGTACCGTTAGACTTCTCCGCAAAGCTCGCAACTTCTCGCGAAAACGGCGATGTTTTGATTCTAGCGAAAAGGGTGCCAGTTCCCCGTGTTGCGCACCCATTGGTCGGCATGCGGATTAAGAGTGTCAAGGGGGGCAGTGCGAAAGCTTGCTTGCCCGCGGCGAGCTCGAGGGGAAGAGGCGAGACCACCGCATGCGCCACTCTGCCACAGCGCGTTCTGAGTGGGTTTCCGCCGGTGCCGTCATGTGCAGTGCGATGTTGTGAGCTGCCCGAGTTTTGCAGAGTTTCGTTGTGCCTAGCACCTCGCGCCCTTTGTATCTTGCTTCGTTGCGTCTTGCGCGTCCTGTACTCGCGATTTACCTGCTCGTTACGGCTTACGGGCTTCCTACTGCGACTTTCGCATACGCGCGTTCCGAGCTCTCCACGAGGCTGTTTAAAGGCGGTCATTGCCTCGTAGCCTTGCGCGTCACCGTCACTGTCACCGAAGCTGTACACACCTTCGGCCTCTGCAGTGCGTCTCGCCGCTTTCCTTCCTACACAACAATACTAATACCATCCAGTCTACCTTCAGCACACGCAGTGCATGCCCTCAGCCTGATTGCCCGCAAGATGGCCTCACCATCTCTGCCGCCTTCCTCCACCGCCAGTCCATTTTATCATCCGTCGCTGGAGAATATATTTGAAGCACTCGATGAGCTTCTCAAGCATGGGCTCGGCAGAAACGACATTGCAATTTTGTTGAAGCTCGGGTCTGCTGGCGTAGGCAGGATACTGGATTTGCTCGAGCATAAGGGTCGACCGGCCGTAGACAATCTCCTAGGCTCGCTGGAAGGTGTGTCGGAAGCAACCTTAGGCAGGTTGATCAATCCTCGGGATGCTGCAACTAGTAAGTCGTTGTGTTTGTGCTGGCAGACCCTCGCATCTGTAGGGCTCTGTGCGGGAACACTTTAAGCACTGTCTAGACCCCGACTTTCATTCGGTAGCTATCTGCTATTGCACGCCCTGGGGACGAGGTTGCTAGAAGCTGACATGTGTACTAGATGAGCAGAGCGAAAGAGGCCGGCAGCCCTCAATAAATCGTCCGCGCTCACCTATCGATAACAAAAATAGTTACGCCTTCACCGCCACTCCACCTGCACTCGCCACTTACCAAACTACGCCCTATCTGCGCCCGCCGCTGCCTGCCCATAATTCCCTCCCGCGCAGTAACTCCACTCGCACTCGCTCCGTGTCTTCTAAAGGGTCTTCGTCCACAAACATCACACATCCTTCATCACATAGTCGAGTGGAAAAGAAGAAGGTCCTTTCGAAACCCCCTTCAAAGCCAGCGCGGAAGCAACTGTACTGCCCGGACTGCAAGAAGGATATTAAGAATGGCTTCGACAAGCACTTCCGTAAGCATTTGGACGATCTCGTCGGTCCATATGAGGCCGACTTCGAAGTGCACGAAGCCTTTGGGTGCGGGTACTGTCACGCTCAAGGAGTCCTGGTGGAGGGAGGCAAGGTGTTTCATGGGGTAGCAGAACTCGTCCACCACGTCAAAGACGTTCATGCCTCCACTCCGCAGAAACTTGACTGGAACATCAGCCACTCGTTCAATCACATCCTCTCAGCCCAGCCACACTTTAGACGAAAGATTGTGGGCATGATCGTCGACTATAGCCGGAAGAGCGGGAACCACAACACCATACCCTCCCTGTCATGGGGACCAGACCACCGGCAACTTCTCAGAAACCTACAAATTGTATCCGGAAGACTCGATAAGAATCCATCGTGCTACAAAGACGAAGCGATTGACACTATCCTAACGCAAGTCTACGAGGCAGCGTCACAAAACTGGCAGCAACCTTTCGCTTTTTCTTCCCAGCCCACGCCGCAACACGCCGTTCCAATGGGGCCCTTGCAGCAGAGCATCCCGCATCATCCACGCCATAAGTCAACACCGGACATGAGCTTCGCAGGTATTGGCGGCGGATTCCCCGACACTCCGACGCCAAAGCACCACTCTTTTACAGGCGACGTCAGATCGCCAAGTATCTTGAGTCCTTCGCCGCAAGTCCCGCAAATCCCACAACACATAGAGCGCTCCATTCGACATCCGCAGTCGGTAAACATCATGGATCAGGATGCTCCGTCCTACCACGCTGGGTTAATCCCACACGACCCGCCTCCGACCATTGCTTTCGATGGTCTCGCATCGTACTCCACGCCGCCACCATCACAAGGGCTGCAGCTCGACTCGATGCAAGGCCTCTACACGGATCTGCAGATCGATGAGAGAGATTTGTACAACAGCTGAGTTCTACTTGGGTTCGGATGTACGTGCATGGATTTCGGAGTCACTCGCCGCTTTTGCGTGCTGGAGTGCAGACGGCTTGAGCGAATGTTACGCACCTTTCCTGCATGCGTGGTATTGCATGGTTTGCATTTGCTTATTGGAAAGATCTTGTTCAGGCGTTGTGTTTGATTTCACTGGGGTGCTATTGTATGGAGTTCACTGGGGTGCTATTGTATGATACCCATTTCTTCAGCTGTTCGTCATGATGTACATTTGCCCAAATATCATGTTTGCGAACGAATATGTTCCATTTCAACGACTTGATATTGAGATGACTTGGTGTTGCTGGCTGTAGGTCACGTTATTAACACTAGAGCGGTTATCGATACCCAACCATTGCCTGCCATCGCTTTCTCCATCAACCAGCACTTCTGCATCGCTCGACAACCGGCCCCCATGCCACCCGAACCCCGACGATCAAATGTAAGGCGTTCGAACGTTACAGCTTGTGCTCGCTGCAAGTCTAGAAAACAGCGTTGCGACCAAATCCTACCCGCATGCGGCAATTGCGAACGCGCTGGTGTTGAATGTGTCGGGCACGATGTAGACGGCTCAATAGTACCACGAAGGTAATTCCCCTAGGTACAGCTCAGGAAAACAGCCAGTCTAATAAGCAAAGCTATCTGAAAAATCTCGAAGACCACGTCGCGCGGCTTAAGAAGGAGCTCCATCATTATCGCTCACTGTCAACTCCAAGAGGAGCAAGCGCGGATGTGCACATTGTCGAAAATACACTTGCACAAGCCAGTTATGTCTCCATTCATCCTTCGACTTTTCCAGCACCCAGACACATCGGTACTGGAAGCGGCTTGCCACTGCTTCGCCTGCTTCTCCATGATCTGGGTTCCCCACCAAGTCATGATGAGACTGGCCGACAATCATGGTCGACATCGATCGTCGATATGCTGCCGACTGAAGGAGCTGTGCAGCTACCCGCCCAGGATGTTTCTTCACGACTAATTGAAGCGTATTTTGAGCACTGCGACTTCTTTTCTCCCATACTCTACCGAGCTGATGTCTTGCGCCTCCTCGATACCCCGTTCGACAGTTTGGACGTTGTAAACAAGTACAAACTATTCATGGTCCTGGCTGTCGCTATCCAGTTGGTAAATCGGACCGACTCCTCCGTCCCTGCTACGAAAGCTGATGCATTCTCATCCACGGCAAATCAGATTCTTCGTAGCAGTGCCGATACTATCCTCACTGGCGACTTACAACACTTGGAAGTCTTGCTTCTCAGCGTTCAGTACGCATCGTTTTCGTCGGGCCCAGCCGGTATCTGGCACATCATTGGTCAAGCAACGAGGCTCGCTATCGATCTAGGACTTCACGAAGAACCTCCAGCTCATCTTGTTCAGGATTCGCTTTCTTTGGACCGAAGGAAGCGACTATTCTGGGCGATTTACACCTACGAAAGAAATTTGTGTGCCGTGCTTGGCCGCCCTGTGTCAGTGCCGGACGAGTCGATTTCCGTGTCACTCCCGGTCGATGTGGATGACGAATACATCACCAAGGACGGTATATCGCCACAACCAAATCCTTCGCGGAAAGCCTTAGCTTTACACCTCATTCGCTATCGACAACTTGAGTCTGAAATCGTGCAGATACTGCACCAAAGACAGCCTCTAGCTTCGAGAGATTTCGATCACCAACGCTGGCGTGATGATATGCGTCGAAGGCTATATGACTGGCGAGCTAGTGTTCCTGTTCAACACTCCTCAAGCCAACTTGCGCCAATGGAAATCTTTGATGGAAACCTATACAACTCATTGACCCATTTGTTCTCACCTTCCCGCAACATACCTACAGTTTCCAGCGATGATATGGCCTTCCTCGCAGATTGCGCGCAGAAGGCTATCGAAGCTTATCGCTCTAGTTTCCAGGGCGGAAAGCTACGGTTTTACTGGCGCACCGTCCACAATCTGTTTCGCGCCGGCGTTACTCTCGTTTACTGCATCAAGAAGTGCCCACAAATTGGATTTCCTGACATTGATTCTATGCGCACATCGACACACATCTGTTCCTCGGTTTTATGGGGCATGGTCGAACGGTACCCTGCTGGAAAGCCTTGCCGGGAAATATTCGACAAGCTAAGCCAGGAAGTACAGCGACAATATTCTGATCACGGTATATCCCTTCGAAACGAAAATTTTGAGCTCCTTGATCCGACCCTATTCCCTTTCACTTTTGTGGCAGAACTAGGAGATCCGCCCGGCTTGTTGCCGGACGAGTTCCTACACCAGAACACCAACACGCAGGCACCGTTCGTGTGGGGGATATGATCATTACTCGCAAATTATACGCGCAATCAATCCTAGCTCCACAGGCAAGTCTCACACAACTGGAAATGGTCTCTAGTCTATGGTCATGTCATTGGCTTGATACGGGCAGGATCCTCCGCCAGGCTCTTCTGGAATGCGGCCCTCAATTTCATCATAGGCTGCAACACCCACGTATTGTACGCAAGAATATCACCTTCTTCTTTCGGATCGCGAAGAGTGTTGAATAGATAAGGCGATTCCAGCTTTCCCGACGACTGATTCACCTTTGGCTCCCAGATTAAGTGTAGTTTCCAATGCCTCCATTTAATAGCCCTAAGGTCATCCTTGAGATAGAAAAGAAATCCCTCACGTTCGCTTTTCTCCACGGTCGGGCTCTGGAAGAACCTCACCTGATCTATTCCGTCAATAGGTCGATCCTTAGGCTTTGTGGCCCCTGCTATGGCTATTGCAGTTGTGAAAATGTCCGTAATATGGACCATCTCGTTTGAGGTGACGTTTTGTGGCACCTTCCCAGGCCATCTGATGATGAAGGGAACGCGGAGGCTTCCTTCCATGGCTGTATGATAGGTGCCTGACCACGGCCCCGCGGTCCCGCGGTACGGCGGCCTAAACTCTGGTCCGTTGTCCGACGCGAATATAACTACTGTATTCTCGCGCACCCCAATATCATCAATATGATCCAGAAGTTGACCCACACGGAAGTCCATCTCAACCATAGAGTCTGCGAACTCTCCATTACCCGTGGAGCGTTCGAAGTCTGGATGCGGCAGCGTGGGGAAATGTAAGTGGACGAGGGGGTGGTACAGGAAGAATGGAGCTTTGGCTGACGCCTTCCTTGAAAGCCAATTTTTGCTCTTCTCCACCAGCATCTCGTCAATCAGCCTCCGCTTCTCTAGGTCGTAGACACAGACCTCCGTTGATGGCTGGCCAGCGGTGCCCTGCATGATGTATGGCAATTCCGCCACCTCGGCGTCAAATCCAATAGCGGAAGTGAATTGACTCTCGTCTGTCGTCCTCGGAATCCCGAACCACTCGTCGAACCCTCGATCGGAGGGATAGCGCCCTGGTATATCCCCTAGATGCCACTTGCCGTGGTGAGCAGTTGCATAGCCCTCTTCGCGCAGACACTCGGGGAGCGTCTTCTCCCATAGTGTGAGTCCCTGGGGAAATCCGGCTGGCACTGATTGAAGACAGCCTGTTCGTATGGGATGGCGCCCTGTCATCAGAGCCGAACGCGTAGGGACACAGTCACTTTCCACGTTGAAGTTGTGTAGGAGGAGGCCTTCGGTCGCAAAGTTGTCGATACGTGGAGTTGAGGCGCCGCGCAATGCGCCTCCTCCGTAACAGCCCAGCTCGCCCCATCCCAGATTGTCTGCTAGAATCAGGACTATGTTCGGTCGATTTGGGTCTTTGGACATGGTCTGATTATTGCTGGATGCTTGCACGTTGCCGTTAAATCAGGTTAACGGATTACTCGCCTGAACAGCTCGTCTCGTTTTCTGGATGTAAACGACAGGATACACCGAGTCGTCGGCATAGGTACAGCGCCGACTCCCTGAAATCACGACCCACATTTTTCGCTCACTGCCGACGCTCACCACCGATACTTGTCTCCGATGCTTGCTTGCGACGCTCGCTTCCGACGCTCACCTCCGACGCTAGCTGCTGCCCCATACCCCACAAATGCGCCGTCAAGCATGAACACACTCATCGCACACCCTCTGAAGACCATAGCGTAATCGCGTTTGTGCGCGAGCGAATTGCGTGATGGAGTATTATCTGGACAACTATGTGATAGGGCATATATATTGAGACCTCCATGGGCACAGGCCTACGAAATAGTACACACCTTGAATAACAGAGGTATCCAAACGCGTTCCATCCTCACACGGCATGGCTGGAACTGTTGAATCAAAAGACCAGGAGCTTCAGCTCTACGATTCAGACGCAAGATCCCAGGAGGTAGATCCATCTTGGAGCCTGGATGACAAGCGTAGGGTCGTGCGAAAGTGAGTGTGTAAAAACTAACTCTGTTCTATACTAATCTATTCACCTGGCAGGCTCGACCTATACTTAATGCCCCTACTCGTTTTCGGATTCTTCGTACTGCAGCTTGATCGAAGCAACATCTCGAACGCACTCACAGACACCATCACCACAGATCTGGGTATAACTTCGGACGATGTCAACCTCGGAAACCAATTAATGCTCGCGGGTATCGTCATCGCTGAGCTGCCTTCGAACGTACTACTTCAGAAGATCGGAGCACCCCTTTGGCTCACGGGGCAGATGGGTATCTGGGGCACTATCGCGTTGACACAAGCCTGGTGTACGAACAAGTCTTCTTTTTACGCGACACGTTTCCTTCTGGGGTTGTTTGAGGGTGGCTATATCCCTGGAGCCCAGTACGTGCTTTCGCTGTATTACACGAGAGAGGAGCTTGCGCTCCGAACCGCCGTGTTCTACTTTGGAAACTATTTCGCAACTGCGATAGGTTCTTTGCTGGCATCTGGCATCCTCCAACTTGCTGGTAGTGGGGGCCTTGCCGGTTGGCAATGGCTTTTCATCAGTAAGCTACCCGAATATGAAAGACATGTATTCTTCGCTAACGTCCCCTGCCCATCAGTCGAGGGCATTCTGACATTACTCGTATTCGTCATCTTCATCCTCTTTCTCCCGCGAAACCCTGAGCACACCAAGCCTCTTCACGGCGCCTGGGATTTCTTCACATCCCAAGATCGTAAAATTCTCATCTCCCGGCACAACTTCACATCAGCCAGCTACAAAGCAGACATGAGCTGGGCCTTGATCAAGTCGGCTTTCATAGACGTCCGTCTCTGGCTACACCTCGTCCTCAATTTCGTCAGCCTCGCGCCCAAAGGCGGTCTCCAACTCTACGGGCCCCTCGTCATCAGAAACCTCGGCTTCTCAAAGACCAAAGCCAACGCCCTGAATTCCGTCAGTTCCTTCCTCGTCGTCGTCTTCTCCTTCCTCATCTCCTACGCCTCGGACGCTACGCGTCTCCGCGGTCCATGGTGCATTGTCGCATTCGCATGGTCCATGGCCTTCGCCGGCACGCTGTACGGTCTCCCGCTCCGCGCAGACAAATGGACGCGCTACTGGGTTTTCACTTTCCTGGGTAGTGGGAATGCGCTTTCGCAGGGCTTGAATGACGCTTGGCTCAGTGTAAATGCGGAGACACCGGCGAAGAGGAGCATAGGACTTGCGTATGTGGTTATTGGGAGTAATTTGGGGGGACTGGCCGGGCAGCAGATTTTCCGGACGAGTGATGCGCTGAGGTATCTACGTGCTCTCTTGACGATTCTCTTGTTATATGCGGCTAGTATGCTGATTACTTGTGTGGTTATGGCGGTCTACTGGTGGGGTAATAGACGGCAAGGAGTGACTGGAGAGCTAGAAGAGCATGAAGATGGGGAGGGAATGGTGGATAGGAGGCTGCGACGTCAGCTTTGAGATATTTAGAGAACGAATGTACGATATTCTGAGTACGGACACAAGATGCAAGCAGGACGAGCGGCTCGTCTCGGTCGTATGTTCGCGATGTGCGGATGCGTCCACCTGCACGTTTATAGCTCTATACCTGATCGCTAAACACTCTTCCAATCAAGACAGGCGTGCGTCCTATTTTTGCCCTTGAACCTGTTTGCTACTGCTGCTATTTTCTACTCAAGGTCACGAAGCTGGATACTTCAGAATTTCCTCGCAATTAGCGTCGAAACGCATGCTCCAGAGTCGCATCCCCGTCATCAACTTCTCGGTCTTGTTGAGCTCTCGATCTTTGCCGAACATTGACTCCACAAACTCCACACCAGAGTTATTGCCCAACGACGCCGGCTTCCCGCCACTTTCTTTCTTGGCCGCTTTCCACATGTAATCCTCACACACTTTGAGCAGCTTCGCAAAACGTATCCATAATCGTTCACCAGACTCTAGAAAGTCTTCGACCATTTCACAATTCTCTTTACTTCGTATTTTTGGTATAATCGCCTCAGAACGTTTTATCTTGCCAGCAAGGCGAATCAATAGAAGCCAGAGTTCACCCGCCATTTCTGATAGAGGCGTCCTAGGACCGTGATGGTATACTGTCCAATCGTAAATCCATTTACCCAAAGAATTGGCATCGAACACGCTGCCAAGGACCATTATGGGCACTTCGGTAGGATCCCAGTTCTTGATAGAGTACCCTACAGGGATTCCAGCTCGACGTGCGTCCTCCTCCGTAGCACGAGGCGTTTTGTATGACGAGGGCTTGCTTTGTTTTCTTTGAAGTTTTGCTGGTTCTCGGTCGCTCGCTCTCCGTTGGGGATTTGATTTTGGATCGGTATGGATTATGGGATCATATTGAGGAGGTGATTTGTATTGTGCGTCATGGGAAGCACGTCCAAGTGGTGGTCTGTGTTCTTCGCCTTCCTTCTGCAGCGATTTTTTAGATGGGGAAGTATCGTCTGGAGGGCTAGAGAACAGGCCAGGGTTCTTGTTCCCAAATGCTTTATTGAATTCCAGGTCGGGTGTTGAAGACGTATAAGGTTCAAGATTTCCTTCTTCTCGGTTCTTCTGATGATACAACTTTGCTGAGTGACTGTGTTCATCGATCGAGCCCTCGTTTGCGTTAGACTTGTGGCGCTTTGGCGAATCGTTCGGTTTGTCGATGTCCATGGCATCGTCTGACTTTCGTTTTTCAGCAGATGAAGGTGTATCTGATTGACTCTTATCCAGACGCCGTCTCTTGGCCTTGATTCTCACCCGATTGAAGTTCGCTGGCTCTTCGTCGGGGTCTTCGTCTCTTTTACGTTTGGCCGGCCGTGATGGGGGCACGGGATGTATCACAGGGCGCTCTTTAAGAGGTGGGACCACAGCGAAAGAGTCAGGCGCGTCTGGGGCAATGGTATGAGTCGTGGCAGGAGCTGAGGTGTCGGCATCGGTGTTGATCTCAACGACTCTCTGGTACACTTGCTTGCATATAGAGCTGTATAGATGTCAGTCGTAAGTGATATCTAAGGTTTACCGAGTGGTAAGATTCGATGATAGAAGGTTTAAGCTGCTGGTTCGGCCACTTGGAGATGATTTCTACTCACCATCTGATTTGGAGCCCCGGAGGTTGATTTGACCTTGTTTGACATCGAGGACAGGTGTCCCCTGTGGAGTCATTCGAGCCTTCCTCTTGCACTTCCTGAAAGATCATATCCATATCAAACCATAATCCGGGTAGGAATGTGCTCTCCCAGTTCTGTGAAACATCGACGTCTTTCTTCGTGGCACGATTCTGTATGGCATACTCCTTCTTGAGCACTTTCTTCATCCCAGGCTTGCCTTGGAAGCGTACTTCTAGTACAGCTAGAAGTGCATCCCAGGACGTGATGAAGTCCAGCGTGATCGTGCTCACACGCCCGATAGCATCCTCAAGGTAAAATATGCGCTCAGTCGTTATTGACCGCGTCAACGCAGGCATGTTCTGCTCGATGCTCAGAATGGACTTCTGTACTTTGTCAACTGCAGCGTAAGTAACCAAGTTTACTGCCATGATCTTGAGCATGAGAGTTTTCAAGTCTTGCCCGAGTTGCATCAACCATTCCGCCCGTGCTGCTTTGGCCAACTTCAACAGAAGGTTATTGCCGGCTGTTACGCGTCGGTTCACTTCGCTCAGTCGCCCTTGCAGGCTTTTCAGTGCGTTATCTTGTTGGGTAAGTAAGCGTGTAACTTTGTCCGATTCCGCCTTTACTGTGTGCCTGGTGCAAGTCAGTAACGTTTCACAAGTGGAAACCCGATACTGACATGGTTGCTGCGGCCAGAAGCTGGTCGATTGACATCGAGTAAGCCACGACTTCGGCTCTGAATCTTGAGACATCGTCCTTCATTCGTACCTGCCAAAGAAATTTGCGGGCGGTTCCCGCAAGTATTTTATGCGCTTTACCTCCACCGGATCCATCTCCAAGATCATGGTCATATGGCTTGATTTTTGCTTTGAAAGCTTCAAGCGATTTTCGACACTGGTCGATAGCAGTTGTAATGCTTGAAAATAGGTTATTGAGTTCCGGTGTGACGGCATGTGTTCTCGATAGGATGCCGACTTCCAATAAAGCCTTTTCCAGTATGTAAAGTTCTCGAACGACAGCCTGATACTCTGCGGCAGAGCCTCGGGTCTCACTAAGCGCGTCGACACAGTCCTTGACCAGGATACAGACCGCTATGATGTCTCCGACCGAACCGAACGTGACAGGCATGATAGTCGTGTAGAGTGCTATCCGTAATCTCGAAGTCGCTCAAGCGGACTTTGTCGCACAATGAAGGTCAGAGGGGCGTGGCTGTGAAATCCGAGCTTGACCATATACAGCTAGCTTTGATGCAGGCTGTCCACCGGTCAGCACGATGCATGAACCTATCAGAAGGCACAAGAAGCGGCTGGTGTAATCATGGATTTCTCCCTTGAGTATTTCCCTGGATGCGTCGAGCTGCTGTTGTTCCTCACAGTGTCCTGCAACTTGCGCAAGAAGCGGAGAGTGAACAGCGGACGCTACCCCGATCGTCTTCATTGCTCTCGTTGCGCCGGGTCTCGGGAGTGGTGGTAGTGGAGCTGGGTGCCTATCGGTGGGACTGGGCAGGAGTAGTGTGGTCCAATGTCAATGAAAGGTACGCGGGAGAGGAATGCAAGGCAGAAGGTCTGGGGGAGCTTGCGAGGGAAAGACGCCTGCTGCAGGTTCGAAGGGGGAAGGAAGTGGCTTGCGTGGTCGAGGAGACATACTTGGGGCATGGAAGGAGTGATGCAGGCTAGTGTACCGTATGGGAAGGAGCATTTGAGGGAAACTACGCTCTCAGTGCTACCAAGCAGCTCTTTCGCATACGACGGTTCCATCCTAGGAATCGCGACTCAAAAACTTAATAAGTCACGTCAACTACACCTACAAACGTTGCCTTATAGCACGTGATAAAAGTGCCGAAAGAGAACTTGGAGCGAATGAATCTGAACATGTTAGTACTAATCAGATATCACTCGCTGCACCACTAGGGCAGATGTACGAGGAGACGGTAGGCTAGTGTTTAGCCCCCGTCAACAAGCAAGATCTAGAAATGGCAGGTGTAAACCCACATAGTTTTCCTCATCAGCTCCTTAATATTGTCTATTGCTTCCCATATCATGCCGTTATTTTTGAAACTCCTTCCAATGTCCCATTTGAAAAAAGTCATGTTCGCCATCAAACAAGGTCTTAACCCAACACCCCCATAGCAGTCCCGCAGAATCGAAAACGCACACCCAGTCACCCTACGGTATATTCTTCATCACTTTTGCCTCCTCATCCGCGCGAGCCTGCGCCTCTATCGGTCGCAGCTCGCTCCTCCTCCGGCGAACTTTAAAATAGATCGACAACGACCCTAAATCATCCCATTAGAACTCCTTCCTTCCACCTACACTCAACTCTCAAACTCACCCATAACAACCACCATCGCAAAGATCATCCAAAGCCACTGCCCCAGCGTCAGCCCAGCGTACAACTGCTCGTTCCGCGACACCGTGTCCCTCCGGAACACAGGCGACCATGAGGGCGGCAGCGAGTCGTAGTCGTAATAACCTTCAAAGACGATTGGCATATCGGTGTACTTGTTGCGCATCGGGTCGTAGCGCCTGCAGCAATAGGACCAGTGCTGTTCCCAGTGCTGTGTCCAGTGCTTTGCCTTCCAATGGCTCTGGTCGTATTCTCGATTGAAACACCCGTAGTGCCACAGGCCTTTTCGACAGGAGTACTTCGGATGAAGACCACCCATGTTGAGAGGTGCTCTCCAGAGCGGAGGAATTTGGGGGTTGTATAGGGTGTCCTGGGGAATTTGATGCAGGTTGGAATATCTGTGTGGGTCGATGTATATAGGTGGGCAGATTGTGTTGAGAGGCTGTGGTGAGTGGGGCTTGTTCAATTGACCACCACTTCGATGCGTGTAGGTAATACAGACCTGATCGACCACTCAGCAGCTGAGTGATTAGAATCTACAACAACCTAACATTTTAACTAATTGGGTATCTTTCTGTGTTATCAGTTTCTAATAGAACCCTGCTCGTTTCCTTCTTTTATATCTACCGGGTACTGAGGTAATTCAAAACGTAACTTTGAAAGAAGGTCCCTAAGAAAATATAATTTTGGCATCTCTACTTCATTTGATGTATAGAAAGGCTAATAGAATATGAGTTCGTTGACTCGCTGTAAACAACAGCAATTACCGAAGTTGGCGAACTCTGAAAGATACTTTGAGCGAAGGGTGCTTGATTGACGAGATACCCACTGGCTTTCTAGCATCTCATCGTAATCAAGCTTCACCTGCTTGCAGACGGCTTTCCGCCGCCATGTCGCATTCCCATATCCGCAGGGCCCTATCTCAATACTTGATCAAGCACTTACTGTGCTAATTACAACGGCCCGCAGTCGCGTTCGCAAATGTCCGCTCGGTAGAACATTCAGAGCAAGGAAAGCTCTACAGTTGGTAGGGAAGCTCGAAGCTTGATCGTGCTGTACCCATACTTCGAAGCCACTGCGTTCACCATACACAGCAGATCGAACCAGGGTGTAGATCAGCGTCGTTGAAGGCTACCCTCGCACCGCAGACCAAGACGGAAATCCATCTTAGGCTGAATGTCAAAGAGCATCGACATGAGTCCCGCTACAAAGAGCACGTGCGACATATGTTTGAAGACAAAAGAAACCACCGAAGTGAAATCCTTTGCACAGCACAACCTCTACTATCAGAAGTGCGCTCGCAATCCTCAAGTTACTCTCCCAACGCTCCGTTAAGAATGCACCGTATGAACGGGATCCCTGCGGGGCCAAAACCCCGCATCGTTGGTGTGTCTGCCTCGCCGTCTTCAAAAAGACAGCAAGAGACTACAAGGTGAGACAAGTCAACAGGTCGACCTGCATAGGAAAAGTATATCTGGTATCATTCATACACTTACTTTGGTCTGTTGACAGTCCTAACCGGTCCAGATATCGATACAAGGATAGCAGCCGTAAATCGTCAATTTCTCGGTCTGGTGCTTGAGCAAACACGCTTTAAGGACCGCCGTGCCAACGCCGCCCCATGCCTCCCTGTGATAAGGTAAAAAACCAAAGCCATGGCGCCTCGCTAATAAGATTTAGAACATAAAGAAACATGCCGCAATCGCATTACTCGGAGATGAGATTGTCTAGTCGTAATGCATGAAGAGCTGGGAAATGCTCTCGCCATGGTGGTTGCGGCGGATGGCTTCGGCGAGCAAGTTGTCCACGGGTAGGATGACAAGCTTATCGCGTGCCTGGGCCTGTGTCTCTGCAGGGATAGGGAATGCGTTGGTAACAACGACCTTGGTGATGCACTCGCATGCGACCAACTCCTCGAGGGCGTCACCGCCAAAGAGGGCGTGGGTAGCCATGCAGTACACCTTCGTAGCACCGCCTCGTTTGACTACCGTTTCTGCTGCCGCGATCCACGATGCCGACTTGTCAAGGATATCGTCCACAATGAAGACGGGCCGGTCTTTTACGTTACCTACTAAAGTGACCATGGTCTCTAGATCAGGATTTCGCAGGTCTTCCTCTTCGTCTTCGGACGATGCCGCCGCGTCCATTGTTCCTCCTAATGCATGCGCGTGAGCGTGCTCAGAGTGCGATGCTGTGGACATGAAGGACGACATCATGTGCTGAGGGATATCGGCATCTTCGCCATCAGACGGGGCACGATTCCGCCATGAATTATGCGATACCGCGGACATGGAAGGTGAAGGATGAGTATCCTCCACGATGTGTCCACGTACAAGCCGACCGTGAGTGACGTCTCTCGCTCGCTAAAATAATCAGTATGAGTTCCAGAGCTTCCCAAGATCACATACCTCGTCGGTGTATTCATCCGCATCCTCTTCGCCGCTGTTTTCCTCAATTTGTTCCTTCTCGGGCTTCTCGTCTGGTTTGGGAAGATTCTCTTCCTCCTTCGTGCTGACAATGGAGGCTGCTCGCATGGATTTTGACAGCGGACTCTGCAAGTTTGCTGACCCATTCGTACGTCGTTCGAGAGGATTTGATGGTGCCCGTGCCCGTAGTTTCGGCTTCCCAACGTCGGCTGCCGGGCTGTACGACTGGCTAGGAGCAGGCAGTATCTGTGCATCTGCATCCAAAGCGGCTTCCACCAGGTCCGGTGTCTCGTACGTGCCGTCCAGTCTCAATTGCTCGAACATGGCGCTCTCATTCCAATGCACCGCCGTAGCGGCTCTTCGCCTGTCGGTTGTGACTATGCCAAAGCTGAGCTTCAATGCGTCCGCAAGCGACGTAACGCGTTTGGTGCCTCCTGGGTTCTTGCTGACGACCACGGCATCCCTCCAATTCGGCACGTTGACGCGAATCCAGCGGGCAAGGAGGGGCTCGGCGATAAGGTTGTCGACCGGACACTTGAAGAAGCCCTGCATCTGCGACGCGTGAAGATCAATGGTTATGACGTGGTTCACGCCGGCGATATTGAGGAGGTTCGCAACCATCCGGGCGGTGATGGCGCCACGGTGCGACTTCTTCTTCGACTGGCGGGCGTAGGGGAAGTACGGCATGACAGCTGAATTGGTCAGACCCGCCAGAAGGAAGCAGAGATATGGAATTACCAGTGATTGACTTAGCAGAGCCGCCTTTGCAGGCCGACACCATGATCAGCAGCTCCATGACAGCATCGTTGATCCTGCGTGGTCAGCAATTGAAGCTCCCAGAGCTCTGTGCACCTACTTTGGGCTCCCGCTCTGCACGATGAAGACATCTTTGTCTCGCACCGAGGTGTCTAGACGCCATCAGCACCACAAGAAGGTCAGGGCTGGGACGACGGACGGATGTGCACTGAGGTCTCGCCGTTCGCAAACTTGCTGAGCTGAGCGGTGCCCCGCTTCATGCCCAGGCGGTCGCAGATGCCATCGACCAAGGTCGGGTGGGAGGAGCCGCTGAAGACAATTGCACCACGCATCTTGGGTGGGCCTAGGAGCGAGATGTTATCGTAGTGGAAGAGCTCCAGTGCGGTGGACGAAGCACCGTAATTTTTCTGAGCGGGCATATCGGGCGGGTAGGCGCTAGGCCATTAATAACCAAACAGGCAAGAGCAGCCGGGTTGTCCCCTGCCCTGATCTGACAACAAGGAACAGCGCGCGACTCTCTGCTCGTTACGTGACCTCAGAATGATTCACAGCTACTGAGTATACGAGAGCGCGTACAAGGGAGCTGTGACCGTACTCGCGCCTCTCTTTATTCTTCGTTGGGCGCACGACTTCCCGTGCGCTGGCACAGGCACGCGACCAACAGCTGTCCAACCATCGAATCATGACTCCTATCTGGGGCACGCCTCGCCTGCTCTTGTGCAGTGACAAGCCTCCTTCGCACGTCAATGACATCCGCTCACACGATGCTCCCCACGCTATCCGCGCCGTGACACTTAGCACTCTCCACGCTTTTGTTACTGAAGAGCACCACACAACGCTGAAGGCATCTGCCTCGGTTGTGGGTGAAGGTCTCCTCACGCAGGCAGCCCAATCTATAATCAGTACAGGACCTGGAGAAGAATCCCTTTAACTGACGTTAGCCAGTACTGTGCAAGCGTTCATTTCCAGATTGAACGGAATGTGCAGGGACCTTGGTGCGGCGCTGGATGGCCGTGAGAGTGACACGGTAAATGCATTTGACCAGAGAGCGCGTTTGCGAGCTGCGTTATGTTAAAGACTGGTTAAAATCACTCCGCAAGACTGATGCATGGCACTTCGAATATTGTACCATATTGAACGAAGACGTCCGCATTCTGCTGTAAGTTTTAAACCATGTGGTCACATCTCTCCCTTGGGCTTCTGTAACGCCGTTATCGGCCGCTGTTCACCTTAAACTGCCAAATTCGTCGTCGGGTATCTCGTACAGACCTCACCGCCTGCACGCTGTCATATGTAGGTCTTTGCTGAGCGTTGCTCATCCTGCAGTACCTCTCGCTGGAAAAGAGCCGATTGGTTGTGCTTGCTTTACTTTTGGAAGGCATCATCTCCATCAGAGCCTTCCTGAGCTTGTCGTAGTGGAGTGAAGCGTTCTGGCTGTGCTGTGATGTATGGAAGCGCCGTAGCGTATGCTCTTTCTGGTATTTCTGATTCGTGAAGCGGAGTCATGCGACTCGCGATGTATGTCGCGTGGGGAAGATGCTCCCAGTGCGATGCGACCCAGGGCATCCAGAATTGCGCCCTCAATAATCGTTTTACGCGATGGTGTGGACGAGGCAGGATAGCGCAGCGCACCGTTCACGAACGAAGATTGGCACATGCTATTCTCTATGCACCCCGACGGGAAGTGTGGGCGACAGGCTGCAGTGGGGGAGATGAAAGTCCTCGACATCGGAAAGGTAGCACTCGAGGCTATGAGCGGTGAGATAGTACGACGGTCTCGAGGTACGTACCTTGATGGTCATGATACAACGGTCCAGATATAGGACAATCACATCATACGAGGGTCTTGTGAGGCAGAAGCTAGGGGCGCCGGTTCACCCAGTCGGATGTGGCCGAATGTCGTGAAACTCGGATCGTTGCTAAAGTAGACCGATAGCTTCATAGCGACACGAGAAGTACCATCCTCATCTTCCCATCCACAGAACTGGTAATTGTGGCTTGACGAAGCCTGCAAGGCTGGTCGAAAATGCCCCGATTGGTTGTGTACCGACGCGTGCGTGCTAGTAGTCTGTATTGGGCTTCAATTGCCCAAAGTTCTGGCTATGCGAGGAAACAATAGCTTTAAGGTGCGCCGCCAAGGCACCGTGCATCACTGCTATGGCAAGCTGACAGAAAACGGCACGCACGACAGAGATCAATGTAGATCTATGACCAATGATCGTTCTCACCCCAAACTCGGTGCGCTCCCGGTGCCCGATATTCAGTTTAACGGAGGCTTGATAATGGTAGCCGGTGATTTGTGCCCCAATTGACGCAGAAGTACCTTGCGTTTGCCGTTATAGGCATTACATATGGTTGGCCGCAACCGCGGCGTATACAGCGGTGTAGTTTCGGGTATATGAAGTTGCGATATGGATCACGCTGCTGGTCCGATCGCCCTCCTTAAGCGCACAAGAAGGCTAGGGTGGACGCGCAGTGATTCGGGGTGCAAATCTCTGAAGTGTGTACGAGAGTCCACATCGGAGACCATGCCTAGCGAGATTCACAATGCTCATAGATTGGTGGGAGAGATTGCAGCGTCGTCTCGCTGCTAGCGGCAAGGTCTGGTATAATGGAAAAGCCATCGCACGCGTGATCCTTTGACACTGTGTTAGCATTCTCCGATTTCGAGGTGAGATGGAAGGATTAGTGCGCTGAATTCACGTGCGGAAGAGACACACAGGGATGACCATACAAATGACTAACAGACACTTGTGGTAACAAGCGTGGGTAATGCGAGGGGATGACGCGCATCGATCCTAGCTCCGAGTGCGCCACGGGCGCCTCTGATACGAACGATCCCACAGTGACACGCATCTTGCATACGTGGAACCGAGCGCCAGGTCCACTCGATCCCGTGTAACAGAAGAAAGTTCTGGCATGAGAGCTTTATGGCCCTGTACAACAATCCTAAGATGGTTCTCCTCAGAGTGATTTCCCGCGACGATGTGCATGCTGGTGGGTCCAGGTGATCGCGAGACAAGCTGTGCGGCCGACTGAGATTCCCCTCAGACTGCACGAGACTGTTCCCTTCGACGAAAGATAGTTGCAGGTTGAGTCCTAAGCTGATCGATCATCGTCAACTAGCTATATGCGTCAAGTGGACGTTATCGCGAAAGGAGGACGGAGAACGGATCGGAAGGTGAATGTGACTGGCGGGCCATGACTCTAGCACAAGCCACTTCACAGACTTGGCGGCCAACTCTCCCCACTGCACATGTGACGTTGTTGATAAGCATAGCAGTATATTATTGCGACTCACACGGCTAAGGTCCGAACTTCTCCTGAGCAGTCCCTGCATGTCGGGCTTGGGATTGGATCTTTCTCAGTCTGCGTGGGTCCCGTCTCTTACACAGCGATGCGGTTCGCCAGATGTTTAATTGATCTGGTCGACTTTTTTCCACAAGTACGCATGGGTTACATGGGAGCGTAGGTGAACAACCCCGTACCAGGCTCCAGGTAGTTTGCGCCACCTCGCTCTCCTAGTATGTGAACGCACCCAATGGGGCAAGGTGCATTCCAAAACGGAAAGTGGAGATCCTAGGCAAAGACTACGTACGAGATGAGTAAAGTATTGTGGTACTAGACCGGGAGCTTGCCATGGCGAGGCTGCATGTAACTGTTCAGGTTCGAGCTGAACCGGGTTGGAGGTTGGGAACGTGTCGCAGGTGCCGCTGCATCGACTCACATGCAGCAGACTACGACGCGTTTCTAGAAGATGGAATGTCGCCAGCCGCGCGGGCTGTAGGGAGAGACTAAATCATTCGCCCAAGGGGGCCTTTCTGCGGCCAGGGTCTGCATCCGTTCCTTGTGCGACATGAGGGATGGTCTCTTGGCGGCGATGGCGACCACCTTGCAAGCCACATCCACGGCTTCCTGTCAAACGTAGCGGACCAGCGTCGAGCGTGGAGCAGCCTCTCGTCTGGCGGTCGTCGGCGTGTCTAGGAGCAGAGCAAAGAAGCCAGATCAGAACGTAGCAGACAGGAACGGCACTGGAGGCGCCTGCATCAGAGCGTTTTGGGACGGCTTGTGGAGCGTCGAGCCGCTTCTGCCGCCTCGCGCCGGACATGGGGGTTGCGAAGATGCTCCATGGCAGCGCAGAGGAAGCAGCAGTCCCGCGATGCTTTTGCGGCAGGCGTAGGGCAAAAAGAAAGCACACAGACGACGAGGTGAGGTGAGGTAAGGTCTGACGACAGGCCCGTAAACTCTAATTGCCGACCCCGGCCGGCGCTGGCCCAATCCGCCAGACTGGGTGCAGCGGAAAGGCCGCTGTGTGGCCGCTTGTGGGCGCCCCTGGCAAGGCGTTATGCTGCTCTGGGACGCTTGCACGTCGCCCTGTGGCCGCCAGCCTGAGATGCCATCATCGCGGGCAGCGGGCGAGCGTTTCAATCGCGACCTGCAAATACAACCGTGGCCGCGGCTGCGGAACCGCCAGCCCGCGTCTGACAAGCTCCACCAAGGCTGGATGCGGAGGGTAGCAGAGGCTCTCCGAATCCATCTGGTGCCGTGCAACGCCCAGTGTACCTACTGCTAGATCCGTCGTGAAGACATCCACATTGGCCTCCCACGCGCCGAGGGGAGGAGCAAGTCTGGGAGAAGGCGCTCGTTGTACGCTGCTACGTTCGGTGGGCAGTCCAGGGCTATCGGTGGTCTTTACTACACTAGTGTAGCCGCGAACTGGTCAGTGAACCGTCTGCGGATGAGTATAAGACGGCCCAGGAGCCGCGCTGTCGGCGACTTCAACAGACAAGCATCCGCTCTAATCTGAAGACCCTTGTTGGCAATCACCAGTACTGACACCAGCGACGGTTTTGCTTTTGCAGCCACGACTCAGTTACCCTTCACTTGTCCTCGGGTTTGCGCGCAGTTCGATCCCATATCAAAAGACCCCTTCCTTAGTGGTGAGCCTCCAGCTACATATACAGCGTGTGCCCAGCAAGAAACTGACATTGCCGCAGTACTCCTCCATTTTCCCAGCTCTTCGTCCTACGTCGACCCTTCAGCCTTATCCGCCTCCAAGAGCACCTGCCGAACCGCATCTCAACAATGGCCGCTCCAGGAACCTGCACACATTCGTGGAAGATCATCAAGTCCGACACCAACATCATCGTGTGGAACTGCAATGGCTGCCACTCTGGCCCGCATCCGTTCATCTACGAATGCGACAAATGCAAGGTGCAATACTGCCGTCCTTGCACATCCAAGCCCAGGGCCTAGGTACGTCGAGCGCCTTCTTCCCATGGTACCCCTGTCCATCGCACGTGGCCTGTCAGCCAGGTGCGAAACGCCTTCGCAAGCACCTCCACCCCTCTCTCATCCCAGCACGGCGACTTGATGGAGGGAGCTGGGCGCCCGAATAATGGCCATGGTGGTTGCTCACTTAGTGCCGATGCTGACTCGCGTGCAGCTAAATCCCAGTGCGCGTGCGCTGCTGCAAGATTGATCGACAACCGGAACCCAGCGCCTCGGACTCGTAAATCGCGTGGACCCCGGCCACTCCATCTGCCATCCTGGCAGGACTTGCATGCCAACTTTCAAGTTTCAACCTTCCTCTTCGCAGGCTCTCCCTGTCTACTTCGTATATCGCCAGGCGTTTCTCACTCAGTCGGTCTCGTACGACCTTAGCATGGCGTTTCGGTGGCTTCCTCTCCTGTGTCACACTGGAGCCAGGGCGGCGTTTAACGACTTTGTTCCACTCTTGGTCTTCGTTTGCTCGGTGCACAAAAGCAACAGCATTCTAGAACGGTTTCAGTGGTGGCGTGGGGGGTTCGCACGTTACATTCTCACCACCCGACTCTCGCATGTCATTGGCTGGTGCGTCCGTTTCAGCGCAACCGGTCGACTTCTTGTACCACCCTTTCATTCTACCTAATGTACTCTTACGGCTGGGCGTTCTTACGACTTTCCTTTCCTACGCAGATGTACCTGCGCATATTCGGTACTGTATTTTGCATTCAGCACCGCCGGCTTTGCGGGCTGACGTTTCCTCATGTATTCGGTAGTTAGAATGGAGACTCGCGGTTTCAGACTCGCTTCACTGCAGGCGCCCGGTCATCAAACCGATCGAGCGAATCCTTTGATCCTGTCAAGTTTTCCAAACAGTCAACTACCGTTCTTAGCATATTCACCATGCTAATTGTATGACGTTACGACTCGATCCTGCTATGGCCAGACTTTGCTGTACGGGTAGTATCGTCTTCTGCATTGTCGCCTGACAGCGCCGTCTTGCAAAACCGAGTGCATCATTGTACCTAAGCATATGGCCCACGACGGCGAAATGCATCCGAGTTGTTGACGTGGCGCGTCTCAAAGGACCTGATCCTTTGAGCTTGCCCTACACGTACCCCAGCAAGGCCACATGGATCATTGCGTCGAAATCGTACCATGCCTCAAGTTTCATGACGCTTTGCGACGAAGGTCCATTTTAGATAGATGCTCCGGCATACCACGGAATCGAAAGTTCCACCCAATCTTGCTTCGCGGAGGAGGTGTGCGCAATTTCGATCAGCTTGCCAGTTGCCTGCTGAGATGCGGTCGCCGCGAGTGCCGCAATCCTCAAAACTACTCGCCAAAGCGTACGTGCTCCGACAGCGCGCAGGGCGCTGAACGATCTCACTGACTAGCCAACGTCACCTGCCCTTCAGCACGTGGAATAGGGTATGAAGAGCGACCCGCTCCATGGTCAAGTAAGCATGATCCTGGGATCGTGACCCGGTTGTGAAGTAGAGGCCTGTTGAGGCAGGCCGAAGGATTAGTGTGCTTCAGCCTTACGCGAAAGGAAGGAAACGCGGGGCTTCCAGCTGCGTACCGTCAACACATCGGCTACAGCTTTCACGCGATCTAATTGGCCCAGAAGTAGATTATGCAATTCACCGTGAGGAACGAAGAGGGAAGACTATAGGGTGGGATTTTGGTGCTGACATCGATGCAAACCATCGCGCCTTCCCCCTGGATCCAGTGAGGGGCAGGGTAGCACAGACCAAGAACTTAGCTGGCGTATCATTTGGCCTTTAACCTCCTCTCCTCTCCTCTCCTCTCCTATCTACTTTCTCGATTCATTTTTCTCGCATCCATCATCGTGAACCGACATCCACGTGGACTTGCTGACAGGCGGTCCTATCTAACATCGCCTCCCTCGCGCTTCCACATCTGCAGACGCGAAGTCAACCCGCTTTAGATGAAAGGCGGTCTACCTTGCGTTGACATCATCTTGAATATAGCGATTAGCTCTCTGGTTCATAAAGACTTCTCGCGTCCGGTGCTACGGTTACCGCTTGGAGCCACCTACAGCTCTAGTACGACGATGCTCTTACTCAGCAGGCATGATTGGCCTGAAGAAGTAAATGGCACTCTGCGTCCCTTTCAGCCCCCAAACAAGAGCTGAGCCCATATAGACCCGCGACGCCCTCTGCAGCCTTGTGTGTTTCTGTTTCTGCTTCGCTTTCTAACCCAACAATTCGTTGCTGTGTGCAGCCATTCTTGCGTCCAGTCGCTTCTTGTAGTCCTGTGTTCCTTGCCACGCGTGCAAACCTCTGCTCAGCCGCACCTTCCAAATCAGATCTACACCTCCACTAGAATACAACGTCCGCGTGAAAATGAGCTCTGTCTCCGGCGACGACGACGCCAAAGCCCCACAGGAGGCGCTGAACGACTTCTGGGAGAATCTTATAACCAAGAAGCCCGGCAAAGTCACCAACATCTTCCCCTCAAGCCTCTATGCAAACCTTCTACCACCGCAACGCCAGCCCGGCCCAGCAAAGGGTAGAAATGCCGCTGAATCATACGAAGCGGCGGCAGAAGAATGCCGTGCTCGTGTGCAGCACATAATTCGTGAATGCCACCGGACTAACGAGAAGGTGATCCGCATGGAATCCGCTAGGTGACCGCTCACTGATAGATGTAGTTCACCGATCCAGAGTTCGATATCGAAACCGATCTCCGAGAAGACAAGAATTGCCTCGAGGGTTTGATGTCATCGTACGACGACCCGCTACCTCCAAAATCGCGCGTTAGTACTGGTCGTCTGGGCGAGGCTTTGGACACTTTAGCCCAATGCAGGCTACTGGATTCGCCTACTCTGTTGGTCAAACTCGATAGGGCTGCGGGACTCTTTGATGTGCCGGAAACGTCGAACTCTGACGGACCTGGATCGGTGCATCGAATCGACTACATATTCGAGAAGCCGTCGTTCACCGTTGACAGCTACTCGAGCTCTGATGTGAAGCAGGGAGCCAATGGGGACTGCTGGTTCATCGCTGCGGTGGCCACCATCTGCAGCAATCCTAGCTTAATGGACAAGATCTGCGTTGCGAAAGATGCAGACTGCCAGGAGTGTGGCGTGTACGGCTTTGTGTTCTACCGTGACGGAGAATGGATATGGACGGTTGTGGATGACAACCTCTACGTTGACTACCAGGACTTTGACGCTTATGGTGACGACTATGACCCAACGGGTGCCAAAGAGAGAAAGTACAAGAAGAACAAACAGACTGGTTCGGATGCTCTCTACTTTGCGAAGTGCGCAGACCAGAATGAGACCTGGCTTCCTTTGTTGGAGAAAGCGTACGCCAAAGCTCACGGGGACTACAATGCGATAAATGGGGGCATCAGGTGAGTATCGTGTCCCAAGAAAGCATCCTTTGTCTTATCTTGGAGCAGTGGTGAGGCGGTAGAGGACCTCACCGGAGGCGTCACCACAAAGATCATGACGAACCGAATATTAAGTAAAGAGCGGCTATGGCAGGAGCTCAAGCAGGTGCGTTCTATTTCGTAAAGGCTTTGCAGCATTAGCTGACGTGCTTTAGGTCAATAAGGGATTTTTGTTTTCTGCTTCTTCGCCAGGCTCATACGGAGACGATTCGGATGCCAGACAAGGTCTCGCGTTGAGTCACGCATACTCCGTCATCAAGGCTGTAGACCCGAAAGACGAACAAGGGAATGAACAGAGGCTCGTCTTGATACGGTAAGAACTATAGCCCTAGGTCTTCTTCTTTCATCACTAACAGTGCCAGGAACCCATGGGTCAGTATTGACTAATAGACTCACCTGAAGACTACACTAACATCATATCAGGGGGAACGAGCTGACGCAGGCATGGGCGAGTGGAACGGTGCGTGGTCCGACGGTTCGAAAGAATGGAATGCATACTGGCTAGAAAAGCTCGACCACCGCTTCGGCAACGACGGTCTATTCTGGATGTCCTACGACGACCTCTGCAAGCGATTCGATCTGCTCGACCGAACGCGCCTATTCGACAATGAGTGGACGGTCGTTCAAAGCTGGACTAGTGTGAGTGTGGCCTGGGTCACAGGCTATCTCAACACCAAATTCGTGATAGAGATCAAGAAGGCTGGACCCACGGTTTTCGTGCTCTCCCAGCTTGACGACCGATATTTCCGTGGCCTCAACGGCAAATACAATTTCGACTTGCACTTTGTGCTGCAGGAAGAAGGTGCGTCGTCTGGAGATCACATCGTCCGCGCGAGAGGCGCCTGGTTTGGGAACAGGTCTGTCTCTGCAGAAGTCACGCTCCAGCCTGGGAAGTACGATATTGTACCCAAGGTTGTCGCTAAACGCTATTCCGATGAGCCAGACGTCTACGATGTGGTTACTAAGGTCGCGGATCGCAATCCCCAGAAGCTGAGGCAGATCGGGATGAACTACGACATCGCTAATGCTAAGGGAACTGTGCAGTTGTCGGCAGAGGAAAAGAAGAAGAAAGAAGAAAAGAAGAAGGCGGCTGAAGAGAAAAAGAAGAAGGAGAAAGAGGAGGCCGAGAAGGAGAAGGTCGAGTTTGAGACATGGAAGAAGGAAAAGAGGGAACGGGAAGAGAAGGGGAAAGCTGGAAAGGAGACGGTTGCAGGCGAAGACAAGAAGGCAGACACAACGCAGGATGAGTCGAAGACTGTTGACACGAAGGACAACGAGCCAAAGCCTGCTTCCGACCAGCCAAACCAGGAAGCGGCGAAGGACACCACCGTAGTAGACACCGAGGGTCCTAACAAAGCTGAAGAGATGACCGGCGGCGAAATTCCATTACGATCAAAAAACGATCATGCCCCAGACGACGCGCCCAAAGACGCACCTCCATCCGTCAAATCCCCCACGGCCACTGGTTCCGCTCTAGCTCACCTCACACGCCCACCACCCTCCGCATACGGTGGCAGCTTCGCCTCCGGGCCACCATCCCCAGTTCTACCTCCTCCACGTCCCCTCTACTTCGCCGACGACGCCGGCCCAGTCCCGCCTCCGGTAATACCTCCTGTCCCGGAAAGCGAGAAGAAGTGGAACGCGATTTGCGTTCTGGGCCTGCGGGTGTACAGTCAGGATCCCGCGGTCAGCATTAAGCTCGTGAAGCCGAAAGATGATGAAGAGGGCGCGTTACTGGATGTGGATGGAGCGCAGGCGGGGGCGACGATGGCGTGAGGGTCGTTTCGCTCCGTACTCAAGGGGAAGGTAATGACGAGGCTGAGTGATGGTAACGACCTCTCTTTCCCAATTCATAACAGTCGATCGTGGCTCGCGTCTTCTCTTTCCAGTGCAATCATCTCTCCGGTCGAAGCCTTCTCCTGTACCTCCAAATATTCTTCTCTTCCATATAGTCCTTCGTAATGAATACTCTTCTCTTCCCTATAGTCCCAATCGTAATTCCACCTCACTTCTGATTATTCCCTCGCCAACAAAGAATGATTAATCGACTTCCCACCCCGCCCTCCTTCCGTCCTGCACCCTTGACGCCCATCCCACGCCCGCCGCAACGACGAGCGCCAGTCCGAATATCAATATCAGCACCACAGCGTCGTCGTCGCTTTTCATCCAGCCAGGCATGCCTCCCGCTTCGCAGGTGCAGCGTGAGAGGTAGCAGCGGGGTGGGGCGCCGGAGGGGCAGGTGAGTGTGCTGGTTGTAGATCCCATATTTGGCTTGGGGAAATGACAAGTCGAGGGACCGAGTGTCTGGCTGTGTGTTCCGTTCGAAAGTCGAAGTGAAGGTGGTTGACGGGGGCTGAGATTGTATGTGCGGTTTAGATCGACTGTGGGTGGTCCGGCACGAGGTGAAGGTGAAAGTCCTTTTTTGAGAAATAAACAAACCGCGGTGCACGTGTGCGCACTTTGAGAGGTTGTCGATATGCAATTACTCGTCCAGGCGCACGTGCAGTGCTTCCACCAACCGTTACACATTGGGCGATGAGGGAGCACGAGCCCAAGAAGGCGATGTGATTCTCACCATGCTAAAGAGCGCCAGAACACCAGAGACAAGCCCTGGAATGTATCGTCGAATAGTCGCCCCAAACTCCAGCACCCGGTGAAACATATAGCCTCCCACAGAACCTCAAGTGCTCTGCATGCCCATGTACAAAACCCTACCATACTCCAAAACTCCAATGCCAGGGTATATGCTGACCCGTGTAAACCTCATGCCCTTAATGCCACCCAAGTACCCCGCTCACCCTCAGCCCAACACCCTCCCTCCTTCATCCTCGTCGTAGTAAACCTCCGCGTCGTCAACCTCCCCACACCGCGGGCGCTTATCCCTCTCCGTGATCTTCGACAGCGCCCGAACAATCCAGATAACCCCAACGAGCAACACAAGGAAGACGAGGCCGCCCAGAACCCAGGTGTACTCGTGCATCCACTTCACGAACGGGCCGTCGAGTGAAGTAGCGGAGAAGCGGGTGCATAGGAAGCACGTCGAGTCGCAGGTGCAGCTTCCCAGGTAGCAGCGTGGGGTGCCGCCGTTAGGGCATGGCTTTGAGTGTTTGGGACCCATGGTGTGTGTAGTGAGACTGGGGCGTGTGAGCTACCGGCGTGAGCGAAAGCGTGCGAGGGACGCAAGACTTACCCAGGTTGTTATAGTTCTGCAATTGTGACGAAGCTGGTGGTCGAGTTTTGGGAGCTCGAGCGGGTGGATGGGTGGTGTAGAAATTGGTTGTGTGCAACAGAAGAAATCCAGTCGACGCTTTTTATATTCTCTTCTCTGCAGACAAACGGAGCGTTGAAGGTGTGAACGCGGCTTGTGGGGTTCTCGTCGAGGTCAAAGCTCTAGCATTGGATCCTGGTGAAGGGAGAGATATCAGCCGTGTGATCAGACTTGTCTGTCAGGTATGTTAGTTCAATGATCGTGCCGTTTACAGTCCATCCCTTATATCGGGATACCCTCGCGCGTATGGGGTCCGGGCGGCCACGGAGTGACGCACTTCGTGTGAGTCCTTCTATTCTCTATCACATTTCACCTCCAACGGCGTGATTGTGCAACAACAATCCAGCGGGACAGCACTGACACGGATTCGATGCTGACATCGAACTTCAAAACATCTCAGCAGCAGAACACCAAGATAACAATATACAATATTCGACACATCAAACACCACCACACCTACAGCTGAGCCGGCTATCTTTGGTAATACTATACAAACGCTCTGGCCTCTACCTGTCCATACCACCATCTTTTGCGACACAAAGGTGCCAGGACAAAAGGTAGAACAGCACTCAGTAAATGAACGCTACAATGAACAAGGATAACAAAAGAAGAGAACCCATCTACATGCTATCACAGATAAGAGCTTTTCCTCACCAACACATGCGGTCAATGGAAGAAAGCAAAACCCTCACTCAACCTCATTTCCCCCGACTTGCCTTCCGGTCCAACTTCGGACTCCCGACAAAACTTCCCCTCGGACTCCTCGACCCACCCACCGCCGGCGTCATAAGCGGCACCCTCTCGATGCCAGCTTTACTCTCAAACACTCTCATAACGAGCGCCTGCACCGCCCTCTGGATATCGTGCGCCAGCTCGGTGCCCAATAGCCCCACAACCAGCGGCGCGAAAACCTCCACATGCTTCTCAAACTCGCCGGGCGGAAACCCGCAGTACCCGTCCAACACGCTGACGACGACAGGCCGCCAGGTGACGATGTTGCGCTGCTGCGTTTCCTCGTCGAGCTCAATGTACGACGATATGATGTCCTCGCAGAGCGGAATGAGCGCCGCTTCTGTGTCCGCGCGCGAGGCGGCGCGGTCGGTAGAGGTGTCGTGATACATGCGGAAGAGGATGCTGACGTAAACGGAGGCGGAGCCGGATTCTTGCTTGAGGAGGTTGGGCGGTTGCTTCATGAAGCCTTCTCTGAAGAGGCGGGTACGGAGGTCGCGATCCGCGTTGAAGCGCTTGGCAAAGTGGTAGGATTTCTTGAGGACGGCCATGAGGCGGAGGAGCTCACCCGAGGGGATTTTTTCGTAGACTGCGTCGTTGGTAAAGAGCTCTTGGACGGTTTCAATCATGAGGAGCTGGAGAACGCATTTGGTGATGATCTGGTTGAAGAAGCGTCGACGGGCAGCGGTGACGACTACGGGGGGTTGCGGGACGTCTTGATTTTCAGGTCGGAAGTCTTCAAGCTCTTGGGTTTGACGTTTGGGCAGTGGCGATGGCATGCGTTTTTGCTCTGCGGCGAGAGAGTTCGTGGAGTCATTTGTTACTATGGACGGTCGACGTGGGCTGTTAAGGCCGTTGATTCCAAGGGCGTTGTTGCTGGTTGATTCCTCTTCCCTAGGATTCTGGAGCGAAAGCTCTTTCGCGGGTGCTGTAGGGGTTTTCTCGCCATCAACTCCATTGAAGCCATTGGGGGTCTGTGACTGGGACGGTGTGCCTGCTGTGGCAGCCGACATCAACGCTGTCGCTTCAGTCCGTACAAACAGGTCGACAAATGCCCTGACGATCTGATTCCAGTGCCTGGGGGTGAACTTCTGAACGTTCTGCAATACCAATTGCTGCAAACAATTACTGCCGATTCGAGCAAGGGTATCGTTCTCCTGGCAAATACAGAGTGCCAGAAGATCAAGAAAACGATCGAGCATGTATTCTAGAGATTCAAAAAAGTGAGTGAATAGCCGGACCATATTTCGCAGAGCCTGGATCATCGTTGTGGAAAGCCAGACAGACAATTCCTCGTGGTTTAGGACCTTCGACATCTCCGACTTCGACTTCAATACCATGAAGATGGGGTAGAGTAGCTGCCGCCAGAGCATATCCCAGAAGTCCCTCGGGAAGTCGCCACCGTAGGTTATGAGAGTCTCAAAGAGGTAGCTGAGTGCTCTTGATCGTACCTCCAGATCTTCGCCCGTCATCAAGACATCGTGGAACGCAAACAGCACAGGGAACCAAAACTGCTCTTCTTGCGTCTGTCGAGTCGGTTGCTTGGGTATTGATGAGCCTTTGTCAGACTCTTTCACAAATCCAGCTCTAGCCGAGAGCGAACACTCGGGGGTACGCAGCATCTTCGGTACGGATGACTTCAGTAATTCGATAGCTTGTAGTGACTTCTTCTGGAATTTGTAGTTCTTGGAGAACTCGGTGAGGCAAACGATCAAATCTGCGAAAGCGCCTTGCGAGATCACTACGCCGAAGCGCGTGTTGTACACCTGCGATACATTCTCGAACGCAAGATTGACGATGCCCTCTATCAACATATATTAGCTTTGCGCAACTGACAAGACATTCGACTTACCGTATGGCTCACGTGCAGCCACAGTGAAGACTCCAAACATAGTCTTCCAACCAGAGCGAATATTTTCGCCTCGCGCCTGGATCATCTGAATGAGACAACGCAGTACCATGTCTTTGACCGACACGACACTAGCATTGCTAATGATGTGTTCAAAGGGTTTTAGAAAGTCCTTCTGAAATTTGAAACCAGGAAGCTCTTCGATTTCCATAAACTTCATCGACAGTTGTCGCAATGAGTTGAGAGCAAAGTAAACAACGTTTGTGTTTGTGTGGCAGCCGACTTCGTTGAAATGTGCGCCAAGTATTTGCCAGATGTTCGTCCATTCGAAACGAACACGAGTCATATTGTAGCCGCTAATCTCGACGAGTTTCTGCAAGCTGTATGTGCGAGGCGACTCACTTTGGCCTGAGGACTGGATCTCCTGCCAGCTGACTTGGGTCAGCGCCTTGACGAAGTCGACGATGGCCTCTCCAGAAAGGTTGGCTGTGCTAGTGAATATCCGGTCAACGCCTCTCACAATGTCAGTGGAGCGGCTCTCCTCGGCAACGTCCGCCTGGAATTGCATACTGTTCGTATGCGAAATTTGTCGTCTCCTGTTATTCGGCACATTGAGCGATTTTCGCGATTGCGTTCCACCTGGCGACTGGGTCTTCAAAACGTCAGGTACTGAGCGTTCATCGATCCCGGCCGATATGAGCTGGAAGCGGTCGAGTTGAGAGACGCAGGTTAACACCTCGCGCCAAGACTCCCGCAACAGATTGCCCTCTGTGTTTGCAATTTCAATCAAAACCTTCAGAGCTTCCATGTTCTTGGCTTTCATCTCACTCAGATTATAGAGATTGGTGAAGCGAGCCAAGAATGCAACGAAAGCTTGTCGGGCGCTCTCCACATCGAATATGCAGGAGATGCGAATGGCCAGTTTAATGCCTTCAATACAGAGCCTTACTATTTCAATGTTGTGATCCTGGGCTTGACCAGACAGCGCGGTAAGGAAAGGCATCCAGGTGACCTCGAACATTGGTCCAACGTGTTTAGATGAGGATGCAGGGATGAACTTGGAGACTGGCAGTGCCCTTGTGGTCTTTCGTTGAGCGCGGAGAAGCTGTTTGTACAGTTGTTCGGTCTTGTTGGCCATGGCCTCCGATGCTTGAACGTAGACTTCTCTTTGAAGATCTCGCCCACCACCAATCAAAGCTTGACCGACTGCAGCCAATCCTCCTTGTTGTTGAGGCTGTAAAAGTCCTTTATCTGCTGCAGCTTCTTGTTCTGTTTGCAACACAATCTCCTTCTTCGCGATTTCCTCGTAGATATCTCGAATATACTCATCCGGTAAATCGGCACCGTCATTGATACCACGGTTGTTCTTGATGAAGTCTTCTAGAGTCATGCGAGGACCTTTCATCTTCTTGCTGTGCTGATCCACATTCAGCATGATTACTGAATATGAAAGAACATATGCGGTGTCGGCGTTTGCATAAGCATTAGGATTACCGGTGGTATACCTTTCGGCGAACTTCAGCATAAATCGATCAATTTTCTGAGCCTCGCCAGGTAACCGAAAGCATTGCAGGAAACGTCGCAGAGCGTCAGTGAACCGCGTCTTGGTGAAATCCAGCTGGTCCACGAAAGCGTGCATGATTTTGATGTTTTCTTCATTGCCTTCTCCTAGGAACTCGCCAAGCGGTCCCTTGTCCACGAGATCGGTCTCGTGGAAGAACCGGGCAATGTCTTCGGGAGATTCTGATGCGATGAATCCTTCTTTGATCAACGTCTTCAATCCGCGCTTTGGTTTGTAATTGAACTCGCGGACAGCCCTTGTTAGAGCGGTCTTCTTCTGCTTCGCCTTCTCCAGTTCACCATAATCGTCCTCCACCATTGGTGTCACGGTCCCTGAGTCACCTCCCACATTTGGAGATTCGGAAATAGTCCTGTTATCGGTAGAAGCCCTGAGGTTGTCGACCGAACCCCTCAAATCCACAGTCGAGTTTCTTGCACCGCTGGTGACAGACTGTTCCGACCAGTTCACCAGCGATCGCAGAATTTCCACAAGGCCTTCTAACGACTCCTGCTTCATAGCATATTCGGGTGGATACGCGTGCTCGCTTTCATGAGGGACGTTCATCGATGCTGTGGATAACGAGGGAGGCAAAGTCCCTCTGGTCTGCCAATCCGAAGCCTTCGCTTGCTTCTCGCGCTGTTCTTGGTAGGCCTGTTGCTGCATAGGCGACACAGTGACCGGCGTGCTTGATATCTTGGAAAGATGCTCAACAACGCGTTGGTACATGTTATCGAGCGCGGTGCGATCGCAGTCGTAGTTGAGGTAAATTTCTACCAGCGCACGAGGATCAGCTGCTAACCGTCGAAATACTGTCAAAATGTATTGTTTTTGGAACGCCGGTGCACTTCTCTTGTCTAGGGTGGCAAGGTAGATCTCCTTCAAAAACACCTCGACCTCCTTCTTTAACATGACGCGCAAGTATTTAAGCATGTGCCAGAAAATCTCGCACGTCACCTCGAAGACCTTGTTGACAGAGCTCGCACCGTTGCGACTCAGGCTCAAGCAGAGGTACTGCTTGATTGCCTGTACAAACGTAGTGGGCTCATCGCCACTGCCGCTTCTTATCGTTGCAAATGGCGAAATGAAGACGGCAATATTGTTGTGTAATATGGTGTGAATGATATGAAGAGACAGCAACTTTGAGCGCATCCCTTGCGACTTTACATCCAGCGCGTGGTCCACCGCAAGGGTCTTAGTGCTCAGCCTGCACATGGCGCGGAAAACCAGATAAGCATCTTTGACAAATATCTCATCTTCTTCCTCTTCGTCTGAGCCTTCGCCCTCTTGCGGATTTGGCGAAGCTTCTACGCCAGAAACTTGCCTTGACCCTGGCTTGCCCTTTATCCGTGTAACTAAGGTCGGCGCGTTGTCGTGTATCCGGTCGTCGTTGAAGCTCATATTGTTCTCGAAGCTCTGCAGAGTGATCTTGGGGCCGGTGTGTTTGTCTACTGGCTTGTCGCTGGGCTCACCAGACTCGGGGTCATATCGCTCCTCTTCCGCATCATCTGTGCTTCTTTCGGTACCATTTGTGAATTCTGTTTCGACCTCGGCCTCCTCGGGGACATTCTCTTCCGAAGGGTCCTTGTCGTTCAATGACACGCGTGAAAGGTTGACTCTAGCTTCTTTCGCTGCCAGCCTGCTCTTGACTCTTTCAAAGACCGTGCCAACCATCTGTGTCAATGCTCCCTGCGCGACCTGCTGGTTTGCGCTCGACTTGGAAAGCAAGAAGATGTTGTAGGTTAATCGCACAGCCTTCAGCAGTCCCGCACCGTGTACTACGATCTTGTCGTTGAGGATGGCAGCTAGCAAGGACTTGACGATCTGGAGCTGCACATCCGGCGGAGTCGCTTCACCCTGGAAGCACTCGCATATTGTGTCTATAGCCTTCTCGATGAGGGGCGCAGCCTCATTGTCGCCCTGCGACTCGGAAGGCACGGAGAAGTACGAGTAGCTGATCAGCTTACCTATGCAGTCCAACGCTACTATCGAAACGGGCACTGATGGAGCCTCGGAGGCTAGCTGAAGCGGTTGGAAGAGTATCTCGGGGTTTATGCGTGAAGGGTCGCCCTCTGCTTTGATAGCTGCCAAGGCCGTTGCGACCGAATCCCCCAGCTTCTTGTTCTTCTTCGCATCTTTGGATGCAGCTATATTCTCCAACGCTGTAATTACAAAGACCAGCGAGCTCCGTGCCGAGGGTCGCGTGGCTGTTGTTGCAGCCGTGGCGGTCGTGGACTGCGAATCGGTGCGTGGACGCGTGTCGCTGTGCATGCGCTGGTCGAAGAACTCGGCGGTGCGCCGCGAGTCTGCTTCCTCTGGCTCAGGCACATTGAGTTTGGGGGTCGGGGGAGTAGGTGTGGGCATCTCCGCCGGCGTTTGTGGTGCGCTGGAAGTCGGCGGAGCTCTCTCGTCTGTGTCTTCGGATGCCGCGTGGGAGCCTGCATCTTCGTGCATGTCCTCCTCTTCTGCTGCGGTTGTTTCCTGCTGCATCTGCCCGCTCGGCCACTTGTCCTCGACCTCCGGTGAGTCTGGCGAAGGCTCTGTGTCGGCCATTATGGATTGTGGGTGTGCTCGTGATGCGCTGTGTCCCTGCGGTTGCTCCTTCTTTAGTATCTGCCCCTCAAGCTACCATTGCGGAGGAAGGCACTCGACGGAAGGCGGCAGGTACTGTGGGCTGTGCCTGCCAAGGTAATGCAACCAGTCAATAGTCGCAGAAGAAGGCCACCAAAGGTGCGCTGTACTGTACAATTCAACGTGGAATGACAAAGTGTCTTTCGCATCAGCCTCCTAACCCGTCCCGACGTTGTGCATCCCTGTCAGCGCGCGGCGCTCGCCCGTCGCAGCTCCGACTGTGGCCGTGCCTGTGGCTGCTGCTCCCTGCTCCTGTCGGGGACTAACAGCGAGATTGTCTTGGCCGGCCGCTACGGCCAACAGCTAAACACTTTGATTCTGTTGGGCGCGACAATCTCTCCATCTCCCAGCACATCGATTCTCCGACTCTCGAGCGCGGGCTCTCCTCCTACATCTTTCCCTCGCTCCTCCCGCAAACAGGTGCTGCCTGCCTTCGCTCCTTGAGTGCCCCGGGAAATTTTCAGCGGACCCATCGGCATCCCGTCACAATGCCTGCGACAATGACCTTTTTGTCCCGCGCGGGATCCCAATTGACCTCGAGAGGTTCAATTACCCTGCGAGGAAGCTTGAACGCATCGTACGTTACTCCTGCGTCGTCATCCCACGCCCAGGGAAGCTTTGCTGACCTGTCTGCAGCCGACGAACACCAGCTTTCGCAGCTCTCGCCAGATACTATGCCTCCAAGTGTGAGCCTCACATTCCTCGCTGTCTGATCAGAGACGACCGGAAAACATGAATACTGATTGCGCCATGTACAGCCTTCCCCTCGCACACGGTGGTCAGCATGCCTGCACTGTCCCCTACCATGACCGCGGGAAACATTGGTACCTGGCAAAAGAAGGTCGGCGACACCATCGCGCCGGGAGATGTGTTGGTGGAGATCGAGACGGATAAGGCCCAGATGGACTTTGAGTTCCAGGAGGAGGGTGTCATCGCCAAGATTCTCAAGGACTCTGGTGAGAAGGATGTCGCAGTTGGCACCGTGAGTTTCTCTTCCTTCGGCGGAGCATACGGCTTATGAGCTGGCATTACGCACCGGACATTGGAACATCATTTGGAAGTGTGGCATAGCTAACTTCGACCAGCCGATCGCAGTCATGGTTGAGGAGGGCGAGGATGTCTCTGCTTTCGAATCATTCTCGATTGAGGATGCTGGAGGCGACAAGAAGGCCGCTGCGCCGTCGAAGGAAGGCGAGGCTGCTGAAGCCAGCGAGCCACCGAAGTCGGGATCCGGCACTGCTCCGCCCGCAAAGGAGGAGGCTGCTCCCCAGGCCATCGAATCTGACTCCTCCGGCAAGCGTCTCGAGCTCTCCCTCGACCGTCACCAGAAGAAGAAGGACGAACCCGTCCAGCCCGCTGCTGGAGCTCCCGCGACTGCACCAGCAGCCGTTACATACGAGGACATCCCTGCGACCAGCATGCGCAAGGTTATCGCCGCTCGTCTTACCCAGAGCATGCAGCAGAACCCTCACTACTTCGTGGCCTCCAACATCTCCGTCTCCAAGCTGCTCAAGCTCCGTGAAGCGCTCAACGCCTCCTCGAAGGGCGAGTACAAGCTCTCAGTCAACGACTTCCTCGTCAAGGCTGTCGCCGTCGCCGCACGCAAGGTCCCCGCCGCCAACTCATCATGGCGCGAGGAGGGTGGAAACGTTGTCATCCGCCAACACAACGTTGTCGATGTTTCCGTCGCCGTTGCCACTCCTGTCGGTCTGATGACCCCCATCGTCAAGAACGTGAACGGTCTCGGTCTCCAGACTGTTTCTTCTTCGATCAAGGACCTTGGTAAGCGCGCGCGTGACGGTAAGCTGAAGCCCGAGGAATACCAGGGCGGAACCATCACCATCTCTAACATGGGCATGAACGCTGCCGTCGAGCGCTTCACTGCTGTTATCAACCCCCCTCAAGCCACCATCGTCGCAATCGGCACAACGCAGAAGGTCGCAGTACCCGGCGAGCTTTCAGAAGACGGCACACCGAGCGTTGAGTGGGATGATCAGATCGTCATCACCGGCAGCTTCGACCACAAGGTCGTCGACGGTGCAGTCGGTGGTGAGTTCATGAAGGAGCTGAAGAAGGCGATCGAGAACCCGTTGGAACTCATGCTATAGAGTCATTGTAATTTTCTAGGCTGTAGAAGTTAGGGTTACGGATGGAATTGATGGGGATGTGGATGTGTAAGCTTTATCTGAGCGAGCGGTGTCTTGGCAGAAATCTTGTACAATGGATGGCAGTTGATTTTACAGTCAGATTGATGTCTGCGTTGTTCTGCATAGGTCTTGCGTCAAAGGATAGAAGCTTATTTCCATATGTTCACGGATGTCACTGAGGCTTCTCTGGTGACTTGAGCACAAATATCCTACACAGGAGTCGTTCCACCTTGAGTTGATGCTTTACTGTTTGTCGAATTGTGTGCATCCGCAAAGTTTGGGCAATGCTTCGACGGTGTTCTGGAAACATTTACGATTTGCGTTTCTATCTACCTGTTTGCTAATCTGCCAGCTTGAGAATAGAAAAAAGCATCATAGTTCTAGCATCTAGCTCCCATCATCTACTCCAGCTTCAGAGGCATCTACTTGTATATGTTCTAAACCTTTGACCAGACTTTTCGAAAAAATAATTTTACTGATTCCACGGCCCACTCGTTATGGCAAACTACTTCTGTCCCAGCCTCAAAGTAGGCTTATCCGACCCCTGCGATATCGACACCAAGGACAACGTCGTACGTCAGTATCAAAACGCTTCCGCGGTTACAGCTGCGGTGCTGCTTGCCGGTAATGCCAACTCTAGTTCTTGCTGTTTGTGTAGAGAAAGAGATGACTGATGAACATATGTAGGTGTAACAGTCTATTGGGTCTGGGTCAGGAGAAGGGCTCGCATACTCAGGAACCTATGGTTGGCGAACATGGACTATGTGTGAGAGAGGTCGTGTTTTCTCGAGTCGCAAAGCCGATACAGGATCCCACAGGAAGGGTAAATGAGGATGGGTCGTTGACTTGAATACGTGATATGAAGCTTGAAATTCCTACAGACTAGCAACAACAGCAGCAAGCATCATGCCCAATCCGTCCATCTCTGCGTACCACTTCCCTATCATATCATCCACAAGGTCTGCACTCATGTCGCTTTTACTCCGCCCTACGCCACCTAGCTTCGCGATTATAAAGTCGCCCACGGTTTCGAGGCGCGGTGCGCTGTCGCTGGTTTGTTGTTGGACGTAAAGCCGTTCCCACGCCGCCCGAGTGCGGGCTTCCCAAAGCGCCTTGCTAGCGGGGAGGATGTGGTTATTAGGATTGACGATTGGGTTGGAAGGGTCGTTGCCGATGGTGAGTGCGAGGAGGAAGCAAGTCACTGAGATCCTCCGACGTGTTTCCTCGCAGATCCATTCCTCCCATGTAGGTCGCGTGTCGCGGGTATGACGAGTGCTGAAAGGAGTGGCGGTAAGCGCGGACCATCGGAACGAGAGTTTCTCCATTGTTCGGACAATGCTAGAGTTGATCTCGGAGTAGCTACGGCCGGAGATCGTGACGCGCATTATCCCGTAGAGCATTATTGATTGGAGCGCTGCTATCGATTCGCCTAGCGAGAATTCGTTCATTTTGTCGACGATGTGTTTGTGTTCGCTCTCTATGATGCGCCATATAAAGTCGTTCATGCCGTCCGAGCAGGGTCGGGATGCGAGCATGCGTGCAGTACTGATGCACGCTTCCAATTGTTTCAGGGGTGGGGCTCCGTCAAATATTCCGCCGTGGATGATGCTTGCATTGGGTAGCCGGCCATCGAAATGCAATCTACAACCATAGGGATGAATGAATGGCGGTAAGTTGTTCTCCTGCGCAATCATACGAGGATATGAATCGATAATCGACAGGAGGAACTGTCGGCAGCCGTTAGATAGGAGACTTGGGGCACTTAGTGGTCGTGTAACTGTCAAAGATGGAGGATTTGCGAATGAAAGTGTGTTTTGAGCGATAGTTAGACTTGGTGATGGCTCGATAGTCCGAGCTATGCCATTGTCAACAGTATCTGAGATTCCATGTGGGGTGTCTACAAAGATGTGTGGTAACGAGAAGTCTTTACGTTGATTTGAGTCTCGATGATGGCCTGCGGGTAGTGCGTATCCTGATTGATCGAAGACGTTGATATCGGTCAAGTCATCCAATGTGATTGGTGGAGTGTCTTCAGGACCCCTATGGGTGGTCTGTGTCTCTTTTCCGGTGTGCGCAGACGTGTGTGGCTCATGGCGGGCAATCCTGCCACTTAGGTCGAGGACAGATTCATGGTTCGGTACCACTCTGCCTCCGGTTCGATCTGCGGCGAACACTGGGGGCCGATTCCTACCGTAGGAGCATGGGAGTTGCTTATCGGTACAGCGAAAGCAGGGATCTTTGAAATCGCATTTAGTTTTGGCCGAACGGCACGAATGACAGGCCTTAGGCCGAGTCTGTTGTTGCTGAGCAGCACGGCGTCGGCAATATTTGATGTGCCGCGTGCATGAGGTTTCTGCGATGTGTTAGTCTTGCCGTATTGACACAATTGAAAGCTGTTTGAGAGCAACGTCGAATCTACCTTGACTGAATGGCTTCCTGCATAGAGAGCAAAAGTACAATGGTTCTGAACCGCGGTTGATAGGTCTTGACCCCTCTTCGCCAGCCATCCAGATAGTCACCTAAGGGTAATTTCCGGTCGCATGTGATGACCGAGCCTGCCTCAGCCTGACAGGTAGTCCATGAGCAACGAACACGAGATGGTCGCGCTTCCTCTAGATCTTTCGAGTAGATCTACAGCGAATCCTACCTACATGCTCGGATTTCCCGGAGCGTCAACAAATCCGACCTGTGAAGAGCGGCTGACAAAGCGCGCTTTCCCGGAAGTGGTATGACTAAATCCTACCGGCCAAATTCGCCGGCCGATTTGGCCTTGGGTCCTACCTCAACTTCCACCACGATACAGGCGAAAACAGCGAGCTTATGTCCGCTAGAATGAACCCAGAACTGTTCCTAAGGAGGTATAAAAGATGGTTCAGTGGGGTCGGATGAGCTGCATGTCCTTTACTTGCACTCCTCAACCATCCAAGCATCCCATTCACAGCATATTTCATTCACAAGATGTCAAACCAAGCAGAAAACCTTGCGGCTCTTGTGCCAGCCGCAAAAGCTGAGCTTGTTGTCGAAAAGCGCCCAATTCCGACGCCTGGGCCTGATGAAGTTCTGGTACGCAACCACTTTATCGGACTCAATCCACTCGATTGGAAACGCCAGCTGTCTGGAATGTTTATTTCATCTTACCCAGCCATTTTGGGTACTGGTACGTGAAGCACAGATTCCTCAAATCTCATCTTTCCATAAGCTTGAAACAAAGCACTAACGGCCAAGCAGACTCAAGTGGCATTGTCGAATCCGTAGGATCGAATGTTACCAAATTCAAACCAGGCGATCGCGTCCTTGGAGGGGCAGATGGCATGATCTCCCAGAAGCCAGAGAATGCCTCATATCAAACCTACACCATATTCCGCGCGACTTCGACTTCAAAGCTGCCTTCCAACATCAGTCTTGAACAGGCTGCTACGCTTACGACAGCCACTGTGAGGCACCTGAAACAAATGATGCTCGGGCCTGCATGGATTGCTTACTGTTTCATCTAGATCACTTCGTACTTGATGCTCTTCCATGTGCTTGGCCTGCCAAAGCCCGAACTCAAGACCCCGCCGCCAAACGCTACCGTGCTCATCTGGGGAGGCGCCTCTACTGTAGGCAATCTTGCCATTCAGTTCGCTAAAGCGGCAGGCCTGAATGTGTATGCCATCGCGAGCAAGAAGAATCATGAGTACTTGCGATCTCTTGGCGCTAAGTTGCTCTTTGATTATCATTCAGACACTGTCGTTGAGGATGCCGTGGCTGCAGCTGAGCGTGAGGGAAAACCTATCGCTTACGTAGCAGACACTATCACCTCAGTGGCGACTCTGGGCTCCGTGCAGGATATACTATCCAAATCGACAGCTACCGTGAAGAATGTTGCACACACGGCGCCCTGGCCGGAAGACTTCAAAAAGCTGGACGGAATCAACGCTGATATGGTTCACGGTGAAGAGGTCTGGTACAAGCCTGACATGATTGAGCTAGGCTCTAAGGTCTTTAACGAAGATCTTCCGAAATGGCTTGAAAGTGGAGTCATCGTACCACCGCCTTACCGTGTGGTCGAAGGTGGTGTCGGGAAGATTCAGGATGCATTGAAAGTGCTCCAGGCGGGAGTGAGCAACCAGAAAGTGGTGGTGGGAGTCTAGTGGGCATTTTGTTAGAGTTTCAGCAGATTACAATTTGCTACCACTGTCATTATCTAAATCATGTACCTATAGAGCCCACAAAATGTTCCAATTTGGTGTTGTCTTCTAGCCTCTCCACGCAAGAATCTCATCTCAACTTACTTAGCAGGCGCAATTTCAGACTGCTCAATGCCAATATCTTTCTCCATACTGCTCGACTGCAAACCCTTCTTCCTCTCTGCTTCAGTTTCGTCTATCGGTAAAGGTCTCTTTCTGATCTGGGCCCACACCACTTGATGCATAGGCCTCATGAACAAGGCGTCCATCTCTTCCAGCGAAACACCTTTAGTCTCCGGTACGAACAAAAATGCCCAAATGCCCATACAAAGTAGTATCGACGCAAAGAAGAAGTAAGCACCATATCCGAGGTCGGAAATCATGTAAGGTGTACTGCGTGCGATGATGAAGCTGCCCAGCCAGGTATCCGCAGTGGTAAGCGACACACACAGCATGCGGATGTCGAGCGGGAAGATCTCAGACGCATATGTCCAGGTGATGCCCTGCCATGTGGCACAAATTATGAACGCATTAACATATACGCATACCATCGCGAGGTAACCCCAACCATCTCTGGTGACGTCTCCTCGCAAAGCAGCGGCAGCGGGGTCTGCGCGCATAACGTACCCACCGATAAACCACATGGGAATGCAGCCTAGAGCAGCCCCCCAGATGAGGCCGTTGCGGCGTCCGACCTTTTCGACGACGACGACGGTGAATGTTATCATTCCGAGGGTTTTTGCGATGCCGTAGAAACCGGTGGAGAAAAGCTTTAGGGAAGTGCCGGAGATACCAAGGGTCTCGAAGATGCGAGGAGCATAATATGTGATGATGTTGACCTAAAGCGATTGTCAGCCACAGAGCTTGCAACGGCTTCGAAAAATAAAACTTACCCCAGTAAATGACTGCAGAAACATCAAAGCAAGACCAATGCCCATGCGATTGCGAGTACCCTTCTGGAACAGTTTCTTGAATTGTGCCGACTTGTTCATGTGGTTCGTACTTCGCTCTTCGACTTGTGCGCGGATCTCGCTCATCTCGTGCATGATGTACGGATGAGACGAAGGTAAGCCGCGCACCATAGTCAGGATCTTCTCCGCGGCGTCGAAATTGTCACCCCTAGCAAGCCAGCGTGGAGATTCTGGGCACCAAAACATACCCAAGACCAACAACACCCCAGGAACCAGTTGCAATGATAGAGGAATGATCCATTGCGCCTTGTTGTTGACGTTGACAGTCTGGTCGGTGGCATAGTTGATCCAGAACCCTATCCATTGTCAGAATGCGGAATGAATGCGCCATCCATGTATCAAGCGAACACTTACCCAGCATGCCGCCGCCTTGCGAGGCGATTTCGAATATTCCAACAAGTCGACCGCGAATGGATGGAGGTGCGACTTCAGCGATGTAGACGGGAACAGTAAGCGATGACGCTCCGATGCCCAACCCTGCGATAGCTCTACCACCATAGATCAAGTTGAGATTGCCTTCCGCAGCGGTCTGGAGGGCTGCGCCTAGCAAGAACACTAGACCGGCTAGCATGACTGTTCTTTTCCGGCCAAATTTCTCAGCGATTGGAAAGGTCAACAAAGCGCCAAAGAAGCACCCAGCTTGAAATGTCGATACGATGTTCGCCTGGATGGTGTTGCGCGTACCCGTCGACACGTCCTCCCATCCGAAGTCTCGAATGAACGACTGCAGCGCCATTGTTCCGCCTATAACGGCTGTGTCGTAACCCACTGTTTTACTGTCAGTGAGCGCGTCCGAGAGGTGTAACCGTCCTCTTACTCGCAAGGGCGGACATCGAAGCCACCAGCGCTATTATGTGTATGCGCCAATTGCGCACCTCGGGCGGATCTTGCGTTCCATCTGCGTGAGTATTCCAACCCATATTGCCGACGTGATGGAGGTACTCTCAGCCTCGTAATGAGAATCTTTCAAGCACTAATGTCGTGAATGTCCTCAAGTTAGAAGGCCAGCTCTTGATTGCGCTCGCACAAACAGGCGGTCCCAACAGATACCCGCAGGCGCCGTGGGTCAGGGTCGTGGGGCCCGTCGTCTCCAGTTTCGACCAAATATATACTCGCCATATCGAATCCTTCAAAGAACAGGAAAATCTTCGGGATGCTCACGCGGGCTCGCATCGTTGCTCACACCTGCCACTTTTGTGATGGCCATTGTCTATATCCGGGGAAAGTACTTGGCGAGAGGTTGGCAAGCTTGGTGTATATGTTTTCATAGGTAGATTGTAACGAAGTCTCCCCGGAAGTTGTCCGTGGCTGCTTGGCGGGTGAAACTGAACGCGGGGAAGAGTGACGTGTGCGGGGAAGGAACGAGGCTAGTGTGAAGGATGACTGACTCAGACAAACCAACACCAGGCTAAACTTTTTCCTGAAAGACATCGCAAGATATGAGGAACTAGAGCGATGGAAATTTCATTTCTCATACTACCGGTCTGCCAAACGTTACCCGGCATTGATGGTTTGTATTATCAATAAGAATAACAGTTCGGCTTCGACGCCGGCCCCAAACATTCCACCTTCACGTTGGACGAGATTTTGATCCACACTCCTCGCGTGATTCGCTGCCCATCATAATCGTATTCCACATCTGCGAACGTAAACCCGTCTACGTCAACTCCGGGAGTAGTAACGTAACCCGATCCAGCAGTTTTACCATTCGCAAGGTACTTTTGGGTGCAGTTGATTGGTTCATCGCTTTACAAAGGGTCAGCAAATTATTTCGATGACCTTTGCGAAAAAAGACACCAACTGGAAGAAAACGATGATAACATCCAGGATGTACTCACTGCCCCGGCCAGTTCCAGAACTTGCACTTGTTAGGACGGCTGCTGGTTAGAGATGGATCGGTGGTATAGCGCAGCTCGCGGCCTGATTTATTGACAACCTGGCCTTGGGATGATATAAGCATCAAGAATTCTAGAGTCAATGAGTTCGAGACTCACCACAGTAATAACCTTTCCCCCCGGCTGGGTCTTTCGTACAGGTGTCGGCCAAGATGGGGGCTGCGAGAGCGACAAGCCAAAAGCAAGAGGATTTCATGTTGAAGGAAGGGTGAAGCTGCAAGTAGAGAGTTGATGGAGCTGTGATTTGTATCTAAGAGTATGAAAACAGGCTGGTTCGGGACGGCCGAGGTCGTTCTTTATACACTGACACCTGCCTACCAAACGCAGCCTTTTTGTGGTCCCCAGTCCTATTCGTATCTCGCACCTCGCATTCATGATCGTATAACACGTTCGTCGCTATTCTAGTTCATAGTCCAGATTCGTGCTCCCGTGTTGTGCGGCTGAATGGGAGACGAACATAACCAATCGGCATGCTGGCTTGTATGTTGCCGTCTCATCCCAGTCTTGCTTTTCTCCGGCAGTGTCAGCCCTCGGACCACGGAAGAAAATGAGCTGGAGCAGGTATTCGAGAAGATAAACCCAGAGATACGAGAATGCGGGGAGGTGGCGCAGCGCTAGACTCCGCAAGGGTTTCAATCATGCTAAATATACAATTTCAGTGATGCAAAGGTTCGTTCAAAGCTCTAGTTGTGCGGGTAGCGCAGAATAGATGGATGTAAGCCTACTGTCGCTGTTGCTGCACATGATCACAGAGTCCATGAGGTGAAAACCTTGGCCTTCAAGAACGTTATGGGTATCATCTAGCATGCGCTCTAGAGCCATTACTACAAATGCATGTCTTGAATATGACGGATGGGCTCGGAAGTTTTAACCTAGTAGATAGAGCCCTCCGCTTTCAATGCTTTCAATGCAACCATCCGTGGTAAGCTTCTCATAGACCTCAGTCACCACCTCCTCCAGCGCCGCCTTCTCCACAGTCACCACCTACTCCAAAGTCACCGCCTCCGCCAGAATCACCACCGGGTTGTGCAACTCCGAAAGCTCCCGCGTCGTTGCTCCGTCGGTAACGATTTCCAGGCCCTTCATGGCTATCAGCTCAATACCAATTCCCGTGATCTCCCATATGCTCCTCCAACAGCCTTAACTGGATCGTACTTACCGAAGATGGAATCCCGACCATTAGTGCCACTCTGTGTGTTTCCATCAACGTGTCCCTGCGAAGATTTTACACATCTACAGCAGCATGTCTTCTTTGCGGTGGTGGATGCCTTCTCGGAGTTCGAGTTCCATGCAGGGCGCGAGGGCGTGGGGTAAGAACCGGAGTCCCGAGAAGACTTGCTCGAGAAACAGCCCATTGTGTCAATACTTGTGTCTGTTTTGGGTAGCTGAGTGGGGTGCAATCTGCGTGGTATGCTGGAGAAGCTCGCTACTCTCTCAGAAGGGCGCGGTATGGTAAAATTCCGTGGGATGATATAGTTTACCAAGACTGAAGTACGATCAGACAGTAAAGATTGCTGATGGGGTCTTATAGAACATTGTTGATGGGCAAAACGACATTTTCTGCGTGCGCCAGTTTTCGTCAAGCTTCGCAACCATGGGTTGAAGTCAGGTTCCTTAATTGCGCAACGATTGAGATAGAAAGGCGCAGCTAGATTAATCAAGACGAACCTCTGACCCTGACCATGGTTTGAGAGCATCTCCTCTTTTGACTTTACCAAGATTTGAGTGCAAGCACTGACGCAGGTGAGATCAGTTCGGCAGTATAGGTTCCCATGCGATTGCGAGTAAATACAAGCTGACGTGTTCCACACTATACGTGCGGTTCGAGATGTGAAAGCGCGGGTCTTATTGATGTTGAGTATCGTAGGGCTGAAAGTAACCGCGGTACGATCAAATCGGCTCTACAACTAACGGACCCACTGCACAACTTCGTGAGTCCCTTCGAGCTCTGTTAAGCCCTTGTTCAACCAACGAAATCAAAATGACGTCGGTGTACTGACCAGGGCTCTCGGTAACCATTGATCTAGCAAGTCAAGTTACGGTCAATGTAATCATGACAATGTCAGTTTCAAGGGCTTTCGCGTCCGGGAAGTAACTGGACTCGATTTACTGTTACAGTGCATTCGATAGAGTTCCCAATGCGGTAGGGCTTGCGAGGTGCTATGCCTGTCACATCGCGTTTCATACCAAACCATCGCTTCCTTCACCAATCACGAATGTAAGACTTGTCGGTAAGTGTATGACTAATCGGAACGAGCCTCCGCTAGCGCTCGGCTCGATCCTTTCCATCAAGTTCAATGGTGCTCCGCATACCTACTCGTGCGAGATATCCTATTCCAGGTTAAATAGATTCAAAAACAATCAGGCGAACGCATTGCTTCTTTCTCAGCGCACATCTGACAATTTCTAGGTCGCTGTGACTCGGAGGTAGCAGTGATTGCAATCGAACATTGAAACGCTCCCTCAAGTGGAACCGGTGGTCTCCATCACGAATCTGTCAGTGACATGCTACCATGATCGCCGCTAAGAAGAGCGGAACTCCTTGCGACCATGATTCGACGATTTGTTGATGTACGACGCGTATCGTGCTGCGCATTCAGCCTTAAGGCAGACGGACCTCTCAAGCATCACCGTCTTGGGACTAGCGCTTGCCTAACTTAGCACCTCCACCCGATCCTTCGACGGCCGATATATGGCATAAAGATGAGCTCGGGACGATTGATATCGATATTACTGGCCATTTGGAATCTGTCGGCTTTCTTCTAATTCCAAGCACATTGAGAAAAAGGACACGATGACGGCCCCGAGTATACGAGCTGTATTTGAAGGGAGCGGTGAAGGGAGCGATAATGTTGAAGGCAAGATTCCTCCAGAACAAAACAAATGCAGGAGATTGACGAAAAATAGAGAACAATCGCCCCTCTTCTGGACGGGAAGAGGTGCAAAGTAATGCAGACCTTTACGCCCCGCCTGCGTATTCGATGACGACTAGCACTGGGGAAGAAAGTGTCGATGCGGAAGTCTTCAGGCCTGAGAAGGCTCCGCTTCTGGAGAGAAGGCAATCCGATGATCACCACGATCAACCGTCCCCGTCATACTCAGCTGGACCATCCGGCACTCGCGACGAGGGACCTCTCATCCGACGCTCGTCTACCATCGTTCCGGCCCGCAAACCCGTGGACTGGGCGAACAACACCGCAGATGCTATTAGATGCAGCGTTCTGAATGATCGACCGGCCACATGGACGGTGAAGAAAAAGAGAGGCATGGCGCTGTGTCCCTTGGCTGCCGCCGTTTTAGTCCGCGAGGGCATCCTCACCACCAAACAACTCGAGCTTGTACCATCACTCCTTGAACGTCCATCTTCTCCTTCTTCTTCACGAACAAACCCACATAACCCCACAGATCCCTTGTCAGCCGTCATCATAAGTAGTTATGATGTTCTCGGAGATATCTTGCTTGGGGCTGCTGGCGGCCCGGTAGAAGTAGCGCGCAAACTTGGGCCTCTGGCACGGGAATCAGAACGGAACGAAGCGCTGGCTCGGGAATCACAGGCATCGACGTGGGCGCGGGAGAACGAGCGGTCGACTGATAATGCACTGATGGTTGGTCCGAAAGCACTGGTGCACTATGGCGTCGGCACGTACAAGGGTTGTCGAAAAATCGTGGAGACAGCCATCAAAACTCCAATGACCTATACGCATAGCTTGACGAGAGGATTTCATAACGCGCCGAAGCTGTATGGGGAGCAATTGAGACCTCGCGAAGAGGTTGTCGACCTGAAGAGTGGATTTGTAGTAGGAGGAAAGGTATGTTTCGCCTCGATTCGATCAAGCGTTAGCCTAACAGCAAGCAGACGCTTGTACTGGGTACATATGATGGTGTCAAAGACTTCTTTTGGATGCCAGTCAAGGGTGCGCAAAAGGAAGGCATTGCCGGAGTCGGTAAAGGCTTCTGCAAAGGATTTGGAAACCTCACGTGCAACTTCGGTGAAGGTAACCGTCCCATCTGTAGATGTGTTGTTCGTATGCTAATTGCGTCCAGCTGCTGTCGGAATCGTTGGATATTCCTTTTACGGCATCTACAAAGAGATCCAAAAGTCGGCTTCGGGAGGAAACCTACCGGCTAGGAATGTAGTGTTGACGCTGGGCGAAGCTGAGTTTGAACAAGCCAACGAGGAGGAGCGGCGCAACGTCATCAAGCGGTGGCTTCAGGTGCAAATGAGGCAGAAATGATGAAAGGATATCGTCATATTATGTATTATGTTACAGCACGTCTGCAATCATCGTGCAAGTCGTTTGATCTTTCCCTGGAATGCGGTTGCCGCGACAAGCCCAGCTTCCAATCGACAGCCGGGATGTTTCCAATTGTGTAGTGGAGGTGAGCCGAATTGTCCAGTCCACATCCGACAGAAAGTTCCATCTCCCGCACCGATCGAACATACGATTGGGCGAGTGCCGTTAAGTTCGCCGCGAATGCTTGCGTGCATTGGACGTTATGTTTGCTGTCGCGGTAGTGTTGACTTTGCATTCTGAGATTGATGAGATCATGGTCTCTGCTGACTAGATGAACTGCATCGAATCATCAATGTCTATCATGGCGGTCATGCGACCCCGGAAGTTCGCTTGGTGACCTTAAGCGTTCTGATATCGGCATCTCTGCTGGGGGTGAGGTCGCGTAAAGTTCGGAAGCGACGTAACCCGAATGTGCATATTTTTGTTCATCACCGTAAACTTGAGGCTGCAATGCGTATTTGTCTTCCACCTCGCGCTGCTTGGCCAGCTTCCGATATCCATATGCTTTGTGACCGAAGAAGGCGGCAAGTAAAATGGCGATGACACCAACAGCAGCGCCAGCACCGATGCCTGCCTTGACTCCTGTAGACAACTCATTATTCCCTGCTTCTGTCGCTTTGCTTTCGGACGGTGTAGGTGATGAGGTTGGTGAAGCTTGAGACGATGTTTGGTCAGTGGCTGTAGGTGAGGATGTAGACGCACTCGCTGTGACCGCATGCCCAGTGAAATTGCTCGGCAGCTCAACAACTCCCATGTTGTTTGTGCAGCAAGAATCGCTATCGCCACAACACCACTTGGTAACCTCCCTGGTATCATCGAGTGCATTGTAACTGCCGTCTCCCGAAACTCCACACGGTGTCATCCTTGAACCCCCAGCTGCGTCGCGAGTGTGTCGGCATACGTCTAGACATTCGCTACTTTCCGGGTCTGAATTGGTACAATATTCAAGCCACCAGCTCGTCGTTGCCACTCCATTTGCCATGCCGCGGTTTTGACACAAACCGTTCGATAAGCATTCGTCCTGGGTCCAGCCCATCTCGTTGGTCTCGTTACCGGGTGTGTTCGCCCGGTTTAGGCTACAGCACATTGTGGACACTCCGTTTGAGCATTGCTTAATCTCAGGGTTGTTGGTCTCTGTACCGTTCGCGTAATAACATGGCGATGTGCCAAAAGCGAAGATTGTTGTCGCTAACGAGGAGCACAAGGCAAGAGAAGAAAGAATGCGCATCTTGAGAGATTTTTGACGAGGAAACTCGCGCTCGAGGGAAAGAACGGAAAACAAGGAGCTTCGCAAACGCATGGAGACGGCCGCATGTGTACCTTACATAGCAACCTTCAGCCCCAATCAAGTCCGGAAAGCATTGTACCCTTGTCAGATGGCCTGAAAATGGCGTTGTAATTCGCCTGGGGGCGAATAAGAGGGCTGGAGCACGCAAAGGTAAGCGCTCAGCCTGATGCTTCATGCCCGAGTCCTTCGCGAATAGTCGTGGCTAGAGAAGAAGAGGATAACGTTCCGGCCCAGAACGTGCTGCACTTTGCGTCCTCGTCAACATTTTCGACCACAGAAGGGCCATTCAAGCTCTCTGTTTCGGAAGCATCCCCCTGGTGCTGCGCCGCACAGAGGCATACCAGAGGTGCGGTAGCCGGTCAACTGGAGAGATCTTGGAGCGAGGCGTAAAGCCCGCAGGAGGCTCGGAACGAATTTTTAGATTGCATCTGTCGTGTTAGCCTTGGCGAGCCGTAGACGGGTGCTGGATTGGAGAGCTGGCTTGAGTGAAATGCGACGGAAGCGCAGAACTTCTGTTGGGCACATTGCCGTGACATCTGGAAGTCATGGGCATTCCATCGCTTTCATCGTCCAGACAGGCACATGAAGCCTTGTATCTCTTTTAGAAGATGCTGAATGCACAGGTAATTGCAGGGCGCGGTGTAGGTGGTTACAAGGCGAACATTGTTGCCTAGCCCCAGCCCCCAAACCATGGCACGGACCAAGTGGTACCGGCGTCCAGATCGCGCTTGCCTGCGATAGATGCACAGACTTTACATAGTGTACGCTGCTTCCGTAATGACTCGGATTCGCCTTCCTACTTTCTCTTTGTTTGATGGAACAGCTACTTTCTCGCAAGGTTTAGCGAGGTTATCTACGAAGTCGAATATCCTTCGCATTCCTATAATCTTCGGCACTGGCGACGTCCGGCCGATCCTGAAAGGTCACGATGTCGATGATGCATTCTTCGGACCGAAGAAGTCCCTCTGTCGGTCCTGAAGGCCTCGTAGTCGAGTCGACTAAGGATATTTACACACTAACAAATGAGGCGATCTAGCGCCATCTCGCAACGGTTCCTCCTTCGCTCAAACACGCACTATTTAGCCTCGATAGGCTCTTCACCATGTTTAAGGCTCACCGCTAATCACACCACGCATGGCACTAAAAGTACTGCGATCGATACCTTTCAAAGAGTTACCTGACAGGGCAAGTCCGTGGCATCAACCGTAACCTAACAAGTCCGGCTTAGCGTTGGGACCCTGACATTGCTGTTTCATTATTCCACTTTCGTATCTGGGGGTGCGCCCATATTTCCTAAGTTGACAATTAACATCTAAACACGGGCAGAGGCAAATGCGGCCCGCTCCTATCGTGCGTGGCATGAGATGCACGATGACCACAGCGCGCGTGATCAGCGACCCATTCGTAGCGCGCCAGCGCACACCTCTAGAGTCCGCACTCCACATTTCTGCATACTCAACACCAACTGCAACTGCTACTGGAGCTGACATTTAACGACATTCTTTCCGACTGGAGAAGCTGACGGTTTTGGTAGACGTTCGGGTGATTATGACGACATGCGGGGAGCGGCGCTGCTGGCGCTGGCGCTGGGGAAGCAGAAGTGCAGGGGCTGTGTGGGATAGGCCGTGGGGGAGGAAAGAGATATAGTCGCGTGAGAAGACGGTTGAGAAGGAGACATATTCTTCAAACTTCACAAACCACATCAATATCATCCAAATGAGTACACGATACGCAGCACAGCCATACCGTGAGTCAGAATCATTTCCCACTTCCCAGCTCAGGCATATCCTCCGTATACGGAAACTGACAACACCAGACATGGACGACTACGGAGGCAGACATTATCCCCCTCAACCCGAAGCCCAAATTCCGCCTCCGTCAACTGGACGATCTCGTCATCCTCGACCTGAACCCCAAGTTCCGCCTCCGTCAACTGGACGGCCTCGATATCCTCGCTACGACGCTGTCCCAGAGAAAGAACGTACGCCACACCTCCCATCCTATCACCCGTATCAATCATTTACTCACGAAACCCCAGACCGCCGTCGGCCCCGCGCAAACACCTATCGCCCACCCCTCCCCTTCTTCATCCAGCTCCTCAGCCAGCCCACAACCACGCCGGCCTCCTCCTAGGCGTTCTCCTCGCAACCACGAACGCTCACCACCGGAAGAAGACTACTATGCACCTCGTCGTCGTCGCCATAGAGAGGAAGACTACTTCTCCGACAACAGGCATGATCGGCGTCATCCTCATCATCGTGAACGCGATGTTCACCGGGAACGAGACATTCACCGGGAACGAGACGATGATAGGGAAAGGATGCCGGTAAGGCCCCACCCAGAGAGAGAGGTTGATGAGCCGAGGAGGAGCAGTGGGAGTAGGCCGGTGCGTCCGAGAGCAGAAACTAAGGGAAGTAAGTGGCAGAAGGAAGGCAAGAAGTTGTTCAACGAGTATGCGGTGCCGGCGATCAAGGCAGAGGGAACGAAGTATATTAGTAAGCAGCTTGGGAATATGTTGGCGAAGGGGATTGCTTGAGGAGGCAGGGAGAAGCAGTGTTTCAGGGAGCGGATTCAAATTGTACGATATCTCAGTATGTTTAAGTGTTGAACAGATTACATAGCATGACAATGCTGCGGTAGGGTATGGCTACGGGTGTACTTTTATTCATTCTTGCATTTCTCCTCTGCTTCCCCCGCCGGCGATTCCAATGCCATATGGTCATGTAATGTTCTCGTGCCCGGTTTCTCGTTGAGGTATGTCTTGCCTCGACAGCGTTCCTGCAAACCATCGACTGCCCAACCCTGTAGAATCCGCACCTCCCTCGATGCCACATCAGCCTCTTCCTCTTCCTCTTGCCCTTCCCACTCCACCTCCTCTTTCACCTAGTCCTCCTGCTTTCCTTTACTCGCTCATTCTTGCCCCGCGTCCCCTCCCTCCTCCACTTCACCAACTTCTGCCTTCTCTTTCCGACCCTGCCCACCCTCTGCCACCGCCTCCACTACTACCCCAGAATCGCACTTCTTCGGCCCTCCCACCCAGCGGCCCTTCCACTCCCACTCCATCAACTCATCCACAAGCAAAGGGCCCTCGCCCCCCTTCAAAGCCTTCCTGGCAACATGCACAGTAACCTGTCGATTTCGGATATAATGCAGTTTCCACTCAAGGCGCGCCAGGTCGTCGGCGTCGCGCTGGATGTCGAAGCGGAGCGCAGCTATGCGCGCGACTAAGTGACAGAGTCAGTGAGTGAACCGCGGCTATCGCATTGCCCATCCTGCGATAACTCAGGGGACGTTACTTTACGTACCATTTCTCTCTGTTTCTGTAATCCTCGGCGTGAACACCACCACGTTCACCTCCGCACGTATGGCATTGACTTCCTCTTCGGAGACCCATGGCTTGGGAGGATTCGATCGCCCGTTGCACGCATCATTCGAGCCTAAGCGATCTAGCCCTGCAACTCCACGATGACCCGGTGGTGCACGCACACGTTTGTATCTCTGTGAGGGGAGGTGGTACACGCCGTACGTGGTAGTCCTACTCGCTGGGCACGCAGCAGGGATTGGCATTGTGCTCGAAATGTCATCTGGACCGGATGAGCACATTTTGTGCGGATGTAGAGGAGTGTGAGGGAGGATTTTTCACAATAAGACTGCATGGTTGGGCGGTTTTCATCCTTGTGCGTTCGACGGATGTGTGTTGAGGACCGCTACCGTAGAAAGGCCAACCCCTAATGATGGTGTTGGTAGCCCACGCCTGCGAATAGCAGCAGACCGTACGTGAGTAAGTAATGCGCTTCCGCTGAGTCGTACCAATACATCAAATTTAAGATGGTGGGTTAGGGCTCCATCTACGCGGGTGGAGCTACACTCTAGCTGTCGAGCAAAGACTGCAACATCACGTGTATATGTTCGTACAGTGATAAGCGTGGTGAAGGTCATATCGAAATCATATTCGTGCATCTATGGACTCTATCATAAACAATCACAGTCATAGCTTGCTAGCATCGCCAAAAGAGTAATCTTGAAAATTACCCCCATGATCCAAGAAGGAGAACCCATCACTCCCACTCCGATCAATGCTTTTGTTCATCCTCTATCGCTCGCTTTCCATGCAAACATCACATTTACGCCGAGGGCTCCTCGACCTCATCCGGTTTCTGCGTCGTCTCAGCATCGGTCATCTCTGAGTCCTTTGGCTCGGGTGCTTCGGCCTGCTTCTTGGCCTCCTCTTCGCGCTTCTTGCGCTCGATCTCGGCCTGCTTAGCAGAGGCCTGTTCCTCGTGCTTCTTGCGGATGGCGGCTTGCTCCTCTTGGATCTTGTCGTTGTACCGCTGGATGATGGGACCGGCGATCGAGCGGATGTCTTCCGACTTGGAGACGTACTGTGCCTTAGTTGCATCTTCACCCTCGTCATACAGCCAGTCCTGCGACAGAGTTAGCATGGTCCAAGTGGCATGGTATAAAGAAACTTACCTCTGTTTGCTCGAGCTTAGCGTTCAGCCTAGCCTTCTCGTCGTCGTTGGCGAACTCGGCGTAAACGTCGAGAATCTTGTCCTTGAGCTCGTAAATGAACGCCTCAAGGTCGTTCTTCTGGTGCTCGGTATCGGCAACAAGCTTATCCTCCATGATCATCTGGTTCTCCTTCTCCATCGCCGCATCCTTGTTCGCCTGGTCCAGGGCGGCGGTGCCTGCTGAAAGAGGTAGATCGCCCTTGCGCTGCTGCTTCTTGACCTTGCGCATCTTCGGGGGCTCCTTGGATTCCTTGGAGTCGACGTCCATTGCCTGTCGATCTTTTGTTAGCGCCTCTTCAACAGGCAAAGAAACAGAAGCTTGCGATACAACATTGGCATTTGATTTTCGTCGTTTCGCAGCGCGGCGCTCTTCAGAAGACTCATCGGACTGCTGCTCGCTACTCGGATCGACAGAATCGTAACGGGGGTCGAAATAAGCAGACGAAGAACTGGAAATACGTACGTCACCCTCCTTCTTTTCTTCTGGAATGGGTTCCTCAACCTCAACCTCTTCTACGTAGTATCCAGATTCAACGTTGAGAACACCGTGCACATTCAAACGCGCCTTCAGCTTGCAGATCATGAAGTCGCCCTTGGGGTCTTCCTTGACGCCTTTTACTGAGAAACGGCCAATCCAGGGGTTTGTCTTTCCAGGAAGCTGCTCCGGCTTCGCATACCTGGCCTCGAGGTCGAAGCCGTGCTTGCGGTAGAAGGTAAGGATTTTGGTGGAAGGCATGACGTTGCCCTTGTTAAAGACGGTCAAGCTAGTGTCCTCGTCGGGGATATCTTCGGACTTCTCCCAGGTGAACTCGATGGGGTAGCTGACCATGTCGTGTACGGAAAAGTCGCGAACGCGGAAAACGGGAGAAAGGATAGCACAGCTGAAAGCGCAGCCACGGGCAACGGCCTCGTCCTGATTCAGGGTGAAAGACAAAGGCTTGCCGAAGAATTCCTGGATACGGGACTTGAGCGCGGGAACACGTGTGCAACCACCGATCATCTCGATGGCGTCAATGTCCTCGGGCTTGAGCTTAGCTTCCGCGAGCGCCTGCTCGATCGGGGCCGTGGCGCGCTGAAGCAGAGGCTCGATGAGCTCTTCGAGCTCTTCACGCTTAAGCATACCGCGAACATCGACATCGTTCATGACGGACTCGATGTTCAGGGGGGCGGCGGTGTTGGCCGAAAGGATCTTCTTCAACTTCTCAACACCAGCCTGGACACGGAACTTGGCCTTGGCGTTCTCAAAGATGTCAATCTTGTACTTCTCCTTGAACTCCTTGCCGAAGTGCTCGACCAGGGCCTGGTCAATGTAACGACCACCGAAGTGGCGGTCCCAGGCTGTCGACTTGACGGTCAACTCGCCTTTCTTGAACTCAACAATCGAGGCAGTGTAGTTGCTGTGGCCGATGTTGACGAAGGCTACCCTCTTGGGCTTCTCCTCGGGCGCAGGAAGGTCGAGCTTAGTGATACCCCAGCCGAGGGCAGCGGCGGTGGTGTCGTTGATCAAGCGCAGGGTCTTGAGTCCAGCGATCTCGGAAGCATCGAGCAGCGATCTCCGCTGGGCGTCGGTGTACCAGGCGGGCACGCTGATGACAACGTCGGCGACGGGAAGCTTGAGCTCGGCGGAGGCGGTCTGCTTGACCCTTGTGAGGTACATGGCGGTGATCTGGGTAGCCGTGAACTTCTCCTTCTTGCCCAGATAGGTGACCTCGGCGCCGACCTGGCCGTTGATGTCGACCAAGGGTGCCGAGACAAAGTTCTTCTCGACATCGACATCGGGGTCGTTGAGAGAGCGGCCGGCGAGGCGTGTGAAGGAAGAGACGGTGTTCTTGAGGTTGGAGACCTCCTGGTTCTTTGCGGCCTCACCGATGTACCTGCTCTTGGGGCCGAAGCCTACCAGAGACCTGTAAACAATGTCAGTACGAGTTTTCTAGATAGCGGTGGGAGGACCTACGGGGTGGCGCGGTTGGAGACTTCATTTGTGATCTGCGACAATCAGCACTGCATGCGACGCACAGTTTGAGGAGGTACACATACCACGTCAACACCGCGATTCCGCGCAACGGCAATGACGGTGTTCAGCGTCCCCAAGTCTACTCCCACGACAGACATGTTTGTGTGTGTTCGATGTGGCGGGGTATTAGGAAGGTTTGCAGGTCGAAACGCGTGCGGTTCGGGGTATCGTGGTCGTTACAAAGTGTCGTGTAGGAAAGAAGGCAAGCTCTGTGGAAATTTTGAGCGCGTTCTGGGGCTGCTGGGTCCGCTGGGCTGAGTTGCTGCAGAAGCTTCTCGAGTATTCGTTGGCGCTCTATGAAATTCTATGCACACCAGAGCAAACTAGCAGTGGGGTGTGGCACAGGCCGGGATGTGGCACCAACCACCACTCAGCAGCCGCTTTCCGCTCACAACAACCACCGCCCGCCAAAACAATCCGCGCCTGCGTCATGGCGCACCCACAATTACCACCATCAGCCTTGCCGCCGACCCAGACCGTCTGGCGCTCCCTGCGTCGCTGACCCGCCCCGCTGCTGCGACGTCTTGACGGGCTGCTTTGCGCTGCCTGTCGTTGCTATCCAGTGTGATTATCCATGGCCGACGTCCCTCCATACCCTCTGTACGGTAGGAGCTACCTGCTCTACCGCGTCTCTCCCCTGCACCACGGCGACGCGCCGCTGTTGAACGACCGCACGTTAACCACGCACGCGAAGCGTCTGAGAGAACAGTTAAAAGGCGACAATGTGCGCGGGGTTGAGGTCGACTTCGCAGGAACAGAGGATGCGCTGCCAAACCTGGGCCCGCTCCAAGAGTGCGATTGGGACATGATTGGCGACGAAGACGCGTGGATCGACAGGCACCGCCAGCTGGTAGACCCCGAAGCCTCACAGTTGACTACCGTCGTCTCTGCAGAACAGGCGCGGGGCATTGAAGTTACCCTGGACTACGAGAAACAATCGTACAATGCACTGTTGCTGCGGGATCCGACTCTCACCTCCTCCCCTGGTGGCTTCACTTCGCTCCCCTTGTTGCTGGTCAAGATGCCCTTGGCGATCCGCGACATCTTTGTAAATTACATCAGAACCAGCTTTGATGCCCATGTTGTTCCACTCAGACTGTCTTCAGCCTTCGTTACGTCCAGCTTGGAGACCTTCTTCCGTCACCTGTCCGCCAGCACCTCTACCCAATCCGTAGAGGATGTTATCAGACAGCTGCAAGTTCAGTTGTCCTTCCACAATGCCACAACTCTACTTAGGCACCTGGACGTGACTATAGCAGGCCGCGATGTTCCGGGCTTTCTAGAACGTGGCAAACTTCTACGAGATGCAAAAGGCAGGCCCTTCACAGCTGCATTTGCCGCCTACATGAAGAAACACCTTGCACTGGACATCTTCCACCCAAAGGTTCAGGTCTCGCGGATATCGTGCGCCAGTTTCGTCCTGGCTACCGACCGCCTCAAGCTCATGGCACCTGATGTTGCTGATGTATCAATTGCCGACAGCGATTCGCCCGAAGGAAGCGCAGGAGAGTTGGCTGTCCAGGAGTTTTACACATCCTTAGTCAAAGAAGCCACCGGGACTGGCATATTTTCATCCGAGGATCTCACTGTGAACAGAAGATCGTCAACCCCATCATCCGAAAGCGTTAGCGCGAGCCGGCGAAAGCGTGCAGTGAGCAATGTGGCCGCTGGATCCCGCAATGCGAAGCGATCGAAAGCAAGAGAAAAGGAGAATCGCGATGGTGCGCTAGGTGACGAAGAGATGGTAGACGCATGATGAGGATGCTTTTTGAGACAGAAGCAAGTCGGGTAATTATTATCATGGGCCTCCGGTACCCGAATCAGGCCGGCTGTCCCAAGTCTTCATTCGCCTGTGGCCCCTTCAATATGTCGTTCTGGCGATTCTCACAAGGCCTCTCACTCGGTGCCTACAGCATCATCGACATCATAGCCAACTCGTTGGCAACTTGCGCCGAGAAGGGTGGTTCTTGGAAATCTACGAGCTGTGGCAACCTGCGGAGGCTGGAAATTCCGTGGTAAATGGATGCGACAAGCCTTGTCTATTTTTTTGCGTCTCTCTCAAACTGTTATATACCCTGTTTACAACTCGAACCACTTCAATTCCAGCCTCGTATGTTAGCATTAATCAACACGCCAACAAAACTTATCTTAAGGAGATATCTATCAAGAATAGATTTCACAATCGTGTGTGATTCAGATGTACATGGGCATGACCCGCCAAAATATGGTGTCTAGAATCGGTGAGCTGCTTTACCTGTCTATCTCTATACCTCCAGCGCTGTCCTTTTCACTGGGGCCACTCAAGATACAGTGCGACCGATGATGTGAGATGGTGCGGAGTAGGGCACCGGCGCACGGCGCGAGGGTGACAGTCCGCCGAAAAAAGCGGATACCCACGCTCCAGTCTCAATATGTCCATGAACGTCGGACAATACCACTCCAATTGCTCCGAACTTGCATACAAAGGTGGAAGATACATCCAACCTTCTAGCGATTCTTTTGCCGCCTGATCGACTCCATATTGCAGCACAAATACTCAGACTACCTCATTATCAGAATATTCTTCTCGAGACACAATGGCCAAAGAGATCACCCAAGACCGTCTCCCAGCGACCATACTCAATCTAGCCAAGCGCGTCGAAGCCCTTCTCAAGCGGCAGTCCTCCTCCCCACCATCCCGGATCCTAGTCGCCCTCGCAGGAGTCCCCGGCTCAGGCAAATCAACAGTGTCAGCGGCTCTTCTCCTGGAGCTTGCCGCAAAGGGTATAACCGATGTAGCTGTCGTAGCCATGGTACGTCTGCTACACTCTCCGCTGCCGCAGGTGTTCTCCGTACCTATGTGAACTGACCATACGGACGTAGGATGGCTTCCATCTCACACAAAAGGAACTATCGCAGTTGCCAGACCCAAAGGAGGCATTTGCCCGCCGTGGCGCCCCTTTCACGTTCAATGCGCTTGCATTTCTCGGCCTCGTCAAATCTCTGAAAGTCCTCCCCGTAACAGGCCCTTCAGCCCCAGAACAGTTCCTCTACGCACCTAGCTTTGACCACGCGAGGCAAGATCCCGTAGCCAATGGCATCCCCATTTCGTCATGGACCCGCGTGATCATTGTAGAGGGAAACTACACCCTTCTTGACGAAGATCCGTGGCGGGAGGTAGCGGCGTTGTGCGAGGAGAAGTGGTTTGTTGATACACCAAGGGAAGTGGTGTTGGAGAGGCTGGTGGGGAGGCATATGATGGCGGGGATTGAGACGGATGTAAAGAGGGCTGTTGAGCGGGCGGAGGCGAATGATCTGCCGAATGGGGACCTAATTAGGCGGAAGTTGATCAAACCGGATGTTATTGTCGAGAATTGAAGAATCGAATTTGTCGTTCGCGAACTGGGTTGGAAGTCCCATTGATGGCATTGCGTGCTGATGGCGCAGTAAATGGCCTGTAGAAAGACCTGAGATTCGAGTGTCGATGTTTGCTCAGCAGTTAGATTGGAGTAAGCAAGTATACGGTTGAACAGAGCATAGTATAGAAGACGTCGGTCATCAAGAACATAGGTACTTGTAGAAGGGAAGGTTAAATGTACTACGTGGTATCTCTTCAAGCATCCAAAAGACTATTGAACACCTTCAATCACAACCTTGAATACACCCTCCTTCCCCGCCTTTACCAACTCAAATGCCTTCTCCGCCTCCTCAAACTTGAACCGGTTCGTTATCAATGACTTCACATCAACCTTACCCGAAGCCACCAGATGCACAGCATTAGGATAACACCCCACCGAGTATCGAATAGAGCCTTTGACAGTCAATGCGCGGATGCATGCCGTCGTGATAGGGAAGACGACGTTCTTGTTTCAGACTTCGTTAGCACAGCTTTCCAGGGGGTTGAAACCGGATGCTAAGACTCACCTCTTTACCCATACCAGCCTGCACATAGGTGCCTCCCTTGATCGCAACGTTCACGCCAGCTTGGATACACGGCTCCGCGCCCGTACATTCGAGCACCACATCCGCCCCCTCCCCCAGTTCAAACTCCTCCTTAATCAACCTCGCCACCTTCTCCGAGTGCGCCACCGGATCAACCCCCTCCTCCGCCCGCGGAGGCAAAAACGTCCCATCCGCAGCATACTTCTTCGCAAATTCTAGCCGCGACTGCGAGATGTCTACCGCGATGACCTTCTTTGCTCCTGAAGCTTTGGCCACAGCTTGAGAAAGCACGCCAATGGGGCCCGCGCCGAAGACTACAACGGTCTGGTTGGCGCGGATGGAAGCGACTTTGCAGATCTGGACGGCGACGGCAACGGGCTCGACCATGGCGGCTTCTTCCATGTCCATGGTGTCGGGGATCTTGTAGCAGTAGTCACTCGCAACCGTGTAGTACTTGGCCAAGGTACCATCCCATGGCGGCGTCGCGGCAAAGATAGTATCATTGCATAAGTTGTAGGATCCGGAGCGGCAGTAATCGCATCGTCTACACGGGACGCCTGGTTCGATTGCTACGCGGTCGCCGACTTTGAGATTGGTTACTTTTGAGCCGGTTTCGACGACGGTGCCGGAGCTCTCGTGGCCGAGGACGATGGGGCTTTGTAGGATGAAGTCGCCGATGCGACCGCGTTGCCAGTAGTGGACATCGCTGCCGCAGATGCCGGTTTGAGCAACGTGGACGCGGACTTCGTACTCGTCGCGAAGCTTGGGGATTGGCCGGTCTTCAAAGGCAACGTCTTTGATGGCGCGGAGGACGAAGGAGCGGTTTATTTCGGTGATTGTGGAGGACATTGTGAAGGTGTGAATGATCGATCAGAGTCAGAAGAAAAGTGATGAATTAGAAAGGGGAGAAGTGGTAGGAGAGAAAACAACTTGGTCTACGATCTCAACTTCCTGATCCATCGTAAACAAATATCGCGTCTCTCCGTACGCGCCACCCTCGCATCGAGGGGTAGAGGTTCCTGTAGCTAAGGGTCAGCGTCACCCATCGACCCCTCCGCTAATGCGGGGGAACCCCGCGATGTGTGGACCCCTAGAGCTTCGAATGCCATGTGGTGGTGTTCTAAGGACCGTTAGGAGTTTCCATCCTGTAGGAATCATCGTGCTCCGGCCACTAGTTTTCGTAATGGTGGGTTGTTGTGCAGACGCGTGCAGGGCGTGGGTGCACCCACTCCGAAGTTCTCCACGTCGCCCTCGCGAACTGGATTGGCGTCAGTATGAACAAAAAAGTAGTCAAGTGAAATGACACGCTGTGTTTCGTGTACTCCTACAGCTTTCACGTTCTAACTCACATCTCTCTTCAAAGTCACGGAACTTCGGTATTCCATCCCTAGACCAACCTCACATACACCAAGATGTCTCTCGCTGCACACCCCAACCCCTCTTCGCCTGTAACCACCCACTTCTCCCTCAAAGGCAAGATCGCGGCCGTAACCGGCGGCGTTCGAGGCATCGGGCTTTCCGCCTCGCGCGCCCTCGCCGAAGCAGGCGCCTCTGTCGCCATCCTCTACTCCTCCACCAAAGACGCGGACGCCATTGCCTCACAGATCGCAAAAGACACCGGCGCAAATGTCAAAGCGTACAAGGGATCTGTCGAAAACAAGGAAGAAATAGCCTCAGTACTGCAGCAAATCGCGAAGGACTTCGGGGGATTGGACATCGTAGTCGCGAACGCGGGAATCGCAAATCACCACGCGGCCGAGGACTACACCGAGGAGCAATGGCGCAAGGTCATGGCGGTTAATCTGGACGGCGCGTTCTACACTGCACAAGCCGCGGGCAATATCTTCAAGAAGCAGGGCCACGGCAACTTGATCTTCACCGCATCCGTCTCCGCAATTCTCGTCAACGTGCCGCAGAAGCAGGCCGCATACAACGCGTCTAAGGCGGGTGTAGTGCAGCTTGCGCGGTGCTTGAGCGTCGAGTGGGTCGAGTTTGCGCGCGTCAACTGTGTGAGCCCGGGCTTTATTGCGACGGATATGCTAGATGTGCATCCGGAGGCGCATAGGAAGAAGTGGTTCGATATGATTCCGGCGAAGAGGATGTGTGAGCCTGATGAGTTGAAGGGGGCGTATGTTTTCTTGGCGAGCCAGGCGAGTTCGTATATGACGGGCACGAATCTGGTCATTGATGGAGGATACACTCTGCCTTGAGTAATTGACAGTTGTGGACTATGCATTTTGACAGGGCGTCGGTTGAGATGGTATGTGAGCTTGGGCCACAGTGCACGGGCCATTCACCTGGTCGAAGGTGACGGTGAACCACAAGGTTTTCGACACCTAAACTTTTTACTGCCCGATTAGGCAGTTTGGCAAGCTGGCTCACCATCACCTAGAATGTTCATAATTTGCCATCGTTCTGCATCATAGGGACGCACGGATAATGCGTGCGTAAGATAAGCATGGACCATAGCGCACGGGCCATTCACCTGTGGTCAAAAAAGTGACGGTGACCAAACAGTCTTCGACATCTTTCGTGATGTATTACCCGATTAGGAAGTTTGGCAAACTGGCTCACCATCACTCCCAGAACGTTCGCGGTCTCAACCGCAAGTGACGAAATGCTCTTAATACAGAGTGAGACCGAATCTTCCTCAATTCCCAGATTGATATTGCGCTGTGAGCTGTGAACATAGGTTGTTGCTGATTTCGCAGACCATAGCAAGCTCATTAGGCTTCTCGCGCGTACTGCCGAACAAAAGTGCCATACCTTGTCGCTTACAAGGTCGCAAGGGATAGGAAAGCTTAGCTCCATCCCAGATCCAGTCCGCTGATTCAGAAATAAGTTTCGACGTGCACTATCGGAAGGTCCGACCATCACCTGACACCGCGTCTGCAAATGTCGATCGATCTGACTTCCAAATACTGGGTAACAGGCCTACGCGATAGGGTATCCACCAATGCATCGGATTCAATAACATCGGGGGAGGTCACCCCAAGCCCTCGGTCTACGTCCGAGTAGTCGTATGGCTAGGGACCAAGAGACCATCTACCGAGGAGTTCGGTACAGGTGGCCCTATAGTAAAAATTTCGATCCCTGCGTGGAATCCCCGGATGAAAATGTGTAGATAGTACTCCGAATGCTGCTCCCTTTTAGGGACCCGAGACGAGGGCGACCCTCTATAAGCATCCGCATGTAAAATGGAAACGCGTAGTGCCGCTCCAGAATCCAGAGACCCAACGCAATTGGAAGGTTATTGCAGTATCCGCAGTCGCGCTCTTATATACACCCCTCGTACCACAAGTTGACTACCTACATCTCCATATCCTCCTTTTTCCAACCCTTTCCGTTTGACATCTCTTTCCAAACCTTCGCACAACATGACCGCCAACGGAACCACGAACGGCAATGGCGCCACTAGGCAATCCATCCGCGCCCCCAACCCCCCTCTCAAAGACAGCGTCTTCGATATGTTCCGCCTAGACGGCAAGACGGCCATAATAACAGGTGGCTCGGGCGGCATCGGCTACGAGGTCGCACGCGCACTGGCAGAAGCCGGAGCAAACATCGCGATATGGTACGCCCACTCCAAGAAAGCCAGCGCGCTCGCCCAAACCATCGCTTCAGACTTCAACGTAAAGACTAAGGCGTACCAAGTCGCTGTGGAAGACTACGCTGCAGTTGAGAAGGCTGTCGCGGAGGTAGTTCAGGACTTCGGCCGCCTGGACATAATGATTGCGAATGCAGGGATCCCCACGAAAGCAGGTGGGCTGGACGACAAGGTCGAGGACTGGAATAAAGTGCGGGCTATCGACTTCGACGGTGCGTACTACTGCGCTCGCGCGGCTGGGCTGGTGTTCAGGAAACAGGGCTGTAAGTTCTACTCTGGCTATTGTAAAGCGTGTGAAGCTTGATGCTGATACTGACGTAGTCGGAAATTGCATCTTCACAGCCTCTATGTCCGGTCATGCCGCCAACGTCCCGCAAGAGCAGTCGTGCTACAATGCCTGCAAAGCTGGTGTGATCCACCTTACAAAGTCGCTGGCTGTAGAGTGGGCCAAGTGGGGAGGGCGTGTCAACTGCGTGAGTCCTGGGTACATCGACACTGCTATCTCAGCAGATTGTGCGTTCGAGATGAAGGAGGAGTGGTTTAGCTTGACGCCGTTGAAGCGCGACGCTGACCCGAGGGAATTGAAGGCCGCGTACTTGTACCTGGCAAGTGATGCGAGCACATATACTACTGGAGCGGATCTTGTGGTTGATGGAGGTTACACTTGCAGGTAGCGCCGTCCTGTAGATTCATCCAAGTTATGTTGACAACATATATCTTGATATTGAACGTGTGAGGTCACAAAACTGTACTCGTGTGCTGTTACACTGTTTATGCAACGCCTCAATGGGTGCTTCCAAATCTCGTCTAGATGATAACATTTGGGGCCAGATGAAGCTCGATCTTTCCACGTGCAATGAACGTCGACTGCCGGCGACCGAGAACCAAGATCGGAATATTCAGGGGCTGTGCACGGTGTTTTGACATGAAGCCATTGTCGCCATGGCGAGACCTCGTTAGTCCCAGTTCTATGCGTGCATACAAAACCTTGTATCCAGTCTCACCAGGTCGTGTCTACCCGCGCTGTGGTACATGCGTCGGATATAAGCGCGAAACAAGTGCGTGGTGACGTCCCTCCACGGAGCCGCTTTCCCGGTGCGTTGCGCCCATTGGATGGCGGGTTCAGGCCGACCACGAGACGAGGGCGACAGTCGCCCGCACGTAGCGGAATCGGTCAACACTGCACCTCGATTCCCAGCAATATGGCGCGAAATCTGGGGAGCCCGGCGCAAGTTCTGGGGACCCCGCGCGTCGAACGACCTGTGGAGTTAGTCAACACGCGCGAGATTAGGCGCAGCCGCGAGTAATGAAAGCGTTGCTGTAATGGAATATTAAAGGCTGTAGCCCAAGGTGAAGCATCTGGGCTATCCTCAGCGATCTTTTCCATCCTTATTCAAGGTTTTTCATCGTCATCATCGTTATGAAGGACGAACAGATTGTCGGTCGCGCCCTCGCCGAGGTGCTGCCTCAGACAAATAGATACTGGTTTCAGACACCGCATCTGTTACGGCTGAATTTGATTCTGCTTATTCCGTTGCTCTCTTCTTCGGTAGCAGGCTACGATGGTAGGTTCCTCCACACGAAGGAGATGTTACAATTGACCGTCAACAGGCTCTTTGATGAACGGTCTCCAATCCTTGAAGCAATGGCAGACTTACTTTGGCAATCCCGCGGGAGCTCTGCTTGGACTTATCAACGCCGCCCAATCTATCGGATCCGTCGCAGTGCTTCCTTTTGTCGGAGTGCTGTCAGATCGATATGGTAGACGGGTTGTGCTTCTCAGTGGTCTGATCGGAGTCATCATAGCCACTATCATCCAAGCGACATCGACTACGCTGGCGCAATTTGTCGTCTCACGTTTTGTTGTCGGCGCGGCGGGCATGTTCGTGGTGCAACCATCGCCGATGCTGATCGCCGAGCTCGCATATCCCACGCACCGTGGCAAGTACACGTCTGCTTTCTGGACAATGTACTATCTGGGAGCGATTCTCGCTGCATGGACGACATTTGGTACCGAGAAACGACAAGATAACTGGAGCTGGAGAGTCCCCACAATCCTCCAAGCTGGATATCCCCTACTGCAGCTGGCATTCTTCTGGGCTCTGCCAGAATCTCCTAGGTGAGCCGCGAAAACCTCATAGATTGCATTTGCTAAACTCGAATAGGTGGCTTGTAGCTCAAGAGCGTACCGAGGAAGCACAAGCTATTCTGACAAAGTATCACGCTGGTGGAGATCACGATAGCCCCCTCGTGAATCGAGAGATTAGTGAGATCGTTCAGGCCATTCGAAACGAAAGGGCTGCATCGACTGTCAACTGGGGCTCATTGGTCGCAACCCCGGGAAACCGCAAGCGTCTTTTCATTGCGGTGTGCCTCGGTGCTTTTGCTCAATGGAACGGCATCGGTATGGGTTGACATCTGATATATTGTGAGACGCTTCTAACATGCTTGCAGGTGTTGTCAGCTATTATCTCACCCTTGTCCTCGACTCCATCGGTATCACCGACTCATTCGATCAAACGCTCATCAACGGGCTTCTTCAAATCTTCAATTTCGGCGCCGCCCTCGGCGCGGCATTCCTTGTTGATCGCCTCGGTCGCCGTACCCTCTTCATTTGGAGCGGTATTGGCATGTTGATCTCATACATTGTCTGGACAGCGTGTTCAGCGGTCAACAACGAGGAAAACAACAAAGCCGCCGGTTATGTCGTCGTTGTGTGTCTTTTCGCTTTCTACTTCCACTACGACATCGCTTATACGCCACTTCTCATGTCGTACCCTACGGAGATCTTTCCGTACACGCTTCGGTCCAAGGGTATCACTTGTGAGCTGTTGTCGATCTATTGCTCGCTGGTCATTGCTGCTTTCGTTAACCCAATCGGTATGGAGAATCTCGGCTGGAAGTACTACATTGTTTTTTGTTGCTTCCTTGCGGTTTTCTTGGCCGTTACGTGGATAGTTTTCCCGGAAACAAAGGGTCGCAGCTTGGAAGAGATTGCTGAGATCTTTGACGGACCAAGCGCTCATGTTGATGTACAGGAAGCGGAGAAGGAACAGGTCTTCGCAGACAAGGAGCACAAGGAGGTAGCATAGGCATTTCATTCCTTTGTTAAACAGAGCCAGTCGATAGCATTCCACTTTTTGTGAGTATATGGTGGGTGTTATATATTTGAACTTGAATCGAAGAACGCTGTACCATCACAAGATTCGCTGTGTTGCCTGTCGTTCGCATTATTTTGAAGATTGCAAAGTTACCTCCGCAGGCTTAGTACGGTCGGCCCATGCATGGCATTCCATGGGAGGATCAGCGTACGTGTGCTCTTAGTACGGCGCTGTAGCCTGGAACACTGTCTGACGCATGCATTGCTCGCGATAAGCTGTGGAACGTTGCAGCCAATTCCACGGGACAATGTTCTGCGAGTTCGCGAAGTATGCCCGTGGCTCACCATTGCGACGTATTTCGAGAGGGGTGCTCTGGCAGGTCGGTTGGCCAGGGATCTACCGTTGCAGCAGCTCTTAATGTTACAGGTTGGTGTCAACGAATTGATGCTGGCAACCTATGTGTTGATCCGCATAGCATCCGGAGTGATTATCAATCCGGGTCTTCAGTCCCACGAGAATTGAGTTGCTCCGGCATCCCCAGGCTGCGGCATCGTCGGCTGTGGCATATCACCTATACCAGTGAAGAAGTTGTTCCATAGGCCATCCTGCATCAGCACATCGACGTCAGCCGGGTTTGCGTTCGGCCACATCATAGCGTAGACGCTGTTGATTTGTGTCTGGGGCGATTCTTGAGTGGACTCCAATGGAGGGTAACTCGCGAGAGTGGTGCTGTCGGGAGTGGATCCGGTCGCCTGATCGTGGACTTGCGGTTGCAGAAATGGCCCGCAAAGACGTTGGATAACATTGTAACAATCTTGTGCGCTAGGATTTAGGGTTGCGATGAGCTGCATGGTATGCAGCGTCTGGTTGACTTGTTTGCGCCAGCTCGCTGACGAGGGCGCATTGGGTTCATTCCGAAGACAGACGCATGGAATGAGTGAGGCTTGGAAAAGAAAATACAGAGCATACCACGCAGCCAGCCTCGTTGGTGGTGTAGAGGCCCAGAAGTCGCTGATAGTGGTTATAGTTGTCTCAGCGTCCCTGAGGCAGCGGCTGTACGCCTCTTGAACAGCGGGTGGAACAACGTTGCTATTACCGTTGTCCGGTGCCCTCGCTTGAAGCACTCGACGCATCACGTAAGGACGATAGATCAAGATCCTGAAGTTATACAGCCGCCACCACATAATCGCATGACCAGTTGCGAACTTGGGAGGTACCGGCGAGCTCTGGCGGTACCACGATGGTACGGCGGTTTCCCACTTTCCTATCAGCGTATCGTCCAACCGAATGAGCTCAGTGGCCGATGGAAATGGCATAGATATAACGCGAGTATAGATGTCGCTGGTCAGCGTATGAAATTTGGACTGCATAATAAGGGCACTGAATGTTGTGATATGGTCTACTTCATCGGGAAGTGAACGGGATAGATTGGTAAGTGCCCGGTCGTTCACGTTGAGCGGCAGCGAAATCTCCACGTTGCGATTCGGCCAGGCTAGAGGGCGGCCAAAGGTGATGGCTGCGCCAATGTTGAAGACGCACATGCACCACCACACACGACGACGGACCTCCATATTCAAAGGCGAAATGTCCCAATCATGGAATTCCTTGTGCAAACCGAGTCCCATGGCCATATGAAGTGCAAGGCCGAGGTAGTTGTAGCCGCTATTGGGTTTGTTGCGCTTCTGGAGGTAGTTGGACATGAGCGTCAGTGTCTGTACGAGAGTGATGTTGCCCATCTCCAAGCTCTCTATAGACATGTTGGATTTTGCAGCCATGAATAGACGTCGATCAGTGTCCGTGGGGGTTGTGGCGGCTGTGAAGTGGCCAATGGCGGCTATCATGAATGCTAAGGCATGCCAGCTGCGTCCGGATGGACGGGGTATGACTTGGGAATATTGGGCCCTGAAAGTGTGCTCTTCAACAAGCGGGTAGGAGATGTGGTACAGGCCAAAGTAAGCGTTGATAGCAGCGTCCAAGTCCACAGATCCCATGTCAAGCGCATCCCACAGCGGTGTATGCAGCCAGTGTTCGGATAGGGAGGTCGCAGTAGCAGAAGGCGGCTGTTGGAGAACCGACTTTTTGTAGGAGGCATGCGCATCGGGAAGCAGTAACCGCAACATGGCCGCCCCTGAAGCCACGCCCAGATAGCCTGCTTCGTGATCATCTACCGTCAACGAAGCCATACCATCGGCAGCGCCTTCATCTTCTTGTGACCCGCCCGTGGCTGGATTCGTCTCTTGAAGTCCATTATCCGTTGTCTGCTCAGACCAGCTGTAGTCCAAGCCGGACGGCGGGCCTTCGAAAGCCAAGGGTGCTTCGTCGTTCGGTGTGGCATCATCCTCGCGCGCATCGTGGCCTGCTGCTGCTACCGCGGACCCGTTGTCTGCGCTTCTCTCGCCATCAAGCTGCTGCAGCTGGCGTAGACTCGCTTCGGCGCGGTGTGCGCGGGCTTCCGCACGAGCTGCCTGGAGTTGGGCGCGTCGAAGTTGCTCCTCGACTTGGGTGAGATATTTACGCGTCAAGGGCGTTCTACTATGGCGCTCGTAGAGGCAGTGCCTTCGATTTTTCTTGCATGGCCCGCACTCAGGCAGCGTCTTGTCGCAGCGCGCCTTGCGCCGGCGACACTCATTGCAAGCTTGATCGCGGTCGGCGTCGCGGATTTCGCTGTCCATGTGCGTGAGGACTCAAGGCATATTGACGGATGGATGCCATAGGCGCGGTCGCATGACTGCTCAGAACCTCCGAACTCGTCGCGGGGGTCTAGCTGCCGCGGAAGGGCCGAATCCACCGCGTTTCCCAGTTGGGTTAACCTCCTATCAGTCCACGTCTGGATAGCATAACATTCCACACTTCAGTCACCGAAACAGAATATGTGCCTGGTCTTTCATATATTCAATTAAACTATATCTATCTGGTGAGGTGAAGGCCCTGAGAATGAGGATCGAGCTTCTATGCCGCAAGCCGAGGTGCGGAGCCAGGTTGGTCCCTCCGAACCTTACATCCCAAGAAGAGAGCCTTCTTTCCCACTTCATCTAACAACATCAAATGGATCCTTCATTACAAGATTTAGTCATTCAAACAGGGCGAACCTCTTGTCAGGGACGAGACCCTGCATTGTTAGGTACATCTGACCTTCATTAAATCTTGACGACACTGAAAGGATTTGTCATCCAAATCGTCCCATCACTTATGAGGGAAAGAGAACTGTCGCTCCCCGGGATACAGATCGCACTTTCTAACTTTTCCCTCCAGCACCTTGCGGCTTTCCCCACCTTCGCATAGCAAATTTGCATTGCGTTTTGCTTATAAATATCAGTTGGAAACACCTTCTCAGAATCTGCTTCGTCGTGAAGAGTAATACTCTGACCTGGTCCTCCTGACCGAATACCATACAATTAGCTTGTGCAAGAATACATTGAGGACGGCGTCACCTACTCATACGGACAAGGACGGATGTCCAAGTGGTCGTTGCTCGACCGCAACTCCAACATTTCTCAGTTTGGTCCACGCTAGATTTGTAAAGCAATCTCATGATTTAAGTCTTGATTTACCTAAGGCATAGCACCGCCTCTGGAGCCCAACGGGCTTAGTCTGCGCCCTTTGAGTACTTACAACTACTGCACGCTAGTCATGGTTCACCACATCGTCCTCTTACTTTGTGACAACCAGGTACAATTGTGCTCGATTCTGACCACAATCCGTCTCTATCTAGCCTCAATCCGAACACTCCGACTGATCCAATTGCTTTCAAGATGAGTCAACTGCATCTTCCAGACTTATCGTGAAGAACGACGAGGAGCAAAGCGAGCGATACGAGACAGCTTACTGTCGAATTCGCCAATGAGCGTTGCGGAAAGTGACCGAGCCAATCAAAGCTGGCTGCTGGACTCTCTGACCGATTCCCATAACGGCTAGCGCCCGGCGCTTACGTTGACTCAAACCTCGTGCTTCCACGAAATACGCTGCGCCCCCACCTCCGGTCAAGAATTCTTGGTTCGCTATGTCTCTAAACAGGTCGAGAAGCCGCGTGTGGCTGGCAGTTTCTCCTGTCGTTGCAATTTAGGCATTGAGTCAAATAAGCGCGACGGGTACAGGGTCCACAGGCGCGGTGTGTAATTGGAAAGTCGGACCTTATTTTGGAATGAAGGGCGCGCGTCCACAGTGTTGTGATGTGCCAAATGCAGCACTAGTAACAAGCGACAGATGGGCGCGGTAGTCGATGAGTCGATGCGAGGCTCGTGGAAGATTGGTCATACTTATAAGAGGGTGGGCGTGGTCGTCCGGTACCGCGTGCTAAAGATCTCATCTCATAACACTACCACATTGATTGGTCAACAAGACCTCTTACACCTTATAAATCAATCCAAAAACTTCGCAAATCAAGAACAGCTCCCAGCAGTATATGAAAACCTTGCCTGCTACTGTCAACAACATCAGACTGGCACCAGGCTGCCACCCTGACGACACATCATCCATCCATCCACTCGACACATAAACAGTTCGTAACGATGTCACCGTCAAATCATCAGACAAGCATTACCGATAAGGACTCTCAAAGCGCCATGGCAGAGTATGACGCACAATCAACGAGGTCAACATCAACAATGACCTCCATGAAGTCGCTCCTAAAGTCAATCTGGCAGTCAAAGCGGACCTCCTCCGCATCGCATACCGCCGAAACACCCGCTGAAAAGAGTGAGAGGAAGTTGAGGGAGGCTGAAGCGAAAGCCACGTGGGCAATGAATCGGTAGCGAAGCGTTTGTGCAAACGGGTGCAAGAAGGAGATTGGGCGGAGCGGCGACCTTTCGGGATCACAAGTTCGACTTGGATAATGGACGTCATGTCATGGAGAGCTTCAGAGGCATATTAGTGGTAGATCTCTAAATGTAAAGAGATATCAGTTTGGATGAAGCGTTTGCATCTTGCCGCATTGCCGTGTGGTCAATATTTTCTTGCCCGGAATTCTGCGGCTGACTGCGTGTATAGTCTGCTCGTGCCGGTTCACAACGCTGTTTGTTGGGTTGATTTGAATCTTGTTGACCGCTGGTTCACGGGGCGATGATCCGAGCGCGTGCGTTTGCTTAATGTCTATAATTTGCCCACCAGCTTCTTTCCTTGACGCTCGACTTCACCACCAACAAATACTGACTTTCAGCAACGGCACATAATCTTCAAATACCGCTGTTGTACAACGATGTCGTATCAGCAACGTAGTGCTGCGGAACTTCGGTAAGTGCGCGTCTTGATTGCCCTCGATTCGCTTTTCGAGCTTTTGTTCGACTCTGCCTGTGCGAATGCTTACCTATCCATAGGGGACACAGCGATAGCGCTGGACGTCGTGCCAAGTCTGTTGACGAACTCTTTGAGGACGTTGACCATGATGGCGAGATGTACACTGGTGAAGGTGCCGAGATCACTGACGATGACGACCCTCACCATCATTCTCCAAGTAAGAAACATGCGCCTGGTGTCACTCCGATATGTTTGCAATTATTGATTCGCCAATTAGACCAAGCACTGAGTCCACCTCACATCCCCCGCAGCGAATCCCCACTCTTCGAGCCTGAGTCCGAGGACGACCCTCTCCTCGACGCTGCAATGGCATCCTTGTCCGAAGCTGGCCGCTCCTCTCCCCTGCCCTATACCGCGACCCTCGACGGCCTCAAGCGTGCCCGTGACATCAAGCATCAGATCGAAAAGAATCTTAACATCTTGGGACGCAAGAGCATGCGTGTCCGTACCCGCACCGTCGAAGAGGACCCTGACAATCAGACCATCAAGACAATGCGCGCGGAGCACCACATGTCATGGCAGGCAATCGTCACGCACCTCAACAACGAGCGCTTGAAGCGTGGCGAGCCCCAGACCTGGACATCGGCGGCAGTGTACTCACGCTTTGTGCGGAATGCGCCTCGCATTGCGGCTGCGCAGGGCGAGATTGGGTTCTCTCCTCAGGATTGTAAGTGAAACTCCAAAACTACACCAATCATGCATTATAAGGATGAACACTAAGGATGAACTAAACAGACATGCACCTCCGCAAGCCCGAGTCCCACCCAGCCGCTCAACTCCCCGGCGCCCTCAACAAGCCCTCAGGCTACAAGTTCGGCGCAGGCGGAGGCCGCAAGCGCGTCCGCGATACTGAGCACGCCGCCCAAGATCTCGCCGACAACTTGCGCCACAAGTGCGCTGACACGCTCAGCGAGCAAGCAAAGATGCTCGAGCATAGCGACATGACTGGGTTGATGATGGAGGCGGTCGCCACGGTGGAGCAGGAGTTCTGGGGCACGGTGGCGAATGCGTTGGAGAAGAAGACGGGAAAGTACTTCGATCCGAAGGTGTTGGAGAGTCGTTATCACTCTGTTAAGTGGTAAGTTGTCATCTTCGAGAATTGTTCGTAATGGCGCTAAGAGGATGCAGATCTCGGACTCTTATGGGCGGTGGTGGTGATGGTTTTCTTCATGATGCTTTGGTCCGTCGGCTACATAGGAGCGATCGGGCAGGTCTTTGTAGATTGGAGCTTTCTGGTTCGGGAGTGTGATAGAGACCAGAAGAGGCCCAGTGCTCCAGTAAGTGGTCCAGGTGTTAAGGCTGGGTTTGGAATATGAGGCTATCATTCACGAATCTTACTTTCTTCATGTTACTGACCATGAGCTCAATTGTTTCTAAACTCTGTCTGAAGCCTAGACTTCGAAGACACTCGTACACCTTGTTACTTTCCTTTCATTTCCAATTCTCAAACGATTGATCATGCAGACTTGTCCATTTCAAACTCTTCCTGCTTACTCATGCGGATCTCATGCTGGCTGCTTCTTCACGTTAGTCGACCCAGTGTTCGTCAGGGCGGACTCACTCACCCCTGTTATCACCGACCATCGCCGACTCCGAACAGTGTCGACCATCAGCCGCCTCTCCACGTCCATGTTCACCTCAATCTCACCTAGAGACCACGTGGAAGTTCTTACAAGGAAACTTGCTCCGCAGTCGTCTTCTGCCTCGCATTTGATGGCTCCAGCCGGTACACCCATAGGCCAGTAAGCATCACCCTCGCGCAGAACTCCCCAAGAGGCGCATGTATCAGCCTGGTATATGCTGGCCAACAATAGATCGTAGCACTCTATGTCAGAGGTACGTAAATGAGGGCACACATACGCATCAAGCTTGACGAGACCTCGTTGAATGAGAGGAGACGACCAATTGTCCACCTCGCTGATCCGGCGGTGGATCCGGCGCGCATTCGGACCAGCCCATAATGCAGGCGACAAATCCTTGATAACTGGTTGTGTCTCTGCAATGGGAACTCGGTAAATCGTCTTGAGACAACCAATAGCAGACCTTAGGTTGTACCAAAGGCGTGCGTTCCGACATGTCTCTTCAGCACAGAGCACTGGACTACTTCGTCCGCTTGCTTTACAGGCCGCCTTGATGTCGAGGATTTCAGCGAACGTCAAGCTTGTATGCGGGCAGACGTAGACGGTGGCAGTGGCGCCAATACACATGCGCTCGTGTGCGTTTCTGGAGACCTGGTCTTGATGGAACTTTGAAGCTGCGTGGAAGTCGGTACACCATACACAGAGTAGTTTCTCTTTCACCAACACGTCGTTAGCCTGTTCGAGAGCAGCAAGCTCAGCGAAGCGATCTTTCCTCAGCCTCCAGAAGTACTGATTGTACAGTTGCGAGATCCGCTCGTTCCGCTGGTCGCCAGTGGTACCGTTCGTTGCGACACTCTTTCCTGCCTTGACGGAGCCATCCACCTGCCTCGCGATGTGACGACATGTGCTTTGGAAGCTCATGAGATCCGTAAGCTCCAGCAAGTCAGCAATGCTCATGAAAAGCTCTATGGGAAGCTTGAGGATCGAGGCGTTAGAGTTCTCGGCTTCGGCGGCATTCGTGCGGGTGGGGGTGTCGCTGCTGCTATCGATCGTTGGAAGGAAATCCGGATCAGGTGCATAGGACCAAGCTGGAGTTTCAACCTCCCAAGAGTTGCGCCCAAGATTTGCCCAGTTGTTCGGCCGCTCGACTAGGCTGCGAATGTGGTAGAAGTAGCCTTCGGGGGTGCCTCGTATAGGCGACACATAGCTCCAGGAAGGTGCTAGCCGGACTATGTTGTCCGTCGTCATAGGCATTTCGCGACCGGAAGACGCTGTCGCGGGGCGAAGGTACTGTTGGTTGGTTGAGGTTGGGTACAGAGGTGTTGCGCCTTACGTGGGGTGTGTGTGGATCTAGCAGAGTCGAAACTTAAATAGACATGCAAAAGAGAGTGAAGCCAAGACTGACGTGCACGTGGCAGAACTATTCACCACGTCATATTGCCCCGTGCAACTCACAAAATATTGACAGACGAGGCTTTGTCAGCTCTAATGGTCTCTATCAAACGCGCAAGAGCAGCGCCTACAGAACAGCAGTTGCATTCCCGAGAGCAGCCAAGTAGAACTGCCTGACCCGGGATAACATGGCATCACGTAGATTATAAACCCTGTGACGATCAAAAGCGACCACGTGAATTTACCACAAAGTGTGCAACAACGTGGTAACATTACTTCTACTGTACACATCAGCTGTCAGCGTGCGATACCAGTCACACATTCAGGAGTAACACCGCTGAGAGCTCCAGATCTTCACATAACTTCGGCGAGGTAGACCACCGCCTTCACCAAAGATCCAGTACAAACTCTTCTCCGGATGCTACTCCTCTTGGTACCAGCCGCTATTAGAGTTCCATATCCAACAACTCTAAGACCGCTTGATACGTGTCCTCCGGGCTCTCCAAACTCCAGAAATGACCCCCTTCCACAAACCGCACGCCGGTGCGCTTCGCGCCACTCAACCACTCATTGACGTCCTTAGCATCATAGAACTCGAATGGCTGGCTTCGGCTCTCCTTCCCTTCCAAGACGAGTACCGGACACTTCCACTGCGGAATAAGTTCCCTCCTCTTGATCCACTCTTGTCGAAAAGTGCTACTATTGAAGTACCGAGGTACTGCCTTCGTAACTTCATCGTACGAAAATTCTTGCATGACGCGAGCCATGATATCGTTTGGAGGGAAAGAACCCGCGACAAAAGTATATGTCCAAATGACGAATCGCTTTGGATCATTCATTATTCCCGAGTAAGGCGCGTTTTGGAAGATCAGACCTTGCGGGGAAAGCGTGGGGTTGAAATGCCACAGGTGCTGTTCGCCACGACCGTACCTCAGGACGCTTCCCGGATGCTTCGCGACAATGAAGTCCGCCTGCACAGTACCTCGGTCGTGGGTGACTAGGTTGAATTTCTTCAGTCCAATCTGCGTAAGCAGGGCGTATAGCTGCTCTGCGACATCCTCGTGCAAGTACGTCCCCGCCGCTTTCTCAGATTGCCCGTATCCTTTGAGGTCGACGGAGACGCAGTAGTACGATTTCGACAGCTTCGCCATTTGATAGTGCCATTGGAACCAGGAGTCAGGGATGCCATGTAAGAAGACAATGGCTTCGGTCGATGGGGAGCCCGCCGTCGCATAGTGCCACTTTATGATCTCGTAGTCGCCTGGTGCGGTGGTAATGTGGTGCGTGAACTTTACACCTTCGAGGGTTTCGACATCTCCATCCTCATCGGGCGCCCTTGGTGCGACGTCTGAGAACTGCTTGACTCGTTCCTCAACAAGCGCATCGTTAGGAATGGCGGATGAGATTGCTTGGTGCGCCCGTTCGGTAAGCGGAGTGTATTGAAGAGTTGATGGGGCTGCCATTTGGTATGTTTGTTTACTATTATTTGCTCAACACGGATGGGAACCGAACAGTATTTGAGGTGAGTTTCAACTAATGCGGCACAGCTAAACTTATGCTGCACGGCTTATGCGTAAGCGGTGAGGCGACCGTCATATGACGCTGGGTGCCTTCCATACATCTGATCGCGGTTCAACCAACGAACGTGACCCCACCTTGATTTTGTGGTTTTTGTCAGACGCCTCGATGTTGCTTTAAGCTTTCCGTACGCATCCGTTGTCGGTTCCGGATGCTTAAGTCAGCCCTAATTACCTACCATACCATGCTACGGGGCGTAGGTAGTTTACCAATCTCAGCACACGCTAAACAACTGATCAAACATCGGTAAGTCGCAAGCACTCGTTAGTGATATGAATCGATGAAGTATACGGCCTGTTCTGTTGTGTTACCTAACGAATGTCCTATTTACTTACCGTTTGCCTTTGCAGATCTACGTAGTTTGTCCAATCGTAGGCTAGCCATATCCACTGCAACTTAATAGCATGTGTTTAAGCGTGCACGCCGAGTCGCTTGCAATGCCTAATCTATCTTCTCTTCCCAACAAGATGTAAAGCGCGCAGATAGACCTCAGTACTTGACATCGGAGTACGGGCGCATCTTTCGGCTGCCGAGACGGGGAGCGGCCCGAGTACGACTCACTCCACGCGGGGGCAGCGCCGAGGTACCGTGTGTTACCATACAAGCTTTGCCCCGCAAATACCGGTCCTTGCAGCGATGCAACGCGATGCAACCCAACAAATATGTATTTGCCACAGCAAGCAGGCATGTATAGCGAGAACTGGCGTGTATAGTACGCCATGGCATCATCTTCCAGGCTCTCGCGATTGCAAAATCAGTACATATACACGATGTTGAGTTCGAAAGATGATAATGCTGTGCGCAGTGTAGATGACGTCGAAGAGCGGACGCTGCAAGAGGCAGGAGGCGGTATTTGTGACGACGAATCAATCAGCTCATGGAAGAAGCAAGTCGTACAGGACCTAAAGCTGTCAAGGCATCGAAACATGTGAGTTATTCCCTCCTTTCTTGAGTAAAGAAGAGGCTCGGGTAACTTACGGTCTCCTACAGCTACACTGGTGCCTTGCTCTTCAATGTCTGTAGCTTCGTTCTCCCAGCGTTATATTCCACACTCTCAAAACTATGGGTAGCGAGCATTGACTCGTCCATGGTCGTCACCACCGACTCGTACACGTACATCGGTGTTGTCGCTGAGGTCCTCAATGAAGGTCTACCACGCGCCGCATACCTCGTCATCGGCGACGATGCTTCTCGCAGCTTTCGCGAGCGTGTTCAGCTCACGCATACTCTCATACTCTTCCAGACGATTCTCGGACTTATCATGAGCTTCGCTTTTGTGGGCGGTGCATCGACATTCGCGAAAGGCTTTGTGCCGGTCGAAGTTCGCGCTGCGAGCCTGACATACGTCAGAATAGCTGCGTTCTCGACTTTGAGCTCGGCGGTGGAGTACGCAGTGAGTACATCCACGAGGGCGCTGGACCGACCAGACGTACCGCTTATCATCAGCTCGACCAAGTTCGCTATCAACATTATCCTCGACCTCATCATCATCTCCAAGTTTCATGTAGGCGGTGTGAAGCCTACAGTGAACATGCAAGCCGCCATACAGCTCGCTTGCAACCTGACCTCCGCTTTTGCTGGTGTCGTATACTTCGTCTACGCGACCAGCATCAAGGAGAATTCTGCGGCTCGCGTAGATACCTCCGATGTATCGTTAAAACCTACGTTTACCGCACTGAAGATTCTGTTCAAACCCGGCTTCATATTCTTCTGGGAGTCAGCAATCCGAAACGCGCTCTATCTCTGGCTCGTTCACGGCATCATAACCATGGGCAGTGACTACGCCACTGCCTGGGGCGTCTTTACGACTATTCGTTGGGGTCTTGTCATGGTGCCTGTCCAAGCGCTCGAGGCCACGACACTGACCTTCGTTGGCCACTCCTGGGGAAGGTTTTGCGCGCCGCTATCCGGCGAAACTACCACGCATCGCGCCAGCTGGCGTCAGATCTGGACTATTACCCGTTGGGCCCTGTATTCGATCGCCATCGCGACCGTTGTTGAAGTACCTCTATGTTTGCTGATGTCCTTTCTCGGTGCTCGCCCGTTTGCGCACTACCTCTCTGGCTCAGATGAAGTCGCTCGTATCACGGCGCATATGTGGCGGACGATCGACTGGTGCTACATTTTCTATGCTCTGTCGACCCAATTAGCGGCCATCCTGATGGCAACACGTCCGAAGTGGTATCTATATCAATCGCTAGCATCGAACCTTCTGTATGTACTCCCTTGGGCGATTGTCTGTCAGGTGGCGAAGTTGAACCCGCGAGATGCGTGGACGTATCATAGCCTAGTATTTGGCGGGAGTCTAGTTTTCTCGTTCTTCGACATCATCATATTCGATGGGTATTGGGCTTGGAGATTGATGAGAAGGAAGGCTCGAGTGGAGGCGTGGTAGGCTAGGAAAGCGCGGTCCTCAAGCTCGCGATTCGGTCATGGTGAATGTAATACTACATATCATCTCCCTGAACTGCTTGCATGAATTTGCTCTTGATGATATTCATGACTGTGTGTCATATACCGGGTGCGTCGCGTCGCGGTAGGAACAGCCGAATATCGATAGTACGAGACGCGCGTTTCGATGCGCACGTTTTAAAAAGGGGTATTGACATCGAGTTTGTTTCCACAAGCTGTTCGCGAGGGACGCGAAGCTTGCGTCTTCGCAGCGTTCAGCGGTCGCCATGCTGAGCGCATACACGTGACAGTTAGCGCTCGACGGCTGCACTCAAGGTCCGTGCTACGCCCATGGTCGTTGGAAAGGCTCGAGGTTCTCTTTCAGGCACTTTCAATCACATGCTTTCAGGCAACGTTCGTGCGAATATCAGGAATATGACTTATTATTGTTTTGTTGAGTGGTGAAACCAAGAATAGAACCGTGGTACGCGATATAACTGGTTGAAAGCAAAAAGCTCGAGGTCTTGAAGCGCAGACCCATCGTGCTGGATTTCTGGTCTGTGCACGTCACTGCCTGGCTCCGCACACTTTGAAAAAAGCAGAAAAACTCCTTGATCACCCTCCACCGCAGCTCTCAATCCAACCACCAGAGCTGAATCACCTCAAGCATGGCGGGCAGAAACGTACCCACCGCCACGGCGTACGCCGTGCCGTCGAAGATAACGGAAGATATCAACAATTATCTCGCATTAAGATACAAGGATCACAAGGACGGTACTCTCAAAAAAGCTATCGCCCGCGTACACAAAAAGCTCATCGACAGGAGCATGGCTCTGGGAGATTCCCTGCAATCGTCAACCCGTAATGAGCTGGATTCGCTCATCTGCGCGGATATCTCCACTTCTGCTGGGTACCTGCGTTATCGCCAGCAACTTGTGCGTCATCGTCTTGCTAATAAGCTCGGTGCTGGTCTTGCTAGTAAGCTCGGTGCTGGCCTCAGCTCGATGTACCTACTCAAAGGTGGTCCTGACATAACCCGTACCAATCGTCGAAGCATCCGGTCCGCTATCGAGGTCCGGAACACGACGCGTGCCTTCCTGCGAATGCCAATTCCAGCAGAGTTGATCTTGAACGTCGCGGAAATGATGGAGGACGATGTAGAATTGTCAAGCTTTCGGGCTGCATGTTCCTTCCATAAGGACCTTATCGACGGTACACCTTCTCTCCGAGATAGGTTGGCCAATAGAGTGCAAGATTCGTGCGATGAATTCTTGCTGAGGGTACATATGGACTGGTTCCGTAAGGAAGCGATCAAGGAATTGCAGTGTTTGACACAAGGAGTTGTACCGCGGTATCTCATGTGCAGTTTCTGCTGCGACAGGCATCCCACATCCGATTTTGCTACGAAAGCATACGCGAAAGATGCTCTCCAGCGCGTGTGCAAAGCCCCCACGGCAGCGATGTACGTCTGTCCACATCGTAGCTTGAGTTTCCAAGAGATCTTTATGCAACGGCGCGAGCTGGCCATTCGAATGGTGGTCAATCGAAGTACTTCGGAACGTATTTCTCTATGCTCAGAGCCAGGCTGCGGTCGTCACCTGGTAATCGGACCATTCCGAACATATCGCGGTCACGTCTTAAAGGATGATTTCGCCTTGGTTCGCACGACTGATCTCAAAAATGGTGACGTCGAGCGAGGCGATCTCGAAAATTCGAACGTACCGACTGATGATACGTTTGGCCTCGACCATACCGTCGCTCTCGATGTGAACAAGCTATACGTGCCATCGGAGCATGATAATGACGAACCTCGAGATCAGTCAAAAGAAGCTAAATGGGCGAGGGCAACGCTCGTTCGAGCTGATGCGTACATCTGCTCCCACTTGCGAACTAGCAGCACGTTCGTGTACACTGTCATTCAGGACCGAATCAACCTCGAACTGTATGGTCGGAACTTCGGATCCCTTGCAAACTTACCGTCCGCTGAGTTGCTTTGCCCGGAATCTGGCTGTGGGACAAAGATTGGGCTGTATTGCCAGCATGACTCGACTTCGGGTCCAATCGAAAAGCAATATCACCTCCGACTAATCGTTCGCGAGAAAGCCTTCTCGTTGAGGATGATGACCGACAAGGACTGGCTGCGGAGGACACGTGCATCCGAGAGATACAACAAGCTGGCAGCATCCGCGGGAGAAGGCCAGGATAAGGTGGGCACGATACCAGGTAGTCTGGACCTGCAAACTTAAGAAGTCATCGAGTGACTGTGTTTACCCAGCGACTTCGGCATGAGAACCAGCTCGACTCATGATTCGTTACTCTTCAGTATCTCACAAGGATGTTTTTGGAGATGGTACTTGAATGCGAGTCCGTGGATTGCCAGAATGTGGTTGGGATTCAGGTCTGCTTAATACCTGTATTCCGATGGAAGCCTCAGTCCCCGTCCGAAAAGTCTGGTGGCTGGATTGGTTCCCACTATGTACAAAAGCTCTCGCGATGACCCTTTCTTCCAGAAGATGGTGATTGACTTCAATCTTGGATTAGCTTTTCGCGGCGTCACTATCAAGCGGCATCACGCAATCCATGGTGATTGTCATGGTGGTGGTCACCCGGAGTCCAGGACATGCTGGGGACAGGGGCGACAGGGAGTGATGGTTAGAAGGGCGTGTATACGTACAAATGACATTAGTTCAGTATAGTAGAGCACAACAGTAACACTATGTAGATGTAAAACTTGCTGCAACGTTCCAGATGGAGGCGCTCAAACGTTATTTCCCTGCATAAGCCCACGCTAAGCCTAGATCGGATGACATCGCGTGGCTCCCCGGAAGCGAGCCGTTAGCCCTAAAGGGGGAAATTCTTCCTGGGATGAGCACCATGACCTCGGGTTGTTGAAAAATCTTTAACATGTTTTGCATAAGGTATATATGACTTGCTCTACTTCTTCGACTTCCTTGTTTCAATACGCAGCTTCTTGTGACTTTCATAAGTACCGCGCTTCGTTCGGAGACATTGCATCGTGCGTCCCCTGAAGTCTTTGACCATGGGGATTGGCATTGCTAGTAGCCGGCACCGCGGGGATATGCAGGACCGTTATGTTGAAAGGGGGCTCCCAAGATCGCCGCGGGAGCTAATTTATCGGCTGATCCCTTATTTAGCAGTGGCTAACTATGATGGGCTGGCGTTGACACATCTCAATGATCTGCTCGTAAAGAACTTCCGAAGTAGTGAGCGCTTGCGTCACATCGAAACACGAGCTGGAAACGTGCGCTTGAAAAAATTCATGGTACCGTACCACGTGTGTGCATCGTTAGTCGAGATCCGCCTGGTGAAGCATCGCGTTGCTTGGCCTCGGCTTCCTTCCCGATCTGAATTGCCTCCACTTTCTCCTTCCACCGGCCTCAATCGGCTTCAAAAGGACCTGCCTCCCATCACCCAGTCACCTGCACACAACCTTCATCCATCACACCGCCATGTCCTCGGACGGCTACAAACAAGAGCCCTGGCCTGCTCCATCGCACGAGATGGAAGAGTTTCCCCACGATTCGCTATCGGTAAGCCCTCCACAGGGCACTGAGAGGCGGCGAGTACGCATTAATAGCTCTGCCGCTGAGATACCAGGTGGATCTCCTAGCTACAGCCGCGTCAATGACCTTGAGGCACAGCACTCGGGAAGCTCAGGAAGCCTTCAGCCTGTTGACGACACCACTGCCGAAGTGAATGGTCTTTGGCAAGCCCACAGGAATGGTGGCAACCTCGACAGCTCAGAGTACCCTTCAGCAGGCACGACAACCCAACCTGATGATGAGGACGTTTACACCTACTCTGGCAATACCCAGGGTGGTGTCTTCTACCATCTCCTCCAAGCCTACAAGACCCCGACGGCGGCGGCCAATTATTCCTCCGCTGAGTACTCCCCTCCTCGGCTACCCGAATCTGTGAGCCGTCCCGGATCTTCGGGTGGCGCGACTCCGCGAAAGAAATGGTATGAGCAGGAGAAGAAGGCGAACCACTCGCAGGAGACGCTTGCCACTCTGATCGGAGCGGCGGCTGAACTGGCCAATCCCAAGATGGAGAGCAAACTAAACCATCGCCCACAGCATAAAAGGAACAGCAGCAATCCACTCATTTCCAAGATCTTCAAAGCGAAAGAAGAGCAGGATGCAAAAATCAAGATTCATGTTGCGAGCATCCTCAAGCGCCAACAGTACATAATCAAAATGTGCCGCGCGTTGATGATTGTCGGTGCACCCACTCATCGACTCGAAGAATATCTGGCAATGACTGCGAAAGTGCTCGAAGTAAACAGCCAGTTCTTGTACATTCCTGGCTGCATGATAATCTCGTTTGACGATACCCGTAAGCTCACCTAGTTCACCTCGTACAAAAGCATTAGCTAACCATAACCCCAGTCACCCATACTGCCGAAGTCAAGATCGTCCGTACCGCACAAGGGGTAAATTTGGGCAAACTCAAAGATTGTCATGAAATCTACAAAGAGGTCCTCCACGATGTTATCAGCCTGGACGATGCGCTTGCGGCACTGGACGAGCTTATCAACAGGCCCGACCAACACCCCGTCTGGCTCAACGTCATCATGTATGGGCTTGCTAGTGTTGCAGTATCGGGTTTCTTCAAGGCACGATGGATAGACATGGGCCCCATCTTCATCATGGGAACCGTTCTAGGATTCCTCCAGCTTGTAGTTGCCCCTCTGTCCAAGACATACAACACAGTCTTCGAGATCAGCGCGGCTATCCTGATGACTTGCATTTCCCGAGCGCTTGGTAGCATACGTGGTGGCAATCTGTTCTGCTTCTCTGCTTTGACGCAGAGTTCGATTGCGATGATTCTTCCTGGTTGGGTAAGTAATTTCCATTGTAACATTCATCATGAATTCCAATTAACCAGTCATAGCTCGTTCTAAGCTCTTCGCTCGAGCTGCAGTCACGCGCTATAGTGCCAGGTTCGATCCGACTGATCTACGCTATCATCTACTCACTCTTTCTCGGCTACGGAATTACCGTTGGTACGGCCCTCTACGGTGCAATGGACAGTAATGCCACGAACGCCACGACCTGCCAGGCACCGCTGAACTCGTATTGGAACTTCATGTTGGTTCCTCTCTACGTCCTTTTCGCCTGCCATACCGTCCAAGCTAAATACAAGCAAATGCCGGTCATGATCGCTATCGCTTTCTCGGGCTACATAGTCAACTTCTACGCCAACATGAAGTTCAGCTCCTCCGCGCCTATTGCGTACACCTTCGGAGCATTCGCCGTGGGAGTGCTAGCGAATCTGTATAGCCGCTTACGTCATGGTGTAGCAGCAGCAGTACTTCTACCTGCTGTCTACGTTCAAGTACCAGGCTCCCTTGCTGCGAGTGGAGCTATCACGACCGCGTTACAAACTGCCGGTTCCCTCATTCAAGGTGGGGAAACCGATCCCGTAAGTTTTCTTTGCGCCTTAACGTAACCCTCGATAACTTGCTAACAACAATCAGAACAGCTCAAACAGCCTCAACGCCATCAGTTTCAACGTTGCTGCGCAAATGATCCAGATTGCAATCGGAATTACTGTCGGTCTGTTCATGTCAGCACTTCTCGTCTATCCGCTAGGCAAGAAGCGCAGCGGCTTGTGGACCCTATGATTCTCCAACTTCCACTGCGAAAGAAAAAAAGAATTCGACGCATTTCAGCGATTCCTTCAATCGAGCATTATCAGCGAGCATTTCCACAAATAATAATACAAGGTAAATCCATCATCCCTAAGTAGAGCTAATTTGTTCGAGGGTGAAATACCCCTATAGAACGTGTATGAGTAGTTGCAGCAAATCGCAGCACAGGAGACTAGCTACCGAAGCTTCACGATGCGAGATGCACGTGATTGGTGATGGCGAGTGAGGCATCGAAACGACATATCGACATCGGACCATGGCAACTTGCACCCAAGCAATATTTCGACAATCCTGGACCCGGATGCCACCGGACGACCCACAGGCGAACACCTCCCCTGCGCACATCGAGTAAACCACCCATGCCCCAGATGGCTGGACCAACGACAATCAACCGGACACGAATCTCCGACAGTTTGTGATCTCTGGTGACGTAACTCCGATATTTGTGTGATCTCATTGCGTACGACAGTGTAGATTGCGGTACTCCTGGCATCCGCAACGCAACGACCCTTCCGATGCAGCATTAATATATGTGCTAGCCTTAAGGGGTAGATCTGCCACTATTGTTGATTACTTGCTAATGATAAAGCTGTTACAATGATGATGCTCGCTTGGAGGGTTATGGCTTTGACGGACCGGAGTCACACTGCGCTGGATCTCGGCGAAATGCGGCTGGGTACTGGTCCAGTGTAGTCTTTTAGGTATCACTTATTTCTGGCATACATCGTAATACGTAATTCTGAGCGATAGACAAAACCTTGAAACTTTCGATTGCTTTGATATCCGACGTTTAGCGTGGCCGCATGTGCTTGTGCATCGGTATACAAAGACTTTTAACTTCATTGGTGATCCGAGGACGCATGCAAAGACTACATATTGGATCTAAATTATCGCCTGACGACTGAGAAACATCCACCGGTCAAGTACCAGCTAAGATGCAACCAAGAACGTCAGAGTCGTCGTCACCGGGGTAATGGTGATCGCCTCCACCAATCAATCCTACAATTTGATGATGCCCTCGGCGAGGCGCTCGTAGACATCTTTCGTATCTGAGAATTAAATCGTCGCCAACGCTAAGCCGGAATGGCCGGAAGAGTAAGACGCGCGGCCGCTGTCTCTTGAAGTGGTTTGCAACACGTGTCGCAGCGGCTGAAGTATACTTGGTGGGGAAGAATGACGACCTGTGGGCAAGTCGACGAGATGTGCGCGACACTCGTAGGGAGGCAATATTGGAACCGCATCGATGCCAGCAAGTAAAGTGCAGGCCGGCATGCACCTATGGCGAGCTGGTGACTAGCGGTGACCACCCGTAGTCATTACAGGTGCTCGCAGAATCCAACCCGGTACGGGTGCAATTCGCTCTGCTTGGTGTCTCGCTCCTGCAGTACAAGAGTTGTCAGGTCGCCTGTTGGGTTGGCTGCCCAGGTAGGATGCGCGTCGCCGCGGCATACCATTCTTCAAGTGTGTTCCCTCCACCAAGTTCATAGCAGGTTCAGGCCCCTCCCAGCTACCAAATTTCTCACCTCTTCATGACCCCATCTTCCCCGCCTTGAGAATTTTCCCCTCCACCTTCTTCACCAGAGCCTCCTTCTCCTCAACCGCCCTCAGCCTCTCCCCCTCCAATCCCTCCAGTTCTTTCTCCAACTCCTTCATCCGCGCCACCTGTTCCGCCTCACTCTTATCCAAGCCTGGCAAACTTGCAATCAGCACTTCGATCTGCTGCTCCTTGAGCACCATATCTCTACTCAATTCCGCTATATCTTTTGGAATTCTTCTTGGGAGGGCTGGGGAGGGGGCGCGGGCGGTGCAGCAGAGGGTTTGCGGCTGCCATGTTCTGGGCTTCGAATTCTTGCATTGAGGAAAGCGTGGGTTGGCCTGGTATTGGGGCGGGTGGGGCGCGGTTGCGGATGTAGGCGAACGAGGATTGCATTTGATTGAGGAGCTGTAGACGATAGTCAGTAAGCGCAGGTGAGTGGGAGAATGCTTGGGCTGGGGTTTGGACGTACCATGTCCAGCTCGTCTTGAATTTGTGTAAGTATGTCGCCCATTTTGAAGGTGGACTTCAAGAGTTGTCTGCGCGGGTAAACTTTGCCGATCGCTTTTCAGTGGATAATGATAGAGGTGGATGTCGGTTGTTATCCGAAGTGTTTGCTGTCTTCTCGAAGGTTGAGTGCGAACGCTTTCAGGAAAGAGCAATGGCTGTGGTAAGGTTAAGGCAAGAACAAGGGTCGTAGCTACCGCTCGTAGGGCTGACTAGCGTGTCATTTTCGCTTGGCATCGTCCGAAAAGTTACGCGACTGTCGCGCCCTCCACCTCACTCCTAAAGTTGGCGTTCATGCTTCGTTTCGGTTCTTGTCGCTCCTTTGCTTTGTAAATATGGTTTCATACTGTTGTCAAATATTGAGCGAACCGTAATGCGTCTTCTTGCCCGCCCATCATGGCTTACACGACGAACCCCCCTTTCGCGTCTCCTCCGAACGACTCCGCATGGCGCCGTCCACCATACCTCTACCACGAACGTAGCCCCCATTCAAATACCCAAACTCCTAGTAAAGCCAGGATCGGTCAACCACAGCTCTCTGTCTACATACCTCGAATATGCGACGCGCACGAAACTTCGCCCCGACCGAACGGTTTATATTGGCACGCACTACGAATATACGGCGGCGGAAGCCCTCCTTCGGCTTGGCTTCTCGCTCATTCGGACGGGTCAGAAGAATGATGCCGGCATTGATCTCATTGGCCACTGGATGCTGTCATTCTTGCGCGAGCCTATGCCTGTCATCGTTCAATGCAAGTCGAGGATGAAGACGTGCTCACCTAACGAGGTTCGGGAGTTGGAAGGCGCTTTCCAAAGTGTGCCACCCGAGTGGCGCAGTAAAGATGTGCTTGGCCTGCTTATTACGAATCAGAAGGCCACCGAAGGCTTGCGAAAGCAAATGTACCTGAGTACACGCCCTCTAGCCTTCCTGCAGATTAGCAAGAATGGCATTATTACTCAATTCGTTTGGAATCGAGCGGCTGCGGAACGGGGTTTAGAGGGAGTAGGAGTGACGCCAAGATATACTGTGCTTCCACCCGGCGAATCGGATAAGGAACTAGAGATGTACAGGTGCGAGGATCGTCCTCGAGACGCCCACGGCCGCTTCCTAAATGACCCGTATGCGAAGTTACGGAAGAAGGGTGCATCTCGTACTGTTATCACGGATATCCAGCTCACGTGGTTGGGGACGCCCGTCTTCCCTGACCAGGATGAACTAACACTGGAGACGGCCAAACGTATGGTTGCTATTGCACAAGCTCACGGGATTGCACACATGGGGTTGAAGAAGCCCGCAAAGCCAAAGAGGGGGAGACCGCCCGGCTCCAAAAACAAGAATGGCTACAAGCCTCGCGTTGAGGCGGTTAAAAAGAAGCGACGACAAAGTGTTTCGAGAAACGAGGTGAAAGTCACGGCAGCTTCCGTGACGAAATCACAAGGAGAAGGAAGAGTAGGAAGGCCCTCGAAGGCAGTGAGAGATGCCTTTGGTGACGATGGAAGTGGGGTGATAGTGGCCAGACCCGTTCCGCCAAAACGAGGACGAGGACGACCACCGAAATCAGAATCGGTGAAAAAGGCGTCAAAACAGATGTCGAATGATAGTGTTAGAAGCAAAGATGTCCCACTCGAGTCTGCGACACCAAGAAAACGAGGAAGACCAAGGAAGACTGTGGCAGTCCCTGATGGTTGAAGATCGTGCAAAGATTGTTCAGGGCTTAAACTACATCATTACACTGTAGACGTGTTCTCCGGCCTCAGCTTAGGGCAAAATACAACGCGCTTGCCAATGCCGGTATGCTCGGCCGCCATGTCTAAGCACGCTTCCCACTCTTCCAATCGGAACTCCTTGGTATCGACGAAGTCTCTGCTCCGAGGGAACAGGCCTCTTTCCAGCATCTTGACGAACTGGATCATATCCTCTCTTTCGTACATCAATTTACCTTTGAAAGAGATGTTCCTTGATACCACACTCCAGGGGACCATGGGGTTGGCGTTCAGTCCCATCAGGCTGATACGTCCCCCTTTCCGGATAACACGGACGACGCTCCTTAGATGACTTGAGCTCGAACCCTGCGGAGGCGTGAAGTCAATCCCCGCATCAATGATGCCAAACGCCTTGAGGTTCTCCGCATCGACCATCTCATCGCCCGTCATCTTCAATGTTTCGATGCTAGCGCTCGGCGAGCCGCTCATGACAACCTTCTTCAGCCGGGCCAACTCAGCTTCATTCCGTCCCATGGCTATCACCCTCGCACCCATCGCCACAGCGACCATCACCGCCGCCCCACCATACCCACCCGTCGCAGGACTCACCACCACTGTCTCTCCAGGCTCCAGTGCGATGTCCCTCAGCCCGCCAAACGGCACCATGAGGTAATCCATATAAATTAAATCGTTCACCGCATACCCCAGATCGCTGCAGAGCCTCTTCTCATCCAACGGTATGCAATTTTCCAGCGGCACGCGTGCGTACTCAGCAAACGTCCCATCGCGCCACACATCCTTCGCCAGCTTTTGGCTCCCAGGCGTACCGCTGTCGTGGATCGCAAGTAGGAACGCGGTATCCGGGTCGTCGCGCGCGCGGATCATGCAATCGACGAAGACGAGCTGGCCCAGCTGCAATGACGTGGCGTCAGGACCCAGTGCGGCGATGTGGCCGATCGCTGCCCCAAGCGAAGTTCAGTCAGTTGTCTAGCATATGATCGAAAATCGGGAAAGGTCTCACCTGACATGCCCGTCACTAGCGGTGTCGTGAGTGAATAGTGCTTGTGTGACTCAGAGCCGTTGTATATCTCGCGGTGGTAGGATAGAGCGCCTGCGGAGAGGATCTCGACCACGGCGCTGCCGTGAATAGGGGTGGGCGTGGGGATGGTTTTTACAGCGAGAGGGGTGCATCTGTCTGTGAGGACGAGGGCGCGATGAGAGGGTGGCAGAGAAGACATGTTGATGAACGTGTTCTTATAATAGCAGAATCAGGCACAATCGAAGAACAAGTGAAAGATCGGTGAGCTTGACAGATGCTCAGAGCGCAGATGCCTTCTTATACCTGACGAACAAGTTCATATTATCACCCCAAGCTATCACACATCGTATCGAAGTCAGCTAGACTCATGTCGTTTTCCGAAAGCCACTGATGGCCTCAGGAGTATGTGAGCGGCGTTAACCGGATTTACCACCTCTACTTCCCTACTTCGACCAGGACATGTCGGCTCTGGCTTGCGGAGACCGATTCGTCTCCATTCTTCATGCTTGGCTGCAGTGATCGAAGAACGGAAAAGCCTTGTAGGACAAAAGGCATGCGGAAAAGTGACGGTGTTAAGGCGGGGATAGGGGAAGTGAGTGAAGAAACAATGTGGTTGGTACATTGATGGTCTATGCTAAATCGACCGACTGCTGGTTGACCAATTGCATCAAAGATCGAGACTATTTACCCCGTGGATTCGCCTGCACGAACGTCTAGAGAATAATGATCTCGGAATAGACACGGTATGTACATGAAACCGTCTAGCGAAGCAATCTTTGAGTCGACTTGTAGTATCGCCATCTACTCTGCCTAGTCCCGAGAGTGGCAGTCTTCGGTGAGTTATTGCGCAACTACCTTGGGAGTATCAATCATATGACTGCAAGATAAACCCAGGAACTTCATAAGTAGTATCATGATGCACTTCACTTGGTGTCGAAATCTCGATTCACGAGTAAAAAGCTACATACCTGAAGGTCAAATATATAGTACTTGTGTTTGTCACCCCAGGAAGATTTCTTGTCAGGATGCGCGTAGGTGGTTTTGATCGTCAATATAGAAGAAGGAAAAGAGAACTTGTGTGAGCATTTCGACAGCGAGCCGAGCGGAGTCTATTATCTGTCTTATGTATTGGAGATCAAACATGAGAAAGAAACACGGTTTAGTAGCAAGGGCTCAGAAAAGGATAGTTTGGAATTAATCTGATGAAGCTAGTCTAGAGGAAATGAAAAGCCTGTGGCCATGTTTGTAGGAGCGAGGAGGTTCAGATAGACTGACTGGTGGAGACTTTTGCCCGAAGAACACCTATTTAGAGCCCCAAAGGCAATTTTCGGGATAATGTGCCATCTTGCCCTTGGTGAACCAGAACACACCATGAAGTTCGCCTTTCGCATTAGGCTTACGTTGAGCCTGGCACTTCTCGCAAGGTGGGATATATTTATGGCAGTCACTCACGAAATGGTTCTTAGCATGGCAGCGAGTGCAGTATCGCGGGATGCCATGCCTGTTGATCGAATACTGCCGACTAGACGTCTCTACGTCGTTGACCACCTGGAGAACCGACTTTGGGAAGGTCAGCTTAGCACGACCATAGAGCGCCATGTAAATGGCGGAAATGGTAGTGTAGGCCGCATCGTTCCCAGCCGTGTGGGGATCACGGTATGGGATGTCGAAGTGGGCACTCAGATTACGGAGGCCAATCTCGTGCTGTGGGCCACGCGAATTGTAGATGCCCATCTCACGAGCCATCTGCTGCGTGTCAAGTACGGCGACGACAGTTTCTGCAGCCTGAGGCTCAAAACCGATAGTTCGAGCCAAGCCATCCGTATCGTTATGGAGAGCATGGCCGATAACGACTGTCGGGCACTTGCCATCCTGAGGTTTACCGGCAGTCACGTCCCAGTAGAAGCACTCCTCAAGCATGGCTTTGCCTTCAGCATGTGTCGCGAATCGAGTGTGCCCGAAGCGGTTCCTCTCTGGATTGCCTGGACAGAAATCCTTGTTGACGCAATGCGCGTTCGGCAACATGCGGAAGTGGTAGTAGTAGATCTGCTTCAGGAGGTTCTCCCCGTGGGGACCAGGATTGCCAATGTATTGGCGAAGATCTCCGGACGTAAACGCGTTGATACCAATTTCGGTCAGCTTAGACCGATCCCTTTCATAGTGTTCGGTATCGATGCAATTCACCACAATCGATTGTGCCAGCTTCGGGGCGTTCTGAGCAGTGTCGAGACCAAGAATGTAGCGAAGCTTCAAGGTCTGGGTAGGGAATGTGCGAAGGAAAGCACGAACCCCAGCGATAGTTTCCGGAAAATAAGTGGCTTGAGAGGTTGACATAATGTGGTTCTACTCTTGAAAGCTTTTTTGCTGGTATGGACAAGAGGTGTTCGATGTCTTTATAGTTAAGGAGTTGACAACTCAGTTGTGCTTGGTTTTTATGAGTAAGAGAGAACATTAAGATATGCGTATATAAGTTGAACGAAGGTAGTGTGTTGTATATACACAAAGCTGCTACCACCGTGAAAGAGTTGAAGTAGTTGATTGAGCATTGTTCGTGGTGAAGATCTGCTAGACCTGAACTTGGAATCTGACTCCCGGTAGCATATTTCACTCTTCCAGAGCTATCTTAATCTGGCCTTTCCGAAGTACGTATGGTAGGGCAATAGTCTTTAGAGGAGGTTCCGTCCGTCGTGGCTCGTCGTGGCAAGTTTGTGGGCACGCCAGGTCCGCTCAAGGAGAATCTTGATAGTGGGGAGCTCCATGTTATGCAGCCCTGAGGTTCTTGCTGGCGCTGGAAGCACTGTATTATTGGCTCCACAAATCGCCCACAGCACCGAGGTTCAAGCTACAAATAAGTGGAGAGGTCTTACCGTCGGTATACAAGCGAGTAGTCACTTATATATACGTGGTACTAATAGCTGTCAACCAAAGTCAACGCCATAAATGACCACATAGATAAGTGACTACTCGCGTGTATACCGACGGTAAGATCTCTCCATTTCTCCACAATTTGAATCTTTGGGGGGTGGGCCATGTCATTATTTAGAGCACCGATAGTAATCCGCCAGGGGGAGATCTCGCGCAGAGTAAGAAACTTATAACAAGGGGAGACGACAGCTCATTGCAGATACCATGTCTTGGGCTCCTTCTTCTTCGCCATGTTGGGAGTGAGGAGGTGTAATAGATGACCGATTCAAAAAGAAATTTCCGCATAGCTTGCTGAGAGAGAGCGTCGACTCGTATTCAGTGTTCTCAAATTATGACTGTGAGATGATATGACATGGTACGGGCATCCAGTTCTTGGAGTATCTTTAACGCTCTGTTGTAACCTTGTAGCGCTGTAAATTGGAGACTTAGCCGCTCGCACGAAAACATGTGCCGACGCCACGATTATACAAGGATAGAGATAGCCTCTATACTTTAAGAACCTCCTGTGAACGAGTCGTTGAGTCACTTGTCTTTTTTTGACATAATTGCTGATGGGAGCAATTGGTTGTGATGGAGACATTTGCTGTCAAGCCAATGGTATCACACCATACCATCATAAAACAATGTTCTGTCATCGCTTGTAAGTTTCAAAGACTCTGTGTTCACAGCTGTAGACGCAAACTTGCTGCTTTGAGCAGAACAAAGCAAGTGATACACAATGCAGATAACGCCAACCGTGGCTAAGGTTCTGAATAACCAAAGCCACAACTGCGAATCTGGAACACAGTCCATAAAGACAAACATGGGTAATTTTACGCTTCTGCACGCGATTGTTCGGGGATGTTGCGTTTTCCCTTTCGGCGCTTGCGCACCAAAGAAGCTACCTGCAACACGAACAACAAGTACTAACCAACCATAGTACCAACAACATAATAAACCATCCAAGTATTTCAGGGATACAAACAACAAGGTGTACACAGCCTCCATGTAGGACTGCATTGTACAGGGCCTCGTAACGAAGCCAACCAGCGACTTCTCTATGCGCACTCTAAAAATCTCACCATCTTTTACCCTTTTCCCCAATCCAGACAATGTGCCGACCAACCAAAAATAAGCAACGCCCCGAAACAATGCCCAATCCAGGCCCTCGGACTCAAAAAGTGGGGGCCGCGGGTACCTCGCATGTCCCGGCTGACATCATGCCCAGCCCAGTGCTTCGCGGGTGCGCAGCCCCCGCCCCACTTACCACTAATCACCCGGGCTCCGAAAATAGCGACCGTTATAGGATTAGTATTCGCAGGTATACGCTCTAGGTTCCACGAGCATGGAGGAGGGCAGGCGAGGTTGTACAAGTGAGGTTTGTGGGTGAGACCGACAGGTCGTGTTGCGGAGATGAGATGGGGCACTGCGTAGGTGGGAAGGCGACCGAGTGCTGAGTGCTGATGCGGATGGGGATGGAGGAGATGTGAGTAAGAGGGGCAACGGGCGCAAAAGAAGGCGAGTAGGCTGGGAGATGGGATGGAAATTGGGGTTGAGCGGGATGGTAAGACAGTGCGATTGGGGCTAGGGTTGCGAAAGAGGCATATGCGTCTGTCTCAGGGACGGACGCGACTTGAAAGGTAAGACCGATTGAGCATAAGTAATGCAAGCTGTATTATTATGCACAGAAAGAAGTGCTGCTATGATAAAGCACAAGCGTCCCAATGTCTTAGATCGCGACGTGATAAAACAGTAGTCTATTCGCAGAAAGATGCAGTCAGATGCACTGTGGTATAGACTACCTCGTGAACAAAAGGTGTGATTAAGCCATGGAGCTTTAGCACTCGCTGTTCAACTTATGCTTCGGCCAACCATAACCGGTCTGGTCCCATTTCTGTTCGCTATCAGATCTTATGCTGCTGCCAATATTTCGAATCGGGAGCACTCACAGTGAAATTTGGATTTGTATATGCCAAAATATGCTCTTTAATGTACTTTGTGGTCTCGAAACCAGGGGGATCGCACGTTACCAGCTTCTCGCCTTTCTTCTGGTACCAGCGCACATAGTCTACTCGCAGTACCGTTGGGAAAACTAGCTCTGCCCAGTTGATCCACGTCCACGAATTGCTCATGCCGAGGTTTAGAATTAAGGACATAGGCTCCTGCGAGATTCGGCGCGCTTGGATGTTGCCGTTGGGGCCAAGGGCACGGCCGTCCATCGTGAACATGGTTTGCCCTCCTACCTTCCAGGTGATGTGCGATCCTTCTTTATCGCCAGGAACGTATTCGAATGAGAAGCGTTGATATGCTTTGCCATCATACCAGTCGCGGTTCAGATTGGTGGTTGCGGAGATAGCTTGCTGGAAAGGACCGCCTGTGTAGGTGTTGGTGTAGCTCAAGCGCTGGTCGGGAAACGCAGTGAACTCATAGTTTGGGTAGTACCATATATCGAAAGGCGCGACTTGGTAGCTCTGAGTGGCAACAGGTAGCTTCCCTTCCTCATAGCTCACGCTTACCTCCGCGACGTCGATTTCAGGCGCGCCGCGACCGGTGCCTGGTGTAGGGTGGTCTTCACTTGGACATGTGCATGACGGCAGTCTTTGGCCAGGAAGCCATGAGAGGCCATCCGGGCTCGACTGGTTGGGCGTTATACCCACGTCACAAGCTTGATAAGTGTACGGCCATGTCCCGTCTGTGGTCGATGTGTACCCCGGCCGCCCCAGGTTGCCCAGCGTCCAAACACCGGGCCAGAGACCGTGGACACCTGCCGGTCCAGGCAGCGACATTGAAATTTCGAAGATGCCCCCTTTGAAGCATAGGTGGTTCCAACTATTCAGCATGCCGGAGCGAAACTCTAGCCCATGATTCCTGAACCGGTCCATTCGCAATTCTAGAACGCCGTCCCATGTCGTAACCGCGTCAGGATCGTACCATTCCAGATCCTGGGTCGCACCATACCAAATGTCTGGAGCAAAGAAGTATGGGTCATCTCCTTCGTAGAAAGTGCGGTTATTGCTGTTGTATTCATCGCTGAACACGAGCTCGTACTCGTCGCCAAACTCGCCCAACTTTCGCATAGCATGTGCAGGAGTATCGGGATCAAGGAGGCCACTCCGCATACTTTTAAAAAGCGGGTACGCTATATCATTGACCCAAGCCCAGTCTCCTTTCCGCGGGTAACCGTCTAAAGGCGTCTCGTGTCCTGATATGGAATCTAAGACACCCGTGTATTTCAGGATAGGAAGGACAAAGAAAGTGATGAACAGGCCGACGGATAATAGAATGACGCCCGTTGTAGGTAAAATGTGTTTTCGTGAAAAGCGTTCCTTCCAGTGTATCTTGAACAGCTTGTCATCATCGGGGTGCGGCAGGTGCATCGCATCGTCTTCTTCTGCCTCGTCTCCCCAAAGAGGCCACCCTAAACCGCCTTTCTCCTCGTATGGCGCACCGAGGCGATCGTCGATTAGAAATACTTTCTCTTCTACGTGTATATTCCTAACTAGATCTGTACTGGAGGCTGCAGGCGTTAGAAGGGCATTTGCTGAGCCAGTGGCGGTCGCAGTTGCGGGTGCGTTGGACCGTGATAGGCGGCTGGAGGGGCGTGAATATCTACCGGCAAACGAGGTCCTCCAACTGTCTGTGAAAGGATCATAGTATCGTGAATAGTCTGTACCAAGATCGTGAACTGTCAATGAACTGCCAGGCCGTTGAAGATCAGTGCTTGTCTGTGATGCGCGTCCAAGCGCTGACTGTACATGTGCCCTCGGTTGCGGTCTTCGACGTACAGGGCTGTCAGGCGTGCGTTGTTGAGCAGACACCGAAGGTCCAGCTCTTGCGATAGAGTTGGATGCTGTCTCGCATTCGCTGCTGCCTCTGCGAAAATCCGCGATGTCAGAGCCAGACAGTGCACAACTTATCTGCGATTGCAGGACTTCATGCGGCGGTGGAGTATTTGTGCGCCAGAGCTGTCTGTCCGGGGAAGACCGTTTGCCCTGTTCATCGGGACTTGTTTGAGGATCGTCCATGGAGCTTATGGATTCTCGCCAGGTTCGTGACCCTTTTGCGTTGAGCGTAGCGGCCGCTCGCTCTGCATCTAGAGCCGACGACGACCGTCCAGCTTCCACAGGCAGGTTTGGCTGATTGTGCACTATGGAAGGCACGTTGGCCGACCGGAAAGGCAGTATTTCCTGCGTGTCTTGCGTTGTTTCGTTGTTGCTATGCTCCATGCGTCGCCGCAACTCGCTACAATGTTATCGGCAGAAAGCAAGATATTAGGCTTTTGGGAATACGAAGAAGCGCTGTTTAAAATGTGGATGAGGTATCGAGCCCTCGTAATCATCAGTCCTCAAATTTATGAAGCTCGCTGAGCAACAGCAGTTCACCTGGGGCAGTTGGGTAGCTTTGGCGTTAGCCCCCTCAACGGCCACTGTAGCCGTCAATAGGAGCATCGCCATTGCGATCGTGCGCTTCGTAGTACAACAACGGGCGCTAGCGCTGCGAAACCAGCAATGGAGAGCAGAAGTGGATATGACAGCCCAGAGACAAACGGTTCGTTGGTTTCTACCCTGTGCCACGGGACCTATTCAACATCAAATATGGAAGGGTCATCTCTCAGTCCCGTGTGTTACTCACCGCACAGCTCAAGTGGTACAGCTGCAATCGAAACATACTCTACAGCATTTGAGCATATTGTCAAATAGAGGAAGGTATACTCCTAGGGAAGCCTGCGGCCTATTATGACTTTCTCGTGTTTGTCGTGGGCTGCGACAGAAAAGAAAATGGAGCGACAGTCTGAGTGTTGATTTAGTCGCACAAAGGCCCGCAAATCTAGACTTTGATGTAGGATGCGATGATCAAATTGCGGATGCAACGTAACTAGAAGAGTGGGATCTTCATCTGCCGCACGCGGGCTGGTGCCAAGCAGATCATGAGAGATGAAAAGTACTATCGCCAAATGACATTAAATCTAGCCATTTGAATATTGCAGCGTTGCATCACAACGTCGTTTACTTTTTGGTAGTTGTTGCGATAGAATGTCGCTGCTAAATGAGATGGTCCTTATAGAGGGTGGCTGTGTTTGGTGGCCTGAGGATCTGTTTCAGAGGCGTCACCCGCATAATAAAACCCCACGAATCGACAATCCTGGGGTCCGCTGCTTTCAAGGGCCAGCCTGGGGGGCTTGCCGTTCGTATATTTAGATTTAGACGATCGTTATGCGTTCTATGCGCGCGGAAAGCGGTACGTAGCGGCACGTCTTCGAGTATGCCTTGCTCATGAAACGAAACGTGGTGCCCTGGTCGTTTGTTTAGCAAACCTTCAACATGGAAGGATAGAACATCGGAAAATAGATGCATTAACATACAAGGCGCAGTGGGTCCTTCGTTTTGGGTACTTTGGCGATCTTTGAGCCGTAGGAACATTCGGAGGTTATTGAGCTGGCGTCGCATGATTGTCCGTACTCGAAGCGGCTCTCTCAATGGTAAAGAGGACGGGAGCGTTTGTGTGAATGTGTATCTCATCCGCCCTCACATGATTACTGGTACTGACTTGGATTCCTAACTGTGTTGCCCAGTCTTGAACGTCCCATTCCAAGCCAGTCGTACTGATCGTGGCAGGTCCGTAGACGGGTAGGATGCCAACATTTTCAGTATAGTTTTGGTTTGAAAGCGCACCCTTGATGATGTTGTGGGGATTTCTCAAGATAAACGATACATTTGTTTCGGAATACAACCATAATCGCAAGCGGGGATCTCTAGTTTCTTCACGGATCATGTCGTGCAACATTCCAAAGGCATGGTCAACTCTTCCAGCCAAAGTCCCAAGCACAAGTACCTCGCGTGATGATGCGGACGAGTGATTAGCTGCGATCTTCTGCATGGCTTTGGAAAAATCGGTGCAATAATCATCCACAAGCTGAGTTACTTGAGTTCCGTGATTGGCATAGAACGAGCGTACATCATCGCGCACCGAATCGAGGTCCCCGTGAATCGAATCTGGTATCTGGTTGCAGTCAGCACTGCGCCTTTTCGAAACAAATGTCCACCCACATAATCTGTTCTGCGAGCCTCCAGCTCACCACTAAACATATCGTAGAGGTGATTTGCGCCGCCGTCCGCGCATAAGCGATATCTCGACTGGGCCCAGAGTCGTGCAAAAACAGCAAAGTCGCTGATTGGCTGGTTAAGGATGAGTAGATCTGGTGCGGTCACATCCGAGGGTTCCTCGCGCTGTACCAGGTACTGCGACAGGTCGAAGACGCGCGCCTCGCTCGCACTCATTATTTTGGCTTTGCACTCCACAAATTATCCAGTTCAATGCGACAGCTGCCGGGCGGTACCAGACTTGAGCGACCTAGTGTAGAGAATGTAATAGATTGATGATGTGATAGCGCACGCGACCGGCCAACAATAGCAAATTCGCTGCTGCTGGGGCGCTAACGGCTGCTGGATTGTTCCGGGGCCGAGGACGCGACATTCACGACAGCGATGACTTGCCTCGACTGCCTCGCGTTCATCACAACAAACCACCACAAAATCTACTAAAACACTGAACATCAACATTCTTGCGATCACGGGACTGATTGGGAATATGCTACTTAGCGTATCCGTCGTGATCGACGTAATTGCAGATCTCATTACCGAAGCAAGCATCTAGGCTATGAATAACTGCATGATGCGCAGAGGCTGTGCTGAGCTTCCTCGCGACTGCCCCTGTCATCACTCCACAAAGTCACTTCGAGATACTCGACGGAGATGAGGTCGAGTGCTTTGCAGATACTAGCTGCTAACTCGTACCTGCAGCAAGCCATGGCTGCCATGGCGTCGACTCAGCCCCAACCCCACCATACCTCGACTTCGGACAACTCTAAACCACAGTGCAGTGTGGCAAGACGACCTGAAACGCATCCTGCCGCTCCAGGAAAAGCTTGGCCCTGCAGGTACACTACAACCTGGTCCAAGTGGCTCCTGTCCTGAGCCCTAGCCGTCGCATTCTGATGCTATTTCCAACCAAGTTGAATGTACACAATGGATCTAGAATGTGGGTTCTTTCCATGACGGCTTCACCGAGGCACGGCCCTGGAAGCAGCTTGATGGCCATCTTGAAAGTTAACCACGAGCCGTAATTCGACCTTCAGGCCTCACATCGCGCGATAGCTATCTCGGAAGCTCATAAGGGAGGCGAAAAGGTTATAGTGGCCCCCCAAGGAACCGCCCGCCTGTTTTGACAGCAAGCCTAAACGGTTACATCCCAAATCGTACTGTGAGCACTGCAAAGTCAAGTCCGTTCGCACGGTTGTACAATGGTGCGCACACTTCCACCTTCCTTGTAGCCGAGGGTCCATCGAAAGCATGCCATGTGCAGTGCTCCCTGAGATGATAGGGTGGTAGGGGGTTTGCATGTTTATTTCCGCAGCGCCTCGATCACGGGCCGATGATGCAAGGCCAACCGAAGGATGAAGATGTTGAGATTGGGTAGGGAAGTTTCTTCGAGGTGTGCACACTCCAGCATACGCTGGACCGTGTACGCTGGACCGGACCATCCCTCCCATCCATCGAGGGTTCTCCCAAACGAGAACGATGGTGGTTTAGGTCCACCTCAAACATGAGCTAGTGAGGCCGGTGGCACCGAAAGTATCTGGAAGTCGGCGGCTTTTCCTCCTGGACGTTCGACTGTCACTGGACTGGACTCGTTCCGAGCGACCAAGAAGGGTGACATTCTGGTCAATCTCAACACAGGATGCCTAAGCAATCTGCAGCTGTTCTCGTATTTCGTGGTATACCCCCCTTCCAGGAGACCCATTCGAGGATGCGTTAGTGCATCTCCCCATCAGCGTACTGGCGTACCGTTAGCAAGTTCAGTGCTCCTTTAGTGTCGACGGAGTACGGACGACACTGTTCACGAGCCTGCACTCTGAGGAGGCTGTTCAGCGTAGTCACGGGTTTCTAGAAGCATTCGGCAATACCTGTTGGGGTACACTGAAGCAAGAGGTCTGTCCGCTCACCGTCGGGTGTGTTTCAGGACCAAAGCAGACGCACAGGACGTTAATACCTCTCTATGCGGCAAGCTGCCTACCCAAAGAGGCTTGTGCGACGTTTAGTGAGGATTTCCACGGGGCATGATTGGGCAGAGTGCGCGTTTGTGCGCCTATGGTGCCTATGGGATTGCCTGTTCTGGCCCGAAGGTCATGCTCTGCGCTCTCCCGGAGCTAATTAGCACTTGGCAAGTCCGCAGCGCAGAGCCGCACGTCGCTTTGCCCTACCGTTGCCATTAGCTCAGCAGTCCAGCGTCGGCCATGGGCGAATGTCCGCAACGGCCTTCGCGTGTGGGCCTTTTTCGCACGCTTCGTCCACTGTGCAGAGTGCACTGCGCTGGACGAGGCTGCGGCGGCACCCCTACCCCTGTGTAGGCCCGCCTAGCGGCCCGCCAAAAACAGCTGCTGGCGACACCACCCATGCACCCTCCCCGCCAAAGCGCCCAAGCAAATTAGACCTGCAGGTCTTGCGCTTGCGCCTATCCTCGCACGCCAGCTCGAGAGCGGCCATCCGTGGCGAGCCCAGAGCGTGACAGGCAGGCAGTCCCTCTCCACGATGTGCCGTCGCCCGCCGCTAGCTGCCCCCGTGGATGTGGCTGTCACTCTTTACAATGCCGTCCCACACGACACTGACTAGCTATGAGGCTCTGCGCGCTCTATCCACAGCATCTCTAAGCGTTTCATGGCCTCGACCAATCCTCCGCCCGCAGTCGCCAGATCAAGCAGACCCGCAACCGTGTAAAAATGGCTGTTACAAGCTACGCACCGACGTCCGGAGGCCCAAGCCACAGCTCGGTTGAGATTCGACTTCATCGTCATCGCGAGGGTCAGATCATCGACGAGGGCCGTGCGACGCCGGTCGTCAGCCTGCAGGACATGCCCCTGCACGACCTTGAACTGAAACTGGCAAGGCACTGCTGCGCTCAACTGCAGCTCTAGCTCCCTGCTCTACGGATCCCAGCAACCCTCGAGACAGGGACCCTGGCACGAGGCGCTTGGGACCGCTGGCTGGCAGGATTGACAGACCCATAGCACTTCGCCGAACTATCTTGGAAGGAGGTCGGCCACTTGGTGGGAAAGTAACCTTGGCTGGACGCTCATTGGCTTATGCCCGACCTGAATCCTGCACTGGGCAGCCGTTGATGGCCCCTCATGCGAGGTTCCCGAGCTCGACAGGCAATCTGTGATCGAGTAGCTATCCCACGTAAGTCTCCAGTTCTCGGTTCAGCCACCACGAGCGCACACCCCTCCCACGCTAGAGCCATCTGCCAAAACACTCCCGTTACTATTTTATATCCCTCGACCTCCCCCCCTCTGCACATCTTCACCCAGTACAACTTCGGTGACAATCCTTACTTCACTCTCCGACATCACCCCACTACCTTCATCTACTACATAACACAAAGTATCACCATGTGCCAGCCTACACAAGTCGAACAACCCAAGCTGTCTTCCCCCAACCCGTCTGCTCAGACCTCGCCATACCAACAACACAAAGCTCACAACCCCTACCAGAGGATGTCTCAACGACGAGCCATTGCCTGCACAATCTGCGCAAAGGCAAAGACCAAGTGTGACAAGGCCGTTCCTTCCTGCTCTCGCTGCACAGCAAAGGGTCTCCAGTGCGAGCCTCGATCAACTCGCCGCACATCCGACAACAGCTACAGGAAACCCACCAAGCACCTCGTCTCTCCTAAGAGGTACCCCACGACCAGCTCCATTCCTACCATGGGTACCTCGCCGCGCAGCATCCCATCCTCGGGACGGCCACAGATCATGCGAACAGTTTCACAGATGGACTTCCACACTGCCGCCAAACTGAGCCAGTACCCAGCAAACTTCAACAACTTCAACATGCTCACACCTCTGCCCACCTCTTACACTCCCCAGATCATCGACGAGTACTCCTACTCAAGCAGCCCTGAGCCTAACATGGGAGGCTTCTCTCGCTCCATGGACCAAAACAGCTACATCACCTCCAGCCGCGCCATGACGCCCTCCACTCCGGAGCCATTTGCCTTCAACGACCCCATTGCCATCGCCGATCCTTTTGACCACTACATGAGCACGCCGAGTTGGTCTGACGATGGCTCCATGGCTGTCGGACTCGGCTTCGAGCATGACATGCCTGCCATGCTTCCCAACAACATGTGGTCTACTCCGGAGCCGGAGAGCATCACACCCATGGGAATGTGCGATTCGCCAACCGTCATGAACACCTGGCCGCATCCCGCTCTCTCTGTGTCACCGCCTCAGCATCCCATGGGCATGCCGCACAACAAGGGTGTCCCTTCGCTTTCTCTCAGCGAAGCTTCAACAGAGGAGTACAACTCGCCGCACCACCCGCAGCAGGAGTGGAACAACGTCCAACCCCACGCCGGTCAGATGATGGGAAAGCCGATGGTCAGCACATCCTTCATGGACAACGTGAAGTCGTACGCACATTACCCCAAGGCCCCTCAGCCTATCTGGGAAGACATCATCGTTCCCCGCACCCAAACCTTCTGAGTTGGACCCGGGCTTTCGGGCACGTAAAAAATGACATTCTGGTAAGTCGCCCGCCTACGGACGCGTGAAACCCGAATACTGACGGTAATAGGTACCAAGCCACGATGCCATGTCGCTTTGGGCGTAGCCTGCATCCTTTGGCGTGGAGCTACTCGGGGGGACCCGTGCAGCCTGCCTGATTGTCATGTTTACTTTACACTCGCGATCGTGCTATGGTCGATGCGATCGTGCTTCGCGACGACGACCTCCGCGCTCGTAGTGGTGAGGTGCAGAGAGCTGCACACCACTGCGCCAGGTGCCGGGCTCGTGTTCGCACAACACCCTGCTCGGCCACGGGTCGCGTGTACAACTCCACGCTAGCGTGCAGGGCTCCGCTCCGCACACGACGCTCTTCTTCGCCTAGTCTTTTTCTCTACGGTGTCTGTCGATGTACGAGGATGACGGAGGATGTTCCGATTGTATATACGGTGTCTTGGAACATCTCCAATGTTGGGAACGAAGGGAAAAAAAGGTGGTCGGTCATGTTTTTCTGTACTGGTTTGGTTTTCGGTTATACCCTCGAGGGACTGCTGTTCTGTGTCACGATTAACGCGCATCATTCTGGTTGGGCATGAGTATGCCTTGTTGCTTGCATCTTCTGGCGTTTTGTCTTGTCTTCGCGGGGGGTTCGTTCCCGCTGGCTGGCGTTGCGAAGACTAGATGGGACGGTTCATACATTCGCTTCAGACAGTGTTGTTACTAGGATAATATTTATTGCTGCTATCTTTACCATCACACCTGCACCTTGTTCGTCATGTTTTCGCATTGCACTTGTCGCTGCTTTACTTATCAGGCAGAGTACGAAGACACGCAGGGACAAACACGAAGTCTACACACACGAAGCCCTCGCAACGCGATGCGATGCGATGCGATGCGCAAAGATACTCCAGTGTTATCGGGGTTATTTCTGGACGAGCCTAGCGCGGATACGGGCTCGCGGCGGCCCCAATACACTGGAGCGCGCTCGCCTTTGCCTGTACAACACGAGGGATCGCCTTCCACGCTCTGCACCGTCTTCAGCTGGGTTCCAACAAAGATCGTCGAACGTAGTGTTTCTCGAAGCCTCGTGTTGTTCTTCGGGCTTGCGCCGCTTGCCACTGCTAAGCTGGGTAGGACGATCGCTGCCGTCTGCGGCGGGAGGGTCTCTACCCGTGCACCGTTTTGGCGTTTTGGCCCCCAGATGTGATCGTCATCACGGTACTGTCGCTACGCGTGCTACGCTCGATGGAGCGCCTCCTGCCTGCGACATGTATTGTGTACGTGGCCGGGCTGATCCGGCGAGACGCCTGCATGCTTGCCTCAGGTTTCTGTTACGCAGTGGAAAGCGAGAAAGCGATCGGGCGAGAGAGCGAGAGCCATCATGGTAGGCAGGCAGCCGCTGAACGAACTGTTGAACGGCTAAGCGGTCGCGCTGTTCTTCCGCCTTGTTTCTCTGTCATAGACCATCTCACCCACCGCACCGCCCTGTGGTACGAAGCATGACTGCGCATAGAGGCGTTCCCACTCTTCCTCGCTGCCTCCGCCAGCCGCCAGCCGCCGGCGTGCCCTTTACCCAGCCATGACAACGAGATAACCCCACCATCGATAGCACAGCGACCACCTCGATCCATCAAACACAATGGCCGCAGACAGACCGACCGGGCCGCCCAGTGGCAGGTGCACGGCCACCCTTGAGCGTGCTAGCACGCGCAGTTCCCCTGCACGTCCCGCGGTGGATGGCTGCCTGCCGGGATGGCCCCTGTCACTGTAACGCTGCGGCTCTGACCCTGCCGTTTGGATGCGCGGCCGTTGATAGGCTGTGGGCCGGGGGGAGGTGTTGGATGTAGATGCTTGGGGAATGGGGCCGTGTAGAGGTGTCTTTAGAGGGGGGATGCAGTTTACTCTAGGACAGACGTTAGGCAGGGTGGGAGCGGGTGTGTGTATGCGGAGGGCACATGGCGACGCGGCAGGGTGGGGATGGTGATAGTCGTAGGATCGTTCAATCTTGTTTGCATGGCATGGGATCAGTGAGTGACGGGAGGAGTACGCTCCGAGGACAAAGTGTGGAAGCAGCACTGTGAAACTTGGGATGGGTAGACGCAATAGTGACTGCGTCGGGCGGTTGAATGCGCCGACGGCAGGGTCTTGGAGTGATCGTGCGAGTAATGCAGCGTCCATTCTGTTGCACACTGGATAAAAGGTTGCGGGCTCGCGACGATGCAGGGCAATTCCTTTGACTTGCGAGCACCTTGGTACGGCCGCAAGGGCTTGATTCGATTGATCATCGTGGTCGAAACAGGTGTATTGTACGCATGCCCGCGAGATGCTATTGCCTGTTATCAATCAGTCGATGGGTCGGTGAAGTGCAGGTACGTTCGCCCGCCAACGCTTCACTCTGGGAAGAAGCAAGACCATCCCACGTCCCAACAAACATTCATGGCCTCAGGATGGTGCGCCTTGTTCTTCAGGTTAGATACGCTCTCACCTCTCATGTCAGAAAATGTCTTCTTCCTCCCACGCTGTCACCAGCACTGAGTCCGTAACACGATCCTCCAGCCTCAACGTTCAGGTCGCCCTTTCTCGTTCGCAGCGTACACCACAAAGGATGCTGATTGCGACGAGTTGGATGTGTGTCTCTCGTCTGCGTTTCGCAGGCTGGTCGACTTCGCCCTGAGGGAGCGAGCGGGACGGGCGTTGTCTTACCTCGGGCCGTGCCACTTGACGGCAGTACAGTCATTCGTGCGCTTGCGCAGAGGATTGGAGACCAGGACTGGGGCTCCATTGGATAGTGTATTGCGGGGGAGACACATTCGCTGGGGGTGAGATCAGGGGATATGTGCCATAGTACTGTGCATGCGTTCGGGGCGATGTGTATGTATGAAGGCCTGGGAGGCACACCACCGTGTCTCTGGGCTCAGCGACGCGGTGCAACACGGCGTCGTCACAGCGCAAGCCAGGCGATTGGGCGCACGCATTGCGATGTTTGCAGCGAGCGGTTTGCACGCCCTCGTTCCTTCGCTCGTGCCCTTGCGAAATGCTCGTCGAAAAGGCCCAAGAGAAGTCATGTCTTGCCGCGCCTATCAGGTCGGACGCTGCCAACGCGTGTACTGCGCATCAAGCCACCGAGTATCACCAGTTGTTGCGGCTTACCCGTCCTAGAAGGCAGTTTGAGCCGCGCGCACGCACCACCCTCGCGAGGCCCCTCTGGCTTCCAACCCTTGGACAACGTGCTTGTAGAGAGCCCATCGCTGGAGCTACGCCCGTTGCATCCTACCGCCATGCTTCTGCTACTCGTGCCAAGCCAACTCTTTACCAAAGTAGCTTGTGTTAATAGGCGAAGCCCGAGTCGTGCATTGTGTAGTCTACCGCGCATCACTACAACAACATCTAGTTACCCTTCTCGTGTGGGTGCGTGGCTACTCTAGCACACCGCCGACGATGCGATACGTAGCCAGCCTCAGGCGCAGACCAGTGCGAACACAAAAGTGACATCGCGACGAGCACGCGGGAGGGTGGCTCCTCTCGCGGGCGGCCTGACCGATACTCGATGGCGCTACACTAGACATCGCATCGGGTGATGCGTCGCCCTTGAATCCTGTGGATGCTCGCGAGCCGTCCATCGTGGATTGGACCAAAGAGTCTCGCCGTGCGATTATCTCTAATCTACCCGCGAGCACGCACCGGTTTGGACGCATCAATACAATGTCTATGCAGGCGGATCCTTCTGCGGCTCTACGTGAACGCGAGCCGGCTTGCTTTTCCGACTGGCAGAGCCTATTCTACGAGCCGTGTGCGCTGCAGGTTTGACATTGCGTCACACTTGGCGAGTACGGTCTATGCGGCGTGAGTCTTCGGCGATGAGCGACAGCATATCGAAAGTATACGCCAAAGTTGGCTTCACGCTGCATCTGGGTGCTACTGGGCGCACAGTGGATCGCGACGACCGTGGGGGAAACATTGATGCTCCAACAACAAGCTTGTCGCGTGGGGAGAGCCATGGCAATGCACCGTCATGTTTCCCACTCTGGGGTTGCGAGCTTTGCATCATGCAGTGTGCGCACGCTGGGTAGGGAAACATTCATGTTCCAGCAACACCTTCATCGCGTGTCAGAGCCACACCAACGCACCGTCATGTTTTCGAGCCTGCGTTCGCGATCATCTGCATGGTGTAGCGTGCGCCCACCGTGCGAAGAGGCATCCAAGCTCCAGCCAAACTTTATCGCGTGGGGAGCATCTGCCTGTTGATGCATCGTCATGTTCTCGAGCGTGGAGCCACGACGCAGAGTAAGAAAGCACAAAGGCTGTCGACCACTCACAACCTTCCTCAACAACAGTGTCATGTTTCCCTTCCCCCCACGCCTCCACTGTTCAACGAACCCCACAACTCGCCATCGCGACGACATCGACGTGGAACGACTGAGACCTGCGCATTGAGACTGTCAGAAGCTGTGCGATAGCACATGGTACCCGAGGTTTGGTTCTTGCTGTTGCTTGTTTCGATCCTTGCTGCATCCACGAGGCAGCAGCCATTGCTTTCCACGTCGCTTTCCTGACACCCTCGTCTATGGGCATGGTGGGGAAGTATGTATGGTTGCGGCGCGGATTTCCACCAGCCAGAAGCGAAGACGTCTGAAGGGTAGACCCGCGTCGAACCGTCGCGTGTTGGGACTTGGTCCCACAATGCGCTCCATTTGCCTGGTTGCTGGGCGGCCGGTATTGCGGTTAATGGCCGCAAAGTAGGGTGCGCTCTTGGTAGTCACTGTGCCGTCGTGTCATCGTGTGAGACCGTTGTGGTGAGCATGCGACCGCGCAAGTGAGGCATTCGGTCGGCCGGCGGAAGAATTGCGTACGCGCGCTCGCGGTCTCGGCTGGCGTAACAGCGAACGGACGGGGGCGGATTACAGATCTCAGAAGGATTGCGCGCGCGATGGATGCGGATGCTCCTACTGCTACTGCAGGACATTCAAGCCGTTTCTTCGGCCCTTCGAAATCCTGCTCGCGTGGCAGACAACTGCCAGAGATGTACAGAGCCAGATCTGCGCTGGATGATCAACCGTATCCGCACTGTACAGTACCGTAGTGCAGCGCTGATCTCGTTGGTTCACACGTGGATAGACCTGATGATGACTGAGAGGCCGCACTTCGGGTCTCGCAAGTTGGACTGTGGAGTCGCCGAATAAGCATCCCGAGCGGTTCGATCCTTCGGCAAGGATCACCCATTTGGCCACCCGAAGCCACCACAACGTACCTACATGTCGTCACCCTCGAGTAGGTGCATATCGTTCCACCAGCTGCTTGTACGGGGATGCAGTCCCCCTTCCCCACGAAAGATAGCTAAAGATTCCCCGGGAAAGCCATTAAGACTTGGTTGGTTGTCGAGGTCATGCACTCATTCGTGCGACTGCTGCTGTGTAACGATGGCTGCCCCAAAGCGGTCGCATCCTTTTGGGAAAAGTTGCGCGACGCCACAAGGCAAGAAAGACCTCAGGCGTTGATCTCGCTACAGACTAAGCATCTGTCAACCCACCTTTGTAGCTATAAATGCCTACATTGTAGCGAGAGCTGTCGTTTCAGGTTGATGGATGGTGCACGAGCACTGTCCTGCCAGACACCTCGTTTCAAGTTGACAGCGAGCGAGACTTGCTGGGATCGGCCAAGTGTGGACCGTTCGCGAGGCTGCTTCTCTTCGGACTTGGGTTGGGTTCAACTCGATGCTACTTGTGGGGTCGTGCGTACATACAGGAAGCAGAAGCTGGTGGTTAGGGTGGCGGATCTGCGCGTTCCTTGTTGTGGTTAGTGCCAAGAGCAGGTAGGAAGATGAAGACGGAGCGTGCTAGTATTGTTCAGTAAGACTGGAGATTGGAAGAGATCTGAATAGGGCCGAAGGATGAGAGGTGGTGGCTAGATCAGCCGAACGGCCAGGCGATCGAGGGCGATGGTGGTGTGAAGTGTCTCTGCTGTCTGCTGCACACACTGAGCGGCAAGACCAGCGTGGTGGGAAATCAGCCTTGAACATCAGATGGTCTCGCATTGGTGAGAGAGGTGTATCGCGACCAAACCGGTCTGCAGCTTGCTTGCATACACGAAACGTGGAAAAAGAAGAGTTTTCCCCAATCGCCCAAGATTGCCTCGTGGAGCTAGACTTGCCTGAGGAACGCTGGAACTGGGAGCAGGTCCCGCACTGCAGGTCTTCCTTACTGTTTCTCAATCAAATGATGCTGTCATGTTCGTAGCTTCCGCAGTACCTGCGCCATTAGCCTCATTGCAGAGCGGCCTCGGTAGCCCCCGAGCGAGCTATACCCACACCGGCAACGCTGTCTGCAGACCGATATGCGAAGACCAAACGGGGCTTGAGATTGCGTAACCTGGGGGTCTACCAGCCCCACTGAGCTAAAAAGCGAAAGGATCACTTGTATCTACATCTCGATGGGGAAGCTCGCCGCCGCGAACGGGGCCAGTTGCTCCAAGCTCAGTATTGGTGAGACATGCTTTGGCCGCAAGAATTCAACCGCAAGTACCTGCAGTAGCGTACACATTGCCAGTGACCACAGATCATCTGAGGGCAGAAGCATGACTTTGCGTTGCTGGCCTTACGTTCGAGAGGCCGGACTCTCCCTGCAGTAGCTCGAGGATGGCATGTCGCGGGAGGTAGTCTAAAGGATTGCATCGAGGCTCTGCCAGACGGTGCAGGCACTCCATACCGGAAGGAGATGGTGTCGTGTTTGCCACTTCTACCGTTTCTACTAGTGACATCGTCGCTGCATCGAGTGGGACTCTTAGAACTATCCCCGTAGAGGATGGCGTGGGGTTGATTCCCGAAGTTGACCGATTGCCGGCATAGTCACGTGTCGGTCGCATTCCCAACCTATACGGGCAGATAAGCCGTTATATTAGCGGCGAATACGGTAATTGTGGGTAATGGTAGAAATGAGTTGGCGAATAACTTGCAGGGACCACGGCCAAGTCACCTAACTACATATGGAACGGCAACCTAAGTTGATACATACCATTTCGGAGCACAAATGCCTGTAGATATCACCATTAACTCTGTTTGTTAAAGCTGGGGCCTTAAGCGATCGCTGTGAGGAAGAAAATGCAACTTTGAAGGTTAGATTATCTGATCCGGGGCCAATTCGAAAGGGTTGGCATAGGCCCGAATGAACCCACAAGAGGATGCAACGACCCGACAACAGTGGAACTGCCGCTAGAACGGTGCTTTGGCGGCTCTTCTCCCTAACTGAATGCATGGCGTTTACATCTGAAGCAGTGTTCATTGATTTCGACCATGGAGACTTGAGCATGAGTTTACGTACCTAGGTAACCGTGACACCTCTAATACTGCCCCCCAGAAGTCATGCTGAACGAAATGGAAAAAGAAGCTATGCGAGACACAACACAGATCACAAACCCTATGCAGCGCCGACCGTGACACCCGGACAGTTCTTGGGATGAAAGCCCACCAGGTCCTCCGGCTTTCCATCTCCATCATTATCAGCTCCCGGCCACACGGTCGCCGCATTTCCGATGTCTATACCAACGTTGCGAGTTACATATGCTCCAGACCCGCCTACGGGAGTAATACTCAAGTTCGTCTTCGGATACTGGTCTCCCAGCACGGCGTGGGGCGATCCCAGCGTGCGGTAGCCGACACTCGCCGCATTTGCTGCAACCTGCGTGTTCGCGAGCGCCGTATAGAAGATGCCATGCGCGGCGAAGTACGGACGAAAGTCGTAGCGTGTCATCTGTGACAGCACCACAACCAGGAAGTCGTTGCCAATCATGTCGTTGACTGTTCTACCCGCACCATATACAGTGTCGTTTGTGTAGCTGTAGCGACTGAATCCCAGCGAGGCAGCGTGGGCCTGCCATGTGGCGGCATCTGTAGCGTAAGCGGAGAAGAGACGGGCAGCTTGGTACATCAGTGTGTATATGTTCCTCCCGTCGGCGAGAATTACCCCGTTTGCCAATGGGTTGCCCTGCAGTATCTGCGGGAGCGCAAAATAGAAGCTCAAGCGTTCGCCGTTGTTTACAGCGTAGCCATCATTGCTCCAGACTGCGTCTGCGAGCATCACATCCGAGCGGGTCCCTATAGGAAACGAACCGAGTACTTTGCATGTGTTGTCTAGAACAACACTCTGACCGTTTTGCTGCAGTCTCGAGTACGCTGATTGATGTGCGCTGAACAAGATAGTCATATCTTGAACATCATGACGGCGCAGCGGACCATCGTCTACTCCGGTGTGAAAGCGGGCGGGGAGCGTAAGTCGAAAGTAAGTCCATTGGTTGAAGTAGGGGAAAATGTTGTTTGATACTTCCGTGCTTCGCATGGAATAATTCGCCCAGGTGTTGATAGCACCTAACTGTTTGCCGAGGCTTGTATCTGGCCAGTAGATGTCGAGCGCCTGCCGTTGTAGGTTGTGCCCAAGCTCGTGGCCTTCACCCCAAGCAATCGGTGCTGGGACAGTACTGGCAGTGATGGGATTTCCTGAACACAATTGACCGCAGGCAGCGTACGCATCGTAGGTCAAGTGCTGAACTTCAGTGATGCGGTGTATAGTCTCATTCAAGCAGTCCCAGCTGAGGTGTTGGCAGAGCTGTTGCACCTCCAGAGGCAGCGACGTAGTCATGGGTTCCCCATCGATCTTGAGCCCCGCCATGCGATACTCTCGCTCAGCCCAGCTCGTCTTATAGTCGATCATGAGCTGGCTCAGTCCAGTCAACGTAGAGTTGTAGTAAAGCCTGCGATTATCGCCCAAGTTTAGTTCTATACCACCTGGCGCAAGAGATTGTGCAAGCTTCCGTGCAGGGACATGGAGTTCAAAGCCGGATCCTTTTATATCGACCCAGTACGCCGGGGATCTCGTCAAGTCTTGAGCCAGCTGTGTGAGGGCGTTGTCATTGCTGGCATTTAGCACAGCAAAATGTTTGCTCACATCTTGCAATAGAAAGGAGGCCTGCCGTGGGCTGGTCAGCCCGGTTCCGTCGAGGCTGATGTACAGTGGGCCACCATAAGGTGAATTCATGACGGTCGGTATTCCAGGTTTCAGTGGGATCCAAACGCTGACTGGAAACTGCGGACGATTGTAGAGCGACGCGCCAGCAGCACTGTATTCCGCTGTCCGACTATCGGCATTGCGAGTCGCAAATGTACGCACAGCTACGGGTATGCCAGGGTCGTTGGTCAGTGTGATCGTGGCAGGTCGCCCAGGAATTTGAGTGTATCCCGTGGATGTCCACTCATCGTTGAGCGTCGAGTCCAACGCCAGTTGATAAGACATGAAATCGGGAAAAGAGGGAGCTGTGCAATTGCCTGCTTCGTAGACGGCGCCATCATGGCACCACAAGGAACCAAGGTCAAAGGCTCGCGGAGTCGACGCTGTGCTCATAGGAACAATCCAGTCGGCAAACAAGGCCCTGGTTACAGCTACGCCATCGGTCCTCGTGTTGATGGGATATCTGATAGCAACAGCAGTGTCCGTTGACATGCCCCGAGGGCCAACTCGGATCTTGTTGGCCAGGAGAGTCAAGAGGCGCAAGGTCTCTGTGTTGACACCGTTGGTTGTCTTGAAGATGTCGAGACCATTGGAAGAGATGCTATTGATGCTGGTCTGCAATCTATGGGCTGCGCCGAAGTACGGAAGTGCATGGGCGGTCACTCCAGTTGGAGGGGTTTCCACGCATTCTCCCATACGTATGGTGCGAGTCAAATTGCCGTTCGAAGCTATGCACACAGCATAGTCTGCAGGGCGTAGTGGGTCGCTACTGAGGGAAGAGTATACCTGCAGGACATCGGTGCGGAAGTCATCATTGATAATACTACTGGGAGCTTGGTAGCTCTTTAGCGAATTGTTGATCACCTTCTGTCCCTCGAAGTAATTTTGCCCAAGCGTCAAGCCCAGCTGTTGAGTAATTTTCCAAGAGTCCGGGGCATAGTTGCCATCTTCTGTCATAACCAGTAATGGCAAACCGTTTCGATACGTTTTAACAACAGCGTTGGCAACGGTATCATCTCCAGGATTGCGATTGTCGCCGACAATCAGAAGACTAGCGCCCGCGAGACAGGGGCTGCTGTTTCCTACGAAATCGCAGACGTTGTTTCCGGTTCTACCACCGTTTATCCGGGCATTTGGGAACAGCTGAGAGAGTGCATACTGTGTGTTGTTTTCCGCAGTATCTTTAAGCCCTGAAAGTACTATATTGACATTGGCTGAGACAGCATCTCCACGCGTGCCGATAGGCAGCCCAAGAAGCCACGTGACGATATTTGTGTCAAATGTACGCATGCCGGGGTCGCTCACAGGTTTCCAAGGATAGTAGGTGCCTCCATCGTTAGTGACGAAAGGATTACCCCCAAAGTATGCCAGTCTCGTATCAGAACCTGGTGCTGAGCCCGCAGCAGCCAAGGAAGAATTGTTGGGAAAGTCTCCAGGCTTGAGGTTCTTGTTTGCATACAAGATGTTTTGGAGGGTTCCAGGATCCTCCACAAAAGCAGTGTTCGCATCCAGGAGCCAAGTAATAGACGGGCTGTCGGGCAGCAGCTGGTAGCCGAGTGACTTCCGTGAATCGAGAGCATTTCTGAGAGCGCTTAGAAGTTCCCTTTCAGTGACGCCTCCTTCATTCCCCGTCTGCAGCGCAATGGCCAGGCGAGATTGAAGTGGTGCCGTAGAAGATTGACTTTGCAGAGCGGTTGTTCCTGTACCTGGAGAAAAAATCTTCGACGATAAACGATTTACTACTGTAGAGCTTGCGCCTATTCTTGTGGAAGACTCAGCGCGACGAAATGATGTTAAGGAGACCTTCGAGCTTGTGATCCCCTTGCTAATTGATCGGAACGAACTTGACGATGGATTGGAGCTTGCAGTCATTGATTGTGAGGTCGACATTCCTGTAGTTCGTACAGTTGACCTTGCAGTAGACCTAGCAATGGACCTTGCAGTGGACTTTACGCTTAGCGTAGGCGAGGGTCGAAGCAAAGCTGACGAAGTTTTGAGGGTTGTGGTCGCTTTAGTAGTCAAACGAGACGAGGGTCGTGGCGTGCTCTTAATGCCCAAGACCGGTCTGGAGCTTGAAGTGATCGTTGCTCTTTTGCTCGATGTGATTACCCGTCTAGATGAGGACTGAACTTTTGCTGACGTATTGGAAACTCGCGAAGAACTTTTCGTCGTCGACCGGCGTGTCGTTGATACAGCCGCAAGGCGGAGGTTCCCAGAAACAGTGTCTTCAACATGATCGGTCTGCTCAAACGGGGCAAAGGAGAAATGATCGGCAAATGCCACGTAAAAATGTACTGCGAAAAGGATGAATGCTAACAGTCCAATGTTCCGCTTCATCTCGGCTGCGATAGAAGTTAAATCCCCATAATTGAGACCTGGGGTTGAACCCTTCTCTTGTAAGACTGTTGTTGACGCGCTGGAATGTTACTCGTCCAATGAGATGAAGGGCTGACACAGTTCTCTGGCGACATTCCGCCGTCGAGCACGTGTCCTTTACCGGGGAGGCCATGTGTGCTGCTTTATCTGAAGGCAAGACCGACATTGCCGACCCATTGGACGACGTCGATAGGAGGGTTCGCTATCAGATGATCCAGATACCGATCCGGAAAACCTATGCAGCGTGAGAACTTAGACGTGTAGTCAGTTTGCAAGAAACGCTTACTAGGCGAGAACAGATCAATAGCATCCCACCACCCAGGTTGCTTCAAAGCAGCTCGCTCCAGTTCCTCACAGCTCGAGTGGGAAGTGTTCAAAGCCTTCTTATATACCTTACACTTCTTGAGATGATTTTACGTATCTCCTCCTGGCTTTCATACGCCTCCTTGCGATATTTCGCGATCCTAGGATCATCGTGATCAAGAAACATGGTGTCATCCAGCAAGTCACCATACTGTTCCACAGCTAAGTAAACATTGTCGAGATACGAGGAAAGATCACCCTAATTCTAATTCCTAGCTATGGATTTCCGGTGCTTCCTAGCCTCCACATATTGCTCGCCGGTCTCATCGTGGAGGCGTTTTGGCTGTCGTATCTGTCGTTTCGACCAATGTCGGCTCTCACGACCGCTTTCTGGGCGTCTGAACGGAGTGCTCTTTGTATAGATTGAGGATTTACGACTAGAAGAACGCAACTTTGGCATGGAGGATATTATGGAGGATTCGACGGAAAGATGACGGTGCTTGACTACTAACGTCTCAGCTTAAGCGAACCCAGCCACTAGCGTTACGCGACTTCGACGCGTTACACGCGCATTCACGCGCCATAACATATTTCTGATTCGGTCCATCAAGTACATTCTTATGCATGAAACATCGCACCATGTCGACCATCATTAGTTAGCATATTGAAACCTGAGCCCATTGCTCATTTCGTCCATAATCACATACCACTCGTAACGCCATGTTCCTGCTCTGGTGCTCGGACTACTCCGAAGTACTTCTCCATCAAGATCCGTCCATATGGCTTCTCCCTCCGCACTCCGGTATTGGTAGTTTTTCCAGAAGTAATTACCCCTCAGATGTATGTCCACGTCCATACTTTGTCTCGAAAGCATAGCCAAAGGTCCCAAAAAGTAACTATAATCGCGCGTATCGCGCGGGCCATCGCCATTGCGCGGGCCATTGCGCGAGCCATAGTCATAGTCCCCAGGCGATGCCGAAGTGATGACGAGCTTGAGATACTTCAAATTCGAAAGGCTTGCCATGAGATTACACGTCAAGCCCCACTCGCTGTTGCTCAGTGCGTAATCGATTACGGGGAGTTGATTCAGGATGTGCATGCTTCCGACACGATCTAGGAACCCAATATAGCTGTATTGTTCGGATATTGAGCGAGGAAGGTGGCGCCCATCTCCCCATCCCATACTTATTATGATCGAAGAGAGCAAAGCGAAGCGTTGGGGTAGAATAGAAGCGGCGAATATTAAGAAGTCTTCTGGCGACCAGAAACAGAATGTATGATTAGAGTACAGCAGCGGTGTCGCTTCGTTATATCTTTTTCTTCGTTAGGGTTTGTTCAAAGTGCGATATCAGACCTTACATTTGGCGACACGTCTGTAAGAGAGGGAGTGTATCGAGCGGCCACGTTCCAACAGCTCGATGGCCTCGACCTCGCAGGCCAAATGTGCGCAGACGGTCGCCTTTCCGATAAACACAGATAGTCTCAAACTCCATGTACTCTTCGTAGATCTGGTTACGAATCTCAGCAGGCAGTCGGCAAAACGACGGTCCCGTCTGCGCGTGTGGCGTTCGTTCTGCCGCAGCTGCCGGTGAAACGCTCAAGGCGCGCTTCCGTTTCTCAGGCACTGGAGGAGTCCAGGATGTTAGACGGTACTCTTCCGCACGTTTTTGAGCTTGTTCATATCGCCAAAGGGAAAAGGGAAAGCATATGACTTTAAGAACGCAGCATCTGCCCAGCGACGGGTAGGCTCCCATGTTAAAAATATTCAGAATGACCAATCTCCCAATGATTTGCCAAATGTGAGCGGCGACGTATGGGAATTGTGTATGCAAAGAGGGCTAGTAATATACATTTTTTGGCGGTGGCAGTGCCTGCATGGGAAATCACATTGATAGTCGATCGTCTAGGCAGCCGTGAACAAGAACGAGCGAATTGGATGACCACTATGAACCACTGTGAGATCCAGCGCGTATCGTTGCAAATGAATGTGAGCCCGGATCGTGTAGCAATGGAAATTGAGATCATTGTACATTTGGCATGTCAAGCGCTACGGAGTTGCATGAGAACGTTCTTGAGCTGGCTTCTGCCGTTCTCAGGTCGCTAGAATGATTATGTAAGCTCGCGGCTTTCGTCATCTTTCCGGCGCTCCACGACAGAATACTAAACAGCACTTCACCTTCTGCAATGTGCATACTCGAACACGATCCTGGGTGACCGACACTATCTTTCCTCGCCATTGCTAATATGTCCCACATGGCAGCAAAGCGCAGTCCGCAGTGTCCCTCGCTCCCCCCGGAGCTCTGGATCCGAATCCTCGCCTACAATACCGACCTTACACATCTCTGGACGGTTTGCCGACACGTATCTTCACATTTCAGAGCCTACACTGAACAAGTTTTCGCCGATCTAGTCCTTCGAAACACGAATATCGACTTCCACCTAGAGAAGTACAACCTTGGTGGAAAGAGCAAGCGTCCTGAGGTCCCTACCTCGTTCGCGCGATTTGTGCATGGAATAAAGTTGGAGAATGGTGATAGAGAAAAGACCCTAGTGTGCTTCCAAGACCTTCGAAGGAGGAGTGAAATCGCTGGTGGAAAGAAAAAGGAGTACAACAGGATAATGGAGAGATGGGAGAGTAATATAAAGGAATGGAAGCCAGAAATGCCGAATTACACCATTCGGATCGGCAATATCGTAAACGATACGGAACTCACCGATCTATCCATCGATATCGCATTACGACAAATCCAGTTCAACTGGCGGCAGGCGCTTACCCTCTTCTTTCGCGAACAAGCCCTCTTGCGGTACCTTAGATCGAGATGGGAAGCGGAGAGCGACACGACTATGGAAGCAAATAAGGAGCGACTTGCGAAGGGCGAACACCTAACGGCAGACGATTACCCCATGCCTCGGGCCGCTGCGGAGCTAGAATGGAGAAAACAAATCCGTCGCAAACGGCTCCGTGAGTACCACGCTGATAACGAACGTATGGTATGGGCGATAGGAAGCTTGGAACGCTTCGAGAACCACAGTGCTTCACATGGGAGCAGTAAAGCGTTCAAGCTAAACCCTGACCTACCTGGTACTGGGGTTGGTGAAAAGTACTTCGGCAGCGTGAACCTTGTACAGGAGCTATACCTGGATGAATGGAGCTGCATGCATCGTATTGACACCAAAATTGAGCACATGAAAGGCGAGGAAGAGTTTCCGAGATTTTCTGTGCCTCCTCCAGACTTAAAGAAGGAGTGAACAGATCCGTTTTTCGGCATCTTCCTGATTAGAACCTAGAGCGCCATCCCCTTGTGGTGGTTCAACGGTTCCATGTTGATCTCCTCGGATAAGGCCGAATAATTTCCACCGTTGTACACAGTATTCGAGTTATAGACCCAGCCTTCGTGTTGCAAACTACTATGCTCGGGGATTTCGTGTCTCACACCTAGCCCAAGGAAGTTTCTGCCCTTCTCGACCAATACCGGGAACAAATAATCACCCGCGTTCCAGGGCCCTACTGCTCTCGCCTCTAGAGATTGTCGATGCAGTTGCAAGGTGCCTGTTGCCTGCCAGTCCGCCTTCTTCGACTGCTTGAGGTGCGTAACGGAACGAAACCAAAAGATCTGTCCGAGTTAGAGGATATGAGAGTTTGCATTGACACACGTACCTGCTCTATAAGGGTCCAGTCAAGCAGGATCAGGATGGAGCCTATACCTAAGATAATGCACATGCCGAGCACGCTAACGCTCACATGCGCAATAGAGTGTATTTTCTGACGTTGGCATATCTTCAGCTCATGCGGATCTGACGTTACGTTGATCTGCGTCAAAGAATTGAGCCCGGGCCGGATGTCGAAGTTTTCTGGTGACGCGAATTCATTGACGCGGCGTTGTAGAACCGCGAGAGACAAGTTGTGAAGGTTGTGTGCCTCCTGTATCCATTGATCGTCGGGAAGCGGAGATGAAGTTGTCGATTTCATAGTGAAGACAAAGTCTTGGGCGAGCAACAGCGAGTTATCTAGAATGGTTGTCGCCCATTGGAGAACCATTGACCATGCTGCTTTCCATACGATGCGAAAGGTAGCAGCTTGTTGCGGCGAGAGTTGCAAGTCGCCATTCTCGACCGTCCTTAACGCGGCGTAAAGGCCAGTCAGTTTGGTGCACTTCGAGAGAGCAGTGTTACAGAACTGGTATTGCTCTGTACAGCCAAGGACTGAAAGGTCGGTCGTCGGAGTGGAGAAGTTCTTTGCGTTGCTGCCGATCTTCCATGAGTTGTTGTGGGCATTGAACAAAGGGTCGTCAACGACGTTCGTGTATTTTGCTTTGCTGAATATTGACATCAGAGTCACGTCGGCGTCGTCTCGTTCGAAATCTGAGATGGGCGTGAAGTCGCTGGCAGTTGTGTTGTCGACGTAGGCGCTGACTGCACTGCATGAGGGTCAGCTATGTACACGGTGCCGCCGACCACGAAACATACAGAACGGTGTAGGGGTCTTGCCAGTAGTCTTTCTGATACTGACTAACACAGAAGGTAGTTTTCTCAGTATGGTTTAGCGGTATTGTCGCCCGACACCCTGTTGGCCCGTTTCCAAACTCCCAGAAACGTACACTAGTGTTAGACTTTCCACCAAATGCTTCAACGCGATTGTTCATCCATCCAGTGGCATACTTCTCACTATCGATCGGCGCGCAGCTCGTCACTCTTCTGATCGACACGTCTTCGGCTTCCGGAAAATTGATGCCAAGATGTATGCTGCTAGAGATATGCCCGGAGTCGTATCTCACCGCCTTCTCCGTGGCACACGAATCTTTTCCGAACGGGCACGTGGCATTCTCAACTGATGACGCATCGACGCCTTCGAGATAGGTCTGGACATAGATGCTGCAATCGGTCGCCCCGCCCTCAAAATGGCTGTTGTAGCACGATCGGGCGTAAGCCGCACTTTTCGTGAGCGTCAAGCGTCCTAGCAAAACCTCTGAGTTGAAGGTAGTGAGATCATCGCCTTCAAGGTTATATGCCTCTTGCGTGCGGAGATTAGAAATCTCCTTCGGATAGCCGCAGACGCCAGCTCTGACGAGTGCCGAACTCGCACCTGTGGATGCAATCTGCGATGAGAAAAGACCAGCTACACTAAAGAAGGACATGTGTATGACCGTGATCAAGATAAGGGCGATGGCGTGGCGAAACGGCGATTCGACCCTGCCTCTCCACGCTAGTGTAGAGCGACCCAGATTCCACAGTGCGTTTGGTGCCGTTATCGCATTCCTGAGGATGATTTGCTGTTGGTGAAATAGGCCATCGCGTGGAGTTGTTGTAGAGCGGCGTTGGTGTAAGATGAAGCAGACAACGCGCCAAAAGCATGCACCAGAGAACTGAACGAAGAGCGTAAGGAAGGACACGAGAACGAAGCCTTGTTGTTGTGGCAAAGTCAAAGTGGCGCCTTTGGTTCTGCCCTTTTCTATCTGCATTTAGTACATCGTATTGTCATTCGCAAGATGATCGCTCACCCCAGTCGATCCAGAAGCCAGTGTAGACGTCGTTCGCCATAACTCTCAAACGAAGGGCTGTGTTAACAAAAAGTCGCGTTCGCACGAGATGGGTGTCGAGCGTCTTTTGAGGGGCTTCGCATAAACGCCCCATTACGCCCCGTAGATCGCCTTGCGTTGACGCTCTCCTTTGAGGGCAAGCCAACGCCCGAAGCTTTGGGGTCCAGGAAGACGTTGAAGGCGAAAATGGGGAACATTATTCGTCGTGGGACTGGGCACACTCCACTCAGGAGAACAGTGACGACAACCGAACTTCTATCACTTGCGACGTCTGCACTTTGAGTGTCAAGACAAATGGCTTCCATTTCCATTGCCGATGCTGCGCTGGTGGAGACTGGGATATGTGCGCGGGTTGTGAAGGAAGAGGAGCATTTTGCGAAGATGCCACACACGGTTTGGTCAAGCGTACAATGAAGGATGGAAATTGGGCTGAGGTAACGAGCTGAATATACCGCCACACGAACCCTTTTTCCTGTAGCGGAGATACCGCACGAGATACTATGCCACACGAGCCCCGACTCCTGTAGCAGAAATCGCACACGAAGGCGAATCTAAAGCGCCCTCTCGTTGTAGTGGTTCAATGGTTCTACGCTGATCTCCTCGGATAAGGGGAAAATACCCACCGTACCCACCGCTGTACACAGTTTCCGAACCGTACATCGAGCCCCCGTTTTGTAAACCACTACCATGGGTATGCTCCAAAAATTCGTGTCTTCTGTATGCTTACTACACTCTAACGACAAAGCTACGACAATGCTGGATGCGTCGTCGATCATCCAGTTCGTGGCACCAAGACGCATCTTAGCTGTAGATCCCTGTTCGATCACGAAACTGGCCCAGTGCCAAGGATGGCCCGTGTCGAGGCTTACAAAGGAGCTCGTATTTAGGAAGTCACGATCCTCGTTGGTCCTAGCTTGCCAATGGTGGCTCATCGAATACGAGCTCCTTCGTACACCTAGGCAGCTTGACCCAGATGTCGCTCTCCGTATGCACATATACATATAATCGATACATTCTATGATCTAATCTACAGCTGGTGTAACTGAAACACTCTCGAGGCGGGATAACGTGGCGCATGGATCTTACCAGCCATCTCAGCGGGACAAATATCGTCAGCCTCGTCTGAGATACCACTATGGAGTCACGATTCAAATACAACCCGCTCAACGTTGAACGGCACGAGATCCGCTTGCTGAAGCTTCTTTCTCCAGGGAGTGGCCCTTCCCTCGCGAAATCGGCGCTGGTGAACTGCACGCTCGAGCATGTCTCCCTAGACGAAAACCCAAAGTATCAAGCGTTATCGTACGTTTGGGGTAATCCCGCCTTAACGACTCCGATCTGCGTCGATGGGAAAGTCTTCCAGGCAACGTTCAATCTCGAGGCTGCGCTGCGGCATCTTCGCAAGGAAGATGCGTCAGTCACGTTATGGGTAGACGCAGTGTGTATTGATCAGGGCAACAATGTCGAGAAAAGTGACCAGGTGCAGCGCATGGGCGACATCTATCGCAACGCGAGCGAAGTAGTCATCTGGCTTGGCCAGACCAAGCAGGAACATTCGAAACTCTGGGCCCAATTGAAGGAGCTGTCCCAATTATCGGCCGGAGGCGGTGCCCTGGAACTCAACATTGACGACCTAGTGGATGTCGATGAGAGGAATACTCGTGCGCCTTGGCTACTTAGTCTAAATCTCGAGTTGCAGAAGATGTTCGAGACGATTACGATCGGATACAGCAACGAAGATACACTTCTCATTGAGCCTCTCTTGAAACTACTCGGGCAGCCCTGGTGGTCACGGATCTGGGTAGTGCAGGAGTCTAGCCTCCCATTCCTGGCCCGGGTAGTCTGGGGTTCGAACGAGATGTACTGGGGTGAACTATGGGCTTCTCTGGGCTTCTCTGGGCTACATAGCGACGTGGCTTCACTTCCAATCCATTCATCTGATGGGTGATGAGTCATATTTCAGAGCTTTCTTTTTACTAGAGAGATCGCAGCAGTTTTGGGTGCCTCTAGTTGGGGCATGGGAGCGAGTTCACCGTCGGAGTGATGATAAGAAGGTCAAACTGATCGATATGCTTTTGCAGACTAGTGTCAGCTCGGCGTTGACGGCAACAGATCCAAGGGATCATATCTACGGCTTATTTGGTATTATCGAAGACGCGGATGAGCTTGGAATCAAAGTAGACTATTCGCTGAGCGTCGAGAGTGTCTATGAAGGTGTGGCGCGGGCGTTACTACGGACTGAAGGTCTGAAAATGCTCCAGTGCTGTCAGTACTCTGCTCGCCATCGATCAGGGACTTTACCTTCCTGGATACCAGACTGGTCATCTAGCCTCCGGCAGTTGCTGGATGGTTTGAGGATCCTTCTTCCGAGTGGTGTATACAACGCTTCCGGGTTGATGGACGCACGCGAAGCTCGACGGCTGGAAGAATGGAGGCAACGCATGGAGAAGCTGAATTGCCAGGATCCTTCTTTCTCCTTCCAAGCCTCTACTTCCTCTAACGACAGCGCAGCGACGGTGTTAGCATCTGAGGAATCGAAACCGGGCATTCTCCGCATTTTAGCAGCACCGGTAGACTCCATCCTTGCCGTCGGGGGCGCTTGGGAAGAAGCAAATGGCGCCTTAGACGGGCACTTCAGAGACATGCTCTGGGTCGAGGAACTCGAGCGGTTGGCAGAGAAGAGTGAGGGAGTATATTCCGAAGCGGCCAAAAAGGAAGCACTGTGGCGGACCCCAATCGCAGATCGGGGCCTGCCACGAATGACGTACATCTGGTTTCCACGCGCGACCACAGAGGCAATGGGTCACGATGTGCTGATGGGCAGATTTCCCCTCGATAAGATTAATGAACAGAGCCGGGGCTTTTATTATCAAAAGTCTAGGGCGTACCAAAAAATCCTCAGGGCTTTTGGGAAAGACAGACGCTTCTTTATCACGCAGACAGGTTTCTTAGGCCTCGGACCCGACCCTGCAGAGCCCGGCGATGAAGTCTATATCATCCAAGGGGCATCGACACCATTCGTTCTGCGACCCACAGAAGACAGCCGCTCCTACAAGATCATAGGCGAGGCTTACGTGCACGGAGTCATGGACGGCGAATTCATGCAGAAGAGACCAGAGATGACCACTATTGATCTATGCTAAGAGGCTGAGAAGGAGAACAATCCTGACGAGGTTTCGTGGACTCTGTATCTGATTCCAATTTATTGCTGAATTTCCTCTCTTGCATTTATCCAATCTGAAGCTCCAACAGCAGAACGCAGTAGCATTCTGATTTGTTCCAACCTTGTTTTTTAAACTCGACTCACGATTCACCTTTAGGCTCGAAAAATCGTGGTATGTCCGCGAAGATCACGCATCGCAAATCTATCATAATAAAAGCATACCAAGGCCCTTGAAATGCATATAACTATTACATGCAACGGATATAGCCGCAGTATACGCTATTTTAGTACATTTTCGCATTTTCGCCGTACTGATCGACATTCAGATCAAGCCGCGTCACCTCCACGATCGCGCCTTCCAAGAACTGCCATCGCCGTTCCATGTTGAGCTCCCGACCTTCTTTGTTCTCGTCGCCGGCTTCCGAGATCCTGATGATCCAATGAGGTGCTCCCATCTAAGCATTCGTCCCGACTCGGTAATGCAGGTCTTTATCCGGCCCATATAACAACACCTAGAATCCTCGTATCCTCATGTACAATCATATGTACGTATATTGAGCTACGCACATACAGTACCCGGGCCTTGGCTTTTTGATTCGAGGAGGCGTAATAGACTTGTCGATATGCCGGCTCTAGATGCGGAGACACGCGGTGCGCTAGATCGAGGCTGAATGGAAATGGGCTCATACATACCGCCTGCCGCCAGGCGCCTTGGCTGATTTCCGTTTCTGAGCAGACTTGCCCTGAGAAATTCTACCACAAGCCCATTGTTGGTCGTTATCGATTGTTCGTGCTCCGACAATTCACATTCACGATGCGCTTCTCAATTCTTGTATTCGCGTGCGCCGTCGCCGCCACACCCTTCCCCTGGGCTGCGGTCGAAGCAGTCACCTCCGTCCTGTCGTCCGTCGCTGCGTCTCCTACGGCCAATGCTACAAAGACACACCATCATAATCACCACAAAGAGCCGACGCCGACGTTCAAGCTGGCGTGCGAGTGCCAACAACCAATCATTCCGGCTGGACAGATGAATGCTAAGGAAGTGAGTTGAAAACATGATTACGACGGAAGAAGAACATCAGTCAAAAGGAGGACAGACGTAAAGTAGGCTTGATGTTCAAGCGCTAACGTATCGATGCAGCTGTGCGAATACAAGTACTTCCTGAACATGGCTTGCTTCCATCAAGCGCAGGGCGGATGTGCGTCGCCAACACTCACTGTAAGTTTTCGAATACCACATTTGGAAGGGACTCATGCACATTAAAAGAACTCGCTGACATTCGCAGTGTTGAAAAGATATATACACAAGCGCGAGGCCAGCGGACATTCATTTGAACGAGATATGCTGTTGTGCAAAATTCTACCAAGATGGTCCGGAAAATTACAAGACAGTTAATTCGTATTCTACTTACTTCGCATGCTTCATGTGCAATGATGTACCACGCCTCCACTTCTAGCATGCCAACCCTTCGCTCGACAGTGGTCGGCTCGTCCATCTTCCGCACCCAAGACTCCAAGAAATTGAACCATGATAGAACTCATACAGGTTGTTGTCGTGATCTACTCGGCATGGCGAGCGACATCCGGCGCAAAGACGATCCGAGGAAGGGCTGTATCCGTGCATACCGTATCCGTGGGAATGTCGATCCTAGGTTCCTTGGGCCGTTTGTCTATATGTCATGCTTGAAACGTGCCTGCTGAACGCCAAGTGTGAACGCCAAGTATAATCCAAACGTCTTGGCCGACAACAAACATCCGCAGTCCGAGAAACGTCAAGTGCAACCGAATAGCGGGGATCAGATCTCCGATAATAAGAACATGGATCTGATTACTAATGGTGAGGAAACGAAGCTCCTAGGTAGACATGATGACCGAAAGTTGAAGAGATGTTGAGTGATGTATGGTACGATATTATTTGGGTATCAAATATGGTGTCCGACCATAGATTTGGTGCATATCAGTTCGCTCTGTTGGCTATATACAGTGTCTTGAGGCCGATCCTTGCAGGGAAATCTACAAAGCTGGCACCGCATTATCTGTAGCCCACTGCTTGATCTTGTCGAAGTTCCGGCAGACGTGTTTCGAGTCGTAGTCGGGCACTGGTGCTTGCTTGCCGGGCACGGCGTGGTAGGTGAAGACGCTAACATCAGAAGCGCACATCAGCTTAGTGCGCAGTATCTCCACGCAATGATCTTGAACGATGTTAGTTGGTACACGAAGAGGGCTAATTTGGTTGCACTCACCCAAGTATGCTCGCACTTCTTCGGGCTTGCTGCTTTCATCCGACTGCAGCTTCGTGTAATGCTCTGGGTATGTCGCCATCCTCAAGAGGTTGAGGCATTGTAGCTGGTGGAAGACCTCAAGGCCAACGCGATATCCCGTCTCGTCCGATCTAGGATCGGATACCTTGAGAGAATCCATAGGCTTCTTGAGCTTGGGGAATTCGTTCACAGTGACCATCTGGTCCGGGACATACGCGATGTCTAACCATGCATTGTTGACCTCTTGTGATACACCGACGTACTTTGAGGAGTTGACAGGGCTGGGCAGCTTGAACTCGACTTCTCTATACTCGACGACGTTCATAGCCGGCGCTGTCTGCGGTTAATGGAGGATATCATACAGTGGCATTGCTTGACGTACAGAAGACTCCGAACTCATCCATCAGTCTCGCTGCAGAGTAGGTGGATTGCGATTTTTGGGCGTATACAGCGCAGATCAATGTCAAAAGAGACATGGTGAACACGAAGAGGTTCGCCAATAGAAGGTAGGTCATTCCTTTTCGCTTCGCGCTTTCTTTGAAATGGTTCCTGTCAAGGAACGACGTGGTCTCGCCATCCTGCGAGAAGTCATCGTACTCGGCATCGTTCTGTGCCTGCTTCTCCAACCTGGCGCTGTTGGGCTGCATCTTGCAATTCGGCGGAGTATCAAAAAGGGTATTAGGTAGAGTAGAAACAAATTATGCTAGATCCAGCCAGCGAAATACGAAGGAAACAGAAAGATTGCGGTCAACGCTGGAGAATGAGAGTGCAGGATGAGGAACTCAGGCAGAAAAGGCGGAGCATAGAAAAAGCCCGCAACTCGGCAAAAACCTCAGACGCGTGACGCGAATCGCGAACCCCAGAGCTGAAGGCGGCATCGCTCCGAGTGGTGTAGCACAGCATTGAATTGCGGAGAAGTGAACAGCACGAGGCAACAGAGCCCTGGCTAAGCTTCGCAAGGCAAGACGAGCCGTAAACAAGCATTTCTGCGACAGCGCCACGGAGACGCGAACCGATGTGGTTGGTGGACGAAGCGACGAGGTTTTGAATGCACGCTAAGCGATGTCGTGAGTCTCATCGTTCCGCACCACTGTTTGATCTTGGCGATCGCGCACACGGAGCTCTAACAACGATCCTGACACCTGAGAAGTGACAAGACGTCTCCACGACCGCGTCTCTGCCGCCCATTTGCTACAGCGGCATTTTGCCTGCGCTGCTTGCGACGAATGGTTGATGGGGACCGCGGACAAGCTTTGTTTCAGTATACGACTATTATCGGCTGGGATGGACGATCCCAAGTGAGAAGCATTGCCAGCGCGTGGTTAGAGCGACAGTCTGGTAGTGCTGTTTCTGCCGGATAGCCAACCGACTATACCGATTGATCAGAAAGAGGGAGCGTGTCCAGCCAATCGCACACTGCAGTAGTCAGCACGGGAAACATGAAGCCCACTTGTTCTGGCCGCGAGGCGCTATGTGTCTCTCTTACCGGGCGTGACAGCCTTGTCTTGAACGGAACCCGAATTGGATGTGCGTGCTCGTCTTGACGCTCGTCCGTAATGCTAGTGTCAATGCTTCCGCGTCTCAGGAGCCCAGGCGATGACCAGTGCTGAACCTGACAGGAGGGATGGCTAGAATATAAACCCCTCCGTCAGTCGTATCAGGCCATCTCGGTAGGCGTTGATCGTACTCAAACTTGCTCATTCACTCTCAATTCCCTCATTTGCTTCATTCGGCTGGACCACCTTGTTAGACATTCTTTTCATCACGCCTTACCTCTTTCATCATGAGATTCGCTGCTATTGCCCTCCTTCTAGGAGCCACTAGTGCCTATGTGGTCACCAACAACAATGCCAGGAGCGATGCTGCTGTGGCTGCCCGTAATGTTGTGAGCGGAAGTGTTTCTGATATTGCCCTCGACGCACGGGATCCTCACCACAAGGTATGTTGCACAAGCTCAGACTCATCTAGCATATACTGACTGTGCACAGGGCCGCAAGAACAACCGTCGTGAAGTCGAGGAGGTCGAGGTTGAGGCTCGGGATCCCCACCGTGAGTTGCTTGCCATTGCCAATACAATACAACAACTAACAAAACATAGACAAGGGAAAGAAGAACAACCGTCGTGAAATCGAGATTGAGGAGCGCGATCCCCATCATAAAGGAAAAAAGCAAAACCGTCGCGGAATCGAAATCGAGGAGCGTGACCCCCATCGTACGTCCCCCACCATTGACAAAAGTTCACAACTAATCATTGAACAGACAAAGGACGCAAGAACAACAAGCGTGAAGTCGACGAAGTTGAGGTCGAGGCTCGCGATCCTCATCACAAGGTAGGCAGCCTAGTCTAAAGCTCACCTTACACATACTTATGAGAACAGGGCAAGAAGCAACAGCGTGAGGTTGAGGTTGAGGCTCGTGAGCCCCACCACAAGGGCAAGAAGCAACAGCGTGAGGTCGAGGTTGAGGCTCGTGAGCCCCACCACAAGGGCAAGAAGCAACAGCGTGAGGTCGAGGTTGAGGCTCGTGAGCCCCACCACAAGGGCAAGAAGCAACAGCGTGAGGTCGAGGTTGAGGCTCGCGAGCCCCACCACAAGGGCAAGAAGCAACAGCGTGAGGTCGAGGTTGAGGCTCGTGAGCCCCACCACAAGGGCAAGAAGCAACAGCGTGAGGTCGAGGTTGAGGCTCGTGAGCCCCACCACAAGGGCAAGAAGCAACAGCGTGAGGTCGAGGTTGAGGCTCGTGAGCCCCACCACAAGGGAAAGAAGCAAAATCGCGAGGTCGACGTCGAGGCTCGTGACCCTCATCACAAAGGTCGCAAGGGCAACTAAAGAAGCAATTGAGCTTCAAAGCTGGATTCAAGTGGTGACTTTGTCTTCATCTTGAGTTTCCGGGCAGATTGCGCATCAGGTGGATGTAATGAGTTTCGAGATTTCCCACGGTACCTATTCTGGTCTCCTGTATTTAAACGTTAGTCGAGTGTGTAGTATATGGGGGCTGGCCAATTAAAAGAGTGTTTTGAGCATAATCTATTCCCTACTGCATGTGACTATCTGACAAACATGCGGAAAATGAAACGTGACCAGTATCAGAGCGCGCTATGCGGAGTGGTAAGTCCGCATGCGGCTATGGCTATTTTGCGACTGCTCAAGCTTCAGTAACACGTCAATTCCGAAGACAGCAACATATTGTAGAGTAGCATAGGTCTTGGGTAATCGGGAAAAGATACGTCGGGTTGTAGAGCGTTGAAAGCCTAGGTGGAGTACTAATTTGCGACTGCCTGCCTATGTTGGCCTTCATCGATGCGTCATCGCTGCAAAGTTATAGCACTAGAAAGCACCAGTAGCATCAACGAACGATTGCGAAGACAGATGTAGTTGCCTGGCAGTCGAATTTGGACAAACCTTGGCTTCTATCATTATATCTGATGGCGTGTTTGGAGAATACACGTTCGACTTGGCATGTGGAGTAGTCGGTCTTCTTTCAATCTATACCACTTGCAGCTAGTGTTAGAAAACTAAACCTCATTCGGTGCGCCTTCCACAACTTCAGGGCAACACCTCACGATGTAAATACAGCTCTACAACGACTTAAATCGATAATGTGGAAAAGGAAAGTGTTTTGAAGGCAACGTGGCATCTCTGCGGCATCGCCACTATAAACACGAGTCAAGGTAGTGGCCACGGTAGTCATATCGCTAGCATCAGGCACCGATTTACTACACGAGGATTGCCAACTTCCCCCACAATTCAATCACCAACCCTGCCGCGACTATTTATTTGACCACATTCGTCCTCTTCTTAGTTTGAACTGTGTACAGACGAAAAACAGTACTCTGAGTGCATCCCCCCGCCTAACTAGGAGAAGTTCTTCTGCGCGGAGAAGCTTGCTTCTGGCTGACACCGTTTCTAAATCAACATATAAGATCTAAAACGTTCAGTACAACATGTCAGATTTTGTACTTGTTGAATCGCCGACCAATGATGAGTTTCCCACCGACGAAAACACAGCGAATGGGGCTACCTCCACCAAGGATGAACAAACCGCTCCAACATTGAAGCCAGACGGAAAGAACAAGATTTCGAAGTCACGACTAGCCTTTCTAGACGCCCACCCTTTCGTCAGATCAAGTGTCACAGAGAAGATCTATGGTTGCATGATCGGCTCCGCGCTTGGAGACGTTATCGGGCTGTACACTGAATTTTTACCAAAGCACGCCTGCGCTACGATTTATAGATCGAGGAAGTTTAGCCTGGTAGACCCGGCTACGGAGGTCTATGCGGATACTCATCGATGTAAGTCTCCTAATTCGCGAGCTCCCTTCTTTCTGTTCTTCCTACCTGTTTACTTTGAAGACTTTCGGCCCACCAGCTTGCAGCACTAAAGCACAGCAAATCAAAAAAGCACTGATAATTCCTGGCGGCTATGTCTTCGCCGATCGCCCCGATACATGCAAGGCAGAGTCAGAGTTAGAGTTTGTCATGGACGACACCTCAAAACCGTACTCGTGAAACTACTGGGAGATAATACGCCACACCCCTCCTCCCGTCACCTCAATCCTCTTCGTTCCCCAGTCCAACCATATCATCAACAAGCTTCATTCCACTAATACGAGTAGTACGCTTCGCACCCCGCGCCTGGACCGACGACACAGATCAAGCCCTTCTCATCCTCCTCTCGTACCTCCAGCGCCCTTCCAATCCCACCAACCTCCCCCAAGACTTCGCCCACCGCCTGCATATTTGGACCTCCCACGGCCTACTCGCTTTAAACCGCCCTCCATGCGGCATCGGCGCCCTCGTCAGCTCCATTGTTAAGACTCCTACCTATCTGGAAGACCCAGCATCAGCAGCAACAGCAACATGGTTGAAGAGTGGGAGGAACGTCGCCCCCAACGGCAGCCTCATGCGTACGCATCCCATCGGAATTATCGGAGTGGTCATGAGTGAGTTCGAAACCTTCGACCTTGCCGCCACCGTAAGCAAAACAACGCACGCCGATCCGCGCTGCACAGTCTCCGTTCTTGTCGTTGTGGCACTGATCCGCGGTCTCCTCCGCGGCGAAGTTCGTTGCGAAGAGCACATCGACGGCGCCATAGCCAGCGCATACGGCTACGTCCTCTCTTCTCCCGCTCTCATCTCGCCCTCCCCTGATGAGCCGCACATCTTTGAGCAGGCGGGTGGAATACCACTGCACCTCTCGCGCTCCGAGCTCTCGCGACACGTTGTCGCCGCATCCTTCGATGAACTCGACTTGGATGACAGAAGAGAAATGGGATACGTGTACAAGTGTCTCGGCTCCGCTATTCTGTGCTTGAGGAAATGTATGCGCGCAACGGGCGCGTCTCTTTCCCCCTCAAAGACGGCTTCTCCTATCCCATCGCAAGCCCTCTTCGAGGACATCATGACAGAGCTTATTATGCAAGGTGGCGACGCTAACACCAACGGTGCAGTGGCAGGTGCGCTTATGGGTGCGTACCTGGGGCATGCGTACCTGCCGGCTCATTGGGCAACTGGACTTGCGCATAGGGAGTGGCTGGATGAGAAGATACTAAGGTTGTGTAAGGTAATAGGTGTGCTTGAGGGGGAGGTGCGAGAGGAGGCGGATGAGCAGCCTGATTGTGGAAAGGGGTTGATGAGTACGGCGGAGTTGGAAGCTCGAGATCGCGCTATGTTGCTTGGGATTATGGAGCGGAAGAGGATTAGACAAGAGCAAGAGAGAAAAAAGGATGGGCAGAGCAAGGGTTTCGCAGCTTGGTTTGGCAGTTAAGCTGGGAGAGAATCATTATTTGCGTGATATTCACGTTTGAAGAGATGCATGAGCGTTAAAGAATGCGGTAGAGATCAATCGGAAGGGCAACGCATTTATAAGGATACTGTGCATAGGGGGATGTTCCTCTATAGGTAAGGCGGTGACACAGAATCAATGTAACATTGCACATATGGTCACTACATGTGATGTTCTACGATGCTGATATTCTACACACGGTTCCCTGATGGTATCCCTATGATGTGACATATGGTACATGTACAATGGCGTTCCCACGCCTCTTCTTCCCGGACACTAATCGTACGTAGGCCTTAAGCAATTGCCCACCCTCTTCGTTTTCTCTTTTCTCGTCTTCAACCTTCTGTCTTGAAAAATACACAGCCGAAGAAAATTGACCTCCATCCATGCATGCATGCCAAAGCGGACCCAGATAACTCCAAAGTGTGGTCGTGCAGTGGAAACTTATACAATGACTTCACCGCAATCGACCATGTTCGGCTTCCACTTGCTCGTATCCAGTTCGCCCTCCATGCTACTCGGGACGGTCACGTCTAGTGGTTTGTAGAGACACCATGCTTTTAGAGCTGCTGCCGCTGCGCGGAACCTTGCCTCGTCCAGTGAGGCGCCAGCTCCTTCCCCAAGCTTGTCCTTTCCGCTGTAGACGCCGACCACGAATACGGGATGCCTGCTTAGTCGACCGGTCTCTGAGATGAGACGAGCGACTGGGGCCTCGAAGCCTTCTCGTGCGCAGAGTCGCGACAGATCGCGGGTAGGTGTGCGGAAGTCGAACATTTCGGAGAGGTCAAGGTGTCGGCTGAGGAAGTGGTTCTTGAAGAAACGCTTCACAAGGGGTGCTCCGAGATGCAGGTGTAATGATCCGACTAGGGCACGCACGAAAGACTGCGCCGCCTCTTCCATCGGTACGGGTACGTCGGTCAAAGAGTGTGGGCTCGGCGGTGCGTTATGGGAACCGAACTCGTCCGTTGCAACAATTCTGTGTGTTTGGGTGACATTCCATTTCCACGGCGCTTGCCTTCTCAATGCCGCCGGAACGCCTTCTCCCGGCTTCAAACGCTTGAACTGCAATAGGCCGGGCTCTACCTCACCTCCTGGCTCCGCTGCGGCCTCGATGCCCCATTCGCTGGCAAGGACAGCCAAGGCTCTTGGTCCGACATATGCGTTCTGTGCGGCGAAAGCTACCTCCATGGGTAGTCGAGGGTAGTTGCAGAGTAGATGTTCGGTGGTGTAGTAGCCAAGGAGATTCGCTCCAAGGATGGACAGGGACGCATTGTTGAAGGCGGGATCAGGGTCGGCGGAAGGATGTACAAGCGTCCGGGCGAGCGTCTGAAGAGGAAATCGTTGTGGCAGTGACAGTCGTGCTCGTAGAGCTGAAAGCTTTATTGATTGTAATGCCTCATAGGGATGTGGTGATGGCATGTGCTCTGGCTTCACAGAGCGATGGGGTTTTCTTGACGGCCCTCTCGTCTTCTCCGTCTTTATCGCGGGCGATTCTATCTCAATCTGCTCCCCCCCGAAATCTTCAACGGCAGCCGTCGTCTGAAAACGCGCTTGTATCCTGTGATTATGGGGCGCGATGGTCCTGTGCAGGGCGGCGGCATATGGACAGAGCGGGCGGCGCGCAGCACTCGGGGCCAGCGAGGTGGTGGCACATGACGATATGCGTATTCGCTTCATTAATGACACGACGGGGAGAAAAAGGGAAAATTAAAAAGAGGAAGGACGAAGGCGGGACGCAATTGGGCTGTCGTGTGTCTCCTGGAGCTCCGCTGATCGCGACTTCCAAAATTTCTGGGACGCTTAGTCAGGAGGCAGGCGCGGCACTAGCTTGCAACCTCACGCCAAAGCTCCGACGACGAGAACTCACAACACCACAGCACAACGATTCACAATGGGCGGCGGAGGAAAGATCCCGTAAGAGCGCTGCGTCAATGTCTCGTGCCATGCATTTCTGACCTGCTACTGCGCAGATACCCCAAACACGTCTGGTCGCCAGCCGGCGGTTGGTACGCCCAACCCGCCAACTGGAAAGCCAACACCTTCGTCATGGGCGCCGTGCTCGCCAGCATCGTCGGAGCCACCTGGATGCTCAGCGCAAATCTCGAGTACCGCGACAAGATGCCTCAGGAAGGCCGATTCTTCCCCAGCCGATAGTACAGACACCTACTTCAGAACAGCGAACACCAAGCTAACGATGTCTAGTTGGAGCAAGCAGATCGTCGAACACGAGCGGAGACTGAAGGAGGAGAAATAGACAGATAGGAGGTCACGGCGAGTTAGCGGAGGAGCACCGGCGATACATGCTAGAGCATATCACGGCTGTATATATCTACCCAGCCTTTCCTTGAATTCTGAAAGTCTATCCTCGACAAGAACACCGTTCCAAGTTTCCTCGCCCTGTGGAGAATGCGATAATATGGGCATGCCAACTTGTTCAATGGCGAAGCTCGCCGAGATAGCGCCCCATATGGCAGCCTCCTCGATGCGCTTGAGCCCGGGAGCACCTCTGCCTCTTACTAACCCCACCGCTAAACCCCCAAGAAATCCGTTGCCTCCGCCAGTTGGGTCAACGACGTTTTGCGCCAGCTGATGGTATGCAGGCAACCACTTTCTGGACCCTGACTGAGTGACAAGGCAGCCATCTTTACCAGCTCTTACGACGACACTACCTTTCCCTTCCACGCCAATACCGCTTTCCAGCCATTCATCGCAGAGCTCTTCGATCAAACGGTAGTTCACATGGTCCTTGCCGTTCGTGTCCCTTCCGAAAAAGCCACCGAGCTCAGCATGATTGGGACTGACGCAGTCAACATGTCTAAGCGCTTGCAAGCAATTAGGCATCTCGTCCGGAATACAGAGATCAGGCACTGGCTCCCAAACGAACAGCGGACGAGGAGACGGCGCACGGCCGGACTGATTCCGCAGTGCGAGGATGTTATCCACTAGATCGATGCACCGCAGTGGAGAGCAGATGAGGTGGAAAGACTTGGACCAGAGCAACTGCGTATCAGCCAACGCATGGTGGTCAAGACGTAATTTTGGGGTCGTGTAACGGAAAGCTGCAACATCAGTATGCGCTTAACCCGCAGCTCGGTCGAGCATACCTCTGTGTTCATTATCGCCGTAACCGTTCCAGCCCCGCGTCGTCAATCTTTCGGGCGTTTCGCGAATGAGAACACCCGTTTCCCAGCTAGCAATGGTCTCTCGAAGCGCAGCAGGGAAGTCGGATCCGCAATCAACAATCCATCCCACTGCTTTGGATCGTGGGGGCGGAGAGAATATGCGCGCACCCAGCGCTGAGTACGAACCAGCACCGCCGAGGATGTCCCTAACGGGCGGCTTGGGTGGTGCGAACTCGATCTCATCTAAAACCTATTAAACAGAGGCCACAAGCGGCGACACAGAGATTCAAGTACCAATGATGAACATGCCCAACGTGCAGAAATCCATGTCTTCGGCCGCTTGCGCCATGATTGTGGTTCATGTACGCAAGCTCGGAGCTTGTAGAAGAGCTCGCTGACGCATGCACCTTGAATGGCGGGCGCTGGGGAAGATGCGGCTTGGCGACGCGCTAACATGGTAATCGCATGGTCCAAGTACCCTTTCTGACGCTGCCTTGTTACATTGCCAACACTTGAAGCTGCATTCGCGCCGTACCGAGGAGCACATTCCCTCGTACCACTCACTTATTCCTAGCATCGAATTCTTCTAGAAGGCAAGCGCTGTGTATCATAGCTGCAGCTGCCCGCCCCGGAACCCTAGACCGAGCTCCCCCTTCTTTGGTTGCGTAGTGAGCAACCGCACAACGGCAACATGGCACAAACGGGCATGCACAACCTTCAGACCCTTATTAAAAGGTAAGTCCAGGAAGGCTCACCTTGCTTCTCCACCAAATGTACACATGGCGGACAAGACCATCCTCGGCCGCTCTGGCGCGGTGCCGTTACCAGGAAGTAGACTGACGGCTGCGCTCACCAGGCTCGAAGCTGCCACCAGCCGACTCGAGGATATAGCATCCACCTCGGTCGGTCCCGATTCCGACGCCCCCAATGGAGCGTCCGCACATCCATCTGCCACAGCCGGCGCTGCGACGAGCGCCGCACCCCAAGCGAAAGCTGCCGAGAGCTTGCCCCCCTCGGTCGAGGCTTTCGATGCCATCATCAACACCGACCTGAAGCCGTGGCTGGAACTGAGCAGCAAGTTGGGCAATGTTATCGACGGACAGGCCAAAGCTGTGCAGCAAGCCTTCACCGCACAGAGAGACTTCCTCTTCATTGCAGCCAAGGCGAAGAAGCCGGATATCTCCACGCATACAGAGATTCTGAAGCACCTGCAGGCCGCCATAGGAGAGGTCGACGAGATCCGTTCGGGCAACAGAGACCGCGCGCTGCAGAACCCATTGACCATGGTTGCGGACAGCGCCTGGGCTTTGGGCTGGGTGACCGTCGAAGGAAGCCCCAAGCCGCACGAGTATCTCAACGAGCTTTTCGGTGGTGCTCAGATGGCTGGAAACAAGGTTCTCACCGAGCACAAGGATAGGTACGCAATCGAAGGACCCAATGTATTCCCCAGTAGCTGACTTGCAAAGCGAGGACAAGACGTACGTTGAATGGGTTCGCGCATATTACAAACTGTTCAAGTCGCTCTCCGAATACGTGAAGAAGTTCCACACTTCCGGTGTCGCTTGGAATAAGGACGGCATCGACGCGAAGGAAGCCGCCCAGCAAATCAAGAGTGGCTCAACTGCTTCCGCCTCCAACATCCCTCCGCCGCCTCCACCTCCTCCGGCTGGCGGTATTCCTCCACCTCCAGGTCCTCCCCCGCCACCAGGCCCTCCTCCACCAGGTGGTCTGCCTCCGCCGCCGTCTAAGAAGGCGGCGCCGGATATGGGAGCCGTGTTTGATGATTTGAACAGGGGCGAATCAGTCACGAAGGGCCTTAAGAAGGTGGACCCCAGCCAAATGACTCACAAGAACCCTTCACTGCGAGCCAGCGCGCCCGTGCCGACACGCAGCGACAGCAACGGGTCGCTAAGGAGTAAGAGTCCAGCGCCTCCGGGCAAGAAGCCCAAGCCCGAATCAATGCGGACTAAGAAGCCGCCGAAGAAGGAGCTTGACGGCAACAGGTGGATCATAGTGAGTATAAAGTTGCCATGAATAACGGTATATGCTGACAATTCTTCAGGAACACTTCGACAGCCCAACTGACATGATTGAGATTGACGCTGAGATCAATCAAACCATCCTCATCTCACGATGCAAGAACACCACCATCCGCATCAATAACAAAGCGAACGCCATCTCCATCGATAACTCTGAGAAGACTTCTATCGTCATCGACTCTCTGGTCAGCTCAGTCGACGTCATCAAGTGTCCCAAGTTTGCCCTCCAGGTCGTCGGTACTCTCCCAACGCTGCTCCTCGACCAAGTTGACGGTGCTACCGTATATCTCAGTGAGGACTCTCAAAACACTGAGATTCTTTCCAGCAAATCCTCAAATGTCAACATTAACCTGCCCGTAGAAGATGACCACGTCGAGCACGCGGTTCCGGAGCAAATCCGGACATACATCAAGGATGGCAAGCTGATGAGCGAGATCGTGGAGCACGCTGGATAGTTTCTGGTCGGTAGAGGGATGTGTAAGATGTAGATGTAGGGTTTGACGTTGATTGTATTGAATGCATGCATTGGGTGGAGTCTGACATGCTGTGCTGAGGCATTTGTAGCCAGCTAGCGCGCAGTCTTTTTGAATGCAAAGCTTGATCCCTTTGATAATCTACCTATATATTGGTTACAATATCGATCTTCTATTGGATGTTTAGAACTTAGTTCACTCGGTGTTCCATTCTCCACCTCCGCCTCCGCCTCATGCACAGCCTCTAGACGTCTACACTAAGCACTGTATTCGTGGAGCTACCAGCAGCCTTTACACAACATCTGGGAAAGGTCTGCCCTCATCCTACCAAGTTAGCAGATAATCCATGTCTACAACAGTACTACTTCCTCCCCAGTGACTACTGATTTCATCCCATATAAGCTTACACATGGCCTTGACCTTTTGTACATAGTAAGCGTCTATCTAACCATCAGCGCCATCAACGGCACATGGGATCTGCTCCCCATGCGACCGGCTACACTATCTGTAACATCTACGTAGATAGAGAAACACCGCTCTCTCGCATGCTATTTCTCAACCCGGAAAACGAAGGCCCTGTTTGCAAGCTAAGATCTGAACATTGTCAGCCCATCCATAAGATCAAACAACGGTGTTATCGTCGCTGGATATGCAATTACGGTCAAGCGCAAAGAAGGAGTCAGCATCATGAGGCTCGCTAGCTAGTGTCTGTTTCTGTACCTTTCCGATTGGGGATGCGGCCAGGCTGGAATGTCCGCAGGGTAAGCTCGTCACTCCTGGCTAGCCTACATGTACTTTGGTGAGATGCGCGCTGGAAATGGCCTGTTACATGACTTGGCTGATCAGACTGTAATACCCTAACCAGTTTAGAACGAAGTGGCACGATGTGTGTAGGGCGTGGAGAGGGGTATGAGATTGTCATCGATCTCATCTGTGTCTATCGCTATGCCGGTGTCTAGCTGCATCATTTCAGTCCTGATCAACCGCGAATATCGTGATGCACAACAGAAAAGTAGTGTGTGAGCTAGGCAATGTCATAGATGACTTGGGCTGGCGTGAGTGCTCGTAAAGCTCCACGATGGTAGTAGTCTAGCTTATTCGTTAATTGCAAGAGTCTACAGTAGTTCATTCTCCCATCGGTAAGCTTTGCTCTTAGATAAGGCAAATAAGTTCAACATTATCACAGGTGTTAATTCTGCTCATCGAGGTCTGCCTAATGCAGTGTCGTCGAAAGCCTATATACTGGACACTACGCTAATTGTACGCCAGTAGGTGATCAAGGAAAGTTGTGCTGCGCGTGTACTCGTAAAGACGATGCTGTCGTGGACTGTGCCTTCCTATGCAATCGTAGCTTCGTGCTGTCGTACTTCTCTAGTTGCAGTCGTAGAAATGCCTCCTCGATAAGGAGATGCTTGAAGGGGTATCAGATGCCAACCCAGACCGAGAAAAGAAATGTAGCTTGTCCGGGACTCGGAGCGAGATCTCGCAGGTCTGCCACGTGAAGAAATATAGAATATTCGCGCCCTAGATGTTCCACCGTTCACGGAAGCCGAGTTGTATTGTTTCGCATCCGGAAAGAGGGCATGCCGAGATATCGTGCATGTTTCGCCGTGCATCGCCAATGCACGTCACCTGTTTGGCATCGCTCACCAAATCCCAGCTTGTTCGAAACGTCGTGCATGTGGCTGCTGCTGCTGAAAATAGCCATCGAAAACACTCAACTCCGGCTTCTGGCCGCTTCCGCTCGTCTGTCCGTATCCATTACCTCCGGACGCAACTCCACTGATGCTGGTTCCGTTTGCCAAACCTAGCGAGCCCCCTACTTGTCCACTGTAACCTCCTCCGTCCAAACTCCTCCTGCGGACCCCTATCGTCTTTCCTGTGCCGTAGCTATGTACAATCTTCGCTATCTTGACGCGCTCTTGGTACTTGGGTTTGATCATCTGTTCGATGATCTCGAGCCACTCAGCCTCTGACTTGAGCTGGCGCACTTTGCGGCCTGAGCCGATCATGCCGTTCCGTTGTCCCGAAGTCGTCATCGCTTGCAAGCGGTTCCGCCACGAAGCGACGCGGTCTAGATTGTTGTGGAAGGAAGCATCCTGTGACGAGCCTTCTCTGTACTGAGTAAATCGAGCTAGCGAATGCCCTTGGGCCACCGTAATCATCGATAGGAAAACACATCCCAGCGAGAATACGTCCGAGTAGCGCTTGCCTCGTGCGAGCAATGTCTCCGGTGCAGCGTATATGTATGCTTGGTCCTGAAAGTACGTGTGAATCTGGTCCAGTCGTTGAGGCCCGGGCACAGTAGGACTGTGGGTGTCACTGCTCGCGCCGATGCCGAACGGGGCAAGAAAGACTCGAGATCCTTCGATAAGGATCTTCCGTGGCCGAATACTACGATGGCATATAGACTGTGAATGTAGATAGTCCAAAGCATGCGATAAGTCATTCATCCAGTCCACAAGCAGCTTGGCCCGGCTCGGGTCCGATGCTTGCACGTTGAGATAATCATCTAAAGTATGCTGCGTCCGGGTTGTTAGGATCCCGACATGACTTGGTTGGGAATATGAGCAGAGTAGCTTCGCTATGTTCTTGTGATCATACGCCTTGAACTTGTTGATCTGCTCCAAGATGGACGCCTTCTGGTTTGGTCGAGTGATCACAAAACGCTTTCGGATATAGATCTGGTCATCGGCATTACCTAGTATACGAACGCGGTCGACGCTCTTTTCAGAGCCCCTAGAGGTCCGGACAAGGTTGATGTGTTGCAAGGGAGCTGTTTCACGAGACCCAAAATCAACATGCGCGCCGGTCAAGGGCAGCTCTTTCGCAGTTGCTCTCCATTGTTCGTCGACGATACGCTGAGGGTCTGAGACGATTCCCTGAAGGCGATCCTCGGGAAATGGTAGGCTCTCATCTCTGAGGTCAAAGAATGCTGCTTGACGCCACGACGCCACATCATCGCAAACGACTAGCAGGATCGCAAGCTTCGGGTTTGATATCGTCCATTGCCAGACTTTGCGGACCATGGCTCTGTCTGCGAACTGCTTACTCGAGAGCTCATAGAACCACCCAGACAGCGATTGCCCTTGTGCAGATAACAAGGATGTATTAATGAAACCATTGACCAAGGGAGAAAATGGCGCCGGCGGTTGTCGATAAGGGTTTGGTGATCCGGGGAAATTGGAAATAGGTGAGCTTGGGTAGTCCCCACTCCTGAAAGTCTCCCCAGCAGACGTAGGTGGCGGCGACATGGGCACAAATCCTGCAACAGCGTTGATAGGCCTCCGAGGCTGAGGTGCGATCGGTGTAGGTGTAGTTGCACGGCTTTGATGTTGTGGAGTACGGTTTGGACTGTCTCTGGGAGAGTTGGCAGACTGATTCGAATAAGTTGAGTTTGATTGATCCGAATACGTCGAACTGGGGCTGTTCATGACATGAGACCATGGATTCTTCGTGTTCGTGCTGGTCGGGGTTGCGCTTCGGCTAGCACAAGAAGAGACAGAGGAGGCCGTGGGGGAGGATGGACCCCGATTGTACCAATTAGGCTCATCGTGTAGATTTACCATAGATATGGTGTGTTGTAGTGAGGGTTTGGGATAATCAGACGCGGGCGTCCGCCAGGGTGAATTGGGGTTGTGCTGCATTGCTGCAAGACTCAAGAACCGGTCTGTCAGGTGAGTGGCAACTGGTCAATGAGCGTCGAACTCGCAGGCGCGAATGCGTGGGAGTGCAGATGGGCGGGGGTGGAGGGTGGCTATTGGTGGTATGAGCGCGTTGCAAACCCACGCTGTGCAAAAGGAAACAAAAGACGCATAACAGCAAAAGAGGGGGAGCGTGGGAGGCGGCAGTGAAAGTAGGTAGCACCCAGCAGCCCAGCGAAGATAGAAGTACGTGCCGGGCGTGCTCTGATGGAGAACGCGGTGTGTCCCGGAGTCCTGGGGGCAGGACAAGGCTATGTCCTCGAAGCGCGCAAAGGCTTCTGATGTGCTGGCAGTTAGTTGGCTGCACTCCGGACCGTATTGGTAGAGGTTCACAATATATGCCTGAGATGGGGTGTTGGGCGAATGCGAAGGGCTAGCAGCCTGCATGCAACGTGTCGCCCTAAGAGTCGCCTCGCGCTCACTATGCCCATCCTTCTGCACGAATTCGCAGCCCGCCTTGGGCAGAAGTGCTCGTGTGGTGCCAGATCATCGCGGCGTCTGACGCGCGCCGTCCCGAGGAGCGGCAGACGGGTGACGCGCCCGAACGAGCATGCGACAGCGACAAAAGGCGAGGCGTGACAACGCGATGCCTGACGACACCGCCGGCAAGGAACAACTTGGCGCCGGTGACCTGGCAGCGGCACTTGGGAATTGGGCGGGCATGGTTGCTCGGTAGGCGCCGGGGAATTTCGGTCAGGCCTTCCAGATCTGAATGCAGCTGTGCGGCGTAACGCTGAGCATTGCGCAACCGCCTAGCTAGCTGTAAGTCCGGGGTGCGCCTCTGGGTGTTGTTGCGAACTTCGCGACACAATCAATCAAGGAGAGGAGAGACCTTTGCGACGGCCGGTCACGAGTGGTTCGCGGGCTGGCAACGAGCTGCTGGCGCGATCTGCTGTGACGAGACTCTCGAAGGTCGCTGTGGTGAAACCCAAGGAGGTGACAATTCGTGGGTGTCGACACGGGTCGTCGCTTCTTGATTGGACAGGAAGGCGAAGCTTGGGCCTCGTGAGGCGCCCCTTGCTTCGCGCGTGCTCCATCGCTCCAGACCTCAACACCAATTGTCTCAAGGGGCCACCCTCGTCAATGCTCCCGCCGGTTCCTCGACCTGATGCGCCACAGCATGGTTGGTGAAGAGCCTCCCGCTAGTAATTTAGGCTTCACTCGACTAAATCAAGCTTAAACTTAGCCTCATCGAGTGCCCACGCATAACTATGTTCCCGCCACCCGTCTCGTGTGCGTCGCACCCAGTCTCGAGCTCTGCAATGAATCACGGCTCCTGCCTTTGTGCTGCTCTCCGAGTCTGGATCCCCTCGATACTCACGCCATTGTGAGTTCGTAAACGGACGTCTGCGACTAGGGCCTCGTCACCCTACAGTTGCTTGTGCTCGTCCACTTTTCTTAATCTCGGCACCGCCATCGCAGCCCTCCCATGCAGAGCCGGTTTCTCGTCGGCCGTTCTTGACTCTACGTCCTCACTCTTTGTTTCCCTTCTCAGTTTACCTTCTTGCCACCCTCCTTTTGCAACCGCTGCTGGCCAGCCCGGCGACGATAACCTTCTCTTCGCATAGCATCTTTAATCAGCAGGTCTATCTAATATCTTTCCATTCACCATGCTCTTCAACAACGCCCTCGTGGGCAGTCTGATGCTCGCCGGTTATGCCTCTGCCAAGGTACCCACAGTGAACGCTCTGTTCAAACGAAGCGACGATATCGAAGACGTACTACGACGGGACGCGGATATAATGGCCACCCTTACGAGACGACAAGCTGCCAATGGCGCGCAGTCCGCACCGCAGGTTTCAACCACACCCGCTTCGGGAGACGCAGCAAAGGCCGATCTAGCAAAATGGGAGGAACAGACCAAGGCAGCCTGCGGATCTGCGCTCACAGTACTCAACGGCCAGGCATCGAATCCCAGTGGTATTGCCGTGTGCTACAACCTGCCGTTCCTCGACAACCAGACCGGTATCTTCCAAGCTGAACTTCGAATGTACAACGTTTCGGCACCGATCGATCCTTGGCTTGGTGTTACTGCTGGCGATGTTAGCATGGCGCTGTCCTACTTGGGCGCTACCGTGCAGAACATGAATGGGACCTATGCGAAGCGCGACATTGTGGACATTTCGTACCCGCCAATTAAGGAGAGAAGCCTTGTGGAACGACAGGCGGCGCCCCCCCAAGAGCTCAAGGTGCTCATGTATGTTGGCAAGATCAACAGCAACCTGATGGGCTCTGCCATGACACAGTGAGTAGCCTTAGCACAGATTACAAAGTCTGAACGCTGACATACTTTCAGAGCCACCCTCCAGCCTCTCCTGATCCCGCAGATCGAGCTCTCTGCGAAGAACCCCACCTCCGGCCAGGACGTTAAAGCCACCCTCTCCTCCACCGAAGCGTCATTTGTCAACGGTGTCTTCGCCAAGCAAGCGAGCTCAACACCCACCGATGCCGCAGCCCTGGCCTCTGCCTCCGCCGCCGTACAAAGCGCGGCACCATTCGTCGTTCCGGGCCAAACCCTCGACCCGCGAGTCACCAAGGCTGGTCTAATCGTCACCCTCGTCTGGGCCGTTTTCTTCATGGGCGTTGTCGGCCTCGGCACCTACGGCCGTATACAGTTCCGCGAGCAGTACCGCCGCCGTGTGAAGAACGAAGTTGCGAGGAACATGCGCACAATCTAGACATATCAAGGAGAATCACGATATCCCTTTTCACATCTTTCTCAATGTCTTTTTGGAGTATCTGCTGTTTAAAAGATGCCTGTATGTGTGAAGCGCTCTGGGATGCCAACCATTCATTACCCTTTACAAATATTTTTGTACATAATTTTACTAGGCATGTCATCCACCTACTCGTGAGTGGCATGTCCTAGGCATCCTGGCGATGGACTTATTTTCGCGAAGTGCAGGAGGGAGAACTGTAGGTAGATCTAGAAAAGAAATGCGTAGCCGACAATAACCATTCAAAAACATCCACACCAATAGAAACTTATCTGGATTGCAAAGCATATCGTATTCGTCCCCACAGCTCGTATTACCCACGCTCGCAGCAGCATTGCCGTCAAGAGTCAAGTCGGCGGAGTATCGCGGCTTCCGTTCCGTGTCCGAGAAGCTGCCTAGTGCGCGACCCTTATTGGCTGATTCGTTCCCGTTGAGAACGACACGCCCTTCGACACCACAGGCACAGTCATACACCTGATATCGCCAAGAATTACTTGCAATTTGTACCTGCTTGACTCACCCAATCACTAGTATATGAAGCCAGCAGCTGCCGGTTTTCAAGTTGCATCAATTGAGAGCTGCTTGAAGAGTTTTATTTAATCATGACGTCGGATGCGAAAGAGCTATTGGAGACGAAGAACGGAGGGAGGTTCGGAAAGCAATTGAGGAAGGAGTTCTTGTTTGAAGAAGGCTTTACGAATTTGAACCATGGTGAGTGATGACTCCTTTCTCTCCCAAAATAAAAGACGAATCATTCATTGCTCTTCCACTTGGTCCATCTATTGTTCAAGCTGCATCCTAGCTGTATGCTTTGGTATTGTATATGTCCATTACGGGCTTCTTTGTTGCTATCTTCCCTGTTTCTTCAATGTATTCTCGGTCAATGCTTCTACATCCACATCTTACCTCATCCTTCATTATAGCATTTCCAGACTGTTGCAACAATGACACAATTCACCTAAATGACTTTGGAATTACTCACTAATCATCTGGTCCAGGCTCCTTTGGCACCTATCCCCGCGCCATCCGCGACGTCTTCCGCTCCTTCCAAGACGCCCACGAAGCTCGCCCAGATGACTTCATCCGCTACCAGTATCCCAAGTTCAACGATGAAGCCCGTCAAGCATTGTCAAAAGTATTCACCCCAAGCCGCCCTTGTTGATAAAGTCACTCGCCTTCCTTCCCTCTACCTTCATCCAAGACCTTCCTGGATGGAAATTTTGTCTAACAGGACACAGTACCTCAACGTCCCCACCTCAGAGCTCGTCTTCGTCCAAAACGCCACCACAGGCGTAAACACCGTCCTGCGCTCCTTGACTTTCGCCCCAAATGAGTACATCCTCTACAGCGCGACCATCTACGGCGCGTGCGAGAAAACCGTGGCCTACATAACCGAGACCACGCCCGCGAAAGCCGCAAAGATCGAGTACACTTTCCCTGTAGAAGATGACTGGCTAGTTTCCGCCTTCAAGTCCAAGATCGAGGAGATTGAAAAGAGCGGTGGGAAAGTAAAAGTGGCGCTGTTTGACACTGTAGTTAGTATGCCGGGCGTGAGGCTGCCGTTTGAGCGCATCACCGAGGTGTGCAGGGAGAAGGGGGTTTTGAGTTTGATTGATGGCGCGCATGGCATTGGGCATGTGTCTCTCGACCTCAAGGCACTGGATGCAGATTTCTTCGTGAGTAACTGCCACAAGTACGTCTCTTCTCTCTTCCTCACCTTCTCCTTCTTCCCTCCAGTAAGCAATGCTAACCCAAGGGAAAGATGGCTCCACGTCCCCCGCGGCTGCGCAATATTCCACGTCCCTCTCCGCAACCAACCACTCATCCGCAGCACCCTCCCCACCTCTCACGGCTTCATCCCGCGCCCTGCACCGCCCTTCACCGCAACAAAAAACCCACTTCCTCCCTCCAACGCTCCAAAATCCGACTTCGAGGTCAACTTTGAGTTCATCGGTACTATCGACGCGTCGTCCTATTTGTGCGTTCCTGCAGCCCTAAAATGGCGTGAGTCCATCGGCGGCGAGGAGGCAATCATGAGTTACTGCCAGACGCTCGCGAAGCACGGGTCGAAGCGCATGGCGGAGATTTTGGGGACGAAGGTCTTGGACAACAGCACAGAAACGCTGACAAGGTGCTGCCTGGCGAACGTGGCGCTGCCGTTGGATGTGAAGAGGATGTATGAGATTGGGAGGAACGCGGGGCTCGAGGAGGCTGCCATTGGCGTTGCCATGCGGGATTGGATGAGCAGGACGTGGATTGATGACTACAAAACGTTTATGCAGTCGATGTTCTACGATGGGAGGTGGTGGATCAGGATGAGTGGACAGGTGTATCTTGAAATGGCGGATTACGAGTGGGCTGCGAAGATCATAAAGGAAGTTTGTGAGAGGGCAGAGAAGGGCGAATGGGCTGTGAAAGGAAAGGCTAGGCTGTAAGGAGCGCAGTAGTGTCGGGTCAGTCATCGAAATCGAAGAGAAACAGTTCAGCCTTGGGAACACTGCCATGCAATACTAAAGAGTATCCGGTTTATGCCAGTATGTGTCCCCTAAAGATTGACCAGACGCCGAAAGAATCCTAAAGTACGATCCCAACGAGATCAGTCAGATCGTATCGCTCGAGGAACCCGCCAAGTCCAGCTTATAGATCCACTTTCTATAAACCGTTCCAAAATACGACTCCTGAAGATGTATCCGAAAGCAAATCGATCGGTGGTGTGGGTCGCATGTCGTCGTAGCTCGAGGTGTCACGCGCGACGTGCGCTCCGTAGACCTACCAGTTCGGCGGCATGGTAAGATTGGCGTCATCGCAATTGAACTCGTCGCCACAGCTACGGCACTGTGTGCCCAATATTAGATCCGTTACTAACCGAGCCTAAGAAGTACCTACGTCCCACTTGCGGCACACGTACGACGTGCAAACCTTGGGGCAGCCGGAGTTCTTGTCTCCCACGCCGTACTGCAGATGTTAGCGCCCGGTTGTAAGGATCGCAGGGAAATGATATACCTTGAGGCAGAGATCGCGGTGCTCGTGACACTCTTCGCAACTGATGGCCGAGGTGCGGGCGAAGATGTTGGAGAAGGTGGTGTCGAGGTTGGCCTCATGAACTGTCGGCGCCGTGAGGCCGAGGCACACGAAGGTGACGAGGGAAATGAAGATGGTTAGCTTCATGATGTCAAGTAGCGACGTGGGCCGTTCGAGGTGCGAGCGGAAGCAGCGTCGTCGAAGACGTCCAAGGTAGACAAATATACAAATGAGGGTGTATGAGGGTTCAAGATATGGGGTGATGGTTAAGCGAGCGTATTTGAGGCAGCTGGAGAGTCGAAGGTGTACTCAGGAAAGTGGCAATTTAAGATCCGTCGGTCAGTGTTCGGCTTGATGATGGGGAAGGTACGACAGGTGAAGGTTGTTTGTTGCGTGACGAACGGGAAGGCGCTGATGAACGGTGTACAACGGTCAACCACGGCGTGTCGATACAACTGCTCATGTCGAAATATTTTGAAGGGTCGTATGCATTACAAGCTATGGAAGAGGAAGCTCACATCCTTGCCAGGGACCCCGGTGATTTTCAGGAGACAAGTCGCGGAGATGTTGCCCCAATAGAGACCTTCAGTACCGTGAGAATTCCGAGTTTGACTATCTTTAGGTTCTAGATCTATAGAAAGAGAAGGAACCAATGACGTCGGCTTTGGTTTAGGAAGGCACCTGCCTTTCACCACCCCGCCAAGGCGCTCACGCGCAACCAAATTTTCCAATCAATTGTCTCTCTTACCCTTACTCTCGCCTCTAGCACACGATCTCCACCTCCAAATTTGGACCCGCAACAAAGGCTTATACTCGCACGCGGGCGATTGCTGCCCAAAAGCTTGATTCGAGGGGCACAGCACCGATACACAAAACATCCGCGTGCCAGCCGCGGCACGACGGATTTGTACCTGCGTTTGCGCGACTGCAACACCAAACGCTCGATCGCCAACATGGACAGCTTACCACGAGAAACCCTGGACATCATCCTGGAGCAACTACTAGTCTATAATCACCCTGTTACCGAGCGGTTCGCTACAATTACCGACGAGTCGAAGAAGGACGTGCTCAATGCTCGACTAGTGTGCCGTGGCTTTTGCGAGTCAAAATCGATGCAGGATGCCTTCTGTAGGCTCCTAGAGGAAATCCCGCTTTTTCACGAAGATCTTCGGCTGGAACGCTTCGAATCCGTCTCTAAATCTAGATATGCGGACAACATGGCCACTCTTACGTTTCCTGGATCGTTGGTGTCCTATTGGTCTGACGAGCAGCTGTACATCTTCAGGCTGAAGCTACGCAAGCTGATCTACTATTTCCCACACGTATATAATTTACGTATTGGTTACGAGGGTTTTGGAGAAGCAGAGAATGGAAGCTTATGGATAGATACTAACGAAGAACTTAGTCTAATCACACAGTGGGCGGAGGGGCTCATATTCGATCTACTTCTCCAATTCCAGACCTCTGACCTAGGAATACGGTCTGTGGAATTACTACTCCAAGGTCTCGGTGCGTGGTCGTGCTCGATCCCGCCGCATTGCGATCTCAGCGGACTGAAAATGTTGACACGCCTTTCGGTGAACCTAATAATTGCGAAACATACGCCCATACTCGACTGGAGACTTCAAGAATGTCAAAATCTGGAGTTCTTAGAAATCGCCCTTGGAAATACGACGGATCCTAGCTGGGACGGTTACCATATGAGACAACATTTGGTGGAAGATGGAGAGGGATCAGAAGGACTCTTGCTACCGAAGCTCAAGACCCTCCGCCTTACAGCTGATATGGACTGGTACTTCCATCATTCTGATGTTCTGCATGCTCTCAAGATGTTTCCAAACCTCCAATGCCTAGGGCTTGCTTACTTCCCCCTGTCTCTTCCAGAAGACAAGACGTTGCAATCGTTCATTCAAGAGCTACAGGCTTTCAAGATCGCTTCGATCCAGCTCATTTTTCCGAGCGTGTGGAACTATGTTAGTGCCCGTAGGTTCTTCCAGAATAATGTTGACTACTCTGAGGCAATCTCCGAGGATGAGCTTGGTGACGGATTGGTGGTGAAGAATTTCGCGGACGGGCTACGAATGGTACCCTTGTACTGCAGGGCTCAATGGTTGAATGAAACTTGGAATTTCGGTGACATAGAGCCGGTGCTGGGGTTCTCTGTGTTCGATAAGTAGGTCGGAGAATTGCTCAGGTGCCAGTGGAGAGCCTCTACTGAACAGCTGAATGCATTGAAGCAAGAGTAGGAAGGAGAAAACACCATGAGGTTCTGAGATGGAGGGAAATAAAGATTTCAATCTCACACTGGCTTTGCTGTATCATGGATTTGCCGTGATCCATGACACAAAGCAGTGTGCGAGTAGGAGATCCATTCAAGGTGTTTCTTACACCCAGATAGAGCGAGCATGTGCAAATTCCAAGACACAATGCCCTTTCTTTCAATGCGCGCTACAATGCCCACCTTACCCTTGAGATGATTGCGTTGCACGTTCACTCAGCACACGGTGAATAGGTTCAATTTACAGCTTCTTGCTTTTCAAGTAAAGACCTAAGCTAGTAGTCGCAGACAACAAAGCCCTGAAGGTATTGTGCTATCATCTGTACCAACGCTCGCCCGCGCCCCTCTCTCGAACACAGTGCAGCCTAAACATACCCCCTGACACCCATCCTCTCCAACCAACTCCCCAGCCCAAAGCCCATTGCCCAACTCCCCACGCAACCCAGACTTCCCACGATGAAACTCGTAGCCATACCAGGTAGCCCCCATCTATCGATCATACACTGCAGCCATACAACTACAGGCGCATGCACCAGAAACGCCGCGTAACTCCACCTCGCAAGATCGACATCCCGTCCGGTGTACCCAACCGTCCACTTCCTCTTCGCCCATTCCCTTTCGCTGAACATCCGCAGAAGAGGCACGCAAAGCAGGAACCCCAGCGTCTCGTTGAAGATGCCGTAGCAGAGGGCGATGGGGTTCCACCCGCCCTTCGCTCGATGTAGTACTGAGGCAGAGGTAAGATTTTGGTATGTCCAGGCGTTGATGGCGAAATACACGCCTGCGTATATGGCGATTACAAGCACGGCCCTCACCAAACCCACTGCTTTTAGCGTCCTTCGGACACTCGTCCTCGGCACCAATTTTTGCAATTCCGTCTTCAGGGTCCGCTGCGCATAGATGCCGGTGGCGTAGTACACCACATACTGTGGGAGGAAGCCCATTTCGAGGCCTAGGGGAGCGAAGGTCTTGCCTATCGGCCAGCGCAAGCGGAGCAGAAAACTCGCTAATACAGAGAAACCCAACCCCGCAAAGATGACCCGATCGCGGAGATAAGATTGATGTGGTCTTCCCTCTTTGACTTCGCGATCCCTTTCCTTTTCCTCCGCGGCTTGCCGATCCACCGTAGGGTAGCAGGTAAACGCAAACACGGCGTCGAAGACAAGCAGCACCGCACAGTACCACACCGGCCCCCTCGCACCCCTCGTTCCTGCCACCACCTTCATCACTCTCTCCTCAATGCGAAATCCATCTCTTAAAAAGGCGATCATGAACTCCACAACCGGCGGCCCAAGAAGACTATACATCACGCACGGGACGCCCAACCTCTTCGCCTTCTCTATCAAGAATACACTCCGAGGTCGTCTCGAAGCGGATATGGCGGAGAAGTAGCCAGATATGAGGAAGAAGAGTGCCATGAAGAAGGTCTGATTCGTGACGTTGAAGACGACGAGGAAGACTGAAGAAAGACCGCCCGGTGCGGAAGGCCACCATGAATAAGGATGGTAGGGCCAGGACCCGAGGCCGCCGTAGGGGATGGAGGCATGGTGAAATATTACAAGAGCGGTTAGGAAGGTGCGGAGGTTATCGAGGGAATGTGTTCGCGCCATGGTGGGCATGTAGATTGGGGGAGGTAGAGAGGGCGGAGAAAGTGAATTAAGTATCGGCTCCCGAAGGACACGTAGTCAAATTATCGGCTTCCAAGAAGTCGAGGTGCGAACATGACGTTGTCTTGAGAGAACGTTCGTGGTTGTTGAACCTTGGTGCCTAGTTGGAAGGAGCGCGGCGAGGGAAGGATAACGCGACTAGTATCCCCAAAGCGGAAGCTTATACGACACACGCGTAAGCCCTTGGCCTCGCTCACACGGCGCCCTACGAAAAGTACGTGTTCATCTCCAGCAAGACCCCCAGCCTTTCCATTGTATCTTCTTCTGCCGTTCCCTTCCCCTTGCCATATCCTTTCTTCCCCGTCAATTGCCTGCACACATTCAGGAACACTTTGATCTTCCCTCTGAGCTTCAGGTACATGCCATTGACGCTCTCTTCGACCTTCGTGTCGGGATTCTGTCTCTTCGCAAAGAGGAGGATGAGTTCGAAGATCTCTTCTATGAGAGCCATGACTTTGCGTTGGCGTCGGCGCAGAAGTAGAGAGAAAAGTATGCTGTCGAGGCACTTTTCATGGGCGTCGCGGATGGCGGCGAGACCTTCTGTGACGCGAACTCCGAGCTCGTGCGCTTCATCTTCTTCGGCGATCCGATTCTCAAGACTGGTCACGTAGGACTGGAAAGCGTCCCAGTGTTCTGCGATGCCTGTTTGGAAGATGTATGTCGAGAGGGCGGTCACAAAGTGGTGGGCCTCTGTTCTAAAGCGACGAGATTCCGAATCTGGATAATGGCGAGGAAGATGAGCGACAACGAAGATCATGCGCAACAGTCGAAGCAAGAACCTGAAAATGTAGTCGTACTTCTCTAATGCGACGGACGTGATGACCAGATTAAGCGGGCTCGGTGGTACGTATTGAAGGCGTAAAAAGTCGAGCGCATACAATCCGTACGGATCCATGATCTTCTCCATTGCAGACTCGTCTAGCTGGCGGACAGCAAAATTGAGCTGACCCGGAAGTTCGTTATTATCACGAACCGTTGCTGGTGTCTCTTTGAGTTTCTGTGTAGATTGAAAGAGTGCAGACGAGTAATAGCTTTCACTGAGCAGGCCCATAAGTGCAAGTCGTAGTTCAGAGCTAGCAGGTGGCCAACTTTCGCGAGAGCCCAGCTGCAAACCCATATGGACACCGCTTCTCATGTGGCCCTTGTGCCTTTCGACACTCTCACGATCTGGGTCAAAGAGTGCCAAAGCTAGGCCTGACGAGAATACACCGTCGCCAAAAAGCTGATACTGCCGCTGTAGCGCGAGATGTAAGCGGAGCTTGTGAGATCGGAAGAAGAGGCGCAGAGTAGTCGCGTTGACCAGCTTCGCTTGAGCTGACAGAAGAGGGCCAAAGGAAAGCGTCGACGTTATTGAGAGTGGTGGCGAGAAGGTGTTAGTGTGTGATAACGGAGATGCGTCTTGGGCTTCGAGCACTCGTTCTGTTAAGAGCTTCAACTCATCGGGCAGGTCGCTCATCGGTTGTTTGGGCGGGCCATCAAGAAGCTGTATAGACTCCTGGAGGTATCTCTCATGGTCTGAGAGCTCGATCGTCCGCCGAGAAGAGGTGTCTTTGGCGGCCATCATGGTAGGTTCCTCCGACGATGAACCGCTCGAAAACTCCAAGATTGCATTACGAAGCTCATCTTCGTAAGCTTTTGCTTTCATCGAGATGGATTCAATATCTTGCCAGCCAAACTTCCACTCGAGCAATGGCGATTGTACGCCGAACTTTTCCAGACGCGCCAGTGGATGCTCCGGATGATGATGCTTCAGAAAACGAAGGGCATTGCCGGTCTCAAATATAGTATTCCCATCCTCAGGACTAACAAACCGGGGCATCAACTCCGAGCGATATATGTACTCCGTAGGGCCTTGTTGTTCAGAGGCGTCGTTGACAGCCACGAACCCGCCTCGGTCTGGGAATGGTACGGTTTCCTGTTCCTGTCGAATGCCGATCCACTCACTCAATAAGTCAATACTTGGTTGTGCGACTTGACGTAGAATCTGGCACGATAATTGGCGGATGTAGCTGTCTCCCTCTTCTGCTTCTAGGAGGCGATGATGGATCAGTGAAGATAATTGTTCATTGCTTCTCGCATGCTTCACCGCATTGATGGTTTGCGCAACATGATTCAGAATCTCTCGTGGTCTGGCGAATAGGCGCTGTAGTTGCAATATAGACCTAATTTTGTTGGATTGCCGACCAAGATGTTCTTCGAAGGTAGATAGAAGGCTTGAGACTGCGGTAGCTAAGGCTACTCTTGCCGATATAGAGTCGGCCGAAGCAAATGTACGCTCCACGAAGGATCGTAAATAGAGAAAGGTATTACCGCCATGGATGAACTGATTGATGATGCTCTGCGCTGTCCGAGGGCTGACCCCAGAGGCTCTCCCGTCTGATATGGCGGGTTCGAAGGACTTCCTTTTCGTATTAAACGAGAACAGGATGGAAGTACGTCCCAAGCTCAAGTTCCAAAGAGACTCTAGCAGCACATCGCCTTTGAGTATCCGCCCCGCAGCCGTTCTGCTATCATCTTGAAGAAGCGCCGCGTCGAACGCCGCCGGACCGGACTCTGTTATATACGGCGTATTCCGTTCAACGTGTTCTGGTTGCTCGAATAACTCCCAGGTGAAAAAGGTCACATGCTTGTTGGCCGGGCCCAGCTCCAAGGCAACCTGCCAAACGTCTTCCTCATGTACTGGTGGGGTCTCGAGCGATACTGAAGATTCGTCGAAGCTATCGAGATCTGGAAGTGGCCCGAACTCGAAGGACTCAATGTCAGGAAGCCGCAGCTCCTGTTCGAGGGGTTTCTTAGGCGCATATGGGTGATCTATCTTTATGGCGGGCACTGTACGCGATTAGTATGGGACGACGCGTGAATGCGACACGCGACTGGACTTGCCATCGAGTTGTATAGGCGCGAACAGCGACGTTTCGTACGTCGCTGGGTCTCCAAAGAAGGACGACGTCTTCCACAGACGGTCAGTCGCGAACGCATCGTAGGCGACCCCATCGTCGTCCATTGCGGTGGGTTGCGCAGACAGCAGCCGTGGTGGAGGGGCCTCGGCATGACGCCAAACTTTCAGCCCTACGCGACCCTTGCGCTTTCCCTCCGCGTCGCCTGCACATCTCTTCGAGCTTTCCAATAAATCACCTCCAGCAACCCACTCGTTCCTCGCCCACCACGGTCATTACACGATGCCGCCGCGCAAGAAAGCCAAGGCCAGCGCTGCGTCGACGCCCCTCGCCGATGTGCAGCCCAAGACACCGCAGGACACGGGCCCAACGGCGGAAGAGGAGCTGCTCAACGATGCCTGGGCCGACGAGCAGGAAACGCAATTATTCAAGAGCATGATGAAGTGGAAGCCGACTGGTACAATTATAACCATTTCAGGAAGAAGCCTATGCTAATTGACCCTCCTAGGCATCCACAAACACTTTCGCATGATCTCCATCCACGCCGACATGCGTTCGCATGGCTTTGCAGCTGATGACGCTCCGCACACGCGCATCCCTGGCATTTGGAACAAAGTATCCTCCCTGTACGATCTGCCGGCTTTAGATGAGCGTGAAGATGCGTATACCTTCAGCGATGACCCCGATCCGCTCGACGCAGAAGAGGCAGCAACGATCCCCGACTTCGAGTTGCCAGAAGACGAGTTCGGCGAGATGATATGGGAGCGACGTTTTCACGGACCGGATTCTGAAACGTCTTCCTCTCCACCCACGCTCGCCACCGATGACGAGAAGCTGCTCTACGTGCCAGACATGGGCATGCTGAAGGACCAGCCCGACGGCATCCTGTCACAGCTGGCCGAGAGCGCAGTCGAAGCGACGCCCACGCCTAAGAGAGGGAAGAGCACACGCGCAAGTAAGGGGGCTGCCAAGAGCGCGAGAGCAGGCAAGGGTCAAGCTGCAAAGAACAGCAAAGCTCAGTCCGCAGTGTCCGATTCTGCTGAGGAAGAGGATGAAGACGAGGACGAGGACGAGTCCAGCTCTGAGTCTGAAGAAGAGACCGCTCCCACCACCCGAAGGACAAATCGAAGTAAAGGCAAGGCACAACCACCCCCGAAAAGGACACGGAAGCGATGATACATGGCCACCTGGAACAATCAAAAGCCGGTGTTTTATAAACTACACGAACACATTCTACAAACGCAAATCTACCAACCCGACGCTCATGAATCTGGAGCCCGCACGCGCTGGTAGGATTCCAGACCTCATATTCTACGCGCTCGTGGTCCGCCATCACTTCAGGAGTACATCAAGGGAGCTGTCCCTAGTATCGCTCCTCCCATCGAGAATCTTGGATTTGAACACCTATGATCTAGGCTAGATTTCTCACAGGTCTACCATGTACACCAAGGTGAAGCAGCGAGCCTTCTTCGACGGTCTGCGGTGAGGAGGACCCCGTATCTACGCATAGTACCATTCTTCACATACGGGGCCCAAACGCCACACTCGAGCCGGAAGGATTAAGCCAGCACTTTGGCTGCCCTGCAAAAGATAGCCATGGCCGGGTAGAGGCCGATCTGGAAAGCCGCAGTGCGGAGATAACTGTACTTCCTTCTGCGCGTCGAGACGTAGAGGATATTGTACACAATACGCGACGCAACGTGGATAATAGTGTATCGATCCATCGACGCCTTCGGTTCCTTCATCAGGTAACCAAACACCTGTGAAAGTCTCATTAGCCTCATTCATTTTTCAAAGAATGTTCAAATCTATAGATATTACGTACCACAGCAACCGCCCACATACCCCACCACTCGAATCCATTCTGCTGTGCGGCCTGTCCGCGCAAAATCGTGTCCTCGAGGTCACTTAGCTTCTTGCCGCTTGCAGCTTTGGCATTGAGCCGCGCGACGAAGGCGCGTGGGTTTTGGTTGGTCCAGCCGCCTTGCACCTTGTTGGCGCTGGCGAGGTAGATGGTGTACCAGTGGGGGAGGGCGGAGAGGATGATGGTCAAGGGCAGGGATGCGATGGAGAGGTTGACATTGTCGCCAAAGATGGCGGTGGCGAGAGAGGACATGACGAACTGTGTGTAACAATTCGTGCGATGGTGTAGAAGAATTGATATATAGGGAAGGGAGCATTCAGGTGCATGCACCGGACTCTATATTTCTTTCCTGTTTGGGTGCCTCGGTGCCTCGGTCTTGCTCCCATCTGGAAACTTTCCTGCTAGCGCCTCAGAGGGTGCAGTCGGCCCGTCTACGAACTCGGGCTTGAAACCTTTCTCCGATATAGGTAAATGCACGAGAGGCTTGAGTTTCCTAATACATTTTCAGGAGCCTTTGTTTACAGTACAGAAAGATGCCATGTCCTCGAGATTATGTCTCCATTTTTTAATGCGTGCACGAAGTGTCCCAGCTATCTACCAGCCTCGTTGTGTAGACATTGGCTTTTCCGGATAGTGGTCGACCATCAAAGCTCCTCTCGTCGTCTGCTTGCCACGCGCGAAGCATGAGCGTGTTGTGCAAAGCCTTTCATTTTGGGTACCATTGAAGACCCTCCGATGATCGTGTGGCTCTCAAACATCTGCTGCGAAGGCTCGCCGCTGTTAATGACAGTTCGTATCAAGCAAAGCGACGACCTTTGCCAATATGTGGTAGTACTAATAAAGTGTTTCGTAAGCTCTGTACCATGATCGTAGTCAGTAGCTACACATGGTACTATTGAAGCTTCGCTCAATCTCACCCTTCATGCAGGGCGTCCGCTTACCCCCAGCGCTTATTCCCACGACACCACACGTCACGACCCGCGCAACCCACCTCACGACTACAAGAGGTATCCCTGGATTCCAAGAATGTAATAAACTTCCTACGCTCTCCCACAACTACTATCCATCATCCACCCTCACCATCCATGGCACCCACCCGCTTCCCCGCCACCTCCCTCACCCCCTCCCAACACGCCGACCTCGCCGCCGCAGAGACCGCCGTCCGCGACACCTTCGGCCCAGGCATCCGGTTGAAAGATGAAGAAGGTAACCTCCTCGGTCCCTTCGGCCCTCTTTCATACACGCCCACCGTCCTGTCCCCTACCTTGCGTATGTCGTCGCTATAAATACGTCGCCCCTTCTCACCCCAAGGGAACGCGAGCTTGTGGTGCTCGCTACTACGAGCGTGACGAAAAGTGAGTTCATCGCCTATGCGCATAGGAAGGCTGGGTTGGCGGCGGGGTTGAGTGAGGCGCAGGTTGTGGGGGCGGTGGAGGGAGGGGGCAGAGGAGCTGAGTGAGAGGGAGGGTGTGATTTATGAGATTGGACTGGAGATGGCGAGGTGTAACGGGAGGTTGGATGATGAGCAGTTTGAGAGGGCTGTGGGGTGTTAGCGAGGGAGGGCGTGAGTGCGGTTGCGCAGGTTGTGGGGGCGTATCTTTTGGCGGCGGTTTTGGTGAACGTTGCGGATGTTAAGGCACCGGTGGAGTGATGGGGAAGAATCCGGCGGTGTTGGGGATGGTGCTTCATGTTATTCGATATGACGTCTGGGGATTATGTGCGATCAGGGTGGCAGATGAGTGTGAGGAAATACTCTATTACGCATATTATATTATCGAATCTATTTCTAAATTAAGGTCTAAGTCTAGTTCATTACGTCGCCCTGGAAATCAAGAGGTCCGTAACCTCCTTGTGCTTCTCAAGTACCACCCAATGACTGCCGCCCTCCAGAATATTCACCTCAACCGTCGGTGCCCAACCCTCTGCCTGGCCCTGACCGGCAATCTGTTGCATGACCTCCGGTCGCGTGATATAGTCTACTGAACCGCCAATGAAAAGGACCGGCTGCTTCAGAATGAGGTTGCCGGCTGGGATCGCTGCGTTTGCCACCGCATCAAGGTCTCGCAGGTACGATTTGTACCAGTTAGTAGGCCCGGTGAAGCCACCAGCCTTGTAGAGCGCGACACGGTATGCGCGGTCGGCGGTGGACTCGTAGCTTGGAAGTGCGACCCGCTTATCGGATTCTACCCATGCTCGAAGCTTGCCGAGCGGGCAGAAGTCGGTGATCCAGATGGAGCTATTTTGGGGATACATGATGGAGAGGAAGGACTCCGGCTTGGGTATTGTCAGCTGCTCTGTAGGCTCACGTGGTTGTTGAAGGGCCGACTTACATGCTTTTCGAAAATTCCAGCCGCACGTGACTCGTTCATGGTCAACATATATCCGAATGTGGGATAGCCAAAGGCGGCTTCCGTTTGTGTGTTGATGTCCTCTGTGTAAGTCTCTTAGTAAAGTGTATCGGCATGCATTGGTAGGAGTAGGTAGCTTACCAACACTGAACTGGCTCGGAAGATACGGCACGGATATAAACACCAACGAGGGAAACAACGTCGGATAGAAGTTCGCGAACCTGCCCAAAAACATGGACCCCCTATACCCACTTTATCAGTAACTTTTCCTCTCCAATAACAGCATGTAAAACTTACCAGTCATGTCCCACACCAATCACCTGAGTGAGTCCTTCCTTGTCGAGAATCTCTTTGACTTGCTTCGCCATCTTAGAGTACACGTACTCCTCAATCGCAGCAGGCTTGTCGGTTCCGCCATAGCCCAGAAGATCGGGTGCGAGCACACCATATCCCGCAGCGGTGAGCTCAGCGATCTGGTATTTCCAGTCGAACACTGAGCTCGGGAAGCCGTGGAGAAGTAGGTACGTCGGCTTGGTTCCGACCGCCTTCTTGTAGACATATCCGTACTTGTAGCCAGAAGTAGTCTTCAAGGTCTTCAGCGCTGGGAGGGTTGCCGCATCTGCAGTCGCGAAGAGGGCGAAAACGGCAAGGATGCATAGCAGAAGGGGGTGCGAAGTAGATCGCTGTGACGACACAGAGAACTTCATGGTGTAGGGATCCGATATTGCGATCGGCGAATGTCACTGGCGATGGAAGTAGAACCCTGTGTGACCTCGTGGTGTTCAGGGTTCCGGAAGTCTGCCTTATATGTATGTCTTGAGTAGACCCTGGCTCCGCATACTTAGAGTTCGGTCTTGGTGAGATCTCAACGTGATGGAGCCACGATCCTTCCTTACTTGCTCGCCCTCGTGGCCATGGCCAATAATCGCGCGAAGCTTTGCCCAACGTAGAGGGCTGTAGAACGCCGCTGCACTATCAGCTACCACAGGTAGACAAATGAACATGGCTCAACCCAATAGTCGGTTGCTCCAATAGCATTTAGCTTGGCGTACATGAAGTAGCGTACGGTGCGGCTCGTCCTACGGGATCCCCGCTGGCGGTTCACTTCCAAGCGATGCCGTCAGAGGGAGAGCTATTGCAAGTTAAGGTGTAGTGCCGAAGGACGAACTGTTGGGTCTCCACGTTGTTCGGAGTTCGTGTGTAACATTGCCTGAACTAGCTAATTCGCTAGCCATTCTAGGTAGGTCAAATATGTGCTCGTATGATGAAAATCTTCTAGAAGCTTGGTCGAACGAAATCAAGGCCGAGCTAATACCGGCAACGGACGGTCTGTGCGATGTGTGAAGCTTTCAGTGATGAAATTCCTTCTCATCTGCATGAAGAAGTGGTTCGCAGAGGCTCTTGATGGGCCCATCTATGCCAAGCCCACGGGTGACCCCGGAAGGATCGCACTAGTATTCCTCATGCAGCTTTGCGGCTTAAATCTAAGAAATTGGGATTAGAAATTGCGTAGGCACTGTGTGAACCATTAGCAATGGACCCTCAAACAATAACCCAATGCAGTCACGACTAGTCGTCACCTTATATTACTTCATCCGTGCGCAACACTCTCATCTCCATCGGCTCATCCTTCCGACCACAGATTGCAAATGGGTGAAAGAACGTTAACTTTTCGTTTCTCAAAGGCTACCTGTGAAGAACTTACTCACGCTTTAGTAGGACCCTTCCACTCCATCGATAGTGCCTTCAGTCCCTGTTCTTCAGCTCATCCAGCCTATCCTTAAGTTTATCCCAACCAACACTATCCTCCCAAGCCTCCTTCCCCTTCCCCATAACGCTCCTCACCGCACTCCTAGCCTTGAACTTCCAGTCTTTAGCTACTAGCTCCCCACTGCCCGCCGCCAATCCCTCGGACCTCTCCCTCGGACCTAGCGTCTCATACGCATCCACCAGATCTACCGTCTGCTGCACGACGACATCCCACTCCTTCTCAGTCTTGGTCTCCCAGTTTGGCTGACTCGTTACCGCGCGCCATGCTTTCTCATGACATTCCAGCGCCGAGCTGGGTCGGTTAGTGTGCATATATAGCGTAGCAAGGGTTGTCCAGAGCGACGGCGAGACGGTGATGAGCGGCTTGATGTGCTTCTCGATGAGCTCATTTACGAGGCGCGCAAGACCGGGCTTGCTGATGTCGAAGCCGTCTTCGGATTGGACGACGTGGCGTACGAGAAGTTCTAGAAGCTCTGCATCGACGCACTTCTCGCCATCTGTTTCGCCGCGTATCTCGCAAATACGGCGCTGTGCGTTGACAATGTCGGGCCACGATGGAGGATTTGTTGAGCCTGCGACGGCGAGGACGTTGGACCAGATGCGGTAGTTGTCGTGCTTGATTGCAGCAGCGCGTTTAAAAGCTTTGAGAGCATCGGTGCGCGGGTGGTTGGTCACTTTAGCTTCGGAGATCTCTCCATCCTCATTTGATGAAATCTTTGGTCGCAAATGCAAGAGTGCTGCTGCAAGATTACTCCAGGCTTCGGCGTCCTGATCGTCAAGCTGGACACAGCGTGAGAACGCCTCTACGGCGTCCTTGAACCGCATGAGCTCGAGGTATGCGCAGCCCAGTGCAAACCAAGAGGGGTGATTTAGACCATTGATCTTTATAGACAGTGCATACGCCTCCGCAGCCTTCTCGTAATCTTTCTTTGCAAAGTATCGCTGACCTAACGACCTTTGCGCACGAGCGTACCGCTTTCCGGAAACCTCCCATGCTTTCTCGTACATCGCCAGATCTTGATCAATATCTCCCAGGATGCAGTAGAGTCGTGGAGCCTCACTCGGAGGTGGATCGCGCTCTGCGCCCTCCCACTTCTCTTCGTCAGGGTCAGCTGCCTCATCATCGCCGCTCGTTGCATGGAAAAGTAGACGTCGGATGATGCGCTTGGCCTTCTCTTCTTTCTCAGTCGCAGCCCAGCATAATGCCGCTTCGGCCCACATCTCCAAGCGCTCGTAGATCTCAAGTGCGGACCGTAGACCACCAACGCTTACCCAGCGAGCGGCAAGCTCTGCCTCTAGCTCCCAGCATGATGGGGAGCAAAGCGAGAAGACATATCTCAGGCGCTCGTTGACCGGTGCAGACTCTCCTTCCTTCGCCTTCGGCAGGAATGAAGTCACTTGAGTATCGGTTTCCGCGTCCGTGGTCGCTTGGCCAGAAGTGTCGGCAATGACCTGGTCCACAAGAGCCTGCAACTGTAGTAAGCCTCGCTCCATTGTTCGAGACTTGTAACCCTCGATACGACTCCGGACGAGCAATGCCTGGGTATAGACCTGCCAATTCGAGCTGCCACCGTCCAAAACTCGTGTGGCGTATGGAATTGTCTCTTCTCTCGTGATGCCATCTGCCGGGTTAGTATTAGTGATGGAAGAGGCTATTTCGAGCAGGATGACGGAATCCAAGGGGTCTAATTTAGGCTGGTTCTCAGGATCCAAGGAAGCAAGACTAGCAGGTAATGAGGACTCGTTCTGAATCTCAGTCGATGCTGATTTCGTGAACGAGATTGACTCGAGCAAAGTATCGTCGTTCAAATCCAAGGCATTCGGTTTCGACGCCGTGTCTTTGGGTGCTCCAGATGTGTCCGAGCCAGCGCTGCGTGCCAGGACCAAAAGCTGGCTGGTATCCTTCTGCTGGTATTTCGTTCTCTTGCCCATCAAACCAGTCAAAGCGAACTCGAATTTCCTCTCAGCAGTCGCTTGGTCTAGGTCAGCTTTTGCTTTTTTGTCGAAGCCATGGTGGGTATGAACAGCTGCTCGCTCCAGTAGGAAATGAACGTGTAAATCTTTGGCTTCTCTTTCCTGAGGCCGAGAGAGGATCATGCGTTCGACTGTCGCTAGATCATCGTAGATAGCTTTCTGCAGCGAGGGTGCTGGTTCCGAAAGCAGCCGCTGATGAACGAAGTTCACTCGCAGTCTAGCCCAGAAGGAGTGCTCCACATACTTCTGGATCGGTGGGCAGACCAAGATGGTCTCAGCAAGGCACAAAAGCTCCACATTGGGTGTTAACGAGTATGCCGCGACACCATCCGCACTTAAGGAGGCAACGAGATCTGCTCTAAGCTTGCTGATTGCTAAGGCAGTAGATGCGACATCTTTAGGAAGCAAGATCTCTGACGATTTGAAGGGAAGCGGAGGGCCCGTAACAGTAGACTGTAGGAACGCATAAAGCGCGGCAACCGCGGCAAGGAAGAACAGGTTCTGGCGATATGCAGGTGTCTCTTCGATCGGGATATCAGAGTCTCCGCTCCGATTTGACAAGATTAAGCCTAGCCGGTGGAAAAGATAGTCACTCCATGACGGGAAATCCTTGAGGTGGACATTTCGCGTGCTGTCGTCGTCCTGGTGGCCTAGTAGAAGTTGGACTTCAGATTTTTGAAGCACAGTCAGAAAATCCCCACTTTCGAGAGCTTTGAGGGAGTCTCCCAGCACGCTCGCGAGCTCTTCCGGGAGAGTGCTCCGGAAGTAATCGAGCAAGACGTCCGCCATACTTGCTATAGCCTTTTGATCCAAGGAAAATTGCGAGCTGTCCAACACTGAAGGTTGGGCGTCGATGTAATTGATGGTGGAGAAAATTAGGCGGTGGCGCGCTAGCCACTTTAGTCATATGAGGCAGGCGCAAGTGGAAATGCTCGCTTGTTTCACAAGTTCTGCAAAATCGTACAACTAAACCTACATAATCTTGGGAGTTACAGGAAAATCTTTCATTACTCATTACAGCCCTAGTATACCTATCTTAGGGAGGATCGAACGTGATTCAACCCTCATACTAAGGCATCGACTTCACACGAGACAGCAAACAATACACAACTAGAGACAAACGAGACCTGAACACGACTAAAGGTGTCACTAGTCATGGACCTCCAGTATACAGCATAACTGGCCTAGTCCGAATCGCTGCTCGATGAGCTGCTGCTAGAGCCACCCCGGCTCTTCGACTTGTGGTGCTTGTGCTTCTTGTGACCGCTGCTATGGCTACCAGCGTACAGTCCACCCAGCCCAGCACTGCCAGCGACGGCGCCGTGGTGCGAGCCACTGCCGTGCTTCTTATGCTTCTTGTCCTTCCTGCGACTATGTGTCAGTACAACTCGGAAACGTAGAGTCGCACTTCCGACTTACTTTTTATCGTGCTTGTCAGACAGCATGTTCGCGCCCACGGCACCTGCCACGAGCCCGCCAACAGTGCCCAAGACACCGCCGCCCATCTTGTTTCCCAAAAATGCGCCGCCAGCGCCACCGATCAATGTTGACCCCAGGCCGCGATCGCCCTCTGCAGGACCACCTGGGCCTCCTGGAGCTCCATACTGGCCCTGAGCCTGGCCGTACTGGTCGTGTTGACCGTGCTGACCGTATTGGCCATGCTGCTGCTGGTGTTGACCGTAGCTCTGGTCACCGTAGCCTTGCTGTGCCGGCGCACCGTAATGCTCTTGTTGAGGAGGGTAGGGAGAATGACCGCGGTTTTGGTCGTAGCCCTGGTTGTAGTCGCCCTGGGGTGGAGCGCCATAGCCTTGCTGTGGGGGCGCATACGGCGATTGCGACTGAGGATAGGGACTCTAGAGAGGATGTTAACATGTGCTCTAGCTTCATATAACGATCGCACTAACATGCTGCTGCTGACCATATTGGCCTTGCCCCTGGTTATACTGATCGTGCGGCTGCTGGCCGTACGCAGGTTGCTGAGAGGGGTAGTCATTGTAGCCCTGACCTTGCTGGCCATACTGCTGTTGCGGCGGATGCTGGTTGTGGGAGCCGTCCCCGCCGTAGTAACCGTAGTTGCTCATATTGACGATCGCAAAGCTCAGTGAAGTGTACCGGAGGTAGAAGGATAGGAAGGGGGTCGTAGGGGCGGAAAGTAGCGAAAGCTGATGGCGGGGAGGGGTTGGACAATCACTCGGCTTTAAAGTAAGATGCGACGCTGCGTCAGCAGGGGAGAGAGCGCCACATGGACGGGAAGAGTCACTTGAGCAGGCGGTGATGCCCGAACCGTAACATGGGCGATTGCTGGAAGGTGCGGCTGAGCTGTACGCGTTTGGCTGCTAGTGGAGCTGAACCCTCGTAGAACGTTGCGACGATGAGGCTCAGTGGGTCCCACAGCCACCTGCGCCACGTCTTTGTCCATCATCCTCCCGCGACGGCGGACGCCGGTACTCAACCGGCCGAATTTACATAGTATCATTGCGAAACAAGTTTATGTTGTCATGTCGACATTGTATCATTGCTTGTTCCTGACGCTAGCCTGTGCTGGTGTCCTTCGCGCAAGATGACTCGTTCCCGGTCATTACCCTCGTTAGTGTGATTCTGAGCACTTGCCCGGCCAAAGCCTCGGGCCACAGAATCAATGCCGGCAGTAAACAGATCCGAGCTTTGTCCGTCAGTGATAAAGTCCAATCCCACCCAGAATATCGGTTCAAACACTACTTCGAGAATTTCTTGCTCTGCCAGTGTTCAAGCTAAGCGTGAAGCGTTGACGATTGCAAGGGTTTCGGCTCGGCCTTATGTTGCGCGGAAAGTAGAGCCCAGAGCCGTTACCGTCCTCGAAGGCGTCGCGAATACTGTGAGGGCGGACATAGTGCCTAGTGCACATGTGTGACTGGTCCTCATTAACAAGTGCTTTCCAGTGTACATTCTTCGCCCAGAAAATACCATCCTTCGACTTCCCGTCCCCAAGATCGTGCCAGACGACGACTTCGATGCCATTATTCGGTTCCAGGGAGGCTTCCTGTACAGAGTATTCAGTGAAGCAGAAGGTGCACCGGCCGCTGTAATCAATGTCGGCGTTTGTTCTCAGAACATCTTTCATCGTCTGGAACAATCCAACAGTTTCTTTGATGTCTACCCTTGCATCTGGCGACTGAGATACAGTGCCAGCAGTCGTGTTGAGGTCCGCTGGTTGAGAGGGTGGAACAGGACGATCGGCCCAGCCGGAGCCGTCATAGGGAGCCCACCTGTAGGAAGGTCTCCAAAGAGCTTTCGCCAGGACGTTATCGAACCAAGGCCCATTGCGGGGCGTGGTGCTAATGTGACTGCAATCGTTAGTCTACACGTGGATACACTGATATCTAGCGGAGTGCACGCCGGTTCCAATTCAGGCTCCCCAACGATCCCACCAAAGACTAAAACGTCACCAAGAAGCACAGGCAACAAGCAATGTCATATCACTCAGTGCAGCTTACCCACAGACATCGAGCCCTAATGTCTTTAGATCATCCAGATTAGCCGGGCGTTTCTTGTTCGAGACTGTGTAGATGCACCGAAGTATAAGGTGGCCGGACACGATGCGAGCGCGAGCGCTCAATTGCACTTGCGTATCATCTTCACGACGACGATTGAACTTGGACCATTTGGACACCCTGGTCTCCTTAATCTTCTTGAACTTCGCGTACTCGGGTGTGGTACATTCGATACGCTGATATGAGTCATAGGCGAACGCGTCCAGAGGTATGCCATACAAGGCACCGAAAGAGTCTGCCCTCAGAGCAAATACAACATGCGACCATGACACTGCGTAACCGAACCGCGCACTCGGGAGCAGCCAACCATGGTCAGTCATGTAATGGCGCTTTGAATTCTCCACAAAGTTGGAGGGGTAGCTGTGCGGAAGCTTGCGCCTTAGGTGATAGAAGTATCCGTAGTAGTTGGGTAGGTCACGCTCTAGCAGGTGCATGAACATCTTGCGTTCTTTGAGCAAAGGTGGAACTACCAGCCATGAGTGGGTACCGAGGGTGTAGAGCAGTTGTTTGCAAGTGAGGATTAGCAGGGCTTCCGCGTGAGGCGGCAAGAAGCTAGCGATCAGCCGGATCAACTCATTGGGAAGACCAGGTAACGTAGTTGTTGGATAAGTGGGCAGGTACTGGGGCTTCTTTGGGAAGAGCGAGCGGGCCTTGAGGCAAATGGTCTGTACGAAGAAGTCCTTGACGCAAATCAAGACGAGCTTCGTCTCTGCCGGTCGCATCGCACCGTGGCCCACGGAAATACCAGGGGGGAACGCGAGTTGATCGATGGACTGCATTGCTGCTACCAAGCGAGTGAAGTTACTAAGCTGATGTTAACGTGGGAATATTGGAAATCTCGAATGCGTCAGTGGTTGCACACGTCGGTAAGCCTTTGATCGGAGAAAGCACACGCAAGCGCCTTTCAAGTTGGCGCAGGGCTGCACGAGTTTGATGCTTGGCCAGGAGATTCGCCAAAACAAGTAAGCGCCAGGCGTAAGGGGGCAATTGCAGTGTAGTGCGCGCGGAACAGTATCACCTGCAATGCAGTATTTACCTCTTGCTCAATCGTCGGAGCAGTAGTCCAAGCGACTTGGGGTCATGTCGCTGTGATGCAGATTATGGGTGAGATCGGGGGTGGGTGAGCGCAAGGCGTGAGAGTTGGGGGCTCCCAAGTAAACAAGCGGCCCGACCAGCTTCCGAGTACCGATGGCTTGGCTGAGGATCACCCGCTCATTAGCGTCTTACCCGTTCATGCCCGCTGGCTGTTCTCATGCCTCGCAGTCTTCGTCCTCAAAGGGTTTAACGACAGCATATCATCTAAGTAATGACTCTTATCGACTCAAACACTGGCGGAAGGCCCCCTTGCGTCGAAATTCTGCGAAGCCAGCATGCTGGTGCCTGGGGGCGTTCTTGCGTACACTAGTAAAGCCCACACGGAAGCTCGCACTTCCTCGCTCCTTTTGGGATTAGCGTCCAACATGGGGAAAGAACATGCGCCTTCCATCATTTCCAGTTGCTCGTTTACTGTACCCCCAGGGTGGAGGATATAAGAGAGCCGCATCATTTGAGCCAACTCTCATACGCGAACTCACTCCTTTTGCCACTCGCCACACCGTGACGCGCCTAGGTACCAAATCTGGTGACCGTCGAAGTCAATTGGCCGTCGTATCTCGTATTCTCCGACGGAGCATTGCAACGCCCAAATCTCCCCAGGCATCAACAATTCGTCCCTTAGCGTGGCACAACCCTCATGGCAGTTCTTCACTAACAGCCTTCGAAACTCTCTCGCAACCTCCATCTCGACTTGCTCACGATGGGTATCGACCAAGATGCCCATTTGCCACCTCCATCTGCGGCAGTTGCGCAGAATCCTGCAGAGCAGATCCAGCTCGTTGAGAAGGCAGTAGTCGAAAATCAGAATCCGCCAGAAGTCGTTATAGATGATGAATCAGATCGACTGAGCAAGAAGAAGAAACCTGAGGCTGGGCTGGGTAATTACTTCGTAAGTGCGGCCAAACTCAAGCTTTGATGTATTCGACTTGCTGATGCTCTCAAGCGAGTATTCACCTACGGCACCAAATTAGACGCATTATACCTCGTGCTATGTATTCTTACTTCGATCGGCGCAGGTATTGCGATGCCTTTGATGAATATAGTCTTTGGTCAACTCGTTGGTCATTTCACTGACTATTTTCTTCCCAACACGACCGTGACGAAGCAGCAATTTCAGTCCGTAGTCAACAAGCAGGCTTTGTACATTTTATATCTGTTCATCGCAAAGTTCGTCATGTCCTACATCTCCATGTTTACTGTACGAATCAGCGGACTTCGAATGAGTGCCGCGCTTCGGTTAGCATACCTGAGGGCGACCTTTGCGCAACCGGTGAGCGTTATTGATACTGTAAGCACCCCATCAACATATAACTGTGGACTGCGTACTCACCACTCGCGCCATGTGTAGATCTCACCCGGAAAAGTTGCGACGCGCATCACCACCTCCTCGAACACGATACAAATGGGTATCTCCCAACAGCTTGCTCTACTCTTTCAGTCGCTCTCCTTTACAATCGGACTCTACGTTGTTGCATTTGTAAAAGGACCAATTCTCACGCTCATTGCCAGCATTTCGCTCCCGTTCATCTTCGTCACTTATGGGGTAATATTCCCACCGCTGATGCGAGAGGCCAAGGCCACCCAGGAGATTCTTGAACAAGCCTCCGCGGTAGCATACGAGATATTTTCCTCCATCCGGATTGTGGCAGCATTCGGCGCACAAGCGAAACTAGCTAAACAGCATGAGGTGCTCCTAGACAAGGCCAAAAGCCAAGGCAGAAGAGTAGCACCTTGGATGGGGCTGATCATGGCTCCGTCTATGATGGCAATGTATGGCACTTTCGGACTCACATTTTGGTTTGGAGTGCGGCAGTACGAGCATGGAGATAGGGCAAATGTTGGAGACATTGTTGTGTAAGTTCCCATATGCATACCTTTTCAAGTTGGTGCGCTTAGTGGAATTGCCGTCGACCGAAAATGGCTTGACCTAACTGTGCTGACATCATTAGGGTTCTCTTCTCGGTGATGACAGCTGTTCTGCTGATTGGTCGCATAGCTGCCCCAGCAATAGCCATAACGAAAGCCGCGACCGCTGCGACCGAGATATTCGCCACCATCGATGCTGAGGTTCCTGACATCTCCGGCCTTAAAGAACCGGACATCTCCGCCGAACAAACCATTTCATTTGAGAACGTGGCCTTCTCATACCCTAGCCGTCCGAATGTCCAGATTCTGGATGGTCTCAACGCTACATTCGAAGCTGGTAAACTCACTGCTATTGTCGGACCATCGGGTTCCGGAAAGAGCACTCTAGTTGGCCTCATACAACGTTGGTACGAGCTGTCCGGCACCGTCGCCAAGGAAGTGACCAAGGACAAGACGGAAGACTCCGCTCCAGCGGACCTACTCGAAAATGAGCCAGTCAAGGATAAGGATGCTAAGAAGGCAAAGAAAGAGCGGAAGATTAAGTCCAAGACTCAGAAATCACCCAAGCCTGACGAAAAAGAAAAGGACGTAGACCTTGGTGAGTCTTCAATTAGAGGCATTGCGAGACGCTTGAGCTAAGTGCTTCACAGGACCCAACACGTGTACCGGTACAGTGCGAATCGGCAATACAGATCTCCGTGAGGTCGATCTCAAATGGTGGCGCTCCCAAATCGGACTCGTGCAACAAGAGCCATTTCTCTTCAATGATACTCTTTTCAACAACGTCGCGTTTGGCCTTTGTGGGACACGATGGCAAGGACTATCGAAAGAGGAGAAGATGAAGATGGTCAAAGAAGCTTGCAAAGAGGCTTACGCAGATGAGTTCATAGATAGGCTACCGCAGGGTTACGACACAATGGTGGGTGAGAGTGGCATCAAGCTATCCGGTAAGTCTTCATTGAAGTCAATGATGCATGGGAGACTTCCACTGATCAGTATTCGACCGCAGGTGGGCAGCGACAACGCATCGCGATTGCCAGAAGTATTATCAAACAACCTCCCATCCTGATCCTCGATGAGGCCACCAGCGCCATCGATGTCCGTACAGAGCGGATCGTGCAAGAGGCCTTGGACCGCGTCTCAAAGAACCGAACAACGATCGTTATCGCCCACCGACTCTCGACCATCAAGCGGGCAGACAGCATCATAGTGATGCGGCAAGGACAGCTCGTCGAGCAAGGTAGCCATGAAGAGCTTCTTAAGATTGAGAATGGAGTCTACTACGGTCTCGTCTATGCCCAAAATCTTGCTATGGAGGCCGACGAGGAAGAGTTTGAGGAAAAAGCGTTGGCAAAGACAAAGACCACTGAGACCGAAAAGTCCGAGATCGTCGAAGCGGAGGAGGAACGCCCATCCTCCAAAGAGCAACCTGAGTGGAAGGACAAAAGCTTCTTAGGAAGCGGCGGACGAATGATCGCGGAACAGCGACATCATACTATCCTGTATTTGTTGGCTTTCCTGGGCATCCTCTGCGCTGGCGCTGTTTATCCGATTCAAGCATATGTCTTCGCCAACGTCATCGGAGTATTCACTCTGACTGGTCAAGCTTTCGTGAACAAAGGCTATTTTTGGGCCGGTATGTTCGGTGTTGAAGCTGCCGCCACTGGAGTTGCGTACTTCGCTATTGGTTTCTGCACACATCTAGTGTCCATCGCCATTACCCGGTGTTACCGACAAGAGTATCTCACTAATATGTTGCGGCAGCGGATACCCTTCTTCGATCGCGAAGGCCACTCAGCCGGAACATTAGTTTCAAGAGTGAGCGGAGATTCGGAACAGCTCCAGCAACTCATGAGCACCGAAATGTCTATGGCAGCCGTTGCTGTTGTGAATCTTCTCGGCTCTACGATCATTGCGTTTGTTTACGGATGGAAGCTCTCGCTCGTTGGTCTCTTCGCTGCTCTACCACCTATCCTTGCTGCTGGTTACCTCCGTCTGAGTCTTGAACAGAAATTCGAAAAGACGAATGCTGCGGTCTTCCAAGAGAGCTCACAGTTTGGAACTGAGGCTGTAGGAGCCTTTAGGACAGTAATTTCGCTGATCATGGAAGATATGATCGGCGATAGATATGAGACTTTGCTCCGGTACCACGTGAAAAAGGCATTTAGCGATGCGAGGGTCGGCACCGTCGTCTTTGCCGCTTCAGACAGTGTTGAGCTAGCATGCATGGCGCTGACTTTTTGGTAAGTCTTTCTGTTTCCTCAACACACGAGACCCTGTGTACTGTTCTTGTAGATCATCACCACTGACTGCGATAGGTATGGTGGTACCTTGCTCGCCTCCTACGAGTACAACCAGGTCGACTTTTTTGTGATTTATATGGCCATCATTCAAGGCGCTGTCGCAGCGGGGATGTGGTTCTCCTTTGCACCAAGTACGCTCTCTATGCCCCGAAACTAAACTACAAAGCTGACTTTACCCTCAGACATCGCCCAAGCCACCGGTGCCGCGAATCGGATCCTGAGCATGCGTCCCGATCGCGATGCCCCGCCTCCTACTTACGCTGAAATCGCTCCCTCACCAAATGGTGTCGCCATCGACTTCCGCTTCGTCCAATTCACCTACCAATCTCGTCCCACTCCTGTTCTCAACAATCTCAATATCTCCATCAAACCTGGTCAGTTCGCTGCTCTCGTCGGCGCTTCTGGCTGTGGCAAATCGACTACCATCTCCCTCCTTGAGCGCTTCTATGACGCCACATCTGGAAAGGTCGAGTACAACGGCCAGGATGTCACGACGCTGGATCCGGCCGCGTATCGCCAGAATATCAGTCTCGTGAGCCAAGAGCCGACCTTGTATGAGGGCACCATCCGAGAAAACATTGCGCTCAGCGTCGATGAAGCTACCGATGAAGAAATCCATGCTGCCTGTGTGGATGCTCAAATCCATGAGTTTATCACATCGCTGCCAGATGGGTATGCCACGCGGCTCGGGCCGAAGGGCATGTCGCTCTCCGGTGGTCAAAAACAACGCCTCTCGCTTGCACGTGCCCTGTTACGCCGTCCGAAACTGCTGTTGCTCGACGAGGCAACGAGTTCGTTGGACAGCGAGAGCGAAAAGCTAGTGCAGGAGGCGATTGAGCGGGCTGCGGGTGAGGGCGGGCGCACTGTCATTGCAGTGGCGCATCGCTTGGCGACAATACAGAAAGCGGATATCATTTTTGTGCTTGGCAGCGGAAAGGTGTTGGAGAAGGGAGATCACCAGACCTTGTTGAGGAAGAGGGGCGTTTATTACCAAATGGTGAGTCAAACTCACGCGGATCTCTTCATGCGATTGCTAACGCGTGTCACAGTGTCAAGCCCAAGCGCTCGATCGATAGCATCAGCGTATGGTATCTGCATGTATTGCAGCATTCCCTTTTATATGAGTCGGCTCTTTACTCATGTTTTGTACTTCTCCTTCGCAACTCCACTTCAGCGCATGAGCGTACTTGCATCCCATCGCAAAATACTTGCCCACATAGATAGAAATTTAATAACAGAGATAATCTCACTCTGCACCTATAAAAATCGTAACGATTGGTCAGACAGATCATCCGACCTTAGCAGGCTCGCGCAGACCCCCGGTGAATAGTTCATGCTCGCCCACCCCCTTCACCTCATATTCGTCCCCTGCCACCTGATCATCATCTCCGCATCGATGAACGCACACCAGTGCCTCATACCCCAGCTTACTCCTCACGCTAACGGGCCCCGACACCACCCCTTCATTCCACTCAAAGTCCACCTCAAAACCGCCTCTCGCTTTAACCCCCTTCAACTTCCCTGCACTCCACTCCTCTGGACAAGCAGGCAGCAGCCTTATTATCCTCACCTCTTTCCCCCCTCTCTCCTCAATTTCATGCGACTGCAAAAGACACTCTAGTATTCCCGCGCACCCACCCCAATTCCCATCCAGCTGCACCGGTGGGTGATTATCCATCATATTCGGCACCGTGCTATCACGCAGAAGAGCGCGGATGTTCTCGAGACACTGCGCTGGCTTGCGGAGCCGCGCGAAGAAGCAGATGAGCCAGGCGCGGCTCCAACCTGTGTGGCCGCCGCCGTGGGAGAGACGGCGTTCGAGCGTCGTCAGAGCAGCGGCTGCGAGGGCGGGCGTTGAGCTTGGGGTGATGCTCGAGCCGGGGTAGAGGTCGTAGAGGTGCGAGACGTGGCGGTGGCCGGGCTCGGAGTCAGCGTAGTCGTTGAGGCCCCATTCCTGGAGGGCACCGTGGGTGGGGCTTATGATAGGTGGTGGGAGTTTGGGAAGTGCGGTGCGGGTTCTTTGCGTAAGGTCTTGGAGTGCTTGCGCCGTGAAGGTAGCTGTGTCATGTCGTTCCAGTCTCTTGATGCTGTTGAGGAACCCGGTGAAAACGTCTCGAACGATGGCGATGTCCATGGTAGAACCTTCGCAGAAGATTCCTGTCCTTCCCTCGGCATCTTGAAATGTGTTCTCCGGCGAAAGAGAAGGACTTGTCACCAGCCATATTCCCGTCTCGTCTTCCACTAGAAAGTCTAGCAGGAACTCCACGCAGCCTTCCAGCACAGGAAACATCCACTTCAAAAAGTCGATATCCTCGTCGAAGAGGAAGTGCTCCCAGATATGCACGCACAGCCATGCGCCACCCAGAGGCCACAATGTCGCCGGCATCCATTCGTCCTGGGGCGCAGTATCTGCCCAGATGTCTGTGTTGTGATGGCAGCACCACCCGCGACAGTCGTACATTTCTCTCGCTGTATCTTTCCCGCTGATGGCCAGGCGGTGTAATAGGGTGAACAGCGGCATGTGGCACTCTGAGAGGTTACCTGTGTTTACGGGCCAGTAATTCATCTGGAGGTTGATGTTGATGGTGTACTTTGCGCCCCATGGCGGAGAGAAGTAGGGGTTCCATATCCCTTGTAGAGTCGGAGGGAGAGCTCGATCGGTGTTGCGGCTGCTTGAAAGTAGGAGGTAGCGGCCATAGCCTTGGTACAGAGCGATGATATCTGCATCGTTAGAATCCCGAATGCGCTCGGAGGTGTTCATGTTGTCAATGCCTAACTTTTGATTCTGGCCTGACCTGTCTATGTGTCAGTAACTTCTGCGTATAAACGAGGGTTCCTCGGTGTGACTCACTGCAATTGCAACGATTGCTGTCCGTAGATGCTTGTCCAGTCGCTTTGGTGCCGCGCCCACAATGCATCGGGGGAATGCTGGAGAGCTGGGGAAACTCTCTCCAAGGCGGTCTTCTCTAAGTCAATCTCCGGCTCATACGAGGTCGACACTCCAATAAGTATCAGCGCATTTGTGGATGTAACCTCCAGCGAGGTGCCAACAACATCGACTGTTCCTGCCGCATCATGGCACTTCACTCCTGCCACCATACATAGGCTGTTGCTCCTCTTCCCACCAGGCGTGGCATGCAAAACGATTTTCCCATCGCGAACGTCTACTGAATCAAGAAACTCGTTGGTTTCGTACCATTTGTCGCTCATACGCGTCAAGTTCACAGAAAAGCGCACTGGCTGTTCGGCCTCGACGCGAACAGCGATGACCTTATCAGGAAAGCTCGCGATATATTTCCTTCGAACGCGACTCCCACCGACTGTATACTCCACCATTACCTCCGCCTTCTCCAAGTCCAACGTCCTCTCATACTTGACGAACTCCTCCCCGTGTTCAAACTCAAGATAACACTGGCCCAACGGCTCGTAATGTCTAGCGCTCCTCGGCCTCGCAAGGAATCTCTTCTTCACAAGCTTGTCCACCTCAGCGTGCTCGCGCTTCCGTATCAGCTCTCGTAGGCGAGGTAGGTGTGCCGCGGATTTGGGCGTCCGGGCCTGAGGCCCGCCATACCACACGCTTTCCTCGTTCAGGCGTAGCGTCTCGGTGTGTACGCCGCCGTACACCATCGCCCCGAGACGCCCGTTGCCAATGGGGAGGGCGGATTCCCAGTCGGATTTGTGCGCGGGGGCGGGGTAGCGCAGCATGGTGAGAGGATGGAAACGACCGTAATATCAATGTACCATACGTTGACTTGAAGTACGATACACGAGCGAGCGGGATCATCGACGAACGTATCTGAGAACGTATCGAGCTCTGGTACAGTCTACGACAGTAGAAAGTGTACTGAGCACCAGAACAACAAAAAACAATTTCCGGGATGCCAAAGAACTCACCCCGGGAATGTGGTTGGTGAGCTGGGATGATGTGCGTGCGGGGTGTAACATGACCGTTCACACGGCCATCAAGGTCGGCTCGAACCCGAAGGTTAAGAGAAGCATTAGCTGGGGGCCTCGAACGCGGACGGAAGAATTAGAACCAGGTTCGCAAAAGCTGGGGATGCGGGTTAGTGGATGGAATAATTTGTGGGGATGCACGCATGTCGCTTCATGCTGGTCGTCTGGCTGCGGCACAGAGGCACGATCTACGGGCACGCGAGTCGTGCTACCGGGCACTGGAAGCTTGGTCGGAAACTTATGAAAGGCTTCGAGACTCTTGATCTTGGGTCAGCCGCCTTGCTCCCGCAGGAACTCCTCTTGCTTGTCACTACTTTTAAGTGTTTGACTGAGGACTTCACGGCCAAAGCTGCACCAAGATGGCAGAACCAGAGCAGATCCGCTCCTTTGGGCACGACCCCACCGTCCACGCCAAAGCAGAAGTCCATGTTGAAGAAGTCGTCGTCCAGCGCATCACTGAAGAGAATCTTCAGAAGGAATCCGCCAAAGCCCTGAAGTTCTGGTCCCAAACTGGCCTGCGAATCATGCTCATCATGTTCATCCAGCTGTGCAATCAGAGCGGTTACGGTGTTGATTGGGCTGTCATTGGTGGCTTGAATGCATTCGACTCGTGGCACAGCTACTTTGGCTTTGGCACTGCAGGTTCCACTTTCGCAACACTCAATGCGCTGATGCGTATTGGTACAATAGTGGGCAGTCCGTTCCTGGCAGTCAGCGATGTTATCGGACGACGAGGCACCATGTTCATAGGCAACGTGTTGACTATTGTGGCTGCATTGTTACAGGGTTTAGCCACGGGCATGCCAATGTTTATGGCTGGACGGTTCATCCTGGGCTTCGGATCAACTCTGGTGGCTAGCTGCAGTCCGCAGTACATGGCTGAGGTGCGTATGAGACCCCAATTTCGAGAACGTCAAGCTCATGATGCAACATAGATCGCACCTGTCCACCTTCGAGGACGTCTGGTCGGTGTTATGGGAGCAACTTTCCACATCGGCTCGATCATCATGGACGCCGCGCTCATCGGCTTCAGCCAAATGCCGGGCAACAAAGCATGGCGAATTCCGCTCTTGCTTGAAGCAATCTTTCCTGCCATCGTTGTTGTCCTTATGTACTTCACCATTCCAGAATCACCCCGTTATCTCGTCAAAATAGGCCGCATCCAAGAAGCCAAAGAAGTCATCGCGAAGTATCAAACAACGTCTCAGTCAATAGAGGAGCCTATCGTCGGCATGGTCGTTTCTCAAATCGAGGAGTCATTGGAAAGCACGCGCACAGGCTTCAAGCAAAGCTGGAACTTCGCCGTGTTCTTCACCAAAGTCGTGCGGTACAGACTTCTCGTTCTCATCTTGTACAGTGCTTTCCAGTCCTGGAATGGCGGCGGCATTGTGTCGTACTGTAAGTGTTTCCGTCCGATCCCGCACAAGATGCAGCACTAGGTACTGACATCCGCAGACCTCACGCCCGCTCTCGAGACCATCGGTATCCACGACGAGATTCCCCAGCTCGGCATTAATCTAGGCCTCGTAATCACTTACACTGTTTTCACGCTACTCGGTGCCTGGATCATCGACTTCTGGAAGCGCCGCACGCTCATTTTCTCCGGCCTCATAACCATCATCGCTATGCAGACCTGCGCGATCATCACATCGTGGCGCTACAACGTTTCTCCGTCAAAAGCCACTGCCAGTCTTACTATCCTATGGATGTTCATGTTCCAGTGTTTCAGCGCGACGTTCATCGCTACGATGCATAATCTATATCCAGTCGAAGTACTGTCGCTCAACCTACGCTCCAAGGGCATGGGTCTCTATGGCTTGATCCAGGGAGCATGTGGTGTTGTAGAAGCATACGGCATCAGTATCGGCATCGAAAAAGTTGGGTACAAGATCTGGGTCGTGTACATTGCGTACAACACCATCCAACTTGGACTGTCTTACTTTATCTTCCCCGAGACGGCGAATCTCAGCTTGGAGGAAATCGATAGCGTATTCGAAACGCCAGGCATTCAGCCTGTTAAGATGAGTTTGTGAGTTCTATCCAGTTCATAGATGAAGTGTAGTACGCTAACCTTGCGCAGGCTCATCCAGAAGGGGAAAGAAGAGCAGGCGAAGATGGACCGCGAGGCGCGAGAACAAAATGAACATGGTGTTGTGGAAGAGGTCCCTCGTACGTAGATAGCTGCTGGTTTGGGTATAGCTCAGAGGCGAGAAGACGGGAGAAGAGACAGCGCCAGAGCGTAGCATCCCGAGGGCACTGCCATTAGAGACAGATTCGGCTTCGACGACAACATCTTAGCATCGTCGTGTCCTAGTCTACAACTGAATTGACTTGATGAATCGAACGCGCTAAGGAGGTAACAGTTGAACTCCTTTTTGGCGATGTTACTCCGCTCAGATGTTCTTTACACTCGTTCTGACTGATTTCGATATAACAGCCTTCCCTTGATCTTGTAGCTTCTTCGTAGGTCATTGTGATCCGGATTTTAGCTTATTCTCTCCACCACTTTCCCAATCACTCCCCCCATACATTTTCTTCGCTAATTTTCCTTGAGTCCTTCGTGTCGGAACATGCCGACACCAGAGTCATGAGACGTCTTCGGATGTCACTCTACCAACGCTGATTCACTACCCGCACCTTAGCGGACCCCACTCTACCTACACGAGAAAGCCGTCCCGCATTCCCACGGCTTTAGTTCGCGAGCAGACTTGCACTTCACTCGCGCGACATGGAGCAATTCAACCTGCTCTTTAACCGGAAGCCCGATGCATCGTTCCTACGCATGTTGTTTCCGAACGTTCGTTCGTTCCTCGGCCATAATTCTTCCGTGAACACATGCATGCTGCAGATCATGCCGTTGCAGTAGTCTACCCTACGCTAAGCGAGTTCCCCCAATGTCATGTGTAAACACCATCGCGGGGCGTTTTGGACGTGTTCGTACTTTGTGGACTTTTGCGTACTGAGATCGCAGGTATGGCAGACGGATTCGACTTTGATAGCTCTCCTGAGGCTGGACTGAAAGGCTCTCTGCGAAAGGACTTCTTCTGGGGGTATGTGCTGAACCCCTTCCCACATTACAATTTAATCTTCGTAACTTGCACTTCTGTAACAACGCGTTTCTTTTTCCTACGTCACAGAATACTCGCATGAATACGTCTACGCGCGGTATAGAACCCTAAGCGTACAGTTTGGACTCGGAGGTATCCACAGCCTCCACCTCTTTCAAACATACTTCTTCCAAGCACACCTTTTCGCGCAATGGCTTTCTTCCTTGTTGTATTCACGCATCATAGGGAATTCTACCCCTATCGTCCCTTCCTTTTGGCGCTGGTTTTACTCAAGATCTCACTGACTCGTATAAAAGATACGCAACCGCAGCCCCCCAAATCGAAGGCGCATGGGATAAAGATGGGAAAGGCCCCTCAACATGGGACACTCTTGCGCACACATCCGGCCGCGTCATAGATGCTAGCACCGCCGACGACGCAACCCGCAGCTACGACCTCTTCAAAGAGGACGTGAAGCTGATGAAGAGCTATGGCGTCAATGCGTACAGATTCAGTCTCGTGAGTGCGATACTTGTCCACTGGGGAGATATATTGACAGGAAGAAACAATAGTCCTGGAGTCGCATCATCCCCCTAGGAGGAAAAGATGATCCGGTGAATGAGGCTGGAATATCCTTCTACTCCTCCCTCATCGATGAGCTGATTGCCAACGACATCACGCCCTTCGTCACGCTGTTCCACTGGGATGTGCCCCAAGCGCTGGAGGACCGGTACAAGAGCATGCTGGACCAGGAGAAGTACACCCCAGACTTCGTGCGGTACGCGAATGTATGCTTTGAGCGGTTTGGAGATCGCGTAAAGCACTGGATCACGTATAACGAGCCGGGCGTCTACGCGCTGGCGGGGTACGCGGGCGGCGCACATGCGCCGAACAGGAGTAGTGATAGGAGCAAGTATGCGGAGGGGGATACAAGCAAGGAGCCGTGGATCGTAAAAATGCCCCATTTTTCTCTTCGATGAGAAGGTGTACTGATAGTGGACTAGGTCGGCCACACCCAACTCGTCTCGCACGCCCACGCCTACCATCTCTACAAGAGAGACTTCGCACCCAAGCAAAACGGCACAATCGGGATAACCCTCTCCGGAAATTGGTCTGCGCCCTGGGATGCAGAAGATCCCAAGGACCGCGCGGCCGCCCAACGCGCGCTCGAATTCGAGATTGCGTGGTTTGCAGACCCCGTCCATGGGAGCGGCGACTATCCCGCCAGCATGCGGAAACAGCTCGGCGACCGGCTTCCAACATTCACTGCCGAAGAGAAAAAGCTTGTAAACGGGAGCAGTGATTTCTATGGTATGAACACGTACACTGCCTTCTTCGTGCGGGACAAGGTACCAGAGGGCGAGCCGATTCCGCCGGAAGACCACAAGGGCAACCTCGCGTGGTCCGACGAGAATAAGGAAGGCGTGAGTCGCGGGTTGGAAAGTGATACAGAATGGCTTCGCAGCTCGCCGTGGGGATTCGCCAATCTACTGAGGTGGATTTGGGACCGGTACCACAAGCCTATCTACGTGACTGAGAACGGGACGACTATGAAGGGCGAACACGTCACTGCGCCTCCGAGCGAACACGTGCTGAATGACACGCATCGTATCGACTTCTACCGCTCGTATGTTGGCGAGCTCGCTAAAGCGGTTAAAGACGGTGGCATCGACATCCGGTCGTACTTCGGCTGGACGTTGCTTGATAACTGGGAGTGGGCGAAGGGGTATACGGATCGATTTGGCGTGACGTGGGTAGACTTTGAGTCGGAGGAGAAGACGAGGTATCCGAAGCGGAGTGCGGCGTTCAACCGGGAGTATTTCAAGCATCTGATTGCCCAGTAGTGATACTGGTGTTCCCTTCGGTTGTTCAACGAAGCTTGCGCGTGGAGAATGAAGTACATTGTATGTGGAATAGAGGACCTGGGGTAGGTGGAACGCCTAGACAAGCCTAATTGGTGACTGCCCCTTTGCCAAGGCTCTTTCCTGCAACGAAAGACCTTGCCAAAGTGCCTTTAATACAGGCCTCGATGGAGGTGATGTGCCATCGCAAATAGGCGTCAGAGTGGGATCGCAGTTACCTGAAAATTGCATAGACTGCTATTTAAGTAGGTGGCATCATTGTCACTGGGACCAAGCCCCCAAGTGACCCAACGTCGCAGTTATAGACTGGTCTAGACCCTAGACATGGAATTTGGTGTAGTCTACGGCACTGTTCGGTGACTGTGTTTGTGACTGTGGCTGCGTTTCCGAATCCTCAAGAAATGCATGAATCGGTTCCTCCAAGGCTTCCTCCCTCTGAACGGCTTCTGTCATGGCTTCAGTCCCCCTCTCTGCGCTTCCCATCTCCTTCTGCGACGCTTCCAGCACGTCCTGCGGATTCTTCTCCTTATTGGGTGCCTGATCTCCCTTCTCACCCCGCTCTCCCTGCAACGCATCCAGCGCATCTTGACCATTCTCGTCCCCTGTGACGTCCTTCTTTCTCTCCTCACCCTCTTCAAAATGTTTCATAATCAGCCTCTCCAACGTCGCAACTCGAGCCTCGACTCTATATTCTGCCTGCTTGTACCACTTCAGCAGCGCAACACATCTCCCATCCTTTGCCTTGAATGCAAGTTCGACGAGATTTTCATGCGTCTTGCGTCTTGGAACTAGGCCTTCAGTCCTCATCTCCTCAAAGTAGCTGATCGCATCGTCGAGGTCCCCAGCATGGATACAAGTCAAGATCAGGCGGTCGTAGGTCAAGCGATCGGGTCGAAGGTCGAGTTCAACCATCTCGTTGGCGAGATACATGGCGAGCTCTTTACGGCCGGTGCGGTAGCAGCCGCGGAAGAGCTCGTTGAAGGTTGCAGTCGTGGGGCCGGCTTTCGCGACACTCTTTAGCGCTTTGTAGAATTCGATTGCTTCGGTGAGATCACCCAGCTTGATGGAGGCTGCGATGCAGATATTCACGGCAGCGGTAGGGATCTTGCGACCTTCGCGTTCAAGGTCTTGGAGCTGCATGAAGGCGTTCATGGGCCGCTCCTTATCTTTGCTCAGGTATGCAAACAACGGATGCAGCTCATCTTCTCTGACTTTGAGGTTTGAGTCTTGCATGATCAGGACGACGCTCAGCGCGGCAGGCAGATCGTTGGCGGCGAGGTAACACTGTATCAGAGTCTCGTAATGGTGATTGTTGAGCACCGTGTTGCGTTCAGCGAGGACGCGGAAAACATCTGTAGCGAGCTTAACATCACCTACGCGAGAGGCAGCGGAGAGAATATTGAGGCACGTCCCCGTGGTCGGTTTTAAATATCCGGGTACGACATGGGTGTACCATATCATGCTCGCGGCTTCGGGCTGCGCTTCATCAGCTAAATGTGGCCTTTGCCCGGAAATCTGTATGTCGATTGTTATGGAAAGAGGTAAAGGTACTCACGATATGCCTCTTGCCTGCAACATCCAGTAGCTGTGTCCATAAACTTCCACTCAAGCTGACATCCACATTACTTGAGATATTTCGTTTGAGGCTCAGCACGTAAAACGCCTCTTCCACCTCGCCAAACTCAAGCAACATCCAGATCGCTTTATCCCATAACCACGGTTCTATCCTGGTGCCCTCCTTGAGCATGCTCTCCAGCCTCTCCAGCGCCTGTTCAAAGCATCTCTCCCTGAGCAACCCAGCAATGACAAAACTTTGTGCTGTAGAAGTTGGGCTCCACCACCTGTCCCGCATGTACTCCAATACATCCGTCCGCACGAAGGAATCGGGGTGTACGGCAAGTGCTTCGAGAGCGCATTCGCAGGCACGCGCATCGAGTTCGATGCCTGCAACGGCCATGTCTTCCAGAGCTTTGCGGATCTTCCCTGCCGTGCCCCATTCGGGTGAGACGTACGAGTGCAGCAGAGCCGTGTACATCTGCAGGTTCGGTCGCTCCCGCCTATCCTTGATCAAGATATTGAGCATTCTCATGACTTCTTGATGAAATCCCTTTGCAGCATCGATACGCAGTCGATTGTAGAGCTCTTCGGTGGAAAGGCGGACGAAGTCGGTTGTACGTTTGTTCTTTTCAAGAGCATTCTGGTGTTTGGTGTTGCGCTGATGACGACCCACCGCATCTGGCAAGTTGTCGAAGGCTCCGATCGGGGCGAAGGAAGTATTCGGTGCGGTTGCGGCATTGTTATACGTACGCGAAGACTGCTTCGCAGGTTCGGAGTGGATTGAAGGTCGCGTAGATATCCTCTTCGCAGCGCCAATGAGGCCTGTTCTCGATCGACCAGAAATTTGAGCCCATCTTGGACATAGACATCGCCAAAGGGCGTCGTTGACGAAGGGTCGTGGCGGCATTTACGGTGTCAGATGTTGTGGTCAAAGTCGCGGATGTTCAAAAGTTCGAGTCGCGCGGCTGCATGCCTCGGCCGCTAGCTACTTTGAGCAAGAGCGACCGCAACAGAGGAAGGCACACTGCACGTCATCCCCGGATAACACTCAAAACATTCAAAATATGCGAACGAAAACCGGTCTGGGATAGTGAATTTATTCCGTGTGCAAAGTCGTCAAGGTGTGAATGATGAATATTATCACCGGCTCATGCTTTTCCTTGCGCTCCAATATGCCTACATGCTCGGCCTTAGATGAGACCTCATATGATGCGCCGCGCAATGCAATGCCCGAGGTATGCACTTTAAGGCCCCAAAAGTACCAACTCAAAGAGCCTAGCCAACACATTATAAACTACATACTACTCGTGTAGCACCCGCTGTCCGCTCGGCCCATCACCTCATCCTAACAATACACAAATTCTTGTGAACAAGAAAGCTAGATTTTACATGGAGCATCTTCATCTCTTCGCTGGTGCTGTGAGGTATTGCAATATCTGATTCGAGTCAGCTTTGAACATTTCGTCGAAGAAAGATCGACTCACCTGAGTTGGCAAGACCTCCTTCTCGACCAGGTTCTTCCCAAGTATTCTCACAACCTCGACTTGCTCTTCAAGAGTAAGTCCGGTGATGGCCGCCTCCAATACGCTACCGACGGTTGCGTGATTGACTGCAATGAAGCTGGAGTAGTAGAAGAAAGTAATTGTTCCCATGATGAACTGGCAATCCATGCGATCCGTGACACCGCCGTGGCCGGGAATGCTGTCACCAAAGTCTTTGATCTTAAAAGTCCGCTTCAGGCCCGAAGCAAAGAAGCCACCGAAAGGTGCGATCCAGGAGGCGAACGTGGCAAGGACGAGAACATGGAGGTAGAGGGGTTTGAACGTGTACGTATTGCTGATCATCGGAAGGCCCGGTGGAATGAAGGGAACGGTGTAAGTCCTAGGGGTAAACACTGGGTTCGGGGTGCATTCCAAACCAGTGAAGAGGTTTGCGCCGAGGTCCTGCAGGCTGTTAGCTGGAACAGGGAGCGCGGTGGGGGGTGACGTACATTGACCGGGCAAATGAAATACTTTGATCGCGCCATGAGGTGTGTCATCGCTATGCCCAAAAGCACGGTGAAAAACCACGCTCCGAGAAATCCCTCCCAAGTCTTCTTAGGCGAGATCTTGATCAAAGGTGTCCGACCAAAGGTAATACCACAGAGGTAGGCGAAGATGTCATTTGTGACAACCAAAGCAACGGGCATGAAAAACCAGATGAAGCCCTCGAAAACATTGTTGATGATGAAATGAGCCTGTCCGACAATCAAGAATAAAGCCATGTGCGTCCAGGCAAACTGGCTGAACTGGAACTTGTAGTGGCCCTTTTGCAGAGATGAGACGAAGAAGATGAAGCCTAGAACGTCAGTCGAGGGTTTCATACCCGGGAAGAAGGGGTTTATATACCGATGATGTACAGCATGAAGGAGATGAATCTATGGTGGGTAGCAAGCGGAAGTAGGATGCGATCGACCAGCAGAATATGCTTGAAGTAGTAGATTACACTCTCGCCGTACAGGAAATACATGGTAGTCCCTAAGAAATACCAGTTGAGTGACTTGGTGAATCGCAGGTTCCGGGCTTTGCTAGGTACAGCATGTATCGCGATGACCTCCTTGAAGGAGATGATCTGGAGGGCCGTGATGAGGATGATGATGTAGATGTGGCCGGCGAAGAGAGCCCAGAAGAAGCCACCGAGCATAGCGAACGTCCATATAGTGCGCGTGTAGAGGTTTTGCATCTTCTTTTCGTAATCCGACTGCTCCGGAGGTGCGGGCTGGGTCATGGTCAGTGGGGGAATGCATAGAGAGGGGTCAGAGTGGGATTGCGGCTGAGGCCGTAAAGCTGCCACACATGTGCTGGACTATGACTGCTGGTGCCCATTGCGAAAGGTTCTTTGACATGAGGCAAAGCTGATCCCTCCCGCAAAGCGTTGCCTAGCAGCCCTCGGGGTATCATGTAGCGGGAGAAGGGGGTCTTACGGTCTCATCGATTTTGCCGACAGCATGGCCATTTCTTGTAGGACTGGTAGGCTCGGATTGACCCCCCTCCGAGTGTTCAGACACGCTCATAGACGGGCGGCGCGCCTTGGTGTTGGGGTTGCTACCGCGATGCTGGAACTTGACGTCTTTGCGTGACTTAGCCATGGTTGGCGAGTGTTGCGCGGCGGTGCGCGAGGGGTTTGAAGGGAAAGGTGTGGCCGTGCAGCGCGTCGAGGAGGACGTCGGTGTGTAAATGTGCGCGGCGCGCTGTGCGGGGAGTACTTCACAGCGGAGGGGCTGCTGTGTGCAGGCGGACGAGTTGGCAGGCTTTTGTGGTGCAGGCAGGGCACGCAGACGTCACTCCGCCGATTTTGGGCCCTGCGAGCGTCGCGACGCTAACCTCAGCCTTGCATGCATCGAACCCGCAACTGCGGCCACTTGGAGCCGACGCGATTCACGACGCGACAGCGCGACACCCGCAGCACGCGCGCAATTGGGATGTTGGAGGTGAGGCAGGCGATATTTTGGCATGGCCCGCAATCATGGACGATGACGACTTCGACTTCTCCGACGCAGACCTCGACGACCTGCCGGCCAACACGCTGCAGCAGCTCGAAACGACCGCAATCCGCGCGACACAGCAGCAGAACCACCACCACGACAATGCGGTAGCAGAAGAAGAAGACTCGGCGTATTATGGCTTTGACGACGGTGACGAGGACGAAGTCGTGAATCTGGACGACACAAGAGGGGCAGCCCACTTTCCCAACAATGATGCGAACGGTTACCAGGTCACGCAGCGCGACAATGGCGCCAATGTGCAATACGATGCCGCCATGGAGGTCGAGGAGGCACCGCCGCAGTCACAGATTGACGTGGGAAGGCTCCTCGAGCGCATCAAGAAGGTGGGTTCAAAACCTTTGCAACTATTGCTGTAGCTAACGACTGTAGCTAGAGCAAGAGAAACGGCGGCTGAACCACAACCTCGAGACGACCTCCGCAGAGGTAATCAAGAAGACTGGCGAGGCCGACAACCTGCGCCGCCGTACCGAACATGCGACCCGCCAAACTGAGCAGCGCCTCGCTCAGCAGCAGCAAGAGCACAAAGAGTCGACAGGCAGGATCACGGCTGAGAGAGATGCACTGTTGCGGCAGTTGGAGCAGTCCAAGACGAACAGCGCCTTCGATGAGCACAGTCGTCAAGAGGAGCAGATGCGCAGGCCGCGACGAGTTGTGCCAGCCCGTCCCAAGCCCACCGCGCCCGTGACAGCGAGCCCGGCAGGCACCCCAAGCAAGATTCAGAAGAACCTCCCGCTCGGAGATGGGTTCGACGACGATGACGTGGTTATGGCGTCGCCGAGTAAGAGGCGGGACAAGTCTAAGACAGGAACCCCAAAGCAGGCAAGCAAGAGAAAACGGCAGATCACGAACGACAGCCCTGTGCCGATACTAGAGCTGAGTGAGCCAAGGACGCAACCGAAAGTGCCAGAACCGCCATCTTTTAGCGAGGCACAGTTTGACATAACTCTTCTCCGGAACTTGTGGAAACATGACCAGCGTTACACGCTGCTCCGTCGGCTCTTATCGCACCGCTGCTCTAGAGGCGATGACCGGATACTGGAGGCACTCACGCAGTACGCGTTTCCTTCTGATCCGGCGAAGAAACTTTCGTCTGTCGTCTACGACTCCTTTTCGACTTCCGCTCCAACCAGCAGCGCTCGCGAACTCGCCATTAGCGTTTGTGGTACCTTTGTCAACATCTGGAAGCAGTGTTTGCGGGAGAAATACTATGCGCCGATATACTTGCTCCTCGATGCCCTGCAATTCGTGCTAGCGTGCGAGCCAGCAAAGACAGCCATCCCAGTCATGGAGGATGTCATGCCGCTGATAGTCGAATCCGTCAAACTCGTCGCCATACCTGTCTACGAAGCTCGAAACCGGAACGAGAAGAAGTCTGCTTTGCTGTTCTCACCTGAATACCAGACCACCGTCGATGAGGTCGATGTACAAAGCTGTCTCGACCTACTTTACCTCCTAGCGACATGCTGCATCTCTTGTCCTTCCTCAGAACCGCTGTCACGTTTCTGGCGCAACATGCCCCTCGACTTTGTTCTTTTGATGTTGTTGAAGGAGCAGCCTGTTGGCTCCATGCTTGTTCTCCTTCGCACTCTCTCCACATCCGCGCTCCCCACGTCCCTCGGCCCCATCATCTCCTCCGACCCCGAAACCCAAAAAGGCGGCGAGTCCAACCTCCTAACACGCCTCACGAACCTCTTTTCCGAACCCATCGCACCCATCGCTGACCCAAAATCCACCTCACACGCGCACGAAGTCCCAGAATCCCAGATCTGGCGCGTCCGCCTCAAAATTTTGGATGTCTTAACGCAGTTCTCTATCCCAGAATACGGCTCCACCATCCTCATCAGCCATGCCCTTTGCATCGGTCGCCTCATCAAGTACCTCAACCACGCCGTTTCGGCCCTCTACTCCCGGCCGCTATCCCCCACTCAGCCGGAAAAAATCGCCACCATCAACGCGACGATGAAGTTGCTGAACCACCTTACGACCAGCAATCCAGGCTTCAATATCAAGAGCAAATTGAACGAGACTCTCGGCGGCCTGCACGCGTACTACGTTAGCCTGACGAGGCTTGCGTTTTCGGAGGGATTGGTGCTGGAGGCCGGGATTGAGCAGGAGGTCATGGATATGGCGCATGATATTCTGGATGACGGGTTAAGTCCGGAGGAAGGCGATGCACTGGCTGAGGTGTTTCCTAGTGGGAACACAGTGTGAATAGCACCACCTGAGGAAGTGAAAGCTAGAGCCAGTGGCGGCTGAAGGAGACGTATAGCATTGGTGTTAGTTTGGACAAGAGTTGAGGCGTCGCATATACGGGATAGGGTTGCATTGGGTTGGTGTTGTGCGTTTGAAGGTTGGATTGATACCATGTCAGCCAATGTATACGTTGTTTACTTCTTCTGGCGCTGTAGGCGCGATTTGCAGTGCTACTTGCGTCTTGGCACGACCAGGCTTACCCCCATGCAGGATTGGGGGCTGTGCGTGACATCCTACCACAACGACGTGCAGAAGGTGCCTCAACCTTCCACACCTGGGCAAGCAATGCATTCCTCATCTTTACATGCATAGGCTCATCTGATGACGGACACCCATAGCTATGCGTCTATTGTCGACTAAATCTCTTCAGCTATGCCAGTTCAACGATGAAGGAAAACTGCCCCCGTACGCCATCTTATCGCACACATGGGGCGAACAAGAAGTGACGTTCAGCGATCTAGGACGGGAGGGGGCCTCGCAAATGGGTGGATATTCGAAGATAAAAAAGGCCTGTGAACAAGCGCTCACCGATGGGCTCGAGTACGTATGGGTTGACACGTGTTGCATCGACAAAAGCAGCAGTGCAGAGCTATCTGAGGCTATCAATTCCATGTTTCGATGGTACGAATGCTCTTCGGCTTGCTATGCATATCTTGAGGACGTATTTTGGGAACCCACCGATCCTGAACACTTCAGTAATTTTCCGCGCAGTAAGATCCAAGAAGCTCTCGAAAACAGTCGCTGGTTTACGCGTGGTTGGACCTTACAAGAGTTGATCGCCCCCAATGAAGTCTATTTCTACAACCATGAATGGAGATTTGTCGGCACTCGGACCGTCTTGTGTTCTTGCATCGAGAATATAACCTCGATACATCAAGACGTATTGGCGGATCACCACCGAAGCCTGGGGCAAGGCACGATTGGCCCTCTTCTAGCAAGAAAATCAGTAGCACAACGTATGGCTTGGGCTGCAAATCGCGAAACAACACGTCCAGAAGATAAGGCATATTCACTGCTGGGGCTTTTCGACCTCCACATGCCTCTCATTTACGGAGAAGGTCTGAATAAAGCGTTCACACGTCTACAAGCTGAAATTTTACGGGACTCGGCGGACCATTCTATCCTTGCGTGGTCAACCGAATCAAGCATCATAAAGTCGACCGTGGCTCAACCGCACCTTACCTCCGGCGGTCCCATAGACCCTCAGGATCACATCACTGTAGCGCTCGCGACTCAACCCAAGCTTTTTGCGCTATGTAAGAATATAGCCACGATATTAGTCTCTGATGCTCGTCCCATTGAGATGACAAGTAAAGGGCTAAAGATCGACCTACGGCTGATCCGGGACTTCAGGGAGCGAAATGTGGATTACTATATTGGAGCCCTAGCATGCCACGAAGAAGACGACTTCGCAACATATGGGGGCATCCCGCTCCTTCAGCACCATGGACAGAAGGATAGCTTCTTCCGCGACCCGCGTCGTCCACTGGTCAAAGTTCCTGTTGCGGAAGCGGAAGACGCACCGTTACGAACAGTCTACCTTGCAATCAAAGCCAACGTATATCCCACCTCGGATGCTCTTCGATATGCCGTACCGCAGCACTTCTTACTTAGGCATACCGAAGAAGATGGGATGCAGGACTGGGAAATACATGCGCAGCCGGCGGAGAGGTGGAACCAAGTCACTCGTACCATGCAATTCCGCGGCATGGGTGTTCGTCAAAGACGCGGCATTTTGACTATCAGAGCAAATACGCCAGATAAAACACACTCTTTCTCGTTTGTCATGGCGTTCGGTATCGAGTTGAATGCGCCCAACGAGACCTCTGGGAACCTCAGCAGTGTTAATGACATATATCGCCCTCAGGTGCGTCTTTTCCATGATCGAAACGCGGAGTTAGATGATGAGGAGTGGTTCGGTGCCACGACCGATGAAATTGCATTCCGGGAACACCTGCTGCGAGTTTACGTCAAGCATGAGATTCTATTCGCAAAGCCGGTCTTTGTACTGCAGCTCCGCTTAAGGCGCCGGCCTGCATTCGTACGAACTATGGGTCGTAGGCGCCCTAGAGATGTATTTATTGAGTAAGACATGTTCCAAAGAGGCTCCAATGTTGTGCTCTGCAAAGTTCTTTCACCATCCTTCCACGGCACTGGAAATCTTTTCGAGATTTCTAGCCACTTCCTCATTGCCTTGTTGACTACAATGCGGTGAACCCGGTACATTGCCTCTAGATGGAGCAACCTTCACTGTGTGCACACATACAGGTTTCACGGCATAGCTCGCCTTTCATCTAGCTGCCGAACGACTCCTTCGTCTCCTCTTCGAACTCTCTTATCACATAGGTGCAGCAGCACAACTTTTACACTGCACTAGTCTGTTCTACATACCAGGTGGTGTAAGCATTACGGCCAATCTTCCTTATCTCCCCAAGATCTCTGCTGCGCGCCATGGAAGACTCATATTGGGTGTATTTAAACGGAGCCTGCTAAATCTGTTCGGATCTGAATTGGAATATCTTTCTCCCGACGTGTAGATGCAGACATTCATTGGCGAACGTATAGATCTAGCTGAAGATCCATCCTGCAAGAAGTGACCACATCCAATGGCAACCGGGAGACTTGGAAGGTGGAACTGCTTGGTGTCGTGGTGCGGGAATGGCGGATAAGGTGAGGCAGAGTGTGTGTAAGCTTCAACGAGAAATTCAGACCTTGCGGCCTTCCATTATGATTGACGAAGCATTCAGCTGGTAGGTATGGTCCATAAGCATATCATGGTCAACTTCGTCTCTTCTTCTGGAAACGATCTTATTGACCCGAGGCTGCTACTTGCTCAGTAGCCGTGATCCATTGATGTATTCGGTGAATACTACTTTGATGACGTCATGCAACGTAGAGATTCGTATCACGTTGAGGCAGCTTGCGAGGACACCTTCCAATACAAAAGGTGCAAATCTGAGACTCATAGTCATTTATAGAAGAGATGATTTCAAGAGCGTGAGGAACGATAGTCCGTGGTGTGGGGTAAGTAAAACCCTCGGGTAATCGCTTCCGTATCCGAAATATAAGGTGCGAGGATTGGGAAAGGCGTTTCCAAAACCACCTGCGACAATACAATGCAGTAATCACATCTTTTTAGCAATACCAGAAGAAAAGCAAGCCCGGATCCAGTAGCCATGAGAGTCGTCGTCTTCGGAGCATCCGGCGTGCAGGGCGCTCATCAAGTCCCCGTGCTCGCCAAAGCAGGCCACGATGTCGTCGCCGTGAGCCGCAATCCGAAGCCTCTAGAAGTGGATGGCAAAAACATCGAGACTTTTGCGGCCGACTTCACAGACAAGGCTAAGATCTCCAAAGCCATTGAAGGAGCAGACGTAATATTCCTCACCCTGCCATCAACTTCTTTCAACCAATCTGGGCCCATCCTGCAGGGTGCTAAAGATATTGGTGAAGCTGCAAAAGAACTTGGCGTAAATCTCATTGTGTTCAACACGAGTATGCCTGTTCCGAAAAAGCCACAGGATATCAAAGCGCAGGACGACCGGCGAGAGATGAAGCGACTGCTTCGCGAGACTGGAACGCCAGTCATCAGTATCGAGCCGGTGGTCTACATCGACAATCTGTTAGAAGGCTGGGCACTGCCTCCAATTCGAGACCGTAACACCGTCGTGTACTGCCACAAGCCCGATCTACAAGTCTCATGGATATGCCACCACGATGTCGCTCAGCTCATGATGGCGGCAATGCACCGCCCGGAGCTCGCAGGCCGCGACTTCGCCGTTGGAGGACCCGAGACCGTCCGCCTCTACCAGCTCACAGAGAAGTTGTCGAGAGCTTGGGGCAGGAAGCTGGACTATGAATGTCAGACTGTGCCGGATTTCTGCGAAAAGATTGGCGCGACGATGCAGGGACGTGGACTGGAGACGGAGAAAATTATCAGCCAGATGTTCAAGGCGTATACGTATTATAATGAGGCGGAGGATGAGCCGTTCAACATTGACATGGCGCTTGTGCTGAAAGAGCTTCCTGTACAGCTTACACCCATCGAAGAATGGGCAAAGAGAAGGAGTCCACCAGGCTGGTAGTCTATCAATGAGTAGTCACTTGAGTCCCATCCAACAATCGGGAACTCAGTACACATGTCCACTGGTGAGCTCGCCTGGAGACCCATAGAATCGCTTTACCTTGAAGCGACTGGTAGATAGCTGATGATACATTCATGCGCTTTCACTGTTTCGAGAGTTAGCGGCTGCCGCTGCGTGGTGTTGCCTGCAGACTTCGTAGGTAGAGATAGAAGGATCTACATCTACTACCCTGAATATAACCTGCAGGTAAGACACTTGGGAAGTCCCTCGGGTTGGAGCTAGCTGGCGCTACCTAGGTAAGGAAAGACTTATATCACTCTCGTGTTGTGACCAGGTGCCCTGTTCACATCGTCAGGTGTTTGCGAGATGAGGTACCCAGAGGTGACAGCAAGATTGTTCGGTTATTCGAAGCGATGGCACTGACGTGCTCAGGTACTCTGCAATATCCGTGACGTGAGCTATATTACCGGTCGCATCCACGAGCCAATCGAGCAACGCAGCGCAGCATGGAATGGGTTTGACCCTGTCCAATCTCAAACTCCGTATAATAGACGGCCAAAATCTATGGTACAAGACACATGATAGCTATGTCGATGGTGGAAGAAAGAGCTGGATAGGTGAATGCCCTCGCGATGTGGGTCGCCAATTTGCGAATGTAAAGAGCAACAATTCGGTCAACTTTGGAATAACAATGACCAGGAGGAATAGATCGAAATACCGGGCACGAAGAGTCTGTCGTTATCTTTAATAACGAGGCTCTCTAAAAAGTACAATTGCAGGGCCAAAGACTTGAGCAAGCGTGTGTGTCACAGGTCTGTTTTGGGCCTCTCAAAGAAGGACGACCAGGCTTGAGGATCGTGCGTAGGGTCCGATGGGAACGACTGTTTATTGGACCTCGAAGTGGATATCGAATTCGAAGGTACACCTGACAAGCATTATCGAATTTGGGAAACCTGGCCTGTAGAATGATTTGACTCGCACCGACTTCTCAGTGAAGGGAGCGTTCGAAGAAGTAATGAGTGGAACATTATCTTGCAAAACATCAGAGTAGGGAAGGTCTAAGAGAGTGTATTTGAAGTTGTCTTTGTTACGGCTCATAGAGCTTACACAGTATTGCTGGGGGACCACTGGGCCGAGATCCGACTGTAATCAGGCTATCCCGTGGTTGATTCGGGATCCACAGGCGGCACGCCTTTCGTCTACGTCATCACCTCATCACGCGTAGGAGTAGGGGATAAGGCATATAGATGATATGCTTGCATTGCGGGGGCACAGGCTGCCTTTTGCTGGGTACTTCAAATCCTTGAAGGCGTACGTACTTGAGCAAAAGTGCTGGCCAAGACTAAACTAAAAACTAATCAGAGAAAGCTCATATAAATGACTAAAATACAAATAACTAAGAATAGCGCTAAGGACAGTAATGACAGTGAATGTTCTAGAGGGAGGGATGGTAGGTGATCGAGAGCCCTATTGCGCGGAGTGAGATGACGGTGTAGGATGAGGTTGTTCTCGTAGGCTACAGGAGCCCTTATATACCTCTTCTGGTTTGCTGAGCAAGCAGCAAGCAGGTGGTATGTGGGATTTGTTCTGATCAGCCGTAGAAACAAACAAGTTCCCCCTTCACCTCTTTGGGTTATTTGAAGCTCACCTATGACATAATGCAACGGCCGCTCTTGCCTGCCACATTAACGCGGAGGTGAATACGAGGCAGAAGCGATGTGCCAAGAGTTTCCACTGTTGGTTTATCACCTGCCCTCATTTAGCGGTCTCTATATAAATCTTCGTCGCACTCCAGCTACAGCTTCTCACCAATCTACACCACGCTGTACACTGCAAAACTCAGATCGGCAGTCGTGCCAGCTCATACAGTCAGTTACACAGTGTTTTCGATCTTTGATCTCCTATTGTGTGTCAGCTATACAGCTACTAACGAGTTCACCAGGTCCGAATGGGTTTCCCGCTCTTTCAGGACAGGCGCGAGGGGTACCCGGACAACATCGTGCTTCAAAAGACATCGACCTCAATGGGGACGAGCTACGTCGAGAAGATTGGAAAGACCGGTCTGGACCAATGCAACCCGCTCAACCTGTTCAATCCTTTCCAAATGTTCCCGGGTCGTTCTCTGTGGATCGCCTCCCCATATCCGATCAGCATTTTCAGCGAATGCAGCCCCTCTCCATCGTACCATAGGTACTTAGCCACGCCGCCTTCGCCCGGGACCTACTGCAAAACTCCCGAAATCTATTGCACGACTCCCGTCAAAGTGCAGGTTCGCACAAAAACTTGGCTATTCCCTCATAGAGACTTGGGACCTGCCTTCGCAAACGGATGGAACAAGCTTCCCACCGAGATCAAGCTCCATATTCTGAGCCAGAACCTCCGTTTCCATGACTGCATAGGCGAGAGCTCCGATGAAGAATACAAGATGTTGCGGCATCATCTCCGTATGACCCCAGAGATTGCTGCATTTTCCAAAGAGATCTTCTATTCCAGGAACTCCATGAACTTGACCAAGTATGATAGCTGGGATATCATGTATTTGAATATTCCACCTCAGAGCGCTACGCCTTTCCTCAGCCGTGCTCAGGTCACTGTCCGTCTTGGTCGAAGCCGCGACTGGCACGTTCTCTTTGCTTGCTCTAGAATTTTACGCAAATGCCCGAACTTCCAATATCTCAGCATCGTCTTCCAATGGGCCAAGGACGTATATATCGAAGATCTTATGGAGGATTATCCCAAGGAGAAATGGATATCTGTGCTTGAAGCTAGAATCAAGCCGGAGAACGTGGACTTCTGGTGTAAAGGGGAGGTCTCCTTCAAAGGCAACCCAGTGCTGGAACGCTTCGATGGCGAATGGGTGGCGCCTGACGACAAAGTCATCGATACTCTCGAAGCGTTCATCAAAGGCAAGATCTCTTTTGATCACTGATCTACAGCGAACTGTGCAGTTCTGCTGACGATGTCGGTGCATTGTACCGGGTTGTACATCTGGTCACTGCATTGCTCATTGTGCAGATACCGCTACAAGAAAATCTTGATAAGGCACTATGGAAGAATACCAAGGGAAAAGAGACATCAGGAACGTGGAACGGCATGGAGAATCCATGCGTTGAATAGGGTTCTGCGGTAGCTCTATCGGCCGAACTCATTTGGCAACGAACAACGGGCATGGATGTCTTTTCTGGTTTTTTTTTTCATCAAATAGCAACTGCATCGATTCTGCTTGCAATTGGAATGGTTCCTGTATGACGATAGTATGCCTCATCCTCACCCGTAGATCCTGTTTACGTATTCCTGGCATCTCGTGAGGCGTAAGAGTGATGCATCTGTGGCGGCTACAAATGCCTATACACAACGTTGGGAAGCTCCTGCCGAACACTAGAGACCCCTGTCTCAACAAAGATTACACCCTGCAGCTGCCAACTCCTGCCCTCTGTGCCCATCGCACTCCTTGTTATGCACGAGCCCTCTGGTCTACTTGTTACCCCCCCTCCCCAAGCGATCATAAAGAGCGCATGCTATGCCATAAGGCAAGGTGCCGGTTGCCGATAACGTGCGACCACCTCGACGTTAAAACATATGATTGTCTCCATTCCCCACCAAGGCGTATACAGGCCAGTCCTCACATGTCCCGTATTGTCGGGTGATCAGTTCTAGGATAAGAGTAGTGTACTGTACCCCAAATCTTGCATGCATGCGAGGAAGACGACTCAACTACTCGGTGTCTGCATCTGATATCTGCCACGTTGCAACATGATGCGACTTGTTCGATGACGGTCGGTCTACAAGGAACCTGAAAGTATCAGCTCGAGCTAGACATCTTTGCGGAACCTATGCTGACAAGGTACAAGAAGTATCCTCTGTGCTCCAGATGCGGGATCAAGAGGATCAAAGCACACTGCGTGGTTGGGGTGAGGAAAAAAGGAATTGGAATTCAACATGGAACAAAGATGCCCTGCTGGCGCATCATGGGTTTGTTCCCGTACTTGTCGCAGGCTCACCACGACAGCTTCCATCTGTATCATGTAGACACAATACCATCAAACCTTGGAACGACATTCGGTAATTTACCAGATTCGTCTTTCGAGTTGACCGTACTATGGGCCATTGGAGCCTCAAGGAAGCCACACAACTCCGGAGCTTGGTCCAAAACGGATATGCGAATAGCTGCTTCTACATCACGAGCGCTGGGCGACTGGGCGTAGAATCCAGCTCGGTAAAGCCCGGAGACGAATTTCTTACGCTATACGGATGCAGCGTTCCCTGGATATTGCGACCAATGACCGAAGATGCAGATCGACGTTTGGGGATTTCCTATTTACTGAAAACTGATTACATTTTACAATCGATCTTGGGTATTCCCATCAATGGGTTTGGAATACGTTCGCGAAATCCTAGCAGCGAAGTGGCCGAAGACAGCATTTGGGAAAGCGTGAACAGGGCCTGGCAACAGACATCGTGACCACTAGGAATTCCTTGCGAGAATGCGATGTGTTCTCATCTACAAGGCCTGCAGCCAACTTTGTATTGATTGGAGCACAGGGCGGAGGTCACTACACGAGGGCCGAGTACAGCATCGGACCCTGAGTATTTCGCAGTCAGACTGTGCATTTATGCTTCCAAATATAGCACACTAAACCTGAGTACATCCTTCACGACGTATACTGACACTGAGTACACAGGAAAGATGCAAGCTTCAAGCCAAGCGATACGGAAGTGCTTATTTTCAATGCAGCAATCTATATGTTGCGTCTCAACCTTTGCAATGCTATCCTGGCTAACAGCGATCCTTCGTGGGTTGAAACTGCCAAGCTTTTTATATAAGAAGGTACGCATATCCTTTCGAATCACACCATCACCAACCACCGCAGTCTACTATATTACCTTTCCAAGATGCACTCCCTTGGCCTTCTCGCCCTCATCGCCACGGTCAACGCCCGGGCTCTTACTCTCACCCAAACGCCTGGCGCCAAACCACCTCCCACGGCATCCTTGCCGGATCATTCATTTACTGCAAGCCCGTCGACCGCAAATCCCCCGTTCCAGACACCTGGGGGGAAGCCCCCCGGAACGTATACTAAACCATTGACCGGCCATACGGTTACGTTGGGCTTGCCAACCGCCAATCCGCCTGTCCCGTCTCTTGTAACGATCTCAGTTCCAGTGCCGCCGGGAACTTCTACTTGGGTCACATTGCCCGGCTTGGGTACGGTTACGAGCGCGCCGACGGCCGTCCCACTCGTCGGACGGGCGCCTAAAGTTGACCAATGTAGGAGAAAAGGGAAGCGAGATTTTATTTGCGATGGAGAGGAGTAAGGGTGATTTTGAACATGCAGCGACAATGCCGAAAGCAAGATGATTGACATTGTCTCACATCATGAAGAGGAAGGGGCATTAGCTGGGATGGAGGAGATAATATCTTCTGTAGTACTGTCTTTATCGCATTGAGATGAAAGAGAAACGGTGATATCAAACAGATATACTCGACCGCATCTGCCGTATAAAATTTTTTCACAGCTACTGTGACGATAACGCTCAAACTTGCGTTCCCTGAAAGTGGTATATCTCTTGAAGCTTAGAATTTCGAGCTGCTGCCTCGTGGTGATAGATGCTTGCAACATACGGACATATCACTGACATAGATCTCCGCATTACCTTCGAGCACATCCCCAACGACTACGCTATCCTCAAAGTCCACAACCTCCTAGCAACGGCTCCGGCTGCGACACCCTGTGGGCCTCGGGCTACGAAGCCTACGACCGCCTCTCCCCTGTGTGGCAAAAGTTCGCCCCGTCCCTCACAGCCACGCACCACCAGCCCAGCTTCAACCGCGTGGCGAAGCAATTCGGCGCCCCCGAGAACACTGGGCTCGATTTCCGCCTCCCAACATGCCGAACGCGCCAAGCCTGTCACAGGGTTGAAGTCCCTTTTTGTCGCGGCGCACTAGCTTGAGGATGGTCGGATTGATGGAGCCACGGAGACGGAGAGCAATATTATCAAAGCGCATGCCTTGCAGTTAATTGGCGAGAACCACAATTTGCAGGTGCGAATCAAGCGGGGGAAAACGTTCTGGCGATTTGAGATGATAGGAGTGTATTTCATACTGCGAAGAATGATTACAGTGGGAAGGGGCAGGAGAATAGGGTGGTCAACCAATTTATGGTCCTTTCGAGGAGGGAGCAATAAGTCGGTCTGATCAGTAGACTTCGTACATAGCTTCGGTTGCTTAACTCAACGCAGAACTGACATCAGTTCGAAGCCACAAGAGAAATGTCGTAGTAGGGTGCATTTCTTTCGCCATCAACTGGCTGTGTATCAAGAGGTAAGATCGGGAATTATAACCGGTAGCCGCCATCGTCATACGTTACATACTCCAACACGTTCCAAATCGCAAACATACCGCCCTGGATATCATACAAACGCCTCAGCCGATTGCAACACAAGTTTAAGACTTCTCGTCTTTGGATGGCATCTCCTTTGCGACCTTCTCAGCCTCTTCATGGATCCGCTTTTCGGCTTCTTCCAGGGGTTGTATTACGGCCTTGGGCAGCACATCCTTAGCTGTCTGCCCTCCTGTTGCTGTTGCTTTCTCAAGCTCGAGCTTCTCTTCTATGAGCTCGTCTTTCGCCTTGATAGACTGCTCCACCTGCTCTACTGCGCGCTCGATCTCGACCTCCATGTCTGGCAGGTGGAATTGCTCGGCGATGAGCTTTCCGTTCCAGCGCTGCAGCACCATCACGTCTTCGGTTCCGCCGTTTGTTTGCGACTCCACGACTCGCGCTACCTCCTCTGCCTGCTCTCTCGACGGTCGTGGTGCGGCGCGCGAGACCTGGCGGGTAGGGTACATGAGGCCTGCGGTGTAGACTTCGTCGAGCTCTGAAGAGGGATTGGGCGTGGGTAGGTTGTGTTTTAGAAGGAACTCAAGGTGCTGAGAGCCGGTCAGGGCTTTCCAGTACGAGTAGGCGCGGTAGACGAGGTAGAAGAAGGGCAGATTAGGGATTCTGCTTTTGTTAGTATGGTAGATTTTAGAGAGGGTAGGATACCATACATAGGAATCAGCGCAAAGGGCGCGGTAAATGGCATCGCGACGATGCTCCATATCATTTTGCTCTTGTACATGGTCTGCTTTTCTTTTGCCAGCTTCTGGAGTATCTCGGGCACCCTCTCCTGCTGTAGAAACAGCCCTGGATATATGACCTGGTACTTCTCCCGCCCCTCAACTATCGCCAGCTTCCGCTTGGTGGTCAGGGCGGGTATCGTCTTGAGCCCCCATTCCTCGAAGGGAATCCGGTTGAGGGCCTGATTGCCGGCCTGGGTAACGCGTTTTTTCCAGTTCAACGGCGCTTTTGCGTCCTTTTCCCATGCTAGCCATGTCTCGCTCGCCTTGTTTGTGATCTTGTCGAGCACGCCGCGCTCGCTGGCGGCTTTCTCGTGCAGCTTCTCGCAGTAGATGAGCGAGCGCCGCGTGGATATGGGCAGGAGGAAGAGGCGCATAGCGGGCGGTCGGGCTGCGGTGCAAGATGATTTGGTAAGCGCACAATGGCGCAGATGCGAAGCTTTTTAGATGCGCTGTGCGTGAAACATGATGTCGATGCGAGTCGAGGGCAAGGGCAAATGCAAGCTAGCGGAGGCGTGAACATGGAATTGTTCGCGGCGCGAGGACGTCATGGTGCGCTGTGCAGGGACACCGATGGGTCCTGGATCTACAGCTAATCTCCCTGCGCGACGCGGACCGGCAGGACCTTGCCCTCACCACCACAGGGACAATTGCAGTCGGTCGCTCACGATAGCCACAGCCAGCTACAGCAATTCCGGGCACCTCCCGCCGAGCATGTCGTCGCACACCGAGTGCTACTTCGCGCCCACGTAATCGCCCGTTGCTCAGCTGCTCGCTCACGCCCGAGCGGCTTGGCTGGCGCCGTTGAGCGAGCCTCCACCGCGGAGCCTCCGCTCGCCTTCACGACACGGGCACCCAGGCGGACGGCCTTGGATTCTCTAGCGGAGCCACAGCGTGAAACATGACCAGCAACCCCATGGTCGAAGCCTACAATGGCACCTCGCCCTTCCTCCACCCCTCGCCGCCGTCCCAGGGGCTCACCACCACGAACAACAACCGCCTACAGCCCTCTGCGATTCCCCCGTCCCTCTCTAGCCCGAGCCTCCATCGCCCGCTCTCGGCCACGACCGCCTCATCCAGCCACGAGCGTTACCCCCACGACCAAGCGGATGGTGCCAACAACGTGCGTAAGTCGCACAGCCAGTCCGTCTCCTCGAACCCACACACGCTGGCGTCGTCGCGCTCCAAGGACACCCAGGCGGTCGACGACAAGCACCGTATAGCCCGCACCCTCCCACCCTGGGTCCAGTCCGTCGACGACGAAGACCACGTCGATGCTTCATCATTGCTGTTACCGCGCACGCCCACCTCGGCCCGCCCGGCTTCGCACAACTACATGCCAACCCCCAAGTCGCATGTCCCTGGCCGCAGGTTCGACCACGCCCGCGAACATGCGCCCGTCACCCCGACGGCGCCCCTCGCCGAGCAGGCTTCCAAGTGGCAGCAGTTCGCAAAGGCCTCCGACTACGACCGCGACCGGCCCTCGTCCTCGCGCGGCCAGATCGTGGACGACGACTGGATGAAGGAGAACATGCCCGATCTCGAGGAGCCTTGGCAGCCCATGGACCAGGAAGAGAAGGAGCCGCTCAAGGGATTCTTCCTGTTCAGCTCCGCAAAACGCGCGCGCTTCCGCAAAGTCCTCATGAACCACCCCATGGTGCCGCTTGCCGTGCGCCTGATAGTCCTTTCCTTCTCCGTTCTAGCGCTCGCCCTGGCTGGCTCTATCTTCCACCGGTCAGACAATCGCTCGTGCGAGAACAACTCGTCCACGTGGATGGCTATTATTGTCGACGTCGTGGCCATTGTCTACACCGTTTATATAACCTACGATGAATACACCTCAAAACCCCTGGGACTGCGGTCCCACTACGCCAAGATGCGCCTTGTTTTCCTCGACCTTGCTTTCATTGTGTTCGATTCTGCGAATTTGAGTCTGGCTTTCCAGGCGCTGAGGGACAGCCGATGGGCGTGCATGGATGGCACCGATCTGAACGACCCTTTGAGTGGCTCCTCCGGCTGTCCCTACATCAAGAGCATATGTACAAGGCAGAAGGCGCTGACGGCTACGCTGCTGATTGCGCTAATTGCCTGGCTGACTACTTTTGCAATCAGCACTATGAGGTACGAGCCCATTGCTTACCCCCTCGCGAGACGTGGACTAATTTTAATTCAGGCTCATCGAGCGCGTAGCGCGATAATATCTTCTGTACAAAGCAAAAATTTTCCTACGTCGTATTATTATCCCATACACCAGTTCGTTCTGTCCGGTTTTCCTTGAAGTGCCCGCATGCTGCATAGCAAAGGCGTTGTTGGCTGTCTCACACGAACTACGTGATCTGTTTTGTCCATCTGTTTCTGCACCAGTACCCGGCTGGCGTTGCCCATTCCCACTGCATATCCAGGGATGGTATCTTCTAGATAGAAAGTCGCCTAAAAGAATAGAGCTTAATGCCCCTCGAACAACATTGAATGAACGGCCGGATTCCTTGGAAGGCTGTCTTGTTGGAGCGCCAAAGGCCCTCTCCGGTGTTCTATAGTCACATCACCTTGTCAACCTTCGGTCCCGAAAACAAACCTCCTCCAATTCTTCCCCAACCTCTCTGCTCCCTCTTCTAGTCCCCACCCCTTGATCTTGCATATTCGCCTTACAATGTCTTCCAGCCGTCTATCCATCTCGTTTCCCGCAGTGTGCAAATCACTCTCTACCAGTACCATGTCATCCGGCACCGTGCTGATCATATCTACAAAAGACTGAGGCGTCTCCTCCCCCACTGCATCACCCAAGTTGATAGCCGTAGAAAAGGAAGCGAAGAAAGCCACCGGTATCGCCGGGTTTAGGTACTGCTTAAACGCGTCCGCAGACCCGGAGTACGAGTGCAAGCACACACGCGGCGGGTATGGTTTCGCCTTGCCATCCCCCGTCTGCGAGGAAGCAAGCTGAGCCTCGACAGAGGGATCGTCTTTCCCGCGTTTCTTCTTCTCGCGCTTGGACAGCACGGGGAGTTGATGGTCCTTCCACAGCTCCTTGATAGTGTCAAAGACGAGGCCGTGGGCTTGCACGCCGTGGACGCTGACAGCGCGGTTCATCTCCGACGCGAGCATCAGTTGCCGTTTGAAGATTTCTTTCTGGTGCGCGGGGGCGCAGCGGAAGGGGGTTAGACGGCGGCCTTCGCGGCCGCCGGGGGTGAGGTCGTTTTCTTCCCGTCCGGATTGGAAGGCTTCTGGGATGCGGAACGAGCGGTCTAAGCCGATCTCGCCTACGAGGGCGAGGGGGTATTTCTCGAGGTTGGAGCGGGTCTGGGAGAGGAAGGCGGAGAAGGGTCTCGGGTTGGGGAGGGATAGGTAGGTTTGACGGTCTTCTTCGCTGGGGTATTCTCTTTTTGGGGCCAGGACATTTTGATAATGTTTGATTTTATCCTCGTCTCGTAGGACCGTCTCTTCTCTTTCCCCTGTGCCGTTTTCACTACCAGAGGGGTGATCGAGGTACATCATGTGAGCGAACCACGGATGCCACCCGAAGCAGGGGACCATGCACTCTTCCCTCTTCCACTCTTCAGGTTTATTACTCTTGATGCCATACTGATCTGCGACTTGCGAGACGAGATCCTGGTCTTGTGCTCGTGTGCCCATGACAGTGAGGCAGCGGGCTTTCATGGAGGGAATGGAAGGGATGCTGGACATGATGTCGGTGGGATGGCAGTGCGCGTCGTAGACGCCAATGTGCCAAGGGAAGTCATTTTGGTGTGTAGACATGATTTTGGGTGTTGGTGCTATGTTTACGAGATGGGACAATGGCTTGGTAGGTTTGTGTTCAGCGGAGGGGTTCAGAGGCAATCTGGATAATCGAGAGGAACCAACAGTTCAAGAGGGGTAAGCGATTATTTGAAGATATGATTTATTTTCAATTTGTGCAATAAATCGAGTTCGCGAAATTCAGACGTCGTTGGCGATAGACTAAGTATGACGTTGTGGTGCGTCCTTTCTGCAGCTCTGCTGGCTAGTCCCAAATGGGCCGGTATGAGATGTTCTCACACGCGTTGCTGTCAGAATCCTCCGACACATCGTCCACTTTGCTAGACCTTCGACAACCTTCACGAGCAACAGCAACGTGGTGACCAGAAATAGCACCATTTCACTGCGACACCATATGTATTGACATACATCTTCGGGCAGGCTCCAGAGCTCGCACATCGCGTCTTCGGAGTGGCGAGGTGGGGTGTCTGAAGTCACGCTTTCTCCGGACTCTGGCCCATCCTATACCAACCGCGCGCGTGGGCGCATCCGAACTCCGCCATCTTGGTAATCCACTCGTTACCATCTCTCATAGATGAAAACACTTTACACCGCAATCGTCTCCGTCTGTCACTTTTTGCTCGACCATGACCTTACCAATGTGCCCTGGTTTCGACGGTCGTGCATCCGAAGTCCGCGGTGCCCTCGAATGCGAGGGATCGTACGTCGATAGATCATTGGCCTTACTAGCTATACAGCGACTAACAGAGACACCATAGCGTGCATGCACACCACTATCTTGGATCTGGACGAGTCCGACGAGGACGCAGGAAGTCAATGACATCTTGGGTGTTGCGACCGTTGCCCTGCCCAGACTCCGTATCGTAGCCTTTTATATTACATATGATTCCTGATCTTTCAATATCTATACTCGAAACTCTTCACTGCTCTCTTGCTACATCCACGTCTTCTTATCGTTCTCTCATCTCACTCCTCTGTTCATTCTTGGTCTCTTTCCCAGCCCCACCACTCGTCTCCGCCCAAATATCCGTCTCACCTTCTCCCACCTCGCACAATCAATGGTCAACCGCCTCCTCAACAAAATCGCCATCGTAACCGGCTCGGCATCGGGCATCGGCCGCGCAATCGCTCTCCTCTTCGCTGCCGAAGGCGCCACAGTAATCGTCACTGACCTTCAAGAATCATCCCTCCTCTCTGCTGCTGAAGGCACCGACGGGCACCTCACCACTGTCCAAGAGATCGAGAAAGGTGGCGGCCGCGCCGTCTTCGTGAAAGCCAACATCGCCGTCGCCGCGGATGTCGAGGCCCTCGTGCAGGAAGCCGTCACTCTGTTCGGTAGACTCGACATCTTCGTAAACAATGCGGGCACGGGCGAAGATAGGAAGAAGATCTGGGAGTATAGAGAAGAGCAGTGGGACAAGATTTTAAATATCAACCTGAAGGGAGTCTTTCTGGGGACGAAGTATGCGAGCAGGCAGATGGTGGAGCAGACGGCGGGCCCGTCGGGGGATAAAGGGTGGATCGTCAACATTGCAAGTATCTGGGGGCTTTCTGGACAGACAAACTACAGTAAGTATTGTCCAATAGATAGGATATTACCAAAGGAAGATTGTGCTGATGCGGGATAGCTGGCTACACGGCTGCGAAACACGGCGTCATCGGCTTGACGAAGACGGCGGCGCTGGATTGCGCGCCGCACCGCATCCATGTCAATGCTCTGTGCCCTGGCTGTAAGCTTCCCGAGATCCCAAACCTTCGTATATGAGAACTAATATTTCAGTCACCAATTCGGCAATGACGCATCATGTGTTTTCCGATGATACGCTAAAGGCGCACTTGCTTCAAAGACATCCGTTCCGAGGATTGGGGGAAGGCAAGGTACGTATTTGGCAGATATACCTCTTTCTCAATGTCAGGACTGATGCAACGCAGGATATTGCTAGAGCAGCGTTATTCTTGGCTAGTGAGGATGCTTCATGGGTTACTGGAGTTGGCATACCCGTTGATGGTGGATACAGTAGTATGTGAGAAAGTATTTGAACGATTGCGGATTTTCTTTCCATCAATGCCATCAATTACCACTTTACGCCATCACCTCACAGCGACCCCTCGTACAAAGAATCCCAACCCTCATTCCTATGTTATCTTGAAATCCGGCACACTCTCTCCACCAAACCAGAACTCGCTGTTCCTCTTCCCCGCCGTAGAACCTGGTGCCTCTCTTTTCACTGGCCCTTCCCAATACTTGTTCGCATGCACCACATCAGCTCCGACTCAGTGCCAATGTTTAATCTCCAGCCCTTCTCCCTTCATCACTGCGGCTTTGAACTTCTCTGGGCACCCGCGACACTTCCATGCTATTCCCACATCTACAATCTTCCTACGAGTCGGGGGCTTTCTCTTTGCGAGGATACCGATAACGAAGCCCCGAGCCATCGAATAGTCCGAAAGAACGCCCGGTATTATCGACTACAGCTGTAGAGACGCTGTATATGAACAGATTTGAAAATCATTTGAAAGCGCATGTACCCAATCGCAGCTCCTCTACTTCGGACACGAACCCTCTGAAGTACCACGAACAAGTATAGTCAATGGAAAAGACGACAGGACCAAGCTGCGAGCGGCGAAAGACTATGACCAGGAAGGTAGCAGAGTTCTGATCCAGGAAGCAGGACATCACCTCGTTCCAAATGCTTTTTAGGCGACCCAAAGCAACAAGACATCAAATGCATGTTCGCGAATTTGTACTTGATCGCAATGTAGGCAGAGTAGTGTGAGAAGAGATTTGTGAAGTAAGATTAGGTTTATATACACGTATTCGTGTTGATGGATGTTCTGACAGAGCTTTCCGCTATCTCAAACTCTATGTGGCGCCGTTGGATGGCGGTGCTGATTCTCATCATCACCTGTGAGGGAACATCGAACATGTATTTGAGTACCACGATGAAGGCCATGCCATACCGAAAATGCTCGGTGAAGCCACACCGCGCATGTTGTTCCAAGTCCACACTCTTTTTGGACGGTTCACACCGAGTACTGCGCCATATAGCTCACGACCAGGATTTTGTTTATAGGAGGGGTAATATAGTGCGTGGAGAACACTTTCCGAGAGAAAGTTCCGCGCTTTCGTACGCAAAAGGCTGACTGATGTCACTCCGGTTTATCCGACAGAAGTAAGTCTCAGGAACCAGTGCATGACTACTCAAGTGATGATGGCGGTGCACATCACCACCAGATAAGCTACTGATTCAGGCACACGGAAGACAGAGCGCATGAGAAGTCGAATCGCGAATTTTGGTCTCAACCCCAGACATGGCCTCTGTTTCCGCAACTTTTGACACCCGGAAGCAGCAGCACATTGAGTTGAACAAGTTCGATTTCTGTTGTAATCCCGAAAAGGTATTGTGTAGGGAGAGGATATCGGAAACCTAATGGCTCATTTTATACTCAATTCGAAGCTGGTGTCGGTTCGGATGACTTTTACAGCTTAAAAATAACATGTATGCAACCTTCTATGTCCCACTTTTACCTCGAAGATTGGCACTAGCATCGTGCATTACCGATGCCCGACCGCATGGCGACGATATTTCATGCTATTTCACCAAATTCGACCCGAGCAAACTCATCCATTGAACACATGTCTGGCGGATGTCAACCACGGAGGACCGCACATGGACCACGGGATTACCAGTTTTTGGACAAGCCGCCGGCAAAACGCCATACGGTTGTTGTCGTTATGTTTTGAGCCGTTGCAGTTGTCGCAAAGCTGTGTAAAAAACAAGAAACCCGCCTCGACTGGCAATTTTATACATCTTTCACTAGGCTTATGTAGCATCAGACACAGTTACACTGGAGCTGTGGTAATACTGACGTCGAGCGCTACAACATCGGGTGCACCTCTCCGGGTTTTGGATGCTCCATAGCCAGGTGCTTCCCGGATTTTGAGCTTAAAGCTCAGATGATGGCGATTACATCGTTCTTTGGACAGATCAACGCACGCAGCAGCACATGCAAAGAGTGAACACTCCTTTTGGATCGCCAGACGTCCCAGAACCAAGCCATACGGTTGTTGCTTTTCAATTTTAGTAAACAGCCACAGCTGTGGAGTGAGAGTGTGAAGACCTATTGCTCTTGATTTGCGGTTTTATATCTGCCTCTGTGCTCATTTTAGGCCGAATACTACCCATTTGAAACGATTTGGGGTGCATCATCATTCTGGAATTTTACTTTTGAGTAAAGTTCTGTAAGCGTAGCCTTTACGACTTCCAGTCCGCGAGACGACATGGTCCCTGTGTCACATCTTTTCAACACCACAAAGTCCCACCGCCCGTAATGCAGTACGGAATTCGCGTTTGGCGCCAGGAGAACAGACACAAGACATGATAAAGAATTTGTCTGCTTTTAATCCACTACACCCGTAGTGGCCATTGAGTGTGAGGTAGAAGTTCTCTCGCTCAGATGTTGGACTTATATACCCCGAAACAGCCCAAGTCACGCCAGAAACTTTCGACATGATAGTTCGAGCGGCAGCCCAAGCGACATCAAGCTATACTTCGGGCCGCAGCATCACCGACGCCAAATCCATGCACGGGGAAGAACTTCGGAAGGTCGGTTTAAGGATGAAGTGTTCCAAGACAGAAAATATGGCTGGACAGTGAGTCATGCAGTTCCCTTCGAGGGATTATTGACCACAAAACACCCCCGAACCATAGAAGCCTGCCAGCCTAATTTAAGACACCCCAGAGAAGGCAGCCATTTCTCTCATTTGGTACGCGTTTGGAACACCGAGCGGAGCACCACACCATGGCAGGTACGTGTTATTACTTGATGGTTTGCTGATCACCAACTCATGAAAGCGTTGTCGAAATGTTTTGAACATTGCTGTAGCAACAAGCCATGATAATCGGTGGTGCAAGATTTTTCGAACAGCGCAAAGCACCAGGCCATGGAGCTGGGCGATCGTGATTTTCAAACAGACCAAAGCATCCAGCTACTGACGTGGAATGAAGCAGGTCAAGCAACCGGCCAAGTCATCATCATTTGTTGCACGGTTTTAGAAGTGTCGAACCAGCACAACATAGGATCTAAGGTCTTCCATTTCGAGACACCGAATGAAGAACCAAGGCATGAAAGCCTTCGGATGCAACTTGAGTGAGACCACACAGCTCCAAGCAGAACGCGAAACCATCGAGTCTGAGGAGGATTTATGCAGCGCCAGAGCGCCAGGCCATCAAAACGTGTTCCTTGTCATTTGAGCGGAATCGAGGAGATGCTAGGCCATTTCCTGCACTGAGATTTCTTTTTAACAGACCGAAGCACCAGGCCATGAAACTCTATTACATGCACTTATTCGAGCGATACTGAGCAGGGCTCTAGGTCATAACCATGACGGCCTTAGAGTTTTTAGACAGACCAAAACACGAAGCCATGGATGGGGTTATTTCTGATTTGAGAGACGCAGAGTAACAAGCCATTTATTCGATAGTGGGAATGTTGGCAGAGCAGAAGCACCCAGCCATCACAGGGTCTTATATGTTTTCAGACACCGAGCAGAGACCCAAGGCATAATGGTACATCTTCCGTTTTTGAAAAGCACTCAAGCACCGGACCATGTCTCGCAAACAGTTTCATCTTTGACCAGGCAGAAGCACCGAGCCCATTCTGTGAATTTTGTAGCCTTTTAGACAAGCCACAGGATCAAACCATGATCTTTCGAGTTATGTGTTTTGATGGCTGGCTTCAGAGACTGAGGGCGTGAAGTTTGGTTCCGCCAAATTTGGAAAGGTGGAAGCACCGAGCCATGGGTTTCCCTATCTAGGGTTTGAGAGATGCCGGGAAGAGCACGAAACCACATTTATTCCACTTGAACATCTTTTAGACTGGCCAAAGGAGTAAAGCATGAACTCGTGTTCTCCTGCCTTTTTAAAAGCTACAAAGTACAAAAGCCATGCGATATCCTTCTGGTAATTTCGAACAGCGCGAGCGCACCAAGTCATGGAACATCTTCATAGTCGATTTTTGAGTTCCGAGGAGACCATCTAGCTAGTGTCGTACCATTTTGCGAATTGATCTTGCTCTTTGACATTGCCCAGCCACCGACCCATCGCGCGATTGCCTCGTGCTTTCAAACACCGAGCAAAGCACCAAGCCATCGAATTTGCATCTCTGACTTTAATACAAGCCGACGCACCAAACCATCGCCATTTCCCAGGTTGCTTTTGGACAGACCGAAGCACCAGGCCATAGAATGCCAGTTTTGCCCTTTTGGTCAGGCCGAAGTTCCAAAGCTATCATAGATCGTACTGCTGACTTTTCGACAGCCCGACGCACCAAGCCATGCGAGTTTTGGCTTCTTCTTTTGACAGACAGGAAGACCAGGCCCATGTTGTAGGGTATGGAGTGTTTTTACAGCGCCAGAGCACCAAGCCATGCCTTTGAAATCTCCGCTTTTTGGGACAGACAGAAGCACCACGCCGTTTTTGTGATTTGTTCGAGTTTTAGAGACAGCGCACAAGCATCCACCCATGGGCCCCATAGCTCGAATTCTTTTAGTGAATCCACAGCAGACTTGTGTAGTGAGGAAAGAAACACGATTGCGAGAAAAACTTCGACCTTATATAGACAGCAATGCGCCCAGGCAGGTTCAGATGAGGGAGAGACATCGAAGCATTGCCGGGGACGGCGTACAGTGGTGACGCACCGCATCACCATTCAGCACGCGGCTGTATATTAACAGTACGTACCTTGCTTGCTCATGGCTCGCACGTGATGAACGCACAAAATCTATAGACATAGCGTTTCGAGTATCAATACCAAGTATATGTGATAGATTGTTTTGCCTATATGCCCCATATCCTTTCCACCATATATACACAACATACACTATTACCAGTCTCCCTGAGACGGAACGCCCCTCCCTCGTACGGTCGTAACGCATAGCGTAGATTGCAAAAAAGACAAGCAAAGGTAACAGGGTATCATTACGAAATAACGCGAGAAGGCGAGAGTATGTGTGAAGCGAGTGCGATTTTGTACTTGGCAATGCGGTGCGGGCTAGGCGTGTTCTCAGACATGACGCCATTCGTTTGGGCTTTGCGTGAAGCAGGTGATGGTGTAATGGGCTCGATGGGGACACCATTAGCGGTAACGTCTTCAACGTCGTCGCCATTCGTCCATTCCCTGGCTTGAGGCGAAGGCGTGTCGTTCATAGACGCAACGAGGTCGTCTGAGGACCTTTTGGTCTGAGTGAATAAGGAATGCTGCTCGACAGTGCTATTCGCGATGCCCAGGCCTTCCATCTTGGCAGCCGCGGCTTCTTCCAGTCGCTCTTCGTTGTGCGGCTGCGTTGACACGGTAGATGGAACGCTGAAGTCGTCTTTGGTAACAGCCTTGCCTCCTTCTAAAGCTCCGTTGACTGCGGTGGTTGCTGCTTTCAGGGTCATCGTTGGTGGGTGCGGTATCCGTCCAAGCATGTTCAACCGAGTACCCGCCCTTGCCCATTGCCAGATACCTCTAGGGGGTGATATGTGTTCAGGCTTCGCAATCTCATCTTTACCGTTCTCGCTAGACGTAATGCTAGCCTGATGCTGGTGAGACCCGCCGTCTGAGCTTGGGGGGCGGTCGGCGGGGACTGGGTGTGACTGACTCTCCTCTGTAAGCGGAGGGCTGGGAAGGAGTCTCTCTGGGGGTGTGACTCTCCGCAACTTGTCCCTCTCCGCGTTCGGGCTCGGTGGACCCGCCGTTGCGTGTTCCGTTGACGTTTCTACTGTCGAAGAAGCCGGGCTTGTGAGGCGTCGGCGTAGAGGGCCGGCGCTGGTTGTCTCGCTCTGGCGGCGAGCGTGGTGGGGAGGCGGGGCCTGTAGAATCGGCGGGGACGAGGCCGGTGGGGTGGGAGGAGAGTCTGGACGGACTTTGTCGAAGGAGCGGAGCTGACGGATTTGGGGTCGCGGCGGCGGGTTGTGGTCTTTAGTGCTGGCGTCAATGCGTGTTACTATGAATCTTCGAGCACGAACCGATGGAGTAGGGTGGCTCCTCTTCGTCGCGAAGGACGGCTTGAGCATGCGACGATGCAGGTGCTGCGTTGGGTACTATTTACCTTGCTTGCCCTTGCCCTTGCCTTTGACGTGGCAGTTGGGGCCGTCGTCATGGTCGTGATATTCGCACTCATTGCCGGTATCGGTCGGGTCATCGAACAGCATGCCTCCGGTGCCGAACTTCATCGCCTTGACGAGATCGACGGCGAAGTCGGGATTGTTCTCGAAGCACTGGCGATACGTCTCTACGTCCCTGTCGCTGTCTGGATCCATGATCTGTCGCGCAGCGATGCGTGTCATCAGACGCCTGAATGGCGAGCCTTCCGGGCTCTTGCGATATATTTCATCAATCTCCTCGGCGTCGGGGACCAGCTCGGCTTGGTTGAGGCCTTTGCGATATTGGTCCATGGCCACGTTCTTCAACTGCGGCATATCGAAGCGGTTGCAGAGGAGATAGAGCTTGTGACAGCTGACGGCGTAGTCGTACTTCTGGTTCGCGTCTGCCATGTCGGAGACGTCGTCGAGCTTGCCCTGGTATAGCCATTTTACCAGCAGCTCGAAGCCCGCCGGGTCGTGGTCCGGCAGGTCGAGGGTGTCCTGCCTATTCTTGCCATGACCTTGCAGTTCCGACTCGAGCAGCTCGGAGTGGTGGCAGAGGAGGTTGCGGTGCAGCGCCCAGTGGCGCCTGGCCTCGCCAACGTATATGTCGATCATGCGGCCGGAGAGGAGTCTATCGCGCTGTAGCTTAGCTTTGGCTCGCACATGGAGACGGTGGGAATTGAGACGGTGTGTCAGGCCCGGGCGGACAGGAAGGCATCGCGCGACAGCCTGGGACACTTGAAGACGCGCCTCATCGGGCGCATTGGCATCGTCCGATGCGCACGACTCGGCATCCGATGAAGAATCCGATGCGCCACCGCAGCCATCAATGGTAAAGTCTAAAGAAGGTTGATGGACGTACTCTGCATAAGTGGCAGCGGGCACGTCGCCAACAGTGCCCGAAGCCATGCGGGTGCGTCGTGCCTGATGCGCGTATGCGAAATCACGAAAGTAGACGATGCGCTCCTGCCATCCCATGCGGCGCGAGGATGGCGATCATAGGGAGCAGCAAAATGGAATGGGAAATGGAGATGGCGCACGCAGAGGTCGCGATGGGTGACACGGCTGATGCGCACAGCAGGAAGCGGGGGCTGGGGAAGCAGGGAACAGGGGTCCTCCAAGTGTCGTCATCGTCGCATTCGTCGCCTACCACATTCCTCAGCCATCATCCCTCTGCGAACAACTTGTACGGGACGTGGCCACCATGTATTCTTTATGCGACAAACCTTTACGCTTGCAGTCAGGTAGGCCCACGAGCCACGTTCCCCGTCACAAACGCCTGACCCTTCGGCCGGCCATCGAGCCCGCTTGACGGCACGTGATGATTGCCAGCACGAGGAGATACTGGACGCTAAACTGCACGATCAAGGTGATTGGCGAGAATCATGGCGTGCATGGGATCTACGGTTATCAAGGTACGAGCGTCAAGAATCGTTGAAACATATCGTCGAGTCTCAAGGAGGAAAGATCTACAACCATTTCCATAGTGTATTTGACTACCATGAGATACTGTTGCTGCCCAATCGGTGCGCTTGCCTGTCAGAACTGACTGTCCTTCCCTTTTTCCCGCTTGTTGGCGTGCCCCATTTCGACTCTTCGCGGAGAGTCACTGTATGACGAGCATCTGCGCAGTGTCCTGCCGGAAGAGCGCGCGAGTCTAATATCACTGGCAAAGTTTGTTTTAATACGAACTTGGAAATTCTCCAGACTCCCGCAACACGAACGGGGAACCTCTGCCATTGTGTCGACTGACTCATTGAAGGTCCAGATCAGCGTTAACTGGCGGGTGTTACCCAAGCACGCCGCCTCATGCAGGTCCGTAGGCCTCAAGGACATGTCTTGGCCGACTATTCCTCGACTTTCTATGCATCAGGGGATGCACCCTGCTTTTGTGTTAAGGGGCCCGTCCGTACACATCTCATCGGCGCTCTTCTGTATCTATAATTATCTTGCTTTTGATCTTGAGGCGATCCTGCAGGACTCATGGATGTCGCCAAAATGAGCAAATTGCCAACAGCAGAGGAGATGGGCATGTGGCCTATTCCGAACTATGTAAACCCGACAACGAGACAGCCGCTGGTATTAGGTGTCGAAATACCCCTCCTGATACTAGTGGTGGGAATCACTGCTATGCGTTTGTATAGGTACAGTTCGCAACCTTCATGCTCACTCAGACTAACAGATTGCAGTAAGTTGGCCCCGTGATCACCTTTCAAGACTACGGGCACAGCCACGACCTTCTATTCTTTCGAGCGTACATGGAGCTACATTGACTATAACCTTTGCATAATCCGTGTGATGGCCCACTGACTTTCAACAGCTAGAGTCGCCATTGTGAAGGCTATGGGAGCGGTAGGCATGTTTACGAAACCTATGTCCTAGGACTAATTTCAAGGCAGGACGACTAAATCATGGTCGCTGCAACGCTCTGCTTCTGTACGAATTGTTTGGCCATGCTCGTCTCGACGGAGCCACAGTTTGCTGCTGGCTACCATCTCCTGGACAATATCAGCACTGGGGGTGAGGACTGGATCATAAGTGATTCGAAGGCGGAGAACGTTGGGCCGAAGTCGCCTGTTTGAAAGCTCGGTTGGCGGAGGACAACATTCGACGCGAGCGTAATCGTGCCAGTCCCCCTATGGCACACGGCTACAAATGAAGAGATAGATATGAAGCGTACACAGGAAGTGCTTGGTACGCACGATTTCAGCATTGAAGATACCGAAGATATTCTGGTTATACTGGTACGAACAATATCTGGGTGGTTGTTGGCTACGGCTCGGTTTGGCTCTTGTGCGGTGTTCTGTGCTTTGAAAAATACCTTCGGCATTGCTTATACGGTATGTCATACCTGTATCTTCTCACGCCATTGTCTTCTTTTCTCGGCATCCTTCTGTGACTTGCAGTCACTCCTTCCTTCCCACTGGGTGAAGAGATGCGCTAGGCCTCTTGTGGAATTGTGCTTCCCAATTCCGTCTGCTAGCGTAGCTCTCCCACTGTAACTTCTCCTTCACTGGCCCAGCGCTGTTCTTCTTCCAATAACCGCAGCTGCATCTTTTTGGGGAGCATCGAGAGATCCGATATGTTGACCTCGAAAGGCGTCAACCAGAGCGCCCTCAATCGTGCAGCGCAGCAACTTTCTCTTACCTCTCACCCGTTTGTGGGCGGCTTCTCATCTTCACTCACGTGTGGAACCATGGCTGCCTGCAGTCCCATACAGCTGCCTTATGGATTGAGTCGGGACCGCCAACATATGCAAACACAAGGTAAAAATGTGGCGATTGAGCCTCAGGTCGGTCACCGGAGATCTCATGTGCTTTCCCTACGTGAAATTGCAAAGACGAGGGCTACAGCAATTGAAAGTTCGGCTCCTCCTACCGCGAAGTTCAAACCAGTTACCCCATTGAAAGCGATTGAAGCCTCGATCCTCCTCTCGTCGAGGCCGAACCCGTCCTCTTTTTCGAAGCTCCTCAAGAGGAGACACAGGATGGTGCGTATGCAGGTACCTATCGGGGGCATGCGACTACCCAATGCGAAGGAACAGCGTGCACGGAAAGCAAAACCCAAACCCAAACCGCGAAACCTCCCTAAAAGACCTGTGGGAAGACCGCGGAAGTCGAGTCCTGTCACGTCAACACCGGGGACTCCGAATGTAAGATTGCATAAAGGGAGCCAAGCGCAGCCGATTGTTATCGACGAGCCTCAAAGGCTTGTGCGACGACCCGAAAAGGCGCCAATAAGCTTCTACACGGACTATCTGATGAGTCCTCTTGAGCCTGAACGACTCGTTGCTCCTGAGATAAGCTCTTTCCAGTACACACCCACCGATAATTGGAGCCCCACCAGTCGGGTGCCGCAACGAGTCGAGGAGTACTGCGACCGAGATGCTACGAGGAGGAACCTGCTACTATCTCATGAGCCACTTCTTCACAGGACAGTCGATATCTACAACGGCAGCCTCAGAACACAGACTGGATCCGGAAACCGTCACCCACGGTCGACCCCCACAACGAGTACATCAGAATGGTGAGGCATGGCTTTGAGAGATTTCTTCGTCCACTAATCATCCACACAGGGCATATGAGCGACATGGGCCTTACGAGATCGTCTCAAGTACGCCTACCAGATCTGCACCAATGCCAACGCCACCTCTTATCGACAATATTTCCTCGTTCCTCTCTCCCGCCTACACTCGCGAGCAAAGCATCTACACTAGCGTAGAAGGAAAGTCGTCCGAGATCGTCAGCCTAGCTGATATAGCAGACATCACTCTACGATTGAAGGTTGCCCAATTATTGGCCATCGCCCCAGAACTGCCCATTCAAGAGTTATGCAACCTCCTCATTGGGATGAAGGGCAACGTCGCAAAGGCTCGCGAGTCCATGTTTCGACATGCAACGCGACCGACTGGCCTGTCCCCAATGCGAGCAGATGCGACAACAGTGAAGTCGGAACCTGTGCGGGAAGCATTACGGCCTCATTCGACTCGGGATGATGCTACAGTGGTCGATGACAGCGACGGAGACGATGAAGCGATTATGTCGAAACTGGAACTCGACGATTCCGAGATATGGATCGACAACGATGTTCTGGCATCGCCGGTGCCGGCAGCCCGCAAATCTAAACAAATGAACCTCTCAAAGTCGAAAGCCGGAGCTCGGTCCAAGGGTACACTTAAGCACACGACCAAGACGCAATCAATCGACACTGGGCATATTTCCCTCGTCAAGCCTCCCAATGGCAACCTCGATCGTCGTGCTTCGCCTTCAAACCGTGCGCCACACACATGGACGTACCCTACGCCAAGTGAATCTCTGGCCACCCCAGTGTCAGAGTACAGACTGTCCAGAGAACTAAACTACTCTCCACACATCACTTCGTCCAGAACTTCGAGAACCAGAGGTCGTCGGAACAACAGCATCGATAATGTCTTCGTTATCCCCGACACAGATAGTGAAACCGATCTTGACGGTATGTATGAAGACTCTCAAGTGGACGCAGATGCCGAAGAGGATGATGCTAGCGATGAGTATGCTATGGATGATGTGGAGATGGAAGATGTGGAGGAGGAGTTGCATATTGACATGGTCCGTCCGTTCGATAGTTCCAGCTTGACGATAGACTCGGCAGAGCGATAAGCAGCTTCGACCCAAGTGAGAGACATGGGACTGGGTTTGGCATCGAGTTCATCAAGCTTGACAAGATGCATGCGTATTGCAACGCTTTCATATTCACATGGAGTAGAGAAAAGGTGCTTAATCTATCAATATCATCTACAAAGCGTATTATAAACAAGCTTGGCACATCGTAAATTATTCAAATCTGTTGTAAGTGCGTTACAACAGTTGAAATAAGGATTTGAGTCAAGTTCAACTTTTGACGAACTTCCTGTAAGTCTTGTATCCATTGCTTGCAAGGTAACGCGCTCACGGGTCTAGGCGTTTGGACATTTGATAGACATTAGATTGTCTATGCACCCGTCATTATCTTCTGGTCTTCGGTAACGTCTCAAAACTTTGAATCTGCGATCACAAAGTACGTGATACTAACTCAAGTAAAAATCATATTGGTTTAGTCCAACGGCCAGCGTCGAGTATCAAACTCACCCTCGACGTCAACACAACACGCTAACACCCCTCTTCCTCACCTCTAAACACTCATAATCCTCCGCTTCTCCGCCTTCCTTATCTTGAACTTCCAGCATGCCCATCCAACACCCCACAACGCACCCAGCACGACCGCAACACCGGCCACGAGCAGCACTATCATAAGCGCCTTCCCAGTCTCGCTCGAATGATACCCGGGTCCCTCCACCTCAGACACCTGTGCCTGGACAAATGCAGAGGGACTAGGTAGTGTAGCGTTGCGAGGGATCAGGGGACTATCAGTGTCTGGTAGGATCACTTCGCAACCGTCACACTTTGGAAGCGAAGTGTGGGTGCTGGCTGGTGGTGGAGGTGGCATGTCTGGTAGATTGGGCGGTTCGCAGGCGTCGCAGTCTGGAGATGCTGGAGTCGTTCGATTAAGTGAGGGCTTCGTGCTGCTGGGGAAGATGGCTGTTGCCGTTGGCGTCGCTGATGAAATATTATATGGGTAATAAGGAGCCATGTTGTGTTTTCCCTTGTTGGAGATCCTTCTGACAAGTTGTTAAGCTGTTTTCGCGTTTGTTTGGCAGCGTAAGGGAAGGAGATGGAGACAAACTTGTAAAGGTCTGGGCAGTGTACGCATGTACAATGTATCGTGGTGTTGTGAAGTGCACAATATTCAGTTGATTCACACTGGCCATCATGTCTAAATGTCGAAGTTATGTAACATCAGTACACCCGTGACGGAACAACCGCCGGAATAGAAAAAAAAGGTTAGTCCTTTAACTTGGGAGCAACGGCGAACTTACCTACACTATAATCTTTTATAGTACCGCCTTATGGTAATATACTAATACAACGTATTAGGCCTTATAGCTATACTAATCTAAAGATTGCGTCTGTACTATAGGTATTTAGTTGTAATGCTATAAGGCGCACTTGTTTCACATAAATTTCCATCTTAATTAGTACCTCTGATTAGGATGATGAACCTTTCTAGCTAGGACATAATTGTTATAACACTATAACATATCTAATAGAGGGTGGCTAGCTGTCACGCCCGTGGGTGTGCAAAGCCTTTAGGCCGACGTATGCCCGCCCGCCTTACGATCAAACTTACTCCCAGTAAACCAGCTCACCTCGTGTAGATTCGCCATATTGCAAGCCTGTGGCCGGAGCGGGTCGGCTGCATTCCCTGCTAGGGGTGGAGACATTGTCATGAGGCCGCTTTAATTCCTCTTGGCGGGCCAACACCGATCATTCAAGCGTAACTTGTTCTTTTTTTTTGCTTTATAGTATACGATAGATATCCGGAGGAGCATCGTTGTTTGTAGTGAAGACCCACCAAGCGCCGAGAGCAGGCCGGTGCTGCGAAAGTTTCAGCCAGGCGACCTCCAGAGCCGCAAGGCTGGGCTTACGCGAACAACATCTGCGGCCAATCACATCGAGCCACATGTCGGATATCTGGGATGTGCAGAAAACAGTCTCACATCCATATTCTTTGGAGAACCCAATAATATCGTCTGTCATCGTCTTATCTGGTCATCATAACGCAGATGCTTCCGTCAAACAGGTCTTTGATCGTACCAGAGTGGGTATGGGATAGCCATTACCACCAATACCGCTACTGGGCGCCTGCTTATCAGAGCTGGGTGCTGCAGGATGGTACAAGGCTGTCTCCGGCCAGTCCTTCTGCTGCTAGCAAGCTAGAGTGAGCAACATTCCAACGACTAACCCAATGAGGTGATATTTCTGTTCAACACTTACTACAGAATATAGTGACAGCCAACAACGGACAACAGCCCACGCTACAGGCCATTCACATAATGATAATGGCGGTACTGTTTCAATGCACACTTCGCGCAGCCCCGCTCCAATAAGTATGTACCAACGATGCAATTCATAATAAGACCCAGTCTGGACTTTTGCTCTTTAGATCGCCATCGAGCTAGTTTGTTTCTAATAAATCCTTATTAGAGAATGCTATGTTAACTGGTCGGCAGAGAATCACTTCGGCCATCTATGTGATGTTTGTAGTGCCATTCCTCTAACAGATAGAGACTCTCTCAGGTCGACCAAGCTTTTTCCACTAGGATCTGTCGATGAAGTAACGACCAGGGACTGTAGACTTTGCGGCCTTGTCACTTCAGCCTTACGAAGTCTTCACACACTGGATATTTTGGGGTATATCAATAAAACTATCGACGAGGTTGACGGCTCAGAGTCAGTAACACTCGAAATGACGAAGTTCGGGGACTTTGAGGGCTTCAAGATCGCATATTCACCCAGGAACTTGTCTCCACGGGATACCTTCATCTGCTTCGAGCACAGTGTATTGTCTGATGATTTCGGCATTGTTCCCGTTACAGCTAAGCAGATAGATCCATGTCTGCTCAAAACTTGGCTCTACACCTGCGAATTCAAGCACGGCGCCACATGCTCCGATACTACCAAGGGTCTATCAGCGGCTGGTAGCCAGTTACTATGGTCTCATCCATTCCGTCTGATCGATGTTCGAGCAAACTGTATTATAGACGCCGCATCTCTAGGAGTCGATGTGTCGCTGGATTTCCTTGCACTATCCTATGTGTGGGGCCAAGTTCCAACGGCCAAGCTGACGACTTCAACTCTTCCGAACTTGATGCAGCGCGATGGGTTGTCAACCGTTACAAAAATGCTTCCCAAGACAATATTGGATGCTATCGAGCTGGTCAGGTCCCTAAACAGGAAATATCTATGGATTGATGCTCTTTGTATTGTCCAGGACGATAAAACGGATATCCAGCGAGGTATAGAGAAAATGGACCTTGTGTACGAACAAGCATCGGCCACGATCATCGCTGCGACAGGACCTGACGCGAATAGTGGCTTACCTGGGGTAAAACCAGGTTCTCGTCGATGTACACAGGCCATAGCAGAGGTCATACCAGGGGTCAGGATGATAGTGAGACACGGACTGGATGATCTTTTGAACAACTCTGAGTACACTCGCAGAGCCTGGACGTGAGTGGGCGCACTCAACTCAAATAGACCCCGTCTAACTTCGTCAGATTCCAAGAGCATATGCTGGCCATTCGGAAATTTATCTTCGTCGACAATAGAGTGTATTTCCAATGCAACAGAAGTACGTGGAGCGAAGAAAACCCACGAAACAATCTTGAAGGGGATTGTGATGCACGCCCGTCAGATGGAATTGGAATTGGTAATCGTTTATCATATATCGATCCGGATCAGGAGCCGGAGATGGTATTGGAGGTATATCTGGACTATTACACCCTGCGCAAACTCAGCAACCAGGATGATGCGATTAATGCTATGGCTGGTATACTACGACGAATGTCTGACCGAATGAACTGCTCCCTATTGGCAGGCATGCCGACAGCGTATCTGGAATTCTGGTTGCTATTCTCGTTGCGGGATTCTTCAGCGCGACGTCACGGCTTTCCCAGCTACTCCTGGGCTGGCTGGCTTGGCAGTGCTTTTTATCCCAATGATATGCACTATCTCATCAAGGAGTTCTTTGCAAGTACGTGGATAGTGTGGTACATAAGGACACCCTCTGGTACTGTGAGGCCGCTCCGGAATTCACAGACTTTCGAAAACCGCCAGATTGACGACCAAGCGAACAGTATCAAGTATGACTTCGCGACTTTGAATGTCGACAGAGAAACTGCACCCTCTGAGTACTTTTTCACCCTTCAAATAGATCTCCCTTATGATGTCCTGCAATTTTGGACAGTATCGTTGCACTTCATTCTCCGCCGTTCCAAGACTTCGAAGAACACATATCAAATATTGGACAATTTGGGCCGACACCGCGGGACAATACAACTGGATGGGAAGGCTCTTATTGGTGTGTGCGAGTTTGTCATGCTTTCGAAGGCCCCCCAATATGGATTCTTACTTTTCTGTTCCTGCTGTTGACCAGGGGGAACGCCCTATATTACGTGATATTACTTGAGTGGGTTAAGGGTATTGCTGAGCGGAGAGGATTGGGTCAGATCCGAGAGTCAGCTATTGAGAACTCGTTTCCACCGGGTCCTGTGTGGAAGGAGATTATCCTTGGTTAGCAGTGCTGACAATCTCTATAATCCGCGCTGCATGGAGTTAATTGCCAACAATGACCTGTGTCTACTGCTTCTAGCATTCACATGCATTAGGAAGTCGGATGTAAACAAGAAAATATTTGGCGCTGTAGATCTACTTGCCTACATCGCATCGTCCTTTTGCCACTGTCTTGCTGCTTCAATAGTGATCAAACCGCCCAAGCTAGTTTTAGATTTCACCACCTCATTATGGATGGAGGCCGACCCGCTTCCGCTAAAGGATCACGAGGTGGCGACTTTTGTAGGTGTTTATAGAGAGTTGCGTTACTTAAGTAGAGGTATAGGCGAGTTTAAGTGGAGATTGCAAAGCTGAAGTACCTGTTATATTTTCCGGCATAGGTGGTTCTCCGATACGGGTGGACGGACGTTCTGTGAAAAAATTGCTCCGCATGTGAGAGGTACTGGGATGGGATCATAGGCGGATAGCTCGGCTCCTGTGCATTTGGTCCAACACAGCCATGTGCTGATAATCTGACCCCAAATAAATAGGCTGGTGTCCGTTCCTTTACACGCTATGCTTCATTACTCTGTCTACCATAAACACTATCCATAATACAGTATGCGAGGAGCTAATAAGCATTGAAATGCACCTGGCTCTTCAACGGGCTCCCCATATGCTCCGGCATATTCATGCTATTCCCTTTCTCTTGCACAGGCTCCAACTCGCCCCCTCTTCTCTCCTTCCTAATCCTGGTTCTTGCCGGTGCTGGAGCTTGGACAAAACCAGCGACCTGCATCTCCACATCGCGATGCGCGTCTGCTTCTGGCTCTTTGGCCTCCGGTTCTCGCTTTTTGCGTCTGTTGTCGTTGCAGCGTTTGATTGTGTATTTGTAGAAGAGGTAGATGGCAGATGAGATGAGGAAGGGAGCGAAGAAACACATGGGGATGAATGCGGCGAGTGGAATGGGTCCTATGGAAGGCGGAACTTTCTCCACGGTGAGTGAGGTTTCGGCAGGCGCTGTGCCTGTGGTGGTCGAGGTCGCGATTTGTCGGACAACGGGTGCGAGAGTCATGATTGACAGCGCCTCCGATAGGACTGGTGTGGCCATCCTGTTGAATTATCGTTATGTGATCACGGTTGGTCGATCAGGTTGCTGCTGGCGATAATGGTACCGACGAGAATACGAATGTCTCAGTCCAGCTGAATATGTGTGTATTTCATAAGACTTGGGAAATCCAGGGTTCTTGTGGTCGACTATGGCACCTTCGAAAAACTGGAGGTGTCGTTCGAGGACAAAGGACGCTGTTTGCGATAAAGGAATGGTGGCTGGTCTGGGCGTGGAATGTGAATACCACTTGAAACGCGACACGCTTTATTCTTGTGATTGACACGGCTAAAAATAGGCATGAAACTAGGCACCTGCTTTAGTGGTCGCGCCAGTGAACGAAACACGTCACGTGATATATCATCAACATTTGCATGGAGTGTAATCATCGAGCAAATCATGCCATAAAATAGCTATCATATGGATAAAATAGACATCTACTTTGAGATCCCCATAACAACATTTGTCTCTCACGCATTGCAGGAACAGACTCAGTAACGGCAATTGAATTTTTGAATTGCGATAGCTAAATTAAAGTAGCGACAAGATAAACTAATGTTCCATGAGCAGCAGAAATTCAAGTTCAGTAGGATATATTGATAATGTTCTAACGTGGACGCTATATAGGGCTGCAAGGAATCTTGAGCCTATCTATAGTGGTGGGTCTGGTAGTATCCCGAACTATTCGGGAAGATCTGACGAATGGGCGCTCCAGGAACCGGCTTCCGGCCCATATTAGTTGGAGGCTGGGCTACTGGGGCAGGCTTCTTCACTTGAGGCTCCTCCGAAGTCTGAGTTTGGCCGGGAAGACGAGGCAACGGCTTGGTGTAGTCCTGGAGCCACCGTTCATCTACAGCAGCTATAGGGGTCGCTGGTTTAGAAGGCCACCCGTACGGATTGTCTGTCCCGTACTGCGACAAGATGGTGCGGTTCCGGCCGTGCGAGGGCGCCACAGGAAGATGGCACATCTCGACATCAGTATGCTGCATATTTGCCGCATTTGACTTCTTCTGCATGCCCAGCACGCGCGCACCACGCTTATACTTGCAGTACGCAAAGAATATAACGCCTAAGATGACCAAGCAGCCGGCTGCTCCAAAGACATAAGAGAGGACGGGACGACCAGCGCCTTTGTCCTCAGCATACTTTGCACCGTCTTCAGTAGCTTCCGCACGCCCTAGGGTCTCCTCTCGAACGGGAGCAGCAGCGACCAGCGCTAGCAGGAAGAAGATGTTAATAATCTTGGATAGCATGTTGTTTTGACTTTGTTTACAGTTGTCACTGCGTGGTGTGCTGTTGCTCTTTGCAGTGGGTGGGAGATTTCTTTATATAGGGAGTGGCAGTACCTGAGCATGGCCATTGTGTGGAATCGATGTGGTATATTGTGGATATATAATGTTGAGAGATTTTGAGTTGGGCAAGAGCGCGTATAGAGAACGTTATATACTAGAGGACAGATCGCTGTGAGATCGTGTCTCAAAGAGTGCTATATTCAACAAGAGACAGGCCCGTACTTATCTCAGACAAGTACTCCTTGATTCAGAAGACATGATGACATGTCGTATACGAATTGTTCAATATTTTTGCAAGCGAAGTGTTGTGACGAGGCATACAGATCGATCTTTGAGCAAGGTCGCTATGCCAATGTAGGAAGACATTCCTCGGGCTCCAATTTGAACATCAAACTTCCCTAACAACCACAATCAGACTGCACCATGTGCCAATAGATGTATGATCAAAGACCACAGACAAGATGCATACACACGAAGGAGCTTTCATTGAATGAAATTGCAGCGGCCATACGGCGTAGCAACAAGCGATAAACAATGTAATGAACAAAGAAGATTCCCTGCAGGCTGATACAAAACATGACGAAAGCTAGCAATGCGGAGTATATCGTTGACCCGCCGGGGAGCGTTGATGCGGCACACCATCAACCTCCACCATATCTTTGCCATAGTGTCGACCAGCTCCGCCGGACGCACCGCCAACATTCAGTATCTTGTGCCTTGCCAACTCCGCATCGTGATCATTAGGCCCAAAGGTCTTCTTCTCCTTTTGTTTGCGCCATGCCCAGCCCGCGAAGGTAAGCAAGAGCGCACCTCCAATGAGTGACGCGATAATCGCGAGGGTAATTGAGGAGCCGTCGGAGTGAGGGGCGTACGGGACATCTGGTAGCGGAGTAGACGTTGGCGAGAATGTAGTGGAGGCAATCGAAGAGGATGTCAACACTTCCGGTTCGGTTGTGTCTTGGCTAGGTAACGTAGTAGACGGTACAGGCGGATTAGATACAGTCGAATATATGTCTCGCGCGTAGAATTGCCCGTTGCGGCGAGGCGTCCTCGCGGTAAGCGTATAAAGCATAGTGTTGGTGCTATCCGTCCGAGCCGTAGCAATTGCTCTCGGTGATGACGATAAGTCTGAACAGCTGCCAGCGGCTAGAAAGGCGGACATTGTCGCGGAGTTAAATGATAGAATTGTTGCTTGGTTATGAATTAGAATACCTACGTCAAAAGTTAGCAATGTTTTCATCATTGTCATGCTGTGGCGGATTGCTTACCCCTATAACTTCACAGACTAAAGACACATCATCGTGTGAGACATGTAGACTGGGAGCCTCAATCGTTGTTTTCAAGGGCCGTCAAGGTGATGACGAATTTAGCGCGCATGGAGGCAATGCATGCCAAAGCAAGGGACAGCGTCTCGGGTCCCTTGCCAACAAAGGGTTGTTGCCATAACAAAGTGTCGGAATGTGGAACACCAATATCGCAATCTCAAAGTAAGAAACTCCAGCCCCAGTCATAGCTTCTAGCCATTAGCTCATCGCTACGTAAATAAAAAAGTGACTCGTTGCACGCTCATCGACAATTTCTAGGTCTGAAAACACAATTTTCCCCACTGCCTCAATACGCTGTTCTACCTTTTCCATATCCTTTTGGGCCGAGTAAGCTCAATCTTTTCATAATCACCAAAAAGGCTAGGGCTCTTCAGTTTCCCCCCCGGATCTTTCTGAGCCTTCGCTTCGGTGACCACATCCCTCTGAGCCTGCGCATACGTTTGCTTATTGGAAGTTTCAACGTTTAGCCGCTCGGGGGTACCCATTCGTCGAAAGTCTGAAGGCGGAGAAACGTGTTGCTTCGCCATCTCGACATCGAAAACTGGTGCACGTGGGAATCGTCCGCGTGGGAATGGGAATGGCAACCATGTAGTGCCAGCGTTATCTGTTGAGACGCCACTGTTGTGCGAACGTCTCCTACATTGACCTCGCAAGAAGCAGTTTAGTATGGTTACCAGCGCGAGTATTACTGTGTAAGGTATGATTATGGCGAGGAAGAGTTTCCTTTCGTTATTGTCGGCAGACATGATTCTCGAGAGTATAGCAGGACTTGTTGATTAGGTGTAAGTTTATGGGTAGAACGAATGTGCAGATAATTTGCAATGAATGGTACATATGTAAGTCCCAATATCGAAGCACACCAGTGACATCCCCCAATTCCAATATAGCTATAGTGATGACTATCTACGAGGTGAGTAGGCGCACATGAAGAAAACACGTGGCACAGCTCACTTCACGACTACAACCACCGCGTCAAGTCTGACTCTCTTCATCCTCCAGATTCGCTGTGTATCCCACTACGCCTACTTGGAAAGGCCCTCCCATTCATTGAATCCATCAATTCCACCTACCCGTGAGACCTCCCTGCTAACGCCTCCACATCTTCCTTCCGTGCAGCCATAGGCTTCTTCGTCACCATAAACCAAAGCCCATCGAAGCAGTCAGCGACGCAATCAAAAGGTGAGCGAATTCGGGAATCCACGATGCCGTCACGACGGAAGCATAGAGCTGTCGATACGCCGGCGAAGATGACAACTAGGGGCATGATGACGAGGATGACGACGAGAGTGCTCACTTGCATGATGGACTGGTGCTGTGAGGATATGATGGGATTTGATGGGCAGGAGTATAATGAATGGAGGTAGGTGTTGCTGATGGTCTGAGTTTAGGTTCGTTGGTTTACTGTGTGGCTGCGGCGTTGTGTTCACTGGTGATTGGACAAAATTCAAAGTGTGAAATTTGAGGGACAAACGGAAAGTAATAAAGCATCACAGACACGGAATTGGATCTTGAATTGGGGAATCGTGAGTTATTGAAGTGTAGTCTAGTGACATACTGGTATAACATGTCTAACAACGTCACCAAGCTCTCTCCTCCGTCCTCGGGAAAAGGCCGTAAGCTAAGGTTTGGCTCCATTCATATCCGGATAGCTGTGCAGTTATACTCGTCAAAGCATAAGTCTTTCTTCCATACCCAGCAAGGTACTCCAAACAGGATGCCCAAACTAGAACCGACCATTGCCAAACCCCATGGTCGCAGCAAGCATGTCCATACCGGACTTCTCCTTCTTAGTGTCCTCCTCCTCGGCTTCTCGGCCATCTTTACGCTGGTCCTCTGGGTTTGGAGCGTCTTCACGCGTCTTGTCCTGCTTGACAAGCTTCTTCAGCTTCGAAGCCAAAGCTAGCTTGGTATACCCCTTCGAAGCGTTACCAGCCTCAACTTCGAAGCCAGGCGTGGGCATACCTAGAGCATCGCTATCCTGCTGGAAGACGTAAGTCTCTTCCGGAATGGAGCCCATGGTTGTTGAGCGATGCTTCCGAGCCTTGAAGAAAGACAGCGGATTCGATCGACGACGCTGATGATGGTCTTGTTGCAACTGGCCATCATCGAACGTAGAGTGAGAAGAACGATCCGGCACTGTTGGCTCTTCAACAATGGGACCGAGCGTAGTCGACTCAGGCTCATGAGGGACGTGAAATGAAAGCGGATTCTTACTCTGTGAGCGCCGGCGTTGATGATGGCGGTGGTTGTGCGCGGTATCGTCATGGCCCTGGCCGAAGTGGTCTCGCGGACGGCCGATGTCGAAGGTAGTGCGACGTGTGCGCCCGATTGTAGTACCCACTTGAAGGGTAAGTGGGTGAGCTTCTCCGTCGATGAATGACACCGGATATTTGCTATGCGAGCGACGGCGGTTGTGGTGCCGACCCACTTGCATGACATACTCTGGGGTAATGGAAGGTGGGCACTTAGAACCATTCGAACCATGTTTCTCAACTTCCGGAGGCAGAACACTCTCATCATCGGGAACTTCAAGGAATGATCGAGGCTGAACCTCTGTCAGGTCCTCCAAGCTAGATGACATTGACACCGCATACGTGCTAGCGGTCTCACTGATATCGTCAACCCGGCCAAGGAGGTGGCGGGTGGAAGAGGATACGAAAGAAGTCTTAGGAACTTCAAGATGCTCCTTCATCGCAGCCTTGTTCTTCTTCGAAATCATCGTCTCCTTGAGGCCTTCGGACTTTGGGGTCTTCTTGAACGTAACCGGAAGCTGTGCAATGCCCTCTGGGACAACGGGAACCATGAAAGGAAACATTTTCTCGTTGCGGTTGAGTGTTGAGTTGCGCTGTGCGTTTGGTTTTGTGAAGGTTACGATGTGGATCAGGTATGTTTCTTATAAGGACTAGGGAGCGCCCACAGGTAGTGAAACACCAGGCCGATTTGCACTGCATTGGTGCGTGATCTATCTTGGTGAAAATGCTCCTCACCTTTTGATGAAACACGTCTCTCCAAAATCCTCAGTACGAGGCTGGAGGCTTGATTTGAACACTCCATATCTTCATGCTCTGGGGGGCAACATTTGACCTACCTCGAACGCTCGGTATGAGGTCAGCCCTCCCCATGATCCAAAACTTCCATCTTCATGTCGACTTCATCCATCTCTCAAAGACCCTGCGGGTACGTACGCTCACAATGCAATTCCAATCTCTCCCCGTCCATGGTAAGTTCTCTCACCAGTCAGTCGCGCATAGGCTCGCCTGCGCTCCCGGTCCCGAACCGCCTTCTCATATTCCGTCAACTCCGTCTCGATCTCCTGGTCCCTAACCTTAGCGTGCGGCACGGGAGTCAACTCTTGCAGCTTGATACCCTCCTCGATCTGTGCCTCTCTCTTCATAGCGCGAGCTCGAGCGATGTAGCTGGATATGCTTAGTACGCCCATCCGTTCTAGTGTTTTTACAAAGCCCTCCACTTACGACGGAAGCGATTGCTGTCTCGCCCGCTGCTGCTGTTCACGCTGGCGCTCGGAAGCGGCGGCTGCGTGCCGCTCCTTCTTCTTCTGGTAGCACGCGATGCCCAAGAAAATAAGGCCGATGATGGTCATGGTCAAGAAGGCAAAGCCGAGGAGACCGCCACCGTAGAGAAGCGGGTCATCGTGGCCTGGCGGAGGTACGTTGGTGATCTCGGCCGGGGTAGAGGCTGTCGTGTTGGCCATTGTAATCTAACAGTAAAGTCGCGACTGCCTTAGAGTTGGGAAGGGGCTTAGATAAGAATGAGGGAAGGGGAGGGTTTACCGTACTGCGAGGCAAGCGCGGAGCGGGAAGATGGCGTGTTGTCTTGCTTTCGTGTGCGCCGACCCAGATTGACCGGTGTTGTTGCGACGTAGGTTCGGTAAAAGCAGAGCTGACAGTGAGACGACGTTAAAGTTCGCTGGCGCTAGAAGTGGAAGGCGCGTTTAGAAGTGGAAGGCGCGTTTGCACGTGCAAGGTGAAAGTTCAGGTGAATGAGTTCGAGGTAGCGCTGGCCTGAGCAAAGGCGGACACTATGATCGGTCTAAGCCTCGCATTCTTCATCCAAACAAGTATAATGCCGCTGTTATGCCCTCGCCGTGTTATAGGCATCAGTATGAACGCTCAATGCTCTCCGTCGCGATCAGATGTCTCTACAGCCGCTTTTGCACGCGAACCGTCTTAAAAGGTCTAACCCCGTGAACGTACAAACACCATCCCAAATCGCATCATCAGTTCGTGCCGTCCAAGAAAGAGCTACCCGCGTGGTTACATCGCCCGTCCAATCCCTCCCGCAAGCTGGGCCTTCTTCCATCCACCCTCAGGTTCCACCTCCTCATACTGGGGGAGCGTGTCTACACTGTGGCTACGCACAGGAGTGCGCGGTAGACCGGCGCGGGGCATGTGATATCGAACGACAGTGTCGTTGCTCCCAAGAGAGTGCGGCGAGCCATCCGCTCCCTCCGCATCACCACCATCGAGGGGACTTCCCGGCGTTTCGGAGCGTTGTCGCTGCGCATGCAGAGGCCGAGGAACGGATACGCGTCGAGAGAGACGCCGAAGCTGGATGTCTTCGCCGCCGTCGGCGCTCCGCGCGGCATCGTCTTGTCCAGTGTTGAGGTACAGCGGCAAGATCTGGGAAGCTCGGCGGGAGTGTTGCTGGCGGGCGACTTTCTTCTTGTGTAGGTCGCGTAGGACCCAGAGAGCAAACAGGATGAACAAGACCAGGGAAGTCACTCCGAAGACGTAGCTGGCGACGAGCCAGGGATCCTGGATGTCGTCCGATTTGGACATAATGAGATGGTCGATCTGTGGGTCGATGGGCATGATTCCCCCGTCCAACGTGTCCATGGTATGTTCGTTGGCTTGGTTTTGTTGGTAAACTTGCTTTTCAACTGTTCAGCTAATTCCAGGGAATGTGCGGGGTGCTCGTTCTGGGCATGGGGATATTTATCTTACCTGAAGCGCTGGCTTCGACGAGTCTTGTCGACGTTGGGGAGAAGTCGCGGTCGCTAGGTTGTGTGGGTGATCGTTTGATGAGAGTAGGGTGAGCGAGAGTAGGTGGTACGTTCGGACTCGGCGCGGCTGAGCAGATTACTTTCTAGCGCGAACGGGCCGGTGAAGTAGGCGACAAGTGAAAGGACCCGTCTCCATGGTAGCGCGTTGGGAACCCGCTCGACCCCGGGTGCAAATGAGCTGCACGTGTCTGAGAGTCCGTGGATCTTGGGCTCAAGGCGTAGCCCCTCGTCTAGCATCATGCGTGTATAAGATTCTACTTATATGTTTCGCGTTAGCGACCTCTCCTCCAGGCCCAGGACGATTGGCCCTCAACACTCGTTCGTTCCGTCTGTGGCAACATTTATATATGGGGGCAAGTGCCGTAAGAAATTAAGAACGCGTACTGTGAGGTATATAAGATCTAGGCGATAAAGAACAGGCGAAGGCATCCTGAGCCAATCATGTAGGTGAGGAGCAAGTGTTTTCCTATGATTGCTGATGTCTGGTGAGCAAGAAATTGCTGGTGTCTGCTGATCAAGTAATCCTCGAAGGCAATAAAGAAGATGCTAGACGACAGACAAGATGGTGATGAGAAGAACATTCGTTTCCGAAATGCGAAAAGTTGCAATAAACAGACGAGCGCAAAGCAACCTGACCATGGAAGAAGTGCTGGCGATGTAATAACGAAATATTCTTTTTTTTTAATTACATGTCCATACGATCCACACTATGAAGCTCAAAAAGCTATGCATAATTACTCTCAAGAGGAAAATCGATCAGAGCAAGAATAATGAACTAACGTCAAAAGACAAGAAATCCAATGCTAATATATGGATGACAATGCATAAGACACCGTCACACCACACGATGCCTCTCGTGAGATTATCGACCTACCGTAGACCTTAGCCAGATGCATGTGTGCCTGCCACATCTTTATGCTGCAAGAGGTAGGTCTTTTTCATCAGAAGAAGCGCCCCAAGCACCAGCTCGACCCGTTCTCTGACATATCGGTAGGCAATGATGCACCTGGCATGATATCCATTGCCTCTGGATTAGGTTCGTCAGCAGATAAGACGTCCCGCTCCACCGGGGGCTCATTCAGTAGCTGATACTTCTCGATCAACCCGAGACTGATCGGCATTGTGCCCTTGATAAGGCAGAGGTACCCTCGGATGAATTTCATATCGTGGAGCTTGAATAAGATTCCAGCTACTTGGTTGCGTTTTGCTAGATAATCTGCCTTGACAAGTGGTGAAACATCACAACCCCAACCATCAGCCGGCAACGGTTTCGCGGGCTCATTCCCAGGCGGATTGTTTGCACTTGAAGTGGGTGCAAGTCTCGATGAAGGAGAAATCACGTACATAGAGTAGTCCCCAGTTTTACAATGGACCGCGGCAGGTTAACTAAACAGAGACAAGTGCTTCGCATATGTGCGAGTAGGTTTTCTCATTCCAGACATCCTCGAAAACAGCCGCGAAAGATTATACTGAAGGGGAACTGCAACGCCGAATTCGACGGCTTCATGCTGCCCGGGACCTTGTAGGTATGACATACTTTCGTCGCGTATGAGCGAGTCGATCTAGGATGGATACATAGAGCGGGCACAGTAAAGCGAGCACGTGCCGCTCGGCACATTTCAATGCGTCTCATTTGCCTAGGAGCATATTGGCGTGAGCAAACTGCTACGCGCTCTCTTTGGTTTGTCCCTTACTCCTCCCTCATGTAGCCCTGACGCACTTGGTGCCATTTGTGTGCCGCTCCTTCCAAAAGTGCCGGTAAATATCCAAGACCAGTGTTTCTTGCTTCTTTCTCTTCCGTTGTTCTCGCCATTTCCCAATCAAGGTGAGGGCACGCTATTAATGTCTGACCAGGAAGGAGAACTGGGTTACGGCAAGGCTAACATTCGTAGCCATCCAAAAAAAAAAAGGAGCCAATTTCGCGCTTCTTTCTGTTCCAAAGTTGTCCAAGTTGACACAGAGTTCCAGAGACGGTCTCAATCCAGGGGATGCATACGGTCGTTTCACCGTCCCATATGCGTCAGTCTCCTGGCTGCTTATGTGACTCTGGGCTCGAATTGCCGGATGTGGTGGTGCTGCTCCCGCTCAAGCTCACAACACTAGCCCGTCTCGAGTGCTGTGAGTTCAGGCTAAGTGGTTCCATTGCCGTACTAAGTGGTCTCAAATTGGGCTGCGGTGGGAAGTAGTCGACCCCTTCATCCTGATCTACAGTGCGGTGCGGCGTACGCTGGGGCGTGCGCACTCTGCTATGAACCGGGCTCATCCTGAACGCTTCAGGGCCTCCGCTCCACCGCTGCTCTTCGCCTGTATGCCTTCTTTGATGCCGCCGTCCGGGAGGTAGAGCCAAGGGGAGTTCCAGCCTCTTATTCATGCCCATCCATATCGCCTCCTCTTCCTCGCCTTCGTAGTACCGCCACCCTCCCACGCCCTCGTAGTCTCGAGCATTGGCCATCTGAGTGACATTGATGAGGGACGCTGAGGAACCGCTCTTGGTATAGAGTCGCGCGGCAGGTGCGCCGTCCTGCGGTGTGCTGCTCGTACGGCGAAAGCGCGTTGGGGATACAGGCGGTATGACGCGTCTGGGTGCAGGCTTTGCAGGCTCCGGGAAGAGATAGGCGTGCACGAGAGCGACGCCGAGCTCGAAGTAGACGATAGAGACGCGGACGGCCAGGAGAGAAATCGCGATGCCTGTCGTAACTGCCGCGAAGATGGCGAGCGGGAAGGAGACGAGGAAGAGCAGAGGTGGCCCGAGGAGGTACAGCGGGTTCGTCAAGATGCCCATTTTGTCTGGTATGTGCTGGGTTGCCACCAGAATGGCTGGCAAGTCTACTGAGCGTATATCATGTTGCTATGGATGAGCAGCATACATATGTAGGCTGATGTCCAGATGTCGGCTGACATGTGAATGAACATTCGCGGGGAAGCGACGCTGCCAAGCCGGAGATTTCGGCCCCAGCTCATCGTAGACGTCCACACGCCCAACCTCACTAGTCTACAACAACTGTCCTATAACAACTGTCCTACAACTGTATTGTCACAGGCCTTCGACTACCCATCAATGGCTACAGATCGAACATAGCCTCAAGAGGTTTCGCCTGCTTTTCGGTCGTGTTCACCTTCGTGAAGCCATGACAATGAAAACCATCACTCTACAAAGAATTACGTCCCGATGGCGCCGCCCACTAATTCTCTTCGATAGGCCTCTTTGTCAATCGCTTGGTTTAGTTCGCTAGCATGCTTAAAATGCCCTTTGCTTCCTACATCCCACCCCATCCACAGTGCGTTGATACCTGCTGCCAACCCTCAATATGCCACCTGCAACATTAGAGACCAAGGACATTGTCGAGCACGCCTTAGCCGGTGGCCCTACTGGAAATGGAACTGCCCAACTGAAATCGCGCTTCACGCGCGCTGAGAAACGCAAGTTTGCTCGCGGAAAGAAAGCCATCCAAGTCCCCCAGGCCCCGAAGAACAATACAAAGCCAAAGATCGACTTTCGTAATTCTGCATCAGTTAAACTAGATATTTCCAAGCTCTTGCCCTCTCAAATTGATACTTACCTTGCCCTGCTTGAGGCGAAGGCGCGCGTTGGTCGCTCGAAGCCGAGCAGCCTTGCCGATCGTGTAACCCGCGACAACGTCAAGAAGGAGAAGGCAGGCGAGAAGCCGAAGAAGGAGCTAAGTGCCGCTAAATTGGATAAAATCGAGAAAAGAAGACAGCTCAGAGCGGCCAGAAAGGAAGCCTGGTTAGCGAAGAAGGTGGCCGATGTGGAGAAGAAAGAGCCTACCGAGGCCACGCCGGCTGCAGTGCCCGCGAAATCTCCAGTGCGAACTGCGGCCACATCTCGCCCACCGTCGCGTCGTGCATCAGCCATTGCCCGCTCTCCAGCTCGTACTCGCTCTGCTAGTATAGTCCCGGCTACCCTTCCCCACCCGGAAGACACATTCGAAGAACTAGAATACTAGGCCGTCTTTACCACGAGCCGTGTCTTTGTCTGGCCCTCTGCTTTCCCAACCAGCCAGGCTTCTCCCTCGTTCTTTACAACATTCATTGAACAATGTTCGCTCCCTACACTGCGCCTATGTCATGTTTCACGTCTTGTATATTCACAACTTTTTCACCTTTTGATGCTACTACCCAAATATGCCTTTGTCTTCCTCTATGTATTTCAAGAGCGTATGTGAAATAGAAATCTTCCTCAGACTTGGCCAGCTTTCCTATCAACCTCTCAACCGAGCCCCAGTATGGCTCCAATCAACATGTTACTCCGTCACGTCCTGGCTAATCGCACAGTCAGCTCAGGGAGCACCCCGCACACTGGCGTGCATATCCAATGGGCGCCACTCATTGCCCTCGCTATCATAGTCATCCTTATCGTGGGCGCGATCTTCATTCCCAAGACCTGGTTGATCACCTTCTATAATCGAGTTCGTCACAGCTTCGGACGCACAAAGAAGCATCCGGCGGATCCAACTGCTCCCGAACCTGTCAACCCCATTACCACCAACATCTCACTCCCTCGACGGATCTTCACACCGTTCTCGAAGTCTCGCAGACGGGATGAAGGGCACCGCCTGCGCGAGGCGCGGGAGGAACCGTTCATTGATGTCCATCTTCGCGAAATCCGTGGATGGAAGAAGCCAGAAGTGCAGAGTGTGAACCGTCCCGAGCCGATTGGATCAGAGGAGGTTGGGTTGCCGCTTCCTGTTCTGCACCCTGATAGGAGCCGGGACCGCAAACAGCGGCTTCCTTTACGAAAGACGTATGCCAGTTTCAAGCAGTGGCTGAAGGATGAGGAGGCTGATTAGACACAGAAGCTAGTTGTCCAGGTAGGACTAAGTGGTAGCAATTGCCGGCTCGCTCTCAGGTAGACAATTTTCTGATTTCGATCTCCATGAGCAGACCTCGTACTACCTACCAGATCTACTGCTACTGCGATCAACCCAATACAATCTCCCCTTGCGCTTTTCCTTATTTCTGGTGCAAAAACTCATCGTGTTACCCTTTCCATGTTCTTTGGGACGATCCCTTTCTGGTTGACGGGCACTGTCTCGTTCATGGGTCTCACATGTCCCTGTTCTCCAACCCTTTTTGTGACCTAGATGTCTCTGTTGCGTGTATCTTTCACGTAGTTATGTCCCTATGATGTATTGTCTCTGCACGCAAGCGCAGCTGTTGTCCTTGTCATCGGGCCTTGGACGAGCCTACTTCACCTGCCGCTGTCCTGGACTTTAACACTCGAGGTTTGCTCTTTTCTACGAGGAACCAATGGTACCCAATCAGCAAAGCCACGCAGGGTGCAAGAGCTAGTACTTTCACCTCACTGAGGGTGCAAACCTCTGATTGGCCCTTTTTAACTAGTGCCCGTGCCATGATTACTCCATTTGGCCATGGACCGTGGAATGGACCCAGCAATGTCCTGTCACGCTATATAATTCGACCTCGAACGTTCACTCTCACCCAAAACCTCCACCCACAATCTTGGACAGACAGTACGTTTTTTCCTTCGGCACATTGTTTCACGCGGACATACTGACAGAGCAGAGAAGTAATTCGACATGGTCGACGCAAGCGACATGGAGGACAGAGTTCCAACGAAGCCCTTTGTAGGATTTGGTGTCGGAACCCACAATTCCCTCGAGGAACTTGCTATGGAGTTGCAAGAGCTGCGTCGCGGCGATACAGGCCGAAGATCTAACTCCGGTAGCAAAGAGTGGTCCATCCCGCTCCGTGGAGATTCCAAAAGTATGTAAATCGGTTGCTCTATTATACCATAGATGCCGAACCCAACCCCTCGGTGTTCCTACTAACACATTGCAGCGGCATTCCACCCAAGCAATCATCAGTTTTCTCACCCTGCGCCAGGCCATCTCTCAACCTCTGGGTCGGGTCAAAACAACCAAACCTCAGGTGTGGTCACGTCCGCTAGTGGCAGAGTGAACGACATTTCGCCATTTTCTACCACGATGGCACGGCCTCAAGACCATAGATCTGCAGATACATTGCGTGTGGGCATTCCTCTGAAGCAGCCGCTGAGCATCGCAGACGCAATGCCCGCCTTCAAGAGTAATCGCCTGAGCCTAGCTCAACCGACCAGCATCCGGCCACCGATCGAGACGTTTGACAGCTCGGCGCCTGTTGCACCTTCTACCGCCTCCACCCCACTTCAGTTGTCCCTAGCCTACCAAGATTGGCCGACTCCAGCACATCGGTCGCCTTTCTTCCAGACCTCTTTCTACATGGCACCACCTCCACTTCTGCTGTCACAACCGAAGGCGAATATAACCCAGCCTTCTAAGACACGCGCTGTGGCAGGCGCGCACGTAGAGAAGCCAGGGAGCCTACGTGCTTCAACTCGAGGCAACCCACGCGCACCTTCTTCTTTCTCTCAAGCCCACCTCGCATACCTAAAGGCGCACTCTCCTACTTGGGCTCTTCCGGCTCGAGCTACGAGTGGAGTAGACCAAGAGCTCGAGAGCAATTGCACGCCTCCAAATGTCAATATCACATTGTGCAAAATGCCCCTTAGTGTGGAGGAGATATTGACGTACTTTCCATTGCACCTGAAGTGGTATTCTATCGCTGCTCGCTTGCATAGTCATGGGTGGGCTGCGATGGCTATCTGCTACTACATCTACTGGTCTCGTGAGTTGGAACAGAAGTTGACCTTGGAGCGCACGCGAGTCCAACACATGCTTGGCCGCGCACTCGAACACTACAAAGAGATGGACCTTGCGCTTCTTGACCCGAACGCGATATCGGCCAATCCGTCGCAGATGAAGAGCACGGCCACAGCTGCTCTTGCGCCGACTAGATTCCACGACTACTATCTCGCTGATCTGGCTGAGGGGGTCAAGCATCATCCTGAGGGTCGCGGCCGCCAGGGCTTAACGCATGCCATCGAGCATGCTCGTGCGAATGGGAACGACACTGTGCTTCTCAGTCAGGCGCATGATTATGTTGTGAAACACAATTTGCTCGACGTTACAGCCGAGTATGATTGCAATGCCGAAGACCGTCTTGCCCATCCGCGCGTCTACACAAAGACGAGTGCGTACTTCAACAAACTTGTCGATGTTTCAGGCGCATCTAGTGGGGAGCCTAAGACCAAAGACATCAAGGTGGAGGTCATTGACCTTACGGGAACGGATGAAGACGACGAACTGAACGCGGAGACAAGCGAGGAAATACATGCCAACGAAAAGCTCCCAAAGCTCAGCAATTCCGAAAAAGCAGGCAGCAGCGTTAAGGTTGATGCTGAGACGGGCAAGGGGCAACGACAAGTATGATGGGTATATGATCGGTTCGTTCTCCGGAACCTTCTCCATTATAAGGACTAATCTTTGTCCAGACAACGATTTACCTGCAGCGGACTCCAGCCGGCCTCTCGTAACCTCAGGTTTCCGGGCGGCATCTCACCCTAAGTCATTCTGGAACATCGTTATGTTGATACAAGATCATGCAGTCGTGTGTATGAATTGCCGTTCCGGCATTATAGCTATGGTGGCAAGAGCGTTTACCCCTTACATTGCACCCTTCCTCGACTCAATGCCCTCTTATCCCCTCGTACCTACCACCATCCCTCTCCCCTCGCTTCTTTTCATTCCTAGGCCTTATCAGCATTCATGGCTGCGTTAGCATTTGTCGATAGCGAGGTTCCGTATTTGGAGCGCGGTCACCCGATTGCTTTACGATATGGCCTACATTGGCCGTGTGCAATTTCCAGATTGTGCGGCGTGTGGACATATTAGACCGGGCCACCGAAGCGTTCTGTTGACGTTCAAATTCTGTCTACACTAGAACTCGACAAGTAGATAAATAATTGATGTGCTTATTTGCTTTCGTAAAATGTACCTACGAGTAAGTGATACCATTGGAGGTATATTATGTTTGATACAAGATTTGCGATCGGTATCAGGGGCGAGTCGTGCGGATCGCGAGCTGCCCGTAATAGAGTGTGATGGCAAATTACTGCAGTGCAAAGGTGGGAACCGTCTTTAGCTGTGGGAGCAAACGAGAGGAAGTAACGTGCTGCAGAGCCGTATAATGAAACATAATTTGGTGTAGTCCACGTTTTCTACTTACATTGAGTCGTTACATCACATTATATGTGTCGTTGAAATATCTTCACAGTCATGAAAACAAGTATGCAGAAAGCTCCTGAATTGGCAAAATCTTGAATTTCTATCCATAAGCGCAAAAATACCTGGGAAAGTATGTTCTCCTACTCATTTACGGGGAAGTCATGATGCATGTTGCGGAAGAACCGTCTCGACGGGCTTGTTGGGCTTCTGTTCACTGAGACGACAGAAACCAACGAGTGAAACAATCGCAAAGCTAAAAACGAAAAAAAAGATATATCAAATTCTAGAATGCTCGCCATGTGCCGCGGGATTCTATAAGATGGGGAAAGAGAAAAAAGGAGATGGGGCCTGTCTTGGCCGACATCCAAGAACCGGTTGTCTCCTGATCTTGATCAATAGAACTAGGATGGATCGGAAGCCAGACGATCGTCAGTTGGCTCGGTAGTCGAGGTGGATTGGCTCTTAGCAGCTAGAGTACGCGGTTTGTGGCCATACGTCCCAGTAATGCTCACCTCATATCCGGGGCGGCGGACCAAGGCAGCGGCGGCGGCCAAAGCGGTGGAATCTGCATGCGCTCCACCGGGCTGCACGGAATTCGGCAGACCAGCATCTGCCACCGTTTGGAACAAGCCCATCTGTTTAGCAAATTCAGAAACCCCGCTCAACTTCAGAGCCTGGCACTCAGCATCGTTCGGAAAATCCTTGACCAACCGGATGACATCGGTCAAAGCACCAGCGTTCACACCGGTCGGGTACATCGCTGGGAGGACACCGTCTGCAAGGTCGGAGACGTAGTAGTCGATGTGACCCTCAATGTCACCGCCCCGAATCTTTGTGGCTCGTCGTGGGTCCTGCCAGTTGGCACATGTCAAGTCAGCATACGGACGCGGCACCACCTTGCTCGTTCCTTGGCGAGTTTGGGTGACCCCAAGATCTCCGCGGTAATGACCTATGCGGGACCTATCGCGCTCGGCCATGCGCGCGTCTTCCTTGGATGTCGAGCTCGTCATACCCCGGACGACATAGACGAACTTGATCATGTCAGTGTCAGTCCAGCCCCCGCCAGCCAAGCGGTGAATTAAGTCCGGCCAGTAGCCCAGATGGTCAGGAAACCAAGTGAGGAGCTCGTGTGCGGTGATATAGACATCACCGAGCAAACGGAGATCGACAGTATAAAAAGGCGCGTGGCTATAGATGGGATGCTCAGAGCGGTGGCTCACCTGGGGAAGTTGAGCGCCGATTTCGCTCCAGATACGGAGTGCGCCTGCTGGAAGTGCGCGATCCTGGTAGAGTCCTGGCTTAGGTGTAGCTATGCGTGAAGTATTCTTAGCCGATTCACTAGGACCTCCTGATGCGGAGTTCTGCTGATAGGCAGCTGGAACGTTGGGCGGAGCAACGTGACTGGTGTTTTGCGGCATTCCGATGTTGATGTTTAGCGGCGCATGCACGTTGACATTCGTTGACATCTGGAAGTTGAAGTTGATCGGCATATGACTGAACTCATGGTTCATTGCCAGCATGTGGAACTTCCCACCTGAAGTAATCCACCATTCTGCGAACCCTTGATCGTGCTTGTCGAATAAGGCGAGATCCTTTGCGTGAGGGGATTGTTCTGGAAACACACCGATTACAGAGCCGCGGTGACGAGTAGGAATTGACAGGAATGATTGCGGAACTTCGGCTTGAACGCGAGCTGCGTTATGTGGACCATAGGGTTCAACGACGATGACAGACTCAATGAAGATCTCGTCCTTGAACTTCAGGTAGTGAAGCACTTCGTCCGGCGATTCGAAACCAATGAAGCCGTCCTCCTCCATGCGCATGGAGTCTTGAAAGTTGCCAGGCTCATCCCCGAGCGGAGTCGCATCCTTCATCATCTGGTTCATTGAATCGTTGACGGCTGCAGTTTGCTGACTGGTCGGTTGAATGTCGCTCGTAGCAAGAAGAGCTGGATCGATTACGGAAAGCTTCATAGCGTCGTTGATGGGGGTGATCGATTGGGTAGCTAAGATCATGTCGTTCATGCTAGGTGCGGTTGAGTAGTTCATGGAGTGGTCCGTGGTCATTTCGTTCTTGTGAAGATTCTCCATAATGATCGTTATTTGATAAGATGAATCGGGTGGATGTTAATGGTGGTATCGAGTTGATGGTCAATTTGGGTTGTGTTTGGGTTACAACAGTGGTAATGGAGCGAATAAGATGATCGTGGAAAAATATATATAGAGAAAGGAGAGGCTTCGTAGGGTGAATTTTTGCCTATGTGAGCACACGATGAAAATGTAGGGGAGTTTATGAAGTATCATTGATGACCATGCTAGGTGATTTTGTTTCCCTCGAGTCATTGAAACGATTGCATAGAATGGCGGAGCAATGCCTACATAGATCTCACAGGAGAAAGGCAGGCCGAGATAAAAGGCCGAGCTAGGTAAGCGTGAGAGGACGGAATGGAGCTGCGGTGGCGCTCGGGCAGCGACGCCAAGACTTCGACGGTGAGCGTCGCGGCACGTGACCCGTACCAGTACCCTCGACCTGCTCCTACGCCCAGCCCTAGCTACCCTCGAAACCACGACCGGACCTAGTCAATCAAACATACTTCGGTGCGTATCTGCGCGGTGCAATCATCTCAGAGGCTCCATTCGATCGGCCTCATGTGGTAACAGGTTCGCGGCTCGCAGTACGTGGCAGTAGACGTGTTGCTTACCCCAATATCGCTAACAGGTGTCGTGTCTAGGCATTGAGACTCCGCAATGAGTGTACATCCGACCTACTTCGACGACAACGGCCGCGCCGCACGTCTCAGGCCCATCTACGCCCCTGACTTTAGCTTGCCTGTCGCGTTCCAGACAGTGTGGGGACAGGGAATAATTGCCAAGTGGTATTATGAGGCTCTGCAGGATACTGCACGCCCGGATAGGGAACATCCGATAATGCTCGAGCTGTATTGGCAGGAGAAGGTTCGCCGCGGAGAGTTTCCTGGCCCAGATGATGTATCCCCTCTAGGCTTTGTGTTTCCGGCGCCAGCCTATGTGCTGCATTCGTTCAATGAGGAAGCCACCGAGATGGTCGAGCCTCACGGAGTGTGGAGCGTGACGATGGAGGGGTCGATACCGCACACACCCGAAACCGCGCGAAGCCACCGGCGGTTGCCACCAGGAGAGGTGCGGATGTTGGAAGAGCTAAACGTCCCAATAGGACCAAAACAGCAAGAGTTGGCTATTCATCCAATCGCAAGCTGGGCACCGCCTGACAGCGTCGACCTTCGCCTGCTGGGATCCTGTCCAGTCACTGCCATCGAGATGTTTACAGTAGGTAGTGTCTGGGTTATTGCTTGGCCTGATTTTGCTAATGTGTTTCAGTTCTTCCCGTACCATGTGAATTGGGATGGGTTCTCGCGTCGCTTCTATGAGCGCCCCGGCGGCTGGTCGATCGGACATATGGGTCTCGCGATGGTAAGCTGTGGCATCAACCTTGTTCCGGATGTTTCTTACACATCCAGCTCCGTGCGCGTACCGTGACAGCACCCAATATCCTCGAGAACCACACGAGCTTCATCGGCAAGAAGATCCGTGGTCAGAAAGCGAAGGAAAACATGTTCGACAATCGTCCCGAGGCAATCGACGTGACTTGTGCGACTTGGGCGCCACCGACTGTTGCACAGAAGAGTGTCGTTCCGATAGACTATTACCTGGCCGACCTCGCTACGGGAATTCATCGGTCAGACTTTCCTGTTGGCGATGATAAAGGGCCACTGACGTTTGCGATCGAGTACGCTCTGGACCGTCCACGCGCTCCTATCAAGCTGAGTGACTTTGAATACTTGGTCTGGGCTGAAAATCTAAATGTGGAGGCGCCAATTTCGTTATGGACGGACGCGATCAACAACGAGATGGATTCAAAGGCAGTTCTGCGGCACGCAGGGAACCTCGCCGGCTACCGCGCGGCTCATCACATGTCCAGGGTTCGGGGAGGAACGACTCAGACGGCTGACAGTACGGAGAAGTCAGGCAGTGGGGCGAAGTCCACGAAGAGCAAGTCTAAGAGCAAGCCTAAGCGCAAGTCTAAGAGCAAGTCTGAGAGCACTGGTGGGAGGGTCAAGCGGATTGCAAAGAGTTAGTTGTCTGTATGGGAAGGGGTCTTCGAGAGCAACGGTAATAGTCGTTTATGCGAGCGAGCAGTAGAGGAAGGAACGACCACGGGCATGTGGCAGGTTGTTCAAGTTTTAATGAAGAACATGCGGCGTTTGCCCGGCGTTTGATATTGTGGGTTCATAATGTACAATATCCTTGTCTGGAGCGTCAAACGACGTGGTGAACTCGACCTCGGAACAGGTGACGTCGATATGGACCGTGCAATAGACTACCATCGTCTTGGCAATTTCCCAAGAGTCCACACTGCCCTCAATAGGCTTTACCTGCTTTCGAAGTGCTCTAATCGCGTTCACGAATAGAGTGAATTTTTACTAAGCGAAGTAGCGTGTTGTCTCATCCGCTTGGTGGTGACATATTAGTAAGCAGTAATAATCTTTAGCGCTGCTCATCCTTCTTGGCAGCAATCGCTCGCTTGTCGCGGCATCAACAACTCTAGCTCACCGTGTTCTTCAAGGTCATTTGAACATCTGTTGAGTGGTTTTTGAAAACATATGAAGTAGCGAAGGCCCTCAATAAACTACAATCGACTATGTTTGGAGGGCCTCCATGCACTCCCCTATGTTTGGGCACTGGAACAAGGGGGCGTTCCTAACGTCCTTCTCAACGTCCTTCATGATATCGTCTTCAGGTCCAGGTTGTTACTGACGCATTCCTCCGCGATACGCGGTAGATTCGCGGTAGCAAAGGCTCCATAGAATGTCTTCTGACGCGTTAAACGCGTTAAGTTCAATCTACTTCATATCTCCCTACTGTGCTTAGACCTCTTGTTGCATAGCAATTACGAGTGTTACTGCTCTCCATCGATTTTTGAATATGTGCGACACCCGGTAATTTCACGAAAGACGAAAAGGACTACACAGTGCTATGCTAACCATCACACCATATTGAATTTTGACTGCGATTGCTAACAAGGAACAGATTTGAAGAGATCGCAAGCTACACATGGGAGCTTGATGGGTGTGGAGGGAGATACTGTGGCTTTCCTATGTCTCGCACAGCACACAGGCATTTCTATTCACTTTGCGATGCGCTAATGTGTACAGGCACCGGCAGGATCTAGTTCCGTCGGAAGCACTTCCTCTTCCCAAATTGGTTCATCTTCAGTATTGAGTAGTTCTGCCTTGGCATCCAGCTCTAGCTTGACATCAACTTCGCCTGGAGTCTCGTCATCTTCCTCGATCGTCTCGTCCTCGGCGACGGACCTTGTGTCCTCCTCGGTGAGTCCGCTCAGTGTGCAATCTTCCACTTCGTCCACCCTGGGGACCTCGTCTTCTGTGACAGTTCCGTCGTCATCATCCATAGGAGGTACGACACAGAGCAGTACGGTCATTGGCACTTCCAGTAGCTTGGTTTTGTCCACAGTCAGCTCTTCAGCGTCACCTGGAACCTCATCAAGTAGCTTGCAGTCCAGCTTGTTATCGACATCTGGAACGACTTCGAGCAGCTTGCAATTTACCTCGTCTACGGGAACTGTGATCCCTTCCAGCAGCTCGCAGTCCACTTCCGCCGCTCCGAGCTCATCATCGGCGCCGACTACCCCATCGAGCAGCTCGCAGTTCGCTTCTTCAATACAGAGCTCGTCTTCCGTGCAGAGCGGTACCATCTCATCCTCATCTACCACAGTCTTGTCATCAAGCTCCAGTACGCCTGTGTCTTCCACCGCGTCTTCGTCAATTGCTCCGTCCAGCACGCCACAGAGCAGTTCTTCGGTCATAACCTCGACCCAGTCCAGCATAGTGCAAAGTAGCTCGGTGAGTACAACTTTTCCAGTAGGCTCATCTTCCCTGGAGGTATCTTCCGGCGCTTCAAGTGTGGGGCCTACATCAGTGCCTAGTTCTTCCCCGAGTAGCTCCGCTGCATCGAACACGGCTATCCCATCAAGCACGCGCGCTATTTTGAGTACGTCTACTTCATCAAGTGGTCTGCTTTCGTCGAGCACTTCTGGCTCGTTAAGCAGCTCTTCTTTAGTAAGCAGTTCCACGTCATTAAGCACAGATCTTCCATCGAGCACATCTGGTGCGTTGAGCACAGCTAGCTCGTCGATCAGCCCCTCTGCATCAGGCAGTTCTAGCTCGTCGATCAGCACCGACCTCTCAAGTGCGCCTACAACGTCGGGCACGTCTGCTGCATCGAGCACATCCGCTTCCTCTACACTTGCGGCATCGAGCACACCTAATATATCGAGCACGCCTGCTGCATCGAGCACGTTTGCTGCAACGAGCACGTCTGCTGCAACGAGCACACCCGTTTCCTCTACACTTACGACATCGAGCACACCCGTTTCCTCTACACTTACGACATCGAGCACACCCGTATCCTCGACACTTGCGGTATCGAGCACACCTGCTATATCGAGCACGGCCGATGTATCGAGCGCAACCGATGTATCGAGCTCGTTCATTTCCTTTACAACAGCGGCACCAACAACGATCAGCTCATCGACTATAACATATGATACGGTTACCAGCTCCAGCCTTTTCAGCAATGCTCCATTCTCTTCCTCTTCCGTGAGTTACGTTTCTTCTATACCTGACGTCTTGTGATTTGCAGCGCCGCAGCACGATCGACGCACCCGTTTAACTTATCGACTAGCCCTCAAGCACACTGGCACAAAGTACTACAGATTCTAGCTCGACTGCAGGGGCATCAGAGAGCAGCTTGACATCCCCTTCCTTGACTAGTCTACCTCCGTCCACCTTCATCACAGCAGTAAGCAGTTCCGGCTCGCAATTTTCCTCCAGCACCTCGTCGGTGGGTTCAAGCAACATCGTTACGTCAACGCAGACCGCAAGCCCGAGCACAAGCCAAGAAACCTCAAGCACCTTTTCGAATGATTACTCTTCCACGACGCCGATTAGCCTGAGCTCCTCGGTATCGTCGCTACCTAGCAGCAGTGTATCACTCTCTTCCTTAGGCGCTGAGGTTTCGACTACTGCATCACAATATACCACAACGTCAAGTGCCTCTCCTGGCGGATCTAGCAGCAGCTCATCAGTGGAAACGACGCAGAGTAGCAGCACGCAAGATGCGTCCGGTACTACCACTACAGATCTGTCTACTACGACCGTGGAAACAACATCGAGTGATAGCCTACAAGCCACGTCCAATCCTACTTCTACAAGCTTGTCTCCTACGTCTGTGGAGACATCCTTGAGTAGCATCTCGCAGGATGCATCGACTCCAGTCTCCGTAAGTCCATCTACTGCAACGTCCATCGGCTCCGCACCAGGCACATCGAGTTCCAGTGCTCCTGATTTTTCTACTACGTCCTTGGGAACAACGTTGAGTAGCAACACACAAGACCCGTCGGGTTCCGCTAGCACAGATTTAGTCACCGAGAGCTCTTCCTCACAATTGGGTGTTACATCATCCTCATCATCAAGTGTAGGTGTTTCATCGACGTCTACTGAAATTGACTCTTTTTCGACGCTCATCTCCACTGGATCTATTCCGTCATCTGAATCTTCAGCTTCTACTCCGAACACAGACTCCTCAGTAACGATTGGACTCGCCACCTCTTCACTAGAAACGACAGGATCGTCTACAGACACGAGCTTCCCTGAGACCACGAGCACTTCCGAAACCACGAGCTCTTCTGCAGTTACGACCTCCTCTGAAGTCACGAACACTTCCGAAGTGGCGAGTTCTTCCGGAGTAACGAGCGCTTCTGGAATTACGAGTTCCCTTGTAGCAACGAGCATTAGTGCAGTCACGAGCTTTCCTGTGAGGACCTCGACTTCATCTTCATCGTCCATCTCCGTCGGCTCCAGTACACCTTCCTCCACGACGACTAGCACGGAGGAAGAGACATCAAACACCGTAATTGTGCCTGCTTTGACGACCGTGACAACATCTATTACCGAGTTTTCTACGCTAGCTACCTCAAGTATCATTTCCACGACGGTTTCTAGCAGCCTTGAAACAATCTTGGCGTCTAGCTCAATTATATTCACAACAACGAGCGACGACCAATCAACGTCAGCTGCTAGCTCAAGTCAATCCTCAACATCGAGCTATGCACAGTCGAGCTCAGGACCCAGCTCAATCATTCTGTCATCATCTACGAGTACTTTGGATTCAATCACAATCTCTAGTTCTGCCGATGCGTCTTTCGCAACAGACAATAGTCAGTCGAGCTCGGACTTCAGCTCAGTGACTACGTCATCGTCGATCAATGTAGAGTCAAGCTCAGCTACCTTATCGACAACAACGGGGGACGTGAGCTCGGGCTCCAGCTCGAATGTCCTGTCATCAACGGCTGGCAGCATGCTGTCAAGTTCATTCCCTGACTCAAGCACAATGCCCCTAACGACGACTAGCAGCGTACAATCTAGCACGACCTTGAATCCAATCACGATTTCGAGCCCGAGCCTAGAGTTTAGCTCAAGCACGGAAAGCAGCTCAAGCACGGATAGCAGCTCAAGCACGGATAGCAGCTCAAGCACGGATAGCAGCTCAAGCACGGAGTCGAGCTTAAGCACAGAGTCTAGCTTAAGCACGGTGTCAAGCATAAGCACGGGATCTGGCTCAAGCCCCCAATCTACATCAAGCACGGACCCTAACTCAAGCACCTTGCTCTTGACGGCTTCCAGCAGCATACAGCCAATTTCGACCACTCACTTCACGGAGACTAGTGCAGTATCCACCACAGCCAGTAGTAGTGAGATGACATCTAGTCTCAATGCACGATCCGTTTCTTCAGAAAGCTTTTCGTCTTCCGTACCATCTTCCGAGCTATCTTCCGCGCAGACCTTCACACAGTCGACCACCACGGAACATCCAAGTACCCAATTTTCGTCTACAGATGGAAGCTCCTTGTCGTCTCTGTCATCCTCAGCAATATCCACAATAGTTACTTCGACCGTCAACCCTACGACATCATCCATTAGTGCGATCTCATTGACGGACACTACCACATCCAACACTGCTGTTTCTACGAGCACGGCGACTGTTTCCATTGACTCTTCAACGCTGACCAGCTCGGAATCCTCGTCGCTAGAGATTTTAAGCTCAAGTAGTACAACTACAAGCTCAAGCCCAAGCTCCTTTATCACGGTGCCAAGCTCAAGTTTCATTAGTACAGTTGCTAGCCCGACCCCCACCCCGACAAATTCTATAACTGGAAGCAACCTTGGTAGCGATTCTAGTTCCAGTCTCACTTCCAGGACGTGGACGTCCTCCGCTCCAACAAGCTCGGTTTTGCTAACTACATCCTCTTCTCAGGTATCATCTTCATCTAGTGATAGTGCATCATTGGCGGGCTCTTCGACATTGAGCATAGGCACGGTATCTTCGACATCCATAGATACTTCCGATATATCGTTGTCGACCCAATTTAGCTTGATCTCGATTGATCAAAGCTCGACTACTGTACAAAGCAGTTCGGACGCAAGTTCTGTGTCTCCAAGCTCCAGTGCATTACGGACAAGTTCTGATACAAGCTCGCTATTTCCGAGCTCTACTATCATGCAAACGAGTTCTGATACGAGTTCGATCTACTCTACCACCACAGCCACACCGAGTGTTTCGCCTTCGGTATCGCCTTCTGCGTCCGGCTCATCTGCAAACTCGGTAAGATCACGTTTATTTATTGACTACTTTCCTGTATAGATATGAGTGTTCAAGGTAGCCAACACTGTCATACAATCCACAACTGACATGGGCTTGACCGATCCTTATTTAGTTTTGCCACGTACGAAGCGAAAAGAGCTTACTCTGTCATCAGGATACCATCACGAGTAGCTTTGTGGGCTCAACCGGTTCGTCCAGCTTGTTTTCGTCAAGTCTCGAGGGCGCTTCGTCCACCAGTTCCCTGAGTACGCCCTTAGACACCGTGTCTAGCTCTTCGTATTCGCCCACACGGTCCCGCTCATCTTGCCCGGCGCCGGTGACGAATTTCCTCACGATAACGACCGCAGCTAGTGAAGTGAGTCGTGCGCTAGATCTCTTTCTACTCCGCTAATCTAGTCAGGTGACCGTCACTGTGAGTGCTTCACCGGTCCTTATCACAGAGACGGCATATGAGTCTGGCCCCGCGGTGACAGCATTCGTCACGCAAGTGCAGACGGTGGTTCAAACCTTGCCAGCATCGACTACAACCGTTAGCGGATCTGTTGAAACTCTGGCCGCATCTACAGTGGTCATTACCGAAACGGCATATCAGTCGGGTCCAGCCGTGACCGCCTTTGTCACACAGGCGCAGACCGTCGTTCAAACATTACCATCGTCGACTATAACTGTTAGCGGATCTTTACAGACCCTGCCAGCCTCTACTGAGACGATGTATCAAAGCTACGTTCAGACCCTGCCGGCCTCAACGGTGACAATTAGCGGATCAGTGGAAACTTTGCCGGCATCCACGGCCACTATTTACCAAACTTATGTACAGACGCTACCCGCCTCGACTGTCACCATTAGTGGTTCCGTTCAAACCGTGCCAGCATCGACTCAGACGATATACCTGAGTGGGTAAGTTCAAAGGTAGGTGTTCCACCTGAGTCTGCATACTGACAAGGCACTCTATAGCTCTATCCAGACAATGGTTCAAACATTGCCCGCGAGTACCATAACCGTTAGTGGAGATGTGCAAACATTGCCGGCGTCGACGGTATACTTGAGTGGGTGAGTGAAACATCAAAGAATCCTCTGTGATACGCGTACATACTGATCACCCGTTCTAGAGCCGTGCAGACGCTTCCACCTACCACAATAACCGTCGATGGATATGTGCAAACCTTACCGGCCTCCACTACGACGGTATACCTTAGTGGGTGAGCAGACCAAAAGTTTACCTGTTGTCGCGCAAACTCACTAATCATTCTTTAGAAACGTTCAGACGTTGCCTGCATCTACGATCACAGCAGTGGTAACGGTTACCGGCCAGGAGACTTGCCCGTCGGAGGCTACGGTGTATCAGACTGCATATGAGACTCTCCCTACGACAGTCTATGAAACTGCCGATGCTAGCACCGTGGTCGTTACAGAGACACTTGAGCCGGATGTTGTAACCCAAGTACAACAGGAGACTATTTACATTACTGCTGGAAGGTCATACACGAACACTTACACTGGAAGGACGATCCAACCGTCTACTGTGTTTCAGACAGTTACCATCACCTCCCCACCTCAGACGATCGCGCAAAGCGCGGCTACTGTTTTCGTTACTGTACCTGGACCTACTGCTTACATATCCCAGCCATGCTCTAACAGCCCGATATATGTGTGAGTAGAAATCCTTCGTAAAGCTCCCAATGAGCTGACGAGAGAATAGGACCAGAACCGCCACAATCACTGAGACTACAACCGCGTGAGTAGAGTTGTCTCTGTGTCGTTGATCCATACGGGCATCAACTATCCTCTTCCGCAAATCTCCTTTGGGATTCCACTAACACGTATTAACACAGGACGTCTACTTCAGTTTCAGTTTCGGTATCGACTGTGACCTCGACCTCAGTATCGGTATCTACGAAGTGAGCGCCTTGAATCCCTACCATTGCGATGACACGACTGCTAACGAACGAATTAGTGCTGTGACTTCCGTCATCACAGTTACGCAGACCCAGCTGCAGTCAGCTCCAACTCAAACGGAGACTATTACTTCAACTTCGACAACCACCTTTCCGGCAGTCACCAGTCTCAGCACAACGACAAGCTTAATCACTCTACCCCCCGTTACTACCATCATCACTTCTCGTGAATTCGGTACAATCACGAGTACAGAGACCTTGGATCCGGACACTGTTACGTAAGTTGGAGCTGAACCTTCAGCTTTCCGTCCTAATTTTCCTGTTCGACATTCTGTTACGTTATATCACAGTGTTTACGCACTGTGATCAAAGTTTAGCCACTTGCATTGTGCCTGATGGTTTACCTGTTCTCGGCTTCTTTCGATAAAGGGTCTCTACCCTGCTAACATTGTTCCAGCCGCACTTCTACCCGTCTCGTGACCACAGCTTCGATCTCTACGTCTATCCGGCTTGTAACCACAGCCTCTATCTCTACACGTACTGCCACCGTTACCAGAACAAGTACACAAACGGAAACAGAGACGGCGACCATTGCCAGGACTACATCGACCAGGACTCTCACGAGTACCTCGGTGCGCACTGTACCAACCACCACTACGCAGCGAACGACTGTGACAGTCCCCACTACGGTGATATCACGTACGACCTCGATATCTCGACTGACAACTACCGTGCGAAATACAGTGACGTCGACGTCGATATCTAGAACCACGAGCACGATCAGAGCCACAAGCACAAGCATAAGCATAAGTCGATCTACTATTACATCGCTAAGGACGACTACTGTGACTCCGGCTACTGTTACGAGATCTATAACCGCTACAGTGCGCGTCACGACGACAGCTCAAGCAGCGGCGAAGAGAGAAGTGGAGGCTACACCGGCGTCAGAGCCAGCGCGTGGAGCCGTCAAGAGATGGCGAGGTATTCTGAAAGGTCGAAACGCGGGAGGTAATTAGGTACATGTGGAAAGAAGAGTTGTTAGTGTGTTCGTGGCGAAGTGTCGAGGCCCTGATTAGGTAATCAGAAAAGGGGGGATTGTGGTGCAAATGTGTGCTTGGTCGTGTGCATCTATTTTCCTCACCGTCATTCCTCCGTGACACTGCACTTGAGTCTCAAATCGTATACGCGACTCCGAAGGTGTGAAGGAAAGGTATCCGGTGACTTGTCTTTTGATGCGTTGTTATCTGCCCGTACGGTCTTCCTTTTTCCTTCACTTCTCAGCACCATTAATGTCTTCGCACCGTGGCATTTCATACTGCGGCGATGATATTCAGAACCTAAGTCGCTTGACACACATTTTGAAGCGATCCAAAGCGTCGTCTTAGCCTCGCCACGTAGTCACAATACGCTGCTACAGTCCCTTCGGTGCAGGGACAGAAGTCGAGTGGCGGAGCCTTGAATTCACCATTGAGCATTCCCCTCGGCTATTTCATTTTTATACGAAGCGGGTACAAAGAATGCGTCTCTGCGGCTTCCATCCAATGAAAATGTCTTCCATGATTTGTCGTGCTGCGTCCGAAGTAGCAAACCGCAAGCTATGTATGTAATAGAGATTGGCAACCAGGACCGAATGCGGTACATAAGGGATGGTGGATTTGATCGAATGATCTACTGTGGTCTCCCAAATTGGTCTCTGGTGAGTCAAAGTTGTGTTCGATAGGCTTTCCACTCAGTCAGCAGAGTCGAGACATGCTCAGGTGATGATGGAAACAGGACAGCAGGTACCAAAGCAAGCGGAAGCCTTAAGCAGTTGCGCCATCGTACCGAGCTCTGAGATATCGGTTTTCCGATTCCTACCTTTGCCCATGCTACTACGCCTTGGGCAATCGATCGCAATTGAAGCTTCGCGCAAGGCTTGGCCGACGCCCAGGTGATGCGGCCAAACAATGCAACAAGCAACATTCGCGAGCTGAGACTCTTGGAGCATAAAGGGACGCATCAAATATAACACAGTGGTACGCTACCCACTCTGTGCGCATGTTCTATAATCGACAAGCACCACACAGCCAGGCACCAACCTTGGCTATGAGGGCTTTACGGATCGAGGTCGATGCTGTGCCGTAGTTCCAAGGCGTGATGCCCAGATGAAGATCGACAGCATCTCGCATGCCTGGTATATATATTCTCTTGTCTAGTTTGCGTCTTTCGGTTGCGGCGCCATCGTCCGGCGTTCATGCGTGCGATCTTCTTCGGTCCACGGAGCCAACGTTACGAGTTGCTCGGCGCAACTGGAGCCGGGCCTCCTTCTTTCCGCCATCTTCCCAATTTTATTGCCGGCTTCGATATCGATGGGCTGGAGGCACGATCTCTCTGGGATGGCTTGAATTGCTGAAATGCAGCTGAATGGTCGACACGATGGGACCCAGCCTTCATAGTCTCCGGGACGTACGCAGGTTGGCCGGAAGATTGGAAAAGGTGACCTTCACTTAAGAGTCAGAAAAGAACGTCTCGTCAATGCTTCCAGCATACACTCGATGTGTGAGTCCTTTCGCTGTGCGGCATCGAATGCGCATCCGCACATGATTCACGAAGAGGGGCGCGGAGGGATTATCGATGGGCGGAATCAGCTCAGCTATAGATCAGTTGACTTCCAGTTGGAGCTGCTGCTGTTGTTGAAAGCATTCGACAAGCTTGACGTATGCTTACTGTCATAGAACGATATATAACATGTTGTCACGCCAACTGTGGAAACCGTAAACAGGAGAACAGGGAAGCGGTCTTTCATAAGCACCTCAAACACAAATCAGCTGTTCTGGCAAGGACTTCTACAGTCTTTCACGAGTATCGGACGGAGTTTCACTTGCGGTGTTGCGGGGTGGCTTCCGTGATGATTCACTGTTTGGCCGTATCCTCCCCCGCCACAACAGAGCGACCCTCCCTACATAAAATCCCACTGCGCAGATCACAAATCTACCCACCCCGCAAAACGCCCCCGCCTCAAACAACCCGCCTCGACTCGCTCGACCAGGAATTGTTTACGTCCAGCGTATAGGAACCGGTACCGCCACGACAACGCGAGATCCCTCCCGTTCCCCTTCTCAGCGCCCTTCGCTACTCAGCATAGGCTCTGATCCCGCTGCAGCAGACCTTACTGCTATGTCTGATCCGACTCTGCCTTCTGGTGTAGCGTTGGAAGAAATGGCGAATGCTACGACCCCGGGCGTCCCGACCGCCTGCGGCTGGGGCATCGATCCTGCTCTCCTGGGAGAGAATGACGAGACCTTCGAGCAGCCTCTTTCTGCTGATGACGCAGCACTCGCAGCAGCTTTGGAGGTATTCAACCGTGCTGCTTCCCGGGTGCCCACATCCGCGCCGTCTCCGGTATGCTCTGTCAATGATACGGCAAACATCGGCACTGATTCCAAGCAGGACAGCACGGCGACCTTCGAACCAGGCTTTTTCGGCGATGCTGTAACGGCATTCGACGCGACGCAATCTCCGTACTCCTCGATCGCGTACGAGCCGAACGTCGAACACACTATCTGGGAGGGCGTGAAGATGGAGCACCAGGTGGACTTGCCCGCCTACAGCCATGAGATGCTGCCGTTCAATGCGGCCTGGCAGTATGCTCCTGCTGATCCGACATCTTCGTTTGCTCCAGAGTTGCCGGTCAGTTTCGGTCTCTACGGTACCGATGCAAGTGATATTGCCTGGCCCCTGAAGGAAGATCTTTCGGGTGCTGAGTCGCTTGCGGTTGACCCATCGTCGCAGGACAACCGCATTGCTCTCACCGTGCCAGTGTTTGAGCCGATCCCCCACGCATCGACTTTCTTCGAGTTCGATAGCGCTCTCCAGGAGGACACCAACGAGACGGGCTCGACTGACCAATTCCTAGTCTCCGAGCAGTTGAATGGTACGTTACCTCTTCTCGAGATCTTTCCCAAGCGTGAGCTCCCCCGACCAACGATGGAGGAGCTGAATACCGCACTGAAGGATTCCAAGACCCCTGACCGCTTCATCCGAGACGCTAGGAAGCTTGCAACTGCACGTCGAGCTCTCCTTGCATCTGGCGGCTTTTCTCATGGAGACCCATCTAACTTCATGGCAGCGCCCCTGGCCCCACCAACGATGCCGCCGCGAAAGAAGGTCAAGCTCGAGCACCAGGATAATCCTTGCAAGGGTTCAGCCGCTCCTGTAAACTACCGCTCCATCAATCCCGCAAGCGGCCTGATTCGCGACGCTGTCGAGCCGCAACCCGACGATTACTCCGAGGGCGCCCTTATTTACCGCGTCGCCACTAGCCCTCTCGGTCTTCAGACGCCCTTCACCATCCAGGACGACTACGACTTGATCGGCGCGTGCTTGCACGACCAGCTTGTCGTTGAACTCAACCGCAAGCTTCGTGACGGCTTGGACCTGCATGGCCGACGCCTGATCCGCGGCATCTCGCCGTACGAGGTGAATTCGGACGAGAAGCTTCACCGCATTCTCGACTTCACGAAGAAGGGCTTGCAGGTCAGGATTGACTGGATGTTCTGCACGGAGCATCTAGATCTTCTAGGTGAGCTCGACTTGGACAAGGCAAACCTCGACCTAGAAGAGATGGATCGCTTGGTGAAGGCAACGGGTATTTGGCACTTCCAGGAGTGGCAGAATGACCACCCTGGGGAGGTTCGTGGCTCTCGTTGATCCGCGGCATACTATCAGTCTCTTGGGTCGCGATTGGGAGTAGAGGATACCTATGATACCAGGTGGGTATGATCATCAAGACCAACCCTGGAGTCCTCAACTGCTTCTCTAAAGTGGCCCGGATTCTCAGGTCTTCTTTCATATGACGTTCTGAGTTTGGCGTTTCGGCATGTTGCAGAGCAAGGTACCGTTTTTTCTTGTTTCGCGGGCGAACTATGGCTTCATGAACAACGATGGACACGGCGAATGAGTTACGAATATTTGACGCGTTGAATGATTTTCTGAAAGGTAGACGTGGTTCTTTAGACCCTCTATCTAGGGTACGGTAGTACCTAGTTTCATCTTTTATTGCGATTCATGTCCTCATATCAAGATGATACATTAGTTGTGATCTTCGATGTATAACACCGCTGAAACGTGGCACATAAAGCTCCGTACATGTCCGTTATATTGTCCATATGTGATCCTTCATTCTCTTTACCCAAATCGTAGACCGGGACACTGCTACGGCAATGAGATAGTGTTCGTTTCAATATCAAAACATTAGATCTCCAAAAGTTGCCCGTGTATGATCAATATCTTCTTCCTGATTACTAACACAAAGGAAAGTATGTATCATTGGCACGTACATGTACTGATGTGACCTATTTTGGAAGGTACCGATCAAGCCGTAGCGTGTCGGAGCCTACGCCGGCTACCTCGCTCTCTTGCTGCCTGCATGCCTGCATACACGCATCGCATTTCTGGAATCACGACGTATCCAGCGTTTATTTGAGTCACTCGGCAGTGGCCACACATACCCGCTGTCTCGTAATCAATGCGCCCTTATTTCCACAAGCCCCGCTACAAAGCCGCCGTCAGTTCGCTCAGATGAGACCCGTTCGCGCTAGTCCAGAGTGCGCCTGATTGGACTCTGTTGTCTACAACAAACGCCCGCCCAGATCTTGCTCCAACGGGCACTAATATAGGCCCTCTGATAGACCCTTCTACCCTAGGGAGCGACCGTTGTACGATTTTTGTTCACTCGCCAAAAGCCCATAAATATCAATCATCTTGTATTCCCACTTGTCGGAGGCGTCGATGACGCGCCTCGTTTGAGATTGGTGCTCTGCGTTCGTACGCAGCATTTTCGCTGGGACTTGACAGAATTGGTCGTGTTGAGGAAGGTACTCCTTCCGCGTACAGCAGGTGCGTACCAGCCTATTGAGGCAGCCCCTGCAGCCTATTTCTCCATCGCTCTTACATTCAATTTGTCTACATTATCTACATGTTCACGACGCACGCTTCATAATTCAACAGGTCGATCAATACACAATAAGTCCGTTGTGGATGCTGCTACGCGTTAGTAGTCTTCACTACCAATCGTTACCTGATTTAATGTTGAGATTCGCGAGAACAAGATCTTTCGTGCTCGTCACTGTGTAAGTTATCCTATGGTTCCGCGTTTGCTGAGCCTCACATACCATAGTTTGCAAGCCCGCTAGCCCTGAACTCAGGCATGTCACGTGCTCTGAAAGCAAAAACATTTAAATTCGCAATTGACTGCACCAAATTGTTATCGCCTACTGTACGCCTGACTTATCTTACTGAAAAGCGTTTCACCAGCGTCTTCTGATTAAGATTTCTAATCAGTTGCAGTGAAAGAATAAGGCGCGATTGTCATCTTCTTCACGATATCTAAGAGGTTAGATACATCATACAAGTCTGTAGCACAATGTCGCACCACAAGCCACCAAAAGCCGGAAATACTATTGAGAACGCAAAGATTCCTGCAGGGAAAGCTACGACATGCTGCACAACCGTCGACTTCTTCAAGACAAAAGATTGCGCCGATAACGACCCTTCTATGCCTGAATTCAGAAGGCTACTATTGGAGGCTATTAACGGTATGGATGGCGTCTCACGGCAACCCAGATCGCCATCTCAACTCACTCCGTGTGAGGAAACATCGAAAGAGAGCAACCCAGAATCAGAGTTGTCTTTTGAAGGCGCCCAAACACCAACCATTCGAGTTTCAGATTCTCCAGAGAGATCTGGAATTGCTCTGCATTACACATCGGCTCCAAAAAAAAGCCGGTACTACTACAAATTACTTGCATGCACACAAACCCAAGGACAACCGCAAGATCCACAGCTCCATAGACCATGGCCTCAAGCTTTACAGAAGCGCAAAACCTTTTACTACAGCCGTCCGGAGTATTCCTGCATGGCAGCTGTACGGGAACCTTCGACCAGATGCAAGTGTCACGCTTTTTGAGAGGGCAATCAGCATCTGTCTTAAAAATGGGTCATATGCAGGTTGCCCCATCGCAAAGATTACTTTCCTATCTGCACCTTGGCTGCACGGTGCATTTGTCTCTCCCAGCAATTTTGGCATCGCTGCCCGCCCTGTTCGCTTCATCTGCAGTCACCCAGATCTTGACCGCAGTCTCAGGTGCACGTTGATCCGCCACAGGCAGATACGTCTTTCATTACATCGTATGTTTGCATTGCGACATTGCGTTGCCAGAAGTACGGAATATAGCGTAGAGGGTCTTCATTTGCAGCATCGACAAACGATTTTCCAAGGTTCGCCTGTTATTTTAGTCGCCAGCGTCACTGCAAGCACACGAGCGATCGCCTCTTGGAACATTCAGACCCTACTCGCAACACCAGAACCTCTACATGTATTATTACGATTGCACATCGTAGTGCAATCAACTGGGCTTTTATATCAGCTTGCATCTCCTTCACCGAACTGAGTTGTACGCCCTGCGTGCCTCGACACATACATGCGCTTAGGCTGTCCTCGTCACCAGGCTGGCATCTCCATGTACGTTGTGGTCATCTGAGGCCCATTTGAGACCATTAACGGACCGCGCACGTGTCCTTTTGTTGACGTTTGCAGCAATCCAAACTGTCATTATTAGGTGAAGGAAGGGAGGAATCGTATTGACTCATTCACTCGCAGATCCACTATAACATCTCAACGACGATTACTTCGGTACAGGAACCGTGGCAAAGCCGCCATGTGAGTTTCGTTGGCGAGGCAAACAATTCAACAATCAGAGTGATTGCTATATGCCTTCACTAAAACAACGAGAATCGAGGACCCAACGAGAATTGTCGAACTGTCTCTACTGCCCGGCCATAAACGCTCTCCTCGTCGACTTACGGTCCCCCGAGACTTCCACGTTTCCTCTTTCTGGAATCGCGAACAGACTGAGCCGAACCGGAGATGTCAGCCTACCGATACACAACGGACGCAGAGCGCCATCAAGCAAGGCAGGATCACGAGGTGAGCCGCCTCAGGAAGATCCATTGTCGGAATAACAAACGCTGATATTTCGCAGTTTGTGTGGGGCGTCATCAACAGAGATGAAAGATACCTCAGCCAACTTCCACCGGGTCCAGTGATGCCGGGAACCTTCCTGCACTTCCTCCAACAAGGTGACCACAGCGATGAAGCAATGGCAGCTTTCGAACCCGAAGCTCTTGAGATCATGCAGTCGCTTCGCCGACAGATGGAAGAGAAATATAACGTTGATTTGAGCGAGTGGCATGCCGAGTGGGTACAGAGCGAGCAACAGCAAAAGGAATGGAAGACGCCGATTGGTCCTGGCACCTCCCGGTCACTGCTTAGACAGCCTGCATACATCGACTTGCACACTCATGACCAGACGGCCAAGGGCGCAGCACTGGACTACTGGGGTACGGATGAAGAGGCTCCATCTGGGGCTCTGAGGCAGAAGGCGCGATGGGCCAAGGAAGCGCAAGCGGCAACGCACAGTGGGAATGGGAGTACACTGACAGGCACACCTTCCAATTCATCCCGGCTGGGATATCGGGATAAGCTACTGCCAGAGGCCCACTCACAGGCGTCGTACATGAGCGGCCAGAGACAGCAGATGAAGGACGTACACCAGGATCCGTTTTAATACCGCGAGCTGTGAACAGAGGAATGGCGATTACTCCAAGCATTTGGGCTTCTAAGATATTGAGCTCAGAGTCAGCTTTGAACAGTCACGCACGTTGCAGGCTTTTCTCGAGCTGGAGGGTGTGAAACGAATAAATTTTGCTTTTAGACGGAACAGATTGCAGCTTCTCGTTCGAACTACATCAATGCTATTTGGTGTGGTCATTCACCCGTCTTATCATAGATGCATTGTCCTTCAGTAATGACGGTAAGGCTGAGTAGGCAATTAGACTTTGACGCTTGCCACTACTTTCATGATGGTGCCTTCCTGTCGAAAGGCCTCACATCGACTCTTGCACACTATATTGCTCTAAATAATCTATTACCTTGCCCAGTGCGCAAAGATATCTTAAGCGAGGGTTGTGTGAAACAACGTCACATGACGCGCTAGCATTCACACCCCAAGAACCTTCCCCTTACACCTTATATTTTGATGGCTCTATATGTCTCGCACCCTTCATAGCACATCCCTGATCAACCCAGCTGGTTGAAATCTTCATGACATCGAGCAGCAAATCGCCCTACGACAAGTACATAGTTTGGCCGCTTCCTGACATCTCAAGGACTACGACGAACCGCTTGCCTCAGATGGCCTCGGACAACTCTTTCAAGCGCTCGAACCTCTTTGAAAATGTATGTTCAAATGCGACTGATGACACAGATGCGCACGCTTCCAAGAAGCAGCGCATAACAGCTGCAGAGCCAAACTGGCAGGAGCAGTTGCAGTCCGCCGCACATGGTCGACTTCAGAAGTACCAGCAAATCGGTGTGCAAGATGATTCTGCAGATGAACGAATGGGTGGAGACAATGATTCGGTTGTAGACACAGCGCTGTTGCCCCAGGAACCAGCTACAGTTGAAGAAAATCGAATGCGACTGCCACTTCGGTCGACTGCTGCTTCTCTTAGCAGCGATACGTATCGCATGACGCATGTCGCAAACCCTGCTCCCAACCAGTTCGACCGCGCGACAACGTCTGCACGTGGTCAGATGGCGCCACCCGCGCTCCCTGCGCCTTCTCAGGATGCCTCAAGTACTCCAACGGACAGAGTCATACTAATTACACCCAACGTCGTCAAGAAGCCAGCTGTGTTCAACAGTTACGAGCACGACTTCCAAGCTCTCACACAAGGCTATACCGATGAGCTAAATTTCACGGCCGTCGAGATTATTGTATTCCTACCGTGGCTCTTCACCAATAGTTCAATCGCACGACGCTTCGTCAACAATGGCATGGATAACAAAACACACGCCGAAATCATCGAGCATCATCGCGTCCATACGCTGGAGACCACCGAGATTGCAAAGGGATACCTCGATGCCCTGCGGCCTGCAAATTGGCAGCACATGAACAGGGATCGTCTTCGAACACTTTGGAACCGGAAAAACCAAAGGACTCCGGATGGCTGGAATGCGACAAATATCGCAATGAACGGATTCGTACCTGATCGCATCGCGAAAGAAGGTTTCCACGCATCGGCACCGGCAAGCGTGCCATTCCGCAATCTCGTGCAGGGGGTGAAGAAACTGCCAACGGGTAACGACGCCGCAGACCTTACCCGCGCAATTGAATTTGCGAATGGCGATGAAGCGGAGAAGACGTTTCCTGGTCGGGACCTGCTATTCCCAGATGACCTAATCGACATCTTCAAGGCCATCGGACATGCCGTGATTACAGAGTATCACCGGGATGGGAAAATCGTGACTCGATATCGGAAACTCTCTAGGCAGAAAGTGAATCACGAAGAAAGCGCTACGCCTGGGAGCAAGGGTAAGGGCAGGTTCGGCAATGATTCGTCGGCTTCAGGTTCACGACAGAAATTCAACCACTTTATCCCAGTTGAGTTTTCTTCTCCGCTGCCGGAATCTTCCCGTCAAGTCTCGCCTCAGAAGCCAGGGATAACTCATTCGCCCTGGTTGTCTGGCCATGATACAAATGCTTCACGCGATGCCGCTCAACTCAAGCCTTTCGTCAAGCCTGTTTCGCCAATGGCTCCCAAACCGCTGCCCAAACCGTTGCCCAAACCGCGCGAGCCCGAACGACCAAATACGGGCGGTTCTTTGCTTCGTAGCGTGGATATGCACTCCCTCTCTGACGTCTCCTCCTCTATCGATATGTCCCATATTGTATCCGCGATTGAGTATGCCCGTCGACCGGACCAGAAAGACATCGCCTGGCATGCAAATCCAGAGCATTTTGCACGCATCAACCGCATCTTGGAAGATGAGCTAGGTTCTGCGATGACTCCCCCTGATGAGCAAGTTGCTTGGGAACAACACTGGGAGCAGGTCGAGGGTGAGCGGCAGCGCACGATGGATGATGCTATCACCGCTTTGCAGCAAAAGTATGGGACTAGTCCCCTTCAACGGGCATCATTCACCGCCGATGACTACGAAGATCTCTTTGGCGAGCCTGCGCCGAAGGAGATGATGGATTTACGCAAGTCCAACGAGCGAGTTGATGACAATCCCACAACCAGTTCCTCCATGGCGCTCGAATCCGATCGTCCAGATGAGCTGTTGTAGGGTGGATGTTGAGTTTCTTTATCGACGACATAGGGAAATCGTGATTGGTATTGGTATTACGAACGTGCAGGCAGTGCTATCGAAAACAGCTGCTACCTTGTGCCAATTTGGGTAAAGGTAAAGCGTACCTAGTCTGTGGTCCATTGGCGGAAGTCCCATAGCGAAAGGAGATTGGATCCAAAATCACGATAGAGGCATGCAGCAAGACGCACATCACTTGTATGCAACGCCCTATGCCCAGACTTTGGTCACAGTATCAATGTACATAGCGAAAACGATAAGGTATCAAGATGTGAAAAAAAGTTTGCCCAAGTGAGTCCCTTCTTACACCACCAAAGCAGCCCCGACACCCATCATCGCCAACGCAACGCCCGATCCCCAAACACCCTCTCGCGGGGCACTTCCCATCACCATGCCGGTGGCACTAGCTGTTTCCATGCTCATGCCGCTCATGCTGCTCATACCAGACATCTCAGACATAGGCATAGTTGTGGCGGTTGACATGGACATGCTAGACATGCTGCCGGACATGCTGCCGGACATGCTCATCTCGGCTTGGGCAGTGGCCATCTGAGAGGACATGGCCTGTAGAGAGTTAGTATTGGAAAACCAAAAAGTAGAGAGAGACGTGCCATGCCGACAGATTCAGCGGACGCCGCGAGGGCAGCGTCGGTAGGCTTGGAGTCGCCCCACATCATGGTCACCACGGGCATAGCCGAGGCCGGAGTGGCGGCTGTTGTATCGTCAGACATCGTGATCATAGTATAGTATGCAGTGGTTGATACCTTCTTGGGCAACAACGGAAAGCGCGAAGAGGGCGACCGAGCCGAGGACCTTGAAAGCGTGCATGTTGGGCAAATATACAAGTAGAGAAAATAATTAGATTAGGCAAGTTTAACTTTCCAGAAGTGACGAAGCAAAGAAATAACGATTACCTCCCGCAAAAGTAACGGAAGACCATCCTATATACCTCCCCGTGATCTGCGTTGAGTGATGTCCAGATTCATGCAGCCGCTGTCGAGACTCGGAAGCAAGGCTTCCTGTCGCGCCTCAAGCAAGATCCGCCGCCACCTACATGTGGTTGGTTGATCGGATGTAATAGAAACGAGCGCAGTTGTCAAACGATCGGGAGCGTGTTTGAAGAGGGAGAGCTTGTTGCAGGGTCGTTTCATGATCGTCATTGCTAAGGGGTGGAGCCGAGGCTTGCCTGATGTGGGAAGGTTGGTGCAGGGGCGGGGAAACCTTGTTTGAACCTCAGGCCGCTTGTTCAACACTCCGGGAAACTTGCAAACAACATCCTCACTCTGCGCAATTCGGGATCCGGCTGCACGAGAGGCACGGGAAGACTGTGCGCTACGATGGCAGCAGCTAGGAGCATGCTCAACGACGTGGCCACGGACGGATCCTCATGCGCGATGTGCCTTCTGCGTCGACATACTCTTCAGCGACGTCGCCCCAGATCCACATCCGCTGGTCGGGCTCGCTTCTATTCATCGAGGCCATTGTTCCCTCCATCATTGCTGCCACCCAAGCCTCGTCTTCCTCTTCCGCCTTCTTCTTGTCGGTTATAGCGATGACCAGCTCCGCGGATGCCCATGTCTGCTCCTGACGGATCTGTGCGATCTGCTCCATGTGCTCCGGGCACTCTGTCCAACCCGTCTCCCCAAAGGTGGCATATTGCTCGGCTGCCCATCGAATGTTCTCCGCCCAGCCGCTGAGGTCGTCGAACTTCAGTTTGTCAACGATGACGAGGTGAAGTGGCCGGAAAGGCGCCGTTGTGCGCGGGCCGTTGCCGAAAGCGTATGCATCGAATTTGTTAACGGCGTCGGGTGATGGCTCTGCCTCGAATACGTATTGAAGAGCCTGGGATGACATTATACCGCCAGTCGTAAGCGGCTTTATCCAAAAGGTTGGTCCAGGGACGTACTCTTCGTCCTGTACTTCCGCATCGCTGGCCTCAGCTTCGGACATATCACCTACTTCACTGTCAGCACATCTGGCTCTTCGGATCTTTTACTACCACCTGATAGCACATCCTTGACTTACCTTCCTGAAGCTCGCGCTTCTTCAACGACGGCCGCCCTCGGCGACCTGACCGCCTGGTCGCTTGCGCCTCGGCTTGCGGCGTGGATGATAGTCCAGGAGCTCGCATCTTCGGCTGTGGTTTCATCTCAGTTCGCTTTCTGCTGCGCGGAACGTGCGGTATGACGTGCTGCCAACGCACGAAAGTTGGGCGGTCTAAATTTGCAGCGCTCAATTGCTTTGCACCTCCGAGGTGCTCGAGCAAGATGTCGTAGTTTGACGGATACATCCAATCTTCAGCTGGGTTTTGAATGCAGTGTTGGATCATCCTCGTCAAGTCCAACGCATCGTCGCCCTGTGGCATGTTCTTGACACCATCCGCCAATCGAACAAACGGAATGTCGTCGTCAGGTATGCTCGTTGCAGAAGTTCTGAACGAGGTCCTGAATCCGCTCACGCTCAGATTGTCGGTATTCCAGTTACGAAGTGTCTCGCCAAAGTACTGTGAGTGTTTGTTCAGAGTCCAGTCACCATGGCCAGCATGCCTCATAGCATTCCTTGCCGTCCTATAACAATATTCAGAGTCCCACGCTTTCTTAAGGACGCGATTGGTGTTGACAACAGAGAGGATAGCGTCCCAAGTGACTAGGTTCGAGGCGAAACGATAGATGATGTCCGGGGAGCTGAGGCAGCCTGGCAGGAAAGTGAGCAGCTCGATCGCGGTGACATTTGCGTTTGGGAAGCGCAAGTTCCGCAGGGGAACCTCTACATGGGAACCTTTGTGAGAGGCCGACATGGTCGATCAGCGGTGATTGAGCCTGGCAGGCGTCAGAATAGACGGTCGGCGTGAACCCAGAAGAGTCGTGAACGGTTGGCAAAGAAGAGCTCGACAGTTGAACCTACGCGAAAGAGAAGAGAGATTCACATATGTTCGAGCTGTCGACACGCATATATAGTCAAAATATGGCAGGTGCGCGGTTGAGCGCACCTGGGCAACGCGGTCGCGATAGTCGCCACACAACAACAAAAGCGAACTCTGCGGCCGACGCGACGTCACCACTACACAACAAACTTTAGCGAGCTGGAAGCGTCGCGGTCGCCTTCTTCACTTCCACACTCAACTGCTCCCACTGTGCAATATTGCTCCTCAACCTTCTAAACACCTCACTGCAGCCATCTTTGCAATCTCGCTTTTGCTCAACCGCTACATCGCAAGAGCACCCTTCTGCAAACCTTCTGCAATCCCGAGCATTGTTCGCGCCTCACCGCGTCACATCCGCTCGACGCTACATTGCAAGAGCTCACCCCGCAACCACCAACATCCAATCTTATGCACAACTCTTTTGGCTGAAGCTATTTGCATAAAGCATACGCGTCTGCATCTGCCGCAAACTTTTCAAGATCAGGAAGTATTTTCCTTTACTCGTCACTTTCTTCGAACGTACGAGACACTGTTGTATCAGCACCATGCCTAAATCGAAGAAAGCCTCCGGCATGACGAGTCCCCCTCACGTTCGTGCTTCCAACGATGCCTTTGGCAAGACCAGCCCCCACTGGAATCTTCCCTTCCACGTCGGCAACATCACCGCCGCTGAGATCCTTGCGTACTGCCCGCACTGGCTCAAGTCTGTGGATGTCATCGACCGTTTCGTTGTGAACGGGGGCAAGGCCAAGGTCATTGCGAACATGCTGAATCGATTTCGGAACTTGCCCAGCGACGATGGTATCATCCCCACCAACTCCATCTGCGTCATGATGCAGTGCGCCATGCGAGCTTTCGGACTCAAGGACTGGACCATGGGCAAGCACAGCCAGATCGACGAGAACCACGTATGGGACAGTGCTTCTCTCGATGTCTCCAACTTTCGCACTCCGCATATCACTCACCCCAAGAAAGGCTCTAAGAAGGTTGAGAACGTACCCGCTGCGCCAATCCAATTCCGCGACCTCGCTCATGGCGTCAAGGAGCACCCTTCTGACTCCGACGCACTCGACCTCACGCGCTGTGTTCTTTACGCTATCGATAACCCCGACGAGTCCTGGCGCTTCCCGATTGATTTCGCAGATTTGGTGAATCACCTTGGCGGACCTCAGACCCCCACTCACTTTCACCCCGACAACCGCGCTTTCGAACGCCACTTAGCTGAAGTCGACTCTCTAGCTCCTCTCAAGAAAGTCTCTGTCGCACCCTTGGCCAAGCGTGTCCGCTTTGACACGACAAACAAGATCGCTACCACGCAGAACTCCGACATGCGTCTTACTTCACCGAGGAAGCGCGGCTACGAGGAGTTCAACTCTCTTCAGTCCGACACTATGAAGACCAGCGGCAAGCGCCGTAGCGGCAGGCTCGCCACGCAGGGCCTGAAAGACCTGCGTGAGTCAGACTCAGATGCCGGCACACCCTACAAGAACATCGACGGCTACGAGCCGCCCCAGAAGAAGCGCAAATCTGCCCGTGCCTCATCTGTCGAGAGCGAGTTCACCGGCAATTACACCAGCGACTCCGAGAGCCTACCTGACGCCAAGGAAGATATCAGCGACGACTACCTCAATCCCAAGCCAAAGCGCCCCGTCCGCGCCTCCGCCCAGAAGGGCCGTCGTCTCACACAGAAGGCCATTCACAAAGAGACCCCAAAGACGCACTTTACCGCCATGCGCACCGAAGCAACTACACCTTTTGTCGGTGCCGCGCCCATGTACACCATGCATAACGCGTACGCTATACCCACTACGCATAACGCGTACGCTATGCCCACTACGCATAACGCGTACGCTATGCCCACCACGCAAAACGCGTTCGCTATGCCCACTACGCATAACGCGTACGCTATGCCCACCACACATAATGCGTACTCTATGCCCACCATGCATACCGCGTTCGCTACGCCCACCATGCATACTGCGTTCACTGAGCCCGCCACAGCCACCGTCCCCGACTTCCTCATCGACCCTGTCCTTCTCGCCTACTCGCGCGACTTGGAATCTCGCGCGCCTGTCTCGGTCAAGGCCCCAGCGGCCGATCGCGATCGCCTCATGGTCGATGAGTACAACGTTTGGCTCTTCGCCGAGGAAGGCTGCACCAGTCGCGAGCAGATGTGGGCTTCCGCACTATCATCCAAGCGCTTCAATGGTCCCCGTAATGTGGCCCCTTTCCGCGAGCTTTACCGCCTTAGCAACCCGGAGCTCGATGACATCAGCGATTGGGCCGAGAACGTCCGCTGGGCCAAGGAGCAATGGTTGCACTTCGGCATTGACACTTGGACTGAGTACGATTTCCATCTTGAGCAGATCACCCAGTGGAGGCGTGAGCACATGTGGTGGAGTGAGGAGGCCATCCGCTTCGGTGCTCGCTCCCAGTATTGACTGCAGTCAGACACTGATGCGGGGCTTGACACCTGACCTTTCCCTGGCGAGGCTTTCCTACAACACTGCGCGGGCTTCTTCTCACCTGGCTTTTCTACAACACTGGCCTTGCTTTTCAACAACACTGGCCTTGCTTTTCAACAATACTGGCCTAGCTTTTCTAAGATCATGGTAAGGCTCTTCAACAATACTGGCCTTGCTTTTCAACATCACTGTCAAGGCTTTTCAACATCACTGTCAAGGCTTTTCAACATCACTGTCAAGGCTTTTCAACATCACTGTCAAGGCTTTTCAACATCACTGTCAAGGCTTTTCAACATCACTGTCAAGGCTTTTCAACATCACTGTCAAGGCTTTTCAACATCACTGTCAAGGCTTTTCAACATCACTGTCAAGGCTTTTCAACAATACTGGTCCGGCTTTTCTACAATCATGGCCTGGCTCTCCTACGACTCTGGCCTGGCTTTTCTACATCTCTGGCCTGGCTTTTCTACAATACTGACCTGGCCTTTTTCTGACAAGGCTTTTCTACAAAACTGGCCTGGCCTTCTTCTGACAAGGCTTTTCACAACACTGGCCTGGCCTTCTTCTGGTAAGGCTTTCCTACGACGCAGGCCTGGCCTTCTTCTGGCCTGGCCTTAATTGGCACTGATTTGACTCGACAAGAGTTAGGTTGGACTTATTCTGCGTTGATTCTGCTGCTTTTCAATGTTTTTGATTTTGATACCCAAGGCGTCTTGGGATATAGCGACCCCGACTAGTGCAGCTTGGTTGCTTTTGCTGGCATTCAATGTTTTGATTTTCATTCACGAGGAGTTTGAGAAATCGCAACCCCGACTAGTGCAGCTCGGATGTGTTTGCTACAATCAGTTTTGTTTTCGCATCTGCGTACTAGGATCGCACTTGCTCTTGGTAATTGTTCCTATCATGCTGCGCCGCAAGGTTAGCCACGAATAGGTTCTTGGTTGCCCACCGATGCACTATAGATCAATAACAGTTCTGCAACTTTTATGGAATGTTCGTCTTTGCCTCGCCGTTGAAGCTCGTGAATCCTGGACTGGACTACTCCGCAACGTGCAACTACATGAACACGGTCAGGAATTTAAAGATAAGGACTCACCACGAGTAAAGCACGTTTCCGACCGCATATCACCAGTTAACGGTCATCACCATGATCATATGTATACAGTCATCCACGTTCACGAGCAAAAACACTCTTGATTCGATAAGCTGGACATGATGAATTTAAGGAACGACACTAAACTACAGACTGGAGGTGTATACACTTTGAGAAGACCTCAAAAGTGGACTGAGAAAAAAAGAAGAAGAAATTCAAGCCATCAATGTGACCAGAAGCTTTCTCCGTATGTGGAGTAAGTGAATAGGGGTGGAGTATTTTGAGGCTACTCAGAGAGAAAGTAACACAAGGAAAAAGTAGCGCGTTTTGCGCCGGCCTAAGAAGCGACCACCCAGTCTACCTTGAGTGAGGCCGGGTCTTGCAGCGATAGTCGACCAGAACTAGGCATAGACGCGACGCTGCTTCTTCGCCGGAGGTGCGTGATTAGCTCCGTCATCTGAGTAGGTCCCGCTGCTATCTTGGTCGTCCTCCGAGCTGTCTGAGAAGTTCGACTCGTCGTCAGAGACCTCATTGTCAGGATCTTCATCGTCAGAAGCCTCGCTGTCAGAGACCTCGTCGTTCTCAGAGGCCTCATCGTCCGCAGGCTCTTCATCGTGGTTTGCGTCGTGTTCGGGGGACACGTCGTCATTATTGGCAACGGAGGAGAGACCCTCGGGCACGGAGGATAGATCATCGTCGCTGGACGACTCGTTATCAACAAGGGCGTTGATCTCACCTCGAGTGTCGCGAGTGTCGTTTTCAGCAGAGGCATTCTCATCCACCAGCATTTCGACGTCTTCAGAACGAGCAGGCACGTCCGCAAGAACTCCAGCACCCCGAGTAGGCTTGCGGCTGTTGACTTCCTCCTCGCCCAGAATAGTATCATCGTCGAGTGCGGTGTAGAGGTTCTTACGAGCGCGACCAGAACGACGAATCTTACCGGCACGGGCGTTCTTGCGACCTACTGCATCTGCGTACTTAGAACCCTGGAAAGAATCTTCATCGCTTGACTCGGAGTCTATGTCCCGAATCTTTTGAAGTGGAGTCTTGCGAATGAGCTTGCGAATGAAAGACTTGTCGACAGTGGGAGTCTGGCGAGCAGTCGGAGTCTTAGCCATGGTCCGAGTCGTCTTCTTGGGCTCCTGATCTGCGTCCATCAAGCGGGGCTTCACCACCGTGTTGCCAGACGTCGCGGTCTTACGGTGGCGACGAAGGGGTTTATCCATGTAGCGATCAAAAACTGCTCGATCCAAGTGTGCGTCGGTGACTGGAAGAGGTCCACCAATGTGCTTCAGCAACTCTTTCAGATCATCAGGGAACGTCCAAGTCTCATCCGGGTTGTCGATGTGGTATTGGACGCAACGGGTGAGATCCAAGGAATCCGCTCCAGTGGGTAGATTTGTAACCCCTTCAGCGAGATCCTTGAAGGCAATGTAGATCTGCTTCTGCGCCCGCCCTTCAAGCTCGGCCTGCGTCTTGAACCCACTCACGTCAATAGAACCGTGGTCATGGTCTGCGGGAATCTCATGATTACGCGGGATCCAGGTGCTGCCGTGTTCAATGCGCATATGCCGGTTGAACTTCTTCAACATCATATTCCGGGTAGTCACAAAGCCTTGGGGCATGTGACGGTGCGCAACCAGAATCTGAGCTGCAACCCCTTGTTGGCCACCGTTTGATAGAATACGGTTGATCATGTCGCGGCTCGTGGTCCACCGAGGGAGGAAGGCCAGAATTTCCACCATGGTGATGTTCCCTGCGCCCTTGAAAGGCGTGTTGCCCAATGGGGCTCCAATAAGGCCAACATAGTTGCGGGTATGCTTCGCTTGCTCACCCGACTGGTTGAAATCATCAATCCCTGAGCCCTCGACAGTGTCGTCCTGCATTTGCAGGTCCGCATATGGAAGCTGGTCCGCAGATGGAAGCTGGTCCGCAGATGGAAGCTGGTCCGCGGGTGGAAGCTGGCCCGTCATGGTGCCCGGAACCATCAGGTTCAGTTGCTCTTCCGCGTTCCATTGTGCTGCAGCGGCCTCATTGAAATTGTTCTGATCATCCTGGCCAGCAGGTGTGTCGTCCTGAGCAGGAGCAGAGAAGCCTGTACCTCGAATAAAATCCTCGACAGGGGACATGTGCCGAGGGAGGTGCTCATACCCAGTGACACGACGTCGAAGGGGAAAGTCCGGCACCTGGAGCTTGAAACCCTCGTCTTGCGAAATATCTGTAGCAGCACCCCTAATGGGGAAGTTGTACAGAAGGTTCGGCACGTCTGCATCTGCAACGCGAGGAATAACTCCACCAAGGCGGGACAGATTCCAGGCCTCGACGATGCTGTGCTCGATCTCGATGTACTCGTCCAGAATGCGCTCAGGCGCAAGCCTACGACGAGCCGGCGCCGTGCAGGATTGCCGCAGCTCTGTAACGTTGTTTTGCAACGCGTACTGGAGATGGTAATAGTGGTTGTTCGGAGTCGCGTAACGGGAGGCAATGCGCCCTTGAGCAACATCTGCGATCATGTAGAGGTCATCGAACCAAAGCTCCTTGGTGCGGCGGGGCGCGGCGTGCTGTGGAGCCAATGGATCCATCTTCGCGATTAGACGGTCGGTTTTCAGGGGGTTAACTCTGCGATAGCTGAAAGGAAGGCCTTTGAGTCGAACTGGATCTTTTACCAGCTTGAGGATGTGTCAAGGTTGTGTTGACTCTGTCTGTGGGTTTTGTTGTATGCTACGGTTACGGGAAAGTGTTATATAGCGGTGAGGAGGGCTTGAATTCACGATGAAGGGCCCTCATTGTCACTGCACATAGTTAGCCTGACTTTCACCCATTTCTTTAGTGTCTGGCCAAGCCTCTTGGGATTTGAATCCCTGAGCTTTGGCATTGGCAGGTTTAGGTGGTTGAGTATCATTGCTGTGGTCAGAGAGTCCCGAAGCACACGTGTGCAAGTGCCGTATGTAGGCATCTCCGAGACTGCGATCACTGAAGCGATAACAGGAGCCAGATCATATAGTATATACCATATCTATGTAAAATCCTCGTGGTCAATGCGAATACAAGATCGCTCCAGGACCACCTAACTTCCTCGTTCTCCCAGGGCGCTTTACTTTTCTTAGAATTTGAGACATCTGATAGCTGAGCTCTGATAGTCCAGTTGAGATCTTGCTTCTTGTTCTCGGTTTCAGTTCTATGATAATTTCTCACCGTAAGGTCACAAGATGTAATTTGAGAGCTGCGTACACATATATACGGAGATTGACCGCTGGAATCAGACGGTGATTCCATATGCAGTCTGTCCTCTGTCATATGCAGTCTGTCCTTTGCCATATGCAGTCTGTTCTCTGCTTTCAAGACCCGACAGTCCGTGCCTATAGTAGCTAACTGCACAAGACCTTGTCCATATGCTTAAAATATATGGTACGAATCTCTATGTAGAACAGTTAATGTAACGTCCGTTACTGCGTAGCGAATCACATAATATGCCGAATCCGACCAATCAGCTTCCGTTAATCGCAGATGCCTAGAAGCTGATTGGTCGGATTCGGCATATTATGTGATTCGCTACGCAGTGATGGACGTTAGAACAGTTAATGTACAAGAACATAGCCATCACCACGATTTTCATAAGTACTCATAAGCATAGGTGATGAAAGAAATAATTGGAAATAATTGGACTCATAACATTCAATTTTATCTAATAGTCCGCTCCAGTACTAATCCTATACCCGTAACAAGATCACATTTGCGACACATCTTAAGCCATCTCCAGCGGAAGGCATCCAAGTAGTTTCTCCAACGGAAGGCACCCAAGTAATATTGACAACATCCAAGACAAGGCCGACAACAAGAAGTCACTATATCACAGCCCACCTATCGTCTAGGTGAACCTTGCTCATTATGGGAATCGTCACTCCACATTGGTAGCGAGATTACATCTCAAGCTACACTGTGGGTCGACAGGTTCCTAGAAACAAAGTGAGCTTTGCCTCGACCACACCCGGCTATCTTGACTCTAGAAACGCCATAGGGCGAATTACTCTTGAGTCTCAGGCCAGGATGTAGCTGAGGAGCTCGGCTGTGATATTAGAAAAAAGGGTTGAAAGGTGCAGGAAGCTTGAGGAATTCAGCGTGACTCAGGATCCAGGAACGGTAGCGTCGACCTCTTCGCCCGTGATGCTTTCGCCGTCATAAACGCTCTCAGAATTCGCATCGCTAGTGCGGTCAGGCTCTGAGAGACGAGCTCGCTTCCTACTAGAGGGCTTTGGGTCGGTCTGACGGGCGCGTTTGTTCGATCGCTCCGCCGACCGAGTTACAGCCTCGGAGTCCTGCTGATTCGTCCCGTCTTCCTGGTTGACGACTTCTTGCTGAGCTGATACGTTGTGCTCAGGCGGAACGTATGGCCTCGCCGGGGCGTATCCCGGGGGAGCAACGAATGGGCCAGTGGTAGTATACTCTTCGGGTGGAACGTAAGGCCTAGCCGGGGCGTATCCCTCTGGAACGTATGGCACAGCCTGGGCGTATCCCACGGGTGGAACCTGTGGCTGAGTTAGGACATCTTGCTCGACCGGCATATACTGCTGGTCGTCACCGTACTCCTGGTCCTCGACAAGTTGATGGTTCTCGTCGTGCTCCTGGCCCTGCTCATGCTTCGGGTCCTCGCCAATCGTCGCGTTCTCATCGATTGGCTGGTCCTCGGAGATTGGCTGAGTCCCGACGTCGTGCTGGTTCTCGAGGATCGGCTGGTTCTCGAAGATCGGCTGGTTCTCGAAGATCGGCTGGTTCTCGAAGATCGGCTGGTTCTCGAAGATCGGCTGGTTTTCGAAGATCGGCTGGTTCTCGAAGATTGGCTGACTGTCGAAGAATTGCTGGTTCCCGACGTGGCGCTGGTGTTCGAAGATCGGCTGGTTCTCGACAAAAGGCTGGTACCCATAACCCTGGCTAATATAAGGCTGGTGTCCGTACATCTGAGGCTGTGACGGTCCTTGGAACGATGCGCCTCCTGGAAGCTGTGAATGCACCGGCTGCTGTAAGAGCCATTCGTCTTGAGGGAACGATGGAACTCCTGGAAGCTGTGCATTCACCGGCTGCTGTAGAAGCCAATCGCCTTGGGAAAACTCTGGGCGCTCAGCAATCTCTTGATGGCCCGGAGCACGGCCAGTCACGGGAAGCCTTTGTGGATACGGCACAGGTCCTGGAACCCGAAAAGCCCCTACGTTCTGGAAGCCGTTCGAGTACTGTGGATAGCCTTGATGATGCAGAGCCGCTTGGTGCCCAGGACCTGGCTGGTTCCCAAAAAGCTCTTGATTCCCGATCTGTTGACCAGACGGCATCATATTGTGCATCCTCCCGATCCTCTCCTGCTCGCCGTAGGACTCGCTGTACAGAGCCCCCGTAGGGTAGCCACCGACGGGAAAGGAAAATGGCGGGAGATTCTGTGCACGAGGACGCTTCCTGAGAGGCTGACCATCTTGGTTGGCGCCAGCTGTTGACCCATCGTGCGGATCTTCGCCACGAGTGCGCTTCTTTGAGCCAGGATTTGCAGGTGGTGGCACTGCAGGAGCTGGTGCGGAAGGTGCGACTGGTGGTGCGGCTGGTGCGGCTGGTACTGGACCCGCGGCTGCAATAGCGTTGTTAAGCGCAGGTCCTGGTGCAGCCGCGTTCTGGTTCCAATACCTGGCTATGTGATTGGTGCATTGCTGGTTCCACAGTCGGTCATTGCCGTGAGCACGCTGGCCGCCAATGGTACTTTTCGTGGCCCAACGAGCGAGCGTGGGCCGGTCCAAGTGGTTATGTGTGACAGTGTTAGCACCGCCAACTAGAGCCAGCACTGTACCATAGCTATCTGGGAACAGATAGTTGGCACACTCAGCGGGATGGTCTACCACGTACTGCATGCAACGAGTCAGGTCGAGCGCGTCGTCTCCCTCAGGGAAGTGCTTGACGTTATCTGCAAGCCGCCTGAATGGGATCGCATGGTTAGGGTACATGGGACGCTGTCCTCGCTTCAGAGAATTGGCCTGCTCCATCGTCCGAAGACCTAGTCTCGTCACATTGATACTATTCCGAGCATAGTTATCGTCCCTTTGGAAATTGTGAGGCTTCCAACCTGGATACTTGTCTCCCATCTCAGCCTCCATGATCTTCAACAGGGAATTGTCTTTCGCATGGTTCTTGCGATGGGCCGTAACCATGTGAGCGAGAGCCATCTGACCACCGCCATTCTGCTTGACTCGGTTGATCACGTCAACGCTTCGCATCCACTGCGGAGCAAAGGCCATGATCTCTGTCAGCGTAATGTTGGCATTCGGTGGAAAGGGCAGGTTGGGTGACGGTCCGTCCTTGATGCCAACGTGTTGTCGTGGCTGCCTCCCTGTTGTCTGCTGCGCCGCTGCTGGAACCGCTGCAACCGCTGGAACTGGTGCCGGTCGAGCTGCTGGAGCTGATTGAGCCGCGAGAGCTGGTGCCGGCCGAGATGTGGCCTGGGCAGTTTGTGTAACTGGAGGTTGGACTTGGACTACTTGTGGAGCTGGGTTATGAGGCGGGGCAGCTTGGAATGCAGAAGGAGGTAAAATCCCTGCTCGGTGGACACGGTTCACTGGTGTCGGTTGATGCACGTGGTTTGGCCCTACCCCAACCGAAGGAGCATCAGCACTGACCCTATGAGGCCGTACTTGACTGACGCTCTGCTGCATCGGAGGTGCTCGTACGAATTGTGCAAGAGGACCAGCCGGAATTGACTGGTTAACCCCATTCTGAGGAACCCTTTGCAGTGGAGGCCGGCTAACCTGCTGGGAAGCTGGTACACCGACAGACTGTTGCACCGCAGCAGGTCGAGGCCGCTGCTGCTGATGCCCAGGGAATCCGGGGTCCAAACCATGCTGCATGAGAACATGCTCTTCAGAAGAGCTCAAATGAACCAGAGTCCCCTGCAGGAAATCGTTCACGATGGCCACGTGCACGGGTGGTGGCCGAGGAATCGAGCGAACGCGCAACCACGCCCGGGGTTGCAACGGTATTCGTGCTTGTACCGCAGCACTCCTCAGAGGGAAGTTGACGTTGTTGTCGAAGAGATCGTATTGACCCTCAGACGATACCTCGGTCGAATCGATGCTCACGATGTATCCAAGCCGAGTAAGATTCCAGCTCTCAAGGATATCAAACTCGTATCGGATGAATTCTAATAGAATTTCATGAGCCGATTGATTACGCCGGCGTTGGCGTAGAGCCTCTCGGGCACTCTGTCCGTTCTGGCGCAGCGCCTCCCCAAGATGCGGCCTGCCCTGTCCGGGGTGGTCATGGGTTAGGAAGATGTTCAAATTCGCTTGGTCTATTAGACTCTCCACTTGCTCGTCTGTGGTGGTATGGCGAACCAGCGCCTGAGCTTGCTGCATGTATTGAGACATGTTCGCTTGGAATTGGTAAGAAAAGTGAGAAGATTGATGAATATTCGAGGAATTGAGTCCGGCTCAAAGCTCGAAGCGGGTTGTTCGTTGAGGAAGTGGGTTGTTTAATGTGAGAAACTCGCTGTGGAGTATGAAAAAGATTATCATCTTGTATATAAAGCCTTGGGAGGGTGAAGTTGAGCCTGTATCATCGCGTCACAACGCGTGCACACTATGTGATCACGTGTCGACGCTTTCACCTTCTCCCCCTATACCTAGACATCAGGTTGACAGAGAGAGTTGTATGAAGATATGCGACAGGAATGTATAATTGTCCACATGCATACGAATATGATACCGTGGATGAGGCTGTTGCTTGAGAGGGCTTGAGGTACTCCCGCTGACCAAGCATAAGGGGCAACCATATTTGAAAATCATTTTGACCGCTTCGGGACATCCTTTTTGCTGTAATGGAGGGCATCTCGGCGTTGATAGTCTTGACAATGATGTATGTTCCGTTCGGTGGACGGTGTTCAGTGTCATTTTCGCCAGAACCCATGCTCAGTGCTGAAACCTAGAATGGGCGCGCAAAATAGAGAAAAGCACTCAGGCAATATAAAGAGTCTAGTATGCACTTCTCCAGCATGATGACTCGCTGGAAGCAGACATGGTGAGCAAGAGCGCCTTCAGTGCTTTCATATTATAGCGTATAATGACAAGCAAAGATGATTTCTAAGACGAGCAAACGAGTCCACAATTAGAGGTGGAAACAGTGGCCTCGAACTGTTTCAAGGCATTTGTATGTCCAAGTCAAACCAATCGGCCAACACAAAACACGGAAGAGTCAATCGGTGTACGGGATCTGGATACACAGTCCCACCTTATCGTCGTTCCAATTTCACTGACAAACTGCGCCCTAGCCACTTACCGTTCATACGCCGTTTGTGTTGTTCGGCTTTGGCTCAGTGTATCGCTGTGAGGCGATGGGCAAGACAGTGATGGGTAAGACATTGTTTGCTAGACAAAGAACGAAGGAACCTAAACAGCACCAATTGTAAGAAACTCCATTGTTTGGCCATAATGAATACAGCGATCCATACTATCGCAAGTTTTCAGAATCTTGAGCGGTTGCGCTAAGACATTTCTTGCTCGATCGACGTTCCAAGTATCAGTTATACGTGCAATGATCAGATCCGCTAGAACCACACGTACAACCGAATGCCGCATCACTGAGATAATGTTTTAGACTTAGTTTTACATTCAACCTGCATTTTCTGGGGTAAAGATAAATTATAGGTGTGCAATTTTCGTCGAGTCAAGCAGGGTGCGGTATATTTCACAGTTCTTGCTAACGTTTTCTTCTACGGCCCATCTCTGAGTCGTGCTATCACATCACGCGAGGGAGATTTCAAGCAAGAAAAAAATTCAATTTGAGTCTATGGATGTACAAAACAGTGGTGAACAAGAATTGATGCAATGATCTCATGCCGAAGAGCTTGGCTCTTTCGGAGTAGGATCTTCCATGACGGAAGAGCTCTACCAATGAGTTCAAATAGCGCATCGCCTCTTATGTTCGGTGGACAAGGAAAGAATAGGGGAATAGAAAAGGGGTTGGAGAATAGAAGTCGAAGAAGCAAATAAGGAAAGTGGAATAAAAGCAATGAAATGAAGGAAAGGGAACTCGTCGAGCATGCAAGAAGGTCCGGCGATTTCAGTTTATCGCACGGTCGGAGTTCCCTTATATCCAACTCCGAGGATGGATTGAGCATTATCAGCCGAATTCGTGATGTTAGGTTTCGATGGAATGCACGCTTTCGCGTTATTTCACACCCTCATCTTAACCATCTGGTTGCCCGCCTTGCTGCGCTTTGTTGTGTCGCACGCTACACGGTTTCCGTAAATCTTTAGATAGGACGAACAACTGACTGCCAACGTCCAAAGGCGGCCTGATCAGTGTGATACGGTGTAACTTCGATGCCAAAGGTCGAAGAATCGGAGAGCTGTTCGGTCATCCGCTCGAAGTCATCCGGGAAGTTCCAATCCTCGTCAGGGTGATCGACAGCTTACTGAACGCAGCGAGTCAGGTTCAGCGCGTCGTATTCAGAAGGCCACTGCTTGAGATCCTTGGCGAGGTCGCGGAAGGGGATAGCGTCGGTATTCTTGTCGCGATTCATCATGTGCTTTGGGCCTTCGATCTGGAGGTACGTACGGAAGCCCGCAATGTCGATCGATCCAGGGTCATGGTTCGGGAGAGGAATGTGGTCCCTAACGCGCCACTCGCGGTAGTCCTGGCCGCCGTTGGCAGTCTGATCGCCGCGGGCGCGCATGTGATGCTGGACAATGTGCAACCAGTAGTTATGATAAGTGGGAACTGCTGTGTTTCGATGGGCGTTCACGATCTTCATGATCAGCTTGCAACTACCGCCGTTTGAAATGAGACGCTCGATCACATGGACGCTCTTCAGCCACTGCGGCATGAAAACGAGCAATTCGACAACAGTGACGTTGGCTGGTCGATCGCTGACTTCTGGGAAGGGGAGGTTACAGCTGGGCGCGCTGCGAAGAAGATCGAATGTCGGAGAATAGGAACCCTTCACACGAGGGGCCTTCTTTGGAGATTTAGCGGACGGCGCAGGCGAAACATTCGCGCGGTTGTTTGGCGTGGTATCGGACGACTCCTGCACCGGTTGATTCTGCGCATACTCTGTCGGGGTTGTAGCAGACGCCTTGGGTGACTTCTTCGCGCGCTTCTTTAGTGATGTTGGTGAAGATTCGGAAAAGTCCCCTGCACGCTTCTTTGGCGTAATAGCTGACCGTGCTTGCACTGGTTGGGCCTGCGACGTAATCTCATTGCCCTTCATGGAAGGCTGTATACCAATAGTGCGAACGCCGTGATCTCCCAGGAAAGTATCCCATTGGAATAACACCGGATTGCCCTCGGCCGTGTACGACAGTGCGGATGCGATACGAAGTGGTTGCCAAGCCAATTGCTGCTGGGACAGCACATGAGCCTCTTCGGTCTGCTGGGGAACGACGGAGACGGGCTGCAAAGGTGGCGGCTGTTGGAATAGGACACCAGCTTCGACTGCAGCGCGCCTACAAGGGAAGAGGAACAGCTCATCAGTGCCCACATTTGCCTTCCCGCCGTTGACCTGGTTCCAACGATTGACTATATCGCGCTCGATGTTGATACGCTCTTGGAGAACCTCTTGTGGGGAGCCTTGGCCCTGAGAGCAATCGAATAACCCATCGCGTAGGTTTGAACGCAAGGCCTGCGTAAGCTTTGGATAAAGCAATCCATGGGCGGTCACGAATTCGGGCTTTGCAGTATTGAGAATGGTGTAAAGCCGGACGTACGTCAGAGCCGGAACCATGTGCTGGATCACCCCAGTGGGCGTGCTCGGGACTGCATATGGGACAGTACGAGGCAGGACGGTGTGATTATCCTGATCTAGCGGCAAGAAGGTCTCATCGGCCAGGCTGAAGAGACCGTGAGGGCCGGGGATGTAGCTCCCAGTTGGAACCTCCCGACCAAGCGGCATCAAGAACTCACCAGGCTGGCTGGCTGGATTATTGAGTCGAGAAGATCCTAAGGAGACCTCGGGGCCGGGAATGTATTGACCATGAGGCGCAGGCGAAGATGGAAAGTTACCATCGGCGAAGTGCGCCATCTTGGGAAATTGGCAGTGTAACTGCCCTCGAGGGGTACGGTCTGGAAAGGGGTTCGGCTTTGACGATTGAGGCTTCTCGTCTAGTTGTGGTGTTGCTGGGTTGAGCCTCTGTGTGATTAATCTTGTAGGTCAATGTGTAGGGAATCTTTATAGGGTTGGGAGTGCGAACTAATGACATTGTCGCGATCACACGACGCGAACTCAACGCGTCGCGCAGACATAGTGCGCTCGTGATGGAGTCAACCACATCCTCTCGACTTATTAACCTACTCCGCTCACTTCTGAAATGTCTGCTCTAGAAGATCTGATAGGCTATGCCGGCGAGCACATTACTTCACCCGCAGCCATTGTGAAGCCATCAAGACCTCGAATAGCACGACTGCCACATCGTCAGTATACAATGTGAGAGCTGGAAGAAGCCAACTTATAGCGTGAATGAGGATGTCTGCTTTGTATTTTACCAGACACAGAAGCACGTACGACTGATGAGGCCGCGATTGCATGCATAGACCTGGATTGGTATGGAAGATTATACTAACTTTCCCAGCTGAAGCCACAAGATTCCACATCAGTAATGCTTGCTCCATATAAAATCTTTCCATACCTCGCACTTCCCTGTTCTATCTTTACCAAGTCGATACTTGCCTTTTCCGTCTATCCCGAAATCCATCACTATAGAGCCATTGGACCCCGAGGTCCTCCACCCTTCGATTGGCGGCTGCCACGGATCCCTCGCAAAATTCGCCCATGCTCCGCGCATCACATCGCTCAGTTGTTTCTGCTCTCTCGTCGCGTTAGTAAGGTTGTATGTAGAGAATACGATAGGAATTTCGGAAGAATGGTACGCTTTTTGCGCAGCAACAGGCCAGCGGTTGTCAGGCAGGTTACGGAAGCGTTGATTAGGGAAGGTGGCGTTGAAGAGGTAGCGGTAGGTAGGGACGTAACGGTGAGAGGAGTTGCTTAGAAAGACCGCAGGCTGCTCGTGGTCAATACTCCTATTCATTATCACCGACTTTCGACAGGGCACCTACGCAGTGGAAATTCCAATCCGTATGGATTTGCGTCAAAATACTCATGTTGTCAAATCGCCCCTCTGAAGGATCCAGCTTATACGCGTCGAGAATCTTCTCTTTGAGGGCAGCCTCACCGGGGAAAATCGTGTTGAAATATCGATCGATATCCGTACCGTTCTTCGCCGCGTAGTAGCTTCCGTCTTGGACGGCCGACCCGCCGATCACAGGGACGTGGGCGAACATGCCGGCTTCGCGGCGGAGACGCGGATCGCAAACTATAGTTACGTTATCACCAGCCATGCCGAACCCGATGTTGTATTTTTCCTGAGCGTAGCGTATGTCTGAGGCTGGGGTCTTTTTCATGCAGTCGAATGTCGAGGTTGCATTATCGCATCCGAGGCGATTGAGGAGAACCGTCCAGGACGAAAAATCGGTGTCGTTGCAGTTTGGAAGTGGATTGTAGGAATAGGTGCCGCTCTCCATGATGCCGGCGTGGAAAGGCGGACCATTTGGCCAAGGTGCAGTAAGGAGCACGTCGACTGAATATGCACCGGCAGATTGACCAAAGATGGTTACGCGTTTGGAGTCTCCACCAAAGACCTTGATGTTTCGTTGCACCCAAGTCAGCCCTGCGCGCTGATCCAGCAAACCTAGGTTCCGCTCTGTGAGATTAGTGATGTCGGGTGCGATGGGAAAGCCGAAGACATTCGTGCGGTAGTTGACAGAGACAACGATCACATCTTCGAGTGCAGCCAAATGCGAGCCATCGTATATGGGCTGCCCGGCGTTACCGAAGCTGAATCCGCCACCGTAGATCCAGTAGAGTACCGGGTACCGCGACTTCCTCAAAGACTTCTTCCAAGTCTTTTTGGGAGCGAAGACGTTGAGATAGAGACAGTCCTCACTTTCTTCAGGCCGCGGAATGCTGAACACATCTTGGATGAAGTCGCGATCGTCGATCGGTCCTCCAGCCGCAGTCAGTCTGATTTCCCGGTATTCATTTGTCACCGATCACCTACTAAAAGCCTGCATGCAAGCCGGCTTGAAAGCCTTCGTATCTATGGACCCCGTCCAGCTCGTCGGTCGCGGCACCGAGAATCTCCCAGTCCCAAGCGGCGCCTCTGCGAATGGAATTCCAAGAAACTTGTTAACCACGGCCGTCGCCCCTGGAACCCGTGTCGTGGTCCCGACAACAATGCCGCCATCTATAGTTGCCGTAGGGGCGGTATGTACCAAAAGGCCGGCTACATTCCAAGACGCGGCTGTCAACAGTGCCGTGGCACCGGTGGCGATCTTCATTGCAGGTAAAATGTTGGAAGGTTATTGCACTATAGACCGGGAAGAGGTGATCGTAGGATCCATAGGGTAGTTTTATACATGAATGCCGGCAGTTGGTAAGGGCAGGGAGTGTGAGTCTGTGTGACCCCGCACGCTGGTAAGTTGGTGGTCATTCGCGTTGCGGCTAAAGGCGATTGGATCGAGCATGGGGAAGCTAATATGCGGTAGAGGACATGCGAGCTAGAAAGTATTGCGAGAACGTGGTTCCGAGAGGGATGTTCGTAGTTCGTTACATCTCGCGGTATTGTTGAGCTTGGTCCATTCCGGGCCCAGCTTCATGTTTGTGCTTTGTATGCCATTGAGATTCAATGTGTACATTAGGCATAGGATACGGCGATCATATTGACGCTGACCCCAGAATTCATGCTTTCAAAGGATTGAGGGCCGATTCCGATCCTGCATCTCGAGTGCATGCGATGTTCTCGTACACGGTTGCACATGGTGGGTACCCTGGCGAGGTACCTCTAGCTCGAGCTTACCACCAGCGGAATCTTAAACTCGACCGAATGAGGAAGGTCAGCATTCGCGTGGACTGGTAAGTCGCCTTCATCGATGAAGCGGTGCAATATTGCTTATGCGTGGTGATGTCGTTGGGTTGGTTGTAGGCGGGACTGTGTTGACGCCAACGAGATGATAGTGTTATCTGTTGACCAGGTAATCTACTATCGTATACGAATAGATGAGATGGCCTGCATACGACGTACAAAGGGAGAGGTGGTGGCTGTGTGGTGCAACCAAGGAACGTTCTGGGAGTGATGCTGACCCTCCTGGCAAACTTCCTAATCGGGTAATCTGCCTCCCGCTCGCGAAAGCCGTGGATGACTGCAGATCACTGTCACCTCTGGAGCAACGATGAGTGGCCCGAGCGTCGTAAACACCGCGGTGGCCCAAGCTCCAACCCCGCGCCTTCACTCAAGGCAGGCATGACACATGCTCAAAATTCCTATGTATACTCCCCGTACAAGTCTTTTTCGATTGTCTACAATTTCAAAACGAGCTCTGTACCTTCGAACACGCCACTATTCCCGAGTTAATCGCAAGATGGCCGACGTCATCGAGCTGAACGAGATCCCCACGCTCAGCCTGCTCTACAAGCTCAACCGCATTCCAATCGCCTCAGACCAGGCGTCGTCGTACGAACCAAATGTCGCATACAATGACAAGATTTCGATCATAAAGCAAGACATAACCTCCCTTGCAATTGACGCCATCGTGAACGCCGCGAACGAGTCCTTACTTGGAGGTGGTGGTGTAGACGGTGCTATCCACCGTGCAGCAGGCCCCGATCTTGTCGAAGAATGTCGCACGCTCGACGGCTGCGAGGCAGGCGACGCCAAAATTACCGACGGCTACGAGCTCCCTTCTAAGAAGGTCATACACGCCGTGGGCCCTCGCTGGTACGCGCTCAGTGCCCCGGACGCAGAGGCGAAGCTCAAGAGCTGCTACCGTCGGGGTCTGGAACTGGCGGTCGAGAATGATCTGAAGAGCATCGCCTTCCCAGCAATTAGTACCGGTGTTTTTTCATACCCGAACGTAAAGGCGTGCAATGATGCCTTAACCGAGGTGCGCGAATTCCTGGACGAGGGGAAGGGCGATGGGCTACAGCGTATTATCTTCTGCAACTTCTTGCAGAAAGACCAAGACATATACTACAAGCATGTCTCGTAAGTTCCCCAATGTAGTCATGTGGATGGTCGCTAATGCCAAGCAACAGCAAGCATTTTCCTCCGGTGGCTGAGGTCGAGGAGACGGACGAGGTCACGAAGACCTCAACCGACGAAACAGAGATTGCTGCTAAGCTACCTGACCCTCCTACGACCGAGCCCAAACACCCCGATGAGCCTTCATCGAAGAAGCAGAAGACGGAAGCAGCGGAGGATGACTTCGTGGTGGTGGACAAGGATGACGCCAAGGGCACTCCCAAGGGCGAGCTATAGAGGCTCCACGTGTGACCGAGATTTAACGTATGATGATATTCATGGCAAGGCGTTATGGTGAATTTGCGGCACGGTTTGCATATACCCTTGGTCCCGGTTCGCCGCCGAGGACTGGCATTGTTTAGGTAGGATTCAATATATCACCCTGGTGCATGGTCGTCCCTCCATGCGCTGATCACGTTTACAGCCTTTTGAGTTCTTCTCTATTCGGATGTTGATTGCACGACCATACTTTCACTTCCGCCTCGAAAGGGTCGAATCAAACGATAAACGAAGTAAAGCCGATGCGATTGGAACACGGCATCTTACCAGCATGCTACCGTACAATAATTCCCAGGACGTTACCAAGGCCGCTCCTACGGCCTTCCGCATCGCACCCTATACTCTTCCAGCTACGCCAGGTTCCTTTGTCTCCCTTGACCTCGGCATCTCACTCATCCACCGGCCAGAGGCAGCTCAGGCGCGACTTCAGCCTTGTGAGCGCACTCTCACCCCGGCTTTCATATACCGAAAACCGTCAAGGCAGGATTAGCACTGTTGATCGTTCTAGCACACTTACGCAGGTACCTATTCTCGTCCGTCTAGCTTCATCCGCGACCAGACTCACTGTCCGCCTTTCAGTGACATCAATCACCACTCAGGAGTAATGAAGTACTTTTCCCACCCACCCCGGCTATCTGCCTTCTTCCACTCGTTCATCCCATTCGATACACCATCCGCGCCCACTTTCCAATCCCCTCTCTCCACCATTGCGACCCAACTCCTAAGCACCTGTACCAGTCTGACGGGGTGGCTCTTGATAAACGGCTGCCGTCCCGTTTGGTACAGCTCATCATATTCGTCCTTTGATTTCGCCAGCTCATCATGTACATTCTCACCGAACAATGTGCCATCACCTTTTCGCGCCCATCCATTGCCACCGATGGCGAAAGGAAGAACGAGGGAGACCGCATCGCTGTGTTGGTTGTTCCCTTGGTCAGATGCGTGGAAGTATAAACCTGCAGGGTATGTTGGGAGGTTGAAAGGATAACCGAATACGTCGTAAGCGTATATATTAGGATGGGGCGAAGGACGGTTGTACATCAGGGAAGAGCGGAAAAGCAAGAGAGGTGATGAACGAAACCAATGACGATGGTCCTCTGGGACGGTATCGAGAACTCCGAAAAAGGGCTGATCGGCGATGGTGCTTGCTGTCGGAAGGGACAGACCGGGAGCAATGAAGCGGAAACTCGGACGACGAGCGCGTGTGAGAAAGTCGTATGCGAATCCGGGAGGTATATGCGCGGTGTCGAGGGCTTCTTTATTCATCAGACTGGCTGATGCATTACTTTCTTTAGGCTCTTTTGCGGGCATGGCCGCCTCGATAGCGGCTACCAGCTTGTCGAAGACCTCGACTGCTTCGTTCACTTGGTAATCCGTATATGGCACTAACTCCCAGGGTCTGTATTCTGTGTCAGGACCCACGGCTTTCACTTTTCCTGTTCGTATCATGTCGAGCCACGCTGCCAATATGTCTTCGAGTGGATGCCACTTGACGCGACCCGAGTCACAGAGTCCATCGCTGTCATGAATACTCATGCTCATAATGGCCATGTTCTTTTCTTGGTCGAAACTTGATTCCTGTCAGCATTCGAGCGTCTCATATGCATGCGAGTACTTACATGAGTCCTTCTGGATGAGAAGCAAGATTATTCGCCCAATAAAGCCTGACATATCTCCCCAAGCCTCCACCGTCCAGATTCCCATGATGCTGCTCATACTGATTCACCCAACTTGGCGAGCAGAGCCCATCAAGGAGCGCAAACATGTCGTCCCCAGGGTACATAAGCGCGGTCGCGTAATAGTGAAAGTTTTGCACGCCGTACTGCTGTTTTGATTCTGGAATCTCGTACGCGCCTTGTAGAAACGCGACAAGGTCAGACGACAGTTTCCGGCGTGCGTTTTGTGCTGCTTGTCCATGGTGCTCGAACCAAGTTTGGGGATGGAAATCTTGAGGGTCTTGATTCATCGCTTCCCACCCTAGGCGGACAATCTTGTTGTGTAGCTCAATGCAGCGTGCCACGTTCATTGTCGGTTTTGGGAGGAAAGATAAACGCTCTGGTCTGAGGGAAGGGAAGGCGATTCCGATAATGATTGCACCTACGGCGAATGCGTAGATAAGCCAGTCCATGAGAATAAAGAGTTTTGATATACAATTGAACTTGCTTCAATGCATAGTTTCACTATCTTCCCAGCGTAAGGGAGCTGATCAAGGTGCTTCTTCAAAATTCAGATTGGCATTTCAGTACGGTCAGTTGCAATGACTCTGGTATTTGTACTACATAGGTAGTTCCAAACCAGAGGGCGAGGTCTAGCGTGTGAACAGTGGGTCCCACTTGGCGTTCCCCTTCAGGGGCAAAGGCTAACCCAGAGTGGAGAGCGCGTTCAATTAGCTTCTGGGTCGCATCTTCATCCTTGCCCGCTGCCTGCTGAACAAACACCAACGTCGCTCGTGAACAAGTTGATGTCTGATGATCCTACTTCTCGCCTGCGATGAAGTCCTTGATAGTTTGCTCAAGACCAACATCCTCCGCGAATCCCAGCTCTTTCGCTCTTGACGTATCGTACTTCCCTGGCCAACTAAGCACAATCTTCTCGATCTTCTCGTCCCTCTTCTCTTTTACCAGAGCTCTTGTCTCTTTTCCAGCAACTTTTTCGAGGGCCTCCAAGATCTCTCCACTAGTTGCTGTGTACCCAGGTAAGAGGACCGTTCGGAAATGACCGAATTTCTCCGCAGGAACATTCAGGGCGTGGACAAGGTTGTGAGCCAGCGTCCGAGGAGAGGCAAGCCAGATTCCGATGTTTGGATCGACGGGAAGCTCACTTTCTTGTCCGTGTACTGGTTCTCTCACAATACCCGATACGAACGATGAAGCAGCCGCCGTTGGAGCTCCAGCGCGGACGAAGATCGTAGGCAGGCGCACCACTCTACCATCGATAAGGCCTCTCCTCGAGTAGTCATTAACGAGGTATTCGACCATCAGCTTTTGTGTTCCGTAGCTGCTTTCAGGCATGGGAACAATATCCGTCTCAGTCGCGACATTATTGACGGCCGCTCTTCCAAAAACAGCGCACGAGGAAGTGAAAATGACCTTAATGCCAGGTTTCTTTTCTCTGATGGTGTCGAGGAGCCCACGCACACTGTCGAAGTTTACACTCAAGCCCAGCTCAAGATTCGCTTCCGAACCACTCGACATGATGCCGTGGAGGATGTAGACGGCATCTGGCGAGCGATCTATCAAAGCCTTGCGGACATCTGGTTTCGTCAGGTCCGCTCCAATACAGTCGACTCTGGTAGACTTCGTCGGGTTCGGAGGCGCCTGGACATCGGCTAGGATAAGTTCCGCATCGGGAGAGGTCTCGATAAGCTTCTTTGCAAGGGTCTGGCCGACGAATCCGCCGGCACCTGTGATAATAACTTTCATGATGACGAGTATATATGAATATCTGGATCGAAATGAGGAATTGAAGTAATGAACAGATATTAGCGGGCATCTCCGCCAGCAGTCGTAGATGTACGGATGAGGGGTAGTGGGGAAGCGCACGGCCCTTACACCGAGGTTCACTCGGCGAAAAGGCCGACTTCCCATCGCACATCTCTGCGAAAGCTCGTGTCTGGAAACTCAAAATCCATATCGTAAGTCATACAGTATCTGGAAAGTGTTCAGCCAGCATGCATTGTACCATTTAATCATGGATGAGAGCCAGCCATCCTTTACCCCGCTTTCGTCACTGCGTTTACACAGCGCAACACAGGGTGCGAGAAAGACTGTTACTGTACGAGGAAATCAACGCCTATCTTTTTTTACGTCGTGAGTAGCTTATCATATATAGGTACCTTTCTAGGCGGAGAACAGTCGGCCTACTATACAATACTCCGCTAAAAAGGCGGAGGTGAAAGTCGTTTTGCGTTGAACTACTATCAATTAGGTCTCACACATAGAAGGCTATAATCGATGATCTTCTTCGACCTGATTGCCACATCTCTCGCCGCCCTAGGTGCCAGCTCCGCCATCCATATTCAAGACTAGCTCATCTTGCCTTTGGTCCTGGTACTCCACTCTTTTCCACGTCTTGACGGCCTTGCTTTCCGTATGCAGCTCCCAAATCCGCGTTCTCCGATGATACCGGTTTTCGCCGTATGAACAGTAGCCCCCAAAGCCACTGCCGCCATTGTAACATAGCCAAGGCACATGTCGAGCAACGCCATCCGCTTCTTTGACTAGGGCACAGAAATCGTTCACATGATCATGTCCACAGCCTACTGCTGTCACTCCTTCTTCCACCAACGCATCGTAGACATGAGTGTTGAAGCTTGGACCTTCTGTAGGTTCTCTGCGCTGTCCACCCCTCCGGAGGAGCTTATCATCATCCGCAAACTCTGGGAACGGAATGTGAATGAAGACTAGCGATTTATAACTGTGGTGGCGATGAGAATCTGTGTCTTGTTTCTCCTTTGACTCGCGAGAGATGTGCCGGAACCATTCGATCTGACTCGGTTGAATTGCCTCATAGTCTGGACTTTGGGTGTCGGAGTTTACCTGCCCATGGGAGTCCAGTAAATATATAGTTGACATAGGTACGTCCGATGACTTGTGCGGGTACACATGAATGTAGGAATTTCCGACGCCATAGACCTTCTCAGGGCCCGGTTCGCAGAGGCTGAAAGGAAGCTCCTCGTATAGCGCCATTTGCGCGGTACCTATGACTTCGTGAACACATGTCCTCTAGAGCCGGTGAGGGTAGCTGTTGTGACTTACGCGACAATGCGAAGTCGCCTTCACTGTCATGATTCCCAAAAATCGCCGCCCAAGGAATCGAACGTTCTATGACCGGAGCAACCACTTTGAATAGCGCTGTTTGGCTATCCAAAATATCATGATGGAGTTGATCACCAGTGAAGACAACGAGATCAGGCTGCTCAATGTCTAGAATATGGCCAACAAGCCTCACAGTGTGGGGGTCAGCATCGTGAACTGGTAGAGCCTGCCCATCAGGCCCCAATGCGTCTTTACACTCGCCAACTCCTATCACCATATGAGTATCGGATATTTGAACTATCTTAAAACTACCGTCTTCACGTGCGCGCAGTACCGGGTGGTGCGATCGTGGGATTGGCTGACCGTATCTGAGAGTCAGTCTAGGGCTGGGCGTTGTCGGAGGAGCGTGCTCAAGTTGCAATGATTGATCAAGAATCGTCCATTTTGGGCGAGGATCTACGGCATCGGACCCGAACAAGATGTCCACGCCTGTAAGATATGCGTTGCTGCCTTTGACGAACTTGCTTCTTCTGATCCAGAGGCCAGCCGGGCGTTCTTCCCATGTCGAACTTTCGAATTGCGGTTTGCCAATGCGCACATTCGTGATGACTGGTTGTTCAGCGCTCAAATCTTCTTCTCTAGCTTGCGCGACGTGAATGAATGCACTGTTTTCTGCCGTGTGTAGATATAGATTCTTCTGTATGCGGTACCAGCTTTGGCGATTGTGTTCGAGTGATTTGGAGCTCTCAGTACCGTAGTAGTAGCATACCGTCAAGTCTGTGATGATGGTGTGTGTATCGTCACGACCCATGATGGAGATTGGATTGAAATGGTCGCTAGCGGGGTGGCTGGTGATGCGGGCGCTAAAGAGTTGGAAACCTCTCACACGTCTCCAAGCGCTGAACGCCAATGACGACACAGACCCCGACACCGACACCATAACTTCCGTTGCGCACTGGAGGACCTTCTGCCACGATGAAGAGACGCATGTCAAAATAGGCTCGGTCTTCTTCCTCTACATGTTTGGTAAACACTATCATTAGCTGGTGACTATGACGCGCTCGTCAGCGCGTTCTTGTCTCTTAGGCACGCAACGCAGCAACTACAACAGGTATTCAATAAGACAGAGGCACTAAGGAGTAAGGGGTTTACCTCGACAATTCGGTGTCTAACTCATGGGGAAGACATGTCACATGACGACATAGCTCTTCTAGTTGAAACGGAACCAGCCTATGTCGCAGGCCTGGGGCCGCCGATGATGAAATATTGAAGATACCTTGACACCGGTACTTCACAGTTCCTGAACGAACGTGCTGGAGCTTGAGGGTCTCATTCAGTAGACAAGCTACCGACAGAAACAGGTGTACACTAATTCTTGCAAAGTTACCCGCTTCTGCGCAACGATACTAACGTGTCATATCGCAGAGTCAGCTTCACTTGCTTGGGCTGAACGATATCAAGCCACCCTCTATCTCATCAACCATCTACTGCCCCGGATTCATTGGCCGGGCATAAAATCCAATGTTCATCACATTCAACGCATAGTTATGTTCAAGGGAACTGCCACAGGCCATGTTGAAGACGAACTACAGCGGCTACAAGATGGCGTCCAACGACTTGCACAACAAACTCAACAGCCCCTGGAGCAGTCAAAGCATTTTGTTCGCCAAATCGAAGCATATGATTTGATGGTCACATCACAGAAGACCTCCTGCACGCTGAGTTCATAGACATCAACAGTAGGGAAACTCTTGGACGGACGTCATTGCACTATGTATTCAGAGTACCTACATGTTTATGCCCATTCACTGGCTACTTCAGCAACATATCGCCATGGTGGCGGGAGGGTGCGTTACATCTATTGGAACTCCCTTCGATCTTTAGCACGTCTGTAATTGCGCTACTAGGCAATAACAGAGTTAACAAAGGCTTGCTTCTTACTCGTGGCTCGGACATGTGGTTGCCAAAAACCCACGCTGACATTCTATAAAATGGTAGCTATTCATAGAGGAACGGCGGGCTTCTCTTCCTCGAATCCCTAAGGCGTGTCCAAGTCCACACTTCTATACGCAGAATATTCTGTTCACCTCACCTCGCATAGTGTAGGTCGATGTCGCTTGACGGGACCGGTTTACATAATCCAGGTCACCGAATCTGCGGAGTGAATGTCAACTCAGCAACGAATTTTGACGTCGCTTACGCACAGACTGCAGTCTCGAATTTCATCATTCCCACAAAGTCCTCGGGCCCCGCACTTTTACAATTGACTTCGCAGATTCATATAGCTCATTGCTTCCATAATGAAGTTCTTCGTCCTCTTGGCTTTCAGTCTCGTACTGCTCCTCACGACAGCCTTCGAATCCGGTTCCGGTGCCCTTCAACATGCTTCCCTCAAGAACAACACGGCGCGCTTTCGATACGGAACGGTGTTCGAGAAGCGCGGGAGTCCTTCCGAGTCGGAGCTAACGCTAGAGGATATTGAGAGCACGTGTAGTGAGCCTAGCATATCCAACGAAGAGGTTTTCAACGATGCGAGGCTCAAAGGTCGGCAACTAGCGTCCGGAATGGTCGCAAATTCGTATTTTCTGCCCCATATAATGCCCCTCAGCCCGTGGGACGGCGAGCTTCGCGCCGAATTACAACTTTGGGGCTGGGCTGAAACTGAACGACCTGAAAAATGCGACTTCAGGAATGGCGTTGGTCGTCTCGGCTTGGAGACCGCATTTGCCAACTTGGTAGACGTACGCGGCATACAAGGCATCAATCCCAGACCGTCCAATGAAGGTAGCGGAACAGTATGTCACTTGATTCGCCATTACGACAGTCCTGCAGTGCTCAATAGACCTGCGGCTGGTCATCCATGGCCTCCTCGGGGACAACAAGTGTACAATGTAAACGCTCGAGAATACACAGTAAGCCCCAAGTGCCTCTCCTCATAAGAATACTCTCACTAACATCCCCCAGGTCACCGGTGCATTCTTTACTATAGCAGTCAACCGTGCTGCCGGCCTCATCGCGTTCATCGACCGAAGATCCCCGGTCAAGGCAGCAGAAGATCTCTGGAATAGAAAACCTTCAGACGACGAGCTTCCGGCGCTGAGAGCTACCTCCGATGTTGCCTGGGGGCTGTGGAACCGGAGGCAAGGTCCCGACAACCCGGGTCTCGGTCGCATAAAGTACTTTCTGATCGGTCCCATCGTGAACTATGAAACCACGAAGATCATCATGGAAATTTGTGATGAAGATCGAGCCCCGCTATGGCCCGGTCTCGACTTCAACTTCCCGGAACAACAAGCGTTAGCACTTCTTGGTAAGCAACACTTCTCATTTCAACCCTTGACTGTGGCTCATCTGCCTTAGGTTCGCCAAATGGTCGGGCAGTAGGCTTTTTCCTCGCGCAGCATAAGATCCAGATGGGTGGGAAATACTTCGTCAGCAAGGTCAAGCTGTTCAACTCGGATGCTGTTCCTAGCTATCCCTACGCTCTCTTCACGGTGCAGAGGATCATGATCACCGAAGACATACTTGTGGCTCCAAAGATTGAAAAGCCCCAGAACGCACCTGGAAACGTACCTGGAAACGGAAAGTAGCGACCGCTGTGCTTACATCGCGGTTGGGATTGGGAGAGGCACACGTTCGTTATCGCCTGTTTTCCTAGGAGCAGTTGGACTTTGTGGGAAAAGCGAGATCTGGAGTCTATAGACTGCTGTTGGGAACTACATGGGATAGACTACAATAGAACAACAAGAACAGAAACAAGTCTTTGTATACACCAAGTAATTGCTCGCATGCATGTTTGATGAACGTGAGATATGGTGATCAATCGTTGTCAGCATACTCAGACTGCGTTATTCCGTGATGCTAGCAACTACACAAGAATTAGTGTCAGATTGCCTGATAACATTCTCGGATAGGAGCTTCTGCACAACAGTTATAATATCAGTCCGCTCCGCTTCCGTTGCCGGTGCGCAATTCAAACATATCCCGTAACTCTGTGGTCTCATCGAGCACATCATCAATATCCATGGTATCCATAGCCCCTTCACGCAGGAAGGTGATGCTGTGAGGTGTGCGTGCGTGTTTTGCGACTCCTGGGGCGTCCAGACCGAGGTACAACTTCCGCTCGCGTTTCTGGTTCCACTCAAGATCAAGTATCAAACGGTAGAAGGCAATATGTGTAGATCTGCTCACACTGTGCACCTTGAATGCGTTGCCCGTGATATGCACCACCCGCATTGAGAAGGGCACAGGACGACCGACCGTTACCGTACGGAAATTGCTGATACGTTCGATTAATTGAACGACTGCACGGCGAGAGGCAGAATCAATGAATGGAAAGTATTCGTTAACCTAGCACATGTTCATCAATATGCAATGCCAGCCGTTTCAACCAGGTAATTACCTACCCGCTGTCGAACGATATTGTTCGGGATCGTCGGACCTGAAGGATGCACGATGTCACGGAGGGAATTCAGGAACTCTGGGTATTCCCAGTGGACATCAACGTGAGGCTTGTATTCCATGATCTCGGCCTTCAGTTCCTCCAGGTACGGACTCGCCTTAAAGTCGGTTCGTTAACTCCAGAATTGCGGCAGAGGAGAACTGCACTTTGCTGGGATGCGCGAACTTACTTCTTGGTGCACTTGACGACAAATTGCCAGGATCGCCGTTGGCGCTGTCTCACTGTAGATGATAATCTCGGGTCTGCCATCGCAAGCATTCTCCTTGAGATTGATTCCGATCTTGACGCGACAAATGGTGAGCCGCTCATACACCATAAGACGCAATTCTTTGGGAAGGTCCAAGAATCGGAAAGGACGAGTGTGGTTCGGAGGCATCTTGGGAGTTGAGGTTGCCCCCAAAATTCTGCTGTAATGCGCAATATACACTGTTTGAGACGGTTTGTTTGTTGGGCGGAAGCGCTTTAACCTGTTGCAGCTAGGGCGGTCAATTTCCACGTGACCTAATCGCCAGGTATCGCATCGGGCGGAGTTTGACATCACCAACGCGCAGCAGCAACCAGCATTTATATGGTGCGTGGAACACTGTCTTAATTTACTGTATAGCAATTCCTTTCACAGAATTGACGATATCCAGCCTTCGCACCTGCGGCCAGCGTCACCCGCTGTTGGAAGCGACGGAGCGTAGCCCTTTGTTGCCAAAAGGCAAAACGTTTGCCTGTAAAAGTCTTAGATTTTCTGAATCATCTACGTATGGACAGAAACATATGATTCATTTATGCAAACCGTTCGAAATTATTCGATTTTCACCGCAGGGCAGCCGTAGGGGTTTGACACTCGCGGCGCATTGAATGTATAGCGGTAGCATGTTCACCGATTGAAATGATCGATCAAGGACATCTCTGCATCGGAGCGGCTTTCAGACTCGGTCCTTCGCTCGCTTCTCAACTATCTCTCTTGTGGCCACTTCTCCTTCCCTCGCCGCGGCCCGAACCTTGGCAGTACAAACGGAATACTTGCCCCAGGATACATGGTACGGTGTCTTTCAGACATAATCTTCATAGCTCATAGCCAAGTTTATCCCTCGAGCGGCAATGGAGGATGTGGCTTGCCATACTTTGGTGCTCTATGGCGCAACAGCATTGGCTTGTATGACGTCCGATAGACAGGTATCAAGGCTGTTACTAGAACGACCACTAAGAAGAGGGCGGGCAACGACACCCACCGACATCCGGCAGTATGCGTCACGCTAGCACCGAGTAATGGTTCTAAAGCTGGTCTTTGTGTCTTAAGCGAAGTTGGTGAATTGAAGGTCCGTATAATCTAACCTGGGAATGGCGCTGCAGCATATAGTAAAATTGCCCCATATCGCTTCTCTAGTTGCCACGAGCCGATCAGCGTTCCTGGGCCCATAGACAGGCTCGGCACTGCGAAGACGCCAGCACACAATGTAGAGCCACTAATGAAGCCATACTCTGTGCGAAGCCAGTGTCAAGGTGAACAACGAAAAACTTGGTAGGCTCACGAACACCACCGGTCTCCTGCCGACACTTCCACTAGAAGGTGTTGCAAACGGACTAACCACAACGAGACCCAGCGGGCATGTCGAGTACGCAGGGATTCCAAATCGTTGGTGACCTGATTCTGCTACAGATGTATCGATAGCCAGAGTGACAACCAACGATGCAAACGTTCCAGCGAGGGCGACACCTGAGATTGACCGTTTTTGGAACCACCTTCGAGCGATAAACCACTTGTTTGGTGCCGAGAATCGTCTTCTGGTTGCCAGGCAAGAGCATTTGGGCTTACTAGAGACGTACGCGCCTCATATTTCGCTATGAGAGCGGACGATTTTGAGCGTTCAATGATGGGTGCAGGAAAACATGGTAACCGCCGTTCCTCGACTTCGCTCCGCCTTATATGGCTCTTCACAAGGTTATTTTCGAGAGATACAGCAGCGTGAAAATTGATCCCTAGGTTGACATGTTGGGTTGTTGTCAGTAGCGCCAATTCGGCAAGCGCCCCTAGCGTAGTTCCCACTGGTCGTCATAGCCGAACTTGAGCTTGAGAATAGGCCGAGCAATAACTGTATCTGCGACATCTGTTTCATGTGCATTGTGTAAAGATAGCGCTATTGTGTTCGAGAAATTTTCTAATTTTTCTAATTCTGTAACCATGTATCAGTCAAGCTGCGATTTGCTCATTTCCTGTATTTTTAGTATGAGCCCCACTCTTCTAACGAATGCATGTCGTACATCATCACTTATCATTCAAGGCGTTGTTGCTTCACCGACCGTAACGCACGATACCCACCATATATACTCACCTCCATAATGACGACTCAATCAAGCATCATCTGGCCAGAGCATCTCTTGCCAGGGACCACGGACAATTTCGTTTCCAACGAAGTCATCGCACGTAACCTTTCCGCACAACGAATCTGGGAGCTCCTTGCGGACATCTCGAAGTGGAAATCTTACTACAAGAATTGCGCGCAAATTACAGAGCCCGAATCTGGTCCCTATCTGAAAGAAGGCAACGTGTTCAAATTCAGCACGTTCGGATTCCCTCCTCTCACATGCACCATTACCGAATCTGTTGTGCCGAAGCAGGGCACCGCTGGAAGAATCGCCTGGCACAGCACGACTGATGATGGACTCGAGGTGTATCATGCTTGGATTGTCGAGGAACTCGAGAAGAATCGGATCAGGGTATTGACGCAAGAGGTTCAGAACGGGCCGATATTTAAAGAATGGGCGAAGGACGCACCAAATGTGATGCTATTGGGGCATCAAGATTGGTTAGATGGGCTTGTGCAGGCTGCGCACGGCCAAGAGGTTCGGAAGACTAACCTTGAGAGCGTGAACTTCCCTGTCAGGCAACTAGATTCGGAGAAGGTCGATTAGGCGGGACGTGTAACAGCAGCCACCTCCCTCGATGCACTGCTAGATGTTACAGAACTTCAAGGTAGATGCAATCAGCGTCTCGAGAGCTCAGACTGCTGAATATAGTTGTTTTCACAAGATTCATGTTATGGTCGGTCTCCGATATCGGATCCGAAACGATCTCCGATGCGATCGTCTCTAGTGTCCTCGTTCAGCCACACCTCTATCCTATGAACACCTCTTTACTGTCAGATATGAGCAAATCACTCGGAGAAGATATGTCCGTCGGAGAAAAGGACTATCTGCACGACCTTGAGCATTGATGTATACCTGGTTATTTAATGGCGACCATTCCTCCCAGATGTTAATCATCAAGCATCCACTCTACTTTTTCCATTTACTCACCAAAACAAAAGTATCACGAATCCTGAGCTAGGACTGAAGCTCGATCTTCTGTACGGATTCGTACCACAAACTTTAATCTGTCGCTCTTTACGATAGCATCAAAAAGACTACCTCCACTTGTTCCATCCGCTTGAAATGGCAGCACAGCTCCAAACCGCCGTCACTGAACGGCCACTTCTCGCAGCAGCCGGAGCATTAGGTCTCATCTTCGCCACCATTGCATACCAAGACTACCGACACTACGTTTCATTAGGACCGCACGGTCTCCCCCCAACCTTCTGGGGCTGGTACACACAGCTCAAAATGACCCGCATGTCCCGCAAGGACGTCACAGTGCCCGCACCATATAATATCGACACGGTGGCAGGTCCCCACGACAAAGAGAATTTCCTCCCACAGGATGCTGCGCGCGCCTTAAAGTGGCGACCCGGAAACAAAGCACCGCAGATCCCGAACTTCGTTGCTCCTCAGCGACAGACGAGCGATATTGCTAGCGACGAGATGAAGCAGGCTATGTATACTTATCTTGACACACTAGTTGCGTCACACGGCGCTGTCCTCCAGACACAGAAATCGGTCCTGGAGGGTCCCGTGCCCGCCGTAGGCATCAAGGGCTTTGCTTCGCTTTCTGATGCCGAGAAGCCGGTTGTGTATCGTTCAACACGGGGAGAGATCATCCACATTCATCCTCCAGATGGTAGCACGCATTTGATAATGAGTCTGGCGGATCAGAAGAGTGTCATTCAGACGGGATGGGGGAGGAGGCATAGGTTGAGTGGTGGCGGGAGGCTACCTTGGGGTTACACTTTTGCATATGCGCCGAGGAACGAGATGGAGTTTGAGGTTTGGAAGACGCTTGTAGGATCGGCGGTGGAGTTTTGTTTGGCGAACATGGGTACGAATGCGGATGGGAAGTGAAAGCAGGGATGGCTGATGGGAGTGTTTATTGTGTCCAACATAAGTCCACTTAGCATGCGCGTTTCCGTCTGTCTTGTAATTTGAAATCCTTTATTCCAATATAGATTCCCCAACTCACAACATGTTTTCCTTCTTTTGGAGACGTTAAAAGTCCTTATATTGCCACGCAGTGTGATGCCGCCACACATCAAAGTGTCAGCTTGCAAATTTGGGTCAAACTCAGGTAAAAACAGTCCACAGCTACTTCCTGGCGCATATATCGAAACCTTCTCCGCCACAAACATGATACTCCTACGTACTTGCGTCGGGTTTTGCCTTCCTTCTCCCAGCAAGAACATACACCTCTGCCCGAGGATTATGTATCCTCCGCCACAAGGTAGCCAAAACAGGCACATCACCCCTGCTGTCCCATACTGTTTATCTTGTAAATCCGTTCACTCCACCGGTTCACACATTGTTCCGAATTTCGAACGGTTCACGATCTGAAGATTCGTGTTTGGGAAAGAACAGAGGCCAATATTACTTTGTCCCGCGGCCGGAAGCACAGACATGTGTTGGTGAAACTTCACAATTTGAGCGCCGTACCACAAGCACACATTGAGAAATTAGGTGTGCTTTTGGTCCTCCGAGGCGGAGGAACACATGATTGTATCTTGCCCCTGTCTTTTTTGCTTCTAGAGAAAAGACGGATAAGAGACTTCATATCGAGTCTGGTCCGTATTTTCGATATCTCTTTGCAGTACGAGAACTTGGAACTGTGCATTTGTTCATAGGAGTACCGGTCCAGCAGCACGCATATCTCTATCTGTGCAATCTTTTTTGGCTCGCCACATAGAGCGACACATTAACTAAGTCGCTTTGCCTCTGAATCCGCTGCACCATAAGAACATGTTTGTCCATTCTCTCACATTTTGGTTCCACGGGCACAAACGCATTCTTCTTTGGTCCAAGGATCTGTAATTATGGGACCGCAGAGCAGAGGACCACATGAAATGTACTGTGTATGCCTTGTGCCACTATTCGCAAGCGAGACATGGCCCGATATTCTCTCCCTTTTGAGACCTTCTCCAAGCAAAGCCATAGAGCGTCTCAAGGTGGTAGTTTAGTCCGCAAACGCGAAGTCCACATGCAAGTTTTGGCCGAAGACTTTCGACCAGTCCCCTGACCACCCACATGGGTCCCAGAACTAGATTTCTTGTGACGGACTCGGGCACACCCATCACCATGCTGTAGTTGGTTTTAGTCACCAAGTCCACACACCCCACTGCACTTCCTGTGGTTTTTCTCCCTTCACGAGCGCATATTGCGTCGCACAATGACGATCTCCGTGCCGCGGCCAATCCCAGGCCAATAACTTGTGTTGCTGGGTTTTTCGGACTCGCCCCACGCATACATGTCATAGTACCGGTTTGATTTTGGTTGTCTCGCAGACGAACACGCAGGCACATGTCTCTTTAAGTGGTTCTTTTGGTCCTCCTCCCCGCCCACGCCCATATGATGTTGCGTCCATCATCTTGAGATTCCAATTCGCACCGCACACAAGACAGACACGCAGGCACATGACATGACCTGGCTTAGGTTTTGACCCTCCTCCACACGCGCATCGCGTTCCATTGTAATGACTTTGGTTGACGTCGCAGGCAGACTCGCGAACACATGAGTCTTGTGGCGGTGCCTTTTGGTCGCCTCACACAGGCACACACACTCCAAAGTGGCTCCGTGATTTTAGTATCCCTGCCCAAATCCCCATATATTGGATGACACATTGCTTTGGTCCCACCTCCCAAAGCCCACATCGACGTCATTTTGAACTTTAGGTCCTCTCCGCAGAGGGAAGTAGAGGAGTGAGGACCAGAAAAGGCGCGAGAAGACTGGCTTTATATAGTCGAAACTGAGCGGCGTAGATTGGGATGAAGGACTCCATCAACCGGTGACGGTGGACAACATCACTCGCCCAGCTCAATGCTAGCCACACGACCCGCAACATCACCTGTTCTGCCATCGCAAGCGACACAAACATCATCGTCAAAAGAAGGGAGTCTATTAGCGGTCGATATAGTACACACACCGCCTGCATCTATTGCTCAACGGTCCCAAGACCAACGCTATGCTCAAAAACCCCATTCACCCTCCTGTCTATTCCACTCCAATTATCTCACCAACCCCGCCTTCCTAGCCGCCTCCTCCAACTCCGCATTCTTCTTCGCCTGCGCCTCCGACGCCTCCAACCCCTTACGCTCTTCCTCCCTCTTAAGCTGATCCGGTCGCCTAATCGCGATATCTTTGGGCTTGTAGTCGCTAAACAGCACCTTCAACCCCTTTTCAATGATCCAGCAGCCGGCGTAGTCGATGACCATAACACTCGTAATCATGACCTTAAAATCGTATGTGAAAGGAACGAGGCGCAATTTCTCATTGATCTCGGGGACGAATTCCGTAGCGCAGGAGAATGCGACGCAGGCGACGCCGACGAGACCCCAGTACATGCCGCGGTTCTCGCGGATGGACTCGCGGAAGGGACGACCCTGGTAGTTGATGGCAAATGTAGAAATCTGCTGAATGAGCTGCAGCAGGTAAATTGCAGAGTTGAGTAGAGAAGGCTCGAACTCCTTCTCAAGATCCGGGTTCGGGGTCTTGGGCTCGGTGCGCTGGACGTATTGAGAAACGTAGATGAGGGTGGCGATATGAATGGCGAACTGTCCGAGGACGGAGCCAACGATGTAGATATTAAAGATGTTGTGTTGGGGTCGTTCTTTGCTCAGAGCTTCGACGGGCTAAATCAAAGTCAGTATTTACACAAACATGCTAGCATAGAGCACGTCGACTTACCTTGGCTCGAGAGATAGACAGGAAGCACACGCTCATCATCATTCCGGAAATTGTAACCTGACCATCACCGAACTTGATTCCGTCGAGGTAGAGGACAGATAAACTGTACGCCGAGATCAAACAGTTGAGGGCAAGGATCTTGTACATCTGGATAGTGGCCACAAGCGTGCATCGTCCTTGGCGGATGATGTTAGGGATAGCGACGACGTTAGCGAGTTTGGACGTGAAAGGCGCAGCTACCGAAGCATCGCCGAGCTTGATGGTGGGTGGTTCGCTGTCTAGATCGGAGAGCTCTGATTCCATCATCTTGTCTGAAAACTGGCTCATGAGGCCAGCGGCGCCTTGCTGTGCGGAGGGTGTCTGTTTCTCAATGGCTCCGTTGGTCGCGGCGCCGTTTGTAGCATCCGTTGGAACTGGAAGCATGAGCCCCTTTCTCTTTGCCTGTGCTTCCATGGCTTTCTCGTAATGCGGGTTACCAGGGCCGGGTGGGTATAGATGAGCGATCATGACAGGGACAGGCGGGGCAGGCTGGTTGAACCGCTTCATCAATTCGACCTGCTTCTGGTAGACCTCCTTCATCTTGGTGTTCCGGAAATGTTCGCCAATCTTCTCCAAGTCTTGGCGCGTACCGTTAAGTAGGGCAACGCCAATGTGAGCCTGCTTGAGAGCACCGACATCGTTCGTTCCGTCACCACACATGAGCGTGGTGTAACCACAGTCCTTCAAGCCAAGGAGAATCTCTTCCTTCTGTTTCGGTGAAACACGAGCGTAGACCCAGGTGTACCGAAGAAGCTGTAGCCAGGCCTGTTGACCCGAGAACTTGCTGAGGGCGTATCCAGTCACGCAAATGTCCTTGCTCTTCAGAATCTCGGGGTCAAGAGGCTTTGTCGGATCCACAGGGATGTTGACCTTGTCATCAACACTACGCCAGACAAGCTTCTCGCCAGAATCATCGTTCTCAGGAGCGTCCATAATCAGGCAGTCGCGATCCACAATTTCAACTTGACGGGCAACATGTACAGCAGTCAACGGATTGTCGCCCGTAATCATAACCACACGGTGGCTAGACTCGTTCAGCATGCGAACGGCCTGAACAGCGTCATCCTTGAGCGGGCACTGAAGAACTAAGAAACCGGCAAAGTGCAAATCGCACTCGACCTGTTCACGCTTTAGATCATTTATGCGGTTCATGCCCCACTCGGCGTCATGGGCCAGGAATTTATAAGCAAGCGCAAGCACACGGCCACCGTTCCTGGTGAAGTGCTTGAACGTCTCCTCGTATTGCGGCGGAACATCAACCAACATCTTACGGATCGTTTCAGGCGCTCCTTTGACCCCAACAAAGGTACTCTTGATTTTGCGCTTAGTCTTCCTGTCGTTGACGAGAACGGTGGCGACGGAACTTTGGCGCTTGAGTGCGGAGGAGAACTGGAAGCGTCGGCGGATTTGTACAAGTTCGGCGTGCGATTTTGCGGAGACGGTCTTGGGTGTCAGGGTGTCTTTTCCGCCCAGGTTCCAGCCCAGAGATGCCAAAGTAGCCTTTTCCATCGGCTCGCCGACGATTTCTCCTTCGTCTAGCTTCACCAAGGCATGTGCGGTAGCGAGGACCAGGGTGCTTTCCGTGCCGACTTCAGAGACGGCACTGACGTTAATGTGAGCACCATCAGGACCAAGCTTGCCTCCGTCGGTTCCGAGAGTAAGACCGGCAATACCATCTACCACGAGATCCTCGCCAGTCAGAGTTCCAGTCTTGTCGAAGCAGGCAACGTCAACTCGTCCGGCATACGGAATACGGAAGGGTTCGGTACAGAAGATGGCGTACTTGCTGAGCGCAGCCAGACTGGTGTTGACCGCCAACGAGAGTTCCATGGGCAGTTCTGGAGGTACGACACTCGTGATGATCAACACGCAGTCAAGCATGAGCTTGGATCGCTTGCGGTCCTGTTTGACACCCTCCTTCCAGACATACCACGAAGCGGCGATAGCGAAAATGCAGAGGAAAAGAATAAAGAGAAGCGCTTCGACGTTGTTCGCGGAAACGCGCTCGGTCGAATAGATCATGGTCCTGACCAAGCTGCCCTGGCTAGTTTCGAATCCAGTCTTGACCACAACTGCAACAGCGCCCTTGTCCGGTGGTGGCGGGAGCCCAGATGAGAGTCTCGAAACCGCGCTGCCGTCTTCTTCCGCATTGTTGCCGTGTGAAACCTGTAGGACCTTAGTTCCACCATACAGGAACGCGTTCTTGTCAAGGCCCTCTTGTTCGATGGTCGCATCGCCGGGTCGCAGCTGAATCGATTCCTTGAGTACTGGGGTGCTCTCTCCGGAAAGCATCGCCTCGTTAACAATAGCAGATCCTTCGAGGAGGATCATGTCGCAAGCGACGCCGGAGTCTTCCTTAGTCCTGCCAACGCTGACCACATCGCCAGGCAACAATTTGTCGCTCTGAATCTCTTGCCACTTCTTCTGCCTGTATACCAGCAAATCATACGGCTTGATGCTCATACCGCGAAACTCGTTCAACGTCCTCTGCCTTTGCCACACCACGGTACACTCGAAGGCCACCAGCATGAACAGAGTGAATAGCGAGTAGTACCAGTAGTCATCCAGCATCCACAATCCCACGCAGAAGACCTGGAATACGAAGAACGGTGCAACAGCGTGCTCCTTGAAGAGTTCCGTGAACGTCGGTACGGGGATGTCGAAGCTGTTACCGCCATAGTAGTGCTGCAGTTTCTCAATTTCCTCCGCCGTTGTCAAGCCCTTTGTGTCCTGGAACGTCTTGATCTGCGGCTTCGGTTCGGCGTCGAGGGGGTAGGAGAGCGGGGCAAATGAGCCCTTCTCCGCATCGTAGAGGAACCTGCGCTTCTGGAACAGGAAAGACACGGTTGGCTTCCCGGCCACATTCTCGCGGTTGAGCTTGCAGATTTCGGCGGTCCCGGCGTTTGCGATAGGGACGACTTTGATGAGCTGGGCGGTGCGCACGTCGCGGGCCCCAGTCGTCGTAAAGGCGCTCTTGAGATTAACGTTCCAATGAGTGGTAAGCCATATTAGCGACTGGATGGTTGTGATCGCGCCGACCCAAACGAATGTCCACTCGGAGGACTGGATGTGCTTCTCGTAGCGAGTGGGCGAGAGGTAGAAGGAGAGGAAGGCGGGCCAGATGATGAGGAAAGGCCAGATGTAGGCGTGTAGCTGCAGAGGCAGCGGGCTATGCAAGCTCGCCTGCTTGATCTGCGGGTTGTCGACGAGCGGCATCGTGGGTGAGGCAATCGTCAACTGCTCAATGTCGTCGAACGCAGCCTGTTGCGCAATGTTAAAATGCCACTCGCCGCTGCCAGGGTTCCACCGATTGGCCACTTCGCTGCGGCGCACGGACCAGGGGATAGGTACTCGAGGCGGGAGAACTCCGTGGAAGTAAGAAGATGACCTGGTATCGAGAAGACACTGTGTTATCATATGTCGACATGTTAGCATCATCACATATGTAACAGACATTTACCGCCCAGCCCAGCCGCCCTGTCAGGCACTGATCCCTCCATCTACGTCGTCCCATACCTCATCGCAGGCTGTCGCCCACTACAAGCGTCCTGCATTAAGTAACCCTATTCGAATTGTCCTGCAATGGCATACTCGTACAATATTGACTCTCAATACGACCTTCCCCCTTTTTTTGCGATATAGAGCCTTCACTATCACTTAGAGTGTTTGGGTTCATGGTGCTGTCTATGTTTCCCTTTCGTACATCCATCACATGATATCCCGTACATCTGTCTACCTAGCTGTTCTTTGTGCGCAGAGCGCGAAGCGGAGTGATGAAGGATTGGAACGTGTAATGAGTCGGAAGCTTACATGTGTTCTTGCAGGGGACGATGGCGCCGCATTGTGGAAGGAAAAGGACGAGGAAGGCGCAGCTTCCGAGACGAAAAGGGTCACTGGCGTGGTTCAGGCTGGTAGAAACAACTCGATTTCTTTGCATGCGATGCAAAGGACACATGTCGTATATTGCGCAGGATATCTACGCCACAGCTTTCTTACCAGCACCCCAATGCCCAACCATTCCATGTTAACGCCGCCTGATGAGTGATTCGGCATTACTTTCTATTTCGCCTTGTCTTCTCTCAAAGAAACAATCTGGTTGAGAACAATTTTGTCCTCTGTAGAGTCTACGTCAACACAGAAGTATGCGGTACGAAGGGCCTGAAAGCGGATGAGGTCGTCCGATGATCCGCTGGGGTTCAGAGTGTGTTCCTTTAGAAGACCCTTGATACCCGCTTCAATAACAGCATCCTCAAAGATGACTTCTGATTCCGGATTCAAGTCATCGGCCCAGCTGCCATCCTTCCAGTTGAGAGCATTCGGTGATTCCGACTTGAAGAGGGAGTTGTACTGGCGAGCTTTGACAGGGACGCCGGTAGCTGCATCTACCCACTGAATGTATGTCTTGGGCTTCTCTCCCGTGGCTTTGACAGCTTTAATCTCTGTGACTTTGCCATTTTCGTCTTTCGAGTATGATGTCGCGCGAATAGAGAAGGGGACGTTGTAAAGGCCAACAACCTTGTTAGGTGCGAGACGGAAGTAATTAGGATCGTCTTCTTCGCGGAAGTCGGCGCGGTCAATGTACACCTCTTTGCCAAGCTTGACCTTTCGCTCTCCAGGAATAGCCCCCTTCGGGTCATATGGTACTGTGATTTCTTGGTCGTCTTCTGCTACAAAGTCTTCGATGATGACCTTGATTGGATCTAGCACAAGCATCTGGCGGGCGACAGTGCGTTCGAGATGCTTTCGGATAGAAGACTCTAGACGAGGTGGCTGGATCTCAGTGAGTGCATCGTTCACGCCGAGCTCCTCAACAAAGTTCAACAAAGCCTTAGCCGGTATGCCTCGACGACGGAGTGCGACGAGTGTATACAGACGAGGGTCATCCCAGCCCCGTACTGAGGGTGGTATTGTCCTCTTCTCAACCGTTCCGTCTGCATTCTTCTTCTCTGCAACTGCGCCTTCAACGAGCATGAGGATGCGGCGCTTCGACAGGATTGTACCTCCGAGGTTGAGTCGTCCATACCTGGAAACATCAGTACTGCACGAGAATGTATGAAATCAAAAAGCTTACTCTCTCTGCATGGGACCTTTCTCTTCCGACTTCGGCACCTTCATGTCTAGTTGCTCCAACAGCCAGTCGTACGAAATCCGTGACTGCTGGAACTCGGTCGTGCATAATGAGTGTGTGATACCCTCCAGAGCATCGCAAATGCAGTGCGTAAAGTCGTACGTAGGGTAGATTCTCCATTTCTCTCCAGTCCGGTGGTGGTGGTTCTTATCGACCACTCGATAAGCCGGTAGATCCCACATTTGAGGATTGCCCTCATTAGGGTCTGTCAGGCTCTGCTTCATGCGCAGGTACGCCTCTCCAGCCTTGTATTTTCCATCTCGCATGGCTCGGAATTCAGCAATGCTTTCAGCAATTGGTCGCGTGCGGTGCTCGCATGCATATCGAGGGCCGCGGTTGTCCGGTCCACCACGCTGCATGTTGACTTCTTCGCGCGAGCAATGGCATACATATGCTCCATCCTTCTCGATCAGCTGCTCCGCCAATTCGTACAGCTTGTCGAAGTTGTCGCTGCTGTACGTGATCTTGTACGGTTCAAACCCCAGCCACTTGATTATGTCCAGGATGCTTGTGAAGTACTTCTCTTCCTCTTTTTCCGGATTCGTGTCATCGTATCTCAGGAAACAAACGCCTTTATGATGTCGCGCAAAACCAAAGTTTACTGCGATAGCTTTGCAGTGACCGATATGGAGGTAGCCATTGGGCTCTGGTGGGAATCGCGATCGAACATCTTTGGCGGGCTTCTCTTCGTACACGCGCTTCAACCAGCCTTCAGAGAAGACGCTGGCGGGTTCGGCGTTTGCGGGCTTCTTTTCCGCGGCTTTTGAGGATTCCTTGGGTCGCAGGGCGGCCTCGGCCGTGTGCTGTGCCTTCTTGGCTTTCGCAGCAGCTTTTTTTGCCGCCTTTTCGAGGGCGCGTTTGGAGGGTCCTTTTTCCTCAGCATCAGCTGGGGGTGCGGACGCAGTTGCTTCGGTAGGTTCTGCCATATCTAGCGGTTGTTAGACATTCAGAACATGGAGCGGGGTAATTGAGTGGAATTTTGGGAACCATGCTTTGAGCCAGTGACATTTAGAAGGAAAGAAACTCACTCGCTGCGTTCTTCTTGTGCAGAAGAGAAGCTGCCAAATTGTTCAGGTCTGAGAAACGTGAGTGGAGGACGCGTCTGGAGCTTTTTGGAGGGGCAGCTACAACTGACTCATACGCCACATTGCACCGCCACACCCGGCGGGACACTCTTTCCCGCTCCATCCTCCGACTGCTTCACGCATCACATCGGTTTCACTGGAATCTCGATATGACTTGACCACCTTTCTTCTTCTCGAGAGTTATTTGCTCTACTCGCCAATAGTGCCCAGTCTATAGCAAGCTCAAGATGGCTTCCGTCCGTAACGCTATGCATTCATTCGACGTCGTATGTTGCACCGGTTGACTCTACCTCGTAGATATAGAACCATAGGAGGTATGCGAAGCCTCTTGAGATGACACATCTTACTGCCATATGGAAATTCCTGGTTTGCAAAATACACAGTCATTAGCAGATTATTGTCTCAAACTGCCTCGACGCACGATTAGCCGATAACATATGCTTCATCACACAACTACGTCCGATGCTTTGATTCCGGCCTTCTACAGGTTTGGCTCCAGCCTCAGCCCCTCAAACTCCTCCGCCAAATCGTCAGGTACATAATCCATATCCCTCGGATCATCCCCATCCCCTTCATTCTCACTTTCCAACGCCTCCCGCCACACCTCCTCCATCTCCATATCCAACCCTGATACATCTTCTTCCAACCGCTCCTTTTGCAACCTCATATTCCTCACCATCTCCGTATTATCAGCCACCCACCGCTCATGCTCCACCCACCGCGCCGCACTGACCCTTCGCGCACTGGCTACACTCCTGCCCGCTGGATACGCATTCAATCCCCCACCTTCCTCGATCCAGACTTGCAATAATCCCGAGCAGAAAATCTCCGCGATGGCTGCTTGCTGTGGGCGGAAGATGAGATAGACGATAAAAGGCTGCATACGGAAGAGTTGCGAGAAGGTGCCGGCCTGGTGGAGATAGGTGCAAATATCCTCTATGAGGTTCATAACGTAGTTTGAGGATTGGCGGTGGCGGTGCTGGGAAAGGCGGATGTGCGAGTTGACAGAGTAGCCGCATTCGCTGGGTGAATATGGCAGAGGCTGGTCGAGGGCTACGGGAGGGACCTCGGCTGCACGCCTTGCCACGCCCTCGCAGAAGCGGATGAGGGTCTGGACATGCGAAGGCGAGCGTTGTACTGTCCACAGATATTTGTGGTGGCCGGTGGCAGTGGCGGAGCGGCGGACTGCTGGCGGGCTAATGTTATCGATCAACCAGGCGAGTTCATGATACTCGGATCCTGAGCTGAGGTATTGCAGCACTGTTTCTCTAATGACTGTGTATTGGTTAGCGGTTGGGGCAATGCCTTGCTCGTCGACTAGGTGGTGGATGTAGATTGATGGCTGGCAATGGGCTCGCTCCTGGATCATGGCATACTCATGCTGTAGCGAGGTGTCTGTTAGTATGCGTTTCGGGAGTGTGCCGTCTACTGCTGCAAGGAGGATTGAAGGGGCGGACGCGAGTATCAAGACACACTCGCGCATTACGGATGAGATAGAGGGCGAAAGGATGTTGCTGCCGGTATACTTAGGCAGCTCTCGCTCTAGTACTTCTGCGATCACTGGCTGATATCGCTGCTTATGGAGGAGTTGCGCCCATCGTCCGCGCTGCTCGGAGAGTGTTGGAAGGTGGATGCTTGGGCCTTGTTGAATCTCGGCGCTATAATTACTTGTGCGTGTTGTTACCATGTTGTTAATCTTTGTGCATAAGTGTAGTAGACATATGTGTTCTCGTAGATCTTCCAGTAAGAACACCAGGTCTTCGGTCGTATCCATCGTCTCGGTCACTCATCGTACCCTCACATAAGTTCAGTGCTCGAACAAATTTGCGCTCTTGACGTTAACACCGCTTCGATTCTTTGAGTCACATGCTTCTAGACCAGGTAGATGATGTGCTAATAGTGATCACATTCTTCAACGAATATTCATATCCTTCTTGATGATATCTCTCTGACTTCAACGCCCTCGAGACCCCCTCATCAAACCACTTTCCTGAAACTGGATCATTCATTCAAATGTTGTCTCAATTTGAAATACTTGATGTGATGGTCAAGTCATACACTATGAGAAATGAGTGGCAGCATTAGACGTATGGGCGCAGCTGAAGGGTGAAGCATGTAGGCCCAATGAATGATACAACGTCTAAACACGGCACCCTACAATGTGATACCTAACATTTGCAAGCGAATCTGTGACAGACTCAAACTGAGCTCAGAAATGGTGGCTGCATAGATTAACGAGTACTCTACAACACAACCCACCTCGTCGGCTTCTCAAATCCTTCTTCTCTACGCAAAAGTGGGATGGGATCCGCCTACATTATCTTCCAACCCGCACAACTTCGTCTCTAACTTTTTGATACTTTCCAATATTTTATTCATGCCATCAGTAATGCCACTCTGCTGCGGCATTTCCGCCTCCAACGCCCTGTTCCTCTTCCTCAGATCCTCGATCGTAGTCAAACACTCACTCATCGGCTGTTCTTGCGAAAAACTCTGCAGCGTAAGGAGGCTTGTTTCGCGAATCGTGGGATTCGGCTGCAGCCTTTCCAATGAGACAACACGCCTGTTTAGATCCATCACCGCTGGCTGCGTCACTTCCAGCAAACGCGTTGGCTTGAAAGTTTTGTAGTTGTAGATTCGTATGTCGGAGATGTGGTTCGACTTGATGCAGCGATACGCAAGCCACTCGTTTTCGTGACTGTTGTTGAAAGGGCCAGTGAGGCTGATGCCGAGGACGGGAGCGGCCTCGGAGAGGCAAATGTAAAGTGTCGAAGTCCATGTGTTCCAGGCAATTGCGTCGTAGGAATCCAGATTGGAGGATCCGGGTACTGGAAATTGGCGCCGGGTGGGGTCCGTTGCCCAGGTCGTATCGATCCAGATCGGAATTCTGACATGTCCAGACGAGGTTGGCGGAGTGTACCATGCGGGCTTCAGGCCAAGTTGGCTAGAGTCTATTGTAGCCTCATGAACCTCCTGAGCCCGTGTCTCAAGCGGCGCTTCGTGAAGATGATACATCATCCGGCTGTCCACGTCATCTGTAATATTCTTTAGTATGTAAATGGAAGTCGCCTTACCAGAAGCAGACCTTTATCCGTGTACAAAGAGATGAATGGTGATCACCCAAATCGGTTACCCCACTGCAAGTGTTTCTGGATTGTATCTTTGCTCAGATCGCTCGGTTTGTAGGTCTCCACTGCGTGGGACACCCGCCTTGCCTGATACCCCAAATACAGGTGATAATGTTCCACTCGCAATTGGATATCGTCCGACTTCTGAGATCTTAATGCGACGAATAGATCCTTCGGTGAAGTCTGATCGGTTGGGAAGGGAATAGGATCGTAACGTGTGGAGGACAAGTCATGCTGGACACGGTAGAAGTATTCAGGTATCTCCATCCTAGGAGCATCACCCGGCAAAGGGTCCAGCTGACTGTGGGAGTTGGCACATGCTGTTCTAAGGGTGAATGGGTGTACCTACACAGTCATTCTGCTAGTCTGGATCTTGTGGCAAGGATTGTAGAGGTGTTGTGTTTTGATGTGTGAGAGGATGTCGTGGGACAGTCGCTGCCCGGACTTTATCAATGATCCAGTACCATGGTTTCACAAAACCCCGATCATCAAAGCCAGTAAAGATAGAAACAATGTGAATCCGAAATCCTGGATGGTGCTTGCCTTGCGGGAATTGTCGCTTTCCAGAAGGAGTTATCACGCCCCTCTCTTCAGATCTATGTAATGCAATGCAACTTCTACGCTCTGTATGCGCCTGAGCGGAATCCTGTCGCAATTGGCAGCAACATTGGCATTAATTGGGTTTCATAGTAGCTCATAATACCCCCATCCATGGATAACGCGCTGTCACGTGCAGGTGGTCTGAAATTACGTCGGTCAAGCTAATAGTCACTTGAATATCTAAGAAGATTTAGAAAGTGTAGACTCGATATGTACACAGAACTAGACCGTAGCGCCCATGCTCACGCGTGCCAACATAGTCCATTTCAATCATTCGGCCGAAAAGAGTTGAGAGATGTGTGTTCGCATACTGGTACCGCGGGAATACTAAGGAAGCAAACGTCCGTCCGTCGAAATCTTCAAACTACCGTCAAGAACTCCAATTCGGAATCGTGGGAATCTATTGGAATGGAAGGGGAGGACAGGAGAAATGGCGCAGAAAGAGACGCCCTCTACTTCTTCGGGGGGTACTTCTTGAAGAAGTAGCTGATGATTTGTTAACAACCTGAAACCTCGGGTGACGAAAATGCCCGAGTACTCACTTGGAAACGTAGTAGTCGCCAACTGCGAAAAGTCCAACAACACCAGCCCAAGCACCAACGACTTTCCAGCTCAGCTCGTCTCTAACGTACTTCCTGTATGCGCCAACACCTAGGACAGTCCCCAGAATACCGACGGTCACAGCATTGCCTAGGACAACAGGGTTGTCTGCGTTCTTCTTGGCGATGCCGGCATCCTTCTTCGCGCGCTCCTTCGCCCTGTCCTTCGCGGCTTCGGCCTCCTTAGCGGCCTCCTTAGCCTTCTCCTCGAACTCGATGCGCTCGGCTTGCGTATCCGTCTTTACGGATTGCTGCTCAAAGTCGGAGGGAACGGAGGAGACGTGGGGGGAGTCGACGTCGATGAGAGAGGAGACGGAATCCTCGGAACGCTCAACAGTGGGAGGAGCAGGGGCGCGACTGCGTTGTGATTGTTAGATAGAGTGCAACAAGAAGATTGGTGCGACTTTGCTGGCGCGAGATAAGAGCTCCGCGAGCTGTCTAACAACGCGCCATCGATCTGCGACCACGGAACTGAGTAGAATAACTTACGCCTGCGACACTGTTAGCCCCAAATCACTACGACCAGCTTCTCCCAACGTGAACATACCTCTTCAGGGCTCTGCTTTGGGCCCTTGGCAGCAACGTCGGCGTACGACATATTGTAGCGAAGCTCTTGTCGCGGGTAGAGCTTCAAAAAGTGTTTTGTATACGCAGCGCAAAGCGATTGAGGCTTTGGGAGGAGGAAGGGAGATGCAGCTGCGGGTCTTAAGGAGATCGTGTGATGGAGGAGTGCAGGGACAGCAGGGTCGGACCTCGAAGCGAAGCAAAGCATGTGAGGGCTGCTGCGCATACGTCATAGGAAGCGCATCAAAGCCATCCTTGCCAAGGCACAACGCGTCGAGCTTGCGAGAACAACACGACCAACACGTGAAGCTACGCGATAATATGGCAAATCGATATTACAAGAACTATGTTCGAACAACGTTCGATTCGAACAAAGACAAAGACTTCGTCCTGAGATACACGTCGAACCTTGTTGCCAGCGTTCAGTGAATGACGGGAAAACCCGGACACACCTCCTACCTCTTCTGTATTTAGTGTACCAAGAACCGGTGCCACGAACAGAAGCACGATGTCTTGCTTTCAGTATAGAAAGTGAACGCAGATAGCAATAAGCAATAAGCAATACTCAATACTCAATACGAACCAAACAAACAAAGCTGTATCATCGTTCAAAATACTATACAGCAGGTCCTCTGGCTCCAAAAAGGCCAAGGTTTGTCCGCCTGACTATCTTATGTCGCAAAGCCCAGACCAGACTTTCCAAAAACGCCCGGAACGCCACCAAGTACGTCGTGACATGAATCGAACAATCACTCCCTCGACGCCACACGAACTCCTTGCATGCTACACTCTGAGTGAGCCTACAACTCGTGCTTGCCAAATCCTTCGGCGCCCTCTGCAATAGGCTGCACGCTGCCATCCACACTGTCCCTCTTCACACCAACACCCTCCTCGCCCTTGCCAACACCGAACAGTGCAATAGCATCGGTCAGCGCCTTGACAGCATCTTCGGGGCTCACGGAACCGGGTAGGCCAGCAGGTCCACCAAGGGTGCTGCTGATCTTCTTGGTCGCCTCCTCCAGCGCGCGAACCCGTCGCTGGAAATTCAATCTATCCATGAAGAGCTGCTGACGACGGCGCTGCAGATCGCGACGCTCAGCAGCATGCAGCTTCTCGAAGTCGTTGAAGTGCTGCATCTTGAGCTGCAATTTCTGTGACTGCAGGTTCACTGCACCAGAGACAAGGCGCGTGATGTGGCGTTCCTCATGCGAGGCGAGTGCAGCGGAACGGGCTGCAGAGAGAGCGAAAGGAAGCGTAGCGAGGGGGTTGCTCTCTTGAGGTTCGGCACTAACAACAGCTCGCTCTGCCTCAGCGGACTGTGCGGTATCGACTTCCATAGCATCTTCATTCTTCACTTCACCTTCTGCTGCTTTCTCCTTTTCCTTGCCCTTATCGCTTGTACCAGGTTGGACGTTGTTTATCTTATCGTTGAGATCTTTCCTCATCTGTGCAACGCTGCGGCTGGCAGCTACAGCGACTTCTGATACATTGGCTGGTGCCAGTCCTGCAAGGAAACCGACGACACTCAGAATAGGGTTATCGCCGTGGAAGATTGGCAGGCGGCCTTCTTTGAGATATTCCAGATCACGAAGGAACTTGGTTGATGGGGCACCTCCTTCTGACTGCGTGCCTTCTGGTTCGGCGTACTTGCTATCGATCTCAAGCTGCAGGAACTTCATCACACACTGTTCGCGTGTCTTTGTCATGACGTGATCAGCGACACCGTTCCAGTCATCGTCGCACATTTCCAGTCCTTCGAGCAACAACAACAACTCCTCTTGGGTCCAATTGTCCTCAACATCGGGCGTGGGTGGGTAATCTCCTCGGTCAACCTTCACGAAATCTTCCGAGTTTAAACCTCGGGAGTAGTGCTTGTCGACCACGCATCTCGGGCAAAGCTCTTCTCTATTCTGGCGGCCAGGCACATCCGAGGTCTTCGTGTGGTGGTAGTAAAGGCGGCTGCAGTCGATTCCGCAAAAGTGGCAGATGACCTTCTTCGCTGGCTCCCTGGTCTCTTTCTCGAGCTTTTGCAGGTCGACCGAGCCACCAGCACCGTTGCTCGCACCCTCACCGTTCGCTGCCTTGTTAGGCTCGGCGGAAACTTCCTTTCCGTTCGACTCGTAGATGTTTCGCCCCACTAGAGTTTTGGTCTCAGTCTTTGCGGTTGGCTGCTGGCTAACGGCCCGCTCGGTTCCGGCATGCGGCTTTCCCTCGGTGACTTTTGAGTTTGGCGCAGGCTGGAAAGCTTGCAGACCTCGTGGAGTGTCGACCGTAAGACGAAAATGGCTGGTTGTCGGGGGGCCGATGTTTGATGGGCGCTCTTGAGGGTCGACCTGTGCTATGTTAGACGACGCTCATAACTACGAAAGTTTCCGTGTTACCTGGTAGTTGATCAATCCCCACTGTTCCAAGAACGCATGCACGCGCATTATGGCGCACACATCGCCCGCCAGATTGCGCCGGCATGCGGTAACAGTAAGGTACTCGTCAGGGTTCAAGCGGTATGTGTTGATCATAAAGTCGCGGTAGTCGCGGTACACAGCAGGTGTCTTGCTGCGATTCCGGCCGTTGAAGAACTCTGGCAGGGCCTTGCTCTCGCGACGGTCAATGTAGCGCATGTCGAACCATGTCGCATAGCTGGGGATAATGGTCGCGTATGTCTGGGCAACGAGATGGGATCGCGCAGTGGCCTGGAGATTTGCCTTTGCCTGCGCATCGGGGTCTGCAGCGTCTCCGTCCTTCTCTTTCTTTGCATCCTCGACGCCGCCCATCTCTTCGTCATCCTGGCCGTCTGCATCTTCGGCCTCTGGTCTGGGGCCATCTGGCGCATCGAGCGGGTTGTCGGACACGGGCGCAGGCGTGGCCGTTGAGGGTTCGCGCGATGTCTCCTTGATGGCTGGGTCGTCTAGCATCGAAGTGTCTACAAAGTCGCTTAGTCGTGCCAAACTCTCGGGTGAAGATCTGTCATCTCCAAGCTCAAAGCCATCTTGTGGGGTGTCGTGTGGGGATTCGACATTGAAGAAGTCAAATCCGTCAAGATCCATGGCTGGCGTTCAGGGAGCGCCGGGCGCGGTGACAAGAAGAGCAAGTAGAGTACCGTGTCACAAAGACTTACCTTGGTCATCTTGGGCGTGCGATTGCGCCTGTGCGGCACTCTCACTCGCAACGTCTGGGGCCGCAGTGGGAGTGGCAGTCGCGTCGTCGGCCATAGCTTCTTCAACTTGCAAGTTGGGGCGTCTCAATCGCAATGAATAGGGTGGGCGCAAGTCGCAACAGGAGCGGAAGCTGCGCACCGGATGCGAAAGCAGTTAAGAGCGCGACGACGGGGGGATTTGGTAATGAATGTGGGGTTGCTTGGGATGATGCGCTTTGGTGGTGGCCGTCGCGAGTCGACGCGATACTTTTCCGCTTAGCAGGTGGATGCGCCCTAGGCTGTGCCCATCACGTGAATGCTCTTGGCTGCAGCGCCGCCCTATGCAATCATCTGGACCGACCGGGGATGGCTTGCAAGCCGAGGTGTTCGCCTCAAGCTTCCGACGCTGGCCAGCTTCATGCTTCTTTACTGAGCCTACGTCCACAAACACCACTCTCGAGTCGGGATCCTTGATATTGCTGTGCGATCACTGCAATTGAAGCCCGCCATGTTCTCAGTCGCCCGTCAATCCGCCCTCCGGCAGGCGCGAAGTCAGCTCCGGTTGTCGCAACCCGTTACCGTTCCACAGTACTCTGCCCTCGCCCGTTTACTATCGACATTGGCAGTCCTCGAGCAAAGAGATGGGAAGCTCAATCCTGCATCGCTTTCTGCCATCACTGCCGGTACCAAGCTCGGTGGCTCGATAACAGCTTTTGTCGCCGGAAGTGGGGTGAAGTCAGTGGCCGATGAAGCAGCCAAGGTTAAGGGCATTGAGAAGATCGTATACGTCGAGAACGGCGCGTACGAGAAGGTACGTGCGAACATCGTTGCATGCGCGCCGTTACTGATTGTTGCTTCAGGGCCTGCCCGAAAACTACGCTCCGCTGCTCGTCGAGAACATCAAGAAGGGAGGATACACACACATCTTGGCTGGACACTCAGCGTTCGGCAAGAATCTTCTGCCTCGTGTTGCTGCCCTTTTAGATGTGCAGGCCATCTCGGACATCACCGCGATTGAGAGTGAAGACAGTAAGTGGGGGCAATTGCTAGTTTACAACGTCTACTAATGTATGTCACAGCATTCGTCCGACCCATCTACGCAGGTAATGCCATCCTTACCGTACAGTCATCCGACCAACAGAAAGTCATCACCGTCCGCGGTACAGCGTTTCCTGCTCCAGAGACCGAAGGTGGATCAGCAGCCGTGGAAGAAGGTGTAGACCCCAAAGCCGAGAGCATTTCGGAATGGATATCCGAAGATCTGGCCAAGTCGGATAGGCCTGATCTTGGTTCAGCAGAGAAGGTCGTATCAGGAGGCCGTGGTCTTAAGTCAAAGGAGGAATTCGACCGCCTCATGCCTCCGCTGGCAGATGCGCTTGGCGCTGCCATTGGAGCCTCCCGCGCCGCCGTTGACAGTGGCTTTGCCGACAACAGTCTGCAGGTCGGACAAACGGGCAAGAACGTTGCGCCAAAGCTCTACCTCTGTGCCGGCATCTCAGGCGCTATCCAGCATTTGGCTGGTATGAAGGACAGCAAGGTCATTGCCGCCATCAACAAGGACGGCGATGCGCCTATCTTCCAGGTCGCAGACGTTGGTCTAGTTGGCGACCTGTTTGAGAAGGTACCGGAGCTCACTGAAAAGCTCAAGTCGCAATAAGCTCGCTTTTGATGACGATGATAGCACACTGGGTGCCGATGGAATCCACCTTGGACACGGCTACAACGCAAATTGCTGCGTGTCGTACAAGGATGGGCTTCACCAAGACAGGGGCAAGCGATGATCGATGATCATGTGCTGCGTATGTTACTCTGCATCTACGCGCGCAGCAGATATCCTGCGGCACTGCATGGATGGTTTACGTGGTGTCCAGAATCCTGCGGTCTACCTATGGTGTAGTTCTTGTATATACTCCCTAGATGTTAAGATGTAAACGCTTTAGCGCACGCGCGGCTTAGTGATTCGACAGGCGTTGTACTCCTGGCAGCTCGTGATCAGTCATGCCGCTCCATAATGAGCGATGTGTATCTGCGTCCAATTGGGCAAAAGCTTGTAGAAGCTTGTTCCGTGGTGACGTACGGCGCTAGCATTTCACGGTCGCGCAACGATTCCCTGCCAGATCTGCCGACTTGCCTGCGCCGATCGTTCTACCCGCGCCTGCGGTAACTTCCGATTCCAACATTTGTTCTTGTACGTGCATTCTGCGATAGTAACTCCAACCTCAAGCCTGGTGTCTAGCGGGTTTTCGTATCCTCATCCACATTCCTAATTATCCTTTGTTCCCTCTCCAGCCCCGTTACTCAGCACAGCATTTGATCTGTGACCGCCTACAAGTTCTACCGGGCAACTTTATTGGGCATTTACGTATTGCTTTGACCGACTCCGTGCACACTTCAAGGCCCCTGTCAATAAGGAACCCTCTCAAGCACAGCATTGTAACATGGCTTCTGGACATCGGTGACAAAACGACGGCCGCTTCCTTACGTTCCGACAATGACATCCGTGGCTTCGAGCCGTCCACATGAAACGCCTTATACTCGAACAGAGCAACCGCCAATGTCTGAGACCCAAAACATTCGGTGCAATGGAGAGCAGGTAGAGGTTCAAGAACCGCTCACAAAGAAGAAAAGCCGGTTGATGTTCTGGAAGAAGTATGAACAAGGGGAGAAGAGGTATGTTGATTTCCGGAAGTCAAACACAGATCCATCGTTCTTTGTATGAGATATGAGTTCAAAAGATATAGCTAGAGGACGCGGTGGAGTACGGTTGGAATTAATATGGGATAAGTTGGGGTGAACGCGACGCAAAACAAAAAAAAGCTCCAGTTCCTTACAATCGTGTACAAGGCGGCATTAACGGATGAATCTTCTATGTGAAAATCAGGTTTGATGGTATCAGGATTGTCGCGTTTTTTAAGTCTTGATTCACTGTATTGAGTTCGTTGCTTTACTTGCGAATTCTCCAAGATATACTGATTTCATTGCAGTGACTGGTGGTTTGCCTCCACTGGAATACCATTACTGGCCGCGACTCTTGGTCCACTCGCAAACGTTTCATCGCTTGTTGCCCTTGTCACTTCATGGCGTATGGACGTCTACATCGACGGTCAATTTGTGTCGGAGATTGAAGGGAAGGCTTTCGCGGATCCGAGATGGTAAGTCGAGAAATTGCGATAGGCCAAAGCTTTGAATAATATCGGCCATTGTAATGCGTATACATATCTGACTTTACACGAGATACTAATGTAAATCCAGGTGCTATTACTTCAACGTAGCCTCCCTCATCTGCGGCTTCCTGGGGAACTTGTTTCTCCTCTTCAACTTTACCCAGCGGATCCGATACATCATCGCCCTACCAGCCACCATCATCCTCTGGTACCTCGCCACCGGCTTCCTCATAGGCATCACAGCAAGCATGGAAATCTATGCCCCACCCGATCGCCCCTACCAAACCTATACCCAAGGCTTCTGGTACGCCATCGCTGCAGCCTCATTCTACCTTCTCTGCTCTATGCTCCTTATGATCAACATGCTCGGCTACTTCCTCGGCCATTACCCTGATAATTTTGCACTATCTGACTCCCAGCGCACACTCATCCTACAAACAATGGTGTTCTTCATCTGGCTCGGCGGCGGCGCGGCAGTCTTCATGAAGATTGAAGACGACGCCGGGGAAGGCTGGGAGTACGCCGATGCATTGTACTTCTGCGATGTGACCGTCCTCACGGTCGGTTTTGGAGACTTCTACCCTACGACCGATCTCGGGAGGGGCATCGTATTTCCTTTCTCCGTCGGTGGCATCATCACACTGGCCTTGATCGTGAGCTCGATATACAAGTTCATGCGCGAGCTCGGCGAGGAAAATATCGTCATGAAGCATACCGATCGCATTCGGCAGAGGACTGCTGAGCGCACCGTAACCACCTCCTTCGACCTCCGTCAACGCGAACACGCTGAGCATCACCTTATTCGAAGGCGCTCATTTACGAGAAGAGGACGTCCGAAGATCAGTGCTCCTACGGAGCCGAGGGTAATGCGGACGCCTATGGGGGAGAGAGTGAAGAGGGCAACGTTTGGGCCACTGCCGAATGCACTTACGCCCGGGAAGAATAGGAAGCAGCGATTGATTCTATTAAAAGAAGAAAGGGATCGCTTTGAAGCGATGCGTAATATTCAGCACAAGTCAAGGAAGTATAGGCAGTGGCTGGCGTTGCTGTTTTCGACGTTTGCGTTTGGGATTTTGTGGTGTATTGGTGCCGTTGTGTTTTGGCAGGTAAGTCACAGCAAGACGTGAAGTTTCACCTGCCGCGAGAACGTGCAAGATGAAGCTGCGGAAAACTCTGTTTGTTCTGTATCTCTTCAAATTTGTTTGTAAAGAGGCCGAATATGCCCTTGGTTCTATCGTTTGCATGCATACGCTGACTAGCGATCAGGCCGAGAAGAACGCCCAAGGCATGACCTATTTCAAAGCGCTCTACTTCTGCTACGTATCGCTCTTAACAATCGGCTATGGCGAGTTTCCCCCATCACGCGAAGCGCACAGTATTCATACTCATACCTCTGCAGGAGACCTAGCCCCCAAATCCGGCGCAGGCCGCTGCTTCTTCGTCATCTGGTCCCTCATCGCCGTGCCCACAATGACCATCCTCGTCTCCGACCTTGGCGACACCGTCGTCGACAAGTTCCGCCGTTGGAGCGACAAATTCGCTGACTTTACCGTCCTTCCTAAGCATGGTATATGGCGTACCTTCCTCGACAAGCATCCTTCACTCCTCAGACTAGTGGACTGGCTGCAGAAGCGGGCTGCAGACAAGAAAGCGAAGAAACGAGTAGAAAGGGGTTTCGAACTAGATAACCCAGATAAGCCGGTAGAGGATCCGAACTGGGATGCGCAGGTCAGAGATGGAGCTGCTGCTGAGGCGCAAATCCAGGAATCAGCAGTCAATGCGGATGATGATGCTATCACACCGACGCTGCCTGTGTTGGCGGCTGAGGAGGAGAAAGATGCGTTGGGGAGGTTTCCGGGCAATAAGTCTATTGCGCATCACATTGCGCTTTGCATCAAGCGCGTTGCTGCGGACATGTGAGTTTTCCCAAGATACAACACGAGCTTCAGAAATTCTAGATTTGCTGACCTGGGAAGGCACCTCCCCAAACCCAAACGCTACACCTTTGAAGAATGGGTCGACTTCGTACGGCTGATTCGCCTGACCGGCAACAAGACCGGGTATCGGGGTGACTCCGATGAAGAAGATGAAGAGGGGTTGGTAGGATGGGATTGGATTGGCCCAGATAGCCCGCTGATGAGTGGGCTGACTGAGAGCGAGTGGTTGTTGCAAAGGTTGTGTGAAAGCTTGGTCAGGCTGGCGAAGAAGCCGTATGTGCCTGTGGGCGAGCAAGAGCTGAAGCGGGGTGGGACAAGGGAGGACGAGGGAGTGGATGGAGAGGACTGGGTGGATGGGTGGGTGGGCGATGGGGAGTATGCCAGACATGATCAGAGGCCGGGTGGTGCTGCGGATGCAGAGTCGAGTAGTTCTGTAAGTGTGAAGCCTGGTGGAGTTAAAGCTGCCGAGGAAGGTGCTCGGCGAGTGACCTAGCGGAGGCAAAATCAATCCTGCTAATAACGGCACCCTGCTCTGCTCTGCTATGCTAGAGTGCTGGTCTTTTGCTGTGTTACCTCAAAATATTGATTACCAAAGCCGGCAGGCATTTCTCGGCAACCCCTGGTACTATGAATTCCTCTAGTATTGGTGCAGAGATAGTGAAGGATATATTTGGATTAACGATCAACTTAGCACAGCAGATGATGGCAGAACAATCATCCCCAACTTTTTGACAGCGAACACAGTGGCTCATGAATTGGAATGGCTCCACGAAGAATTGTGTCGTCCGTTTGGCCGTGACCTCGTTCGGTGGAAGTTTCTACAGCTGTACTCAATGACCAGGGCTCCAGTTGTTTTCATTTGACGCTGTCGCGTGTTCTTCAAACTTCCACTCGTTCTCGGCACTGTTCGACCCCACAGGTACATCTCCGTCGCCCAAAAGCACTCTGCGCAAACAAGATTATGCGGGAGCGTGCGGGGGTATATCCGAATCTTCAAGCGTGTGTTCTCCGCCTGTGTGGCAACCTGTCTCTTTTGCCCACCTCAAGCATTACCGCCACCACCGCCACCTCCGCCTCTTCCGCGACCCCTTCCTCGACCGCGCATGCCTCTGCCTCCCCTATCCCCACGGTGTCCGTCTCCGCGCCCGGCATGGCCGCCACGCCCACCTCTCGATGCCTGCTCCTTCGCCTGCTGCTCCTTGACTACGTCGACAATCTCATCCGGGACCCGTAGGTATTTTATCTGCCTGCTATCAGCGCCGAGTTCCTCATATTCTTTCATTCATCCGAGACCAACCGTGCTGCCCCTCACATATATCTCTGCTAATCGCCAAAACTTGTCGCCGTCCGCGCTGGTCTGTACAACTTCTTTGAGCGTGAGGTTCATCCACGTGTCGCAGTTGACGAGGAGGCCGTTTAGAGTTTCGCCGCTCTTCAGCTCGACTAGCATGGGGTGCCCGACGGCGGCTGTGAGGAGGCCGAGGGGAAGCTGCGGTTTGTATGTTAGTTGAGGCTCTGCGCCGAAGTGGTCATTGTGACGTACCATGGTGAAAGGGTTCTCCCAGCTCTTGTAGATGGAAAGGAAAGGTCTATGCGATCGCGTTTCAGGTGAACCAAGTCGAGAATGGAGGGTAATCTCATGCAATGGGAATGTGGCCGAGCTGCAGTTGCATTCAAGTGGGCTGTTTGGATTGCAGATTGCGGGAGAGAGCTCGGGCCATGTCTTGGCACTTCGCGTCAGGACTGCAGTCTCTACGCGTGGTCAATCAAGTATGCATGTGTACTACAAGTATTGGTATAGGTATTGCAGCTTCGTCATCCTCATGGTGATATTGTAGCACAGTAGGGAGTTGCTGTTATCGGTCGCGCCCAGCTCCTCAAGACATCAGACCACTCGTAGAGCGCGCGTCCTATCGATACCTACTGCTACGGGTGGTCAGCGCCTCGCTCTCCAACCATGCAACGCATCGCATCCCGAGGCTGGTAATCTAGAACAACATCCTTGCGAAACTTGAAACATTGTCCCATGCTCGCAGCAAGTTGTATACGCAAGCTGTGGGTTTGACCATAGCGGACAGAGCTTTTCTACCGTGGTACGCTTGGGACGAATGCCTCTATCCGATGGGGTTATCGGAAACGATCTTCACCATCCCTTTTGTATAGCTTGTCGGAACAGTCGGTCTATAAGGGGAGAATTAGACTTTGCCCGCAAGTTCGCCGATTCGACACGGCCACTGGCTGGATTAGCCTCTTCCACGGGTACGGGTGTTGGTAGGCGTGTGCCGACGTGAAGCGGAGGAAGGAGCAACCCACGAAAGGTGTTCGTTCGTGCTACATGGCCTCACACAACTGAACATTTTCAGCACAACACTACACCCTCCTCTCTTTTCTACAGGTGCATCGTCCGTTACTTTCCTTCGACAAAGTCTTCGTGTGTGAATCCCCACGCGCAGGGCTGAACGGCGAGCGGATGTGCTGCGCCCCGCTGCCGCTGCCTCTTTTGGGTCCTGGCTCCAAACGACACGCGTCCAGTCAAGTGCTGATGCTGGCGCGCCTGCGCCCCCATTAAACATCAAGCCTCCCCGAGTTGGCTGGTGCCTGATCTCAGTTCAGAGGCCAGCTTTGTCGTTCTTCGCTCGACAGCTGTTGCTTTACTGAGTCGCTTTGTGCAGGTGTGACCGACGTTCCTTTCTTCGCCTTCGCTTTTCTTTCATTCTCCAACCATGAGGTTCTCCAAGAAGAAGCTCTTGGTAGCCTGTGCCCGGGCCCTGCCAGCACTCGCAGCTGTTCTTCCTCCCGGGGGTGTCCGTTCAGACGTTGCACGCCCGGAGGGTAAACAGCTTTTGGATTTAGGTACGTCTTTATATCTTCCCACTTTCGCCATGTTTAGGCAGCTGCTAATACTACCAAGATTTACACGAAGACTATGCACAAGCGACCTTTACCGTTCCTTGCGCTGGTTGTCTAGGCACGAGCCATGATGACGAGTCCATCGTGAGGCTCCACTTCAGGCAACAAAAACTGACCCCACTGCTTACTTCTTCTCCAGGTCTTGAGTGTGAAAACCCACGCCAACGAAGAAGCTTGTGGTGTTTCCAACATCACGTTGAACGGAGCCTACCTTTCTCAAGAATGGAACGGTGATTTTGCATCTGGCTCCGGCTCCTACACTGGTGTTACCGATATCCAGGAGAATGCCTGGTTTCTCCAACACGACCTTGACCTGGAATGGGAGAGCGCATGTCTCCACGGCGAAGAAGAAGCCGATGACACCGCTCAAGTCTTGACAGTCAACATCAAATCCATCGATGGAAAGTCATTAAGCCTACCGTACCCCGGTTTCACCCTCTCGTTCAAGCAGGCTTCCCCACCGGAACTTCTTCGACTCCAGTCGACGCCCGACCTTATTGCCAGCTCTAGTGAACACGCCGAGTCTTGGCGCAAACCTCCTACCCATCTACGCCTTACCCTGCCCAAGCTTAAGGGTGTAGAGAGTTTCGAAACTTCGGGTCACTCGGAGCTTGAAGACGACATCCAAGAGCTGAAGGCTCTCGAAAAGGAAGCAAAGAAGCTCCAGAAAGCTATTGCGGAGAAGAAGAAGTACATTGATTCACAGGTCAGAAAGGAGGCACAGAGCTTCAAGGAGGAACTGCAGAACTGTGACAACCTGACCTGCGTTGCGAAGACTATCGCAAGTGGAGCTCGAGGTGCATGGAGGATCCTCTACGTCCGATTCAGACCCAACCACCATCATCACCACGGCCCGCCACCCATGGGTCATCCAGATGATGGCTTCCATCGGGTATGGCGACCGGGGAATAATAAGCAGGGCAACATCAAGATCGAGTCTGAAGGCGTTCCTCCACCTCCACCTCCGCCGCACCATGACGGGCCCGGCCACCCACCACCACCTCCGCCACACCACGATGGCCCTGGTCACCCACCGCCGCCTCCACCTCCGCCACACCACGATGGCCCTGGTCACCCACCGCCACCTCCACCTCCGCCCCATTCTCACCATGGTGCACCACGCATGCCTCCACCTGAGTCGCCATTCGTGATCGCTCTCGAGGTCGTTTTGGGCCTTTTGTGCTGTGGTTGCATCTTGACTGTTATCCGTCACCGCTGCAGTAGCCTCCGCACTCGCACAGAACGCGCTGCCGCGCGCGAAGAACGTCTGACTCGACGTGAATACCGCCGTGCTGCTCGAAGACATGCAATCAGAAAGTGGTGGCGCGGGGATTGGCGCGACCAGGAGCGCATGGAGGACTATGAGGAGAAACGCAGTCTCATACAGCATCAGGAGGGTGTGCTTGAGGAAGCAATGCAAGAGGAGATCAGACAACTGCGCGCGGCGCATGGCGTCGTGAATGATCTCGTCAGCTCAGCTGAAGAAGGCCGCGTTGTCACCTACCCACACAACTACTGCCCGTGCTCACGCTCACACCCTGTTCCCCAAGCACCGTTGTCCCCGTTGTCAACGGCTTCAACCTACCCGCCCACCTCTATCCCCGAGCTCCCGTCTCGTCCGCTATCGCGAACAGACAGCCTCCCGGGGTACGCATCAAGTTCACCGCCAGCTTACGAAGAGGATGAGGATGTATCCGATTCGGTTGCCAACGGCTTCAGGCACTACTCTTCTACTGATTCGACCACAAGCTCAAATTCACGATGGACGCCAGACTCCAGCATCATCGATGTGAGCCCGCGACCAAGCGCAGAAACACTGAGATACCCAGAGATTACTGAAGCCTCCGAGTTCGCCGAGACAACTGAGACGAATTTTGATCAGAAGAGCTAATCGCAGGCTACTTCATCTTCCCTTTATGCTTACGATGTTCTCAAATGGATGCGCCGCCACAATTTTGTTTCCCTATTGGCTTCGTTCATGTCATCCGGCTCGGTGTTGGTATGGCGTACAGATTCCCACAAGCTGTCTTTTCCTCTTTGCGTTCATGCATTGTACGATTCCTGTAGCATGATCCTCTCATACATCTCGCAAAAGCAACGAGCGAGAGGGAACGGGTGAGGCTTTGGCTCACCACTAATAATAGTCACTGTGATGTGATGTAGTATATATATCTATGTCGAAGTAGAGTAGACATGCATATGAATACAGGCCGCGGGTTAAGAACGCGGAGCCTTGAAACAACAAAAGCGTGCCTCCAGATGCTCTGTCTATTGTGTCCAATACAACGTAATGTACAAAATGGTCGCTCGATGCGATATCTACACATATGCTACAGTGCGCCACACCAACATCTCTCCCTGCAAAATCTTCTCTTTACCGTCTCCTCAGGTACCAGTTAAACGCCAGCTGTCCCGTTTCGACGTGGAACGGCGTCGGCACCTCCGAGAGACCTGGCCGTGCAACGGGATGCCTCAGGTACACCGCCGCACAAATGTTCTGGTTGACCTCCAAGTACCGCGGTATGAATGCAAACGCCGCCATATAGTCTCGTGGCCGCCAGGGGGTAGCATATGGGGCGGACGCATCACGCTTGTTCCACGCGGAAGTGTTTTCATGCTCCAGCTTCAGCTTCTCAAACGCATCCTTCAGCTTCTTCTGGTCCTCAGGAGACATCATCGGTGTGGCTTCTTCCTCGGCAGGCGCGGACGTCTGCGCTGCTCGACGGGCATTCAACGCATCTTTGAGGAACGTGAACTGGGTATCTAGCGTGGAAACGGTGTCGGGAGTAGCTTTGCTCCAGAGGCTCACGGCCTTGCGCACGGTCTGGCGGAAGGCGCGGAATTTCTGCTTGTCTTTTGCGCCGACGTCTTCGTTGAGGACGTGCTCGACGTCCACCATGAGGGACTGCATGTGCTCTTTGAGCTCTTTAGGTGTAGGCTCTTCGCGGGTAGCGATGGGTTCGGCCTTTTGACTGGGGTTGTGCGCGGGCGCTGGGTTCCCTTCGCGGGCTTGGGCACGCTCGGCGGCCTTTTCTTTGGCGACTTTGCGGGCGGTGGAGGAGCGGGATTTCTGGGCGCCGGTAGCGAACATGACGGATGAGGGCTCGACTTGAAACATGTCGCCTGGATTGAGCATGTATCCGGGGTATGGCATCTGTGATTGTTGTATTAGCTCTTGCAATGGGCCGCGTGTCTCGAGTTTTTGGTAGCTCATTCTGACATCAAATCTTAAGGGATAAGAGACCTGCGTACCTTCTTGCCGTTGACCCTAACCAGCCCGTGTACAACGAATTGTCTCGCCTGGCGTACGCTACTTGCGAACAGTGCTCTGAAGATAGCCGAGTCCAGTCGTCGCTCGATTGGATAGTATGTCATCTGCATATACGGCGTCTGTGGTGGTGTGCGCGTCTTATCATTCGAATCTGCGCCAGCACCTCGTCCAGCAGCCTGTTCAGAACCGTCGAATCTAGCCAAGTATCTGTGATCCATCGGAACCACCGCGGGTAGATTTCTCCTGAACAGACGCTTCCACTTCTTCTCCCGGATCTGCTCGCCGTGGTACGCGCGCGTGTCTGACTTGGCCGTCCATTTCTGTTGGAAGTATGTCTTCGTCGTTACATTTGGAGGCCTCAATTGTGATATGCTGTAGAGCGACCAGCGTGACCAGTCCTGTCTGACTTTCTATTGCCATGTCAGCGATATCCGGGCGTGATTTATCTGAAGTCCATTAGACTCACTAGCTTCTTTAGCGAATGAAACCTCGGCTTCTTCCTCATGGTGGGCGGTGGGCAATGGATGAACAATAGAAAGAGTCGAGTGCGTTATGTTCACCTGCGACAATACGGACACGGACGCTGGCTCGCAGCACGGACCAGCTTAAAAAATAAAGGCAGGAAGCTACCCATGCCCCCGCTAGTGTGCTGCGCGAACTCACTTTTTCCTCCCCACCACTAACATAAAGTTGAGATATATTTACACGTTTCTCGAGTATCTTCCTGCGCATAGCTTCAAACACCCTTTGATAACAACCCAATCGCGTATCGACAGCTGCACCGCAGCAAAAAATGGCCGACAACCAGCCCGCCGCCGAGGCGTCTGCGACCAACCCCGCCGAGGTCGAGGTCACCAAGAGCAACGAGTCCGCCGAAGTCCAGGCTGTCGCAAAGCCCGATGCTACCGCTGAGAGCGTAGATTCTGGCGAGAAGAAGGGTACCAATGGAAATGCTGAGGCGGGCAATGAGAACGAGTCTTCCACCAAAGAGAAGGATGACCGTTCAAATGGTCGCAAGTTCGACAACAGGCGCGGTCGCGGTCGAGGGGGTTTCGGAGCCAACAGGCACTTCCGCCAGTACGTCATCTTCGAATCGTTGTCCAAGAGAATCTCTACTCACATTTGCATAGGCGCAACGACGAGTTCGAGAACCTGCCCGAGTCGGATGACCCAAACGAGATCAGGCAACAAGTGAGTCATCGGCGCAATTGATGATGTACCTCTCCTAACATGTGCAGGTTGAATTCTACTTCTCTATTGCAAATTTGGCAACTGACAAGCATCTCTTCGAGCAACTCGAAGGCCCTCGCAATGCGCCCGTTTCAATCAAGCACATCAGCCAGTTCAAGCGAATGCGCCGCTTTGTGCCTTACTCCGCGATCGTGAATGCGCTCCGTGAGAGCGAGGACCTCGTCGTGATGGACGACGGAGAGTTCGCCGGCAATGGCAAAGAAGCCGTCAAGCGCAAGGAGCCCTTGGTCGTGCCCAAGCGGGACGGTGACGCTGAGTACCCGCCCACCGTCGAAGAGCTTTTCAACCGCATCTATAAGAAGAGTATGAACAAGCTCGAGAACTGCATCTATGTGAAGGGTTTCGCTGCTGAGGGTGAAGATGTTGGACAGATCCCGCTTGAGCAGTTCTTCCGACCCTACGGCTCCGTCATGGTCCGCAAGCGCCGCGAAGAAGATGGAACGTGGAAGGGTAGCGTCTTTGTCGAGTTTGACAACGAAGAGTCCGCGAACCAATTCCTTGCTCTTGAGCCCAAGCCGAAGTACAACGACAACGAGCTCACGATCATGTCCAAGAAGGACTACAGCGAGATGAAGTGCAAGGAGAAGGGAATTACTCCGGAGTGGCTCAAGACGGAGGAAGAGCGCAACAGCAGCGGCCGTGGACGAGGTCGTGGCGGGTTCCGTGGAGACCGCGGTGGTCGTGGAGGTCGGGGACGAGGACGCGGTGGACGAGGAGGTCGTGGCCGTGATGACCGTCGGGATCGTCGCGACCATCGCGACCGCCGCGACCGCGATGGCTCTGCCGACAACGATGATTGGAGGAGACGCCGGGACAACTTCCAGGACCGCGACCGTGATTCTAAGAAGCGCAGCCGCGACGACAATGAGGCCGCTGAGCGCACTGGAAGCCCTAAGCGCTCCAAGCTCGAGGTCAAGGAAGACGCGTAGAAGTAGAACATGCCTTCTAAGCACGTTCACATCACATCTGGCCACGCCTCCTCGACTCATCCTACGGACGAAGACTTTGTTCTTGCTTCGGTACGACTTGACATAATCCCAGGCATCTGCTTACGAGCGGTTCCGAATATGTGATTACGTTTTTCTTTGCATACTGGATCAACAAAAAAAGGCGTTGGTGGCATGCACATTCTATGGTTGTCTATAAGATACCATCTTCTTCGGGACGGACGAATCATCTTTCCATGTTTCATAGCATATTGGTATTCTATGCCACTGTATGATAGCTCATGGTCTCATATATGTGAGGGCGGATGAGTTCGAATAAAAACAAGCTTTCTCGACCTGCTGTTCTTAGGTTGAACGTTTCAGTTGATAGCCAATATCAGACTACGGGAGTGAATGCTTCTACCATAGTATCCTGTGTCACGCAGAGGTAACATCTGTACACGTGCACGATAGTCTGTAAACTGAGTCTACCGTGAACGACAAAGTAGCGCCTTGCGAGTCTCGTTCCTCGGCTCCCTCCATGCTTCTAGGAGCGCCACATGCAAGCTTCCGGTATCCGCGACTTATCTCCGAGGCACTTTCCTCGTTTGTAATCTCATTGTCTACTTAGCACACTATACCGCTTCGGTGTTACTTTCACGCAGTTGTAGGCGCATATGCACGATGGACTAGAAGTATAAGGTATCAAGTGGACTGGGAAATTACTTAGTGGTAACCCAGGATATGTACATGTATATGGCAGCCAATATTTACAAGACCCACGAATTAGTTGAGTGTGTATTCGCTCGATATGAAATTTCATCGGGACAGATGGCAGGAAAAAAAGGGCGGAGATTGGGGGGCGCTTGGAGAATAATTCGTACCGCGACTAGCGAGCACAACACTGCCTGTAGAGTCTACAGACCATCGTCCTATTGACATAGAATTGGCTTGGTTTCGAGACTGCTCCCACCATCCTCGTGACTTGTGACTCTTGAAAGGACTACATCAATAAGCTGCTGCTGGGTCGTCGGATGACGATGGCGACCCTTGCGGTCGCCGCTGCCCAATCGAGCAGTTCGGGCTCCTGCGTCATGAGAGAAGGCAGAAGCGCTGAGTGAACTGAGGAACTATCATGAGTCACAGAAGGAATAATCCAAAGAGTTTACGGGTGACAACTTGTCTGGATTATGGTTCCTGAAGCTCACCAATGTTCCACGATGACTCCTCGGTGGCACTGTATGGGCGATTGACACCGCGCACTATTTCGAATTAAGCGATAGTCTCTCGCACTCGACGCCCCACCTTGCCCGCACCACCTGCAAAACTCCTCTCTGCCCGCCCACTTCTTCGCTCCCGCCCACCACTTCGCCCGCCAACTTTGCGCCCGGGGGTTCTTAAAGCGTGCCTGCCTTTGGTCTGCACCAACAGAGCTCTCGATTTCAATTCCAGCGCCTCTTCAACTCCAACAGTCCCCAGCGCAGGTGCGGGGTACTTGAGCATTTCTTACACGAGAATTTTCGAGTAGAACCACCTACAATACCGCCATCATGGTCAAGTAAGTTTACTTCCATCCTGCTGTTCGCCTTTGCGAGCGCAGTAGATACCATTCTGCCCTCATGGCGCCTATTCTAGCATGATACTAACAGCCCACCAGCTTCACCGTCGAAGAGGTACGTAGCGCCCCGCACACAACGGATAAATAATACATATCTGGAGGCAAGGGAAGAAGGATGAAGGCTAACTGGCATGGCAGATCCGTGAGCTCATGGACAAAGCGGGCAACATCCGTAACATGTCCGTTATTGCTCACGGTAAGTGCTCCCGGATGCCCCGCACTGCTGGAAATACATCTAACAACCAATTCAGTCGATCACGGCAAGTCCACCCTCACCGACTCTCTGGTCCAGCGTGCCGGTATTATCTCTGCAGCGAAAGCTGGAGAAGCGCGGTTTACGGATACGCGAGCGGATGAACAGGAGCGTGGTGTGACGATCAAGTCCACCGCTATCTCGCTGTACGCCCAACTTCAGGACGAGGAGGATCTCAAGGACATCCCCGTCAAGGTCGAGAAGAACGACTTCTTGATCAACTTGATCGACTCGCCCGGTCACGTTGACTTCTCATCTGAGGTCACCGCTGCCCTTCGTGTCACTGATGGTGCCCTTGTTGTCGTCGATACCGTAGAAGGTGTCTGCGTCCAGACCGAGACTGTGCTTCGCCAGGCTCTTGGTGAGCGTATCAAGCCCGTCGTCATCATCAACAAGGTCGACCGCGCTCTTCTCGAGCTCCAGGTCACCAAGGAGGACCTGTACCAGAACTTCTCCCGTGTCATCGAATCCGTCAACGTCGTTATCGCCACTTACTACGACAAGACTCTCGGTGACGTCCAGGTGTACCCCGACAAGGGTACTATCGCTTTTGGTTCCGGTCTCCACGGCTGGGCCTTCACCGTCCGCCAGTTCGCTACGCGATATGCCAAGAAGTTCGGTGTCGACAAGACCAAGATGATGGAGCGTCTCTGGGTAAGTTCTTGCAGACGAAATTGATTCTCGGGCACGATCTAACGAGTTCAGGGCGACAACTTCTTCAACCCCAAGACCAAGAAGTGGACCAAGAACGGCACTCACGAGGGTAAGAACCTTGAGCGTGCCTTCAACCAGTTCATCTTGGACCCCATCTTCCGTATCTTCAACGCTGTCATGAACTTCAAGACCGAGGAGATCCCCACTCTCCTTGAGAAGCTTGAGATTAAGCTCACCAGCGACGAGAAGGACCTCGAGGGCAAGCAGCTCCTTAAGGTCGTCATGCGCAAGTTTCTTCCGGCCGCCGACGCTCTCCTCGAGATGATGATTCTCCATCTTCCTTCTCCCGTCACTGCCCAGAAGTACCGCATGGAGACTCTCTACGAGGGTCCCCACGACGACGTCAACGCCATTGGTATCCGCGACTGTGATCCCAAGGGCCCCCTCATGCTGTACGTCTCCAAGATGGTGCCGACCTCCGATAAGGGTCGTTTCTACGCCTTCGGTCGTGTCTTCTCCGGTACCGTCAAGTCTGGTCTCAAGGTCCGCATCCAGGGTCCTAACTACGTCCCCGGAAAGAAGGAGGACCTGTTCATCAAGGCTATCCAGCGTACCATTCTCATGATGGGTCGTTTCATCGAGCCCATCGAGGATGTGCCGGCCGGTAACATTCTTGGTCTTGTCGGTGTTGACCAGTTCTTGCTCAAGTCTGGTACCCTCACCACCAACGAGACCGCTCACAACCTCAAGGTTATGAAGTTCTCTGTCTCCCCCGTCGTCCAGCGTTCCGTTGAGGTCAAGAATGCCCAGGATCTTCCCAAGCTTGTCGAAGGTCTTAAGCGTCTGTCCAAGTCTGACCCTTGCGTCCTGACCTACATCTCCGACTCCGGTGAGCACGTCGTTGCTGGTGCTGGTGAGCTCCACTTGGAGATTTGCTTGAAGGATCTCGAGGAGGATCACGCCGGTGTTCCTCTCCGTATCTCCGATCCTGTCGTCCAGTACCGTGAGACCGTCAATGGCAAGTCCAGCATCACTGCCCTGTCCAAGTCACCCAACAAGCACAACCGTCTCTACGTCATTGCTGAGCCTTTGGACGAGGAGGTCGCGCAGGCCATCGAGCAAGGCAAGATCGGCCCCCGTGACGATTTCAAGGCTCGTGCCCGTATCCTCGCCGACGAGCACGGCTGGGATGTCACCGATGCCCGTAAGATTTGGTGCTTCGGTCCTGACACCACTGGTGCCAACTTGCTCGTCGACCAGACCAAGGCTGTGCAGTACTTGAACGAAATCAAGGACTCTGTTGTCTCTGGTTTCCAGTGGGCCACCAAGGAAGGTCCCGTTGCTGAGGAGCCCATGCGTTCCATCCGCTTCAACATCCAGGATGTTACCCTCCACGCTGATGCTATTCACCGTGGTGGTGGTCAGATCATCCCCACCGCTCGTCGTGTTCTCTACGCCGCTGCTCTCCTTGCCGAGCCCGCTCTGCAGGAGCCAGTCTACCTCGTCGAAATCCAGGTGCCCGAGCAGGCCATGGGTGGTATCTACGGTGTGCTCACCCGGAGACGTGGTCACGTCTTCGAGGAGAACCAGCGTGTTGGTACTCCTCTTTTCAACGTCAAGGCCTACCTTCCCGTCAACGAGTCTTTCGGTTTCACTGCCGATCTCCGATCAAACACTGCCGGACAGGCCTTCCCCCAGATGGTCTTCGACCATTGGCAGGTTCTCCAGGGCGGTTCGCCACTTGACAACACCACCATGCCCGGTAAGATCGTTGCCGACATGCGTAAGAGGAAGGGTATCAAGATTGAGGTACCGGGTGTTGACAACGTAAGTTATGCCCCTTCCATTGATAGAAATCAGTATACTAACTTTCTTTACAGTACTACGACAAGCTATAGAGGAAACGTGGCAAAAGCACTAGATTTCCTTTATTCGCGGCTTGTGGGCAAAGAGCGGTTTTGGGTCTGCTCATGATCGCTGGTCGCTGTATACCATCACGACAAAAGTTCCTCAAGTAGGCAACCAGAGCAAGAAAATGTCGGTCCGAGCAGATGGCTCTTGATCGCGGATGTCTTTGGGGGGTTCGACGCCTGACATGGATAATGACCCTCGTTTCCTAGCATGTTCTCGTTTTGTGATGTAGTGTTGATAGATAATCGAACCTATATTGCGATGAAATGTTGCTACGACGTGACGAGAATGGTGACTACTAGTGAGTGGAAAGGCACGGATGCACGGATAAGTACGCATCAACCGTCTCACTGTACATCCGGGCAACTAAGATGGCTCACAAGCATCTATCAAGCGTCGCTCTAACCAGATTCCAGTAATCATCCTTGAAAATCCGTGCACGCTCTTCATTCTTCAATCAGTCAAAGGTTGACCTGGTTTAGACATCGGTGATACACATAAGTTTTAGGTACCCGAGCTTGAACTCGATACTCGAAGTGTGCCGCCTTCCTCAGTGATGCTAGTTTCTTGTCTTGCAGACGCGGAGCAGGTGTTGCGATTGTGTTTTTGTGGCCATTGGGTGAGAATGGTGGAACAGTAGTTTTATTGGAGCTGGTGGCGAAGCGTTCGGGGAGTAGGCAACCGTAGGATTTGGTCTTACCAGGCGCAAGGAGCGACATGGTCGGTTTGGAAGATGGTTGCAAGGCCGTGGGTGGGAGATCTTAAAAAACGTTAGGGCCCGCTACTACTTGTTAAGTATGTTCAGAATGAGGGAAAGTGTAGGGATGCTCTTTAAGCTTCTATTAAGCCTGATGGAAAAAGCTCAAACTGATGAAGGGTGAATGTCAACGCTCTGTAGCAACACTTTGATCAGTCTCAGTAGAAGACAGAATGCTCATAACGGAGGAATATGAGTTGCAGCAATAGAAGAGTTATCACGTGCTGGCGCATCGCTTTCTGTCTCTGTCTTTTTTCCGCAGTTTATTCATGTGCTGTTAGGCAACGTTCGTGATATTAGCTTTGTTGTGACTTGTTGCTATTCTGTTGAGTGGTGATGCCTAGGATGGAACCATGGTATGCGATGTAGCTGCCTGATTCTGTCTCTGTGCAACCCCCTTGTGTCCGCAGTATCCCAATTCTTTGTCGCTCGCCTCTCGTCTCAATCTTTCGCAAACTCCGCATATGATCCTACATCTCTGCATCGCTCCTTTCTCCAAGACTGAACCTTCACGCCGCCTGCATTTCAATACCTACAAATGGTTCTAGCGTCTCTCGATCAGATGACGGATTCAGTCTTTCAGAAGGTCACAAAAACCGCCACTGCGAGTGATGACTCCACAGCTTACACGCCGCCGGAAATCGACGAGAAGGTCGAACAGCAAACTTCTTCAGTCCCCCAGCCGGACAAGACATTCATCCTTCGCGACAAGAAATCAGGCCAACTTCTCACACTGCTCGACGGTGTTGTGCGTCTTAACCCTGCTGGCACCCTTGGCTCTGCGTATCACTGGACCTGCCACGAGCGCCACGGCTGGCTTGGGTTTAAAAACATTGCAGCAGGTACATTTCTGAGTCACGATCGTGGAGGCGTGTTGCAAGCCATGGTCCCACATCATGAGGGATGGGAGTTCTTCTGTGTGAGAATGATGCCAGATGGAGGATATGTACTGCTTATGACACATTGTGGGAAGCTGTGGCCAGTGCAGATGAAGCAAGAAGATGGATTGCAGAAGCTGTGCAAGGCGGATGCTCCAGTCAAGGATGGACTGGTGTGGGAGTTTGTTGAGGTTTAGGAACTTGAAGTCTGTCGGACGGACTGGGCACTGAAATACTCTTTCGTAGCCAAGATCAATGAGATCTAAGGCTACTGCAGCAATGGATGCAACTGGACTGGAAAAAATTCACGTAAAGACAGCGTATTCAACATCCAATAGGTTCGGCAAGTTCATAGGAGCAAAACATTAAGCAATTTCCAATGATGACCTCATCACGCGAGGTCGTGTCTGGGATTGGGCATCTGTGCCTCTCACTTGAGTCGTGTTCCAAGTGTTTACTGCCAGTAAAATTCATCGCACACTCTTTACTGAAATGGGTGCTTTTTATCCTGTTTGCCCATCTTTTCACTAAATGAATGTCTCCTGTCAGAATCGCATTACGCTGCTTCAGTCGACTGATCAAATTTGTGTTAAGCAAAATCTGACGTGAGACTCACGAACGCATGGAGTCGCATGGTACCACATATCTGTCTGTATAAGACGAGATTGTAGGTATCTCTGTGGAATCTCTTGCCTACCTAGTATACATTGCCTCGTGCGGTGTGTGGCTTATCAGCATCGACACACTTTGTAGGTGAGTGGAAAAGGGGTGCCACATGCCTAGCCACACAGGCCCGCCGACCAGTATACAGGGCAGAAGCTTAGTCCAAACAATACTTGCCCTTCCCCAAAACCCTTTCTTACCATACACAAGGGGAAGAGGGGGCGGTGGGGTCAACACGCGTAAATTATAGTTACAAAAGGCAGCGCATAGACAGAAGCCATGAAGATGTACTAGAAAGAGCAAGAGGAATTTCTATGTCTGCGAACTTCTTGTCTCAAGATAGCGGACTGGATAGATCAGATCCGAATCTTAGATGATGTGCCAAATATCGCATGGCCCTGTGATAAAGATCAACGCGGAACGTGGCACCTGCGCAAGCTGGAACATGTGTAGACTGCATCATCAAATGACCGCAACCTCGAACAGACTTCGTCGCCGCAGCAGGGCGGGGTGCAGTCTATGGAAATTATTAAAAAGGTTCCTGGGTTCCGGGCCCATGGGTTCTGGCATTTGGTCCTCGGCTTGAGGACGAGGCCCTGCCGTGAGCCAATCTAAGCTGCGCAACCTGATTCGGTTCTTTGTCAGCACCATCTCGCTTCGTGACTCTGAGTCTAGAAACTGAATCTTCGATCAAACGATAGCAGCTAACAAACATTGCTCTTCCCTAGAGCTGCTAACATCTGCATTCAACTTCTATTTTCTTTGTAACTTTGCTGCCTGGCCTATCAATCACATTAATCTATCAGAACCTCCGTTTACATAGTAAAGCAGTGCGCTAGGTAGCCGGTGATACTCTGCTGGCGTCACCAAGGGTGGATAACTCATGTTGACGGCGATTCCATCCTCAAGGTGAACAGCGCTAGCGCACCGCAGGATCTCGACGCCAGAGATAGACCCAGCCCATCTTCAACGACCGTTCGACAAATCCAAGCCCGCTCGCGATATTAAAGTGAGTGATGATTTGTGTTCATTGTTATTCAGAAGGCTGAGGAGATCTAGCACATATATCCTCAGTCCTGGACATAGTGTAATAGTGCGTGTCTCAACACAGTAATGTCGCAACAGGTTCGTTCCTGGACAATCGGTCCTGACCGTCCTTCAGCTACGGTCAGCACCTACGGACTTTAATTAACGGATTGAGAGGGCACATCGGGGTGGGACTACCTTATATCCCAAAGAGGTTAGCGCCGGGACTTCGCCTTAATCGCCGAAAATAGCAACACCTGGCGCATTATATCGTCGTCTTCTCTCCACCCACATCTTTATCGATTTCTTCAACATGGCCTCTTTCCATGACTGTCCCAGAGAGCTCACAGACTCTATCCTCGAACAGGTCTCGACCTGTGACCTTGCCGCCCTGAGCCTCACGAGCAAGAAGTTGCGTGCAGTAGCAACTCCGTTGCTCTATTCTCAAATCCATTTTAGCATCAATCGAAACAACCCACGCCCTCTGATACACCTTTGTCGAAGCATCTTTAAGAACCCTAAGCTGGCAATATATATTAAGTCAGTGCGTCTGCGCGATGGTGAACCCGAAATTCAGAGGCTTTTCCGAGAACACTATCATCATCAGTCCCGAACACCCAAGGCATCTCCACCACAGCCGACAGACGAAGACGGCTTACCTAATTTTGTCTCATTTATCGCAGGTTCTGGCCTGTCGTATGCTACTCTGTGGATAGAGAAATTGCGCGCAGGCAATTTGAACGCCTATGTTGCATTACTACTCTCTAAACTGCCTAACCTTATCACTTTTCGCGTTGGATACGCAGTTGTCTTAGCGGATCTTAGTGGTCTCAAAGATGACGCGAAGCCACCAGAGACCGCAGGCGAGAACCAGTTCCTTGGCAAAATATTCCAATCTGCCGCCTTTGATACATCAAACCATGGGATTTCTCGCTTCCAACACCTCCAGGATGTCTTTTATCCTGGCCCAATAGAGGCTAACCCTGGGCGCAACCCAGACTTTTCCAACCCAAGGGATGTAATGGCACTTCTCAGTCTTCCGTCAATACATGGCCTTTCAGGCTGGTGTCTGAACCCTAGCTCGTTCCCATTTACCTGGCCAGGGCCAGCAGGCCCGCCCAATCTCTCTCACCTCACCTCACTGTCTATGTCATTCGTCCACGTCGACTTCTTGGCACAAATCATAGAACAAACCACAAACCTCAAGAAGCTAAGCTGGGAGTGGAAATATATAGCTGAAGTCGACCCGCTAAATACCGACACAATCGACCTCGACAGATTCGTTGAAGCTATAAAACCTTGCCAGGATACACTTGAGGATCTTACCATCGATTGCATCAATACTATCCCCTGGTATGACTTCGAACGTAGGGAAATCAATCTTCGAGGAAATCTCCACGGCTTGGATCAATTCGCCAACATTAAGCGATTCAAGGCCCCTTTCACACTTCTCCTTCCAGATTGGGATGAATACGAACCAAAGGAATCGACACGACTGGAAGACAGCATGCCTCCTAATGTTGAGATTGTGACGATCACCGACGAAGACTGGGTACCTGACTATCCTTACGATTCGGAAAGCGAAATGGCGAAGCTGCGGTCTTGGGTTACCGAGACGGCCGCGACGAGGACGCCAAAGCTTGTTGAGATCTGCTTCTATCTGACTTGGGCGTCGGATTATGACAGGCTTGAAAAATATGAGGACTTTCATCGGGTTTTTGAGGGATCACCGTTGAGGCATAGGATCATCAGGACGAGGGATGAGGAGCCCTGGAAAAATGTGTGATGGGAGGCAGTGAACGTGGTGGCGAGCTGTTTTATATATAGTGCGACTATACAATATATGTATAACCAAACAGTTGGTTTATCATGAACCCTGGAGAAATGGCGTGTAGGTACGACGCATATGGCAGTGAAATATATTCATTGCCTCTGCCTTCTTCCAAGATACTCCTCGCTTACCTATACGATCTTTGACCAAACACCGCTGGATGACACTATAAAGATGTGATCACTAATATGTTTTTCCCTCACCTTGTGGCGGTCTAAGTTCGGCACTGAGCATCTTGGGTACGAGTAAGGACGGGTGAAGCAGCTTTTGTTGATAACGCGTGCTTTAGGCAAGAGCCCTACAGCTGTGCGCTTAAAAACCTTGTTCGTGCATGATACGTGGCGCCTTGGTGTTACTCAAGGCTGTATGCACTAACCAAACGGCTCCTTTTTTTTTTAACACATGCTCGGATAGAACAATACCTTCCACCAACAGGAAGAAGAAAGAAAAAGGTGCGGGGTGTTGAAACAGATAAGGCAATGATTTCTTCTTTTCTATAGAACTATAAGCTGGTTTGGTGGTACTCAAGGATAATTGCATTGATCGGATAATTAGAATATGATAGATCCCAGATAACAATTGAGTAAGCAAATCAGACGTTATGCGTAAGCTTAAAGTCGCTCTCTGTGCATTGAGAGCTATAGCCTGATGGTACTACATATTTAATTCAAACAAGAATTTTGGCATAGGAACGAAGCGCACCAATCAACTCGACATCATTCCTTGACTCCTTACCCCTGGTACTCAATAATTCGAATCGATCACTCAAAACCCCGCACCCATCTATATAACCCTAATCGTACATGCTCCTACATATACCCAATGCACGATACCAAAATCATTTGACCACCCAAATACTAGGCATGCTCTACTTGAGCTGAAGGTAAAACGAAGGATATTTGCGGAGCATCGCTCTGAGTCCAGCCGCTTTTGGAGTAGGGAGCCGGCGCGGTGCCTACCGGGACCTCCCTGCGAATGACCTTGCCAGGACCGATAATTCGGTCGCAGCCATTACCCTATTCATTGCGTGAGTTACACTAGCATAGGAGTTCATGAGTAGAGACTTACCGCAGGATGAGAGCATGGTGCTTTGATTCCATTCCTAGTGAGAGTCTCCATTGTGGTAGCCGTAGGGTTGTCTTCGTCGCCTTGAACCGTAACGCTAACGATGGCCTTCGTACTAATAACAGTATTCGGGTACAGATGCACGAAGAGCTGGGCGGCGCTCATCTCTCCGCACTTGGCCTGCGCGGACTTTGCGTCATTTGGTTGAATACACTGCTGGACGAGCTCAAGGATATGTTGGTTGCGTGTGTACGTGAGCGGGAGACCTTTACTTTGCGAGCTGGCGATGATAATTTCATTGTCCCAGTGGAAGACCGTTATCACGCCGGGGAGAGCTTTCTTGCTGGTTCCGATCTGGTTACCATAAGTCGCTGGCTTGATGCCTTCGAGCATGTCCATGTAGCCATCCATGGCAATTTGTACGAGCTGTCCATCTGTGAGCGGGGCGTCGACCCGCCAGTGGGCCATAAAGATGACGCGATTCCCGGCCTTTGCGTTGATTTGTGGCGCGCCAGCAAGATACGGCTCAGGACCAGCGTTGAAGAGATCTCGGTCGAGCTCTACGCCAACTTTGAGGTTGGCTGGCCTTATGCGTTTTTTGATAGTGACGGCCTCTGCTCCATGGTTGCACCACAACAAGATCTGGAGGAAGGCGAACGTAAAAAATTGATAGAAGGAACGCATGTTTGCCAAAACAAGAAAAATCGAAGGAATGAAACGAATGGAAGGTATACAGTCGCAGACTGATACCAAAGGAACGAATGTGAAGAAAGATAGGAAGGTGGCTGTTGTTTTGGCTCAACCTGAGAGGACTCACACGCATATCTTATAATCCATAGAGCTCTACATGCTGCGACCTCTAAGATCCGTATTTGCAAAGTGGACCTGCTGCAATGCCCGATGTCCGATCTAACATAGACAAGACTGTACAAAGTATACCTATGGTATCCTTCGCTTACTCGGACTTGGCACCCTTTGGCCCAATCAAGGCACATAAATGGTAGCCAAGTCATAAAAGAAGCTAGTTCAATTTCCTCAGCGTCTATGCTGGCGTGACTTCGGGGGCGAGCTCGTGCGAGATAATTGTCCGAACTGAAGTTCCGCAGCTGTCTACACAGCCATCAAAAGCGGGTCGGCCCTCCACCCTGCTGACCCCGGCCTAGCCTCCAAGCCCGACACTAGTCCTGTAAGGAATTAGGTGCAGGGATCTGGCAGTGCTGCCATTATCAGACCCTCAGAAAACCTCTCGTATTCCTAATTTCGGACGTAAGGTTGTGAACTTGTCAAGTATGTACAAAGGCCAATTCTCGAATTACGTTCATCTAAAAGGGTGAGCGTAAGGCTCCGCTCCGGGTTACAGAATAAGCCGTGAAAATCGCTTATATAACACTAGTGAATTCTACGGTGGTAATTCCCCTTTGTAGTGACTTTGATGCGTCGGACAATGTCCTTGGCAGGCAGGTGAGCCATGTGGAACACGCGACGGGTTTCTAAAATCATCACGGCTGGTAGGACTGAAGACCGCAAGTGTGCAATTTCGTGGGTATATATCTGGGGCTCAGCGCTGTGGATGAGGCTCTTCAGCCAGTCACTTCGGCGCAAGACGTTCTTTTTGCGTTTACCTTCGTTCCGCATCGCTTTTACTTTCGCCTCGAAATACACACTCGTTTGATTTTTTATTCATTCGCTCCTTTACTTCCCTCTTTTCAACCCTTCACTTTTCGATATCGCGAATCAGGGGCCGGACCCATCGTCACCATGCTTATCAAAAACATTCTCTTTTTGGGTCTTGCAGCCCTCGCGGCTGCCAACCCCCTTCTCGAAGACAGGGCCACTCCCAAAGCCGCTGCCGGCGGCAAGACCGGCAAGAAGGGCGCGGTTGATAAGTGCGACAACACCAGCGCCCTCACCGCTGGCGTGACTTGCCCCCGTGTAAAGTTCACCGCGGCCAAAATTCAGGCCGCTGTGAAGCAAGCCAAGGCCATGAAGCTCAAGGGTAAGAAGGGCAAGGGCATTCACTTCCCGGCCAAGTACACACATGACAAGGAGGTGAAGATCAAGGTTAAGGCAGGAGCTAAAGCCAAGGGGACTAAGAGTAAGGGGGTGAAAAGAGATCTGGAGAATAGGGAGGAGCATGAGGACGACGACGAGGACGACGACGACGAAGATGGTGAGTATGAAAATGATGATGATGATGAGGGAGAGGAGGACGAGGAGGACGAGGAGGACGAGGACGTGGATGACGAGGAAGACGACGAGCATCTCCATGTTGGGGCGCCAGAGGACCACGGCCAAGAAGGCCAGTCTCTGGTGACCCGCGCCCTCGAAGCCCGTGCCCGTGGAGGCGGGCGCTCCCGAGCAAGGCCTAAGACGACCAAGCCAAAGAAGACAAAGACAAAGACAACCAAGCCAAAGACAACCAAGCCAAAAACAACCAAGCCAAAAACAACCAAGCCAAAGACGACCAAGCCAAAGACGACCAAGCCCAAATGCAACAAGGCGGCTCCGGTCAAGGTCGGTGCGGCCGCTTGGATGTTCCCCATCCTTAAGACGGGCGTCTGGAAGAGTAAGTTCCTTTCTCTCCCTCACTACACCTGTCGCCTACCGTATCCCATATGCTAACCCTCACTCCAGCCGGTATGATGCCCGAGCTTCAATATGTTATCCTAGACCGCAAGTACAACTACATTAAGACGGTTGAGCGCGAGCCTGGTTCTGCCGAGGAGTTTGATATCTGTGTCGAAAATCCTAAGAAGGGCGGCACAGCCGCCAAGGGTGGTAAGACACCTAAGGGCAAGATTGCCTAGACGTTGGGTATTAAGGAGCGCCGCTGGGTATGGAGTTGGGAATTTTGGTCTGGCTGGTCTTAAGTTATATAGCCTCTAGTGTTGTTACCGACAGCACTTCGGCGTTATATGTAGTACTGATTCTTGTATATTAGTATAATAGTAGGTGCCAAAACATGGGAGTTATTGTCGCATTAGAAGTGACTTGGCACTAGACGGCCGTAAGAACATACGTATGAGATCATACCATAGTATATGATGCTTTACGAGTCACATCGCGACTCGCACCGGATAGGCTTAGCGCTATTCAACCTTGCAAGAACCACTAACCCCTTTCCCTTACTATGCTCTTCTCAAATTCAAACGTAGCTTGATTCATCAAGCTGCTTCGGGCCACCATAGCTACGGCTTGGATCGTAGAAACGCCTCAGTCTATAGCAGCTCCTCTCGGGACCCCGTCACGCAAGGTCCAAGGTTATCGATCGAGCCATAGGGCGAGCTATGCGCCGATCATAATGCTTCCGACGCGTGAGATATCCTGTACAGTGGCTTGTCTTGTATAGAGCCGGACGCCCTCATCATCAACGTCGTTTTAAAGCCACAGATATTGGGTACGCATCCTCTACTTCATAACTGACAGCTTTATGTATATAATAGAGGGGCCGTTAACCGAATTAGGGTAGGATGGACGTTTGAAATGATGATCTCCATGACCATGCACGTAGTTGTGTATGCTAATTGAATGTGTATCATGACCTAACTATCGATGCCTCTAATTGTAGCTCTCTTCTATCATCTCTAACAGTTGATGCAAGCCTACATGCGCGCTCATTAATCTTCGAATGGTTTGCAAGAGTTGTTCGCACAACAAGCCCGGGAATCAAGCGTGCAGCCGCTCTCGGTACAGTCGCAAGCACCGTTGGTCGGATCATCAGTCTCAGGGCTCGAGTCCGGCGAGTCGCTGTCACTAGCGCTGTCGTCGTCGCCCCTTTCGTCACGCGGCTCGGAGAATTGCTTTGAGCATATCTCTTGGAACGCGATGTCCTGGAAGCATATTGCATTAGTAGGCAAATTTGGAATGTTTTGCATGGGACTGCCTACCAGAGCATACCACACATAGGTGTCTGCATTGATTATTGTCGTCTTGCGCTTTTCGACATCGCTGTCAATGGCTAGTTGATGACACTCTGGTCGTAATCAGATGGGTCAGCAGATAGTACGCATAGCGCGAATCGGTGAAGTTACTTACGGTAGGCATCATAGGCGAAATCTCTAATATTCTTCAAGACCCCATCCCTACCAATACGAGGGTTGTGCCTACAAGCAACGAAGTTAATAGCGCCCAGAGACACTGCCACAGCTCTACCGACTCACATGAACTCGTGCAGAACGTTTGCACCAATGAAATTCTTTGTCCACTTCTTGGTGCTGACTTGATCTCCAATTTTAGCGCAATTATCGGCTTTCAGAGTGTCTAAGTTCGCTCGGTCAAAGACCTTGTCGCAGAAATGTATGGCGGCCCCGTCCTTGAACCTTTTGAAATAAGCAGCGCCCGTCTTGCCGTCCTTGTTCTTCAAGCTACAGAAGGGTGTTTTTCCGTCTCCTTCCTTGATCTCTTTATCCGTAGGAACCCAGTAGTCGTCGTTGTAGATGGTGGTTTTGCCGTTGGTCTCGGAGCCGGTGCCGTCTGTGTTATCGCCCACAAAGTTTTTGAAAACGCCTTTGATTTTCTTAACACTATCGTCATCAGTGTGCTCTTTACCGAACCAATACTCAAGGGTGGGCTTGTATTTATCATCGTCCATCTTCTCCAGGGCCTTGGCTGCGATTGTGACAGCATCTTTGTGTCCTTGGGTCAATTTGTCCTTCCGGTCCTGGTCGGAGATGTCGTCGAGGTTGTAGAGGGTCCGTTTCACCGCCCAGGCTGAATTGATACTGCCGAATTGGAAACTTCTGAACGCGTGTTAGAGAAACTTCTGAACGCGTGTTAGCACTTCAGGGCTCGGTCAAGCGCCGTTGGAGATCATATACCCCTGAGGATGAGCTTGAACAACTGCTAGCACAGCTGCGATCGCTAAGACCTGTTTACTGGATTGTACCATAATGGATGGATGGGGACCGTTGAAAAGAATAGATGTAATGAAGCCTTTTGAAATGGACTTTGGAATCGAGGATGTGCTGCTGGACAAGACAGTCATAGTGGACCCAATCCGGTTATATACACAATCGAAGCTTCTGAACAGATCTCTAATGGTTTCAAGGTCCAAGATCTATGCTCAGTCATAGTTTCAAGGCAAATTGCCTTGTGCCTTGTCGCAGTAAATGGCCTCATGTCCGAGACACAAGGAACATTTCCATCAGACAGGACGCTCTAGATCGTGATCATGTGCAGAATGGCTGTGAAGAGCCATCAAAGTATGATATTAAACCTGTGAATCTCGTGCGAGAGGAGTTTTAGGAAGGATGGCAAAGCACGAAGTTTCATCTTGAGAACACGCAAAGTGGCACAGCTTGACAGCTTGTAGTAAGACGACGTCATGCTCGCAAATCTTCGCTCTCGATACATGCTTCCGAAACTAGCATTATATCTTTGATGCGGACTCAGCACGACCAGGAGTACAAAGGTGATTGTGTAGTGTTGAGCATGCTCAGGTAGATGAGGTTTCCCCGAGTACGTACGAAAGCATGCCAAGCAACTAGTCCACATGTAGGGTGATTTGCGCCTGCCACACCACGATTGAAACAATCATGCTGTACGACCAACGTGAAGACCTATATAATACACGAGGCATCCCTGCAACACATTTGTTACGTCAGACGGCTTGGAAGACGCATATGAGCTTGAGCGACACCTGACACCAACGTCACTGCTGACAATATAGCCTCACAAGCAACTCACCGCAGACGAGAAATCTGCCTCGAGCGTCTAACATCGTTTCAGCCTCCTACTAGAACCCAGACACGCACAGGGTATTCAATCGTGAAAGGTGTGACGTAGTTTGCTGATCACCGGGCGTTTGCTTATTCTAGTCTGCGTCCTTGGCTTGAAGATTCGTTTGTCTTGCTCGTGACATGGTCTTCATACCTTCTCGCAGCTTCTTCACGACTGTGTAGTTTTTTGTCACTTCTTGGGAATTAGATACTTCGGAGGTGAGTAAGTCGAGCAGCTCGGTGAGTCGGAAACATAGAACTAACCAATTCAAGATATCACACCCACCTTCTCGCCCTCTCAAGACTGAGGACGATCTTGGACACCCACCTCACACACTTAACAATCGTGTGAGCAGGAAACTTTTGGGTACGCCAGTCTGAACCGCACACACCAACACGAAGGGCTCGAGTTTCAGCGTGGTCAAGCCTACGATTTGCACCATGGCGGACCCTAGCCCTGCCGCTGCGCAGCCACGGTTTTCCTTATCTTTGACCCCAACAGCGGATGTCTGCCATCTGAATGGCGAGCCGCGCTTCGGATTAAATCTCAAGATCCTTTCGCACGAAGATGAAATTATCACTATATGTTTGCATAAAACCCCACTTAAGGAAATCCACGGCCTGGAAGAGATAGTTTATGTGACCAACGAAGAAGGCGAAGAAGTGGAGTGGCCGTACGGCATTGGATGCTGGGAGTACGACGAGCCGTTTCCCGATGATTTCTGCTTCGAGGAATTCAAGTCCGGTGTGCCGTATGAGAGAACGTTTTGGCTAGACAAGGAGGATCCAGCGACCGCCCAGGGAGGCGAGCTTGGGTCCCTTGAAACTGGGAAAGAGTACAAGGTTCAGCTTAGTGAAGATTTACTTGGAGCGTTCTCAAAGTGGAGAAGAGGGAGGAAGGAAGAGTTGTTGGCTGGTGGACTAGAAGAGAAGAAGGAGAGGTGGAAGGGTGGTAGCGGAAAGATTTCTCTAGATGTGTCGGATCCGTTCACATTCAAGGCTACTTAGAAGGTGTGAATAATGGCACTGATGTTCCATAGTTATTGGCGTCTTAAAACGACAATTTTGAGAAACGGCTGGGATCGAGTTGTGCGACGTTCTGTGATGGGGCTCTTCAAGGCGTTATCGATATCTATCTTCTTCAGGACTCATGACTTACCCAGGTGGATAGGCATTCTGACAATCGCTATAATGCTCAGCAAGCAGCACGCGAATTTGGGCGTACCCTTGTCGCGGATCGAGGGCCAAAGGGCGACTAAGCCCCGACATACTACCATAGAGCCTGTCTCAGTAGTTTGGTAAACCAGACGGTCAATGGACATCTCAATGTCGACAAACGACTGTCCAAGGCTGTCAATAAGAAGGACCCAAGCATTGTTCTTTAAAGACTATCTCGAGCGTGTTCCCGTGATAACATGGAATCATTCCATTATCGAGGCAGTCACTACACAAGTCATCACACTCGCAGCCTGAGGAGGCAGAGAACCTTGTTGGGCTAGGACCGCCTAAAGCAAAGAAGGATGACGTCATTGCTATCTTGTACGGTTGCAGTGTTCCTGTGGTCCTGCGAGGAGTTGATTCTACAGGTGAGACGTATGAAATGGTGTGTGTATCTTTCAGACATGGTAACATGGACGGAGAAGCTATGTAAGAGACGCGACACAAGGAGATGGATTTTAAGATTATTTGAACATCGATAGCTCTCATAATAACGCTGTCTGCCAGCGCTAGTCCTGTCTTATCATAACAGGAATGTCGCGCTGTGTATTGTGGTTCTAATGCAGGGCTTTGTGCACATTGCTTTTGTCGACACTTGATGGGAGGATGTAGATTCCATATACAATCCACTTTTCTCGGGATTCGTCGCCGTCAAATTGGTTGTCTAGGAGGTTCACGAAGCCGGTAACTGCAAAAGTCTGCAGTATTGCTTGCAGGAACAGAGTTTTCCATTGCATCAGTGCGCGAAGATCGGACAAAGCTACATCGCATGCTCGCTTCGATGTCAATCCTAATTAAGCAGAAGCCTTTCGTCACGTCATCGCCTGAACAACCGGTTACAAAACACGAAGTATGAGTACGTTTGAGATATTGGACTTTGTCTCCACCCATTCATGTGTACCTCGAATACACGCGTCTAGTACAGACTCTCTTATATACATACACAAATACAACAGTCATATGTTACGCGCCTTTCCTTCATCATACATATCTTACAACTCGGACAAGTACATTTTCTGCAGTTCATCTCCTGTTCTCGGCATCGTCTCGATAGCCCTGACTGTTTCTGGAGCAATCTGCTCGAGGACTTCTCTTACCCAACCACCCATATCGGGATTGAATCCCACGCCGTTCGCCTCCTCTTTTCTTACTTGCGCGTACGTAGCTGCTAGTACGACTAATGTCTTATATCGTGGCAACACGCTCGTCCTCTTCAGATCGTAGTGTCGCAATTCCATGTACGAGTAACCAGGCTGGAAGTGCCGGATGTAGACAGGAGAAAGAGCTGCCCAGCCGGGGAATTGCGGCATGAGGTACATTTCGCAGGCGGAGAAGGCATCGACGACGCGGTCGCGGGTCGCGAGGTGCTGAATAACTTCATTCCAAGTGAGGTTGTCGATGATGAAGCCGTTGGACAGTAGATTGTTGACTGTACGCTGGGCTTGCTGCAGGGTCTCTGGTACGTCTTGTGCAAGTAGCGAACGGATGTAGACCCGCGAAGCACGAAACAAAATCTGGCGCCGGTTCATCGCAATGCGCGACGAATTGAAGCGTTCCAGGACACTAGGATCGGTGATGGAATCGAACTCTGGTGTTGGTGGTGAAGGATTCATGACCTGGTGGAATGTTTTGACGAGACGACTGGCTTCCTTGTGGGCGAGCTCCCAACATCGCTCTACGTCAGCGTACTCGCCGGCTTTGTAATGCGTTTCCATGATGGCGGTGAGCAATGTGATGGGAGCGGAATAATTCTGCTCGTCCAATGGTGCTTTAGATGCCTTTTCGAAAAGCTCCTTTGCTATCTCTAATGCACCGCGGGCTGTGTAAAGCATAATGAGTACGGCGAAGTAGCTTTGGGGAATATTACTCATTTCGGGCGCATCGATGTAGCGTTTGAGCGTTGGTTCATCGTTGGCGATCTCGTGACCGTAGTCAGACATTAGACTCTCTCGCAGTTCTTCTTCCACGCGGACCAGTCGAGCTCGTTTATCCTTCTCCTTCTTCGCCCGTAACTCTAAGAGATCCTTGGTACCCGTATAGAGCAATTCCATCTGGCGCAAACTTGGAGTATGGTTGATACGCACATTCTTCATCTTGTTGTACGCCGCCTTCGCTCGGACAGGTTGGTTCTCCCGTAGGTAACCGCTAATGCAGAGTGCGTAGTGAAAAGCATAGGCCCGGACATTTTCTTTTGGCATTGTAACTCTCAAGATTTTGAACGCCGCATTTGTCTGCCTGGCCTCTACCAATGAGCGCATGAGAGCTCCATATGTCCAAGAATCTAGAGGTATGTCGTTGGTTTTCATTTCATGGTAAAGGCGTCGGCTGTCGGACAAGCGCCCGGCTAACGCATGATGAGTAATGAGCATGTTCCATACGTGGGTAATTTCAACATCGCCCAAGGTACCAGCTTTCCAACTGTTGAGTATGCCTACGGCGATCTGCTCAGCACCGTCTGAGTCACCAGCGTTTAAGAACGCCTGGACATATCCTGATCTGGCGCGACGATCGGTTTCGACAGGGATGTTGAGCTGTTTTGCTCTGGAGAAGAGAGCTTCAAAAGCTTCAACGTCGCCCCTCGCAGCACATAAATCCAGCATGGGACCAAACGTCCATTTGTCAGGCTTGGCACCAGATTCTAGACAATTGTTGAAACATTCCAGAGCTCCATCAAGATCATCCGCGCGCGTGAACGCAAGTAGTAGAGCGTTCCAACATGCCGTGTCTGGCACCAAGCTGAATTCATCAGTAATTCGTCTGAATTGTTGAATTGCGCCCGGCACATCGATCCGCCGGGCATAAGCGTAGGGCAAGGCGACAAGAATGCGCAAATCAACTGCAGATGCGAACTGCGTCCGGAGGATCTCGAAAATCTCGTGAACTCGACCGATCGAACCACCCCTAGCATAGAAACGTATAAGGGTATACAACACCGGCACATTGAAAGGCTGGCTTGAGTGGAACGATCGAAGATCTTCTACCATGGCGTCGACTCGATCGTAGCTAAGATGTCTTGCATGCTGTATAATGATCTTGTTGATGAGAGAACGCGACGGTGCTCTACAGTGCCCGTCTAAATGCTGCTGGCGCCAAGTCATGTACAAATCGAGGAATATCTTCCGCTCGTTCGTGTACCGCTGATAACGTGGCATGTCCAGGAAGGTAGGAATGATATACTCGTAAAGTGCCCAGATGGGAAGATTTATAGCGTGAAGGTCCTTGAAGAGACCAGTAAAGAAATCGTAGATGTAGTCTTCGTCCGGCTCGGGCGCGTTCACCACTTCCCACATAACGCCGGGGACATAGCCATGGACGAATAGGTGTAGGGCTCTTTTGTTCTCCTCCGTGGAGTGAAGTTCGTGGTGAAACTGGTCCACATGGCGGAAGAAATTGCGTAAATGCTCAACTGGCTCGAGAACATGTTGCGCCTGACCGAATATTGGGCCCCAATTATTCAGATGTCTTTGACCGTAGCCCTTCCACTCATTAATCTTGACGTGCTTACGATCTGCCGATCTTACAAATGCCTTGAAAACGCGGATACTGAGATCCCACTGATCGTCTTGGATGGTTTTTTTCAGCACGGCATCGATGCCGGTATGTGTCGGATCAAAGCGCTCAGAAGATTCTTCCAAAAGCTGTATTGCCGGTCCAATCATTTTAAGAGCCACATATGCATTGACAGCCATGCGATAGGACGATGCCCGCCGACTCTCCGCAGGAATGTGGTCAAACACTTGAAGTATCCGGGTTGCCGTACGGGAAAGATCCGACTCGCCTAGATAGTCGAGTATGTTGAGCAGGAAGTCCACAGATGGATTAGGTTCGACCAGCGCGCAGTACAACAGCCAGACAAGCTCTTGTTTACCAGGTTCGCCCGACCAAAGAAGCTTCCGGAGGGCCTCATCAGGCGTGCTCCGAAGCAGAAGCTCCTGCATCTCTTCCTTAGCCTGTATCGCTTCTACATCATCCACGGGTTCCTCGCTCGATGATTGCCACTGGGATGTGGAATACTGCCGTGTTCCACCACACAACATGCCCCTTCGGCGTGATTCAGCCACGTCCGCCCCATATTTAGATAACCTTCGGATGAGGGCGAGTGTTTTCTCGGGGTACAGAAACTCAAGGAGCGGTCCGTCGTAAGACCTCGCAGTCGATCTGCTCCGCCCGATATCGTCAACGTCACCGATGGCGCGACCCGAGGATGTCGAAGCAGCCCACCATGCGGGCAATGTCAGGTCGCTCGCGCCGTGGTGCCAGAAGGAGGAGTGGAGCATGCGTCGGGTCCGCAGAGATGAATTGGGAGCTCGGAGGAGCTGTCGGCCGCCGGATTCGAGGCATGTCGAAGCCCGCTCGAGCATCACCCGCCGCGTCAGGAGCGCAGCAGATGACGCCGCTAGGATTGCTGGGGTCTGTGGCGATGTGTGCGCGCAATGATTGAGAGAGAGGGCTGCGATCGGGAGCTCAAGACACGCGAGAGGAGCTCGCAGCTTCGCATGCCTCCTGGTGAGTGGCAACAGGGAACGGGGAGCGATTGGGAAAGCACAAACTCCGAAAATGCACAGTGCAAGAAAAGGAAGTATTATACAGGGGCGAAACGGCGGCCAAGGAGAGAACGTGGGCACGAAGAGGCGATGGCGTCGTTCGATATTATGGAACTTTTTCGAAGACGGATCACGAGATGACTAGAGCGGACTAGCGCAGGTCCACGACCGCAACACACGGTGCCCCTCCACATGCCACCAACAACAATCTGCGGCCATGGACATCACCAAATTCGTCGCCGAGTACCGGGAGGCTGCTTTCCTGGTAGGCGACTATGGCACCTATCGTGCCCAGCTGTCACGGCGCCTGCGAATTGTGCGCAAGAAGCTTGGTCGCGCGACCGCCAAAAATGCGAAATATACGGCGAAAGCTCCAGTGACGGCGGAGGAAGTAGGCAAGAACGTAGAGTAGGAGTACAGGTCGCGCAAATTCAAGTTTAGCTGCTGACTCCCGCAGGTTCCTGCACCTGTTGCTCCTCACCTCCGAACGGGCATGGGCTCATGCCATGTCCATGAAGAATTCCCACTCCGAAGACAACGCAGACCAGAATATCAGTGGTTCTACCCGACAGCACATAATCTCGCGATTGGATAAGGCCGTGCGATACGCAAATGACACGACAAAGCTGCTGTCTGATACGGCGGGGAGCGGAGCATCAGACATAGATGTGCTGGAGGCGCGGGCATACGCATATGCTCTAGCAGGAGCGCAAGAATTTGAGAAGCAGGCCGAGGGGACCAGATCCAAAGACTCATCAACAAAGCGCTGGATACCGTGTCTCAACAACTACTCCGCTGCCCGTGTCATATACAGCTCGCTTTTCAAGGCAACGAAGAAGGACCTGTTCAAGGAGGTGCTTGCTGGAACAACAGACCCCAGCATACGCTATGCTGCGTACCAGCACCGGTTACCCCGCACTGTTGGCGTGCCCTCGGTCGCGAAGAAGTTCTTTCCGAAGGATGATGCAGACCTAGTCCAGGCAGTAGAAAAGCTCGACCCTGCAGCTTTGCAGGATGAGGAAACCACAGCCTCCAGTGAGCACTACGAATCAAAGACACTGTCTCATGGCTAACATCCAATGCAGGTTCCACGATCACATGGCGGGGGCGGACTGCAAATATAGTTGATGCCGCGATTGGCCAAGCCCTTGTATCGCTCGAATCTGCGACTTCGAAGCTGGCTGAGGTCCTTCCCGCATCGACTTCTACCAAGGATCGAGCCAACGCCTACGATGATGTCGCAATATACACACAGGACGCTGCTGACGCAACACGAAGAGCGATCGAGGAGCTTGAAAAAGAGGGTGTAGAAGAAGGCGACTCGCGGATGCAGGATCTACGTGTTACAAGCCTCGCAGTGAACTACGATCTCATTGCCTGGCGTGTTGGCCGCTACAGGGTGCTGATGGGCACGGATGATGGCCTTACCTTCCCTCCAAACCCTCCACAGAGACCAAAGCGAGCGCGCAAAGATGGCAAAGAGTGGGTGGACCGAGAGGAGCCAACTGGTCGGAAATTGGCCCGGCTGCGAGAACGTGTTGCCTTGTACGACGCAATCCTCCAGAGCATCGATTCTGTCAAGGACCTGAGAGGTGCTACGCGCGATGCTGGCTTCGTGGCTGAGCTGGAGGGGCAGAGGGCGTATTACCAAGCTTTAAAATGTCTGAATCTCTCACACTCGCACGCATTTCTTTCCGCCCCGAGACAGGCGCTTGCACTCTGCAACCGCGCCTTGTCGCTTGCTTCACAAGCTGTCAGCTCTCCGAAACCTACCGCCACACCGTCAGACGCACCAAAGCTCACTGTCTCTGACAGTCAGGCGCAAACGCTCAAGCAGAATCTCGAAAACCTCACTCTACATTACCGTGGCCTAGTGGCTCTGGCGCAATTATCTTCCAATTCGGACGTTGCTTCCAAAGCGAATCTCACGAACGCTGCTCCGGTTGTAGAAAGGGTGAACGAATACCCGACCTCGGGAAGCGTCGACCTCAAGAACCTGGTTACATGGCCGCCCAAGCTCAAACCGGTGCCTGTGAAACCTCTATTTCTGGATGTGGCATGGAACTATGTTGAATACCCTGGGCAGCAGAAGAAGGTCCAAGAAAAGCCTGCAGAAAAATCACAGGCAGAAATCATAAAGGTGGAGGAGGCGAAACCAACGAAGAAGGGTTGGTTCTCGTTTGGAAGGTAGTTGAGGTACACGTAGGCACGCCGCAGGGGCTGCACAGAGTCAAATCTCGTGATCCTGGGCGGTTTTTATTGAAACTTTACGCCCGCATTGGTGAGGCTGCACGGGACCACGGTAGCCAGCAAAAAATTCGCCCAAGGTGAAGAGTCGGCTTCAAAACCTTCAGCTTCTATGATGTGCACATGAGGTGTTTGTCCGTTCAACGTTCACGATAGCTCGTCCGAGCATGGACGGATGGCATTTGAAATGCGACTCATTGGACACGACGCGTGACGCACGGGCATGGAATGATGGCCGTTGCTTGTTGTGGGGTTGGTTCTAGCGCGCAGAATTGTTTGCATGCCCCTGAACTCGATCGGATAAGCGCCGAAGCTATGCGGGTACCTAGGCGCCTTCGGACATGGAGCTGGGAACCTGTCTCATAGAAACGACGAACAGTCGACAGCCTTGAGGGTGCTGAGTTGCATCAAGCTGGCGGTTCGGCTGAATCGCAGGGCGCCGACTGGCTCTGTTTCGATGGGTGGCTTGCACCAAAGGGGTGGCCTGGGTGTGCTCGCTGGATTGAAGGGGATCGCGGACGCGGCGATCTCTGCACGACAAACGTAAAACGGGCATTCTCAAAGAAGACTGGAGGCGCTACGAGGTCTTGTGAGGTCATGCAGGTCACCAAATTGGTTCTAATTACGCTGGGTTGGTGCGCGATAGTGCTATCGACACCCCTAGCATACGGGCTTTGACCCCTTAAGCTTATCCCGCAAACGCGAAGAAATGCACCCTGTCCCTCACTTCTGCTCTGTTGCTTGAGTCCTACCACGCTCTTTTGCACCTCCGCTCGCTCGAGCACCTGTCGTTCTTTACAAACGCTCATTTGATCCAATTCATTCGCTCCTTCTGCGCTTTGCCCGCGTTGTGTTGAACCAGGCACCTCCGCGTCTCCAGAAGCACATCTTCGACACTCAGCACATTCGCGAGAGACGTCCTCGTTTCTCGCTCTAATACAGCACGCCTTCCGCAACGCTGGCTACATCAGTCCTTCCGCGGCCTCAGGCCAGCGAGACGTTCCGCCGACCCTCGATCCTGCAGGTGTTCGACCTGCCCGCTTTCAAAACGGCGCCCACGTTCGACAACGACAAGCCCTCTCTGCCGTCGATCGGCCATGAGATCTCGCGCCCGTCCTCGACGTCGACGATAGCTTCCTTTTCGACCCAGAACCAGCGGCACAGCAGTCACGCCTCGATCCAGCTGCCCGCCCTGTCCGCACTCGCATCGGCAGCGGCGCCCAGCCCCGCAGTCAGCAAAGACAGTAACGATTATAATGACAGTAATATGAGCGCACGAACACCGCCGATTAATGTGTCGCCTCCACAAAGGTGCGTGCAATTGATGCCGTGGGGAGACGTCGAGTGGTGCCTTCCCTGAGCTTGGAACTGCCCACCAGTAGCGCCTTCCCTTCTTATCGCTCTTGGCGCCGCCTCGAACTTTTCATTTCGACACCTCGCTGACCGCTGTGCAGACTTCCTGGCCACAGCATGACTTACGCAACCGCCGCGCCCGCCACTGCTGGCGGAAATGCGAATTCTCCGGTACGCTCTCCTTGCTGACGTTGTCATGGCCGTGCACCTCTCGTGCTGGTCTCGCCAAAATATGTCTTATCGATTCTTATCGATTGCGTACTGACTGTTATCAGCCAGTCTGCCAGAACTGCACCACGAGCACCACGCCGCTCTGGCGACGCGATGAGTCCGGCTCCGTGCTGTGCAACGCCTGCGGCCTCTTCTTGAAGCTGCACGGTCGTCCGCGCCCCATCTCCCTCAAGACCGATGTCATCAAGAGTCGCAACCGGGTCAAGACGGGCGGGCCTGGTGCTCGCAAGAAGGTATATGACTTTCTATATGCTTACTGCAAATGCTGATTTCTGTCTAGCCTGGCGAGATGAACGGTCTTCCCGCCGCTCACCCTGATGCCGACGCCTTCCACGGTCTTGCACAACATCGTCGTGCATCTGGCAAGATCTCCTCCGGTCTTTCCGATCGGTCACAGTCGCCAATTTCACGCACTGGCACTCCCGGCTTCCCTCACCCATCCAACATCGCCCCCCAGCACATGTTCGACGGTGCCCTGCATGCCGATTTCCACTCCCCTTCTCTGCCAAACTTTGGCTTCCGGCAACCCTCACCCGGCGCAATGTCCTTGTCTAACGGCTCCCACATGGAAGCTCCGCCGCCATACGACACCCTAGCCGCACAAAATACTGCCCTGAAGACCCGCGTATCCGAGCTAGAACTGGTTAACGACCTGTTCCGAGGGCGTGTCACTGAGTTGGAGACAAGCGAGCAAGCCGCACGAGGACGGGAATCGCAAATTAGGGCTGAGCTGGAAGAGGCCAAGCAGCGGGAAGCAGGTCTAAAGAGGCGGTTGGAGGAGCTAGAAGCTGAAGGCGCCGAAGGCCCACGGCACAAGAAAATGCGAATGAGCGATCTTGTTGATGAGAGCCGTGCAGGCTCTCCGATCAGCTCTTTGACGGAGTGAAATCCCTCAATGACCTGGTTTTGCTTAATCGCAACTTTAACGACATGTTATGCACGCTTAATTGGGATCATCATTGTGGCCTCAAGGGCCATGAGCATGGGTTGCCAGCTTCCGGTCGGAAGTGGACAGCAGGAGCTCATCGACCCCACATTACCCTTTCTTACTCTGTTAAAGAGCTGTGCGTCGACGCTCAAAAGCTCGCCTTAGGTCGCCTCGACCACTTAATGTTTCAATACCACCACCGAACCGTGTCCATGGTTCCTGTACTCTAAGACTTTTCTTCTTTTCCGTTTGGTGGCAAACCTCAGGGTTTTCTGGGGTTGTGGATGTGTCGATGCTTTGGTTGCTCTTGTAGAAGGATGGGCATGGTTGAAATGGCGGTCAGGTTTTCGGACGAGGCATGAGATGGCTTCCAAAAGTTTATCTGGAATAGTGAATGGGATACGCTGTAACGTCAGTATTGAGCTTTGCTTTTGCGGTGCGTTTGCTTGTGCGTATGATTGTGGTCTCGCTCCTTACAGGCAGGCAATGCATCGGGATTGAGTCCAGTCGACTGCAGTATCATTTGTGAGACCAGGTTTAGAAGAAGCAAGAGGCATACCTTCAAGGTACCGCCCTACCACTTATCCGCAGTGTTCGAACCTGGCGGGAAATGGGGCCCAAGCGATTGGTGCGATTCGCCTTGAATGGAGGATGAATAGCCTGGCTAGCTAGCTGTCAGCCATTCTCTATTGTATCAGCTCATCCTCGGTGTACGAATGGGTGGTGTAATGGCAGATCCAGAAGATGAAGTGAGCGGTAGCGGTGCGTATCACACGGTCGGATTGCACGCTATCTGGAACCGTAACAATACGGACAGGAACTCGCGCAAATCTTGCTTACCAGGGGGTATTAATACGGGTGTTGTGCCGCTGATGCAGGGATGTGTGACGAGTTTTGTAAAGGTGGTTGGATCCGAATGTGGGGAGGTTGACCGGGGCGCCGAGGTGGGAGAAGGCGGTTGATGGGCGGACGCTGAGGATTGGGGTTGCGAACGTGATGGGTATGAGAGACTTGGAGGAGGTTGAGGGGAGAATATTTGGGAAGAGGTGTAGAGTGTCGTGGCCGGTGGCTGGGACCTTGGAAGTTGCGCTCCTGGAAGGGACGAGAGTTGCTTTGGCGGAGGTTGAGAAGCCCGATTCAAGTTAGGTTCGAGTTCTGTAGGGTTTCTGACATGAACACGAGCACTACAGGTTCCATTCGGCCACATGCGCCCATTATGGTATCAGATCAGAGGGTTTGAAATCAGATTCAACTTGGCTTTCAGGATAGGTAAATATTATGAGTAAAAGGGAACACCATCATGTCCAAGCCTTGATCGCAGCCACGCTTTATGTAGACAAGATTTGCTCTGTAAACAGTTATCAAGATAGCAGTGAGGCGCAGTGGTGTTTTCAGTTCTCTACTTCTGATACCGCCGCCGACTTATGCTACCTATGTTCGAACGTTGACCACTTGATCAGGAAGGAGACGTCATAACAGACTATACTGGCACATTGTAAGTGTATGGCCTTGAAGGAATAAGGTTCGAATGTGGTACTCACGGGTATGCCGAGCTATTTCGTTTCATTGTAAACTCTGCTTCAATTCCTTCACAGTTTTCGCCCCGTAGCTTCGTAGGATCTCGATAATTGTGGTAGCATCTCTGCGGAGAGCGATATCGAGTGCCGTTGAGTTGCGATCGCTGTATATTATCGTAGCGTTGACATCAATCATTGGGTGATCGAGTAATAGCCGGATGATATCGAGATTACCACGCCGCACAGCCATGGACAACGCCGTGTCGTCCCAATCAGCAGGTTTCGCATTCACATCAATTCGGGGATAGCGAAGCAGCATCCTGATTATCTCATGATTACCCTGTTTCACCGCCTCAGTCAAAGGCGCTGATGTAGAAACGTTGATCTTTGGGCACGAGAGCAATAGCTCCACCATCGAGAGATGATTGTGTTTGACAGCCTCGTAAAGAGGTCTTCCGCCCATAATAACACTGGGATGCCCTATAAGTAGTTCCATAGTCGTTTGGTCGCCATTTCCCGCGGCAATTTCTGTGGGGAGAAAGTTTTGTCCCTTCCCAGCATTAACGTCGATGACAGGACTCTCCATAAGTCGCTTTGCGAGATTGCTATAGCCCAACGCAATCGCCCAGTTGAAAGGATTTTGCCAAGCATCAACCTGATAAGCTGGTAGAAAAGAGATATCTCTGCGAATCAGATCCAAGGCCTTATCCTCATTGCCCTCGGCAATCTCTCGAAGAAGGGGACTTATAAGATCATTGTGTTGCACCCTATGATCTTGTAGGAGGATCTGACCCATACGATATTGACGGAATTTCATGGTCAAGTGGATCTCCTCCTTTGGCCACGGATAACTACCGTCGAACTTTAGCTCTTTTTGAGCAAGTAGAAATCTAACCATCTCCTCGTGGCCGAATATTAACGCGACTTGGAGAGGTGTTGCACGATATATGGATTCACCGCGGAGCCGTAGGAGTCTTTGTGCGTTGATATTGGTACCTGGGTAAGTAAGAAGTAGCCGTAAGACTTCTACATTTCCACTCTCTGCCGCGATGTGTAATGCGGACGTTCGCCAGGAACCTCCCTGGGTAATCTTGAGGTTTTCATGACTAAGGAGTAGACTCATGATCGCCGGGCTCTTCCTCGCGGCCAAAAGTAGCAATGGTCGGTCGCCCTGATCAATGACTTGTTTGCCGAAATGCTGAATGAAAGCTCCGATTGCGCTAACTTTCTCGGACTGGATAATGTAGGGGGCCAATATGTCGGGACTGGAGATGCTACCATTCGAATCGCAATTGTTCCGCATGAGGACACTCACAACCTTCCAATTACCACCTAGTGCTGCTTCATGTAAAGGAACTCTACCCTTTCCGTTGTACTCCTTGGATGATACGCCTAGCGAAAGAAGATATTCTACGGCTTGCACGTTTGCAGCCCTCGCCGCTGCATGCAGTGCGTTGGAGCCATCAACTCCAACCGAACATATATCTGCACCAGACTGGCGCAGTCGTTCCAGCAGAGCGATATTTCCAGTTGCGGCCGCGCGAAAGAGAGAGATAGCATTATGTTCATGGCTGATGTTTCCAGCAATAGTCTCCCCGGTCGACGACAGCTCAGTAGGATGACGTTCTGTGGCCTGGTTGGAACCAAGGAACGACCTGGAACCAAGCTTATGCGATTTCCGCATATGCTGGGGTAAGTTATCCTTACGTGTCGCTTTGAAATTGCAACCAGCTACCGTGCAGGGAAACATTTGCTGTGCCACGCGATGTCGTGATGTTTCATGGCGAGCGAGGTCTCTTCGGAGCGCGAAGCCTCTTTGACATTGGTTGCATCGAAACGGCTTCACGTGTGTGTTCTTATGCTGACTTACGCCCCCGTCAGTACAGTCTACGTCCACTGAAATGGCACTCACGTGTAACGTCTCCGCTCGCTAAACGTTCTTGAGCAGACCTGACATTGGAAGACTTCACTGCTCCAGATAGGCTGTGAAGCGACAGCAGGCTCCATGAGATATCAATAGGTTTGCCGTGTCCGCAGTTTTAGGATAGTGTATCAACAGCGCGGCGTCGAGTGTGCACTCTATGTAACCTAGGATATGCTGTATAAAGGACAACTGTACGCAAGCTCCTGACTAGCTACTGTATATAACGCACTGCCTTCGAAGGTACGACCACTGCTTCTTTAACAGACAACCAATCCTCCAATGGCTTGGCGTAGGGCACCAACAAGTCGAATGATTGGCTGATGCGTAAACCCGAATGCAGCTCACCAATAACACACTGTCGCGTAGGCCTTCTGACCGTCACCTGCTCGGCCTGATTTGATAAGTAGTCCGGAGGCTCCCAACCCGACAGACACCTTCGACCAAGACACGATTGCATCTTCGGAAACGTCTCCCTGTTCCTCCCGAGTACTTCATCGCTGTACGCTTCCACCTATATCTCCCGATCAGCCACCTGCACCATCGGGAGTAAGGGTTTCTGAATCTCGAGGAAACACCAAGCCCTTTCCCCTGGACGTCCATTCCGCACAGAAATCTTCAGATTTGGCGATATGTCGTTCGCGAAAACACGAAACCTTTCACACGAGGCTGAGCCGTGAGTTTTTTTTTTTTAACATCATGCAGTTATGCCTTTTGGAATTGTGTGCAGCAGTTGGGGGCCGTGAAGCGTGCGGCCAGTCAGACCCCAGTCAGCAATGCAAGTCCAGGGCAACCCCTGCAGTATCCAATACAGAACAATCTGGGCACCAACGTCAGACCATGCTTTGCAGTGCCAGATGCTGGTACGAAAATCGGACTTGACAACGCTCTCACGGTCGATCATTTCCCCTTCGCCTTAGTCAATGGCATCCAACCCGATTCGAGCCGAAATTCCTGTCCTCTTTATGGGCCAGAAGGACTGGTCCGAGGTATTCAGTCTGGCTGCAGTGATGACTACCTGGCTCATGGGACCGGAAACGCGCAACGCAATTACAGTGGAGCAAATGCACCTTTCCGGAGCATCCAGCCACACGAGGCATATGCCGGATCAGGTGTTCCTCTCGGAAATATCAACTTTACCGCTGGGTATGGCCCGACACATACCGGTGGCTTCCAGCACATGGATAACAACCTTGAGATGGCCATGTCATCTGGTATCAGTCCACAACTTCCAGACAACGGCTTCCAACTCACGAGGGAAGAGCATGGACAGGACTGGTACGCACCGTCTGGATTCGAGTTGCAGGATCTGGAGAACATCAACTGGTCTGGTAATTCCGGTATGCGTGATTTGAGGCAGCTCGCCCCCTCTACCAAGGGCTTAACGCCTCAGCCAGCCACCCCCAATACGAACGTCCATCGTTGCGACGTTCCGGGGTGCAACGCAACCTTTGGCCGTCCGGCTGAATTCCGTCGCCACAAGCGCACTGTTCACAAGCGACTTGGGGCGCCTGAATTCCAGTGCATGGTACAATCTTGCAGCTACACGTATCCACGTCTCGACAAAGTGCGTGAGCACATGAGGAGGGTGCATGGAATCCGCATCCAGATGGAAAAGGCTTGAGGATGCTTTGGTTGCACGGTTTGATCGCGCTTTCCTTTCGCCGTTCTCTTCTGTCACTTGTCTCTGTTTTCAGTCTTTACCGATTGTCTCCCCAGACGTCCGCTCCTTAGGTAGTCAGTAATCTATTGTCTTCTTAGCATCTGACACGTCCCAATCGTCGACTCTTCCCTAGCCAATGTCCAAATTCCCGGCGGGAATTTTCCACGTCACTGGGTGGCGTGCGCCTCGTCGGTATCAGGCTGAGGTGTTGCGTTGACCGGTCCTTCAGCAGCCTTGCGTCCAACCCTGCCACGACGCACCAATCTTGCTAGAGAGCGCCATCTTTCTAATCGTACCTTTAACCCTCTCTTAGACGGAAGACAGGCCTAGGCTCGGAAAATCATTCGTGTATGTGCTGCGTTCTCGCACTGGCAGTTCAATGGACGTTGCCCTACCGTATTGAGCTAACGTGATGGGGTATAGTCACGTACTAGCGTCCCTTGTGCCTTCACTCTTATCAGTCGTGTCAGTCTCATCACGTCCTATCCTCACCCTCTGGCTCTTCTTCCAATGATGGCACACTGTACCGATCCCGGCCTCAATTCCCAGCGATGGATTTTCCACAGGGCACAATAGGGGGGCCGCCCGCGTTTGGTGGCTTGCAGGAGAGGGCACCTAGCTGACCTCTAATTGGATCAAGGTGCCCTCTCGCACTTCTATCCCTGCAACAGCTCGAGGACCGACGCAGGAAAAGATTTTCAGCTCAGCCGATTGCTTGTGCAGGCTCAGTTCGCTGCATTGCAACGTGGCACCGTGGTTTCACAATCGCAGCATACAACCATTTCCACATACCATGAGATTCGACAGTCAGCGTGGGTGAAGGCTGCGATATTAGTGTTCCGAGGCTCTTCAGAATTACTCTGCTCCGCTCGCATCTTCATTACGTCGTTCTTTGCTGTGTAGAACTGCACTTAGTATCAAGTAGTTGATGAGGTACATGACCAACACTGACTAGGCCCATGAGGATATAGTAGCACTGGATCGGAATAAGTGATGAAAACATAAGGTCCTCTAAGTGCATGATGAGGAATAGGACAGTTGGAATGACACATGCAAGCGACGGTCACTTTGAAGCGTAGGAGATATTTTGCCGATGAGGTTCGTCAACGGCTGAGCCTCCAGCTCGCCAGTTTCACAATTCCCTGGTTTCGTTACATTGAGGTGCCGGAGGTAAAACGAAAAGGATTCAGGAAGACGACAGGAGCAATTCGAAAAAGAGAAGAGGTAAGAACGCTATATTGCAATGCTAGAAGAGTAAAGACTGCTACATACACCACTGCACACAACATCCATCGTCATCACTCTTTAGAGTCTTACGAACATGCTTCCGCCACTGCTCTGGCGTTCCTGCGATCTGCGCACCGACATCGACCAGCACTTTGATAATTGGTGGGTGCCTGAACCCGGGGTACCGAGCGCAATGGTGATGGCTGCACGCAAAGGAGTTCCCCTCTTAGCTTGTGGACCTCCGTGTAAGTTTGCGAATACACCGAGTCAGAACAAGAAGCGGATCATTGTCACTTACTGCAGCCTAGAGTTCTGTACGATAATATATACGCCGTTTCGCGTTTACGTCCGCTCCAATGTCCAGTAGCAAGATTACCAGTTTCTCCTCGTTTGTCCAAACCGCAACCTGAAGGGCGTCGCCCTAGTCAGGACATGGGCCATTGACATCAGCACTATGCATGAGCAGCAGCTGTATAATCCCAAGCCAATTTCTTTCGGTGAGTTTCTGTGAACTTTTCTGAGTCGGCTTCTCCTGCACCTGTAGCTGCTTGCAGTGCTGTAGCGTCTTCATCTTAAGCGCGTCCTCCCACACCTGCTCACCAATCTCGCAAAGGGTACATGCGCCAGCGACTTCTCCCACTCCAATCATTTAGAACCCTTCAAGTCTGAATAACTGACGTACGCTCCTTTCTGACCGTATTCTTTACGCCATAGATCCGGAGACTCCGCAGCGGCCCAGCTTGTCAAACAGTTAATTTTGTTCCTTTAGACCGACAGTCTCCTCTCTCGCTTCGAGCCTTGAGCAATCTTCTTCTTATGCGTCGTCAAGGAATGATCAATCACCTCTCGAGGGTGATATAATGCGTTCTTTCCCCCTCACGGTAGATCAGCGGCGTGAACACATCAATAAGACGCAAGAGACAATACACCACTCCTCTTCTCATCCTGTAACGCCCTTCTCTGCCCAGGACATTCTCGTCTCGAATGGGAAGCTAGCCATTGAGGGCTGTCGCTGTAACGCTGCAACGGGAGTTCCTGTAATCTCATGAATCTGCCTTTCCAACGATATCTTATCACGTAATTGCTTGCCATGGCTAGAGAAGAAGAGAACCGTCGGGGGGAGCGACTAACTATTGCAAAGTCCAGCCACGCGTGAACCACCGGCTCTTGCGTAAAGCTAGTTCCCACGTGGTTTGACCATGATTTACCTCTCCCAAGTTGATATATGTAGGCACACATAGCATTTCGCAGCATCCTGGTACCAGCGAAACATACTGTGCCTCTATGAGCTCGGCTTGCTCGACTTCCGGATACAGCAAGTGTCTACCCAAAAGTAACGGAGGCCGTCTTTCGCAGCTTGATGTGCGCAGAACTGGAGTTCCTTGTACCCAGGTTCAGTCTTCCAAGACTCGTTGAAGAAGTGTTCAAAAACTATCTCCTCTCCATTGACCTGGGACAAAGTATGCGAGAGAATCGCATATGCAGGGACGTTCGTGCGAAATTGCTCCGTCAGGCTGAAGTCATCCTCTCCGTTCATCTTTAAAAGACGCATCCTGGCTGCTTCGAATTTGGACAGCGCTGCTTGGAGAAGTAGCGGATTGGAGACTCGTCCTGGCCAGTGCCAGGGCGGTTGTTGAACATTATGCCATGTTCTCGAGTGCATGAGCATACCCAGGCTGAAAGATGAGCCACGCAGGTAGACGCCACAAAAAGGGGTCCTTACTCTTGAGCTTCGCTCGTGCTGCGTGACCCATGCATATTGGACTTTGAGAAGATCAATACAATTTGAAGGGGAGCGCTAAAGAATGCGGGAGGAACGGCAAGCATATGCATCAATACACGCATTTGCTTCCTGATTGTCAATTAGCATGCAACAACAGCATGCTTCTTCTGCTTATAACGAGTCATAATACACGTTTCACAGTCTACATGCACCAATGCGTTCCCGTCGATATGTACATTCCAGAGCTCTGAAGCTCTGCCCACCATAGCATTGAGAGAGGATGCCTAGTCTATCATGTCTATCGCTCATGGAAATGGTCTCCGTGACCAACGTTAGCTATCACTGTTCCGTGCGTCAGCCCCACTCACCCTTTTATGACCATGGGGCCTCCACTCCACCACCTCACGGCTGCTGCGGACCCTTCGTCCCCGGTCCCCCATTCCTCTCCCAATCAATCCACGACCCTCGATATTCACCCACATTCTCATACCCCGCCTGCTTCGCCAACTGCGCCGCCGCACTACTCCTCACGCCCGCCTTACAAAAGAACACGACCATCTTCTCCCGCGGCGGCTTCTGAAACCCGAACCTATCCTGGAAGTCCTCCTCGCTCAGCAGCAGCGCGTCCGGCTGCGATGTGATGGGCACGTTGAGGCTCGTGGGGATGCTGTTGGCGGCATATTCGGCGGGCTCGCGGACGTCGATGAGGAGGGTGCTGTCGCTGGGGGTTTCGACTATGGAGAGGACCTGTTCACGTCAATTTCCGTACGGACAGTGCGGATGCAATTGAAGGAACGCTGGAGGATGTGAATGTGAACGTGGGAAGGGACCGCGGAGAACACACATCTTTGAATTCGTACACCTTGCTGCGCTTGTCGGATGGGAATCCGGAGTGCTGCCTCTGCTGCGTAAAGCCGACCTGCACTCTGGCGACATTTCTTGCGATTGCCCGCTGCGAAGCGGCGCTCTGCGCGGTGAACCGGGTAGCAGCAGCCCTGGTCGCGACAGCCTGCGGGGCGCGCAGAGCGAGCAATTGAACTGCTCGCCTCGATGCCATTATAGGTGTACTGAGTCAGGGAACTGTAGCGGAATAGGCGCAAGAGCTCAACTGGTAAAGAAGAATGCAATCAGCTCTCGTTGTGGAGTTGTGGAGTTATGAAGCTCCGCCCGCACCGGAATTCGCAACGGCCTCGGGCCCACGCGCAAACGTCACCTTTCGTAAACCAACGCACGTGCTCGTGGCATTTTCGGAGTTGGCCGCCGAGCTCGGAGCTCGGAACTGCATTCACTGTTCACCAAAGATTATGTAAGGGGTCATTGTAGTGTGGGTATAACTTGTGCTTGTATTTTGCGAACCTCCCTCCTATCCTGATAAGACCAATTCATCACATTCCCACGACACCCACCGCCATCAGACGTGACGCATGCCCTTCGTAAAGAGGAGAGAAGCTGCACCAAGACTTGCCACTTTATTGTCCCAAGTATACCATCCATTTCCGTACACCATCGCCAGGAATCCGTCTCACCACGGATCCGGGTATCATCCATTCCATCCCCACCAAAGCGAAAACATGAAAATCCAAGGCGAAAGCAGCAAAGAGCAGCAAATTGGTATATTTCTTTTGGCGCCGACCTGGGGGAATCATTGCTTGCACGTCCGCGAAACGCCTGGAACAACAGCAAAATAAAAGACATAACAAGATCCAAATAATTGCAGAAACACGCATATATAATAGAACAGTGCGAGCAAACCAACCGAAGGCTTTTGTAATTCGCCACAGGGGTATAATTCTTTTGGTTGAGCGTTGCTACAAGTCCGGAGCTGGGGTATTTATTTGTCATAAAGCCCGGTACAAAGTTGGGAAATGGTGTATCGTTTAACGAGGAGGGCCAATAGGGCCCGGGTATCCAGATGCAGAATGAGAAGTAGAGGGGCGCCCGCTGTCGACCGACGCCCGCGGGTCGTACCTGGGAGTCACATCACCAGGCACCGCCGAAGAGGCCCCAAAGGGAAACTTGCTTTCAAATCGCGGCGTTGGCATCGGCCAACTGTTAGTGTGGTGTTCATCGTCCGTGAGATTGATGCCACTATCATTCCAGGGGTTGCGGTAGCCGCTACCCTGGGACTCGAGACTAGCCAGAGAAGCCTTCGAAGCGTTGCTAGAAGCATGCTTAAAGAGAGACCCGGGAGAGTTGGTGCCGTTCCTGCGTGAGTTGAACAAGGAAGTGAAAGACGACATGCTGCCTGGCTTGCGGAGTCGATCCAACATGCCTGGGCGCTCCTCGTCACCGAAGTGAGAACGAGTGGGCGAATCAGTGCTATCAACGGGTGGCTCGGCACGCTGAAGTAGCTTGGATTCGAAAAAGGGCAGAGACTCCTCGAAAGAGTCCGACTTGGGCCGAGGAAGGGCTCCACGGATAGTGTTGGTATCGAGACCGTGCATAACGAGGTTGTTGATCAAAAAGTCAAGGGCATCCTTCAGGCCACCGGCATTATTCCTGGTGAAGCTGAGGTGAAGTGTCTCAATCTGCTGCTCCCTGCCGTCTTCAACAGTCTCCGTCTGGGCTTCCTTGACGTGAGCATCAACGACATGTTGATCCCTGAGCTTATCGAGAATGTCCGTCTTGAAGTCTGCAGAACGCAGATGTTCACCAAGCTCTTTTGAGGCTGGGAAGGCGAGATCATGTGTCTCAGGAACCATGCCCTAGGAGATGTCAGCTTCTTGCCGCTTCGTTGAGCATGTGGCATCTTACCAGGAACTCATCAACCGCCAATGGCACCTGATATTCAGGGCCAGAGACAGTGACAGTGTCGCTTGCTTCTTCGGTGCTTGGAAACGTGATCTTGCAGTTGAACTTCTTCTCCAGCTCATCGATCTTGTCCAAGCGGGCAATCAACTCACGATGGTACAGACGATTGATGTTGATGGTCTCGGAGACAAACTCAGCGTCAGCCTTCTCCACCATGTCCATAATTTCTTGCTTGACCAGATCGAGGTTCTGGGCATTACGTGCCGGAGTACGACAGATGACGTTGTCAACCTTGATGTCGTCTTCTTCCTTTCCAAAGCCTCCACGGTCCATCGCGTTGGAGAACTTCACGAATACAGAGTACTTCTTCATGATGCGCTGGATATGCTGGCCACCAATGCCAATAATACGCTTGTGGTACTGATCAGGCACATGGAAGGAGATGGCGGCAGGCATCTCCTGCTCGACAAGATCAAGCCCGTTCTTGGTAGCGTCATACTGAGCGCCGCGAACGACGATATAGAAGTTGTACTCGTTGAAGCCATCGAATACAATCTGTACGCTGCTGTGGCTCATGATCTTATTGATCTTCCCATTCTTCTTACCGCTAACGAATTCTTTATGTTCGTTGGCGAGCTCGATTTTGACACTCATGTTATATTGAGATTTCTTCACGAACGGAATGTTATTGATCACCATCATTGCGGCCTTGACAGCATCGTCGGAGCCGTAGATGTGGAAGTTCAGCTTTTCGAAGCTGATCTCTGCGCCAGAGTTGATGCAAATGTCTGAGAGCATAGCACGCACATCAGCAGCCGTGGGAGGGCGCTGCGAAGGGTCAGGGTGGGTGATGAACCATGAGGCGCTGTAGAATTGACCAGCCTATTCGAGGTAAGCATTGCATCACGCAGAAGTGGGCTGAGCATCTTACGAGAGCCATCAACTCGCGCACGGTGCGCTCGACATGGAGAACATCGGTGCCTTGAACACGGACGACACCGCGTTGCATGCCTAGTGGAGGCAAGAGAATGTAGGAACCATTGTTCTCAATGATCTTGCGCACCTTGTCGAGGCGCTCAAGCAGGATGGCATCCAGCTTCGTGTCCGTAACCATGACGGGCTTTACAAAGACCTTGGTCGACATGACCAAGTCATGAAGACGCTGCTTGGCCCTCAGGATGCATTCCGAGTTCTCACCAGTGATGTAGATCAGGTCATCGGGACGTCGCTGTGCGCCGGCCGGGGTGTAGCCAAAAAGGCGGGGAAATGGCGGCGGAAAGTAGATGGCGGTTCCTGTAGCAGACTCGATCAACTTGATGTTCTTGCGTCCGCGCCCGCAGATGAGCGTATGCATGGTCAGCTCCAGCTTCATTGTATCCACATATCGCTTGAGCTGTGACGATATCGAATTAGCTCTGTGCGCTAGTCGGCACAAACTGCGGGGCATCAAAACTCACGATTTGGTCGATCATGATGAGCACGCGCGTCTTCGCGTGCTCCATTGTCTCCATGTCGCCGTAAATGGCGCAGCGGAGACGCGAGTCCATGCCCGTCTCAAGATTACCGTTGAAGCTCGCCGACTCAATGTCAGGCTGCTTGGGCATCAGCACGAAGATGTCAGCTTTGGTGGTCTTGGCAATGAGGTCCAGCTGGTTGAGCACAGGGCCTTTGACATGCTGCGAGGTCCGGTCAATGATGAGATCGGAGTCGATGTCGACGAAGGACGAGCGCTGTGCACTCAGTCAGACTTGGCATAATGAAGCACTCCCGATGCAGCCTACCAGTGAGATGGGCGTCGAATTGAGCACCTTGCACCGCATCTGGTTCACAATCTCAAGCTCCCCGGACAGGCACACGTTTGTGACGAGAGCCCGCAGCGGCCCCCGCTGCAAGCCGGGTAGCGGCTTGGACTCGGCCGATACGACGACGGCGGCAACGCGCCCTTCTGTCTGCTCCTGCACCTCTCGGCACATGATGCGCAGGTTCTCGACGTTCTGTGCGTGTACGGGCAGCTTGTGGACCGGGGTGCCCTCAGCCGTGCCTTCCGGGAAGGTCCACCGCGCCTTCGCTCCCGGGCTGGCGTACATGATGTCGTCGACGTCGGGCCCCGCCAAGTTGGAGGCAAAGGGCACGTTGAAGGACAGATTGACCTGGGTGCCTGGCGGGATAACAGGCGGCGCCGAGGTCGCGGTGGACGGGCGCTTGATGGGCGCTGTGACGGGCATTTCGTGGTTGGATCTCGAGAACGGGAAGCCGGCGGACGGAGCCATCTTTTCCCAGCCGTGTCGAGCTTGGCCCGTGAAGTTAGATATCTTGTGCATAGCGGGGGGGAGAGGCGCCCTGGGGGAGTGTCGGGCGGAGGGTGATGGGAGGAGAGCGAGGGAGACACGAGAGGTCGAGGTCTGTCCCAGCCAGCCCAGAGGCTGATGGCCGCTAGACTAGCAGGCTCGCAGCAGCACGGTCCCTCCGCCGATAGAGCGCCCACACAAAAGCAGGCTCAGGGCGCTCAGCGTCGCAGCAGCGGGCAGCAGCCAGTCTCAATGCGTCTCTGCGCGCTGCCTCAGACGCTGCAAGACGTCGAATCGCGCGCCCACCGCCCGCAAGCAGCGTTGTTTCAGCGCTGCGAGTCTGGAGATCTTCGCAGAGGCGGCCTGTGGCGCCCGCCGCTGAGGAGACATGGAGGCCCGAAGCGGCCTAGGCGCATCGAGCGTTGATGACATGCGCCCACACAGGCTTGAGCTTCTTCCCAGTTCCGTGGCCGTCACGCTGCGAGCGAGCGACCTGGCCCAACACTTCGCAGGCCGTCTGATCGCTGTGCTTTCCAGCAGAAACGACGTGCGCTCCCGGTCCAGATCGTCCTGCTGCCGCGACGTTTCACTTGCAACGTCCCGAAAACATTCATGCGACAGCTGCAGCCTACACGCAACACATGCCCGGCAGCTCGAGGTCACGTTGTCGCTTGTGCATGCCAACAGTTTCCTGCGCCTGTTCCCGTTTCTTTCGCCGTTGTGCCTCGCGAATCGGCCCATCCGTCCTCGGCGCCCATGGCAGTGTCACTCTTCTCCCGGAAACGGCGAGACAGGTGTGCTGACAATGAAGCGGCAGCACCAGGGTACAAGGCCTGGCTAGGCAGGCTGTGCCGTAAGCGAGTAGTTCACAGCTTTCTCTTGCTTGAGCTTTGAACACGGCAATTGTTTGCATCGACTGACAGTCATCTCTATACATCGCTCGGACTTGTGCAGCTGTAGGTTCTACAATGTACAAACTTGTAATCTATCCCGTCTATCTTGCTGTGGGCCAGGGTACCGAGCCCACAGGTGACGTTTACACATGCTACCCGTGCGACGAGCCCCAGCTCAAGTGATGAAGTCAGGGGTGGCTACTCCATCTATCTCAATACATCTTACTGTGTTGCGCTCATCAATTCCACTCCCCCACAAGGCACAGTTGCCCATTCACTTCACTCACAACAGCAGCAAAGCTTCCATACCTCCAAACAATGACGACGACTTCGCACAAGCCCCTGCAGCTAGTCCCTAGCCCAACGTCTACCATCCAAGCCCACGACTCTGTATGGCCGGCTCGGGACACAGGCCGGTCCTACTTTTATCGATATCTCTCCGGCTGCCGGCTTCCCACATTTCCGACGAGCTGGGCCAGACGGCACTGCTCCCTTCTGTTGAACATTGCACAATGCGCTAGCTGTAGATCCACCGAAACAACAATCTCGTCAATTGCTTCGGTTGCAATATTCGGCAAGACAATCGACTTTTAGAACTCTTTCCATAGCCTATCAAGGGACTCGTCCGCCTTGTCTGCCTATTAACAACTTCGCGCATTCGGCGCCTATACACAACAGTGTGCTGATTACCCTGTGCTAATCAACAGTGCATGATCCCCCAATCAATACTACAATGCCAACGAATACACTCCACCCACATTGATTCCAACAAAGTATGACATGGTTCGAGACTGCAACCTGCCCCATGCCGCCCTGCGACAATACAACTAGAGCTGGCCAGACTGTGATGCTAATTTGAAGCACACTGTGTTAGAACCCTCCTCCATCATGGACTGCCTAGTAGCGGTATGTCGGTCGTCGAGGAGCTTCTGTCGCATAGCGTTCCTGCACAACCTCAACGGGACGCTCCAGGCCGCCTTCATCTGCATACCGCCGCTGGGGGGTTGCAAAAGTAAATCGGCGGTCATCGATAGGTTCATGGCGAACGACGCTCACTTCACGCAAGCGCGGTGCGGCTACGCGGACATGACCAGGCTGGACGCTTTCATGACGAGCGTAGCCCTCCGGAATTTCACGCCGAATCACCTCAGGACGCACACTGTACGCGCGACTCGGCAAGTATTCTCGCGGAGGGCCCATCTCCTCGTATTGAGCTATCGGCCGCCGTTCGATCACCTCGTGTGGTCGATACTCCATTTCCAGGGGCCGATGCGAGGCTTCCCGTCGATATGTACGCGGTTCGATCAGGTCGGCTTCCGAAGCTTCAACATATCGGCGCGGCGGCGGGGGCATCCTCTGAACGTCGTCTTCTTCGTACAGCTCAGCACGCGGAGGCGCCCGCAGCGCTGGTTCTCGGGTCACTGCACGTTCATAGTACGGGTCAACCTCGATTCTCCTAGCAGGTGGGGCAATGGAATCCCTCGTATCCACCGGAGCCGCATAGTACTTGTTGCCGTACTGATCTACGACAATGCGACGAGGCGGTGCCATAGCCATAGGATCATCCATAATCGATTGAGCTCGAGGGACATGATCTAGCTCCTGAGGGTGGTCGGGCACGTATCTAGATGCCGCGGAGGGACGAGCCGATGCTTCTCGGTAAATGGGTTGTTCAATGGGACGCTCGGAAAAGACGTGAGATGCCGCTCGACCGTGGCGAGGTGAAGGTCCAGCATATAGATCGGTATTGGTCGGCGAGTAGGGTCGTCGAGCATATTGGACGCTTGCCACGCGACGCAAATTCTGCTCATCACGTTCCGGGCGACGTTGAGGTAGGTGAGCGATACTGGGAGTCAGGGGCTCCTCATAGAGTCGTGTTGGTCGAGCAGAAGGCTCCGAGTCACGGTAGTAGACAGGTTGCACCCTGTCAAAAATCTCCACATCGTTGGGAATGGGCTGTAAGGCTCGTCGCTTGCTCGAGGGTGGATCCGAATATGGCGTGAACGGAGGAGGTGACTGCGGCTCCTCTTTGATGTATGGTTCTGGTGACTGTGCAGTACGCTTATTGTTATTGTTATTGTTCTTTTTCCACTCCCGCTTTCGCTTGCGGTTATTCTGGATCGGTGGTACCGGGCCAGTTGGGCTTTGACGTCGAGATGACCTGGGTACATATCAGTACTCATATTTCTAAGCTGGAATGAATCCTTCTCCCTCACGCCGAGCGATGAAGCACAAATGTGAAGTGTGAAGAGAGCGTAGTGGAAAGACAAGGGGATGAAAAAGGAACCCGGTCGCTACCGTACCCGTTCACGCCATTGTTATAACGTCCATGCTGCTTTCTAGGCTCACTAGGGCCGGCATCAGCCGGTGGAGGTGAGTAGTCAGACTCGTCTAGGTCTTCGTTCACACCAGCAGGCTCAGGTTCATAGATTTCTAGGATATCATCGCCAGGTTCGTAGGGCTCGTCATCAAGATCGATCACTGGAGCACCGGCTGGGCCTGATTGCGAAGTCTCAGCAACCTGTTGCGCCGCATTGACAGCACGTTTGCCCTGTTGTGTGAGTGACCCTGCGACATCAGCATTCGAGTTGTGATTGCGATCAACCTCATCCGATGACCAACTGTCAGCTTTGCTAGAGTAATACGAGTTGTCGAAAGACTCTCCATCACTATCAGCAGGAGGAGGTCGCAAGCCGGAGACTGGCTTTACTAGCCTGTGGGCCTGGGCAAGCAGGTCGTCCACGTCCAACACGTCTCGCTCATCCTCGTTTGTACGACCGCGCTTATCCAACTGATCTTTCAGTGCCCGCTCGAGCTGCTGCCGCTTCAGTTGTAGTTCAGCCCTGATGAGATGATCAGACTTCGTGAGCAGTACTGGGTCGATGCCAGACGATGCAGACTTGGCCGAAAAGGGCCGCGAAACATGTGCGATGGGCGAGGCAAAGTCGTTTGGCGAAGGGATCTGTGACAAAGAGTTTTCGGGACGCGGCGGGAACAACTGCTGGTTAGATGTGCCGTTGGAGATCCCGTTGATCGTGTTTCTCGCTGCTGGAGCGACATGCGGTGGACGCGGTGCGACCTGTTCTAGGACTTTGGGAGGAAGACGAATGCGCGGATGTTTGCCCGCGAATACTTCATCCCGAATATGCAGCAGCTTCTTGAGGAAATCGGCCTCGCGCCAATCCTCGGCGGGTACCACGCTGGTCCCGTTTGCGAGCGGAGATGCTGCGCTTGTCGACATGACTGCGTGGCAGCCGAATGTTTGCTACACTCACGGCGCGCCAAAACCAAGCTACAGGGGATGGGTTGAGCAGGTCAGTGAGAAAGCGATTTGTATACAAATACAGAAAGATTCATGGTGATGGCGCGTCGAAACGAGAGTGGAGAGGTGGCTGGGGAGAAATCGGCACTGTGAACATTCGATCCACGCGGTTGAGGAAAGCGGCCGCATGCTGCCAAGGCGCTATACCCGTTGCGATTGCTTCGTTTCTCCTGCCTGGAACACATCGTCGCACGTGGTTGCACGATTTTACGGCATGGACTTAATTCCCTAGTAATCTAGTTCGTCGTCTGCTTGCAGTTCAGCTACTGTCAGCTCTCGACCTGCGATATTGCCGTCTCAAAGAGCAAATAGAAACCTTCGCCCCAAGAAAAGTCTTGACGTATCACAGGGAACCTGAATGTTCACCTGCAAGCACACTATTGGCTCACCTATAAGAGTCATCCCACGCATCGTACACACCTCAAGATATTCAACGTCTATATCCAAAACTCATCATTGGGTTCCTAAATCTTCTAAGAAGATGGCGCAACAGGAGAAACCAGTCTTCTTCTTCGATATAGACAATTGTGTATGTTACGGCACCTTCCAAACTCTGACTTTGTAGTACTAATTCATCGAGCAGCTCTATCCTAAGAGTACGTATCGTCGCGCTTATTGGATCTGTCTTAATGGCTCACCCACAAATAGGCTACAAGGTGCAACATCTAATGTCAGACCTTATAGGTAAGATTCTTTGATCTCGTTGATTACGATGCGACAGCTGCTCCAAGCTAGCGTCTCCGTTCGGGACGGTCTTGTAATTCCACTGTCGACTCAGCTTTCTTCTTATATAGTACCTCCGTTTGGTTCTGTTAGAAGCTCACACAGACAGATAAATACTTCCAAGATCATCTAGCACTATCACAAGAAGAAGCAAATGATCTGCACCTCAAGTACTACCGCGAGTATGGCCTTGCCATCGAAGGTCTTGTCCGCCATCACAAGGTCGATGCTTTGGAGTACAATGCTAAGGTAGACGATGCGCTACCTTTAGAGGACATCATCAAGCCCAACCCGAAATTACGGCAGCTTCTCGAAGACATCGACAGGAGCAAGGTCAGGTTGTGGCTGTTCACGAATGCATACATCACCCACGGCAAGCGGGTGGTGAAATTGCTAGGGGTCGATGATCTGTTCGAGGGCATCACCTACTGCGACTATGCGTCCGAGAAATTCTACTGCAAACCGCACGTGGAGATGTACGATAAAGCGATGGCTCAAGCGGGTGTGACGTCAAATGACAACTGTTACTTTGTCGGTACGTATATCTCGAGTGTACCGTATGAGGCTGACTAAGATGTCCTAGACGACTCATACATCAACACAAGAGCCGCACAAGAACGGGGCTGGCACACAGCACATCTCCTCGATCCAGAGGACCCTGAACCATCCGCGCGTGCTGCGAAGCACCAGATCAGGAGCCTAGAGGAGTTGCGTACCATCTTTCCCCACCTATTCAAAAGCAAGTCGGCGGCAAATGGGTCCATATAGGCAACCTCGTCCATCGAGTTTGATGATTCGATCTATTACCATAGGTATACAGCATATAGAAGAAGAGTAGTGTATAAATCCACATCCATCTTAAACGTCTGCATAAACAAGCTAGTAGTCGTTGGGAGGTACCTGACCTTGAAGACCTATACTCATAGATACACAATATGTTCTCTGCACTTCTTGGAGATATCCGCTGAATGGGGGAGCTGTGACTAACCCCACGTTTCTTGGCGTTGGTGGGAGGGTGTGTTATCGATAAGTCAACATCAGCCTACGATCGTGTTGACCTCCCGAACTGCTGCAACGTCTTGTTGCACTCTATGAAATGACGTCCTCTTCAACGCCTACATACTTCCAAACCATGTCGCCCGCACCTACCAATACTGCCTCGGCTCCGCAGCCGTCAGCCCTCCCACCTTCTTCCGACACGTCGAACCTACCCCATCGCGAGAACACGGTATCGGATGCCACTTCAGCGCCCAAAGTGAAACCAGCCCGGAAGCCTCTTCTCCGCCTGGAGCTCCGTGATCTGTCCGACGACGGCACGCGTGCCTTCCTCCGCCTTCTGCATGCCTCCACTGCCCTCGAAACCGCCATAGATGCCGTCCTCATGCATCTATACACCGGTCTGAAGACGCACTGTATACCTCCTACGCGTTCAATTACCCTAGTTCTACGCTCCATGGCAAGTCTCCCGGGTACGAAGTGGATGTGTTCTTCCAGTAATGCGAAGAAAGACCTCTTGTCTATATATTGAAGACACAAACAAAGCGTCTTTTCTTCGCTTATCTAAGACACAAGCAAATGTATTATCCAAACATCTTTAAGGCATACACTGACTTTGTGCCTTCGGGTTTGGCAGAATGGCGTCGCCTACACTACCGGTCGCGACATTGACGAGGACCACAAGGAGATTCACCTCAGCACCGACTACATCAATCACGTCCCGGAAAGCAGACAGAAAGAAGAAATACAAGGTGTAATTGTGCACGAGATGGTACACTGCTGGCAACACAACGCACTAGGTACAGCTCCAGGCGGCTTGATCGAAGGCATCGCAGACTGGGTGCGCCTGAAAGCTGGATTTGCGCCTCCACATTGGAAGAGAACCGCCGATGGTGACTGGGACGCGGGTTACGAACGGACGGGCTTCTTCCTGGAGTGGCTAGAAGCTGCTCATGGTGTGGATGTTGTCCGCAAGATCAATGAAGGACTGAGGGGCTGCAAGTACGATCCCGATAGACTATGGCACACGTGTTGTGGCAAGAGTGTCGAGAATCTATGGGATGGATACAAATCCAGCCTCGGAGATGGAGATTCAAAGCAATCCCCGGCTGAGTCTACTTAGAGTGCGGGAAACCAGAGGAGCACAGCGTGAGTGTAGCTGTCCGCTAACAAATGAATGCTCGCCGTGGGCTATGGATTTTGGATGGGGAAGAAGTCCAGCGCCTGATGAGTGTGAAAAGAAACATTCCATGTCAAACGATATGGCAATCCGCCGTTCGCTAAATATCACTCTAAACGAACCAAGGCCAAGTACAAGGGGTCAGATCATCCCAGGACTCGGAAAACAATGCTTTGAAATGGTCGGCGAGCAGACGCAAACGGAAATCCTTCGGTACTTCTTGTGGAGAAGAGGCGTACTCTTTGGGGCTGTGCTGTCCGCTTCATCACCGCGCTTATCCGCTTTCAGACCGTCGCGGTCATCAACTGCTAGCATACCAACTGCACTCTCAGTGCAGCAACTCAAGATGGCGGTCCGACCGCGAGTACTTCGTCACTCTGTCAGCTTCGTAAAGATGACGCAGGATCTGTTTGAAGCCAGGCCACGCGCGATAGATTGGTGCTTGGGGCGGCTGTTCTATGCAAAGAACTCTGAAGATGCCGTGCAGGCGTACAGGGGTCATGCATTACCAGGCTTCTTCAGGGAAATCTCCAGTCTTGGGGTTCCTGGACATAATAACGGTTCCTATAGTTGACAGGGTTTCAGTAACGCTGCGTGAATATTACCAATACCAACGGTGGCAGTGCAACGCAAGCAACCACCAATTCGCCTCGCGCAGTATTGGATCACGGAGTCACATCGTCCAAAATCGTTCATACCACTTTCCAAGTTGGAAGGCAAATACTCGTACAACCTGAAGCAGGCACTGCCGCTGTTTGTCCTTTCCCACCAGAGCGTTCCATGATTAGATACCGTAGATGCAGCCTTTCAGGGTAATGGGTCTACCCTTCGACGTCCTTTCTATTGACAGTAGGAAGTACTCTGTCTCATGAACGCTTTTAGCTGCTACAAGCGTACGGTCTCCGTTGCGGCCATCTAGCACAGACACTTTCTGAATGATCTGCTCGCTGATGCTCAAATTGACTGTGCGGTCTACGGCCAGTTTCAACTCCAGACAACAGTGACTTAGCTCGTACATTAGCTAACGTCAGGTCCAATCGACGCCACTTCCACAAGCATGCGTCTAATCCACACCAAGTTAATCATCTATCCCCGGGACCTCCACAGTGGTCACGCATTGGGTCGACACCCCAGTATCCTACGCGGCAGGCACACCCTACATGCCTTGCGAGGCACCCACGAAGGCACCGACTGTTCTGGACCCTGCGTGACCCTGTCGCTACACCCTGCTACGCAACCCCAAGTTCCGTAGGTACGGTCCGCGGGCGATGCCTCTACGGACCGCTTCCCTGTGTCAGCACTACAATAGAGCTTAAACTTTACCGTTCCGGATCTAGGGCCGGCGGAGACTTACATATACACACTACTCTGCATCCCGACTCTATATATCGGTAGTTGATCATCATACACGGATCATGTGTTCGACCAGTCATCTGGGGGCTGCCATGGTGACTGCCTTTATATTATTACACATAAGCACCAGCACTTCTTCCAAACTTTCCCCAAATGGGAACTTTGGCGTAGACATGCAGAACCTCTGTAGGTTCGTGGGGGCGTACTTGCTCGCGTACAATTGCATGTCAATGCACGAGGACATCGCCAAAAGAAGCCCCCGCATCCGAACCACTCTCCGCGCGCAACCCCGACCCCCAACCCAGATCTCAGACGACATAAGAGCTTAGGTGAGAGCAGGACAGTGCGAGCAGGGTCCGGGAACCGCCTTTAGACCCGGGAATTGAGTCTGACTGTGATAATGCCCGTGAGCGAATACGCTCGACCTCGCGTACTCTACGCCTGTCTTGTCGTGGAGGACCTTCCAACTTCAAACGTGCACCAGAGTGAATGCAGGGATGTTCTTGCAGTAACGTGCTACCTGTCGAGTCACCGCACCTCTATACACTAAGCGTGCTCATGAGTGCATTTCTGCCTTGCAGGATTGTGTCGTTCGTGCGTGCTTGCGCGTGCCTCTGCGTAACCGCCAAGTCACAGAAGTGCGTGCAGGAAGATTCCTTGGGGAAGGAAGAGGCATAGAAAGCTTGAAGCACGTGTCGCGGCACGGGAAGCAAAAGGATTTGAGCATCCGCGATCCACTCGACGTCATTGGTGCCGACGGTCTTACATAAGAGCTCGGAGGCATCGATCCTAGATCAATCTACCTAGGTAGTGTGCTTGGGCATGCATGACCTCGGCTGCTATACGTTGAAGACTCTCCAGGTGGATCATGGCTGCTGCCCGCCGAAGGGCGTGGGCGGTAGCCTTGCGATCGGCGCAAGTCCTCGGTACGGTGGAATTACTGCGTGGTGGAATCGCCGATAGTTTCATCAAGCGTGAAGTGGAGGTCGTGGTGCATGACATCTCTCCACACGAGAAAATCAATATCACCTGAACTATTGCCAGCCCTATTGCCTCATACATCGTGACTTTCTAAAGATATACTTCGTCTATCCAGATAGACACATGGCAGCCGAAGCTACACGTTGTGACGGGCATCAAAATTCTAATTATACGCCTCTCGATAGTCTAGAAAACTTCCATCCGCCCCGCTAGCGTAATCGATAGCGACCCGCATCCCTGTGCGCTACGCCTCTTGCGGTGTAGTCCGCTACTCTTTGAGTAAAGCCCGCCCCGCTCCTACCGTTGGACGTCAAGAAGCATGCCCTTCACGACCACCTGGCCATCTCGTATACGGCAGCCACCAAAATCTCCGTTTGGGAGGAAACGCTCAACGTGCAGTAGTGAGCACGTCAAAGTCAGACCATAAGCCCAATATTCCCCGTAGAAGCAATATCCATTTCCCAGTGAAAGTGACCGCATACATACTCGGCGAGTCAGCCTTACCACGCCCCCCATGAGCACAAGACTCGGGCGGGCTGAAAGACTCCGGAGGTGGTACCTAGCACCCACAGCAGTGCTGGACGTCGCTAGAAGGTAGAGCGTTGGGTACGCCATGTGCGTTCCCACATGGATCGCACCAGGATGCTCATGCCGTCGCGGGTACCGCCTCCATGTTCGTGTATTGACTGCCTAAGCGCGTTAGCAGCGACCCATTAGCCGCGCATCAAGCTTTCGTTCCGAATACCTTTTAGGGAGAACTTGCGAGCAGAATCCCTGCCAACGGTCCGAAACCCTGCCCAGCAGCCGAAGTCGCTATCCATGCGCGTCTTCTCATCCCTGCGCCTGAGAATTGTGGAAATACCAGCGGAGAATGACATGATAGGGTGGCGGGTCCTGATCTTCGACACGCTCCGCGAGTGGATTTGTCCCCCATACGCAGGGAGCAAGGCTATTGGATGGAGGGCGCAATGGGATTTTCCGCTGGCCGGAACAGCCTGCTATTCTCGTTCGCTGGGCACGGCACCGCGATGAGCTGGCCGATGGAGACCGCCGAGAGCTGACCGTCACGTTCATGCCACGGTTCGGCCGGATGCTGTTGGCGACCAAGAAGCGGTCAATCCTGCCGACTGCGCACGCTGTGAACAGCCTCAAGAGTGGTTACGCAACAGCTACCTTCGCAGGCTCGCAATTGGGCCGCGCTGCAGTGTGCGTGCGATCCGCCCATCCGCCTGTTGCTCAACAAGGCAAGTGGAAATACAGTTCGCGCATACGAGGCAGACTTGAGAGAATATTGAACGTGATATATGTCATATAGTTTACAGCGTGGTGGGCGGTGCCCGATCCCTCGGATCAGACGAACGGTTGAGGCGTCTGATCTTGCTCAAGATACAGTTGGGACGAGTCGATCGCTAGCGAGCCGTCGAGGAGGCTACGTGCGTAGATCGTCGAGAAAATCGTATGAGGTTTGTGCCCGGCGAAACACTACCGCATCCCGCGGGTAACGGAGTCTGACTGTAGCGGCTTGCGGGTGTCCTCACCCATGGTTCGAGGAAGGCTCTTGTGAGGTGGATTACTGGGATAGAACTGCATGCCAGCGTGCTATGCATCGGCGGTGCAGTCACCGATGTAGTGGTAGCGAGCAGGGCTTGCCCCGGCAGGCTTCCAAAACGGGCTTACCCTTCTCGGCGCCTGTCAAATGCCAAACTTCGTTGTCAAGCATGGGAATGTAGAAAGTGAACTGGTTTGTCAATTATTGAATTCGACATGTTTCGTATCTAGCGAAAAATAGACTGTAGTGATTTTCCGCATTCCGACGGATAAGGGATCGTCTATGCCACTTACAGTGGGTATCGTATCGTTTCTCTTGAGCTTCATGATGCACAGCCTCAACGCTAACGAAATCCATCAGCAACCCCATATTAATATTGGTAAGGAGGATCACGCCGCATCTCGTATCTCATGAATTCAGCCATAGCCTGCGGATCCTGGTATGACGGCGAAGCGGTGCTCGAAATGGGCGAGCTCGTGGGTCCTCGCGCCACATGCCCAGCATAGTTCATCGTCGGATTGAGCATCGAAGGCGTGGCGCCGTAGTGATCGTAAGGTGAAAGCGAAGCGTGGTCCGGAACGCCGGTATATACATGCGGTGATGCTAATGCCATCATTGGTGAATGCGTGTTCATGGAAGTCGTGGCCCATGGATCCCACTGTGATCCTTGACTAACATTCACAGTCAGGGGTTGATGGCTGTGGGGGTAATTGGAGGCTGTAGAAGTAATAACGTTAAACGATTCTTGTGACGTCCAACCAGAGTAAGTGCCGTCCGTTGGCCAAGAGTGCTGTGTTTCAGGGGTAGAGACCTGGGTCATGGTATGCGCTGGTAGCAGATCCTCGTATGCGCTCGAACCGTAAGACATATCGTCGTCATCTGTGGCTGAGTATGTGCTCGGTTCGGGTGTGCCCGCGGGCTGAGGTAGTGTGATGCCTTGATTCTGATATCGGCGAACGAGAACAGTGTAGCTGAAAAACATTAGATTTTTCGAATTGCGAAGAGCTACACATACCGATTCTTGATGCAGTTCTTGGACCGTCCTTGAAAATGATGCCGTTGAATGTCTTTCCAGTGTCGACCAAGTTTATGGACTGCATCGACGAGGACCTTGTCCTAGGTTCGAGTATCAGCCAGCTGTGGACTATAGGCAAACAATTGCCCTTGTGGATTTACAGGATTCTTACATCTGCATCTCGCCATTCACTACGATCAAGATCTGGGTCGAGCGACTGCTGCCATCTTTTTGCACATTCTGATCTCCGGTTAGAATGTCCCTCCTGTGTGAGCCACTCAACTCACGGTCTGCGCTTCTTGATCCGACTACGTTGGCTACCAATGTCCATCTGAAGGCTAGTCAGCGCATGCAGCATTGACTGGGTGGGCAATTCACCTTTGACCGTACTGCTCGACTCCCCTCGAAAGTTGAACATCTTCGCTCTTTGACCATTGTCCCTTTTTCAGGCCTCCAGCTACCGAGTTATGCCATCTTTTTCTGCAGTCTTTGTTCGTTCTGCCGGGCAGTTTCGCTGCGATACGACACCTAATGAGATTAGTGGCGAAGTTGTGCGGGATTCTGGTACTACCCACCAGTCTTTGACTTCGCCTTCAACCACTGCAGATGTGTCAGCCATGTGTTTGGATATGTTGAATGTGGATATGACGTCAATTTGGCTTTGTCAAACATTGTTGCCATTCGAATAGTCTTAAACATTCCAGTGCACGCGCGTTAAGCCGTGGGCTTGAAATCGCGCGTGCGGCAAGGGAAGATAATGACCGCGCTGTAGGAAAATAGAGCGACATACTTTGGGTCTCAACTTCCTCCTTCAACCTTTGGTCTTCTGCTACTGTCCATTTGCGAGGTAGCCGACCGCTAGACCTTGCCGAGGACGATAACATGCTGAAGTTCGAACAGGGAGCGCTTTTCCAATCGGCGAAGTTGTCTGATCGAGGGATGTGTTCGCTACAAAGGTGTCGATAATCGTATCGTTTCTGCAAACGGTGGTGTAAACTGTACGACTACGAAGGCAAGAAGAAGAGCCGACGAGAAGTAGATGAATAGCGCGAGGATGGATGAGAGCGAGTGTGGATGTGTAACGAGCGTGAGTTGGGTCAAGTGTGAAGACTGTAAGAGGATGGCAGGACAGGGAAGCTTTAAGGACTAGACTAAATCCATTCCGGGGTCAATGGTTGTGTAGGCTGCCGGAGTCAGGTCGATAGCTGCAGAGGTGTAGGATTGCACTGATCAAGTGAGCGACAAGACTGCCTTGACCCGACTGTTTCAATTAGTGGCCTATCATTGGGCTCACTAGAACTGGCCCAGTCGGCCGCACCTGCATATTGCTCAAGTAGGCGAAGGGACTGTGCGCATGCATTGAGGCTTTGCACTGTGCGGTAATAGCGGTTGGTAAGGCTAGGACCCTGCAACGGTGGCCAGCTCGCGCACCCATGAGGGATCCCCAAGCGGCAAGCCCTCTGTGCGCTTCCATGGTAGGGCTGCATGGTCTATACACCGCTAGATGTCGGACCTTCTTGAGCTTAGCACGGCTCTATACATGATAAGCTTATTGCTCCGTTTCGTCCTCAGCTTCTCGGTTATACAGGGTTTGTGACTGACAAATGGCCTCATTGGCTGGTGCACCATGTTTGATAATCGTAGCAGTCGTTTCGCCCCCATATTGCGGGAGGTTTCCGCCTAGTCGCTGCAAGGGATCGGTCGTTGAAATGACGCCCAGCCGAAAAGTCAAAACAGACGACTACACCACACAGATGTTGCCCACCAGTGTTGGTTGCTGCACGCATTTCGAAATGCCAGAGAGCGGTGGAGAGACTGTCGGCTGGACTTGCCCCTGCCGGCCGAGATAGTACCGAGACGATGCAACGTGACTAGCGGCAGTGGGTGGAAAATAGATCGTTGAGATCATAGCGTTCAGCTCTCCAGTCCATGCCTCGGTTGGACCGCTAAATTCGGTGGTCTGAAACCACTCTGCCAAACTATACTGCAACGTCATGTCGGGCGACTGTTTTCTTTTCGCAGAGGCATCGCAGCTTGCAACATCAATCCAATAGTGCTCAGCCAGCCGCACGGCCATCGTGGGCTATTGGGACTTCATCGAGCTGGAGCAGTCGCCGACGTCATGGCGATGCGCTGAATGTTTGGCACGCTGGCTTGCAGCGGTGAGGGAAAAAACCAAAGGCTGAGGGCGCAAAGCTGAAGAGCGAATCACGTCGAGAAGGTGAGGGTGAAGTGGTCGGGGGTCAAACAATCAGATTGGACATCTATACTCTTGGGTTCACCGTCAAATGGAAGGGTTGACCGGTGTGCAACTGCACAAAAAGACAGCGACAACTGCGCAACTGCTTTTCTAGGGCTCGGCGCAGTGACTTTGGCTCTTGACAGAGAAATCACGGTATGCATACAATGGCGGAAGAGCTGAATTATAGGTCAGGCCGGTACATCCTACGATTCTATTACCCGCATGGCGACCAGAGGTTGACAAAAAGCATTGCTACTTTAGAAGGTACAGACCCCACCGCCGTTCGTCGCATATGCCGAGATGCTTTCCGTCGTTGTGTAACAGACCACGCCTCTTACAGACCGCTTTGATATGATACATTCATCTATCAAGCATCTGTCACCGCGCATAAGAGGTGCCCGAAATCACACACGTCGTTCCATCGCCGTTCAGACTTACGGGGGTGGCATGCAATTGCATGGCATAGCCTCGAACACGGCGTTTGCATGCATCACGCAGATGATCAAGATCCTGAATGGCCCCAGGATGACAGTCACTGCTCGCGTAGCTCGGGAAATCAAGGTCCTCATGGTCGCATCGCTGCCAGCGGCCTCATGCACAGGTCCAGGTTCAGTGACCGGATTTTTGTGCTTGGCATACCCCCGGATTACGTATCCCACACGAGTCCATGGTCCGCAGACTCACTACAGCGCCTGTTCACCAAAGTCGCAGCGATGGTTTATTTTAAGAAAGGTGGCGCGCAATCGTATAGTTGGTGGATCATGGCATGGTACTGCAGTATCGTTGTACGATTAGTCAAACGACGGGCTCGAGGATTCGTTCAAGGCTTTCCGACCAGGCGTCGTGCTTTTTCAAGCAGGACAGTGCTCTCGCGACCGAGCTTCCTCTGACCATTGGGACCACCATGCCGCGCCTTGGCCATGGTCTTACGGAACCGCTCCCTCTCTGCGAGTTTTCTTGCGCGCTCTTTCTCCGCCTCCTCGCGCGCTTTCTGCTGAGCTGCTGCCTTCTCTCTCTTCTGCCGCCCAAGCTCTGCCTCTCTCTCGAACGGCTGAGGTCGCGGTCGCCTGTTTCTCCGCGGTCCCGACGTGTTCTCTGGTTCGGGTTCGGGAGATTTTTCCTCCAGCATCTTGACGCGGTCCGGATGGGGCTCCAGACTGGGTTCGGGAACCTCTGCAGCAGGCTCCTCCTCGCTGTTCTCATAATAGGCGGGGTTCTGGGTGGGAGCGTCGTCTCGCGCTTTCAATTTTGCGTAATCCTTCTTCAATTTTGCTTTGTGGATGAGACCTTTCTTGATCTTTTGCACTGCGCGGTCACTGTCAGCCAAGTCGATTGGGGCATTGCACGCCACGGGTCATGCCAACCTTTGCGCCTGTGGGTGCCGTCGGGAAGATTGGCAGGCCCCACGGAAAAGCCCTTGTTGGGTTTCTTGGCCTGCCTGCCTCCGTCCGCATCGTCGTGCGGCCGTTTGGGAGCCATGTTGCCAATGGCGTTGTGAATGTGTCTGGCTGTGCAGCGCCAGGAAAGTTTCTGCCGAGGCGTGAATGCTTGGCGCGGCGCAAGGAAGTTGGTGGGGCCACGACGGGAGGGCCTCGCTGGCTGTCGTGACTCAAGCCGTACCTTCCGTGCACGCAAACGCACTCAACCGGCTGCGTTCTGCCGGCCAGCAGTGGCAATCAATGCGAAGTCAGTTGTCACTCCTGCATCGTGTGACCAGCAAGGTGCAGGAGCCCAAGCCCGATCTTGTCTGCGGCGCTTGTGTTGCTTTGTCGTCAGGCGTGCTTAGCCTTCGTCGAGCGTCATCGTCGTCCCGGCTGCCGTCTCCGCATCCTTCCTACAGAGAGCCTCCACGCTTGTACTCACACCTCAAAACCCGGCATACGCTGCAACACCGTTTGTGAAGCTGCGGGTGGAGCCAGCGCACCACTTATTTGCGCAGAGACTGCCTGTCGCTCCCTCCTGCCAGCACCTGATCCAAGTCCCCGCCAACCGGCGTCTCAAGCCTCACGCTCACCGTACCTGCTCCATATACCTCCTCCTCGCCTCTGGGCCCGATTCCACCCTTCTCCGATCCCATGTTGCTGTGCACAGGAGCTCGTCGGAACCATGCCGATATTTCATGAACCAGACGAACACAAGCCGCAACGACCGGCCGCTCAGGCGTCGTCGTCATTGCATCACGTTGAAAGAGCGTGGAAACCGGGCAATGGCTCCGAGAGAACACGCCTGGGTTGCATAAGCCCTGGACCTTCTGCCCCTTCTGTTTCCAGCCCAGATGTCGAAGCTGCTTCTCCGACTCATCTGCGTAACCCGTCTCTGCTCGATCGTGTTGAGTTGATAGAACGTTTGAAAAGAGTGAATAGCCCGCCCTGGCAGCATTTGAGTCCTGGCAGGCTTGCAGCTACTGACTTCATCCCTCAGGATGGCCACCGTGACAGTATCGCCGAATCTCGACCAACCTCGCAGGATCGACCCAAGACACCGCTCCTTTCGCCTGTTCGCTACAAAACCTCTCGTCCCTGCACGCCCGACCCGCTCCGAGACAACGCTTCAGCAGGCCTGGAGATAGAACGGCCACGATCCGCTTTACACTCGGGAGATTTCAGGGAGGAGAAGGAACGTCGGAACGGGCAGGACCGAGTATCTTCTACGATACTACTTGCTACATCACCGGTGGTTCCATGGCATCTCTCGTTCCCGGCAGCTGGGCGGCCTCCAAGCTGTGCGGAGTCTCCACCAGCCTTCGACCAAGCCTCGAGCTATGAGCCACGCTCCGTTTCCCGTGCACGAGCGATCTCTCAATCGTCATTGTCGTCGTTTGCTTTCTTGCCACCAACGAGCCCACTTGTGCAGCAATCCAACAATACTGATCTCGACTTTTCCTCACGACCTGGCTCGCGACAGTCGTCAAGGAGCCCAGAGCGAAGCAATAGACGTCACACTTTCTCTCCCCGGTCGTTCAGAGCCTTTCACTCCAGCGAGATAGCAGCATCCACTTCGAATACCCCAGCAGCTCGCCATATCAGAAAGGCGACGGCGATGCCTTATCAGGCACACCAGCCGAGGCGATCACTAACCTCTCTGAATCAATTCCAACCGCACTCGAGCCCTCAAACACCATTATCACGGTCGCACAGGCCATCCTTTTCATCCGAAGCATCGCCACTGCATCACGCGCCGATGGTGGGCTCGTACGAAGAATCAATACTTCGCGGAAGAATGTCCACGACGCCATCAAGGCCACTCAATTTCATCGCCAAAATCGGGGTTCTGGGTAGGGGTCAGTGCAGGTCCAACTTGAAATGTCCGCCTCACGTAGCCGTGCCGTTTCCTGCCGTTTTCTATAGCTACAGCACTGGCAATGGACGCATCTCCAATGACTCTCCTAGCCCTTATGTGGGCCTCGTAGACCTGGAAAATTCGATATCTGCTCCGGATGAATCTACTGAAGCGAGTAGACGCAAACGACGCCACACTGTTCCAGATCCAGGCTATGATGAACTTGACACCCGGATAGAGAATGATGAGGATCTGAATTATAGATCCACCAAAGACCTTCGACGCAAAGAGAAAAAGAAAAGGAGGTCGACGTCGCCCAAAGCTCCACCAGGAGGCAGCTATCGCATCCCGCAACAAGGCCAGCTCCAGATTGTCATCAAGAACCCCAACAAGACCGCCGTCAAACTCTTCCTAGTTCCATACGATCTTTCCGACATGGAGCCAGGCCAGAAGACCTTTATTCGCCAGCGCAGCTATTCGGCAGGTCCAATTATAGACATGCCACTCTCTTCTCGCAAGAACCTGGGTACAGATTGTCCAGAGGCTTCTTTGAGCAATTCCGACGATCCTAACGATCGACCGATCTTGCGCTATTTGATTCACTTGCATATATGTTGTCCATCCAAAGGTCGCTTTTACCTCTACAAAACCATCCGTGTTGTATTTGCCAACCGTGTACCGGACGGCAAGGAGAGGCTCCGCAATGAGGTTCAGATGCCAGAGCCCCGGTACAACGTGTACAAACCAACAAGAGATTCCCTGGCATCCCAGGTGCCTTCGTCTGCTGCAGCGCAGCTTGCGTCCGACAAAGCACTACGTCGGGCTAGTGCTGGACTGTCATTGTCACAACATGCCTACGCCAAGGCAGGCGGTACTGCATCGAGACACTGTCCGCATCTTCCTCCACCAGCCGTGAAGTTTACAGGCGGCCCTTCTCCTAACGCAGATCTTAGCTCTCCCATGCCTGATATGGGGCCGATCCCATTTAATTTGACCCGCATTCCTTCAATACCATCTCGGCCGGTGTCTCGAGAGCTCATGGATGTTGACGGGGCGAGCTCCTTCAGACCGCGGAATCGATGCGCTTCGCCGACTGCTTTAGGATCTTCGAACCCTGCCAATGACAACACAGCTTTCGAAAAGCTGAACAGGGGCGACGTAGGCTACGGAGGCAACGCATTCTGCGGCGTCGGAGCTTCACCTATGTCTCCCGGCGCCGGACTGCTAGCTAGACGACTTCGAGGGCTCGATGTTGAGCCAGATGATGACTTCATTTCCTAGACTATATCATGACCATACCCCACTCCGGCTTCTCTTGATCAGGCGTATATAAGCTGCTATTTTTTTTTGGAACATAATACCCGTGGCGTTTCCTCTCCATACGAATGTGTCATGGTACGGTAGCATTTTCCAGGTATAGGTCTGGTTTTGTATATACCCACTACTCGATGTTGGTTCAGTAGCTGTACCAGTATTACGTACACAGATATCGACATTTTGCATAGATATATTGTGAGCAATGACTTGGTCACAAGATATGTGGGGAGCCAGCGAATCGTCACGACCGGATAAGACGACTTGCACTTGCCAAAGTCGCCAAGTGAGTTAATAGCGCCCTCTTGAAACTCTTGTTCTTCATGGGTAGGTCAGAGGACGGCTTTTGCAATGATCCATGGACCGACGCTCGGTCCAAGAACGTCCACCCGATACCGAGAATTCGAGGTTATCTTTTAGGCATCCAAACGTGATTCACGAAAGCACGTGGTAGCGCGTCGCCGGCCTGTCGCGCGCCCGTCGCAATTCGTTGGCTGCAACAACCCCGCGCAATCCCTAATTGGTCTGGAGGGGTGCAACACCAACACCACCCAACATATAATCCCCGATAGCCCAGTATGAATGTGCACAGAAAAATCTTCGATTCTTGAATCCTTTGTTTGTCACCTAGACCGATCCAAAGACATCCACCATGCTCGACCACTTCACCTTCAACGTCCCGACCGCCCGGTACGACGAGATTGTGAACTGGTACCTCGCGGCCCTCGCCCCGCTCAACTACACAAAGCAGTTCGACTTCCCCGGCCGGGCATGTGGTCTCGGTCCTGATAAGTCTCAAGTGTCCTTCTGGATCGGCGCAAGTGAGGAGGCATCAGCGTGTGGATTTCATCTTGCTTTTACAGGGAAGGACCACGAGACGGTGGATGCGTTCTACGAGGCTGCGATGGAGGCGGGGGGAAAGGAAAATGGGAAGCCCGGACCGAGGGAGATGTATGGGCCGCATTATTATGGGGCTTTTGTGTTGGATCCGCTTGGGTGAGTTAGTGGGGAGGGTGAGCGGAGAGGAGTAGTGCTAATGCTAATGCTAATGGGCGATAGGAATAATATCGAGGTTGTGGATAAGACGGCACATTGAGCGTGGGCAAAGGAGTGGATGGGTGTTTATCGGGTGATGGGTCGAGGAGTTATGCGTATGGACATGAGGTTGTTTCGGTTGTTGCGGAGTAACATGGAGATGACGGCATGGGAAAGATTGTGAAGAGGCGTTGTGGTGTATGCGGTTGGCTAAGAGTGGATATGTACCGATGCGTATGTTTATAAGCTGGGAACGGTTGTAATATCATCTGCTTCTTGCATCATATGCTTAGCATCCAATATTACGAGTCCTGTTTCGTCTTCTAATGTTGCACCAACTACTTTCTCCTCGACTCGCCCGGGAAATTCGTCTTCGCTGATCGCTTCGCAGCCCTATCAAACTAAGCTTGCCATCCAGCTCGCCGCCTGACCCGCCATGCCGTTATTTCCATACACAAAGTGCGGAGGAAGCTAACCCCTTTAGCAGAATTTCCTATAATTGTTCATTAGGTCGACTTACCACTAGCCACCTCCTCACATTTCCCTTAGCAACATCAAGCAGGAAATACTTTGACACGCCAAAGAAGCCACTGAGTATGCTCACAGGTACCGAGGCTGCAGCTTTCAATTGGGCGGAATTCGTTGCGACATCCTTTAGTAGCGAGAGATTGTCGTATACCGTGGCTTTCCACTCTGAGATACTGTCCGGCAAATCAATTCCGGAGAGCGCGCTTTCTGTGCACAGAAGATCCGGAGACGCATTATCCTCGTTGCAGTACGACTTGAAGGACAGACCAGCCGGAACAGTTGAAGGCTCGTCCATCAGCGCATTCTCATCTCCAAAAGTAGCGAGGCCTTTGAGTTGCTTGCGAGCTGCGTCATTGACACGATTAACGCATTTGTGCGCGCAGAGAGCACCTTGACTTTATCACCGCGTCGTCAGTCCATTTAGTCTACATCGAGGAAGAAGCATACGTACCTCCACCCCGACAAAAAGATATTGGCTTCGGGGCACTTCTCAACGTACGCGTCCACCGTCCTCGCACACGCATCACCACAGCTCTCGCTCCCGCCTTCTTTGACGTAGTCTTCGAGGTTAGCGGGGTAGTCTTCTGCATTGACGCCTTGGACGTGGACGTCACCGTTAAAGGCGGAGAGTAAACTGTCTTTGAGGAAAGGGCCCACCCATACACCCATGTTCCCAGAGTCGAATGTACCACGGCCGAAGACTACAGCGTTGGAGGCGCAAGTGGCGCTGCCGGCGATGACGGCGTCCATGTCAGTGGAGGTGTCGGACGCATCGCGGCGGAGGGGAGTTGAAAGGGTGAGAGAGGGAAGGAGGATGAATGGAAGGAGGGACTTCATAGCGGTGATATTATATAGAACGAATGAAGAAACTGGAAGGAAAATACAATAAGAGATAAAATAGAGAATGCAAGCTAAAGATCAGAGACGTGGTTGGGCGTGTCAGTACGCAAGGCGAACGCAACAGTTTTATCGCGCAGTTTCCTTCCATATACCACTCCATGCTCAAATCTCCGAACGTCTCTTAGACGTTCAAACCGCTTACACCGGAACTTGACCTATCCCTGAACACCTTCCTCTGTACAAGACTTCGCCACAATTCGAACGCGCCAAACGAGCTTTGGTGGCTGTGAAAGTCGGCTTTTGACCTGATCTGTCGAATCGACGCTCCTAAAGGATACACTTGCGGACAATTTCTGTTGTGAAACGTCGGAATGAGGTAGGCGGGTGAGCGTTTTGGGGTCCGGAGATGGGTGTCGGGGGCGAAGGAGTTAGCGTGGTCCGCTTACTTCGTAGGGAAGGACATGGCGAGCCTCATCACGTGGACCATCTGGTCACATTGGTTCAACAAATGACTACCAGACGATGCAGTAGTCAGCAAGGTGGATTTGAGAGATATCCAGTTGGTCAGTTGCGCAATCGTGTGCGTAAAGCACTATGACAAGCGCAACGAAATCTTGTGTCCTGGGTTGGTTCTCGGCCAAGAGAGGAAACCAGGACGAGAGTTTTACCCAGCATCTTGTGTTGTTTAAATCTCATAGGACACTGCTATCGCTCAGTCCACCACAGCACTTCAGTATCCCACCTTTGAATTCTCCGGTGGCCCCAAATAACTATCCTTCACACCGCCCAAATCCACGACAAGCCTATGGATCACAGTGCCCGGTTCCAGTAGCCATACCTTGAGCTTATGTGCCCCCTTATCAACCTTACCCAGGTCAATCTTAACAACTCTAGCGCCGTTGATCACGCTCTCGCTCCACCCTGAAGGCATACTTCCTAGCGTGCTACTCGGCACAGGACTTGAAGTTGTCGCTGTCCCCTCGTCCAACGAGACTGCGAACTTCAAGGGAGAAGATGGATTTACATTGAAAGATGGCGGGAGGTAAGCGATGACTTTTGCGCTGGAAGCTGAGGTAAAAGAGTAAAATGCGTAGACGGCACTGGGCCCTGTGGCGGTGGTTTGAGTTCCAGCAGTGACGGGGAGGAGGGTGAGACCGGAATGCGTGCGGCCATAATTTGGTATTGCCTCGAGAGACGCACCAGAAGATGAAGGGGTACGGTCCGTGAAATGTGCCATCTCCATTGCCACGGCGCCATTGGACTCTACGTAGCCTTTGAATCCTGCTGGGGTGGCGACATTGTTCAGTGGCAGCGTGAGTTTGACAGCTGTCCCAGACTTAGGCGTTATCGTGATGCTGGAGGTACTGCTGCCGTTTGGGGCCGATACCCAGTCTACAGAGATCGTAGCCCGGATGGTTGACGTGCCGGATGGGTAGCTGATGGTGCCTTGAGAGGGAGAAACGCTGAGGTAGGGAGAAGAGGGCGTGATAGTGAAATCTACACTTCCGGCGCCCCGGGCGTAGATGTCTATTGTGCGGTTTTCGGGCGTGTAAGGGTCGAGAGCGAGGAGAGGTGGCGTAGACTCAGGGGCGGCAGTTGTGCTACCTTGGACGGAGACTCCCATTAGACCCGAAGAAGGCGCCGTTGTACCAATAGTAGACACGGATGGCATAGTGTTCGAGCTGGGGTCCTGCCTAAGTGATGTGTTAATGCACTTATTGAGAAAGAAACCGAAGAAAAGCATAGCATACCAATTGTTGTAGCCAAAGTGTATCTGATCCATCATATGGTTCCATTTTCCATTTAGCAATCCATGATATCTCTTCTGGATCACACTATCTTGAGCGTACGCCGCTTTCACGTCCGCGGCAAGCTCATTCGCACTCATACGCTTCTGTGCTGCATATGCCTTATTCCTCTCAGCATTGATGTACACTTGCTGCACGACTCGTCCTGCCATGACTGGATGTAGCACCATCTCGAAAAATGAGATCTGAGTGGTGGAGTCAAGCTGGTCGTATAGGGCCTGCGTTTTGTTCTGCAGATCCTCCCACTCATGTAACACGTTTTCCGCTTCGTCGTAGTTGCTCGTGGAATAGAGAAACGGAGACATGTTCAGCAATTCGTACTTCCTCCGTATAATGAGCTTCCCATATGTAGCCATGACCTCTGCCGTGCCTTGCGCAACAGTCTCGCTAAACTCACGTGTCGCCCACAGTAGAAGCCATCTATCGGTACTTTCGGGCGTCATAAACTTGTTGATGTCGTACGCCATGTCCAGGAAATGGGAAATTGGGATTTCCAGAGGCTTCAGATCGCCAACGTTTGCGATCCAGATCTGCGTCGCGTTCTTCTGGTGCGCAAGATGCATCTGCTGCCATGTCTTCGAGAGCTGAATTGTGTTGATCTATTTATAATTTCGTGGTGACTCTTGCGAGGAAACGGCTAGAGGCATATAGGATGAAAGTAGGAATGAAATAAGTGATCTATTTCCTATAATACATAGTAGGTTTAAATACCTAACATAATAATAAATAACAAACTCATACAAGATCAGATGAGAACTATACAACAGCGACCCAACATAGTCGAGATGAAAGTACACACCCGCATTACCGATCCTGTTTGCTTCGCTCGGAATAGGCAGGCGTTGGATGTTTCCGCTATTGTCGTCACTCCAGAGAATAGTGATATCTTCTGGTACCTTCATCCCAGCCTGGTAGTAGCCCCCGACCTCCTTGTACACGCACCACATTTGCGGCACAGCATTTAGACTGGACACGCCAAGCGTGCTCTTTAAGATGCTTTGTTGCGCTGTGAATACGTCGACCAGGGACTTCGCGTCCAGGGTCGGGCTCCCAGTGTCGCCATCACCGCGCATACCTAACGTCCAGACCACCTCCCAGTTCTTACTTCGTGTTGCCCCATCTTGCATGTACTTCTTCAGATTGTTTTGGTTGCTCTTCCAATCCCAAGGCTTGACTTTCTCTTTATCTGCGCGAGCCATTGGCTCTGTATGGCTCGTACCCATCACGATGCCCATCTCCTCTGCTAGTGGTCCGTTCTTACTGTCATCTACGTGGAATTTCGAGGCCCACATGGCTGGCCAGAAGTAGTTTGCGCGCAAACGCAGCAGAAGCTCGAATACCTTTGCATGAAATTGGCTGTTGTACACTCCGCCGTAATTGGATTTCACCCAGTTTGTGAGTGCAGGCTGTTCATCATTGATAAAGAGACCTCTGTATTTAATAGATGGTGGACCTTGAGTTTTCGTCCCTGGAAGTGCGTAGAGAGCAGGGTGTTTCTTCGGGGGAACGTCTGCCCACCAATACCAGGGTGACACACCAATCTGCTCGGAGACGTCGTAGATGGCGTATATGGTGCCGCGTTTGTCACTTCCAGCGAGGATCAAAGCTCGATCGACGCCTTCTACTGGCTTCTCTACCAGAGCGGAAGAGAAAGACTCCCATTTCCCTTTGATGTTGGAGGCATCGAATTTTCCAGCTGATACCAGGCTGTCGATAATAGGGGACTTCCCAATTGTACCTAATCATTCAACGCATGTTAGTAGAGCTTGATAAAATGGCCACAGTCGAGCCGTACAAGGTGGATGGAACCCGCGTACCCGCAATTATGACTACCGCACCTGAGAGCCCTGAAGTGCTTGAGACGACCTTCCCCTTCGTTCCAGTCACAAGGCCGAAGTCATTCGCAAGATCGTTGCCTGCACGTGTCACACCTGCCCAATCTTTGCTGTCGATGACTATAGTCGGTGCTTGACCAGTCCCACCAAGTTTGAGCACACCTTCCGTTTCAGAAAAGGCGATACTTGCCGGTTGTCCGATCGCTATGGTGGTGCCGCTGAGAAAGAAGCAGAGCAACGTAATTAGTGTGATGAACTCCATGATGGGATAGGATCCAGGCGCGCGATACCATGAGCAAACGCAATAGCTTTCTCATCTTGTATGTGCACCTATAGACCCCACATCGAGCTGTTGTGGTGCTGGTCGTACCGAGCAATATGGCACAGAACCGGCAAATGTGGTCGTATTTGGAAGTCGCATCGTTAGCATTGGCTGAATGGAACAGCATTTGCCACGGGATTATATTAATGCTTCGCTTCTTGTGCTTTTAAGGCCGGGCTTGGTGTGAGGTAGATAGAGCAGCACATTCTGCATGGGATGTAGGGATGGGTACTTGGTAGCGAGCTGCATTTTAGACTGCTTCCCAATTCCATAAGATAGATGAAGTAGTCTCATGCTCATGCAACAATCTTCCACGAACCATAATGGGTCTGATGTTCGATCTTGACTATATCGATGCCGTTCTGGACGCCTTTTCTTGCTTCCTTTTTGGGTACAAGATTGGGCGCTTTAAATGCCTCGTGGGACTAAAAGACGGCCTCATCAGAGAGCCAAAATAATGACATAACATTAGGGGCCTGGGATTTAGGAGAGGATTTTGGATCGTCGTGTGGAGAGAAAAAGCAAGCTGCACGTTAACGTGTGACCAAATGGACTCGAAGGCCGAGGCCGAGCTTGGGCCTTCTCTGACGACACACCGCTCTCGCGTACCGTAGTGGACGTTCACCCCACGATCCACTGTCCGCGTTACCCACCATTGCGCCCCACGATGAGATGATCTCTTCATGTTCAGACACCATGAGACGATAGAACACACATGTTAGCATTGTTCGTGCCTACATACAAGTCCAGTTGGACACGCCTGCAATAGCATCCGAAAGTCTCTGGTAGAGCAGAGCCTGGGGAGCCGAGCACCATGGCACAAATACAGCGCCCGCTTGTGATACAATCGCAGTTCGTTCGTCAATTCTGTCCGCAGAATGTCCGCCGACATGGTGTTTTGCTGTTCTCAAGGAGCCGGCAGCAACGCCAACTATCGACGGCCACTGTAACGGACCACGACATCTCGCGGCTCGCAAGCCTCCCATTACACCCGCTCACCCTTGCCGATCTTGTAAAGTTAGTACACCCATGCATCTTCTTGAGCTCCTCCCTGACACTGTCCGCGTATGCAGACATGGCCGGCCACCCCTCACAACCCCACAACTCCTCACCTCCGCAAACTTTACGCTTTCGATATTGCCGGCCCGTCTCGCGCATCGCATCCAATCGCTGAGGAATCTGCCCTTTATCGTTGTTTCCAACCCGCACATATCCAAGATACACTCGAATTACATCCACAGTCTCTCAACCCTCCTACCATGGGCAGAGCACGAGATCACAACGCTAGAAGATGAAGTCAAGTTTACAGAGGTCATGGCGGACCTCGTCAACACGCACAGTAACACCATCAGTATATTGGCCCGCGGTTTTCTCGAAGCGCGGAAATACATATCTCCTAAAGACGTCACGCGGTTCCTGGACGAGCATTTGCGGGCGCGGATAGGCACAAGGCTGATCGCGGAACAGCATCTCGCCTTGCATTTCTCGTCGCAGCCGCACGCCGAGATCATGCACGAGAGCTCCGACAGCGAGGGCTGGAATGGCGTCATTGACACTAAGCTCAGACCTGCAAAGATCGTGGAGCATTGCGGAAACGTCGTTGGAGAGATCTGCGAGCTCAAATATGGCGTTCGTCCGCATGTCATCATCAACGGAGAACCCGGTTACACATTCGCGCACGTCCCGGTGCACCTGGAGTACATTATCACAGAGCTTCTTAAAAACGCGTTCCGCGCCACGGTGGAAAGCGGTAAGGAGAAAGAGCCGATCGAGGTCACCATTGCGCCTCTGCCAGAGGAGTTGCCCGAGGGCAGGGACGCCGATGGCGTGGATGTCCGGCCACAAGTCAAGAATGTCGACCAGGGAACCACGGATGTAGCGAGCAACCGTTGGACTGGCAAAACGCCTACCGCACCCTCGTCCTCCCAGATCCTGCCCCTCGCGCATAGCACACCAGGCGTCACAATACGTATTCGCGATCGAGGTGGTGGGATTGCGCCCGAGACGCTACCGCATATCTGGGACTACAGCTTTACGACCTTCAACGATGATAAGGCGTCTTCGACACTGTCGGGAAGGAGTAGCAATATGGATGCTTTGAGCGCTATATCGGGCCCTGGTGGCGACGGCGCCAACAGTCTTGCGGGACTGGGATATGGGTTACCGCTGGGGAGGGCATATGCAGAGTACTTCGGTGGTGGGATAGCGATCCAGAGTCTCTGGGGGTGGGGCACGGATGTGTATTTGAGCCTCAGGGGAGTGGGCAAAGTGGAAGAAGAAAGCTGGTCCTATAGATCTACGAAGAAAACCGGTGCTGGGGCGGAATAGAACAGGAACACACCCGGAAAATGTAATATATACAACATGCGACGCAGAGAGTGGACCGCCAATCGTCAATGACTGCACATGTTTACCTATGTTTAAGTATAACGAGGCTCTATCGAGGGAGCACGACTCTATTTGCGTCTCTTCCCACCACCGCCGCCGTCTTGCTCCTGATACCTCCTCTTCTTTCCCTCCCTCTCCCAAAACTCCTGCTTCTCCCTCTTCTCCCTCTCCGCCTTCTTCTCCATGTTCTCCGCAATCTTCTTCTTGTACCCCTCCTTCCTCTGCTCCTGCGCCTTCCGCCGCTTCTCCACCTTCTCGTTCCGCAGCGTCATCACCTGGTCCAGCAGCCTTCTCGCCTTCTTCTCCTCGCCGCCCACCACTACAGCGCGCTTCTGCAGATACGTCTTGTTCTTCTGCGGCTTCATCTGCGCAATTTGAGATTTGAAGGGTAGATCGGCAGCGAGCTTGCGCGGCACGCGGAGCGGGTTGAAGTGCCGCTCCTGGCGGTCGACTGGGCGGTAGGCGCTGTTTTTGAGCGACGGTGTGGGAAGACTGAGCTCGTGGCGGACTTGGCCCGTCAGACGCATGCCAGTCCAGGCAGTGGACTCGCCAGCCTCAGGGGACAGCACAGCGTCTAACAGGTTGGTGACGGGGTTGTAGAAGCGGTGCGGCTTGATGGGGTACCAGGCGCGCAGGAAGACGATGTCGCTCATGAGAATCTTGTCTTCGAACGTCGCACGGAAGTTACCCTCTGGTTTTGAAAGTGCGCGCTTGATTTGTCCGCGCACGCCGGACACGGTTCGGATGGAAGCGCCCTCGAATTTTGCGACTTCGAGAGCAGACTGGAACATGTCCTTAATGAAAGCTGTGTTCTTGAAGATCTTATAGGGGTGCCCGGTGAGCTTGAGCTTTTTAACGATCTCGAATGACTCGTCCACGGAGAGGACAACGCCTGTGGCTGCGATGCGAAAGCCTGGCGTCTTGTTGCTGAATGACTGGACGCAACAGAATCCCGTGTTTGGCGCCACGAGTGGGCCGTAGAACGTGCCGTGACAATGCATGTGTTCGGGCGTGTACTTGAGCATGCGATGCCGTTGTCTGTTCTCGTGGATGCTATAGATGGGCGTGACTTGGAAGCGGCGCCAGCCAAGGGAGAAGATGAGGGGGTCGCTGGTCTTGAGGATCTTCTTGTGCCAGCGATGGCGTTTGATGCGGACCTGGACGAAGCCAAAGCGCTCTTCTGTTGGTGTGAGGCCACCGATTACAATAGGGAAGCGAGGATTGAAGTTCGCTGAGAACTCGTAGGGGACCTGCTCGAGGACGATACGGGCATAGGTTCCAGCTTTGTGGCCTTCGACGCGGATGCGTGACGCGGTGTCTAGCTGGTCGAATTCGGCGCGGTTGATGTCGAGTTGTTTTTTAATGATGGCTTTCTGAGCGTCGTACCAGTCGTCTTCACCGAACTCTTCTTCCTGCCCAGAGTCTTTGCGAGCGTTGGCTTTGTCGTTCATGAAGCCTTCTCGGTCCTCTTCCTCAAACCGAAGTTTGAGCTCTTCTTTCCGGCGAGCGTTCTTCTCTCGCTCATCTTCGATCGCGGTTGCTTCATCACCATTTTCTTCAACGGCCTGTTTTCCGCCAAATTTCTCTCCGCTCTCCAGATCCTCAAACTCGCCATCACCTTCATCATCCTCTCCGTCAAAGCCCTCGAACTCATCGTCATCGTCTCCGCTACCGCCTTTCCCATCCATGTGGCCCACGGCAAATCTACTCTTCAGCTCCTCAATATTCTCTTCATCTTCCCACTTTTCCTCCAACGCAGCGTAATCAAAAATGGGTATATAACGATCCTCGGCATTAGCAGCATCATCGACTTTCGATTTGTTAAAGAAATCGTCTTCGTCTTCGTCCTCCGCTTCCTCTTCATCGTTGTCTTCGCCTCGCCACTGTTTTAGAACATCAGCTGGCGATAGTTCCAGGTTCTCCATCAGCTTTGCGAGATCTGCAGGTTGGTACGATCGCTTCCGACCGTGCATCTTTGCTGCATTTTCCCGAATCTTTTCTTTCCATCTAAGAGCACCATCCTCATCGTCTTCATCGAAATCTTCGGAGTTAAGATCGCCATCCTCAAGCTCATCTAGATCTGGCTCTTCGCCTGATATCGAACCAAGGTCGGAATCGCTGTCTGCAAATGCTATGTCATCGGCCGACGTGTCCTTACGCTCAGAATCTCTTCGGCGAGCAAAAGCGGGTTTGCCGTTGGGTATTGAGTCATCATCCAAGAAACCGGTATCGTCCTCTTCGTCTCCGGACTCGTAGTCTTGCTGAAGTTCTTCGTCATCGCTGTCAACTCCCTCTAGCTCGGCTTCGTCAACGTTCTGATCATCTGCCATTCTTGCGTGGCGCTGCGCTTTGCGGCCAGAGTCTGCAACGTCGTCTGCTGTCCCGTTGACGGCCTTGCCTCCGCTGAACAGCCTCATTCCGGCATCGTCTTCGCCCAATAACCTCCTGCCTCCTTGTAGACCCAACATCATCTGCTCGCCGAGCCCGCGTTCTTGGTCTGGATCTGCGTCCGCATCGAATGTTGCCGTCTTCACATCGATGTAAACGGCATCCTTGTCCACCAACACACCACCAACGTCTGACATGGGCGCAAACAGTATCTTCTGCTTTTCGCCAAGTCGTGTTCGTTTCTTCTTGCCCGTCACCTTCTCCATCTGCTTCTCGAAGTAGGGTGTTGGACATGGATCGGGCAGCGCTTCGGTTGAGGAAACGCTTAGATCACCGACACCTGGCACATGTACCCGCGAACCCTGTGCCGGAAAATTTGTCCCACGTAGGTATCCGTACAGCGCTATCGTTCGATCGCACTTGGGATTCGCTTCCATATCAGTCGGCGGCGTGATGTCGAGAAATCTGTCCGCTAGACAGTACGGATGGGAATTTCTCCAGACCAAGGGTCTCGGATTCTTCATAACGCTCAAGAAGCGCGACAAATTCATGATTTCCCTATCTGGGTATCGTCCATTGGCCACACCAGAGAGGTAGAAGAGCTTTGCGCCCTGGTAAAGTTCGCTCCAGAACCTGTGTTTTAACCTCTTCTTCTGCAGCTTCAGTGTTTCTTGTTTCCGGAAAAGATCCAGATGCGTCAGAATGCCAAAGACGTTGCCCGGCATACCGCTTGCAGACAGTACGTTCAAAAATTCCATAGTCTCCATCTCGAAACCATAGTTGCCGTCAATCATGAGCAGGCATATATCAACCACCTTCGCAATGTCGATCATGCTAGCCAGCGAGTCGGCGGGGCATTCCATGAACGTGAGGCGTCGGCGCTTCGAGGTAACGACCGTTAAGGGCCCAGTCGGCGTGGAGAGTGTTTGCTTCGTGTATCGACGGATAAGCGATTTTATCAGTGTAGTCTTTCCTACACCCGGAGGTCCGACGACACCAACGACAATGGGAGGCGCCTCCTCGGGAAGGCGGTCAACGAGCGGAACATGAAGGCGCTTTTCTTTGACCTAGAATCTTGTGTTAGCAAAGCAGCTTGAGGGCTGTCTGAATTGTCCTACATCATGCGATCGCGCGGCCTGCTTCGCCAGTCGACCAGGCGCTGAATACGCAAACGCCTTCGGATTTCGCTCCCCGCTTGTCGGCGCCTTCTTCTCCTTCTGTTTCCTATGTGGTCGATTCGCCTGCTCCGACATATTGGCGTCTCACCGAAAGAATAGGCACAGAATCACCAGAGAAATGCGCAGAGGCGAACGATGCGCCAGTCGGTGTCGCGTTTCCAAAATTTCGTGCTAGCGGCCGTGCCAAGATTGCTGGAGCAGGGGTATGCCATGAGCCGCGCGCTATCGATAAGGGCGGACGCGAAGTGGGCTGGAGGGGCTGAGGCGTGTTGCAGTGAGGCACCGATGGGTACGCGTGATGCCTGCGCCGATGACGTGCGTGTGCTGGACCAAGGTCGTGGTTATCTATATAAACACTCTACGGTACTCTACTTGACCGTAAACCATACCAACATCGCTCGACCTTCTCAGTCCATTTGCACACCTTCAACATGCCTGCTGTCAACGTGAGTCTCCCATCTTGCCCTGAGAAACCGCGTCTAACCGCATACTTTTCCAGGTCACCCTCAAGTCTGGTGCTTCCCCTGAGGAGCTCGACAAGGCCAAGCAGAAGGTTCAGGACCAGGGAGGCAAGATCACAAACGAATTCACCCTCATCAAGGGCTTCACGTATGTCACGCACCTTCCTTACCTGCTGCTGAGATGCTAACGTCCACCTAGTGCCGAGTTCCCCGAGGACAAGGTCGGTGCCCTTGAGACGAACGAGCACCTCACCGTAGAGGCGGACTCGGAGGTCAAGACCCAGTAGATGCAATCTAGCATAAGCGATGGTGCTACGAATAGACGGATACATTACGATGCATGAAGCATGAATAGGACATGCCATTAGCTATTGGGCTTGACGAGGATCCGCTGGCACGCAGCGGTGGGTTTATGACCTAGTAATGCATACCTTCGATTCTTGAATCTCTTCACATGCTGCGGTTCAGACATCTTCGCGTCAACTCGTATTTCCATGCCGTTTTCTCCCCCCATTGCGCGTAGCGTGACTCTCCTGGCAAGTTCATTGCTTTCTATCTGCAACACCTTCGTTGTGTGTAGCGTACCAAAGGAAGCCTCCAACACGTGAATCAAACGAACGACTACAACGCAACAATCGTGAAAGTGGAAATTAAAAAGTGAAACCCTCTTAGAACAGCATCGACGTCGATGAGTGGACAGCCGTACCCTCTTGGACGAGGCTGCGTGCTCCTCTTTACTGCATGGGGCTCAGCCACTCTATTCTTGTGGGCTGCAGCTGCCTTCGGCTGAACGCTTCACCCGATCACTACCTCTCAGGCATCTCGATCTCCCCCGCCGACCTCCAAACTAATACGTTCCCTCCTAGATCTCACAAAACCCCACAGTCAGTGAACAGCTCTGTGCGCGGGCTACGAGCGACCTAGAGATCATCGCCACCGTACTCGTACAAGGCTGGGTCCGTAATTTTGTGAGTCGTACTAGGATGCAGGGTACAAGCGCTGACCTCATATAGAGAGTTCTGAACACGAGCGGTTATGGTAGATAGGACTAGCGCACGGGCGCAAGTCTCATCCACGGGGCTGTCCGTCATTACAACACCTGAAGAGCCTCGCTGGGACATCGTCTTCGTCCACGGATTTACGGGCCACCCCGAGAGAACCTGGTCTACTAAGGTAAATCGTGACGATGCTCCGAAAGCGGCCGAGCGCCCTTCAAAGCGGCAGAAACTCAACCAGGCACTTCAAACATTCGCCGGCAGCGTTGAAGGAGAGTCTATACCCAAGGTATTCTGGCCACGCGATATCCTGCCATCCACGATCCCTGATGCAAGAATCTTGACCTATGGGTATGATACACATATCCGGCACAGGTAAGCAGCGTTTGACTTGTTCCACGCCTGTGATATAGCAGAACGATGTCTGTGAAAGGCTATAATAACTCTTCTTCCGAAATAGATTAGATGCGCCAGTGCCTCAGAGTACCGTGTACGACATTTCGTGGAATTTTCTCATTGCCCTGGAGGGCGAACGCAGGGCGGACCCATTGAGACCAACGATCTTCATCGTTCATAGCTTAGGCGGTATTGTAGTGAAAGAAATGCTTCGCCGATCTAATGGCTGCTCAAGAGGTCAGCCCCACCTCCATCAAGTTTTTGCTTCAACCAAAGGCATCATGTTCTTCGGAACACCGCACGGAGGTTCTGATCCACGCGGGTTCCTTCACCATGTTGCGGAAAGGCTCGTTAAAACCATTGGGTTCACCTACAACAAACATGTTGTCAACGCACTACTGCCATCCGGTGAGCGCCTCAAGGAGCTACGAGACGAGTTCGGACCACTCGCAGAAGAACAGCAGTGGATCATACATTCGTTCCAGGAGCAACAGGGAGTGGCAGCACTTGGTGGTGCAAAGGTCGTTGAAGACACCTCCTCCTATCTCAATCTTCCAGCAAGAGAAGTTTCGGAACATATCGAACGCAATCATATGGAGATGTGCCGCTTTACAGGAACCGATGATGTTGAGTATAGAAAGGTGTCACGAGCATTGCTGAGAATGACTCAAACGGAAGCTCGATCTGAAGAACCATCGGTTCAGGCTCTACGGCCTTTGACTGACGAACACAAGCAGATGCTTTTAGAGTCCTTGAATTTCGAACAACTTGAGTCCCGACAGAGGAGCATCAAGGAGGCCCACAAAAAGACATGTCGATGGTTTTTGAGCACTCCAGAATACAAGAACTGGCTAGCCTTAAATGAATTGGGCGAACACAATGGATTCCTATGGATCAAAGGCAAGCCTGGAGCTGGGAAATCGACACTGATGAAGTTTGCCTCCGAGAAAACTCGTGAGAGACTTAGAGGTGTTACAATTATTTCCTACTTGTTCAATGCAAGAGGGGAAGTTTTGGAGAAATCCACGATTGGTGCATATCGGTCACTGCTGCTACAACTCCTCCAGAAGATACCCAGCCTCCATGTAGTACTTGACTCTTTGAACGCCGCAACCCAAGTCATCAGTCCGATATATCAATGGGATATCGCAGCCCTGAAGCATCTGATCAAGTTCGCGATTCAGAATCTCGGCAGTTCCTCAGTAATCTGCTTCATAGACGCGCTAGACGAGTGCGAAGAGGATCAGGTCCACGACATGGTACTCTTTCTCGAGCACATCAGTGAGGCCATACCAAAGGAGAAGAGCTTCCGCGTGTGTTTGGCGAGTAGACATTACCCGCATATCAGCGTAAAACATGGCCTGAGTTTGATACTGGAGGGTCATGAAGGCCACGAGGAAGATATCACAAATTATCTCAGCAACCAGCTATACATTGGACACTCGAAATTAGCGGAAGCTATACGAAGCGAAGTTCACGAAAAGGCTTCTGGAGTATTCATGTGGGTCGTCCTCGTTGTCGGCATCCTGAACCAAGAATTTCAACGGGGCCGCATTCATGCCCTCCGTCGCAAACTCCGCGAACTTCCGAAGGATCTGCACAAATTGTTTCGCGACATCTTGACACGTGATACCAATAACATGCCAGAGCTCGCTTTGTGTCTACAGTGGGTCCTGTTCGCAACAAAACCTCTGACCCCGGAGCAGTCATACCACGCGATACTTGCAGGTGTAGAAAAGGAACTGAGCCCGTGGGATCCGAAAGAGATATCAGTAGACGACATTTGCAGATTTCTACTTGATTGTTCAAAGGGCTTGACCGAGACCACCGGACCCAGATCGGCTAAGAGAGTACAGTTCATTCACGAGTCTGTACGAGATTTTCTACTGAAAGAGGATGGATTTTCAACCATCAATTCTCGCTGGGGAGCTAACCTCCATGCTCAAAGTTATGAAACATTGAAGAATTGCTGCATTATTTCTTTGACAGCCGCATCGGTACAGACAGCTCCCTTCTCTCAGGACATTGATCACAGGGAGTCTCTTTGGATTCACCGATACTCAACGAATTCCAAACCCGTACAGCATCGGCACAGTCGACGTCAAGAAACGAGCGGAACACACTGGCCATTTTTAGAACACGACGCGCGAAATGTCATATTCTATGCTGACAAAGCTCAAGCCAGTGGCGTGGACCAGAAAGCCTTCCTGGCTACTTTTCCACTTGAAGTCTGGATAGAATACATCAACAATTTCGAGAAACATGCGATCCGCCGCTATGATCCAGCTAGTCATCTCAGTCTCCTGTACATCCTTGCGGAACGAAATGCTGCACATCTTTGTAATATATTGGACTACATACCAGCGTATGTCCAAGTGGAAATGCAACGTTATGGAACCCCTCTTCTTGCAGCGTTGGCGACCGACAGTCTAGATGTGGTGAAGCTCTTTCTCGAGGATGAGAAAGCACATCGAGGACGATCACACCGACTATTTCAATACTACGATGAGTACATGAACAACTACTCACAAGATGGTTACCTCAAAAGAGATTTTGTGTACGTTCACGACGAAAGTGTCCTGTTGAACCTAGTCAGATCTCACCAAGGTGCTATGCTCCAATTCTTGCTTGAAACAGGTGAGTTGATTTTATTTTGGTGCCTACCCGGGTAGGATTCCCGATAGCTTTGCCTAAGATTATTATATTCGTTCAACGTACGGATGGATGCTCGTTCCCTTCCGACGTCAAACCACCATGCTGATCATCAATGTGCTTACCACTCGTAAAAGGCCGATTCGACGTCGATTTTGACATTGACAACGACGAAAACTTGTTCTTATATGCTTTGCATAATGGCCAGAATGGCACAGGGAAACAAATCTTTCAATACGTAAGCGCGGATACCAAGTCAGTGCTCCTAGACCTCGCTGTTGCAAAAAACCACTGGAGCTTCATCAAATTTATACTTGATGGAGATAGCTGTGCTGCTCATTTATTGCCAAGGTTATTGTCTCAAGCAATCACATTCGACAAGGCTCGGGTGGTAGGGCTGGTGTTGAATCACAAGAATTTTGATACTGCGAACTTGTTTGGCGACTACTCGCTGTATCCTGAGTCCTTCCTCTTTGACCTGGTTGGGAAATACCCTTCAGAGACATTACGCATGATTTTCCGCAAAGGACAATTAAAGACAAAGCTGCTCGAGCAGCTGCTATGCACAGAGAGCATGTGGGAAACCACGTCAAACGGTTATGACAATTTTGGGTTCCATTTCAATTCTGAACTGGCCTGGTGGATGAGCGATGTAATACATCCTCTAGTCGAGCGAGATGACATGGATATCAACTGCCGAGATGCCCAAGGAAGAACTCCCTTGTTTTTGGCTGCCTTTTTTGGTAAATTCAGAGCTGTGAAACTTTTCACCAGATTGGATCAGGTCGACGTGAATGCTCCAAGCGAGGGTGGCGAAACCCCCTTGATGGCCGCTTTGTTTTCTCCTTGTAGCCAAATCGTCGCGAAAAGCTTACTTGCGACAGGCAAGGTTAACCTCAAGCTCAAAGATTCTCTTGGACGCGACGCCTTCTCAATCGCGGCAAGTTTGCGGCCAGGCAATCTGAGAGCTGACTTTATCATCGAGCACAATCTTCCGCCACCGCATCTCTCGGACCATCTTCTAACACTCAAGATCCTCTACGAAGCTGGAAAGCTCACAGAACACTTCGATATCAACTCGCAAGACAAGTGCGGACGGTCTCCTTTGCTATGGGCTTGCACTGACCAGCCAGCTACAAGGTATTCAGCAAAGGATAGATACGAGGTAGTCAAATTTCTGCTTGGAATAGAAAACATTCTCCCGGATCTGGCAGATTTTTCAAGACGCACTCCGCTCTCTTGTGCAGCAGAAAACGGCTACGTTGAAGTGGCCGCACTATTACTCGGTACAGACAAAGTCAATGTCGCCTCGAAAGACAGTTCGGGACATACACCTCGTTTTTACGCGGATCAAAACAAGCAGACAGAGATGGTAAGCCTACTGGAGCGGCATCAGGCTCAAATATTTCGATCTCAGCCACTGCCCTGAATGCGCTTGGAGCAAACAGCTATCTTCCGGAATTACGCAAGTCACTGCACCCTATCTTTGGGGGAGCTAACACAGAGTACGTTGCTCAGTGTCCGTTTGACGCCGCAGCCTGTTGTCTCATAGTCAGTCTTCTGCACTGGGACATTGGTCTCGAAATAACGGAATTACTGGTCTTAAACGGCGCTAAGATTCCCACTTACCGGCCACAACACCGAAAGGCTGGCGTCAGTGAGAGAGAAAGCAGGCTCCAATATGTTCGTCCACGAATGCGACATAACCTCAACTGAAATCTATTGACCCCGTGGCAATACTGGCGACTACTATAGGCATGGAGCTTCACGTGGTCTTCATCGACGCTGGATACGCAAACCTGGAGCCTTTCACCGCTGTCTCAAAATATTTTTCCCGCCGTACATCTAACACCAACGTCTTCGGTGCATGCTTCGTCGCACAAGGCCTCGCACCGTTGGTCAAGCCCGGCGACACAACCGTCTTCACGACCTCGATCGCAAAACCACCGTGGTATTCTAGGCATGCTTATCTACGCGCAGCGAGTAAAGTCGCAGTGTACTCGTGCATGCAGACGTTGAGTGCGGAGCTGGCATATCAGAGTGTCCGCGTAAATTCTGTCCGCCTTGGTACGTTGAGAAGCCTACAAAGGGTGTCGAGGGGACGTCTGCAGAGAAGCTGGCGATTGTCGCGGCGCACGGTGCACAGATGACGCCGCTTGGGGGAATGAGGAGGGCAGAGGAAGCGGGGAGGGCGGTATTGTTTCTGGGGTACGAGACTACGTTTTCGACGTTTTCGACGGGGATCTGGCGGTGCTGGAGAAGATGGATGATCGAATGTGGTTGATTGGAAAGGCGCCGAGACGATTTGTGCAGGAGTTGCTCTAGTTTGCGCTTTGGGAGAATGACGTGGTAGCTGTAGGCGCAGCATAGCTGTTTATAGGTCGTTAGTAGGCATGATATATATCAGTAACCTCAATTGTTCACCGTGGGGGCATACGATCCACTAGTTTCGAATCCATTGTGCGTGATGGAATGCTTCCTAATCAGCGCTTTTCCGGACTTGGTCATCAGCAGGACAATATGCGAGGCAATATGCAATCAGGATTCTCAGCGGTATGAAGTCGTGTGACGAAAGACATCAGCAATGGGACAGTGCGACCGGGAGAATTCGGGGATGACCATCAGTCGCGCGGTGTCTGCAGCTCCGGCATGCCGATGGGTTTGTGCCCTATAAAAAGCGAATAATGTTGAAAGGGCATTGCACTTTAGATATTCGCACTTCTCTCCATCATCTCCATCATGGCAAATACCGCTTTTCTGTTCGTCCCCGGTGCCTGGTGCCCAGGCTTCTACAACCACAAAGTCACGGATAAGCTTCAAGCTCTCGGCTACCACGCCGTATACGTGGATCTACCTTCATCTGGAAAGAAGGACGATGCACCGGGTCTCCAAGAAGATGCATCCCACGTCCGGACCCATGCTGCTGCGATACTGGATTCCGGGAGCAATCTCGTTATTGCAGGCAATTCCTACGGCGCTTTCGTAGCCCAAGAAGCGTGCGAAGGCCTTACGAAGGCCTCCCGCCCGGATGGGTCCCATGTCTGCCACATCGTTATCATCGCCTCATTTTTCGCTCGAAAAGGCCAGACGATGAAGGATCTTGTGGATGGTCAGGTACCCATTCCCGAAGATAATGAATGGCTCGAGGCTCCACCTGGGGATGCGGCCTACAAAGCCTTCTTTAGTAGCTTATCGGAGGATGAGGGACTAAAGTATGGAAATATGCTCCGTGAGCAGAGTACTAGGGCGTTGGTCGAACCGTTGACATTTGCTGCGTGGGAAACCGTGCCGACCACAATGGTGGTTGCTGGGAAAGATCTTGCTCTGAAGCCACAAACGCAATCAGAGGTAAGCCATGTCAACACGGTCCTCGATATGATTCACAAGTATACTAATTCACCTAATTGTAATTTAGAGTTTTGAGGATGCACAGAAAACAGGCATCAAGGGGCTGAGGAAGGTGGTCTTAGCCGACGGCGAACACGTCACTATGTTGTCGAGTCCTGACGACATCGTCGACGTCTGCGTGGGGATCGCTGGTGTTGATGCAGAGTAACGTTTCTGGGGTAAGCTGCGGACATGTGGGATGATCTAAGCATATGTAAACGTTAGGAGGATGGAAATGAGATGGCTGATGCGGAGATTGACTGCGCAGTAGTAAGCATCCTCTTCGCGATTCACGGTCCATCCTAGGTATCAATATTAACCCAAAAAGTCAGATCAGCAGTTCCCAAGAACATTGACTAACAGCACGTGATGAAAGTGCGCAAGAGACATTAGGAGTGAATGGGTTCTTATCGATAAGTGCACGTGATAGCGCGCCCGCTGAGACCAACTGCACCATCCTTCCTCAATTTCATCACCCTCTTCCCCAAAACATTGCATCTTCATCGCTCTCAACGCCGTTATCTTGGCGACTACAACCTGTTATCAGTAAACAAGGCCAAACACAAATAATGAAACAGCTGCGACCCACATGCGACATTTGGTCTGGACCGTCGAGCGTGTCGGCTAGCGCGTCTGTCAGTCACGCGCGCTACGAACGCCATCATCGGATGGCGACCTTGTATCTGCATTGCACAAACTCATCCATCCTCAAAGGGGTAGCAAAGTTGCTGATTTACAAGTGACCGTGAAGCCCCCTATACTTCGCTGACTCATAGATGTAAATATGCCTTTCTCCAGTGATAGGTTGATATGCCTAGCTCTATCGGATCATCGCTATCTGAGGCAGCTAGCAAGCTACACTTCCGACCGGATCAGCCTCGTCCAGCCTCGCACTCTGTACCTCCAAACAATCTACCCCAGCTTTTCAGATTCTCCGATCGACCTACGTAGGTAAAGCGTGTTAGAGCTATTTCCCAGAGCATCGGAATCAAGATGTTGTGTGCCATCAACCCCAATGGCAAAGGTGCCCTCGTCACATATGACGAGTGAAACAGACAGCTTGCGTGTGCAAAGGCGCCACGACGCCACAAACCGGAGAGGTCTGCTCCAGGTTGATCGCCCTCGATTGATTCGTTTTCAAGCAATAGCCTGGCCTTCTATGTTGTCGCACCTTCAACGAAGTTTTATGCATAGCTATCGGCGTTAGACTCTCTATCTCGACATGAGATCACTGATAAGGCTGGAGCAATGAGCGAACGCGCCAGATACGGGAACTTTGGATACCGAGTAACACTTCTCGTCTTTGTCTTATTCATGCTCGACCCTCGTTCTTCTCCCCATGCTGTTGTGTTTTTTGTTTTCAGTGAGCTGGACTCATTTGTTTTGCATCTAATCTGTCTTATTTCACATAAGGGGCAGTGGGCTGGGCTCACTTCCACTATTTTCCAGTACCATAATGCCTAATAAGGAGGAAAAGAGATCCTCTACATCATCTAGCATACTTTCGAAAGATTCGACTCCACTGGCCGCACTAGAGAAACGACTGACAGCCTGGGACCTTAATCTGCCCGAAAAGGGCTGGGCGTCTCTGTACAACAGCGATAAAGGCGGCATCTCCGTATCGAAAGATAGCTCGTCGATATATTCAGTCGAATCTCTCAGCAAGCACATTGAGTCGCCCAAAAATGAGAACGAGAACGAGAACTCCCCGTACGAAGAGGTCCGTGCCGCGGTGCCAAACTACGATGAAGTTGTACCGGTCAACACCATCCGTGCTTGGGTCATCGGGCTCATGCTTTCTTTCATGGGAGCTGCAGTCAATACCATTTTCTCACTGAGAAATCCTGTTATTGGCGTCGGTATAATCGTCGCACAGGTGCGCGCCTGAACAACAGCAAGAAGACGGCTGCTAACAAACCACTGACAGCTTGCTGCCTATGTTCTAGGCAACGCCTGGGCAAGGTTCGTGCCTTCTAAGCAGTATACAACCCTCGGTGTGCAGTGGAATCTCAACCCGGGGCCTTTCAACGTCAAAGAGCACGCACTTATCGTCGTCATGGCCAACGTTTCGTTCGGCACTGCGTATGCGACCGACATTATACTTGCGCAGAAGATTTTCTACAAGCAGGACTTTGGAATTGCCTTCCAAGTTCTCCTCACGATCACCACATCAAGCGTCGGCTATGGCATTGCAGGCGTACTCAGACGTTTTCTCGTTTATCCGGTTTGTGCCATAGCGATTCGATTGCCGCGTCTCCTCATGCTGATTGATAGCGCAGGCTGCCATGATCTGGCCTAGCAATTTAGTCAGTGTCACGCTCCTGCATGCCATGCATGAGAAAGGAGAAGATCTAGACCCAACCGTCTTTGGCGGTAAGATGACTAGGTATAAATGGTTCGGGATAGTCTTCCTGGCTTCATACGTGTACTACTGGAGACCTGGCTTCTTTGCACAGGTACGAAAGCTACCTCTTTTTCGTCCCTCATACTCACCTTTTATAGTTCCTTAGCATCTTTGTATTCATCACTTGGATGTTCCCACAAAAACCTGTTGTCAATCAGCTTTTTGGTGGCACTTCCGGCCTGGGCCTTCTTCCTTTGACACTCGACTGGACCACGATAACAGGCTTTACTGGCAACCCTATGATTCCTCCATGGCACGCCATTGCAAACATTCTGCTTGGGGTCCTCATCTTCTACATATTTGGGTGCCTGGGTCTACACTACAGTGGTACTTGGTTCGCACAGCACCTGCCAATGAGGTGAGCCACGCTACTCTCGATCTACATTTCTTCAATGCTGAACAGCCCAGTGACTCCACTACCTATGACAACAGAGGATTAAGTTACAACACGTCCCGGGTTACAACACCTCAACTTACATTGAACGATCAAGCCTACAAGGAATATTCACCTTTGTTCATATCTACCACATTCGCTATGAGCTATGGTTTGTCATTCGCCACTATTGCATCCGTTGTCGTGTACACATATCTGAACTACAAGGACCTAATAGTTGGCCAGTTCAAAACCTCACAGCACGAGAAGCCAGACATCCACATGAAGCTCATGCATAAGTATAAGGAAGCACCGGAATGGTGGTACGGGGCATTATTCTTGCTGATGTTCATACTCTCGCTAGTCACCGTGTTGGCATACCCGACTGAGGTAAGTCTCGTCTCGTCAGAAGGATTGACAATCTTCTAATCATGAGGAGTTCACCTGGTGGGCGTTCCTCATTGCGATCGCCTTCTCGACAGTGATGGCGCTTCCCATTGGCATCATCCAAGCAACCACAAATCTGCAAATTGGGTTGAACGTCATCACCGAGTTTATTATGGGTTACATGCAGCCTGGGAAGCCGCTCGCTTTGATGATGTTCAAGACTTATGGGTTCATTACAGCGAGCAGCGCGTTGGGCTTTGTTGGCGATCTGAAGTTGTAAGTAAGCCCTTATAGAATTGTCGTGCTCGCGCTAACATGACTGTTACCAGTGGCCATTACATGAAGATTCCACCGCGAACTATGTTTGCCGCACAAGTCGTTGCAACAACTCTCTCGTGCTTCGTACAAATCGGTAAGTGTACCAATCTTTCTCTTTTTTTCGCCGGCTAATTCTCTACTCAGCCGTCTTGAACTTTGCATTGAACAATATTGAAGATGTGTGTGAACTCACCCAGAAGCAACGCTTCTCCTGCCCGGGCGGTCGGGTGTTCTTCTCCGCCTCTGTGATCTGGGGCCTTCTGGGTCCACAGCGCATGTTTAGTCCTGGTCAAATATACTCGGCGCTCTTGTTCTTCTTCCCAGCTGGGGCACTTGCCACGGTCATTCTACATTATTCTAGCAAGAAAATTAGGCCACTCCGATTTGCGATGACACCCCTCATCTTCGGCGGCGGTCAAGCAATTCCGCCAGCTAGCCCCCTCAACTTCCTCACCTGGGGCATTGTGGGCTTCATCTTTCAGAAGTATATCAAGACCAGGCACTTCAGATGGTGGTCGAGACTTAACTATCTTACGGCTGTGGGGCTCGATACTGGGTTGGCTATTAGCACGTTGACGATTTTCTTCATTTTTACGATTAACAAGATTGATGCACCGCAATGGTGGTAAGTTCAATGGTGCTATTTTTGTGACACACGTAGCTGATTGGTCGGTGCACTAGGGGCAACACGGTCATCGCTACGACGATGGATACACAGAACACAGCAATCCAAAGCCCGGTGCCCGTGGGCCAGACCTTTGGGCCTAAGTCCTGGTAGGTGAAGGAGTCACTCGGCAAGGCTTGTTGCATGTATACATACCGTCGTTACCTAGGCGTCCGCGTCGCACTTTTGTTTGAGTTCTCATTCACAGCGTTTAAACCTTTCATTCGTTGTATATAATATTGTGTACCTCCAGCAGCACACAGACGTGGTGTCGTGTGATATAATCAGGCAAAGCCTGGGCATGGTACGCTAGAACCCCTGTCGCTTGCGATTCGTGACGCTCAGGTAGCCCAGAGTGCTCTTCGCGTGCGGCAGCCGACATGGTCGTCCGTCAAATCTTTTGCCTTTCTCAACGGACCACACAAGCATGTGGTTAGCCTGTTGTCCTACATGATGTTCTGTTTCTTCACTATCCTACGATATCAGCTGATCGAATGGCTTCACCTCGCATCTCATTCAGGTTTCGGAGGAGCCTCACCGCAAGATGCCCAGGAATTCGATTGGCGTGGAGCGCGTGAAAGCTCTACCAAGGTTTAGTCTAAGCAAGCACTTGCTCGAATATAGCTTCGACAAACTACATTGGGTTAATACTCCGATCTATCTCCATCGTACCTGTAGATTTTCGGACAATTTCTTCTGAGGAACTCTCGTGGTATTAGCCAGATCGGCGCTGTTTCGCAGACGCGACACAGAGTTCCACGTGCCATCCTGGAGAGGATCTCGCACCGGCTCATCCTTCGATCTTCCAGGGTTTGGCACTAGTGAACGGGAGTGGAGGTGCAGATCACTAGGCCCGCTGCCCCACTTATGAACCTCCTCCAGCGACTTGAGCCTCCAATCTACGGCGATGCCGGATGTTATACAGAAACGAGTGTCTTGTCAGTGCTGTCGGACGTCTTGTTCTTTTCTGGGCCTTGATACTGGTAATTCCTCTTTCATTAACGCCCGATCTCCACCTCGCTGTGACCACGATCCGCAGTGACTTTTTCTCGTCTTCCACCTTCCTGAGATATTGAAGCGTCTTCATCAACAAAGTGGCATGCATGCGTGACGAGCTGCTGAACCCAGACGCATATCATCGCCAGGCCATTCCTGAACGCGGATGTCCAGCTGGTTGCACTCCTTACGAAGACGTGTTCGCACCCGCATTGAGGAAAGATGGCAGCGGGCGATTAACAGCTCCGGCAGCAGTCATGCGAAGCAACGTTTTATTCAGCTCCTCCCAGCACTTCCGTATTTGATTATCGGTATGAGTGAGACCCAGGTCCGACTTGTTTGTGTGTCCGCCAAACCTTCGGATCTTAGCGTTACCTATCGTGCGGAAGTCGTACCTAACGTGGTCCGCTAGGTACCGCACCATCAAGATGACGTCCACCCGCTAGTCTGCAGAGCCTCGAATATAACAACAACGCTGAGTTCTGACCGTTTTCTGAGTCCACTGTTGCAGTCATGCAGCTCGTACGAGCTTCTCGAGTCACGTCTCGACGCTGTTTCGTTGGAAGTGGCGTTGGGGTGTCGCGCAGTGGTGGCTACCCGCTGGCTTTTGATTCGCCCATGAGCTGTTTCAATGAAACGCATTCGATGGCGCAAAGTCTATCGGAGAATGGACGTATGCGGCAGTCCGTCAAACCTCCGGCGCCACTCTACGAAACTTTCGATGTCGTCTGCATGCACTGAGTACTTTGCTTGCTGAAGAAATAAAGAATACGGTCCTCCGTCGTGTGTTCCGGGTCGAGATGCAGTTTCTCCAACATGGGTATGCGTGCGCTGGTCTTCGCTTTGTTATGTCTTCTGATGTTGGGAGACGTCAGAGGGGATGGGGTGCAATCGCGCGAACTGGGTATCGCAGACATCCCTCCTTGCGGCGTGAGTGTTCAGTCTCTAGGGATCATGGTTTAAGACTTCTAACATACCCGTAGCTTACATGTCTTCTTCTCAACATGGCCGATAGCGGTTGTGAACTCTCCGATGTCGAATGTCAATGCAGTAACATTGTCCTTGCCAAACACGTATCATCATGCATGCTTGCAAACTGCACGATGGAAGACGCCTTGGGTATGCAACCAGATATTTCAGGGTTGAAAATGGCTTACAATCATTTGAAAAGGGTTCGCCCAAGTACAAGATGGCATGTGCGATCTCTCGGAGGCTTCGAGATCGAATGAGATTTTCATCTGCACCTGCATCTGTTATCCAATCGCGGTCTTTTTTGTCATTCTGAGGCTCATCGGCAAGACCATCTCCAAGAGAGTTCGAAAGGAGGATTGGATCATTGTGAGCTCGCTAATTCTAGCTGCGATGCCTATCGCATGCGTATTGAAGAGTGAGTGGTAGAATTAGTTGCACAATCTGCACTGACAGTTGTTAGTGACCTCTATTGGTTTTGGCGAGCACCTGTGGAACCTGAAGCCAGATGAATTATTTCACAGTCTCCGGTATTGTAGGGCAGTCTTCACTCTGATGTAAGCTCAGTAGTGCTGACACTGGTAGTCTATATCGCATGGTCTACATACGTCGTTGTCCTGGGTATGCTGAAAGCCTCCTTGGTCATGTTCTACCTCGAGATCTTCCCAGCGAAGAAAGTCCGCACTATAGCTTACATCATCCTGGGATGGATCATCGTCAACTCGCTTATTCTGTTCTTTCTCACGATCTTCAACTGTTGGCCAGTCAATGCCTTTTGGAATAGGGACATCAAGGGACGGTGCATGGACATCAATGCTCTGGCTTTCGCAAATTCTGGGTCATCAATCGCACAAGACATTGTTCTCCTTGTGTTTCCCTTGGCTTGCATACGACAACTGAAAATGGAACGTGCTCGAAAGTTTGCAGTCGGCCTGATGTTTAGCATCGGTACATTGTAAGTTCAATCATAATCCTCACGAGTGGAAGCTAAACTGGAGGGAACAGTGGTTGCATTGCAACAATTATCCGCCTGCAATCGCTCTTCACATTTGAAGCCACACTCGACCCGACGTGGGACTACGCACCAGTGACCATATGGACCGAGATTGAACTTGCTTGCGGTTACGTCTGTGTCTCGCTCCCCGCCATCCGTGTACTCCTAGGTCGCGTGTTTCACACGGACATGTTCTCCTCTTTGAGTCGTTCGCGAAATAATACCGACCCGGTGATCCCGCAATATTCCGATCCCAAACCAATGCCTAAAGCGGTACCTACACAAATCAGAGCAAAGAGAAAGACTGTTTGGATGCGTCTTTCGACCGCAGCGTACCGGGACAACTCAAGTTCAGAAGCAGCAGTCGCGTGGCCCGCGGGGTGGAGTCCCCGTCCTTGGTCTGGTCCTCAGCGAACGCCTACAAAAAGTCATCGAAGGTTGGGCAGCGATCAGGGTTCTTCATGCAACTTCTCGCATATGCGAACATGTACACCCCCAGTCTCAGCCGAAATCGCGCGGTTCGGACAAGACGTAGAATTGGGGATCGTTCCGGAAGCTGAGTCCAACGCTGAAGCATGCTTGAGCTGCGGAACCGAAAATGGGTACCTTACGGCTCTGCCGACCTTGGGGTGCTTGCCGGATGCAAATTTCTCTAGAACAGATCTCGGTCGTCCCACGACGAGCGAAAATAAATGGCACAAGTGTCCTATAAGGGGCAAGGTGGTTGCTTAACATTAGTAATGTACAATCAAATTTCCAACCAAAACTGAACTTAATTCGCTAACACGCTATGCTCGCTTGAACAATACATAGACATGTATCTATCCAAATCATCCTGAAGCTGCAGCCGCAGCTGCAGACGCGCCAGCATTCGCTGAACTGGCGCTTGCCGCCGCAGTTTTAGCATCCGTCTTCTGCTTGTCATATCGCGCGTAGCAAACCCCAAGGGCGAGCAGGATATCCATGCCAGGCGCGACATTGACCAGGTCTTCTCGGTGCACATGCTTCCACTTTTCATGTATCGACATTGTTGCTACAACATACCCATTCCACAGAATCCCCTTGTCTTGCTCTAGGACCTTGTTTTGCACTAGCATCGTCTCTTCAACATTTGGCGTGGGAAAAATCGTTAAACCTTGTCAAACTTTAGCATGAAATATCTATACAGTGGCTTCAGATGATCATCATACGGTAATCTGTGCCCCTTAATCCACGATGTAACTTCACATGCCATGCCTCGCTTCCATCTGGTCGCATGCCATGGTACTCCTCGCCTTTCCCACTCCATTTATGCACCTGCTTTACCACGCGCAGCACCTCCTCGCCGATGGGTGTCCGAAAAACCATTTCACGGCGCTGCTCCTCGCGTGCGTGGAGGTAGGGCGCGCCTTGTTTTGTGATTGTGAGGTCATATCTGCTGGACCAATTTGATGGAGATTCTTTGATGAGCAATAGTGTAGTGGTTTGCGCGAGATAATTGGCATTGTGAAAGATTAGTCCCGGAGGCGGGAGTGGTGGGAGTGAACTTGGTAGTGGTGGTGACATGTTTGGACTTCAAAAGAGAAGGATTTGGTCAAGACTTGTCAGAGATGGCGACGAAAGTGTCGAAAGTCGGGCTGATGTCGCTTCTCTGATGGAACATCCACCCCTCTTATACTTCGCAAACTGTCTCACGTACGACGACGACTGCAGAGCAACAACGATGCTCACCATGATGATAAAGCTGAAGATTCGGCTGCTGTTCCCGAACGGGCAATTTCGATGGCCAAGGGCATGCGTCACCAATGACAGATTGAGCGAAACCATTGGAAAGGTTTAGTGGAAGGGGCCAGAAAGTGGAGACTGCAAGGCTGAAGCATTGCACACCACCTCATTGGTACAATTTCTACCCTACACCTCTCCGGTTTGTTTTGTGAGTGTAGAATCGTAAAGAGTTTTGTAGAGAGCACTCGGGTGGACATGATGGATAGGCGGCCCATGCCAATGATAGTCAAAATGAGGCTATAAATAATATTGTGCTTTGTGTTCAGTCCGATGCCTTGAAACAATGATTCAGCAGTGTGGTATCTCTTGCGGTATCAATGATACAATCTGGTTTAAGATCTCACATAGCAATTTTACATGGAATACAATACCGCTAAGTCGTGAGAAGGTTCCTAAGCAATATCAGATGCTACTTTCGCTGGTATTGGTGCCTTCGTAAAATTGTCTACTATACGTATCACGTTCGCCAGTTGCGATGGGCTGCACCTCTGGGTTCTGGGTAATAATCAGCGTTGGTTTTTCGAAAGAACTTGAGAGGTGGAAGTCGTTTCAGAATTGCACACGCGAAATCGCCTATTCGCGGAGTTATTTGAAACCGCTGATGCATCCCTGACAGGAATATTCGTTTCCAGATGACCATCGATATTTCTTAATATCGATGACCGTTAGTACTGTCTCATGGTACTTTCCAGCACCGAGGTGCGCATATAAAAGAAATGCGGAGTTTTCGATCAAGGGGGTCTCTCCTTTACCACACTGTTTGTTTCCAAATCACATTCTCTCCCAGGCCATCTAGTAATCTACGATCCGTCTTGATCATGAGGTCCGCATTTCTCCTCGCCGTTTGTGCGATGCTTCCTTCCGCACTTGCTCACTGGAACTATGACCGTCTTATTCACAAGGGAGCCATCGTGGGTGACTATTACACCTACATCCGACGCACCACGAATTCGAACTCTCCTATCACGGATGTTACCTCGACCGATATGCGGTGCAATGCCGGCGGGTCCTCGGGTGCTTCCACATCAACCTACACTGTAGCGGCAGGAGACGAGATTGGCTTCATGATCGACACTAATTTTGGACACCCTGGCCCGCAACAAGTGTACATCTCGAAAGCCCCCGGCCTCGCGAAGGACTACGATGGTTCCGGATCCTGGACCAAGATATACGCTGCTACAACCAAGGCAATTACCGATCAAGGGTTGCAATGGTCCACAGACAACATTGGCAGCTTCCTCTTCAATATCCCGTCCACTATTCCTGCAGGCGAATACTTGGTGAGAGCGGAAGGTCTGGCTTTGCACGGTGCCAGCACGCAGGGCGGCGCGCAATGGTATCTCGGGTGCGCGCAAATTAAGGTCACTGGTGGCGGGAGCGCGACTCCGGGCAATACAGTGAAGATTCCTGGATACGTGACCGGAAAAGAGCCAGGCGTCCTGATCAATATTTATTATCCTGTACCAACGAACTACACGACGCCAGGTGGGGCGCTATGGCCAGCGGGGACGAAGGAACTTTCTGTCGTAAAGACATTGTAGTCGATTGCTTCACATACAATCCATCGCTTTCTTTGTCAATATGAAAGTTCTTTGGAGGGTTGATACCATATCATGGACGGATGCCGACAATAAAGAGTCAAATAAGCGACAGCGTGAATGAGGTCGACTGCGAGCTAATATCTTTGTATACCGCGATGATCACCTGAAAGGATATCTATGACGTAGGAGCCCACTATCTTTGCTCAAGGATTTCAATTCCGAACTCAGTCTCGATACGATTTTGAGGCGCCAGGAAGTGGGGAAGGAGACACACTTAAGCCATAGCGCCTATACTAGAATTCATTTCGTTTTCTTGGATGCGATTGATGGAAGTCTGGTAATCCACGAAGTGACCTGCTGCCAGGGTAGCGCCGGAAAGAGGTGGTTAGCCATTCCGAACATTAATATACCTTGTTACTAGCACTAGAGTTGGTGGAGGATTCGTGCCCTCCTAATACAAATTTTGGCCTCTGACCTGACTTCAGATGTAATTTTCGAGTAAAAGGAAGCTGCCGGCGTCTGGAGAAGAGGGATGGGGTCCGGAAAAACGGAGCCGGAAACTCGCGTTGTTCGTTCTGTCAAATTTACATATGCAGCTGCATGTCGTGAGACTGCACACCAAGTTTCAAACGCGTTGCGCAACGATGTTCAGCGTCTCCGTAGTGGTTGGAGATGTGGTGCCATGTACGTCGATCTTTTCAAGCCTCCGCATGACTCAGCAGCGACATCCACATCGACTACCTTATCTCACGGGGCCAGACGACTAGGAAGCTTAGTAACGCTAAGCTAGGCGGCCCTATTAGGTTAGTGCTATATATAAACTCTAATAAACTCTAGAAGCTAATAGGGGGCTAGCTTAGTCTAGCTTTTTAGAGTGTCTAAGAGATTATTAAACTAACTTTAGTACTTTCCTAATTTATATTATATAAGAATATATCTATACTTTTAATACTATATATTATTACTACTATAATATCTAAATCTATTATTTTTATATATAATTAAGTTCTAAATATTTCTACTATCTACTAAACTTATAGTTTTTTTATAATAGGGCTCCTTAGACTATGTTACTAGCCGTGGCCCTATTAGGGTTCTAGTAAGAGATAAGTAGCATGTAGAGTAGTATAGATTATATAGGGTATAAATATTAATTAATTACTACTATAAGAATATATTACTAAAAACTTAATAGTAATCTTCTATAAGGAAACTAGATATATATTATAATTATAGTAGGACTAAGTAAGGCGAGTAGGGAGGATTATACTTAAGATATTAGTAATAGAGGTAAGCTAGATTAAGCCCTATAGGCTAGCTAGATAGATAGCTTATATTATCTATTATATAATAAGGTCTAGTATAAGTAGGAGACCCTAGGGACCTTAAAGACCCTAGGGACCTTAGGAGGTCCTAGGACCTTAGAGTCTAGATAGAATCTCCTAGATAATAAAAAATAGTATATAGTTTAAAGGGACTTTAGAATCTTTCCTATTCTTTATAGTTAAAATTCTATAGTTAAAATTAGAGTATATCTTCTATACTAAGATCTATTAGTCTTCTTATATAATTATTACCTTACCTTTTATAAGTAAGGCTAGAATATTCTTTTACTCCCTCTTTATTATTTATTCACTCTTATCCACTAAATACCTATAAGACTAGCCTAAGTTAGGTATATAGAAACCCCTTATAACACTTTAACTACCTAAAGGTATAAGATATAATAGTAACACTAACTAGCTTATAAGCGTTAAGAGTAGTAGCTAGAAGTTCTACTTCTAGACCTATAACTAGTATAGCTATAGTTATAGCTAACTAGGCTAATTAGATTTAATAACTCTAAGAGTAACTAGTATAATTAATAGGATAGTTCTAGGGATAGGTAATAGTTACTACCCTAATTAAAGAAATGTTTAAAGTCCTAGAGCTCTTTAATAGAGACTAAGAAAAGTTAAAACTATTTCTTACTAATATAGAGCTATATAATTACTCTTATAAAGCTACTATAGGTAAAGAATAAGACTAAATATTAGCTACTAGAATATATATAGTAGAATAAGCTACTAGGTAAATATAACCCCTAGTAGATAACTATATAGAAAATAAGGATAATATTAAGAAATATTAGGAGAACACTAAACTAGTCTTTAAGAATTAGAAGTTATTCTAAGAATAGATAACTATTATATTTAGTAAAGTTAATAAAGTAAAGTAGGCTAAGTAATAAATTTAAAGGCTAAAATAAACTATATTAATAGGTAAGTATACCTTAATATTTAAGTAACTTTAAGCTAAAATAGACTAGGATAACGTACTACTCTAATTAGTATTCTATAATAGTCTAAAAGAGTTAGTAAAGGACAGCCTTATATACTATATAAAACCTAATAACCTAGAAGCGCTAATAGAACTAGCTATATATGTAGATAACTACCTATATAAGTAAAACTAGGAAAAGTAGAAAGTAACTAAGCCTATATACTACTAGAGAGCTAATACTTAAAAGAGGTATAACTATAGGGATAAAAAGGATAAGAATAGTAATATAATTATAGGGGATAAAGTATAAACTAAGAGAGAATACATCCTATAGTAAAAGAAGTAGAATAAGATCTATTAATAATACTTTAAGGAAAAGGCTTATCTAAGTTATAGAAAGTAAGGGCACTTTAAAGCTAACTACCCTAACTATAAGGAGTAAGGTAAAAGAGCTAATATAATTAGAATAGCTATAGTAATACTATAACCTAAGACGCTAGAAATAGATAAAGTTCCTAATAATACTATAATACTAGATTCTAAGGAGGAATCTTAGGAAACCTAACTAACTAATCCTAAAGAGTATTTAGATAAAGATGGCTACTAAGTTACTAAGGGAGGTATAGTAGTAAGTAGAGTAACTAAGTAGTAATACTAGGTCTATAGAGAACTTAGGTACTAAGCTAGGTAATACTATATAAAAATAAAGATTATAGGACTAGATATATACTAAATATATAAATAGGTAGTAACCTATTAGGGGAAGCTATAGAACCCTACCTAGTAACTTAAAATAGTTAACGTATATATATAAAAAGAGTTCTAGTAATACTATATAATAGACTATTCCTACTACTAGAATAGGAGGAGCTAGGTATAAAAGAACCTAGGAGATAGGGAATACTATAGGTTATATAAAAATAAGTATAAAGATAGGAATTATTATATATATTAATTTAATATCTAGAAAAGGGACTATAGGCCTCTAGTATAGAAGGTATACTATATAGATAACTACCCTATCTATTAGAACTAGAAATACTTAATAGATAATTAGCCTAAGGGCCCTAACTAATATAATAAAACCCTATAATATAAATACATAGACACGTATCTAAAGTAAAAAGATATAGACTATATAGGAACCTAAGAATAGATAGACTATAGAAGGTAAGAATACCTTAGATATTTTAGTAAAAAGAAATCTATAGTAATAAATCTATTAGATTTAAACTATAAGTTTATACTATACTAGGAGTGCATAATAACGGGCTATTAGTAGTATAAAGAAATAGGTAAGAAATCTAAATACCTATATATACTTATAGTAAGCTAATAATAGAGGAGAGTAATAATAGAATACCTAAGGGATACCTTAGAAGTAAAGTCTAAAGTATAATATCTAAGGGGAAAAGTATTAAACCCCTTTAGAATAGTACTCTAATAACTAAGGACTAACTACCTACTATATAAATAATACCACTATAAAGGCGCGTATAATAGAGAATAAAAGTAGTTAAAAAACTAGTACACTACTAGGTAGGGAGCTAAGCTAGTAAGAGTATTCTAAAGGCTTATAGGGCGGAAGCTAAAGGTACTATAAAACTATAGATAATAAAGTAGATTATAATTAGAGGATTCTAAGTAAAGGCTTTAATAGACCCTAGTATAATAGAATATCTAATATTACTAGAAATAGTAGAAAAATATAATCTACTATATAGAAATAAAGAAGTACTAGCCTAGTTAGAAATAGTAGATAGTATACTCTCCTAAGGCTATAGTAGAGGCTAGCTATATCTAGAAATAACACTACTACCTATTAGAATTAAGGGATTTAAAAGCTAATATAGCTTTATAATAATAGACTTAGGAAGCCTAGAAGCTATTATAGAATATAACTAGCTAGTTATATATAACCCTAATATAGATTAGGTAAAATAGACTATAAGGAGTTAAGGAGTAACCCTAAAGATTACTAGTACCTAATATACTAAGTAGGTGCAACCTATAACCCTAGAAGCCCTAAATAAGTAGGTTAAAAGATAAACTAGGGGAATCTTAGCTATCTAGATAGCTAAGATTCTAAAAGAAAACCCTAGATAAGTAAGAATTATCTAGATATAACGCTTAGATCTCTAAGAAAAAATAAAAAAGATAATAATTCTACTAGAATATAAGAAGTATATAAAACTCTTTAAAGAAATTAAGGGAGAAGAACTCCCTAACTACTAGAAATAGAATTATAAAATACTACTAGAAGAAGGTATAAATCTATAACTAGAATAGCTAAGGCTAATATCTATAAATTAGAAATAGGAACTAAGAGAGTACTTATAGAAAAACCTAGTAAGAGGTTATATCTAAGATAGTTAGAGCCCTATAGTATTCCCTATTCTATAAATACCTAAGAAGAATAGTAAGCTACAACTCTATATAGACTATAGATAGCTAAATAATACTACTATTAAAAACTAGTACCCCCTACTACTAATTATAGAGCTAATAGATAGGCTCTATAGAACTAAATAGTTTACTAAATTTAATATATATAATAGTTATTATTATATATAGATAGCTAAAGGCTATAAGTAAAAGACTATATTTAGGACCTAGTTTAGTCTCTATAAATATATAGTTATGCCCTTTAAACTAATAAACGCGCCTATAATATTTTAGGCTATAGTAAATAAGGCACTATATAAATACTTAAATATATTCTATATAGTCTACCTTAA